AACTACCGCTGCTGTCTAGAGCACACAGCCCGCTAGGTAAACGAGTACCGAACTACCGCTGCTGTCTAGAGCACACAGCCCGCTAGGTAAACGAGTGACCGAACTGCCACTACTATCCAGAGCACACAACCCGCTAGGTAAACGAGTGACCGAACTGCCACTACTATCCAGAGCACACAGCCCGCTAGGTAAACGAGTGACCGAACTGCCACTACTATCCAGAGCACACAGCCCGCTAGGTAAACGAGTGACCGAACTGCCACTACTATCCAGAGCACACAGCCCGCTAGGTAAACGAGTGACCGAACTGCCACTACTATCCAGAGCACACAGCCCGCTAGGTAAACGAGTGACCGAACTGCCACTACTATCCAGAGCACACAGCCCGCTAGGTAAACGAGTGACCGAACTGCCACTACTATCCAGAGCACACAGCCCGCTAGGTAAACGAGTACCGAACTACCGCTGCTGTCTAGAGCACACAGCCCGCTAGGTAAACGAGTGACCGAACTGCCACTACTATCCAGAGCACACAGCCCGCTAGATAAACGAGTGACCGAACTGCCACTACTATCCAGAGCACACAGCCCGCTAGGTAAACGAGTGACCGAACTGCCACTACTATCCAGAGCACACAGCCCGCTAGGTAAACGAGTACCGAACTACCGCTGCTGTCTAGAGCACACAGCTCGCTAGGTAAAGGAGTGACCGAACTGCCACTACTATCCAGAGCACACAGCCCGCTAGGTAAACGAGTGACCGAACTGCCACTACTATCCAGAGCACACAGCCCGCTAGGTAAACGAGTGACCGAACTGCCACTACTATCCAGAGCACACAGCCCGCTAGGTAAACGAGTGACCGAACTGCCACTACTATCCAGAGCACACAGCCCGCTAGGTAAACGAGTACCGAACTACCGCTGCTGTCTAGAGCACACAGCCCGCTAGGTAAACGAGTGACCGAACTGCCACTACTATCCAGAGCACACAGCCCGCTAGGTAAACGAATACCGAACTACCGCTGCTGTCTAGAGCACACAGCCCGCTAGGTAAACGAGTGACCGAACTACCGCTGCTGTCTAGAGCACACAGCCCGCTAGGTAAACGAGTGACCGAACTGCCACTACTATCCAGAGCACACAGCCCGCTAGGTAAACGAGTGACCGAACTGCCACTACTATCCAGAGCACACAGCCCGCTAGGTAAACGAGTGACCGAACTGCCACTACTATCCAGAGCACACAGCCCGCTAAGGTAAACGAGTGACCGAACTGCCACTACTATCCAGAGCACACAGCCCGCTAGGTAAACGAGTGACCGAACTGCCACTACTATCCAGAGCACACAGCCCGCTAGGTAAACGAGTGACCGAACTGCCACTACTATCCAGAGCACACAGCCCGCTAGGTAAACGAGTGACCGAACTGCCACTACTATCCAGAGCACACAGCCCGCTAGGTAAACGAGTACCGAACTACCGCTGCTGTCTAGAGCACACAGCCCGCTAGGTAAACGAGTGACCGAACTGCCACTACTATCCAGAGCACACAGCCCGCTAGGTAAACGAGTGACCGAACTGCCACTACTATCCAGAGCACACAGCCCGCTAGATAAACGAGTGACCGAACTGCCACTACTATCCAGAGCACACAGCCCGCTAGGTAAACGAGTGACCGAACTGCCACTACTATCCAGAGCACACAGCCCGCTAGGTAAACGAGTGACCGAACTGCCACTACTATCCAGAGCACACAGCCCGCTAGGTAAACGAGTGACCGAACTGCCACTACTATCCAGAGCACACAGCCCGCTAGGTAAACGAGTACCGAACTACCGCTGCTGTCTAGAGCACACAGCCCGCTAGGTAAACGAGTGACCGAACTGCCACTACTATCCAGAGCACACAGCCCGCTAGGTAAACGAGTGACCGAACTGCCACTACTATCCAGAGCACACAGCCCGCTAGGTAAACGAGTACCGAACTACCGCTGCTGTCTAGAGCACACAGACCGCTAGGTAAACAAGTGACCGAACTACCACTATTATCCAGAGTACACAGCCCAGCTAGGTAAACGAGTGACCGAACTATCACTACTATCCAGAGCACACAGCCCGCTAGGTAAACGAGCACCGAACTATCGCTACTATCCAGAGCACACAGCCCGCTTGGTAAACGAGTACCGAACTACCGCTGCTGTCTAGAGCACACAGCCCGCTAGGTATACGAGTGACCGAACTGCCACTACTATCCAGAGCACACAGCCCGCTAGGTAAACGAGTACCGAACTACCGCTGCTGTCTAGAGCACACAGCCCGCTAGGTAAACGAGTGACCGAACTGCCACTACTATCCATAGCACACAGACCGCTAGGTAAACGAGTGACCGAACTACCACTACTATCCATAGCACACAGACCGCTACTACTATCCATAGCACACAGACCGCTAGGTAAACGAGTGACCGCTACCAGCATCTATTGCAAGCATCCTTTAGTGGAAATTTAGTATCTGGTAGACTCGATCAAATTCGGGAGGGAGAAGTTAACAAAAATTCCCTTCTGAGTGAAAGTGAATGCGTCTGCGTGCACAAAAGCCATAAATTCACTTTTTATTCTATCTGCGTTTTAGCGTATTTTCGGATCATTTTGTTTCGTTGAAGGAATACAGTGAAACCTGGTTACTACATACACCTTCGGTTAAAGCAAAACCGTATGTGCTATTCCGGTGTATGTATTACACAGAACTATATTGCAGTCTATGGGACGCGCCGGTTAAAATTTCCGCGTATGTAATTTCCAGGTGTATGTATTTACCGGTGTATGTAAAAGACAGGTTTCACTGTAAGATGTTAACTAAATAGTTGATCGAAATCATTTGAATAAACCGGCCGTAGACTGGAGACCACAAGAAAAGCGGAGGCGAAGCCGAGGCTGTTTCTTGTATATATATATATAGGCACCCCTTTACCGCCGTTACACCCCGTTTGGCTATAGGCACTCCTTGGACAATAATTAACTACTGCTTCCCGTGTTGTTAAAACGTAGAGGCATCCTTTTTTAAAAGGAAATAAATGTAGTTCGTTGCTACAGTATATTAATATATCCGGTTATATTTTCGCGATCTTAGAATTTGTATTGTAAGACCGGCTTTTGTATTGTAGATTGTAGAATTCATATGTGAATTATGCAGCAAAAAAGTGTCGTATGCAGTAACTAATATTGTTGTCTGACAGTTCCTGATGTACGTATTAATACATCGGAAGATAATGCGCAGTCAGTTGCAAATACATAATATGTGTATAACTTATTTACTTACCGACTCGTTATAGTATCCTAACACTCTGAAAAAGTGAACTTCGTCATGAGGTTAAGGACACGGGTAGATCAGAAAAAACTTGTTATAATAATCTTCCTTAACATATAATTAGTCGTTCTCGTAGAATAAAATTGCTTTTTTAAGAGATAGTGAGCTGCGCGCATAAAACGGATTCAATAATTAATTATAAAAAAAACTGAAAAGGGGTGACTATCATAAAACGGGGTGCGACGGGGGTGTCTGCCTGTCTACTTACAGTAAACAGCGGTGCCTGTAGGCTGTAGCCATAATACGTATCCATTTACAATTAATTAATTAATTTGACAAACAACAAAACAAAAAAACATCAACAATAACGTCGAAGAGCAAAACCGGCGTGATAATAAATTATCGTTTTCGTTTTATACATGGACATACATCAGTATCGATCAATTCTATTACTAATTAATTCGACTATTATAAATTTTGATTACAATAATTAATAATATACTATGGTTTATACCATATTGTCTATATAGATATTTTTTTATCTCTTTAAAGTAATTTTCGTATACAGTTACAATTAATTTAAACGTTGATAAGCTATAGTATCATGATAATAATTGATACAATCGTCGTAAATCATGCATGCCTGGGTGATGTGCAGGGCACCACACTGTTTACAGAATTATAAATTGTAAAGATTATTATTATCAGATTTTGATGACGTCTTATACTACGAATCATTGATGATCTCTGCTGCGCTGTGCAGATAAGCTACAATGGTACGAGTACGGTCCATTCCGTAGAAGAATGTGAATAATATTAATAATGCATTACGTTAGATAGGTAATTTAGTTTACAACGTATTTTGGTAAAAGATTGTTAGTCATGAATTTTCTTTTGGTTTCTAGGGCGCCACAAGTATCGCAACTTACCATGATTGCATTTTGATTTGGTTTGTTTTTCCGTTACGTGCTTTGACCGATTGTATTCTAGTTGTCATATATAGCCGTATAATACGGCTATATATGTTTTATATAATAAAACTTTTGTCTACATTCTACTATAAAAGTTATTTAGGATTATATTATCTAGCTGACGCTGCATCAGCTCGATCGTTATCAAATAAACACAAAGGTCAACTTGCCGGACAACAAACAAGCAAATTGAAGACGCCCTGATCTAGTTGACAATTTTTGGTTACAAAAGAATTCACTATAGTCCGTCTTTAGGTTTTCTATCATGCGGCGCAGGATATGCTGCAAAAGCTTCTGCGCTTATGCCTTAAAAAAGTATAGTATAAATCTAAAAAAAGTAAAAGTAACTTAAAGCATACCCTAGAGATATTACCATACCCATTAACATTAATATGATAGCAGGTTGGTCGTTGGGTCAGGGTACTGAGGATATTGAATGATCGGAAACCATACAGTTATTATCGATCCAGAAAGCATTAAAGAAAGCTAATTGTAAAACGTTTTCTAATTTTAAAACCATTAAAAAAACTAATTTTTCCAATGAAAACACCATGGAGTAACTGATGTCCATGAACACTCGGAGTGAAAGCCTCTATATTGGCAGGCCGCAGACTGTTGTTTGGGTTTGTAAATAATATTATTTGATACAAACTTATCCTGTTGCGATATCAAGACGCTAATTAATGAGTATTTAGTTTTTACATAATATTATTCAAGTGCTGTATTAAACTGCCCGACAATCATATTATTGTAGATGAGTAGGTAGTTTTGACTGCAATCTGGACCGGACCGACCGGCAACTGCTACAATGCCTGCATGCTGGCTGTATTAGAAGGGTCACCGGATTCACACACATAAACACCAGAGTCAACAATTTCAAAGACAAATGCAAAATTGTCTCCAAAGAAATTAGTCCAGCTAACTGGCTCGAAGTACAATTCTATCACTGCGTTGTAAAGTTTTCATTTGATTTTGCGGGAAATTCTGGATAGCGTTCGTTGGACAAAAGGATTTCCATAAATAAGCTTTCGACGTCAGTCGCATTTAATCGTTGAGGAGTCAACTGGCGGAAACAATCATGGGAGCGCTGGTTTGATGGAGCCTTTACTCATTATGGAGCGCACTTCGATGTCCACTCTGGCGCTTTCTTCATCTTTGACCTGAAAGGGCTTTGGCTCGCTTCGCATATCGCAGATTATGTTGCTCAGCGCCATAATGTAGTTTTTAGCTAAGGTCAGTGTCTCAATTTTCGAAAGATTCTTCTGTCTCTGGACGTGAGGAATCACCTAAAACAAAAATAAAACCATGCGTAACAATATTGAAGAACGCATAGATTTAACCGTTGGGCAACGTTTACGTTCAAAATTTCCAATGATATAAATTTTTGTGCTTTGGACAATTGGACGCTCTGACTCATACCATCACGAATGAGTGTCCACAGCATAACAATAGAATAGAATAAAAATAGAATGTCTGAATATCGGAGGTGCTATCAAACCCATGTTAGCAAAGTTATTTTCAGCATATAAGCAACTCATCTTTACTACTTCATTTTGTGTGTACTGAATTCATCTGACCATGGCGCACGAGGGTGACCTTATCGGTAAATGTTTGTGTTGTTTATACTGCACATCGCACGGTAGGTTGCAGCAAGTCTGCATATTTAGTGAATATCTGCAGCTCTACTAAAAAATAATTACTTATTCTGTATCTGTACAGTAATATCGCCGGTCTGCTAAAAATATATACATATTGCACAACTGCAAATGTACGAGTCAAGGTAGGGGGATCCTCAGTTACCTTGACTTATCTGCTAATTAAGCGTTAAAAAATATTGTACAGTATATGATGTATCCGTACGCTTTACGCCTAGAAGTTGTGGCAATTTATAAAAATTATAAATATGCAGATAGCCATAAGTTTCCTTTTTACTGGTGTGGAAAACAACTCAGTGGCTTTCGAGTCCGTTCAGATATGTACTTACGTACAAATTTTTTAAAAAAACTCTTTTTCCATATAAACCTTTCACTTTTAATAAATTATGTCGTAAGTGTCTGCTTTCTTTTTGCATGGGATACATGGGCCTGCTGACAAAAACGCCTGCTGCAACGGTTGTTAGTACTTACGTCCCGGAGGGCAGAAAAAGCGTCATTCAAGGAGTGCATACGGATGCGCTCGCGTTCGTTGCTTTCCAGTCGCTTTAAATTACGCTCCCTGGCATTGAGAGTGGTGCGACGGCGTCGGTATGGCTTCTCCGTGAAGCCGTCAGATTTGTTTTGATTATTCTGCACTAACTCGGACTGATCCAGTGTTGTGGTGGGGCTAGTGCAATCTGTTGCTCCCATGTGTTCCACTGCACTGCCAACAACACGCGGGACCGGGACATGCAACACCGTGCTGCTGCCGTTGCTAGTGCCTGTAGCCGTTCGCAGTGCCGCATTACAGGACCGTTGCAATGCGGCGGTGCCGCGTTGTGATCGACGGCGAATGTTGTGACAATCGTCATCCGATGATCCGCCGCTGACACTGGAAGATTGACCGGTACTGCTCGCCGCCGATTCACTGCAGATCGTTTCCGCTAGTGAACCCGGTGATGAGACGGCCAATTTCTGTGGCATATTGGTCAGGCTGGTTAAAGCGGTATTAATTAAGGGCAAATTATCGGCTTCCTCCTGCACGGAAAACCCCGCGTCACTCAATTCATCCAGTTCAATTGCTGACCATAGGGAAGAATCGGCGGGATCTATCGAATTAACATCCAGTTCATCAGCTTTAAACGGAAATAATAGATCAACGCAATGGTCGGTGCCATCCTCTGCCATTACGTATTAACCGTCGTGACTATAAGGGTCAAAAAATCTTTTGCCGCTATGTACGAGATCCTCTTCTCGCTTTAACTCGTCCCAATCCCTAAGGAGCAGTTTTCCAATTTCAACTAAAAAGGAATATAGATATCATTAAAGCACAGCTTTAAACACGCATTAGCTCTTTTCTCGTTTCTGGATCGCAGAACTACTCTTTGCATGCTATCCTTTCCAATGATATTCAACATATTATTCTTTCAGAGTCAGTTACAAACTATTCATTAGTTTGTATATTACTACTGCGTCCGAGTGTGTTAGCAACGTTGACACTGCAATTATTTTTTATGGATGTCCGCGCGTACAGTAGGTAGCGAAAGGTACCGGCACACCTACGTCATATTACCAGAACCATGACCAAATCAACCAAAACTAGCAAGAAAAGCGGTTTTGTAAGGCTTATTGCAGTTTTCCCGCCAAACATGACTACCACAATTTTGCAAAACTATTTTTTACCGATTTAGCGCAGAATATCACGACTTTGTAAAATTTCTCTTTTTTACTATCTTCGCATAAATCCCACTGCCGCTGAAAATATGAATAATCGTGATATTATTAATGTCAGGGTCATTATTTGTATGTCACCATTATGTAACGACAGTGATTTACAGATCGGTATATATATGATTATTGTGATAATCTTTGGTTAATACAATCTGAAACTCGCACGCTTTTTAACGCAAGAAAATTTGAAAGCACTGGTATTAATGGCTTGTATTAAGTCTTTAAATGCATTTGTTAGTTAGCAGCTAGAGCAATTTTTAAATGCTGGCAGTAATTTGATGGTTTCATTAATTCACTGGGAAGTTACCCAGTTGCGAATTCTGTTTGGAGTTGGGACATCGTTCTAACACTATAGACTTCCATTCCCCTAGCCAGATGATAGCAATAAAATTAAACTCAAACTGACAGTAAGTTGGGGGAAGTAAGGTTTTATGACCATGACCAACAGTATATTAAAACAGACGTCAATACCACCTACGCGTGAGTTTTTGAAAAGGTATTATTGATAAACATAAACTAAACTTTGCTTAAGTCGACTGCGAGTAAATTTTAACAAGCACAGCCATTCCTTCGTTAATTTACATTTCCGTTCTTTTATAAATTTTCGGCTTTTCTGACCTATCGTCGTTGTTGTTAAATGTAGCTAAAAAATTACTGCGGACTTTTCTCCAGTCAGTCTACTGTATCAAACCCTAAACAATAATAAAAATATGTCATTTTGGTAAATTTTAAGCCTAACCGACAATTAAAACTCCCTATGCATCCGAAACGGCCGTTAAATGCAACAGTTTGAATGGAAAAAAGGTTTGGATGTCTTCGTAGTGGATTCACTGGATTGTGCGCCTCTTTTGAGCGACAATTTTGCAACACCATTATTTTACAAAAAACGTGAAGATTTTTGTTTTTAACTGAAATTGCAGACCGATCATTTGGATCAGGGAAAAATAATTTTTGTTAATGAGGTATTGATTGATCTGCAAATGCATGCAGCCGCAAATGGCTATATAGCGCGGTCGCAGCATTCAACGCCTCTTGTAATCCTTAAAAGCCGACAGGTGCACGAAATATATATTAATTGCTTCAAAGAAATACAATCAATATCGCTAAACGAATTACAGAGTACTGGTTCCATAGTGATTAATTAGAAAGAGCTAGCCAGATACAACTATTTATAGACTTACCATTAGACCTTCAATACGGTAAAACGTCGACGGCGACTAGGAAAACAATAACATGCAAACCGGGTCAGAAATGGGCACTTGCTGAGCACATAAATATATGTAAGGTCGCTTAGAGCAGCTCCGGGATGATAACTGCCACTTGTTTGATTCCATGTACAGTTAAAGCTTTAGCGCACAGTGTATAGTCCCCATCCACTCGCGTCTCTGTGAATTGATTCCCATGTAGTACAGGGATGGAAAAAAGTGTTTGAGCAATGAGAGAAAACTAAATGTAAATGGAATGGAAGCGGCCTAGCCTGTTTTCTGTTCGGTTCCGTGCCGTTGTTGCCGGAGCACAGTCCATCACGACATCGCCAGCTGAATGCGAAAATTGGGAATTACATATGGGTTCCGGTCTGGGGTATGGATTGCGTTTTCCCCTGCCAAGAGAGTCATATAAATGACGCGCAGAAGGCAGCAGGCGTGGGTGTGGACGAGTATACCGGCTGGTGTGCAGTGCGCGCCACCGACTGCTTCGCTGTGCGACCTGATCCGCATAGTCCAGGTTGGCGGCGAAGTGCGTACAGTGCCGGGTCCAGACTGCATGGATGCCTGTGTGTGTGTGCTAAAGAAGTGAGTTAAGTATTATGGGAATAATGCTGGTAACCAATTTCCAGATGTGTTGTGTGTATGTGTGTTTTGCTAAGCTCAGTTTTAGCTCCTGCTCACGTCAATGAGGATATACGTGCCGGCACACCCGGTGCGGGCTGTATAATTGATTTCGGGATTTACATGAGAAATACTCTGGATTGTCGAGCTATGCATTACTTGTGAGGTTTTCTTTTTTACTTCCTCACTGCATTTTCCTAAAGAAAAGTAATTTCACACAGCAGCTTTATTGGATTATGCCTTTTCGTACAAGTTGCTCTAATGGTACTATTCGTGGAATCAACTGCATGCAGTAGCTACAGCTAATTAAGAAAACAAATTATAGACAAGTCATGAATAGAACTGATCCAAAAGAAGTAAAACGAAAAATCCTGCAGTTTCAGTTTAGACAACATTGTGTTAAGAGTTTTTTATACATTCCTAAGGAAAGGAACAAATTTTTTCCGAAAGTTATATAGAACGCTTTGTTACACATATATTCACGGTTTAGCAAATAATATGGCAAGACATAACAAAATCATTTATTGTCAGCAGAATCGAAATTTTCTTTGATATGATTTTGAGCATTTTTTTCCACAATCGCTGTCGGAGAGTTTGAAATAGGTACCAATCAAATCAGATACATTCAAAACATCTATGCGTTCTTCTGATAAATAATTATAATTAGTCTTTAAGTTTAAACCTTCATGTGTAATGTTTTACTGTAGAAAATTCTTGTATCCATTATCCCTTATAGTGCGTCTAGACGCAACTGCTACCAACTTATATCCAATACCGCTTTCATTCATTTGTCAATGCAAACAGTTGGCCGTTGTAAGAGCGCGCCTGATGACTGCGGTTCCGGAAGTCCGTAATAACAGCAGCCTGAAAAGGTATTATATTTAAACATCCTAATTACGTTCTAACCATATCAATACGTTAAAAATGGATCGTGAGCATGACGCCATGGTGATGTTATTATTATGATTACGTGAATTAACGGAAAGTGGCATTAATTAGTATGAAATGCTCTTTTGTGCGTTTCGTTGCTGCGAGTATAAATGCATTAAACCGGCCCAAAGCACAAGGAAACGCAGAAACAGCAACACTGGGGCCGCTGCATTGCGTGTGCTGGGATCAATGACGTTTGCTGTGTAACTTGCATGTTTTCCTTTCTTGTGGGAGACGACATTAATGTCCGGGCCTTTATACAACTCCTACGCGCTCGTGTGTTAATGTGGAGTAATCAGGATCGTTTTTAGGCTCGGTACCTTATCAAACTTGCCTTTCATTATCGTGTATACTGCACTGCTGCAATTGAACCTGGTATTACCGGAAGCACTGCCTGTTTTCTCACCATACTTGAGTGCACGGCACCGTTGTACACGGGTGACGTTCACTGACAACTCCGCGCTTATTGTATTACGGTACATTATTGTCGACATTTGGCCATGGTGTGCTATTGTGGTTGTGCTCTCTTGTAATTTCCCAGCTTTAATGGCATAATCCAGTAAATAAATTTGCACACGATCGACAGCAGATTTTAGTACTTGTGCAAATAGGTGCCTGTCTTCATAAAGGTGAAAAATCACACTCGATCAATCATAGAGTGGCACAGTCAAACGCAGCAGATCGTAAACTTTGCCCGTTTTTGATCCTAAACGTAACAGGGCATACAGAAAGTGACGGTGCTGTCGTTTTTCGGTTTAATGGTGCAACAATTCTATTTAGTTGTAGCTGCACGGTACCATTAACCTAAAAGGTCCACAATTATTCTACAATGCCAGCAATAATATTTAGGCAGCTACAGCCTGTTTGAAATTACGTGTGTTTCTCTATTTAATTCATACAATACTGCTGTTTGCTACGAGTAGGTATTCAATATCTGCATAATTTTTACGAAGCACATTTTTTACTGACAATATTACAATAAGCGCTTTCGCCAGCTAATAATAAGTTTTTCCTTTGAACGTTCTCTGGATTTTTGAACAGAAAGATCCATCTTTGTATGGCGGAAGATCTCCCAGGTAGCGTCCATTGGGATCAGCACAGTAACATGCGCTCTTGAAGCGTCCGCTTTTGACCAGCTGACTCGACCGGCACTGCACGGGACTGTAGCTTCCGTCATCCAGGCACGTGGGAACCAATAGACCCGTTTTGCCATCTAGAAGTGTGAATGGTGAAATTTTAGGCAATGTTCGTTTACATTCGTAAACACTTCGTAAGTATAATAGGCAACAGTTCCGATACTGATCTGATGCAAACGTAGCGCTAGCATAGTACCGATCTAAACTTTTGTTTTTCAACAGTAATTTGAGATAATTATGTTAGTCAGATAATTATTGACTTCTACTGACCACTTTGCAATTCACAAAAGAACAATCGCCTTATTTCAAGAATTCCTAAATGCAGTTCGGTAGCTCGGGCAAGAGCAGTGAATAACTTATATTTGTACTAAATCGGTTTTCACTTCCGCATGAACCATTATCAAAACTAACGTAAATCTTGAATCTATTCGTACTTACGAGTACATAACAGTGAGTTTGCGCTAAATGATCACCGTAACAAGACATTCTTCGTAAATCAGAAATCATCAGATTTCTTAACGTTAGATCTAATGATTTAAGTTTTTAAGAAATATGCTTTTAAAAATTACGAATGAACGTACTTTGTAAAGCCAGTATATCGTAAACATGCACCGGACACTCGCATCGAATGCTGCTGGTACGCGCGCTTTTCGGTTGGTGAACAAAAAGACCTTTGGGCGTAACACAGAAGGGTCCAGCCGTTAGGCTGCGTTGGTAAATTTTGAAAGATCCATCCGCTTCACATTCTGGAATCCAGTCCACTTTATCCCCAGATTTTCTGCGGGACCAAATTGAAGTAAAAGCAGCCGAGTCGGGTTTTGCGTTTTCCACAGCCAGGATTTGCTCGCGAGCAGTAGCGCAGTTTTGTATGGGAGCCAACTGCCGATTATACACATACTGCGCGCCGGCATTAAAGACAGTGAACACAGCAAAAACCTGGAAAGCAAAATAACGTTTTACGCTGTACAGTACACATATTTTGTTACTATTTTGTCACTATTTTGGATCAGTGAAACATACAAATGTGTGCAGGGTTAACATATTGTAGGCTTGGTACGATAGTTTTCCAAAAAGGCACGGTTTTTCACGACAGAAATGGTGAACATAAGCATCAATTATGTCTCACTTGCAATTAAAATAAAAATCAATATTTTTGCTGTTCTGTGTTTTCACTACACTAACTCAAAAGCGAAATCCGGTGATCGAGAAACGTGTTTTTTAAGACTTTAATTTGCTGGAAGGCATAATCCCGTCTTGATTAGTACTTTTCACATGCTGCACTGGATTAAGTTGCAAAGAATGCTTACCGAGTATAGCATTGTTTTTTTCTGGTTTATGACTGTACTTAATCATACAGCAAAAGTCACACCACAGGAAAATGCCGGCGCTGCGTGAATGTGTTAAAATTAATAGCAAAATTTGTGGCCAAACAGGATCTATAATAATTTATTAATCAATATTGTTTGCTGCGGACCTGCCACATGCAGAATTTTGGTGGCGCCCTACGTACTCTAATGGTTACAGTATGCTATAGCATATATTAAACTGACTTTTAGAAAAGTAAAACAAAACAAAGCTTCACAGAGGAAATCCAGTGAAAAAGCGCTTTTTTGATCCCTTGTTTGTTGTTTTCGGTAAGTTCGGTGCATAGCCATACGTATTGTGCACAACATGATATCATAATATTTGGTGGTACTGTATCGGCTATCGGACAACAGAAACCGGTGCTTATGTATGCTCTGATTATACGGCGAAACTGTCTCTTTTGCACCGTACTGCAAATTGTGAGGAACACATATCGGTTATTCCCAAAAGGATACGAGAGTAGTACCACTAAAAATTTGCACACCTAAAACAAGTCTGTACAAACGTGCGTCATTTGATGAAGATTTCATTTATGCTATTATTTATGTTCCAAATAAACACACAATCCAAAACTTGCATGCATGTCTGAACCTGATTAACCAACAACAAGCAAAGCATTAATCAAACTGCGCAAAGATCAGATTACAGTAAATGGCCCTCTAGCTATAACAGTTGAGACTCGAGTTTATCCAAATTCCGAATAAGCAACCGGCTTAAGTTTAGCATTAACCAACAACACGGAAATCAACCAACAATCTAAGGTCGCTCTAACCTAAAAACCAAGCATACGGCAGTATTAGCAGTATACTTTCAACGTGATACTTATCAAAGGTTCGCACATCATCTCATGTTAATGGTGAACTGTCGCTAATATTAAAAAAAAAAAAACAGATAATTACTCTATTGCTTCTTCTTTCGATCTCGTCTCAAATTATCGCAGTATGTGTCATCCGATGCAACGGGCTTGTCCGCCAGTTTCTTTCCCTTCTCATCAGCGCAGAAACAGCGGGCCAGACGGCCCTCCACTGGGGCATCCTTTGCCGTGCGAGGATTGCCGGGCAGGCACTGCACGGACTTGTATTGTCCCTCGGGAGTGCAGAACGGAATGTACACGCCCCGATAGCGATCTAAATTAATTAGCCGTAAAGACGTTATGCGTAAAGGGCACTGTTTTTCATAATAGTCCCAGGTTTGACACCAAAGTGCATCATGTTTTTAAACAGCAACCAAAACTAGTATTATTTTCTGTGATTTCGACTAGGGTAAGCAAACCAGTGCATACTTACTCATAGATGTGACTCGTTCATAAAATCGAAGGGGACATTCACATTCCAGGTTCACAGACGGATCAGGCGCGTCGGGCTGATAAGCCAGAATACCCTTTGACGTGGAGCAGAATGGCATTCCCGATACATTCTTCTGTAAGATTTTAAAGGATCCATCCTTCTCACATTCCGGAATCCAGTCGTTGGGGCGGAGTTTGTTGTGGACTGTATGTTCCAGAGCGGCGGCACGAGCGGCATTGCAGTCTACAGTTGGCGAACTGCCAAACCCCTTATTGGCGGGAAAAGCATTTGTCAAATGGAGCAGCACCAAGCTACTAAGAACCTGAAAGATGAAAGTACCATGAGCATTCACAGCCGCTGGCCAGGGTCATCGGAAAATCGAAGCTTTGCATTTCGCATGCAGTTACAACAGAGGATGGCTATAAAGTTGCAAAAAAATAACTGTAGCGCGCAATTTGCTAAAAATTTTCCTCCCGTTTTCCACATGATAAAAGGCAAGCTGATTAAACAAACAAACAAACAATGCATATACTTACAGCAAATGTAACAGACATTGTGGCTGTTAAACTGCGAACCTTTGGAAGAGAAAAATCGCGAAAGCTGAAATGATAAAGCACAACCTCGAACGGCCCCATATTTATACAAAACCGAGGGCAGCAGCATTTTCAAGGTCAGTAGTACCATTCAGTAGCTTCGCATCGAAACCTAATTGTCCGTAAAGCAACGCCGCGGTTACGTCGCATCAGCTGACCGTTACAAAGCAGTGTCGAAATATATATTATCGACACACCTAAATGTTGTGGAGTCCTATTTTCTGGGCGGCAAAGTAGTCATAACTTGCAGTAGACAATTACTATAAGTGAATTTCCGGAGATTCCTTGAGAACGACTAATCAACGCGTTCCTTATGCAAAATTCGTACACATCGTAAGTACTGTCTAATTAAATACGACATGTCTACGCATTAGCTTGCTATTATTTGAAATGTTCCACTGCGCAACCATACGAAACGAAAAAAAAAGCAAGGTGAAGTGGTTAGCATTTACTCGCTATAATACTTCTGAGAAACGTTACGGTAGACAGACGAAATAAAAGATTGCTGTATCGTATTTGAATACAGAAATTATCGCATTCCGTTCGAATAAAGTGTGTACCATCAACAATTACTGGCAAGAAACCTATATCTAAGGACTACTGCAAATACAGATATGCATCCAAAATACAGATATTTCCGCACATACCAGATATAAAAAATTACAATGTCCGAAAATGGAGAAACAGCAGAGAACTGCAGTGCGACAAAGGATCCGTAGGCAACGGTTTTGCTTTGCCTTCGGTGGCCGCGGCCTCCTCCGTGCCTGTAATTAATCCAGCCATATCCGAATATCTGCTCTTTGCCCAATCTGCAACCAGTGAAAAATTTTAATTCAGCTATTACAGTACCTGTTTATTTGTACTGTGAACGCATGTGGTTACAAAATTACATAAATCAACATCGCTTCAGGTCAGTAACCCACACCATAATATAATTTTCCATGAAATAGTCTCATTTTTAAGATAGTGAACAAAAAGGAAAGTGTACCTTTGGCACAGCTTGTCTTTTTCGACAATTTAGTTAAAGACAGTATTTTCCAGACAGATTTTCCCAGTGCAAGGTTCTGAGTGCGCCAGATAAAATCTAACTCATCTAAAAGGAAATCCACCAAGATATACTCCATGAACATGCCGCCGGAAATATCCCCTCCCAAAGGAATCAACAACTGATCCAGAATTTTCCATACGAATTCCAAGTCACCGAAGGGTTGCTCCAAATCACGCCGAAAATGCATCAGTCCGTAAACCGCCTCTAAAACAGATACGTAACCTAGAATACCAAAGTCCGGGTAAACTGTAAATGCCAGTCTGCTAAGCGTTAACATCTTAAGTAACCTTTCACGAATCGAAGCAAAACCACAACCGAAGAGACTAATAACTTTACCCTGGACCAGAAAAACAACAATAGCAGAGTTAATCACTTCGGTTTGACGAATTTTGACCCGATGAAGAGTAATAATTATCCGGCATCGTACATTACAAAAAAGAGGCGAAAATCCAAGAAACATTTTTATAGTGTTCTCGTTAGTTATAACGAGAATTGCTCCAACTGAATTTGCATTTGCAACCCGTGCGGCCAGCAAAAAAAACGCTAATAGTTTCTGCTTTTCTAATAAATGAAATTCTCATGACAAAAAGTTCTCAGCTAACCGGTCTCCAAGGATTTCACCAGTCGCTCTTTCAGTCGCTCCAATCCGGCATCAAATTCATCAATAAACTCCCGAACATATCCAATAAAAAGACGGTTTATATAAGATCGTTTCCCCGAATCGCCAGCGTCGCTAACAGTTGCATTTTTGAGAAATCTTCGCGTCCGCTGTGCTTTGGTTGCATATTTACAGAATTCTTGCAGCACGTTCACAACAACATCCTGTCAAAATATGTTTAGTTGCATGTAACCTGTTTACAAACTGTTAACAGAAAATTCTTGGGATTTGCTTAATTATTACATCAACATTGAAAACTTTTTCCGAACAAATTTTGTTAGTTATACGGTAATCATGTCATACAAATAACATTCTGATTCACTGCATATGCAATTTTAATCTATCGTGCACAGTAGACATAAAATAGGCGACCCCACTATTTAAGTAAGATCAAAATTCGTAGGAAGAGTAGTTAAGTTTGTTATTAAATACCTGGGAAACTTGAGAAACGTTAGGCCGACAACGTAAAGTGTTAATGGTCCAAACGTCTTCTACATCCAGAGCAAATAAGGATGAACGAGTCCATCCATGCAGCATCCTAAACATCAAACATCTTGTCACAGTGTTCGGTATGTAAAGCAAGTCAAACAAATAATTATGCAGTTAAGTTTTTAAGAATTGAGGGAGTATCGTGCGCGAATCTGCGATGATTAAATACAGTGCTACATATTAGCAAGGGCCCAAACGTTCAACTGTTCAAACCGTCAACGAAAGCTAGACATTCTACAAATTACGGGGTAACTTTCTACAAGAGATAGAAAAACGGCCATTTAAATTAAATGGTCGTTCTTCTATCTCTTGTACAAAGCTACCCCGTAATTTCTATCTCTGATTAAATGATTTAATTCTTTGAAAACTTACCACATAATTTCTTGAATGACGATTTGCTCTGGCAGAACGCTGGCATTATACGAAGCATTCAAGATGTTCTGTGGACATCTGCAAAGAAGTTAACATTTTAAAATGGCCTCGCAGCAGAGGGATCTGGCATTAGCATGAATCCATGAAATTTCGAAAAAGTGGGAGAAAATTCGCATACCCTTCTGCCTTGTTCGCTGGGTGCTTCCCAAACTTGTTGATGTGAACGGTAGTGTGTAGCCAGTAAGGGGGCACCAGAACATCCCCTATTTGTGATGAATTAACCTTGCTAGTTCCTTGATCAACATCCATGTTCGAAACTGTTTGGAAACACAAATGTATACTTCTATTTAAAAGATGACATATCTATATTAGGGTTTGAAGTTTGAAGTTTCAACAAATTACAATAGCGCAGTATGTGAGACAACCTTCCTCACATGGCGGTTGTCATGTTGTCATGGACTATGCTCCATAGTCCTGCCTCCCCAAATTCCCACTCAAACATCCCGCTGTAGCTTTATACTACAGTTATGAGTTATCGCTTTCCCAGTTCTAAATAAGAAAAAAATGGTTTCTATGACCCGTGCACAAAGCTATCCAAAGCTCCTCATTGTTTATCTTCTCGAATTTCCTGGAATCTGAAAACGACCTGCTCGCAGACAGACACCCGGCGGCGGATGCATTTACCGCAACCAGCCAGTAATGGTACACTCGTTGTGGCTAGCACACTCGTTGTGGCTAGATGGATAAACCTTCGGGTTTTGAAAGATAGTCTACATCGAGCGCGGTTTGGACTTAGATGGGTGACCACTCTGAGTTCAGGCTGCGAGTGCACGGCCCGCAAGGCCTGTGTGCGAAGTGCTTGGCTGAGGCAGCAATACCACCACGGAGACGGGCACGGGAGATGGAGGATCACAATACCACCCTGGCTACTCAGTAACGGCTTGGACTGAAAGGCCTGTGATGTCCGCAGTACCAATCGTGCCAAATGGAAGGAGACAGGAGATCAGTCGAAGCAGAGGATTGGCGCCTTCCCTAGAGATGTGCTTGCTGTCTACCTGTTTAGAATTCTCTTAGTCTGGTTCTGTTGAACGTCTTGCTCTGCCCGAGCCGGTTAGCGCCATTGCGCGTTAAAATAAAGCTGGCGCTCGCGTTTGCGAGCTGCTGCATACGATCTGTCTGTTGCAGTGTTATAGCCTCCATTGTAACTCTGCGTGAATGAATTACCGTACTTTGCACAAAATGTTCTGTCTGTCACCTGATTAATGCATTGCTGAACATGTAAACCGAGCCGTTTTCGAAACAACTAGCCGCATAAAGCAATCGCAAAGTACCGGCTGTGTTTTTTTTGAGTTGCTCCAGTACAGTACTTACTGTAGTGAGACTTGAGACGGTTGATTTGACCTAAACATCACGGCTGATCTAATCCTCCTGGAGGGATTGGATGGGTGCTATTCACGCACTTCGGTTCATTTTATGGACTTCAGCGTCGTGCTCAGTGGCAGCGTTTACACATCCAATCTGCCACAAAATCCATTGGAAGTTTCAACTAAACGCTTGTGAGCGTACGGAACACATTGCAATAAAACTGTAAAAAATAAAAAAGCGAATGTGGCATCTAATTCATTAATAATTGCGTGGTGATTGATGATTGCCATAATAGTCAATAATTAATTGTTTGACTTCTTTGCGGTTCTATCTCAATCTTGATATTTTGAACGAATGCTTTCTTGCAATGCCAGTTGCATATTTTATTGGTGGAATACTGTCGCTGTCGGCTTCCCTTCACTATGTCCTCTAAAGATCTACGCTGCGATCATTGTACTGGAGAAAAATCCTATTCGACGAAGTCAAACTTAAACCGTCACGTTAAAAAGCACCACCCAAATTTTTCTGTTCCAAAAATTGGTAGGTTTATTAAAAAATGATTGCAAGATGAACTCGTAAAGATTTAGATGTTTGTTTCGTAGCGGGAAAATGTCAAGAGCCGGAATGCCAATTTGTCTTTTATCACCTTGAATCTTTGATTTCACATCTCTGTGCTTTCCATAATCGGGTTGAATTCAGCGTGAAGGAGAAAACATTTCAAAATTTCGATGAATTTGTGTCTTGGAAAGCTGATTTCGAAGATTTGACTGCCAGCCAATTCAACCATGCGAATGGAGAGAAAAAAACTGGAGCTGAAAAATCTTTCAGAATGTATTCTTGCTTTCGAAATTTCAAATCTACCGGAGACGGGAGTTCGAAAAAAGAACGAAAATTTAAATGTACCGCTTTTATTAAGGTATGTCATCAATCATTGTCAGCTAGAGCCTAGATCATTCACCAATTTAGCGTCTACAGATAGAACTGAGTGCAATTCTGGGGGTAGTAACAAAGGTCATGCAGAGCAAAGTGCAGAGCATAGTGCAGAGAAGAGTGTAGAGAAGACAAGCGTTTAATTAGTGCTAACGTTAGTGCACAACTGCATCTAAAGCGAAGCGGAAAATACGTTTCTGTTATTGATTAAAATTTGACTTATATTTACTGCTAGGTAAAGCGAAGCACTACTTGGACTTTATGCTTTATACAAATAACCATAATACTATGTGTGGAAAACTGCTATTTGGAAAATTATCGCAACTGCAAAAGGCCGGGTAAACGAGTATGTATTTGTACGAACATACTCAAAAGACTTTTGCTACTAGTATGTACTTAGTACTTACAGTACTTATTGTGCTGTTTGTGCCATGCAGGTACAGTACTAGTATACTTATTAGTAACAACAGCGTATTCACACATAAGGAGAAAGCTCCGTAGTCCGTAAAGTTTTACCACCAAAAGTCGCTGCACACCACATTTGACCGCCACCAGGCTATGTACACCACTGTCTGCACTACGTTTTGTCTCGGGCCATTTCTGCGACACCATCATGTACATTTTATAAATACCGGCAATATCAGAACACCACTTTATGTTAATCTGTGGTTTCGAAGTCATACAGTAGTGGGTAGCATAACGATCTACGGTAGATACTTTTATGTACGTATATTGTGACTTGCCGGAAAGCGGATTACGGCTAGCTGTAAGCCAGTGTAAGGCTGTCAAATCAAAGAAACGGAATCGAGTGTGCCCTTTCGCTTTAGCGTTTTCGCACAAGCGCTCAATGGAATGAACCAACAAAAGAGCTTATTTTTTAGAAAAACAATGAAAGAGTGGGTAATAACATCATTCTAAGCTAAACGTGTGCAAAAACTCAAACACCAACCTGGCCGGGCGGTCAAGCAAGAAAACCGACAAAATGGCTAGCTATAACGGAGCGGAGGCTACGAGTGTATCAAATTTTTCTTTGCTTTCTACTTACAGTTTACTGTTATTTTAAAAACCTTGCTTACTGTTACTGTTAGTAAACACCTCAAACGTTGCTGCTTACCGATTACCGAAGCTTAATATTAGGCTACTGGGAACTGAGAAAAGACTCGGTACATAGAACCAAATTCATTTACATGCGCAAAAACACGTGCCTATAAGGGTACTTGTATCCATAAATTAAAACACGAACTAATAAGTTGATGACGCAGGGTAATACGGATAACTCGGGATATGAACACTGTGTAATAGGAAATACAGTATTTGAAGCGAATAGCTAATATATACATAATTCTAATTAATCAACATTCCACGCCCGGATTGTCAGGGCGCATAGCACTAACTTTAACAGTAACATGGCGACAAATTTATTTTTTAGGTTAAAACCACCAGTAAAAGTGTGGTAGCGTCTTACTGTGAGCAACATTATGGCCACGATGTCAACGCTGACCTTCATTCTCAAAAGATTCCCGAAAAACTTCGGATCGATATCGGGAGTAGGCTGGCTTTGAGCGCAGACCCACGCGTAATTGTGCGAGATGTGCGAAAAGCCGCATGGGAAAGGCTCCAGAAAGGTTTGTAAAAACCACAGAAATTTTTTTACGGTGGTCATTTTTACTTGAGTGCAATATTATACGAACCTTGCAGAGGGTGTTCATTCGCGTGCACTATACATCACATTGCAAGATGTATACAACATTCGTCGCGAATTAAAGCTGCACTGGGAGCCACGCAAAGCCTGTGAATACCAGTCCATGGGACTTGAAGCTGCGTACGAAAACACGGTTCCATTTCAGGAAAGGAATTTGTTATACTTAAAAAAACATCTCGCAAAAATGTATGCAATTCCCGGAATTACCCAAATCCTATTTTATTGCCGTTCTTCAGACGCCTTTTCAAAGGGCACAGTTTAAAAGACTAAACCGCAAAAGTCTGTGTATTGATGCAACACATGGTGTTTGTGGCCAGCGAGGATTTAAACTTATAACGCTAATGGGTATCGATGCTGCAGAACGCGGATTTCCAGTTGCACATTGTATTGCAAATCACGAAGACGAACTAACAGTTTCGGCTTTTTTCAAAATACTGAAAGAGCAAATCCTAAATTTCCATGCGGAGTGGTTTTTATCTGATGATGCTCCTGCGTTTTTTAACGCTTACCAGCAAGTGATTGGATGCAATGCCAAAAAAATACTATGTACATGGCATGTACGGAAAAATGTGAATCAATGGCTTGACAGACACGCGCGTTCGTTTACCGATGCGAAAAAGCGATTCGGCAATATTATGTATGCTCGCGGAATATCTGAAGCGGAAACCGAAAGCGCTGAGCTGATTAGATTGGTCAGCACGGACAAGAAGGTGTATTCTTATTTATCACAGTATCTGGAACGCATAAGCGAGTGGTCACTGCCGTACCGCATCGGCGCTGCCTTTTCGACCAGTGCGTTCATAGAAAGCTTCCACAGGTTAGTACTTAATTTTATAGTACTTCTTAAAAATGCCAAAGCCGTTTTTCTGGCGCGTGGTCAGTTTGTTACGCACCCGAGAATCTGTCGTTGAAATTTGCTATCGCTTCTGTACAGTAAAACCTGCCTTTACATACACCTAGTAAACAAATACCACACCCGAAAAGTTAATACGCTGAAATTTTAACCGGCGCGTCCCGGCAAAGGGGGCATCCTGCATAGTGAATACACCTTAAAATTAGGCTTACGTACACTTTTATTTTTGTCCGGATGCAAAATATCCATGTAAAAGAACCTGTCGGCTACGTACAGTCTAGCCGAAACAGACAAAGTTACAACGATACGTCCGCGATTAATGCGTTGTACCTTGTAAGTTATAAGTGCCAGAATTCAGCTACGTTAAGCAGATAAAAAAGTAAGTACACTTGTTGGCAGTCTTTGAGTGAATTACCGTAAATGAATCAACCATCATGGGCAAACGAAAGCGTAATGATTTGACTTTGGAATACGAGATTAAAAATATTGATGCGGTCGTTCACGATAAGCTTAGTTCACGATAAGTTTAGCAATATTTTAACATAATGCACATTTTGCTACATCATCTGGGGTGGGAGAGGCGAAAATGTTAAAATTTCAGGAACTTCTATTACTGTTCCCAGAATTAAGACCGTATGAGAACGGGACCGATACCCATGCGGGGCCCGGCCCACTGTTCGCTGTAGTGCGTGTTTACCAGAACTGTTAAATGTAAAGAACCGCGCGAAGGTCACGCTGTCCGCTTATAACTCAATTGCGGGAACCGTACGTAAACACTGGCGCAATATAGAGGGGTTACCGGTATAGACTTTGCGCCTTGATTGCCGGCATTGTTTTGCGCAAGGAATGCCTGGCAAATAGCACTATTCATCATTCTAAATATTTAATTAGTCAGGCGTTTCTTTCTGCAGTCTAGGTAGGTGTAATGCAGTTTGTGTTTTATTTCAGAGTTCTTAAGCGCGTACATCTCAATGCAAAAACCGGCCTTCGAATTGATGAGCTGTACGGCGGCCTACTGGACTTCATCGAGCAGCTTGAAATTAAGCTTTTCACTGATACCGTGACTGCCAGTCCATCGTACCGACAGCAGCAAATTAAGCGAAATCACCGGGAGGCCGTAAAATCAATTTCAAAGTATTCGTTTGAAAAAGAGGCAGAATCTCGATTTGTTTGCAAGAACTTGATTACTCTTAATGAACATGTCATTATCCTTGCTGAGTGCGCTACAAGAAACTGCGAAACCGTTTGCACCGGATGCAATGTTGCGATTTGTATTCACGGTTTTCTTTGCGACTGTCCTTCTGCAGTAGGAGGGTTTCGGGCTTGTAATCACGTCCATTTGCTCTGTCTATCCGAAAAAGCACAACTGCAGTCGTCTTCTCTTCCTAAAGATTCCCAACAAACAGTATGAACAACATGTACTTCTAATTTATTACAATTACTAAATTAATTTTTTGATCTGCAGGCTGACTTCTACGGTTTCGAAAATGTCGCCCAGGCGAGGTCAGACTTTCTAGTGTCCACGCTACAGAGCGCTTCCATTGTGCCACAACCGTCTGGGTCGAAATATACAATGCAGTTGCAGACACTCCGCGATTTTTTAAATGACGCGACGGACAATAAAAGTCCAGAAAACGTGGAGCTGGTGGCGAAGTGTGCTGCGTTAATTCAGAAACACCGGACGAAAGCTGATTTGTTAAGTCAGATTTCTACAACCGGAATTCGAGAAGCAAAAGCAAGAAATTCAAGACTAAAACGTCAGCCACGCAGATTTAAGAAGTCCAAGAAAAAGACTAAACAAGTTTAACGTTCCAAAAGCGAATAACGTTGGATAACCTTTGTAGTTGTACTAACTCTGTTACTCTGGTTTGGACTATAATGTAACCTCTGCATTGTGGTAGCTTTATCACTCGGGTTGATACTATGATGTAGACTTCCGTTCGATATACTAATTTTGCTGCTCAGATTTTATTTAGATTTAGCTTGTACTGGTAACGTATACATCTAAACCATTGAGCAAAACTGTATTATTCCGTAAACAAGGGTATCTGCGTCAAAGTGTATCAGTATTTGATAACCAAAATTATCCAGTGTGACCACAACCGACGTCGGTCGGCTTTAACACGCTGAACACGGATGCTACCCGGCTGCTGAACAGCTGGAAATCATTACGGTACTTAGAAGCGCCGGTGCACTGTTTTGCAAATTGGTTTAATTCTCTTGATGGCCAGCAACCACCTGGAAACTGTTTTTGTGCTGGACGCCGATTATAATATTAATAGGAGTATACTGTAACGAGTATATCCATATACAGTATAAGTATGCACAGTACGAGTATATATAACCTCGAATATATATAATGTTGATACGATACGTTACAGTAATAATAATTATATCCTAGCTTAAATATACTGTACCTGACTTGAGATTTTGTGAACCAACGCATTCTGTCACAAAAGCGCTTTTAGAGGCAAGTACCGGCAAGATGCAACATTGAACATGGTGTTATGATAAATACAAATAGCTGGCTTGTGCATACAGCAAATGTTTCAGTTTATCAAAGCGTTATTTAGGCCGGTTGCCTGGGCATAATGCCATTGTATGTACTGTTATTTAGTACTCAAGTAAGTACTCAAGTATTTAGTACTCAAGTAAGAAACTCGCCTCCGCTGTTCTTGTGGTCCACGGCCACTTCATTTGATTTCGAATGACTATCTAAATTCGAACCTGAATCGGTACATCACAATTGCGCAAAAACACTGAGACTTCTGCTTTAAATCTTTCTGTTTCAAGCATTGGGATTTTTTAATGGTAGCTCGGTCACCTGCTCACTTACCGGGCTAACTTAATAGCTCTGTGCATTGGACAGTATTGGTAACTCGGCTCAGTCACTCGTTCACCCAACGAGCCCTGTGCATTTGACAGTAGTAGTAGCTCGGACAATAAAAAACAATAGTAGTGTATCTAATTTAGTGTGAAACGTCATTTTAATTTACGGGTTAGGTGTTGTACTGTTAGTTAAAAAATGGCTGCAGTTATGTAAATGTAGTATGAAAGGGCATTTTAATTTGTTTTAGTAGAGTTTTGGAAGTTTTGGAATATGGGCTTTCAGATTGTGGAAACTGTTTTTGCTATTTCTGTTCGACAAAGCTGGGTTAGCTATCCCTTTTTAACTTTTTTGTGGTAATAAAGATCTACCTATAGAATCTAATTATTTTAGTACGATACTAGTACTATCCTGCGTTTGGTACATCTTGTACATCTGTAATTACTGCGATAATGTAATCATTACAGGTGCAGAATATTAAAATTATTAAAATTAAATAAAATTAATTTTAATAATATTAAAATTATTAAACTTATGCTCGTAATACAGTTGACTTGCAGCTGCCATGGCGCAATACAAAAGCTGTCGTTACCAAACAATTTTTTTTGTTGCATTCATGCGCAGGAATTTACGTGACAAGCTTGTATGGGATTTACAACACGTGATACAAGTACACTCAAAGCTAACAATAAAACGGTACTTTAATAGCGTACTATAATTTTCTTCACATTATGCCCAGTCAAACTTTCAAACGCAGCAGTTCCTTTTTCGGACAACTTAATGCCGGACCTTTTTTGTCCCTTAGCACTTTTGTTTCCGCAGTTGAAACCCCCGCTTACGTTGAACCGATTCGACAATCGCCGGCCAAGGCTTTTTTGAAAGTTCGGCATTGGGACATAATTTTTGCTTGCGCAAAATCTGCAATATTATACAGATCTTTTATTAATGCAACGAGGCTTTGGTGCCGTTGTACCTCTCAAAGAACTGCCAAATCAGGTCACTTTTGAGTTGTGCTGTCTCGCTAGGCAAGAAATTATCGCTAATCCTGAAAAAATTAGATTTTTATCATAGCCACAGAGTATCTTGTAAATACTTTACAAATTCAAAGTTGTAGCTACAATACTAGTAAAATAAGTATAAGCAGTCTCCTGTTGCAATGTTCGCAAATTTATCTACCAGCTGTCCACTTCATCTAGGGGAATAATCCCCTTGTTTCGTCCGGTTGTACTGCCTGACACTTCAGAAATTACATCCTGAAACGAAAGTAATCATGTATGAACTCAAGCAATTAAATAACAAAATAAGCTTTAGTTATAATAAAACGATCAGTTTTTGTAAAGCAAAGCTGATAAATTAGCTTCACTGGTCCTAAATAATAAAACCAGCACAAACTCGGTCTAATGTAAGACAGAGCAGATACCGCAGCTGTCGCCCTATAAATTCCATCCTAAATATCAAGATAATAAAATCTCAGTTACTTATCTTAGTTATGATAACAATTTTAGTTTTTGTGGATACGGCTTTGTTTCTATTTGTTTCACCTGTTCAGAAATTGCCGAAACTTCGTCGCCGCGGAATGAATAATTGTGCGACAGATCCGGAGTGCTTACTTCAGCGGCCGGCGATATTGTGGCAATAGATAAGGAATCAGTTGCACTGACATTCATAAAAGCTAAAGACACACCAAAAAACGAGATCGAATTTTATTATCTTTATTGTGAGATCATTATTTGTAGCATAGAAAAATTAAGTATAGGAACTGCTATAGGTGACACTACACAACCTTTCATTACTTTTTACTCCGTGCACAACCCTCTGCAGTACTTTCTTGCCGTGCATAACCGGTACCTTTCACTCGAACTTTTTGTGCACGACCTTTTACTCCGTACACAAACATTCGGCACTATCTTTATGTGCGTTGCACTACCTTTTAATCTTTAAATTTTTTCACAACAAAGTTTTTTTGGAACTGCCATTTTTTCATTAAGAGCTGTTTTTTCATTAACAGCAAGATTCTTTCGCTTACTCGCAAAGAACACGTTTCGGGCACTCAATAACTTTCAAAAATGCCCATACGAAGAGATCACTTCTGGAGGTTTTTAAAGGGGCCGTTATAAACCCTTTAAAAATTCCCGCTACCCTCCCTCTTTAAGCTCCACCCCGCTGCTTACTGACACGTTAAAAGATTCCCACTCCATTTTTGTTGAATCCGCAATGAAAAGTGGCACAAGAAAAGTCTTTAGAGAATATCAAAACAACTTCCAGAAATAAATCTAAATTTATTTTATGCAACTGCCCACACTTGGCGTGACCACCCTGTATTATATTCCAAACAGTTTGCTGAGATAACGATGTCCGTTCTTCATTTTTGTTTCTGTCCTTCATTTTTGTTCGCACAGGGATTTTGATTTTTGACTAAAACTTGCTGCTTGTGTGCATTGCAAGCCACGCTACTGCTGATCTCAGCGCTTACAGCTAGCTGATATTTGAGAATTCGGCTAATGCTAAGCCAGTGCTTTAGTTGTAAGACAAAGTTGTACAACAAATCGTAGTCTTAAAACGGGAACTACAGTTTTCAAGATGTTGTAGTAATATTTCCACGCCCTGTGTTTCCGGCACCTTTATCGCTCGCAAAATTCTTTCAAAGCTCGCTTCCACAGTATTTCGTGCTTGTGAACGGCTTGCGTCAAATGCATACAGATTTTCTGGTCCGCATTACGACGGGGTTTCTTGGACGTGAACGCTGACGGGCGCACACTTTTGGCCATTTTGTTAATCGGCTTTACCGTTTCTGCAGAGCTGCACACATATACGTACACATATGGTAATTCTGACAAAACTGCCCATTGGCCAGTTTGCCACGATTGGTTTAGAAAGGAAGAAAAGCCCCTCCCTCCTACAACATCAATCTACAAAAAATTTTTTCTGCAACTTTCGCGTCCATACTTTCGAGAATTACAACAAAAATTGCTACAACAAAAGCGGCTCGCGTACATACTTTTTCTACGATTGTTGCAAGATCTCTATTGTTTTCCGAATTACAACTGAGCTAGCATTACTATGAACTAGCATTACTTTTTCTATGATTGTTGTAAGATTTCTAGTGTACTCACAACTGAAATATACGTAGTATAACACCTGTAATCTGCCGCAAAAATAAAAGTGTTATGGAAAGTGATAAGCGTAGTGTATACACAGGTGGTGACCTTAATGCAGACCTTAGTGCAGCTGATAGTAATGGAGTGTACAGTTAACCCGAGTACAAATCGATTGCTATGCTTTCTACCTGCATCGATTGTATATTTTTTTATTTTTATAGATAACGTTTTATTTTATTTTACCTGGAGTCTGGTTGAGCTCGGACGCCAGAACTGATTGGGCTTGAGTTTCCCCTTGTACTTGCACAGTGTCAACCACTACATAAAAGAGTGGTACATTAGTTATCTATACAAAAAAAGTGCATAACAACCAACAAAGTCATGTACAAAGTATTGCGGATAAGTCCTGCAAAGTCTGTCAAGTTAAAAAATGTACCGCATTGTGGAGTCGGAGGCACGACTGGAGGAGCGACAGTATTCCCGTTTTTTTTTAACGCAGCCAGTTTCACGCATGCCTGCAGCTGCGTGTTGGACAGCTCTCTCATGGACTGATCGCCCACTGTGAATGGCTCTAGTCCTATCAAGCGTTGCAACATATTTTTCATTGCCTAGCGTTGAAAACTATTCAGCTACATTATTTGACTGCTTTGCAGCTTACCGCCTTTAGGAACCCAACCGAATTGCCCCGGTTTATCGGTTCCAAAAAATTGCACGTAAACGCCTCGGTTTCTGGCATTCTCCGGTGGCGTTTCAACACACGCCGGCCAGCGGTTATAACCTGCGTTAATTTTTATAGCTAGTTAATAGTAATACTGACAGCTGAAAACCATGGGGAACCTTCCAGTGCACGCTTATCCGTAGCCATACCTTTGATCTTTGCCCAAACGATTTGTCCTACTGGAAAGGGCAACGCTGACATTTTTGCAGTTAATGCCGAAATTACGTTGCTCAAAATGAGAAAACAGAGCAATGTTTCGTGAATTATCAAAAGTTAAAACATGGAGGCGTCAATTCTAAGGATAGTAATAAACACGTCAGAACACCATAACTGCCGAAATTCAGCAAGAGTAAATAATAACAATGGGAAGAATACTGGATAGCCGTGACTGTCTTGTGTATCTATGTACTTATGCCAGCCACCCCAAGATAGGTAGCAGCTTGGTATCCCGACAACGTAAACGAGCGCCCTATACAGCTTACACTAACTACTCGAATGGTCGTTCAAGCAAAACAATATGATTAGTGAATGAGGGATGGTCGTTCAAATAAAACACCCAAAATATTAGTTTCCTCAAAACCGATTTTCTTTCGTTTTTTCTATATTTAATTAAGCAAGATTTGCCCTTTACAGAGCACTTGAAATTTTTAAAGAAGAACTGCATATTACTGACCATGAGTGCATATCTGACCATGAGTACTGACCCGAGTGCATATCTTAAGACTGACCGGAGTGGATACTGTATTGTTGCTCTTAGTTTTAACTCAAGTTTTAACCTTAGTGCTCATCTTAGTTTTATCGAGAGCGGGACCTTAACAGAAACGAACTGCTAGCGCTTAAAGCCAGAGGGAGAAACAAAGCCAGATACTTCAAAAATATTTTGGAAAAGAGTTCCTCCTCCCCCCCCTGCTGTTCAGTCTTAGATTTTCGCATACGAAAAAATTTACGAAGACTGGAAGCAATCTAAGTTTGAACTGGTCGAGGATTTGCGTAGATCGATCATCAAGGAACATGGTCCATAATTTAATTACAAAGAAATCTGGGACATCAAGATTTTAAAAAACAATAACATACTAAAGAAACCTGTAAACGCCATTAGATTCAGCATGATCAGAAACTGTGTCACATGTATTTTATTTCTTTAAAAAAATTATTCTAACCCGTCCCTCCGATGCCGGTTCCGTCAAAACTGGCTCCTGTAAAACTTTTATGTAAGTTTGAAAATAATAGCAGTTCCAGTTGCTTAGAACGCTTAATAAAGTATTAAGTGTGTAGTGTGTACTGTATAATAAGTTTAGTGTACTATAATTATAATATACAGCAATAAACTAAATTCAGAACCATGTTTGAATTTTGCCAGGCTTCGAAGTTGTGGTTTGTGATTGCTATCAAAATACAGACTGTATATCCCATTGAATTGAAAACCTTCACAAAAGTTAAGTGTCCGGAGTATTCGATCTTTTGTTTCTTTTTCCCGCCGCGGTCAGTAGAATGCCGCATTTCTTTATAGTAACGAAAAAAACAAATAATAGTAGCATGAGGTACAAAAATATACAGTACATAGTTGAGTATCCGTAGTATAAATATAAAAATGAGGAAGTCCGAATTTCTGTTTCTATGATATCCTTTAAAACTACCCAATTTTTTAAAAGGGTGTGGCTATTCCTACCACCTCGCACAACCTTTGGCTATTCTCACGATTTTTAACCACCTTTTGGCTATTCGTACCACCTTTTAAGAATTAACTCTAACACCACCTTTTGACTATTACCACCGCCTCTGCACACCTCTTTTGGCTATTCTCACCTCTTTATTGCATTTTTTACACCGTAAGTTTTATAAAAGACTTCATGACAAAAGGTCAAAGCTTTGCCGTTAGGGGCGAATTTTTTTTACGGTTGGGGCTGCCGCCGGCCGGAAAAGTATCTAGGCGCATCTTATCCGTGCTGCAGCTGTTTGCCAAACGTTCTCGCATCTTCTTATTGCTGAGTTTGGCTTTTCCCGGTAGACGCTGGTAAATGATTTCAACTGCAAAAGCAATGGCGAAAACGCCACAGTCGTATCCATTTTTTTGCTGCTGTACCCGAGAAAGCAGAATGTCGATCGACTGGCCTTCTTGAAAGTTTAGTAGCTTTTTATTCACTCGCACTCGCACTTTTTTTAATTCACTCGCGATTCTGTCAGTTCACGGACTTCTACAACTTTTTTCGGATCCAACCGTCGATTTTCCAGCACATTTTGCAAACCATCCTTGGTAAGAGGATGGTTATGCCGCATACGTATTTTGCTTAGTAATGATGAGGCGGTGTTCTTTCAGCCGTGCCGGCCGCTGCGGTTAGAGTGGCATTGCATTCCGCTCGCCGGGTGTGCTGGAATGGTCTTTTCCCAGGTTTTTTAGCGTCATGCACTTTGTGGCGGATGCAGTCATATTTAACTGACTTGTATCTCATGATTTTGCACTTGCTAGTACTTGTTTATACCGGCAAGTAATATCGGGTTTACATTTCCCGGCTTCTAAAGGTCGTGCGTTTTAACGCATAACGTTATACAAATATGATTTTACAATCAGTTTATAAAAGAAAGATCTTCGTAGCAACTTAAAGTATTTATAAACATAATAATATTATTAAAATATGTAAGGAGGTGGAAATAGTCGAAAGGACATGTAAAAAGGTGGTGACAATAGCCAAACGTGGTGGCAAAAATATTTTTAAAAAGGGGTGCGAATAGCCAAAAGGTGGTGAAAGGTCGTGAGACCTTTTTAAAAATCAATCAGAAAAATTAAACTTTTTTGAATCGTTGTCCTAGAATTAACTATCTAACTAAGTAAGGCTTTAGCCTAACAATGGTAAGCCCGTTTCGTCTTGCACTTAATTAGACCAGAGCCCTAACCCGAGTGCTAACGTTAGTTCTAACCAAAGTAAAAACCCGAATGCTGACCTTAGTTTTCACCATAGTATTAACCCGAATGCTCATGCTAGTGTTGTCGGAAGGATATCCTTTAGTGGAAGTGGTAATATAGATATTTTAGAATTCTTTGTAAGCGTGTTTTGGTAGGAGGAAAACGGTCCTTGAATTTTTTATTTTAAACAAAAAACAGTTTTGTAATGCTTCCATTGTCTGAAAGTGTAACATACGGAAAGTTATCTGAAAAAAGATTCATTTGTGATTTGGCCAAATAAAACTTAGCACGAATGAGAGAAATTCTTCTATTCTTCTTCATCTACGAGGCATATGTCGATATCTGGTACTTTTTACAATTCACAAAATGTTCCACACGCTAGTCAGATTAGAACGATAATAACAGAAAATCGGGTATCTGTTATCTGGGTCGATACGTTTTGCGCTTTGCTTTTTAAGCCCTCCTTTTGACAGAAACTAAAATTTCTAATTTCAAATAATATTAATTATTTTCGTGCTTAGACTTGCGCTTAGGCACTGAAAAACAACAACTTCCAATGGATTTTGTAGCAGATTGGATGTGTAAACGCTGCCACTGAGCTCGACGCTGAAGTCCATAAAATGAACCGAAGTGCGTGAATAGCACCCATCCAATCCCTCCAGGAGGATTAGATCAGCCGTGATGTTTAGGTGTTGATTTGACGCGTGCCTGTGCTCTGATCCAATCCTGCTGGAGGGTTGGGATCTGAGTTATTCACTTAATTCGGTTCATTTTACGCACTTTGCGTCTCGCGCTCAGTAGCAGTGTTTACAGCTGTACACGTCTCGACATCCATTGGAATTTGTGGTTTCTTGGTGTGTGTTGCATTCGGTTTTCGCAATCAGGTAATCAATGTTTTAAAAAAGTCATCCAAGTTATCACAATGTTCTTTTTTTGATAAAATTTATGTTTACATCCACTGATATCCGAAAGGTTCCAATTTACCACGGGAAAACTAAAATATAATATGAAATACTGGCACCTGCAGCAATATCGTAAAAACAAGTTCCTTATGAAAATTCAGCGACATGGAAACAGTAGCTTGTGGATCTTGAGCCACAAGGTTTCGTAGTTTTTGTATTTCTTTGCTGAAAACTACATAAGGAATATTGTTGGACATATTGCTGGAAAGGCTCATTATGATGCTCCCCAGTCCTACAACAGCGGTAGTGAAATCAAGATGATAAAGCACACCTCATTCCATTTGTAATATGCTTCGGCTTGCCAGGACACGTTTGCAAATAGCTAAAATTTTAAGCATAAAACACTGTTAAAAAACATATTTTTTGTCAGCAGAAACTTTTGACAGAACTAAGATGAACACTCGGGTTAAGACTACGCTTAAAACTAAGATCAGTAATTCTGATAATACTCTGATAAAACTAATATTTATACTCAGGTTTTCAAACCTCAGATAGCTTAGTGTTTGCGAACTCTGGTTATTTCTCCCAAAAACTCAAAAATTCCTCCGTCCACAAAATGTTTTAAACCTAATTGAATTTATTATTATGTTCACCAGTGAAGTTTATTCAGCCAGAAATACACTATAACAGAAGTTAGGCACTATAACAGAACTTCAAATTTAAAAATTCAAAGAAAATTTAATGGTATTATACATTTTATTTTGTAATATCTGTTTTTTGGCAAACCAAAGGAATACTAGAAACTGAAAATGACGAAATGACGTAATTGCAAAAAAATATACGACATTACTAATGACGAGGATTTAAAGCCTGAGTTTTGAATTGTTTGCACATTTAATTTTGCGCCGTCATTTTTCACAACAATTTTTCATCCTGCACGTTTGCTAAATCTGTTGTCTTGAAACAGTAAATATGCGTTGACCAAACAGTTATATTTCAATTGAGAAAGATTATTAGAGAAAAAAAAGCAGAAAATAAAAAGTTATCTTAGCATACCATTTTTCTGGTTAAATATTTCGAAAAAAATGTATATTTTTTTGTTTTTAGCTGATGTTGGAAGTAAAAGAGGCTAGCGCTACGCTACTATATACTTCCACTGCCGAGTAGCAGAGCGTTTCAAATGTAATGGAAATTGTTGCAAAATTGTTTTAGAACGCATTATAGGTATTATACGCAATTATTCCGTTGGTCTGAAACTTTTGCCAACACTACTATGAGCACTCGGGTTAAGACTATGCTTTGAACTAGTATCACCACTCAAGTTTATACGTTGATCAAAACTAGCATTAGTACTCGGGTTAACACTCTCGTTAAAGCTAACACGAACATCTTTATTTGTACACCAAATATCATTCAATAATTCAGGAATCGTTAATGTTTCGCTACACATAATTATTTTTGCAAAATGCTTATGAAAAACAATTTTTCGCGGACGCTTTGGCATGAGAAAAATTTGGTACAAAAACATTTTGCTGAATCGCTACACAGACATTCGGCATGCTACTGTCTTTTGTTTACGCTCTAATCTATAATCTCATTAGAATGTTTTCCTAAGTTTTTTATATTTTACTTGTTTTTGTTAGCTTTTCTTGTGTTTTCTGAATATATTTTCGTGGTGTTCATAAGATTATTAGCTTTTTTGGCTGGCTTTAGTTTTTTTTTAATCCAGTATGTTTTTAACTTTTCAAGCTTTGTTAAAATTGTTTTTAAGCCAAATTGTGCTATGCTAAAATTGGTATATGCGGAAGAGTTTTATGCCCTTATGTTCTTATTCCGAAATGTACGTATATCATGCGCCTTCCCTGCGTAGATGTTACTAAAAGCATTTTCAACGAAAAGGTTGATTTCAGTATTCTTAATGAAAAAAAAACGAAAGTTTATTTGAGTTATAGTTCCGAAGAAGATTTGCAGAAAAAGATCGAGAGTCAGTTTGTCGAAAGGTTTTTGAGTCTGTTGATAAACCAGAGTTTTAACCAGAGTAGTTTATAACCGAGTATAAACCTTAGTAATCTTGTTAGTCCAGATCAAAGTCTTAACCTGCACACATTAGTATCGTCAAAAGTTTTACTTGACTGGAGGTTGTAAGTTAGATTTGGGTTTTCAAGCTCATTTTGGAATTTCTGACTTTTATTTTGTGCGGGCGCGATTTGCAATGTCCGTTTAATTGGTTTGGAAAAGAACCGTCAGGGATAAATTTTGATTGCGTAGCATAACTTTTATAAATACTGTGCGTTAATGTATAAATATAATGGTTGCCTTGTATAAATTGTTTACTCGTGAAATATTATAGCACAGTAATGGTAAAATAAACATTCAATAAACATTTATATGAAGTAGTGCAACAGTGTATGCAAATTTGTGGATCAGTGTATAAGTTTCGCTGTACACATGAAGGTTCCTCACACTTAAATAAGAACTAATCTGAAAATGCGCATTTACAATTATAATTCAAAAATTTGATTAAGCAGTCGGCGATGATATTATTTGTTGAGATCCGAAATAAAAAACTTTGATTTTACCTTGTTGCATCACTAACATAGACGCGGCACAGCTACAATTTCCAATGGATTTCATGCGAGAGTGGAATTGTAATTGCTGTACTGAGCACGAGACGTTAAGTGCACAGAATGAACCGAATTAGGTGAATAACTCAGATCCCAACCCTCCAGCAGGATTGGATCAGAGCACAGACACGCGTGTTGATTTGGGCCAATGAGTCATGCGCATTTATTCATTGGAGCCTCCTCCTTCGCACCAGTCAATGAAGTGCAAGTCTGCCAGAATCTTGAGAGACTCTTGCGATGCCTGATGCCAGCGATGGTGTGTGACTTGGTGAAACTGAATTCTGTGTTTATGGTTTCCTGACTGATTTATGGCTGGGAATGATGGTTTTATAATTTTATCTCAACAAAATCGACGTTGTGCTCAACAATAAGGATATTTCCATCAGCGTTTAGGATTTGTGTCGGTGGATCAAAGGAAATGGCGAAACCTGATGCCAAACCAAAAGGTAAGAAAGATCGCAGTGTACGTGGGCACATTATGTTGGGCAATAAAATGTTTTCTTTTTTGTTGAATGCTTGTTCTCAACGTCGCAGTTTTTATCCATTTCTTCGGAATCAACGGTTGTTGTATCGTTCAATGGCTGGGGTATTCCAGCTTTGAAGGCAATAACATGTTTGCAGTTGTTATTTAGAGTGGACCAACCTGTCCCGCAGGTTGAATGACACTAATATAAAAATTGGCATGAATTTGTTTTGGTTTAGCGCTATGCCTTTAAGAGGTTAATGAGTCATCTGGTTAAGTCCCGTATTTGTTTTTTTGTTTCATAGTTTAAATAATTAATAAGCAATCAGTAAGTGCTAAGATGCTATTTAATTTTCATTCGATGCAAAAGCAGCTAAACCACGGTTACAACTTACAAGTTGAAACTACACTACGGGTTGTGCCGTACGACGTGAATTGTTGAAAATCGGTATACGTATAGATATGTTGTGTTTGATATCAGATTCATCTCCCAGCTTGCATTTTGTATTTAAACCTTTATAGTTTATCATTATTTATTGTGCAGGGTTTCCACAGGAAGCGGTGGACGAAAGTGATTTTATAAAGGTAAATAACTGCCAGAAAATTTATTTATAATGTAGATGGGTGGAATTATCTTAGCCGTTTCAAATCTGTATACCGGTATTACTTATGTACTATCTTAACTTATTATACAATACAACTTTAGGTGCATATCTGGAAAATTGTTAAACAGCATTTGTTTGTTTATTTACGTTTCTTAAGCATTGGATGTCCGTTATTTAGCAATGCGTTTTGTCTTTAAAAGGCAAATGCATTTTACAAAATTTTAACGTAGAGATTGTGTGATTGAAATTTGGTCATAGCCGAAAACGGAAGGAATAGTCGGTTTTGCTCAACAAAAATACATTCATAGCGAAAAAATATGTTGTATTTTCAGAGTGCGGTTAATAAAAGTGCCAGTCGTGCTCAGAGCGTTCCCCCAAAGCCCCGAAATGCATTCGGTTTGCCCGCACCGAAATCATCTAGCAGCAACGCCCCTAGTAAATAGTTTTCCTTGTGTTGACTTACATGCATCGCTTTGTTTGTTTATGCAATTTGTTGCTGTATTTATAGAAGAAGCTGGGGCTGTTGATGAAGAGCAGTTTCGCGAAGCTTTCACAGAGTGTCCACGGTTGTCCATCTCGTCCGGTGCTGAAGTGGAGTCGGAACTTACAAAAATTAAAGATAGTCTTTCTAATCCTAAAGAAGATTGGGAGAAAAGGGTCGATCAGGTGAGCCGGTAATGTGCTACCAACCGTTTTGGTGTAACTTTGATGTTGCTATGCCTTGATGGCGAAAGTCTGTCTCTGTTAGAAGGTTAATTTTTTGAGACTGTCGTTTTGTTTTTGGTTCACATGTTTTTTTTTAGAATACGTCGAGATTAAGTAAAATTTTAATGCATTTGACCACTATTTTCCTTTTCAAAGTGGCAAAGCAAACTTACATTTAGTTTTTATTTAGCTTAAGCGTTTACGCGGTGTTGTTATCGCTGGAGCGGCCGATTACAAAGAATACGCAGCTACAATGAAATTTGTGGATTTAGCCCTGCAAGTTGCCGTCAAAGATCTTCGCTCGCAGGTTGTCCGCGAAGCTTGTGTAACCCTCTCGTAAGTTCGCCAGACATTCCCAGACAGTGGCGACGCGCTGCTTATTTATTATTGTTCAGTGATTAATGTTATCGTTCGTTTGTGCTGTGTAGGTTTATGGCTGAAAAGCTGGGAATGCGCTTTGAGCGTACTGCCGAATTAACGCTTCCATCATTAGTCTTACTTATTCCAAATTCAGCGAAAGTTATGTCAACGTCTGGAATTATTGGAATCCGCTTCATTTTGGGCGTATGTTTATTTTTAACAGTGTACATATGTGAAACTGATCCTTCTAAATTAATTGCACCACATTTTTATAGAATGTGCATTCATCTAAACTGGTCCCCATAATTACCAACGAATTTATGACGTCGAAGTCGAAAGACATTAGAAGGTACGGTATGAACATGAGTTATTAACCAAATGGACAGTTGTTGTCGTGGGCGTGCATGGATCACTGCACTCGTATTCAGCAGTTTACAGATATATCGTCATATACGAGTATTTTCTAATATCTTTGCAGATATTGCTGCGAGTTTATTGGTCTTATATTGGCAAAATTTCCTAAACAAGCCTTGGAGAAGCACGTTACTCTTTTACAAGAGGCCATTAAGAAAGGGATGGCTGACGCGGATTCGGAAGCGCGAGCGCTAGCCCGCCAGTACGATAATGAACCGTTAGCTCGAAGTAAATGTACTAGCAGCTTTGTAAATTTTCATTTGAATTAGGGCCTTTTTTGGCTTCAAAAAGCACTTCCGAGCGCAGGCGGATAATTTATTTAAAGATCTGGATCCCATGAAGCAGCGTTATCTTGAGGAAGGAATGTCGCGGAGTACGAGTCAGAATTCATTGAAATCTGGCGCTGCTCTTTCACTTGCACCCAGCAGCAAGATACCAATTACCGGCAACCTAGGGTAGGTGAACAATGCGGAAACGTCACAGGGTGTTTGTGTACAGACTGCAGTAAACAGTCAAATATATGCACATTCCGGTGATGCACATGTTGATTTATGGCCCTAGCTTCGCATCCAATTATGGTGATCACGCTGTGCGTGAGAAAGCTCATGGTTGCTCAGATGATGCGTTAAGTTCAGTGATTAAGTTATGGTGCCATGTTTTCATTACTTCCTCAAGGCGAGTTACTTATCTCCTTTGATAACTTTTGCGATTGGTTTTGATGAAAAATTTCGTTAAAATTTGAAGACATTTTACTAGTTCTAGTAGTTAAGTACGAGAATGTTTTAAGTGGAGCCAGTTTGCAGTTATTTGTCATGTTCTTATATCGGTTTTCTAACTGCTCCTTTTTTGCAGCGTGGAATGTGCTTTGCGCATGGGAAATGATCAAGGTGAATTTAAAGCTCGGAGGATGAGATGACAACGATAAGCTATTAATTTGGGCACTGTGATATAAAATGTCTGATTGTCTCTGACAGTGGAGAGCGTTTCTGCCCCTACCGAATCGAAAGCTCGTTCCAGCAGTGCCATTGATATGGCCGCTGCCCGTCGTGCTAAAGCGAAACTACTTTCGTCTGGAACACGAACTCTGCGTCCGCCAACACGACCGGCACCACCACCGACATCGCGCGGAAGAAACCAGTCCACTAGCGCTGTATCGCACTCTCAGCGTAGGCGAAACTGACTTTAACTTATTTTAGTGGCTTATTTTCCAATCGTTATCGTAATTTCCTGCTTCTTTTCTGCACGTTTTTGAAAGCAACCGCCATAAGTAATGCTAAAATAATGTGAAAGTGTCTGAACAAATAATTACGTTTGCATCCCCGAATTATCATGGTTGACCTAGTTGTACTTAGATGTTGATGTTGCAGCGGGAAGCCGATCGACTTCGCCATCAAATGCACGCTACGCGAATACTTTGAAGCGTACTCCAGGGCACGCCAGTAAAGACGTCAGTCGAGATTCCAGTCCTGTGCGCACAGCTGGAAAGGTTCGCACTAATTCCTCATTTCGCTACGGAACGCAGCGCAAAGCTGCCGGTGGCGATGCGTCTGGACCAAACTCACGACGACCCAGTCAAAGTCTGGACCAATCCAACTACCATAGCGATGACGAGAGCGAGACATCCAGCTTAGCTTCCGAACATTCTCTGGGATCACACGTGCGATCTCGTCCAGGCAATCAGTCTGATGTGAGTTTGGCCGTTCCATGTAGAGTATCTTGGTTTGTGCATGTTTATATGGAGTATTGTGGTTTGCCACGGCATTTTGTTTTTCTTGTGGCCAAATGGATTGAAATTTGTTTTTGGATTCTGAACAGATCAAGGAGACCATTCCAGATATCATTAATCAGCTTAACAGCGGAAATTGGACAACCAAACGAGATGGATTAAATGGTTTGCGCCGGTACATTCAAAATGGAGCCAGGCATTTATCGTACGTCCAGATTTTGAAACTTCTTGGTTCAGGCATTGTCTAATGGGCTGTTGTACCGGCTGATAGGCGTTCGGAGCTGGAATCGATTTGTTCCACTTTCACGAGAATGATGAATGATCCGACTACCAAAGTAATTGGATTATTTTTGGACACTTTGCAAGAATTCGTGAATGCCTACAAACTGGAGCTGGGGTCGTGGTCGTACACCTTGATTACCAAACTTTTGACCAAGCAAGGCGCTGACCTTGTCCCGACGGTGCAGGCGAAAATCGAGAGCCTTTTTGACCTGATCAGGTAACGATTTACTGGTGATTTATTTAAGCCCCCTGGATTTTCCACGCGATTTATATGCGGTTTTTTTAAGGTCATCGTTTCCTGCGGAAAGTCAGTTCCAGCATGTCGTGAGGTACATCACCGACCAGACGCAAACTCCCAACGTCCGCGTTAAAGCCGCTGTGCTAAATTTCCTGACAAAATTGATCCAGAATTGTATGCAATCCAGTGATCTAAAAAATTCCAGTTCCTCTCGTCTCGGTGTAACCAGAATAATTAATTGGACGATTGATGGAAAAACACCGGAAATTCGACAGAAGTCACAACAAGTTCTGCATGCCTTGCGACAGTTAAATGAGGATGAATTCATGCAGATGGTTAACACGCTGGATGAGTATCTCCGAGTGAGCACAAATGGTAGCGCATGGTTATTTGCGATATTTTTTGCATTGATACTTTGAATTTTAGGAAGCGGCGATGAAGTTAATTAATGGTTATCCACGGCGTCCGTCGGGTTTGTTGGACGACGTTACTCTTTCACCAGTTGTTCCTCTCAGATCTTCTCCCATGACGCGAATGTCACCGGCAAGGTTTGTTTAGAAACGTTGCACCATTTATATATAATTTTTGATCATTTACAAATTTTTGAGGCGACTGCCATGGTGGGGTTTCACTGGTCCCTCAACTATTTGTACTCTTTATTGTCCATTATATGTTGTATTCTTTTTAATTAGGCATGTTCCGGCACCCAAAGGCACAACTCCCGTTGGATCTCCTTCCCAGCTATCTTCATCAGGGAATGACGAAAATGTCAACCCCGATGTTTCTGTTCCCAGTATTCATCATACGCCGAAGGACCTTCAGAAATTTGGAAATAAAAGTGCATCGCCCCGGAGTGTCAGTATTGGATCGACTGAGCGGCGGCGACAGGTTCGTCAACACTCTGAACCCCCGGAACCTGTCACCCCCAAAACCAAATGGTTTCCTCAGTACGAAAATTATTCCATTGTTCCTGTCTACGCAAGTATAGAGGAACAGAAACTGTATTTGTCAACACTCCCGGAGCGGTTGAATGAAATGCACCCCGAGTAAGGCAGTAAAATTCTCTATGGCGCAAAATAAATTTTAAGTGTGTTTAATGTTCTAGTTTTAGATTCATAAATAATTGTTATTCTTCAGAGATCTACCGTAACAGTGACAATACAGAGTTGTAGAGCATGATCAAGGTTTTTTTTGCAGTTGACTAAGGGTTTCGTTCGCATCGCACTATGGGTTATAGTGCTGAGTGTTGACATCGTTTTGTTGCTTTTTTACAGAGATCAGTTCCTGATCTTTCGACATCTCCATGAATTTATGCCTTTAGTTTCCGAGTCTGTTTGGGAAGAGCAGTTTTCCAATGTGCTTCCATTTTTATATGAACATTTCCCCAGCGTCAAGAATGATTTACAGGCTTGGTCGTTGGCATGCTTTGCTCATCTCATAAAACTGCAGCCCGGACGGATGCGTCAGTATCCCGAATTGACTATTGTCAACATTCTGGAAGTGCAGAAAGGAGCCAACAAAACGGTTCGTATTTTGTTTTCTTGCCTTCTCGTATCTTGAAGACCTTAGCTGACAGCATGGGACAATTCTACTTCTTGTTTTTCTATTTGTACAGAGGGCTATTCAGCCAAATGAGGTCGGCTGTTGCTAAAAATTCTTATAAATCGTAAATAATTGTGAATCTGTAGGTTATAAAATCGGCCGAAGATTGTGGATTTCTGGCATCGCAAACTTTTCCGTGTGACGTGATCGTTAAAATTCTGATTCCTATCATTACGACTCAACCCCATCCAGAAAATGCGGCTGCCGTAAGACTGTTCAGTTTTGTTGCACAACAAGCACCGAAAGAAGATTTGGAGAAAGTCCTTCCGTCTATTGTTCCTCATCTGGTCACGGTACGCGGCTGCTTTGCTTAACTTTTGATTGTTTCGCAGCACCATATACCTAGTGTTACGTGAGAACCGAAATATGAACTAGTGCGTAACATTGTAGTGAATTGTGACATTAGAAAATACTGACGTCATTGCCGACTTGTTGTAGTGGATTTGGCAGTATATTGGCGACCTGTAAAATTTGGTGTTATTTGTCATTGTCTGCTGTCACAGGCGTACGCGGATAACGGGGAGAGCAACATGCGCAAGGAATGCGTTTACGCGTTGATTTATACGCAATTAAAAGTGGGCGAGGAGTTAATGGCTCCCTATTTACAGCCACTGCCGGCTAGCAAGGTAAGCTCCAGTTCACTTTCAGTTTTGTGACGAATGGCTTGGCAGTGTGTGGTTGTTCTTTGCCCTCTTTATGCATCTTCAGTGGTACCTTTGTAATCAGAATGACGGGTGTAAACATAGTTTTGTGGGTGCAAAAATGATAATCATAATTTGATTGTAGGTGCGTTTGTTGCATCTCTACTTGAAACGCATCGTTTCTCCTGGGTAAGTTAAGCGCTACCTGCCTGTTTTTCCGTTTTTTAATCACTGGTCTTTACCACATAATTAGTATGCTCGCATACGTAGTATTATGTTATGCTGTACCTGCCGCGGTTTAGAGCTTTGTGTTTACCTTACTGCATCTGTAACGTTTCAGTGATATTACTGCTTTAGTGTGTACATGTACTGCATTTTCTGTTGAAGAAGCGCAAACACCGTGTTTATTTGGCATCTGTACTGGATACAATTTTACTGCCCGCGCGATTATGGTTAAAAGTTTTAACCATACTAAGATACTTGTACTATTGCGTTTTAACTTAAAACGCAATAGTACAAGTATCTTATAAGTTCTGGCGAGACATTACGAAATCTAGCTTTCGTAATGTCTCGGTTCTGGCTAACTTTAACTGTAATTACAGAAACAAAAAAAAAACACGACAAAAGACATTTAACCTATGTCTTTGCAGGGAATCTCCTAATTCGTCAAACTCGGCTATGGAATCTAATCAGCAGAATGGAAGCATTGACACTACAGTATAGTGGTAGTCGTGTGATTTGTTCGGTCTTATCTAATGGGATTGCGCTGATTTGAGGTTTTCAGGTGGTCTGCAGTGTTTGTGGCTGTCAGTTCTTGGTCATTGTGCAAGTCGGATTTGTGTATGCTGTTCATTGGCATGCGTTTTTTGAGTTTCTTTTTGGTATATGCTTTTTGAGTTTGAAATTGCGCCTGGATTAGCCGGATGTGTATAAACGCGGAAGTCCTTGCAAGTGTGGTTTTTGTGGTGGACTTCCAGAGAGCGTACATTTTAATTTTGTGGGTTTTATGTTTGCAACAAACCGTTTTTTGGGTTTTTTAAAGTGTATGAGAAACCTCTCTCAGTTGGTAGTGCTGTGGATTTAAAGGCGACGAATAAATTATGCGTCATAGTGTCACTGGAGTATGTTATTCCAGTACCGGTAAAATTGACTATTACAAAAACTTTATTTATTTAAATTCAAACATTTTTATCAAAATTTTTTACTTAAATTTTATATTGAAGTATTTACGTACGTACCAAACGTATAAATTTGTGTGAATACCTGCTTGTGTGCGGGCTCGCCGTAGCAGTTGGCAACCAACCAGTTGGTTTATTGTTAGTCATCAACAACCGCACAACTCTCGTAAGTGCGTGAAAAACAGCTGAAGCGGGCGGGAAATCTTGTTAGCACACTTATCCATCTCGAGTGCTAAGCATCTCGTTAAGGACAAGCAATCAGCATGGACACTCGACATCTTTTCTGCAGCTGGTTTGTTTACGTTCAGGATTTCACTTTTGCAAAAAAAGGGAGCAAAATGGTTTCCTTATTATGGCGCTAGGGTTGCCTATATACTGCATACTTGTAGTGTGGCTCTTTTCTTTTTTCTACTTGTCAAGAACCCTTCAACGCAGCGACAACATGTGTTTCTGAATTTGTGGTCACCCGGAAGATCTCAAGAACTGCAACTGGTATTAGAAGCTCATAGCGTTCGGTGTATTAATGTACATTGTCACCTTCAAAAAGCAAAACGAAAAGAATTTATTACTACGTATTGCTCTTCCGCTGGTATATTTGCGAGAAACACTGGATGGCAGGTCATTACGTTCTACCAGAGTCTTCCACTGACCACTAGCAGTAGATCTGCGCAATGCACATAAATAAATTTGTTATTTGACATAAACATACTGAACTGCCAAGGTTTTGTTCAGAAATTCTGGTTTGTATGTACCATCAGGTTACGAAACACATACCTCGATTCAAATTTGAGTGCTCTATTATTCTAATCTGACAGCGTCAGACGTTTTTGCCGCTCACAAACAATTTGCAACTTCGTTCGCGTAGAAGGCGGTTCCGCTGTAACCATCGATTTATTACCCTAAAAGCCGGCGCGGGCAGTACCAACCGGCAACCGTATCGGCGGCAGCCAATGGGCGCAAGCCGTCATTATCTCGATATATTTCTCAATGTCCAATATTCATCTCGAGAATCGTACACATCTTGTATTTTGTTGTCTAACCATTCAATTCATAACTCACATCTCTCCTGCGCTTGTTCGGGTACAAACCAAAGAAGAGAAGAGGAATTATAGCTGATGAAGCCAGTTAGTTGTCGACGGTTCTTTTAACAATATTCAAGGTGGATTTGTCGTAGCCAGCTGATCGTCAATCAATCAGGCGCGACCGGCTAAATAATTACATTAACCGGCTGCGCTTCCGAATGTCTGGCACATATCGCAGCAGGTAGTCTGCGGTTGACCCTGAAGGTCCCTTTTAGTGGATTATTATCCAAGCTTGGCTTCCGGGAAATATATTTATCCACATAAATGCCGCCACCACGGCGAGATATTGCCGGTGCGCCGGTACAGTCGGCCAGCGAATGGAATGATCATTTGTGGAAAAGCGATCAAGAATGGATACTTCTGTTTGACAATCTAATGCGTGGCTCACAACGCAAACGATCTACTGGCAGCAGTCAAGTTCCCATCGTGGGCGGTAAGTTGAAAGACGCTTTGGCTACATATTTATGCTAAATAAATTTTCCTTTAAGTGTTTTGATTCTGCTGAAGCTACTTGTTTTTGCCGACTACACGGGCAAAACGGAACCGTGAGAGTCAAAATATGGCGGTGTATATTTTACGCCAGCAGTGTGTTTTGTGTACTCTTATACCGCACTTTGAGCGAATGCAAATATGCTCCCAACTGACCAGATGGTTGATTGACTATTGTAATGGAGTTCTTTTCCTAGTGACACATTTTAAAAATCTGTTAACTGGATCGATGTAATATAAAACTTAAATTATGCCGGATGCGATAATTATAAATCTCATTGTACAATATTTCCAAAAATTCCATGCATACTCTACAAAATATCCAAAACCATCTGCTCTTTTGTAATTTTATTCACTATATGCATTTTTATTTCGTTAGACCTGCTGTGATCATGAAATTGTTAATAACGGACAGCACTCTGACTCCAGCTTTTAAAAATCAGCGATTCGTAGTAACCTTTTTTTACTGCCGGGTCGTGCGTTTTCGACAATTGAAATTATTTTTCTGGAATGTACAATGTCTCAGTGTTGCAAAACGTGGGTTCTCCTAGATCGTCGCTATTCTATTTTTGCTGCAACTTAGGTTGTTACGTATTTGCAGTAATCCTGATCGGTTTACGCGATTCTGTATGATACAGCAATTTTACAGGCAATCTACAGATTGTACACCGAGTAAATATTAGCGTGACATCTTTATGCAGATTAAAGCGGTCAGTATCGGATGGAAGAAAAAGATTTGCGAGTCGATCTACCGTTGGCAGACATCGACTAAAGCCGGTTACACACACTAACTTCAGCATATTAAGTTGGTTACGCACACCGGCGTCTTTATGACAAACGGCTCCGTTATTTTGTTGTCATATCAGCCTTCGTAGACGGCACTTGCGAGTTTTTTAACTGTAATTTCTCCTCAATGTAACCTGTCAATCAACTCGAATTTGCGAACATTGTCTGCGTTAATGAGATGCAAGACGGCTATCAGCGTCGCGTCCGGCCACCGATGGTCAGTCTATCATTAAAAACATGCAATAGTAGTACAGGTTCATCTTGATCCTTAACCGTGCAGATGCGGAAATGGAATGCCGAATGTAGCGAAAGAATTCCGACAACTAGTTCACGAAGAGTGACGCTTCGATTACTTTTGCGATAGTCCGGCACAAATTAATTCACATTTTTCTATAGAGAATAGAATTGAACAGTTTTGACACCTCGACATAGGAGAAATGATAGGCTGTATTTAGAAGCTATTACCGTGTCATTTCGTCGGCATCGGTGTATTCATCCTCTTCTCTTTGTATATTCTCTGACTTTAGGGTAAAAACGTCTAAACGGTTATCGCATAAATGTGTACAAATATAAGCGTTGAGCAGTATAAAGCGCTTCCGCTAAAAGATAAATCTGCTTTTTTCATCCAATGCCATGCCAAATTTACTGCCTATACATGTGCTTAGGATGGCGTCAATTCAAAGGACAAGAAATCATTTAATCGTTATACATACAGTTGGTCCTGTTTGAGCTTTTATCCGGATTCAAAGGCTCGATTTTCCGCTGCTCTTCCCTGGCTACCGTATGCGTATTCCAGCGGGGCATTTCAAGTGAAAACAGTTAGCCCACGCCGGAAAATCAATGCCACTAGGGCTAGCTGTTGATTTTCATCGTCACTACATGCACTTGCGCGCCTGAACTAGAAAGTGTATATCAGCAAAACCACATTGTGGGACTAATTTAGTCTGGTCAACTGGTTTAAATTAGAATTTTATGTTATTTCTGGTTGGCGCTGCGGCCTACGCTCAGTGCGTCCCTGGAGGAACTGTCGTAGAAATGCAATTATTTTGCCCAGAAAATATTCTCATTGAAAAGTTGGCCTAAATTACTGTCTTCCTGTTGAAATTTCCGGGAGTATGGAGAAGATGATTTTTAGTGTCATAAGTGCGGGTAAGTATTTAACGGGTGAAATGTTTGTAATAGCAATCGGAATGTTTGTTACGAATAACTGTGAGTAAATATTGCAGCCGGTCTAGTGTCTTGAGTATTAGAAAGAGTTTAGGCTAACTTGTGAAAGCGCCGCTAAAAAATCATTTGACAACTAGATTGGCGAACGAACTGTAGAGTTGTTATTGTAACATTTACTACACAAAAGCTTCGAGTGTAGAAGTAGTATACTTCACTTGATAAGCGCGCGTGCGTTTAGTAATTTGGCACTTATTTGTGACCAACTGTCAGCGAAAGTTTACTTTTGGCAGGTTTTTTACCGTTTTAGGTTGCTAATAAATTAACTTAGCCGCAGATAATGACGTCCAAATCTTTAAATTTGAAAAACTGAAAGCAAAATTGCATATAGATTTGTAAATTTTCACAGTTTTATTACAAATTTTGATGTTTATACCGTGGAAGTAGCGATAGAAACGCAATCATCAAGAAGTAATAGTTTTTGTTGTTATACTAAAATAAATGAATTGATTAAGGAAGTGGGATAAGACTAAGTAATGAAAAATATTTCTGGAATTTGCCATGGAGTTAATATTAAAACACGGGCAATGATTTATTTGTTTAACTGGAATCGGTTATGGATTATGGTTCACTTACACTAAAAATGGATAGGGATGCATGTATTTTTATGGGTTTAATTGATTGATGCGCTTTGATTTTCTGTGTGCCGTGGCACACAGAAAAGCGTGCCACGGTTTCCAAAGTGTGCATACAGTGAAAAGAAACAATGCATTATGGATTTCACAAGTTTAAAACTGGTTCCATTGGCTCAGACTGTACAACTTCCGCAATCGTAAGAAACTGAAGGAGCCTACCGATGTGTGCTTTACATGACGATTGTTTCAAGTTTTGTTGAGGATCTCTGCGGATGAAACGGGCTTTGAAGTTTCGTTGAGGTGACTATAAAGATTTCAGTGGCCCATTCAGATGCCGGCGGTCCATTGATAAAAAGTATTCATTTGTCCTTAAGTATTTACAGTCCTGAGCACAAAACCGGTGAAAGCCGATCTGTGTGAAGTTCAAATGGGGTTATTCATTGAGGCCCAGCGTGTGTTTAACAACATCGGACCTGGTCCATCTGCTCATTACCAAGGAAACAGCCTTTCATCAGCTGTCTAGCACTAATGGCTGACCTCACTTACAAACCAGAGTGCGCCGCGCCGGCTGAGGCAATTTGCATCACTGGTCACTCTGCAATATTGAACGGAGTATAGATTGTGTCTGGTATACATTACTCGGCACCATCCATTATTTATTGTACATCTTGTTTTAATAATGTCCGAGCCAGCTTTGATTTATATACTGGCACTGTGGCGCACATGCTTAGATTGCATGGATCATTCGCAGGGATGGAAGAAAGACAACGACCAGGGCCGGACATCCTTTTGCTATTTGGGCTTTCAATCGATATTCTCATGATGCTTGCCCCTAAGTGAACCCTTTCCCGAGATATATAGTGCCCAGAGGAAATAACTTAGAGTGTTTGTCGTATTTTGCAGTGGTCAGCGTATATATGCGGAAAGCCAGATACGCCGACACACACAAATGTAATTCTTATGGCCTACAAGCAGCGTGTGCTTGATGTTTGTGTTATGTCGGAGCCATTAACAGTGCAGCGCGATGTTGACCACGGACATTGCCCGCACTCTGTCCATGTAATTCTGGCTAATCTGTAATCATTTAAGGGCCGCCACATCTCCACAGATAACGCATATTGACATTATCTTTCCAATAACAGTCGACGTCGCGACATCGCGAAACAGTGGCTAATTGGAAATCCGGTTCGCGTGCGCAGTTCCTACATGGTGGTCACTTCTGGTATTCGTTGCATTCACAAAATAACGAACAGAACAGTGCATGAAGCTATTGGTTGTGCACGTAAAATTGCTGCAGATAGAGGATTATATTTCGAGCGAGAATCACAGAAAATAATTCACGAAACAATGCGAGGGAAGACAGTGTTTGTTGGCAAGAATGCTAATGATTACACCATAGAGGGAACAAACATACGCCGCTTCGCTTTGCTCCGCTCTGTATGAACACTCGGAGTAGTAATTAAGCGTTTCATGGTTTATTCATTACACAATTTGTGGTTAAATTGATTACTAAGTTTTACTTATGCCTGCATTATTGCAGACGAACTTGCACAGTTAAAGCAGTGAGTATTCTGCGAATACTTCCACTAATTACCATGTAACAGATACATTCATTATGTTCTGCTGGCATGCAGATGCATTTGGTTTACATAGTCCGCTGGTAGTTTGAAATAGTTCAAGAAACATTACGCGTCTATGCGCTGCTGGATAGGTGATGCTGTTGTTACTTCATTTTATATTCTGGGACGTTTCTTGATCCACTTCTTTATCGAGCTAACTATTCGGGAAGATTACCAAACAAACCACCTAAAATATCTCTTACGTAATTCTAATTTAAATAACAAAACATAAAAATTTAGACTTCAACATGATGAACTAATTAAGATCGAATTAAAAGAAACCACGGCCAGCGGCGTCCGGTGACCAGAAGTTACGAGGTACCTAACCGCGTCCTGATTACACAGTGTATGGCAGTGATACAAACTGTACAGCCTTAGTTTGAATATCCTAGTTTGATTTGAGCTTGATACGTGGAAATCAATACTTCCGTGCTGTTTTTAATTGATCTGATTTGATTGCAGAGAAATTTGCACTGATACTGTAAAGCGTAGTACTACGTACTTCGTCTTCACGGTTATATACCATCACCTTTGAAAATTAGAAAACCATTGGTCAAGGGTAATCGATAGCGACTTCGAATTAGCGGCATGTTATCATGCAGGCGTTTCGTTTGTAGCAGTGCAGATAGGAACATTTCATTTGGCATCAAATTATAGCCGGCACATACAATTACAGTGTATTTGAAATTGACCATTTGACATTTCCACGTTGTGCGCACTTTAATTTTAAACTGTTATTACGCACATACGCACGGAGTACGTACAGAGTAGCGCAGAAAATCGAAATGAGCCGGAATGACACATAAGAAAATATGATAAACCTCCGGAACCTGTCATTCCTCCATCAGATTACATGGCTGTAAAGCTTTCGGTTTTTAAAGCAGAGCTACTTGAGTAATCATTTCAGCATGGTAGCTTTGAATCACGACGGCGTACAGAGTCCGAGTGTACACTGCCGCGATGCTCCGTATTGAGAGTTGGATCTCTGACTGTTTTTATCTCTTCTAGGCCATCAATATCATCCGTCAGCACAGCCAGCCCAACTGGCAAATAATTACAATTCCGATGTATCACCAGTTTGCGGGATTCGAACACCACTTCACATACAACGACGAGTAGGTCTAATTTTACAATTTGGCTTAATTGCTTCGATAAACTTTTCCTTCCTGGTATGTTAAGAATAAGGACATTCTACCCCTTCGATACTGGATGATCGATTTGTTGGACAGTGTTCTTGTTATATTCGCTCGATCATGAATAAAAAATAACACGCATTGCAGTTCTATTGTTATTGCATGCACAGACGATTCCGGTACAAACTACACTGTCTCCAGTATCTTCCGCATCAAGCATGACGGCTAATACTAAGCCCAGGAATATTTTACCATATCCTCCTAATCCCGGGATAACATCGACCAACAGTAAGTCTGGCTGCGGCTGCATAAACTGGTAGTGTCATGAATGCCGTAAAAGTACAGATATCACAGCTCTGCATATATCGCACCGGTACACTGGTTTTGAAAAGTTTTAAACTATTTTTTTCGTGCTCTCTAGGGTAGCTAAACAAAGCATTCAGGCATTAAGAGGATATATTTTTAAATTACTGCCGTAATAAAATGTTGATAATTACGTATCTGATTTATCAGATATTTGTTTCCATTTTTAAAATGGGATATGGCTTTGGTGGTCAATGTGCGCACACATAATGGATAATATGTTTTACGTTATATATTTGGCGTGCCTGCATTTTAATTTTACGCTGTCTATAGAATTTTGCACCAGCATTCGTAGTTGTTTATGATGTGCAAAAATGTTTTTCATTGGATTGCTCTTTGCATTGATCGATTTACAGTGAGAATGATTTTTTACAACTTTGTTACCAAAACACGGTCTACATAACATGTTCTGGGCGCGGCTGCGCGTGGGATATTTATGGGACTGTTGATTTGCTTAGCTGTGACACACAACAGGCGGAAATTAGTCTATGTGCGGGCTGCATGTATCTGATAAGTTGACAAGGACATGTTGGGTTTTTCTCGAAATAGATGTCGGAGGAGTGGAAGCCGAAAACTTTATGGAATCCTTTCTGGATGTGCCGCGTATCAATAACATTATTTCCGGACCAGCGGTCGAACAGGAAATGAGTCGGATTAACCAGGTCCTGTCCGATGTAACGGCAGATTGGGCAAAGCGAGTCGATGCGGTAAGTTGGCTATAACCAGCTCCTAATTAGGGTCAAGGTCGCTTTAGCTGCTCGTTAATGTTTTCATGGCGGCTACGTGCGGAATATGTAATGAGGCACCTGATGGGCGCAAAGACTTACTGACCGTATAAACATGTGACATCGTTTTGTTCGCGCACTGCAGCAAGTTGGTTGTGCCTTTTATTGAAAAAAGATAATGAAGTTTTTATATCAATATTCAAATGCAGTAATAACCATTAGCCTGTCAGTCGCCTTTGACTTTAATTATGTGAACTTTACACCTGACAGAAAAAGCGCTTTTGCTTGTACAATATGTAGCCGCGGTGAGAGTATTCTTGCAGCATTGTGAACGGTCGTATTTAATGTATTAGTAACCTTTACATTTATAGGTGTTTTAATTTTGGTGTCAGCATGAATCGCTAAAAATTACGAATTAGAAAAATTTATTTGATTTCGTTTTTCTGCTTAGAGTACGTATCTTGGGATTCAGTGTCATCAGTGCCATGCGATGCACGAATCGCAAATAATTTTGAAATTCTAATGATTGTGTGTTCTTGCAGCTGAAGAGGCTACGAAGCGTAGTGTTGAGCGGCGGCGATTTATATAAGGAATTCTACAGTTCACTGCGGTTTATTGATGTTTCCCTGATCTGTTCGGTAAAGGATCTAAGATCACAAGTTGTCCGGGAGACTTGTGTAACTCTAGCGTGAGTATTAGATGGGGATTTGCGAGAAGAATAATATTTTTGATAGATGATTCATTACCCATGCATTTCAGTGGGTTAGTCGGCATTAAATGTGTTATATGCCTCCACAGATTCCTTTCACAACAACTGGGCCATAAATTTGAGCGAACTGCCGAAGTTATTCTACCATTTCTAATATCTCTTATCCCCAATTCTGCCAAGATTATTTCCAGTTCCGGAATCGTAGCCATCCGATTTATTCTGCAGGTGAAATAGCGATCCATTGTGCTCACTAAACAGTACACATGGCGCATAAAATAACGCACAACTCCATCAGTTATTTCTCGAGTATCAATGATTGAAATATTATATGTGCAGTATTTTCCTTTTACGCAAATTTAAAGGTTAAGGTTTTTCTTTTCAAGCTAAACTACCCAATTTGTGCGGCGCATTCCTAAAGTTCCTTGTTGTGTACGATGTGGTTTGCACTTTGCAGCATATGTAGGTTTATTGAATGTTACGCATGGGTGACTTTTAATAACCGTGATTCATGAACGTAACTTTTATTAATCCGTTACGGCATTATTTGATCACTACAGAAAAGATTGATAAGGGCCACGTACAAGTTACCAATAGCGATCGAACGTAATAAACTGCAGAACGGAACGAGTGTCAATAAGAACCGTTTTTGTTTATGGCAAATTAAGCAACAAATAGCCTACCTCAGTTTCATTTATGGATCTTATTTGTTTAACGAGTCAGCCATACAGTTGTTTGTTATGCTCTTAATAGCAGTTTCGTTTCACCCACGCTGTTTGCCGCTGTAAAAAAGGTTTGTAACAATTACCTGCTCTGTCGGTCTGCGCGAACGCACGCGGTATATCTTTAAATTATAAAAAAAATGCTGATGGAGTAGAGTTGCTTTATTGTATAAAAATCGATAATTACAATGCTTGCCATGTTGCAGTGTATAATGGTTTCTAAAAAATGACGTATCAAAAAGAATAATCTTTCATTTTTATGATCGTTCTGCACTGGCAGTCAGGTGTAAAATTTTATTGTTAACATTTAACGCAAGGAGAAATAGGCAGCATGAAAAGTAAATAGGCATTAATTGATGACTTTTGGCCTAACTTTGAAATGCTTCGTATGAAGGTGTCGAAGTGGCGCCTGCATACATAAGGCTAAACTGTGTCCACTTGAGGCACTTGTCTTGAATCTGGCAATAATGCCGACTACAAGTAACCTTAATCGTTTTTCAATTTCTCTTTTCAGAACACCCATTCGCCGAAATTAGTCCCGATTATTGTGAATCATTTACAAACATCACGATCAAAAGATATTCGCCGGTGGGTTAAATAGCTGCTAAAACTTGGCAAAATTCTTAGCGGTCATTGAAAGATGAGTAAGATACGCATACAGCTGGATGCTGCCTACTTCTACTAGTGCTCCTTGTATGGAATACACAAAGGGACGCATCACAAAATCTCGAAACATGGCTTTACTTGAAGAAAAAATTTATATCTCCAGATCCATAGTCTTTGGTTACTTGTTTACACATTTTTGTGGTAGTTTCGGTAATTCGGTCTTATTTTGTGCATCCCGGCACGCTTATAAATTTTATGGCATGCTTTTTACAACATTGTGAGAATCTTAATAAAATTATGATAATATTTTGGCGTTTTTGATAATTCCTAAAACTATTTTGTGTTTTAATGCATTCAAGTGTAAAACGCAGTTATATTTAAAATTTTTATTGATTACATATCTGATTCACATACTACTGGATAGTTTGAAGTTTAATTAACAAGAAAAATATTTTAACTGTTATATTGCAAAATAAATGTTACAGTTGCATGCGTAAAGCAGCAAATCAGTTAGGCACTAGTCATATTCACTTTCCCCGTAACATGACAATCAGAGTGTGCCCTAATTGCAGGTATTGTTGTGAATTTGTTAAACATATTTTATTTATCTGGCCAAAAGAATCACTTGAGAAACATGCGGCGCTTTTGCAAGATGCCATTAAACGTGGAATCGTTGACGCGGACCCGGAGGCGCGCTCGCTTTCACGACAGTATGTAGTTATATACACTTGTACTGCTTGACAGTGCTTGTTGTCTTTTGTGTCTGGTCCTTGTTGTGCTCCATGTCATCTTGGCATGATACAAATTTCATAAATAAAAACAGATCACTTTTTGTGTACACGTCTGAACATCGACCTTCTTTGCCAGCTGCTGATTAATAGGCACTTATGTGTGTTAAATGTAGAGCGTACTGGCATTTCACCACAGTCTTTCCTAACCACGCCGATGTGCTCATCAGTCAGTTGGACCCATCGAATAAGAAGATGATCTTAGAGGATAATCGTGGTCAAGTGCCGGTGCACGCACAGGCCTCCCAACGCCATACACCGCCGCGTGATACCGCCGCCCCGGGTACGGCTGCATCGCGTTCATCGTCCAGGATAAGGAGAAATGAGGGTACAATGTCAAGAGCTGCATTACGAATAACTTAATATTGAGAATTCATTATAAACAATGGAGTGTTTTGTTTTTTTAGATAGCGAACCTGAGGTAAACGGATCTGTTGTTAAGACCACGATAAGGTCATCCAGCGCTATTGATACCGATGCCGCCCGGCGTGCACGAGCGAAGAGTAATATCCCAAATGCACCCCTTAAACCACCGGCATCGAGTGGTCTGGCCACACCACTGCGCAGCCGGAAGTCTTTTGTTACTTCTTCTAAACGTAAGCTTTGTGTGTGTTAAAGATTTAAGCAGTTTGTCATTTATGATTTGTTTTTACTGGAAATTTCTTGATCAATGTACTTACGAATACGGTGATATTTGTAGTTCGTTTACAGTTCATTTTTCCTTAGTTTTTGTTGAGTATTCGGCAAATATGAACCTTTAGTATAATTAACATAAATTATATTGTTTGTAGCACCCTCGCGTGCTACTTCTCCAGCCATCACCCCGAAAAATGGCTTCCTCTCGAGATCCTCGGCTAACAGCCGTGATAATAGTCCTGAAAAATTGAGCTCTAATAAAAAAGCTGCAACCGGAAGATCTCCTTCCGTATCAGCGGGAAAGCGAAATCAGAATGATAACAAAGGTTACCAGTCTGACAACGATGATACCGGTAGCCAGTATGGCTCCCAGGTGTCACTATCCGGGCAGCGATACGTTTATGTAAGTAGTACTATTTAAATAGATTAGAATAACGTATTTAACATTTTTTCCTGTTTTTTAAAACTGATGGCTGGATTTTTAGACCATTAATTTTTATTGTTCGATAATCTAATCTCCGATTGTATTTCTCGCACTGTGGATTACTTATATAATTAAATCAATGCCAAATCTACTGAGTGCAAACGATGCTACAATTCTTTTCGGAAGTGCGTAACGTAGTGGTTTGTTGTTGCAGAGCGTGGCAGAAATAATGGGCTTCCTCAACAGTCCGAACTGGTCATCGCGTAAAGAAGGCTTATTAGGACTGCAGAAATACCTGCGAAGCGGAACATTATAGTACGTTATAATAGACATTTCAGTGTTTTTTTACAGTCTCTATACGTGCTCAAGCATCCATCATAATCAGCGGATGACAAATTTTTCTCATCCTAAATAGCTGCATTTTTATTACAGTCCGGCCGACGTGGATAACGTACGATTACTACTGACCCGTATGATGTCGGATCCGACAACAAAAGTCTTCAGTTTGTTTCTCGACACTCTCTATGACTTTATCAATGTGCACAAATTGGATTTGGGCAGCTGGCTCTACACCTTATTGACACGTCTGTTCGGCAAAATGAGTGTTGATCTGTTGCCGTCGGTGCAGTGTAAAGTTGAGCGCTGCTTAGAGCTAATACGCGGATCGTTTGCCGCGGAAAATCAGTTTCAGCAGCTGCTGAAATTCATCAACGATTCCCTGCAGACGCCCAATACCAAAGTGAAAATGGCCTTCCTAACGTACTTAACGAATTTAATCCGTTGTAATATGGTGGCCAGTGATTTTAAAAACACCAGCGCGGTCCGCATCGGCGTGACCAAACTCGTCAACTGGTCACTCGACGCCAAGACGCCGGAGCTGCGTCGAGCCGCGCAAAATGTCCTCATTGCGCTGCACGAGCTGAATGCCGGGGAGTTTACGAGTATGCTGGCGCTAATGGATGAATTTCTACGTGATACTGCACTGAAAGTGATAAGTGGGCCGCCCAAGAAGGAACTGTCCGATAAGCCGGCAATCGGAAACGGAAGAAGCCGGCAAAATTCCGTGTCGCGCAATGATTTGACGTCAGCGGAAAAAGCAACGGTTATTACCTCGCCGCAGTCGTCAAATGATGAAAATATCAATCCGGAAGACTATTACGCTTGCCTGCGACAAACAACGCAAGCCATTGAAAAGTTCAGTCTGTGCTCCAATCTTGACTACAGTTCGGGTGATGAAGGGCGAAAACATCCAGGAAGTGAGGACAGTGGATTCAGCCGGAACAGTTTAAACGTGCCGGTTGCGGTGGACGATTCCGAAAACAGCAGCCAACCCGACGATTCAATCCCTGAAGGTTCAGTCTTACATGTCGTTCCGATGCTTACCGATCAAAACACAAAGTGCGTTTCCAAAACATTAAGCCCTTTGTTAACGGCACTTTTTACAGATGAAATGTTAATGACACCACGAGTGTATTAGAATTATTTTAACTTTCAAAATCATGCTGTTTAATGTTTATCAGTACATGTACATCTACTCCCTTTCAAAGTCGCTTTTTTTACTCCAGGGTAGCTTTAGAAGGATTAGACAGATTGGACACGGTCGTCGACAAAGCTCATCAATGGTCGGATTCCGAAAAAGACGCCATTGCAAAAGGTCTAGAAGCAGCGCTAAACCATTCCGACTCGTCGGTAGCCTTAAGCGCGCTCCATATATACCAAAGGGTGGTTAGCATGGACAAGTACATGTTCAAAGGCTTGCTTCCTGTGATTCTCGATTTGCAAGGAGATTCGAATAGACAGGTAAATGAAAATAAAACATGTCGTTTTGTCAGCTATATGATACTCGAAGAAGTATTGCACAGTGCTTATTTTTATTTTAGGTTTCGGACGCAGTCGATAAGTTTTTGCTCAGAGTAAAAGACATTTGCCCATTGTCAGTGGTCTGCGAAATTCTTGGCGGTCATCTGATGGAAGCCGAATCTTGTACAGGAATTAAAGCGGCATCCTTATTACTGCGGATAATTCAAACCAGCGAGAACGATGTACTTTTAAATGCTATTCCTGATTTGATGCCTGTCATTGTTCAGGTAACAGAAATGAAATATCCCATACAGTATAATGTTTCGATAGCCTTATATTTCAGCCTTTCGTCTTTAGGGATTCAATCTTTCCATGGAGCCAAATATCAGAAAGGAATGCATGTTATGCATAATTGAAATACAACTCAAATTTGGTGCCGATGCAGTGTTTCCTTATATTAAAGATTTAAGCGTGAACAAGGTAAATTGAAATGTACTGTACATAAAAAGATTCATGCTCTCAAATTTCTATAAACGTACGTCGATGAATGTTTCGGTGTCCGTGAGCGCCTCAACTTAAAATTACACATTTTAACCGCCAATTAGTTGCTATTATTGTTGCCGGAGTCTACGATTGTTAGTATTGCACAAATGTCGACGTGTCTTAGTAATCCTAATCCCTTCTTGCTTATCTATTATCTGTGAGACTGTGATGCAACCAGTTATTTTTTGCAGATAAAATTGTTGAATCTGTACCTTCAACGGAAGTAATCCGGAGCTCACAGTTAGCGGGATTACGGACATTAGGATCAAGAGATATCTGTATCTGTAGATAAAAGTTTTAACCAACGAAGCTGCTCAAATTTGGTAACACTTTTAAGACATCCGTGCGCTGATCGTGAATGACATTGATGCTAAGTCTAAAATTGTGCCATTTGACCTTTTTGGAGAGTTTATCTGATAAACATGTGTGCCATGTGTAAAAACTGTTTCTAAATTTTGTTAAACGGCAGTTTAAATGTGTGAAAAAGAAATGCATACAGACTGCCATAAAAGTGCACACTGCACAGACTCGAGGCTTTTCCCGTTCGTTCTGCAACCAGCAAAAACATGTACGAGTATCATTACGGTATAATTATAATATCTATATAGGCTACTCCAGTAAAATACACAAGTATACAGTCCTGCAGCAGCTGATACGTATAATATGTAAGTACGGTTTGGTATACCCTGCTGTTTTGATCAACCTGTATTATAATAAATAGAAGTACAGCTTGTAAGCAGGATACAGGCAATACTATGTTTTTCCTTCAAGTGTCCATAGTCCATAGACTCCATACCTTCCGATATGCTGGAAAATCAAATCCTTGTCTTCTTTGTATTATTATTGTTGCAAAAATTTTTATTTTATTTTGTGGTACATGCTACATATAAATATCTATATGTTACAGACACAAACATAGATATATTTATATATACAGTGCACATACAAGCGCCGCCGTGCGCTGCGATCTGTGCGTCGCTTTTTGCGATCAGTGCTTTTTTGTCGGTTCTTTATGCTGCTTTTTTTCTGTGCTTCGAAATCAAAGCCGAGTAAAAATGGGTATTTGCGCTTTTGCTCATCGTCTTAGAATTAATGTACAGTAGTACATGAAACTGAGAATTCTGCGAAACAAAAAAGTCCAGTTGTATATAGTGTTGACTCGCTAATTAACTGATATTGGTATTACGACTTATCAATTTTTGATGAACTTACCAGTTAGCGTAAATTAGCAAGGACAACTGTGCTATTGTAGTTCGTTCGCTCCCTCTGCATTCAGCTTCATTATACTACCGAAAAAAACGCAATATCTAAACTGGCGACCCTGCTGACCTGTGCAAAATCAAGATTTTCTGGAGTTCAGCCTGGACATCAACGCGCAACTTGCCACTACATAAATTGTGGAAAGATTATTCAACTGTAGCCTGCGCCCACTCGCCCAGTTTGTTTTTCCCAAGTATATGGCATACTCGTACCGTTTAAATTTCTGTACAGTTGTATGACGTGCCGCATACGGTGTCTATTGACTACCATTCTATAGAATGATATGCGAAGTTGTGAACAGCTGTGAGCCTGTGCAGTTCGCTTTAAAACAGTACAAAATACGGTACTTACGTGAGTACGTATGAAAAATCAACAGTCCAACTCTGTGGACCAAGTTGGCAATCGCAGAATCTGATCGCTACCGTATCAATTTTTTCTCCGGTTTTCTCGGCCCGAACTGTGAGAGCAGTTCGTAGTTGAGTCTTTCCGGAATTTGTCGCGCATCACACCTTGCAGGGGCTATTCTGGACACTTTATATTCAGCCATGGCGACACCGGGAACGGAATATCCTTTGCACATCGTGGATGCTTTCACCAAAGTCCCTTTCGAAGGAAACCCGGCGGCTGTATGTCTCCTGCAAAATGATACGGTGAGCAGAAACTGGTGTTGGCACTACACATCTTTCGTTCAGATCTAATATTGGATTGTCATTCGCCTTTTGCACAGACTGTGAAAGTAAACCTCATGAATGCACGAATATGTTCTTTAGGATATAAAGGATGAGACAAAAAGCAAGATTGCTTCTGAAATGAATTTATCCGAAACCGCCTTCGTTTCATGTGCAACCCCAGACACAAATTTTTCTCGAGGTAGGAATGAAATTGCTATCTGTTGCACCACACTATGAGTAACTCATCGAGTGAAACCGCAAATTTTCATTCTAAATCACAATCATTATAATTTTTATGCGTATCGGTTATGAATTAATGATTAGTATGTACGGTGTTGCCGGTAATTATAATTATTATAAGGTATTCGAATAGCTTATTGTATATTTTTAATTGTCACGTCTGATACATATGTGCATGCAGGACAAGTGTGCCCAGCGGAACCTCAAAGGTGGTTATTATTGTTTTAGCTGATAAATTTATTTTACGATGGTTCACGCCAACCGTGGAAGTGGATCTTTGCGGACATGCAACCCTGGCTACTGCATGGGTCATTTTTCACACTACAAGTAAGGCGTAAGCGAACTGCAGCTTACTCTTTTTGATATGAAATTTCTCCGTGTGTTAGTGTGTACAAGTATTCTGGCACTTTAAATCAAATGTACTCATACTTCGTGCATTCAATTGTATCGGTGGGGTTATGTGTTATAGTTGTGGAGAAATCAATCTAGTTTCGGTCAAATTTATCGCATGTGGAAAACTTTTTTTGTGTAACTGAAGTTGTATGTTCACAACTATTTTAACCTTGTAAAACATATTTTTTGTCTGAAGAATACAAGGAAAAAGAGTACTAAAATGCTATCAATCACGGTGCACTCGGGCGGAAGTCCAGATGAAGTGTAGAGAATGGTACCAGTGGCAGTTTACCACCGACAGGTCTGCCTGCCGGCGGGAAAAGCTTTAGATGGGGCTACAAAATGTACCCCATTGTTGTTGTCAATATGAAAAAATTTCTATTTACGCACGCATATTGCTCGCCTTTGAGAGACGCTGTTTGCTTCGTGGTTGGCACCGCGCTGCAGTGCTGTTGATTAAATCGATAAAACAGTTTTCTGCCTCCGATGACGTTGATTCGGGCGATTTCCTGTTGACAGTAATTGGAATGCTTCGTTGGCGAGCGAGGGTGGTTTGTGATGGAAGCCGGCACAGGTTTTTGTACGACTACCTTAGCTTGCACCATTCTATTTCTCAGACGTCTGCGCTGAATTTAACCTTCGGACAACACTTTTAACGAAGACAAAACGCAGTGGTTCCGGTTGAAAGAGCAAAGTGGGAGTGGGAATAATAGTATTCCCTTTGCATGTAAAGTTGAAATTTAGGCTTTCCCGTCGTCGGGATCGGGAAGCTCGACGAGCGTGACTATGAGATAAAGCATGCAAGGTTATGGAGATTCAGATAAACGTAGCAACAAAAGTCCAGATAAAGGTCGCTCGCTTATCGAGTATGTTTGTCGTGATATACAATACTTGTACCTGCTGAACGATAATCGTCGCTATGAGCTGCAAAATGAGTTGTAAAGGAGTCGAAATGAGTTACAAATTGCTTTTTAAGTTCCGAACTTCAGAATGCTTTAGTATATATATTTAATGAAACGTTTTCTAATGCACTTTTCTACTAAGTGCAACAAGATAGCGGATTTCAGCGATAAGAGAGTAGTATTGTTAAAGGCTTTTTCGTTAAAACTGGCTACCGAGCTAGGCGGCGAGTGCTGTGTACTAGTAGTGTTTTACATTTGCATTAATAAAGTGTGGTGATTTTAAGTTTTCGTGATATACCCGGGTAGTGATTTTAGCGGACAAATTATATTTACTGTACTCGTAATATAAAAGCACTGCTACTCCCAGCACGCAGTTAATTTCCTCTTCAGATAATCAGCATCGCGAACTGAAGTTTGAAACACGAAGCGGAACACTTTCTGCAATGCGCAAAGGCGATTCCGTATCATTGGATTTTCCACGCTTCCCTCCACGCCCACTTAATGCGGACGAGCGGAGGCTACTTCAACCTGTCATCGATATCTGCTGTGGCTCGGTGGGAGACGATTCCGTCCTGGAAGTGTCCTTATCACCGGATACTTATAAATTGTTAATTCGCTTGAAAGACGATGTTAATGTTAGCCAGCTAAAAGAATGTATCGTATTTCCCGACCATTTACTGGCTCAGGATACCGGGGGATTGATAAAGGGCGTCATTTTGACATTAAAGGGATCAGCAGAAAATGGGGCTGTGGACCGGGAAGGAACACCTTATGATTTTGTTTCACGTTATTTCGCCCCCTGGCAAGGTGAACCGTTTGAACGACAAAAAGAGTTTTATTCTCGAAAATTATCTATTATGTAATGCTGTGCTCAAGACATTTCTGCTGTTCTATAACAGAATTAATAATTTGATAAACGTACAGAGCATCCTTCGCGATGGTATAATTGCCTTTGTGCCTAATTACAGGTATCGCGGAGGATCCAGTAACAGGGTCATCGCATACTGTATTGGCTCCGTATTGGTCGGAAGTTTTGCATAAGAATATGTTGTATGGTAAGGAAAAGATAGCCCAACCGTCCAGATTAGAAATACATATTTTGCATAATGTTTGTTTTGACCATGCACTCTTTCCAGCACGACAATGCAGTAAACGAGGTGGCGACCTACTCTTGACCCTGCATCCCAACAACCGGATTGAAATTGCCGGACATGCCAGAATTGTGATGAGCGGCAAACTAATGTTATGATTAGCAGGAGATGGTTCGGAATCTAAAGCCGGGAAGGAGTATGATGGGAAACATTAGAAATAGTATTAATCGTAAATTAAATAGGCGATTGAAGTATATCTGTATATCTGTACGAATACAACAGAAGTGTGACCGGTGATACAAGCATACGTCTTCTGTGTGGTATCGTATTCTGATTCACTTGTTTTGAGATGTTGTTCCTTTTTGGTTTGTTTAAAAACGGTACTTTGCGCTTTTGGGAATGGTGCGTTTAACTGTTTGCGTTGTCCCTTTATGTCTTATGACTGGTGAAAAAAGGTGGGAATTGAATGAAACCTCCCCCGTATACTTATGAACTGAATTTCATCACAGTCGCGAAATTATGATTACATATTAATGCAGTACTAACCATAAGTATTTACTAATCACTACTGCATTGTAAGTTTCCTGTTTTCAATCGTTACGAAATTTTTATTCGAAGTGGAAAAGCCCATTTTGAAAATTATGACCCCGATCACGGCAATTTCAGCGTGAACGCCCCAGAATCTAAAATCCGAAAATTAATGCTGATTTTACAGTTAGTAGCTCTCCCCGCTTTAGAAACTAAGAAACCCACCCCGAAATAAAGACCCCACCGAAGGGTCGTTATTGCAGTACTCTCCCTTTGAAAAAAATATTTTTCCCGAAACATAGACCCCAGAAAACTTACGAAAAATACTAACGGTGGGTCACACTGATTGATAAAATACGTTGTACGTACACGTATATGACTACAGTCTACAATTACAAGGAACAGCAGACAGAATGCACAACCGGAAGTGTGATACAATCCAGGGCCATGCCACCTGCTTGAAGTACGGTAGCCTGATTTAGCTCGATACGGTTCAGAACTTCAGATTTGGCTCTATTTGTGCAACGTTGTTGTTTGGTTTTTAAAAACTGCAGGTAATTTATTTTTGGAACATTTTGATTTTTGATTCTATTTTGGTGTGGCACTGTAGTTACAGTGCTGCTTAAAAATAGACACGTCACACGTCGTTATATTTTGGCCGTATGATCGTTATACTTTTGTTGTTACGTTAATTCTCTCCTGTTATGTGCTGTTGTTGACTACTCACTGAAACTTCGAGGCATAGTCACGATAGTGCCTGGCACTGCCTGCTAATGAGATTTGCCAGTTTCAGTTGACTTTAAGCACTGTTGTTTAAGTCAACGGATCTACTAACGATACCTTTACATGGATACTGGAATGATGGAGATTTAGCACATTTTAGAAAGCGGAAGCGTCAAACATGGCCACCAGACGAAATCTTCCCCAGTCCGAATACGCGAAACAGCGCAAAAATCTGCTTCGCGTTTGTGGGTAGGTCTGCTATGCTGCACGAGCGTATTGTGCGATACATCTGGTCGTCTGTTCAACTTTTAAAAACATTTTTTACTCCGTTTTCAGAATGGCTTTGAAAAGTGTAGTGGATAAATACTGTTTCGAAGGTGTGCTTAGCGATGCGGATACGGATGTGCGAAATTTACTGGTTATTCTGGAGAATATCTTAATGCATCGGTGCAAATCTCAAGGTGAAACTTCTGGACGATTTGAATACAGTTCTGTTATTTGAATTTTGAATAATGAGTAATCTAGTTGGACTACAGCTGTGTACGATTGGTATAGGAGTGAAGTGGTTTTCGGAAGAGACCCCTTCATTTTGGCCCTGCGTAGTTGCGTTGTGCTCCAAGATGAAGCGCAGTTGTGTGCCGTGCATTGCCGAAATGGGCAGCAGTTTTTCGGGATTAGCACTGGTAATTCAGCCTTCGTCCATTACACTTTATAATGCTTCCACGATAACGGACCGCTTAGTAAAAAAAGATTTGTCCAATTTTTCGCAACTATTATTATTGTGACACGGTGGATGGAAAACGGATATGTTTTCAGGGGCGTATTTTTCTCCAAATGGCACTGATGGAGCGTCGGCTGTCGGAATATCTCGGTGAAATGGTGGCCTCGGAATCCCGAGATGCCATGCTCCGGACATACGAAGCCGATGCGTTCATGCTGAAGGACGAAGGCGCTGCACTACCGCACATGTGTTTGGGACTGAATGCTATCGACTTCAGGTATTTCTATTTACTTTTATTCTCGTATAATTATGTGCTCCTAATGTCGCAAAAGCATGTTTTGTAAATCAGAGCATGAAGCTCGAGTTCGTTTGCAGTTTTGATTAGGTGAAATTACCCGATTTTGTTAAACAGGATTTAAGATTTAATGCATAAAGTTCCTTGGAACCTATAATTTTAAACTGTTGCTTTCCATACTTTTGCCCGTGAAGGTGTTAGAAAACAGCGCATTTCCCACGTGTGTAAATTGCTTTCTTTTTTGAACAGTTTTTGTCCAAAAGGGGAAGCCCTGACATATCCATATGTGCCATGCATTGATTTTGCACCGTACTTGGATTTTACGCCATGGTAATTCATAGAAAAATCTTTTGTAATTGACGTTGCCGATATTTTGAATGAATCAGTGTCTTGTAGTTCTCAAGCTGTTCTGGATGACGAACATGAACAGGCTGTTTTGAATGGTGAAATCGAAAGAACGGAAATCTGCACCGATCAACAAGGCCCGGCAAATGAGGCCGATTGGAAAACAAAATATCAGAAATTATACCTTAAATTCAAAGATCTCTCCCATCAGAAGGTAACAGGAGCTAATGTTCACAGAGCTAATGTTATTTTCTTGGATAAAATACAATTTCAAGCACTGGCTTGGATATTAAATCCTGACACACTGTTATGTATTCTGCAGAATTATGCCGAAGAAATGCTAAATCTCAAGCAAGAACGCATCGAAAAATTGGAGAGCGAACTAGCGAATTATCGCGTTGATCTGGATACGGAGCGGATATCCCATCAGCGCGATGTCGGCAGCCTCCAGGAAGTAGTCATGGAGTTGCAGACCCAAATGTGAGTGGGAACGTTAAAATAGTCTTTTTCGGATTCTTCTTTGTCTCTGTGTCTTTCCTGTGTAATTGTCTTACGTCGGTCTGTCGTTTCGTCGTGCCATAGTCGATCAGGACGAGAAAGAAGTGTCAGTGATCGACGCCGTTTGGAACTGTATCTCACAGGTCTCTCAACGAGTGGGAAATTCCATGAAGCTATTGCACTGGAAGACATGACGCATCAGCGAAGATTGTCGCTCACCAGCAGCTTTGATAACGGTCGTCATGGGTCGCCTTATGGTAGCCTCTGTGATGGTGTGGACAGCGTCCGAGAAGGAGTGGATGCACTGGAACGGCTTGTCTGTACGCCGTCGCATCCGGGAAAACGCCTCGACCGTGATTCTGACAGCTTGCGACCTCTTTTTGGCTCTTCGTCCGATGTTTCGTTGCTAGATAATTGAGTTGGTCGCACTATATTTTCCAGTATTTTACTTTTTATTGAAATTTTTCGGTGTTTTAAAAGATTCGCCTTTTTGAGTTTTGATTCGGCTTCCGCTTTTAATGTGATCTTGAAATGTTTTGGCTTGCCTGCATGCCAAACAGCTCACACCTTTTTTGTGGCTTTCTGTTTAATAGCTCAACGTGGATACCATCACGTCTTTGCTTTGTTCCACATTTCTTTCTGATCGGTTGATGGCAGATGAACAGAATAATTTTGATAAGCGAATTATACGTTTTTCTGGATCTTGCTCGCGTAACTTTGATTTTTATCCCATCGAGGTAACTGTAATCATTTTAATTTACTTTTATCTGGGTGCTTCTCGGCGTAGTCAAAAGAAAACTGTTTGTATTTGCATGTAAAACAGATTAAACCATAAAATATTATGATAATTACACATGCAGTAATTGTGCGGGTTGCGGCAGTATTTTTCAAACATCAACTCAATCAAATCTTGGACTTCGTATTTCACCACTTCAGCAAATTGAGTGTCCCATGAGTGATAATTGCCCCATAACCCTTGCTCTAATCTTATTCGGATAATTTATCAGTTATGTTATGGGTTGTCATCGTGGTGTAGCGGTTATCACGCCTGTCTCACACACAGGAGGTCCCCGGTTCGATCCCGGGCGATGACATTTTTCTTTTTTTTATTCAAGATCACGACTAATGCATGCGATAATTTCGTTTTCGCTAGATTGCGAGTCTAGGCATATGTTTTTTAAAAGCAGGACGTGTTTTACACTACAACATTGCCGAAAATTGCCACCAGAATTTTATTTGTATATGGCGAAGACAAGCGAACGTTTCAGAGCCATGCCAAAATAGAGCCCTTTAATCACACACATCTTCTACCTTTAATGATCCCCATTTTCCGTATTCACAGCGCGAGCATTCTTCCGGTTATAGCATATACCGGCATTAAAGCCCAAAAATGCCGCAAAAAACGCATTTCACTTCCTGCTGTTCTAATTAACTATTGTTGCACGCAGTCACCCGCATGGACTATTCCAGCATGACCTTCGTTCTGATTCCCGTGAATAAACGGCGACAACAGCATACTCCATGGGTCGGCATTCATCCTGCGCTGATTCGCATTCGTAGCCCTATTTACATCTTCAACCTGCATCCCAACAAAATTCGGTTCCTCGACTGCGATGTTATGATCCGTCCGCTCGCTGTGCCTGGAATGTTCGTCGTCCACGGCTAAGGAGCTCCATAATCGGATTTCGCTGTCAATGCCGCTGGTGGCAATTAAACTGGCAAAAGGGTGAGGCTGCAGGCAATTGACAATATTCGTATCACCCTTGAGAATTTTCAACAAATTTGTTGAATCACGATCCCATATGTAGAAAGACCCATCGTCGGAACCGGCCATAATAAACTGGGAGCTCTGGCCAAGAAAATTAGCTTCCTTAATGTCCGTTGTCGTATTACAATGGCCCACAAAACGCCTTTCATAATCCACAGCCGCAGTTCTCCATGCGGTTTCCTGTTTACCCAGTCCTGCAGAGTTTTTACCACCCGCTTTTGTAGTCCCGTTTTTATGTGGAGTATTCACAGCCGCAGCAATATCACGTTCAAGATTAACAAAAGATTCTGTTGTCAGAAGGTTCCTAAACAACATAAAACAATCAACGGACTGATAAAGGCTTTTGCAAAACTGACCCATATCCAGTTTAAAAACCCGAAACTCCGCGGAAAACAGAATAGAAAAATATTCCTGATCTGTGTAAAATACCTCTCATCGCTTGCATGCTGCATTCGAAAAAATTCCAACCATTTCTGCGCCTCTTTAGAGCGTCCAATACCGTGCAAGCTATTTATCAACCGGAAAACCGCCTTATCATTTTTCGGATCCAGTAAAAACGCCTTGTAAGAATCCAAAAGTGCTTGATAACAATCTGTAAAAAGGGTATAAAAGTTTTCGTATTACGATACACAAAAAACCATTTCAAAGTTAAAGTACCTCCGTCCCATTTCCGCTTTAATAAAGCTACCGCGCGATTGGCGTACAGCACACTGGACGTCGCGCAATACTGCAGTGCTCGATGATACGTTTCCACGGCATGGTTGTAATCCTTCCGATGATAACAATCATTTGCTTCGTTCTTCAGCCGTTCCGCAACAGCATTCATTGTCGTCACATTCCGTCTAGATACTTCCGGTAAGGTATCCGTACTGAAGACTTTGGCGACTTTATCATGAGAGTTCAGGTTAAACAGATAAATCTGTTCACCACCAATGTTGGACAAAATGTCTTGACCATTGGCACTAAATCGCACATCCGTTATAGCAAAACTGCGCCACTGCGTTTTCAGACGTGCCTGCCGATCAGGCAAATGGCCTGGAGTGAAATAACGCACACAGCCTGGCGGGAGCACGCGATGGCTGTCATCGTACGGCTGATTCATTAACCACGAGTGGCGGCGGGGATATTCTTCTTGTATCATGGGATACCTGGAAAGTGCATCAACAATCAGAAATCGTTAAAAAAATTTTATTTCTATCTCTAAAAGTTAGCTTAACCGTGCAATTCGTAAAAGGAACCGTCAAACATGGAAGGAACGTAATTTTTCGCCTTTAAAATGGTTCGGAAAATACCGCAAACAGTGTAACTTAGCAAATACTTTATGGACTGTAGCGTCAGCATTCGTCGATCATAAACTCTCGTATAACAATCCGTAGCCCCAACAGCCAAATATTCCATACGCACAGGATTACTGGCAATGCTCTTGATTTCCGGTGCCTGTGTGTAGGCATTGAGATTAATCAGAACATCACGGCATGAATGCTGATCACAGCGTCGCGGCTCGCGCAGATCATACTGCAGAACCAGACCATCCTCCCCCGCACTCCAGAATACCGAAGGACTGTCCAGCGATGTAGCCAACCTCTTGACCCGACTGACATGGCAAGAAAACACATGCAGGACTTCTTCAAAGTTCATGTCGTGCACACGGACAGTCATATCCGCAGCACATGAGAGAACCATTCTGTCCGATCCATCCGGAAGAAATTTCACCCTGCAAATGATAAGCAGCAGGAATGTCAGAGCCACCTATAAGGCTATAACGATAATTTTGCGCTGCAGAAATTGTCAAACAAAAATACAGAGTAGTCAGTAGCGTTTTAACCCGTAACAGTCAATTTTAATTACTGTACAGTACTTACAGTACATATGATGCGTCGTTGTGTAATTAAAGAAATGTGCTGAACAATTTACAGTACAGCCGCCATCATTCATGCTCCTAGTCAGTGGTGCTTAAATTTAGCCTTAAAATAACCTCAACGTTTTAAACTGTTATCATACGCATACCCAGAACAATTTACAGTACAATTAATATTAGAGTCGCCATCATTCATGCCCGTAGTCAGTAGTGCTTAAAATAACATCAGCGCTCTAAACTGTTATCACTCGCATACCCAAAAATATTCCCCAGATGCCCACTGTTGATAACATGCGCGGACCGTCTGGGGTGAGGTAGAAACGGTTTCCATATGCGAATTTTACAGTCATCGCTGCCGCTGGCCAGCAGGCTGCCGTCCTGACTCCATTCGAGACAGTTAACGCAACCTTCGTGTCCTCGCAGCTCGCCCGAGAGTCCCAGTCGTGCAACCAAATCATCCGTGAACTGTTGACGAATTCGCACTTGTTCATGGCTTAATAAGCCCAGCTGTCGTTCGAAAGAAACAGCAACACTGTTTCGAATCCCGAAGGGTCCATAGGGACTTCGGTGCTGTGACCAGATATCATGTGGGAAATCCATTATTGTGCAGGAGACTAGTATAGTTTTTCTATGGCTTCAAAGTCTAGAGAGATATGTCGATAGGTAGGTCTATAGACGATCTGTTCAGATACATCATGAGGAGGTACATCAGTGATCAAAAACTCACTCATAATCAGCTGTCTGCAATGCGTCGTGATTACTGTATCTGAAACGTCAAGCTTTCGCAAGGAACCAAAACCATACCGAAAAAGGAACAATTCAGTCTTTAAACAACTACAAAATCCACAGGAAGTAGAAAACCGAGGCTCTTAGGACTGGGAAGACTCATCCATAATCGCTAAAACTCATCCATAATCGTTTTTGTAAATCAAAAATGAAAAATCTCTAATATTATTAAAAATAAACATCACTATTTTGCTACAGCAGTTGCTTTAACAGCTGTTTACCCTCGGACTTAAAACACCTGTGACGTAAGTCACGGTATTAGTGCTACCACAGGCGTACTGTATATAGTATAAACTATAAAATCTGTACATACTACATACATAGTACATACATCCTATGCAAATTGTTGCTATAACTGTTTTAAATTGTTAATCTTCACGCTTCACGCGCAGTAAATTTGTTACTCCATTCCAAAATAATTTTATGTATGCTATGCAGTCTTGTTTCCAAAAAAGCAAAAAGTGGAGATGCGGGGTATCGATCCCCGTACCTCTCGCATGCTAAGCGAGCGCTCTACCATTTGAGCTACATCCCCAGTGTTAAATTATTTACAGAAATTAAGCGAGGAGCTTGCGGTTAAAGAAAGAAAAATGATTTCCCGAAAACTGTTACCAATTTAATTTTCCTTCAAAATCTTATTGCTACTAACGTAGTATTAATAAAATATCAGAATTTATGGCTGGTGGAAGCTGTAATGGGATCACCTCATCACCCTTAGCTGCACTCTAAATACTTCCACTAGACCACTACATGTGTGCTTCGTAATTTATTGTGCAATGAGTGCAACAGTCCATCGGTCAGCATAGTAGGCACTACAGACTGTAGACATACCGCTCCACAGTTTTGCAATTTATCCTACTCGAGTAGGATTCCGTATTTTCTTGAAATCCTTGATCTATGACGCTAAACATTGTTTGCGTAGCTGATGTTAATGTCATCTCATACTGCGTACAGTGCAGTGAGCGAATCGTAAACTTAAAGCTAATCCGGACAGTCGTGCGGTGACAACACTACAGAGAAATATTTCGTGCGATTTTTTGGATTGGAGAGCAGTACACATGGTGTGCGCCATGACTGTCCAGTTAGTTTTCGTGAGCACAGTTGCATACTTTTACGCACAATTTAGCAGATGCAAACATCCATGCACTCCAACCGTCAGATTCAAACTATCATCGTGACAAATTGTGTATTTGCAGTGATTCGGCAGTGCCCATAGGCGGCGTTCGTTCGGATTTCCGCACAACAAAACTTGTTCCTATTAATGCCGGTTATCCATGAGCAACAAGTGTTGTGATCTGCTAATACCATGTTGCCGAAACTCTTCGCATTAAGTTTTATGCCCGCTTGAGCAATATTTTTTATTTCCGTGTGATGTTTTATAATCATCTGTCTTGCGGAATTCTAACCAAGTAAGCCGAATAAATTAAAAAAATACACGTATTTACGAAGCGATTCAGAAATCTGGATGCACGTTGTAATATCTGTATTTGTTATGGTGAATTTAACGGTAACACATACATTTTTATGTCAACACTCAGACTTTAAGTTATTTAGTTACACTGACTAACGAAAATGGTGTTCTTGTCATTAGAATTTGAATATTTCGATTTACAGCAGTTCTTGTACTCGTAGTGCGATTGTACATGTCGTGCGACCTGTAAGCAACCGTTTACTGTACATATTACTGGGAGATTTTTTTATTTCAGTTTATTATGGTCGTGTACATGAATATTGTGCATTTTTTTCAGATTTTGGGTTATTTCCGATCAATATGGGCAAATCTCACTGCGGCCACGACGCCTGTACAATTCGAATAACAAGTATCGCTGTAATTGGTATCTGTTGCTGTTGTGCGCAGTTATGGAGCTCCGTAAATTCCCTTGCAACAGAAAACGATATTTACGACGATGTGGCGAGATCTTTTGACGGCCAGCTAATACGTGTGACACCCGATTTCCAAAATGTAATCGACAGAGTTTTCGAGAGGCTACATTATAGCAGAAACACGAGCGACCGTGACCACCGAGGATGTAACACTTCTCAAGTATGCAGTGTTGCTACAACCTATTACAACAATTTTTCAGTCACTTTAAAAGTGCATAAGCTTGCTTTGTATGAGCTAAGGACAATTTTTGGCGTATAAGCACAATTCGTATTAAATTTTCTGTACAAATGTTTTTAACTTTGATGAGAAGATACTGTACAGTATACTCGTACTGTAGCGTAGTGTGTGACACTGTGAGTGGTAAATAATTAAATAATTATAGTAGACGAACAGTCAACTGACTTTTGTATGTAGTTATTTTCTAGATTGTAATTTTATGTTTAAAGTTAACAATAAAACTTAATAATGCGATTAAATAAAAATAACTAAGTCAATCGGCTCAGTTTAGACATAAACCTTACTCCATAATTATTTATAACCATCACTGTATAAATAACCTGAACCAATATTATTATAAAATATATGTTCATTTAGTGTCTCAAAGCTGATGATGTATTTCGGTACGTTGGATACCTGCCTGGAACGGAAGTGTTAACGCCAAAGACATTTCTGACTGTGTCTCTTCCTGTCATTGTTTACACGCTGGACATTCGGTTATTTTGCGATCGCAACATCAGTGCTTCCCTCCCGTGCAGTTCCTTTAACCAAACCACTGTCAAAGATAGAATGGACTGTTGGATCAGCATGCTGTTGAAAAACAGCACAAGTCTTGCGGAGTCAGAGCTCAACAGGATGTTTTCGAAATTGTCGGAAATTTACAATGCTTCAGCAAATTACAACCGGTCAAACGGGGTGAGTGACGTTTGTGTATTTAATGCACTGAAATTGAAATCACTATTTTTTATGCTATTGTTTGTGAAAGCTATTTCGCGGTGTGCCCTGCCCATTGGCGTATTAATCTCGATCGTTTTTGCAGAACATTTTACATACGTATGAACAGATAGCACAGTATGGCAGAGTATTTGAAAGTATCGGTTCGCATCGGTTAGCATCCGAAAAATAATGATTTCTGCCATAACAAAACTGTAAACGAAAGCAATCTTTCTGCTGGCTATTAATTCGTGTCAAAACGCATATTAATGCAGAAGCGACTATTAATAATTAATCTGCAAAATTGCGCAATATTTTGAGTTGGCCAGAAAATTGTAGGAATTATACTTTGCACAGTGCTAGCTTGCAGCACACATACAGTACGTAGATATGTGCCGTATAAATGTACGAGTATATATACTGTAAGAATTGTGGGTGAATCTGTGCATCAGCAATGACACGATTACGTTCAGTGTTTAATGAGCTTTTTCTGCCAAGCCATTTTTAATTGTCAGGATAATATTATCTTTTTTGTGCGCGCGGAAATTCCATATAAAAAAGCGCAGTTTGTGACCTACCTAACTGTAACACTAAACATAAAAAAAAGCGGCCTAACAACGGAGAACAGTATACTGAGTATGTTTACAAGTTTTTGCAGCGTTTAGTTTTTTAATTTAATTTCAAACTAAGTTAGACGCCACAATATTGCTATCGAGACTCTGTCTTTCTTACAGCTGTACATTGACTTGTTATTATATAGACTATATTATTTTACACCTCACCATCAGATCGAGTAATACTCGTCACACCCGTTCGGCATACCCGGAAATCTGTCTATATAGTTGCTGTATCAGCTCCACGTGGCTAAAAATAAATGTTTGATAATGTGGCCGGTGGCTGTTTTCATTTTTTTAAATCTTAAGTGTTTCGGAGAGACTGGCAACTTGGAACGCATGGAACTACGAATGTGTCACGTGCCGCATTATAACAGTGAACCAGCATCAGATCTAGCGAGAAAAATTTTTAAAAAATAACGTATTCCAACAATAAATTGTGTACTCAGGATTTTATCACCATGGACAATCTATTTAGGTATAAAATATTATTAGCACTCGTACGATCCAAACATTTACAAACTGAAGGCATAGCAAAAATTACGTTTGCATGCTGATACTCGTAATTATTACTATTGTCCGCTTTCTTCCGGTCCGGTAGCCTTTACCGGTGGACGAGGGTCACGTGTTGCGGTTTTTTACCTTTTAGCTGCATGCATGCTCATTTTCAAAATCATATTAATTATTATAACTCTAAGAAGTTAACCTGATTATACTCGTATTTAGGTTATACACGTACCCTCTATGTTCAGAAACGATCTTCGAATCCGCAATGGCAGAGGGCTCACGAAAGACAAAGTTCCTCTTTTCTCGGCTGTTTTACTCAGCCGATTATTTCATGGTACGTGAGTTTTTTATATCGTATGTGCAGCATTGCACTATGCTCATCGATCTACTGCAATACTGCAGAAATACATATATTTTACGGCTAGAAATTTTGATATCACGGATCGTGTCTAAGTGTCTTTCTTATTGTTAGGTGCACCGATAATTCCACAAGAAGATGCAACAAATGCTTCCGGCATTAGTTCTCAAGAAGGGGTCACGGTATATTCCGTGGAGGTTGGACGAACTGCAACAACGGGAATTCTAGAGGTGGATGCAGATCCCGAAGCATTCGTACAGTCGATATTCGACCTTGATTCCGGCAGCCGGCTGTCTGTAGAAAGTTGGTTTCACTTTGAGCTGCAACAGATATGTTCAATAAACTAAATTTGTATCTATGCTTGTTTAGAATTAACGGATATCATGCAGCACCTGAAAATTGGAAATCTTACAAAGTGGAAGCTGAAGCATACCAACCAAAACGTTAACCGCGATGCTGATGAAAGCAAAAATATGGAAAAACGCTCCAAGCGGCAAAGTGGCGTTTCAGCTCAAAAATCTGTCAATGGATCTTGTTGGGCGCTGGATGAGTTACTGGACATTTTTGAAATTACACAACCGGCTCTTTCAAGGTCCGAATTTCTACGTCTTTGCCCGGCTCTTGTACAGCAGACATATTCCGGAGTGTGCGAGCGATCATCGGATTCACCTCCTGTGGAAAAACCAGTTTCAGGGATAACGGATGCAGAAAGTACTGTACATGATCAACTTATAATTGCACAGTAGTTTTGTTGTGAATCAATAAGGTCTGTGTGTATATATTACATATAATCTTTGAGATGGTTTATTAGACGTTATACCTCTCAAAAATGTGCACATGACCCAGAAACTTTTAGTAGTTCGTAGCGTTTTGCCTGCGGAAGAAATGCAAAATACAGGGTTTTAAAATTAACTAGAAGAAGAGCGTGCGATCTCCTTGTCGTTTTCTATAGGCCGGCTATTTGCTCAAACAAACTTATGGTACATTTTTGCTTATTGATTTTAATGGGCTTTGATTAATTTACTTGCAGAGTATGGGTATGGAACCGCTTCGGTCGTGATCATCAGTCTGCTCTCCGTTTTGGGAATAATTTTTGTGCCATTGTTAAGAAGGAAGGTTTACTATTATGCTCTGCAAGGATTCATCGCTCTGGGAGTGGGCACTTTATGTGGAGATGCGTTGCTGCACTTATTGCCAGAGGTAAACTGTAGTCCCCTTAAGCTTCCTAAACATTTCCTAAATATGGTATGCATTATCTTCTTAAGATTCTGTACCACATTTCACACTGGTTAGTGACATTGCATTGTCATACTGGTTGGTGTTGCTGATCTATACAGTTTGTTGGTGTACAGACTGACTTGTGACTGTTGTATGGTCATTGGCAACAAGTATATTAATTTTGTAAAGAAAATTGTTAATAGACAGAATGTAGCGATTAAATTAATTTAATCGCTACATCCGCATAATATTATGCGGATGAAGTTTTGTAATGACGGCCGATTCCTGCGTGCATATGTATTCGTATCATTCTGATTTGCAGGCTCTGCACATCCACGAGGAGCATCAGTCCTCCTCCGATTCCGCCAAACCCGATCTCGATATTCCCGACAACAACTTGACAATATGGAGAGGTGTTGCTTGTCTTGGAGCAATCTACGTATTCTTCCTCTGGGAAGTTTCGTTGCACTATTTCATTAGCCACAGGAAACGTCATAAAAAGTCCGATGCGAAAGGTCAAACAGTGGATGATGATGAACACACGCACGCACACCATGATCACTCGCATGTGCCCGACCCGTCCACGTTTGCCAAGGCCAGGAATCAGTCAAACGGAACGTCTGTGGCCCAAATGGAGCTGAAGCCCTCAAAACTCTCTAACGGCGAGCTAAAAACTGCGGAACACCAACACGTGCATGCCGATGACCAGGAGAAATTTTTGGGTATTCCAACCTTTTCGGTGTCCGTAATGGTCAGTGCGACCACAGAAAATGTGTTGTACGTTTTAGGAATTGCTCCATTGGCATGGATGATTTTACTGGGAGATTCCATTCATAATTTTGGTGATGGCCTTACAATTGCTGCCGCATTTTCCGTGGATGTCCGGTCAGGCATTTCTACTTCTATTGCTATTTTTTGCCATGAGATTCCTCATGAGCTAGGTACATAATACAAACTGGTAACGCTTTCACATGCTTGTTTTTTAGTTTTGGTGGTGATTTTACAGGAGATTAGGTTAAACCTGTCGATATCTGTTTAATTACGTAAATTGTATTTACAATTGATGATGATTAATGGTAATTAAGTTACTTTTCGACATTCGGTTTTTACTTTCGTTCGGAATATTGGGATTCCCATTTCCCGTGTTGTTTTTTGTTACCCTCTAAACCGGTCTAATGTTTCTATAGGTGATTTTGCAATTTTGCTCAATACCGGAATGCCATTTAAACGGGCGTTGATACTGAACTTCATTTCGGCCTTGACTTGTTTAATTGGCTTTTATATCGGAATTCCAATTGCATCATACGATTCCGCCAGACAATGGATTTTCACAATTGCTGCCGGCATGTTCCTATACGTCGCATTAGCCGATATGGTACGAGTCGAACAAAGTTTATGAATTTAAATATTACTTCTACAAATATACGGATAATAGCGATAGTCTGTTTGCATTGTGATGTCGACGTAAAATTTAATGACAACAGAGTTTAATCTGCTCTGACGGTATTTGTATTATAGCTTCCGGAGCTCAAGCATGGAGCTAGTAATATCCTGATGCTGGTAATGCAGAACCTTGGATTAATTGTTGGCGTGGGAATTATGATACTTATGGCCTTATACGAAGAAGCCATACAAATATGATAATAACTGGATTGAACTTTGAGTGGCCTTTTCTGTCTTCAAAGCGCAGTTGTTTGAAGGTGTATAGCTTGATTATCAGCTTACAATTGTTAGACGCATCAAGCTGCCTACCAGATTATATGCGCAATTAAGCGCACCATGCAGTAGAGTCAGTACGTACTTGTTGCCGGACGTTTATGGGAGTAAGTAGGCTGGGAAAACAAAGTTTATGTTATGTATGTAACTGATTTTATTTTTCGGTAATTTTGATCTGAAGTCAGTCCGCGAAACCAGATTACAAATAAATTAAATCACGTAGCCTTTCATTACACTTCCGAGAGAAACTGATTTGGAAGTTTTAGTGTGACTGTATAATATAACTTGTAAAGCATTACATAGCTTCATGGTTACATCAATCAACGATGACGACAATCTTGACAAAATTTTAATTCGCATATCTTCATACATGTGCAGACGAATTAAATGTGAGAAAACCGGTTGGGAACGAACACCACCATTATCGAACTTCCACAAGGACAAAATTAACTAAAAAAACAGTGCGAAAGAGCGAGATGCTAATTAATGCGCGCATTAATTGTGATCATAAACAGGGAAATGTAAGACAGGATAGGATTCCAAGTTCAGTGACAACAGCCTCAGCTGGCTACCGCGTAAGGAACTCGATCACTTGCGGGTCTCATGGGTGATAGGGATCTCATGATGCTGGTTCTGCTGAATGGCCGGTGGATTGAAGGGTGCCTCGATGGTCAGCACACCATTCGGGGTCAAACGAGATTTCATCTGCTCGAACTGCATACCCTGGGGAATCTGCACCATACGGCGGAACTCGCGAATGGCATGATGATCCTGCAAACAGAAAATCATTTGGATGATATTAGTGAACGTATTTCAATACGCTAAAAAATAATACTGTACGACAGGAGTGCGGAACAAATTTTGTAAAGAAATCCACTCTCTGCATTAACTACGTAAATAATAATTCAGTCACTGCCGCACCAATAATATACAAACAATACATACTATACTAATAACAACCATGACATGACTAGGAAATGTTATTAAGTGAAACCAAACTCATCCGGTTACGTATAGAAAATCTAGAATTACTTACTTAATGCGCTACGTTTTCAAGACTTCTAGTTTCTAAACCTACCTCGCCCTTATCCTCATGCTTGGCAGTGATGATGACCTTGTTGTCGGCAGTTTTAACTAGAAAAGCAAACCCCCATGAAAACACATTATACAGAATACAATCACAAAAACGGTAACACTGTCTGTGTGTAGAGTTATTACTTGAAACATCCTCCGGCTTGAAGCCACCAACATCGAAGTGGAAGCGAGCCAACTTGCGACCATTCTCCTCGACAAAATGTGGCATAACCGGATAGGAGCGGTCAACAAGAGACCCAAGATTTGTGCCAGATCCGCGAGACAGTTGACGCTCCAATCGGTTGAAATCACGGTTCATGTGGCGGAACTACATAATAGAGTTTTTGTAACGCTAGGAAGTATGGGTTTGCATAGACTGCCCAACTACTCGTAGGAGTTTGCTAATCTTATCGTCAGATGAATGCCACCATGGACTACTCGAGTACGCTTCCCGCTTACAATGACAGTTTCGGTCACTTACCTGGCGATCGAAATCCTGCATGTCGCCAGTAAAGCCAAAAGGGTCGAAAATGTCCATTTCTCGGCCACGTCCGCGTGCGTAGTCGCGGTCATAATCTCCATAATGTGGTCGCATCATTTTTGCGGCTGTTGATAGGCGATATTACCAGAAAAAAATGTCAAAAATCCTGCTCAAAACCTTTTCCAAGTCGCTTGTAAAGCAGTGTAGGAAGAACACACTAAAAACCCCAAAAGCTCCGATCGATGCTGCTTTATATACCGAACCGAACCACGGGCAATTCGTTCGCCAAGATACAGGGATTTCCAGAAGTCTCTAGATCAAGTTGTCGTGCAAAAGCGTGCAATGCAAACCGAGGTGGGCTGTACTTGTTCCCAGTGGAATTTCCCGTGCGCGCAATATCTCCCAAACCGCTGCCCAGGAGGTTGCACCGCCCGGTCGGCGGAAGTGAGTAGAAGGAGAGCATAGTAATACTATGCTCTCGTAGAAGTGTAAATAGCATTAACTAGCGTTAATGCTATTTTAAATGAACGAAATATTACGATAAAGAATTAGATGATTAATTCCTTTAAAAGTTATTAACATCAATTCTTTTTATTTTCATAACTTAAAAATGCTTAATTTTTCTAACAATCAGACTCCGCTTAGTCAGTCATTACGTAGTGGATGCGCCGGATGGCGAAAGCTGTCATCCGGCTTCCCACCCTGGGCATCCGCCGCTATAGTATGTTGAAACATGCAGATGGCGCCCAGAGGCGGTAGACAAATGCAACTTGTCCTCACAGACTTCATTCGCTTCATCTCCACCGCGACAACGAAAGAGAATACTCTGGATTCTGGAAGTGAATTTTTAAAATCAAATTCTTTTATCCTTATCCACTGGATAACTACAGTTTTTAATTTGGAAACTTTTACCTTTTTGGTGGTGTTCACTGTTCACACGATTTATCGGAATGGCTTCTGAGAGTGCGTCGGAAGACATTGATCTGAAGGTTCCTTCTCAAAACGTAGCTAGTCATAGAAACGATGGGGCTGATTTCAACGATTCAGATCAAGATGCCTTTAAAATTCCCTTTGAAAATTCCAGAGTGTCAGAAGGTAAAGTGGAAGCTTTGACAGGTAAGAGATTGCTATAACTTGGGAGTAGCTCAGTAGCATAAATTTACAAAGATTTTCTCATCGCAAATGTGTGGTTGTTGAATGCCAGATGAGCGCGACAGATCCGAGAAAACTGCTGTCGTAACATGTCCCTATGATCCGCCATTATGGGCCACGATTCCTGATCCAGGATATTCGTTGGAAGTTGTGCGAAATGGAACGATTGTCAATCGGGTCGATCTCTCATCAAGCGGTAAAAGTTATTTCATTATTGGACGCTTGCCCGATCACTGTGATATCAGTACGGAGAATCCCAGCTGCTCGCGATTCCACGCCATTCTTCAGTTTGGACAGAAAGATCCCGACGATAAAAAGGGATTTTACCTGTACGATTTGACCAGTACGCACGGAACTTTTCTTAATAAAATCAGACTCCCAGCCGCGACGTATCAGCGGCTGCAGAACGGTTTCGTCATGAAATTCGGACAGAGCACGCGCTTGTACGTTATGCAGGGGCCGGGTGATGGCGAAGAAGAGGAACAGGACCAAGTTACAATGGCAGACATGCGAGTTGCGAAAGCCGCAGCGCTTGAAAAGAAGTCGGATGATACTGCGAAAGAAGTTCCTAAGGAAACCGAAGATTCGGGTATGTTATATTTTCATTTCAGAAAAAGGAAATCAGATATACAGGAATTCATCAGCCCATCATTTTGAACCTTTTTCGCCGTTAAATAAATTGAATAACAAATACAGCAACTTTCAAAGCGAAAATAGCGAAGAAATTTACAAACCTAAATCTAATTTTTGGAATATCACTAAATTCTTTATTCTACCGTAGACTGCTAAAAAACCGCACAGAATCTATTCTTATTGAAAACAGTGGATTTTAATTCGCTCGTCTTGATTTTAACTTTTTTTGCGATCTTTGTTTTGTTTCTGGTTGTTGCTTCGTAACGTCGCTTTCACAGTCGTTGTTCTTTTCCTAGGTATCGACTGGGGCTTCGGAACAGATGCATCGGATGAAGTGGAGGAAAAAGAGGTCGGTTTTCTGGAAGCAGCTGTGTCCGGTGACGACGCATACTTCAGAGATGATCCGAAGAAAGCTTTAAATGCCTTTTTTGTGCGGGAAGGCATGGATATGGAGTATGATGTGGAAGAAATCGGTCAGGGCTATAAAAAGCAGTTCCTCTGTCGAATTCCTTTGCCGGTGGAGACAACTAACGGTAGACAGCTCGTTGCGGAAGCCACTGTACATGGGAAAAAGAAGGAAGCATTAGCCGCTGCCATCCTGGAAGCTTGTCGCATTCTTCATGCCAAAGGTGTATTGAAAGGTAATACTCGGGCGCAGTGTTCTTTTTTCTAAGTGAAACGCACATTGAAATGTATAGTTTTTTCCGGGATTTCCTAGTTTTTGGGGAATTTCTTCCTCGGACAGGAGTACTGTGCTTGTACGTATATGATTGTACGAGTAGTTAACCCTGATGAAACGACACATCCAATAGAACGCTTTTTAACGTTTGGAAAGTTTTGACACTGGAGCTTGTGTGCATTTTGTGTTTGTGTGCATTTTGAAACACCGTGGATTCTTAAACACCAGGCATACTTAAGTATGGTTTCTCTCACAGCATTATTGTTGCATTAAGGAGATTTAGTGCGTCTCATAAGGAAAGACATTTAACGCACTGCAAGATACGGGCGAGTATTTTTTCTGCATGCCCCTTGTTAAGATCTAAACTAACATTAAATTAATGTACTGTAGACTGTAGTGGTATGTATTTGCTTGCAAAACTCCGCTTGCTTGCTTGCTTTGCTGGCGTCTTTTAGGTATTGTCTAATGCCGTCAAAAATTTTTCGTATGTTTTTATTTGTTAAAGCTTGGTTCATTCAGTTATTGCCAAGCGGTGCTTGCTTGTTATTTTACCAAACTGGCTCTTGCAGTAAATCTTACTTCGTATATAATAATATGTAATGCGTAATGAACATTGGAGTTATAGATGCAACAATCGTACTTAATAGCGTTCTCTGCGCAGTATTATTGAAGCGCTTGTAGCAGAACAGAATAACCACATTTCAGTAAACTGCTTCACTTATTTTTGCCCAGAAAGTGGTTTGTTAGGTGATGCACAGTATTCGTACAAAGTAGAATGTGATTCCGTCAGCTTCACATGCACTCCTAGATTAGTTCAGCATCTTTGGTGCAGAGGCGGAAGCCGTGAATTGTAGGACCGCTTATTACAGCGTCGTGCAATCCACACCCCTTGAATTGGAAAGATGCAGTAGTGTCTTCCTTTTGCTTATTGTGACATGTCATCAACTTTTTTTCTCTATATCGTGATCGTAACTGCTTTTGTCAGTTGCTGTCTTTGGTTTGTCACTTAAGATGATTTATGAGAAAAATCGATTAGGAAGTCGTTTATGTGGTTATTCATCAAGTTTTTTTGTACTGTCGTGATGGCATATGCTGGGCTTTTTTTGTTCAATAATGTCTGGATATGAAGTTTGCAACAAATCACATAATTGGGACAGATTCATAGGAGAGCAGGCTTTGAATCCTGCATGACTGATGACTGTAATTGTGTATTTTTTCTTCAGGCACAACTAGTGTGGGACGTCAGCGAAAGGCCCGGAATTGGGCAGATGAAGATTATTACGATTCAGATGAAGATGCGTACCTCGATCGAACCGGAACTGTCGAACGGAAGCGCCAACAACGGATGCAGCGGGCAAAAACCGCCAAGCAAGAAACCGAAACGTTTGACAGCTTGTCGCAGCGCTTGGAGGATGTGAAGAAAGAAATGCTCGATGTAACAGAGAAATTACAAATGGCCGACAAGAATAAGGCAGCATCGATGGGAGACGGGGGTGTGGATGCGCTGGATAGTTTCATGGAGGCCATCAAGTCCGGTCTGATAATGGACCCAAAGACCAAAATCAAGCTAAGACAGAGATTGAGTGAACTGAAACTGGAAGAGGCGCGACTGATCCGGCTGATCAATATTGTCAAACCCTTAGATTTACCAGCTATTTTACCGAGTTTTTCCAGTAAGCCACTGAAGCCGGAACCGGAACCCAATGCGGAAGGCTTTTCTTACGGCCGATTAAAAGCCGCTCCACTGCCGCCCCGGTCGGCGCCGGTTTATGACCATGGAAATGTGGAAGAGTTCAAGGCCGAAGAGGATGACGAAGACGGTGGTAGAGGCGATGCTGGTGACCAAAACAAAGATGTGCAAAGCAGCACTGCTTTTCAGGATCCCGTTAGTCAGGTGATCTTCGACTGTGCGCCTACCAAAACTGCGAATGAGCAGCAAAACGAGGCGGTAAATTCTGAGATTAAGAGGAAGACTTCCATGAGCACAAGTCCCGAAGAAGAAAGGATTATATCTAGCGGTAGCGCGGCTGACGTGAGACCATATCTTCCCCAGGTATATTTTTTGACGGATCAATAGAAACGTTTATACACGCAACAATCCTTATGTAAACTCGATGTCATAATATTATTATAGTATTTGGTAATGCGGTAGATACGTATTAGCGTATTTCTAGTGGTAAGTGTTGCGATTAATCTGATTCATGTTGAGGTCTTAATATGGTGAAGTAATTACTGTGCTTATTCTGGTAGGGTATCGTTATTATTTCGTATATGTTGAGAAACTTGTTGGTTATAGAGCAAGAAGAAGAAAATTGATCGGAAAGGAAATTATGAATATGATGCCTCGGATCCGGATTATGCAATGTGGGTGCCACCTGAAGGTAGGTAATGATAGGATATAAGTGTTACGCTTTTCTTGTGGCTTTTTTATTAGCGGATAAACGTTAGCATGGCTTTTTCAGATCAAGCCGGAGATGGGAAGACCAATCTCAATGCTCGCTTGGGATATTAGTCTTTGTTCGTGTTTTTTGTTATACAGTAGGGTGCAACTGCTCGGCATACATGGTTATAAATCACAGTTTTTGTACCTTTATCTGATCTGTATCAGACGCTCGTTTTCGAAGCATTTGTAAACTAATGTTTTCAAAATTTGTTGCAACTACTAACTGGGAAAATATTTATATGCTCGTAGTGGACATTAAACAGAACGCTGAGCTGTAGGTTCGTTAAGCTGACAAGTAGTGGTTTCCTAAATTAGTCTCGTTTATTGTGCTGGAATAGTAAAACGATACGGAAATCATGTGCCTAAAATCAGGAAACCTTAATATTAAGGCACACAACTGACAGGGTAGCTGTGCAGGAAATGGTGTCAGATTACTTCCGGTTCAGTAGAGCAGTTTTCTTAAAGTTATAAGTGCGAAAGTTACAATTTATGACATGTTAATTTTGCTGTCGCTGACAATATCACATTTAATATATCACGCCTTACACATCCTGCAGCTCTTTTTGACCGTCGAAATACCATGTAATCCATGGGGCTGGCTTTCCAATAAAGTCACGGACCGATAGGCATTTCTTCACGAGAGTGACGGTATCCGCTCATGTGTCAAGTCCTGCCCATTGTTGGAAACTCATGCAGGAATCATTTGTATGCCCTGCATTAGCGCTTGCTCCGGATAGCATATTATCGTCGGTCTGCGCCTGTGCGCGAGCTGCCTGGTACAGTTTGTAATACAAGTACTAATATTATGTAATATTATTATAATACTTCTGCTGCAATTCGTATGCAAACAGAAATGCGGTGGCATTTGGTATGTCACCGACTCACCGTACGTGCAAATTGTCTTGCTTTAATCGCTACGCTGCATATTGTCGAAGTCAGTCAAATTTGAAAATTAATATAAGTTGATGTGAAGCGCATCCATCTCGCACTACTGTGTACAATTGAAAGTAGCGCGTTATATATAAATAAACTATCTATATGCATCTGCCACACATTTGTAAAACAGTCTTGAGCTTTTCAATGGAAAGTCATCTCCCGGGATTAGAATTACAACATTCTGATTAAGTATGTCATGAATGACCACGATTCATTTCACTATAAATCAAAGCCAGTCGAATAATAATCTAAGCAAAAAAAGAATGGTCGTTTGATAACCAAAATCTGAAAGCCAGCATCTGTTGGCAACTTGGACTAGACCGGCGCCTGTGTCCACAAACGTTGGCTGCAGATGTCTTTTCAATGTAGCGTCTGTAATGAAGATCAGGTACAATATTAGCCAGATGCTTATGCATTTTTAAAATCAGACATAGTAATTTAGTTATTAATAACTTAATTATATCATTCATGTATATTAATTATATCATTAACACAACAACGTACTTCTATCGGGAAATATTAAACTAACCACACTGTTATCGGGAAACAACAGATATGCGCTACAGAACAACAGATATGCGCTAATTACCTAAAAATCAATGTTTTTTGTTCTGTAGTTTTGCAGGTAATTATTTACGCGGCATTCAAAAATGTAAAGGTAATTAATTAGGTATAAACGAGATGTAGAAATGATTGAGTTATTGCAGTGTTTTACTTACCACAATATCACAAAATGCGGTCGGTAGTGTTTAAGCCCAGTACAGTACAGCCATAATTAAACTGTTCTTTGAAACCGCTTAAATGTAAAAATTCCGGTCAGGTGGCAGACATAACATCGCAGGATATTGGAATCGGGTTGGGCTGTAATGAAATACTGGCACATATACACATGCTACAGCAGTGTTTCGGTTTCTTTAGCGGCATCCGCGGCGGTCTCGTCCTCGTCGGCATTGTTGGCACGGGAAATCTGATCGGTTTTTGTACATTCAACATCATCGGCCTGTGTCAGATAAGTTTCCGCATTGGGCACGGATAAATGCATGTTCTTCCGCTGGGTAGTGCGGCCATTACGGACTGTCTCGTGCGAGAGTTGTTTGGCTTTAATGAACAATTCCTTGAATGTCTCACGGAATTGCCGTGACATTGAGCAATAAATCGGAAAGTAGATAATATAACTCAGACCGATGCACAGATTGGAGAAGGTTATCAGAGTGGTCATTACGCCCTTATTCATAAGGTCCAGCTCCCATGTATTTTGTACAATCACCAAGAGGACAATAACGGCCAACGGCAGCTCAACAATGAGGAATACACACACCACGGCGACGAGCATCATGGTGGTGCAGGTATTGTCGCGCTGCTTGGATGATTCCTGCTGCTTCCGCTCACTGAATAAGCGCTTACGGTTGGCTTGAGCTTCATTAAGGGAAATAACCAGTAATGTGTTTAAAATCACAAGGAGCACACATGGCAGGCAATTGACGCAGAGAACACGGAACCAGTAAAACACCGGCAGATAATATTGTGACCAGGGATAAAAGGATTCCGTGCACTGAGAGACGTATCTGTGTCGGCACAACAGCTCTGGGATTATTTAGTCAAATTACAATGTGAGTTAATTTTCCCTAACAATTTATAAGCGTTCTTCCGTGAAAGTTACATTTGTTTACTAATCTAAAGCGTTTTCGTCATAACATATTGAGCGACCAATCGTTAAATTGTTCCTGGTATACACAGTATCGCTACTAAAATTTTATTTCATATATATGCACCCCTATGTTTACATAACACAGTAACTTGAATAATTTTCAGCTAATTTTCCTACAGCCGGTGTATTGTTCTGGTATCACCAAGTTTAGAAAGTTTAGAAAAACATAAATTGCAAGGGAAGTGAAGGGGATTTGGTTTACCTGCACTTCCATGGCATGGGAAAATCCTGCATGCTTTTTTCAAATAAACGCGGTATATTGTAAGCAGTGGCCAGTCCGTACAGGCAAATAGTGGCATACATGACCCGGGGAACAGTGCACCATGTCCGCGCACGTGTTGGATGGCAAACATAAATGTAGCGTTGGAATGCCAGCAATACGGTCATCCACACCGATGCCGAATGGCAGACCGTGGGCAATGTATCCGTCATCAGCATATTCAGATACGCCAGGTAGCAGGGCACCGGTTCCGGATGAAATCCCGCCGTGTACTGGTAGATAAACATGGGCACCGGTATGCCCAACGTCAGAAGGTCACTGATGGCCATTACACACAGAATGAAATTGGTGGGTGAGCGCATGTGGGGCCGCGATAGAACTGCCACCACGATGGTATTAGTGCAGAGAACGATAATGAAGAGCAACGGTGTCACGTAACCGTACACCGGAATGGAGTACTGGGGATTGCGCAGTACGGTAAAGTTGACCAAGAGAGCCGAAAAGTTTTCTATGCCATACTGCTGAAATGCCGGTGTGGTATTTAGCCACATTGCTAAGGTTTCGCATGCCTCATCGGAGGTCGTCGGAGTGACATTCTCCATTAAACGGATTCCGGTGTCCAGGTCAACCATCTTTGACGTCAAATGTCTGCTGCCGTTATCTTAATGAATTGGTCAAGGGCACAAAGTCAGAAGGATGAGGATTTGCTGGATGAATAAATTGAAATAATATGGAGAGAGATACGGAAGAAACGTCGCAGTGTCAGCATATACTCCTTTCACCTGGAATTGACATAAAAGAAACCATTGCCAGACATGTACATCAACATAGTGCCTAAGTGCGCTATGTATCACAGGCAAATGTGCATTATTAATCGCACAAACAAACACTGATAGACCATTTTGCACGGGGGCGATTGATGTTTGTTTTATTTAACCTATACCAGGCCCACTGCTGTCCAATTCATAAATACCAGTTAAGGGTGACTATTTAACATCCCCGATATCGAGTCAAAGTGAAAATTTTAAGGTGTATGAGCCCGCCTGCCTGATATCCATAACACAAACTGCAGCCGAAATCGGAAATCGATAGTTATAACATTGAAGTGCAACATATGCCGAGAATTTACTATGGAAAATTACGGGTAGTTGTACGAAATTATTAACTGTTGCTTACCCCGCGGAACACATCATAAAAAGTCCCAACAATCAATAAATCATTGTAAATTGTATCTTTATTACCGGAAGTGAGTAACAGCTTATTAGCAATAGTCAGTCCATTGGAAACATAAAGGTCATGTCATAGTACGACATCAATCCGAACGCATGCTGTGTGTAGGAAGGCTCATTTAGACTATCCTCAATTTATCCGAAAAAGCGAAGAGGATAATCATCAAACATAAAGCATCCCACAGAGCCAAGCCATAATAATCTGCTTGGGGAATGTGAGCTTTAAACGATGTAAAAGCTTTGTGCTCTATATCGTGTTGTCGTGACGAAGATTGCATGTTGCGCTGGCAATGTAGATAAATTCCTTTCGCTCGGATCGTATAATAACACTTTATACTGTGTTTTGTATCCCACACCAATATGCCATCCGGTATGCGGTAGTTGATTGACCTTCTACACTCAAACACGCTGACGAATCCCGTTGCAGCGTTGGAAAATTATTAGAACTGATTAAGCCATTTTGCTCTACTGGCCTATCGTTGTATAATCTTTAACAATAAATGTCAAATAATGGTATGGCCTTTTACTAAACAGTACTCTTTGCCATCATTTGCGGCACCATGATCACGAGGAAACGAGCATTTTCCATACAGTCAACGCGCGCATGTCAACAACTGGGAGTATAGTCATTAATTGACAACATTGAATAGCCGGCAAAGCATTCAGTCCTCATTGTTCCTCATAAGGTAATAATAAGAACTGCCAGTAGCGATGATTTGTTCATGGGGACATAGCAATACATCATTAAGCACAGAAGAGGAAGAGATTGTCAAATCCCGAGTTTAGCCCATATGCAAAGGATAACAATATCCTGTACATGTCGCCAACGCACAGCTTCAGATTAAGCAGCAGGAGAACTTTTAATTATGTAAATCGACGGGCCCTAAGCGTCGAAATGTTAGGAGAATAACTGCGGGGATCCTAATGGAGTAGTAGCGCTGCCGCGACGGCTGCACCCGTATTTGCCATTATAGACTGCATATTGGAGGCGAAACGTTAATATGCTCATACTACAGAAATATCATATACAGGAGGTGTAGGTAGAAACCGGCAAACGCGCGTGGTCATGTATTAATCTAAAAGCATGAAAGAGGATATGTTGACAGTACTCCCGTTCGTAATTAATGTATGTCATATCTGCTGGACAAGACACATATCCACCATCTAGTCAGGCGCAACAAATTTCCGGCTTTTTTAATAACGGGATGTGCTTGATTTTCAATTTTGCAACATATACGTGCGTAGTTACGAGAGGCACATCCATTTGCCTGCACAGATGCCTAACGGAAATGCCACAGTAATACGTGCCGCACGGGATAAATGAAAAACTTCTACCCTGTGCGCGTGAAACTATTATCCCGAAACCAAGTAAGGAAAAAGATGTCCCAGCAGAAATGTGCGTAGCTGGTCTGATTCACCACCTGTCGTAAGATTTGAAAATCTTTAAAGGCATCTATTTCAAGTAATCGAAAATTGAAACATGGTCCAGTTGAAACTGAGAATTATTTACGCATAGGATAAAACCAAATGCAGATTGAATACAAGCGGGAAAATTACATCAAAGTATCTTCGACGAATTTAATTTGTTCCTGAAATAGCAATGTGATACTCGGATGCCTAAGAACTGCCGAAGCAGCGCTTTGCGAACGACCAGTTGCTCACATTCCATCAGGTTAAGAGTTGGCAACATAATACTGAAACTGAGTCTTTCCAAAAAAATTCTGTGGTTGAAGTGCTGTATCGTGAAACAAACAAGACCCTGCCAAACCCAGAATGCTTCAACGTCTAATTTTCGTGTTGTTGATAGGATGGGCTGCCATAAAGGTCAAGCAAGTTAATCTGAGAGCCGCCAACTACATCTGTCTCTATTTATTTATTTATCTGTATTTTTTTATAGTAAAGTTGTACAACTTTACTATAAAAAAAATTACAAAATTAAAGACACTGTTTCTGTTACTATTATTTTAGTGTCAAAATATCATACTTCTTGTTAAACTACGTTTAATGCTAAAGAGATGAGTTGAGTTAAACTGCTAGTATAGCATTACCAATCGAAAACATCATTATATTTGAAACTGCTAATTATTGATTCATAAGCTGCTCCAAATTAGCTGGAGCTGTTTGCAGATTAAGTCTACATCCATCATTCCATCCAATCGCCATAGCGTGGTGCTTTCCCGGGGTTTAAGTCTATGTCTATACGATTCATTTTCTGTTGAAACGGTTCCGGACATATGTACTTTTAAAATAACTCAGGACCTGCCGGCATATCTTGTGTCAGCAAATGACTCCCACACTTTTACTTAATACGGTATCGGTATGCGTTGCCGGCGCACGTTGATTGATGATACTGTTAATAGAACTAACGAATCCGCTAATAAGTGGAAACTTTGTAATGATATGGCTCGAGATCCATACAGTAATAAATCATAATACCATAGATGTTTTTTACCAGAAACTGACTCGGTTGGCAACTTGGCACTCAACCTGGCAGTTGAAGAAATATAAATCAATAAAAATTAAAATGTATGACTACATCTACGTCGTACTTTATTAAGTTACTTATCGTAAGATGCAAATTTTGATGTGTAATGCTATCCAAGACTTTGATTTTTAAAATTTTTTCAAAGGCGAAAGCACGAACGTGCTTGCTGTAGATTAATAATATGTAATACACACTTCCGTAATCATTCATCAGCGCAGTAGTAAAGAATTCCATCGTCTTACTCTTACAGATTTGCAAAATTTATTGTCTAATTATATACCTAAGCAAAAATTTTGATTGCATCTTATGTCACTTATTGCACATTTGAAAGACTGCCTCGATCCCTGTCAGTTAAACATTATTAGTATAATTGAGGATATAACTAAAAAGTTGACTTCGGAATCTGACTAAATTTGTTGTGGCTAAATCTTTCGTATAATCGTACAGATGCATCAGTGCTGTTGCCGGTATCTCAGTTCGAAAGTCTTTTTTTGTGGTGTCGTTTTCAAGGCGTCACTATATATCGTGCGTATACTTATATCTATATTATTTAATACCGTAAACTCACGAAGGCAGTAGCGAACAGTTTTTGAATACCATATGCAAATACATGTACAAATAGCAAGCAACTGAAAGATGCCCCTAGTGTCACCTGTCCGAAAATCAACTTCTCTTCAATGTTGGCAAATTATTATTTCACTTTAGTTACAAATACCGTCAACCACAAGTCAGTAGAGTGATAAACCATACAGCGTAAAAATCCTGTGTCTCACGGATGCTTAAGCGCTGGGTTGTTTCTTCGACTTTAATTGGATAAGTTCGTTTGATTGTGCATTGAGGAAGATGGAGATCGATGGTTTCGCCATGGTCTAGTACAACACAATTAGCTCATTTGTTCTCGGGATGCATTCGGTAAGTCCTGATGGAGCTTGCCGGCATGGCTCGTTATCGTCGAGGTTACAAGGGAATTCAGAGCTTAGGCAGCGTTTTACCTAGCCTTCAACTTCCGTTTACAACTACTTAACATGCAGCATGTTTCAGCTAACATAAGTGTGGTCAAAATCAGTTGTGCCCTTTTCATTTGATTCTTTTCGTTTCAACTCACACATGAATTTAACATATATAAATATATGAAAATGCTGTAATTCTAGAATGAGTTAAGGATAATCTGCCTTGAGCACTAAATTTAGTTTGAATTACGGTGTCCTGTAACCGTTGTATAGACAGATACCGTCACATGTCTAATAATTGCACAGGATCACACGGGTTTGTAATTTTGATGCATGTGCGCGCATGCATCAACACATTTTCTACGCCCTTCGCTAAGTAGACTTTATTCTACAACATATTAAAAATAATAACATTTGACTCAGAGCCTTTGACAAGTTTACCTAAGACCGGTATCAATTGCAACATTCTTGTTTTATCTATTTTTTATTGTACAAAATTTGCAGAAGTTTCGTAGTATTGTGAATTTAAGAGTATGGCAATGTTTGTGGTGTGTAATATCATCTGGACAAGGTGCATCACTCTCCCATCCGTTGCTCTAGAAAATTGCTGACCGATAGCGTTCAAGCCGTGAAGGAGAATTTGTGGCAACTGCAGAATCAGTTTTTCATATATAGCCAGGCCTCCTGAGACCCCTATGATTGGGCAAATTAAATGTTTTCCTATTTTGAAGTCCGATAAAAGCCGTGCAGTACGCCAACGCATTATTCCCTGCGCTTTAAGGGCACTGTACACGGGTCTTTCTTTTCCGCTGTTGGAGTTGAGGATAATGTGTCATGAGTGCTGCGTGCAAAGAAGCTATGATTTACGTCCCTTACTGGCGTGAAATAATGGCTTCCCATCTGCCAGTCACACGGGAACTTGATTTAAACATTAGCCGTAATAATGATTAATCTGGTTGTTTTTGCTGTAAAGTGGACGAAATGGGTGTGCGCGCGGATAGACTGTGCTAGCGGGTGGCATTTTATGACGAAAAAGAGCTAGTTGATTTTTTATGCCGCGCTTCAGCTGACCATTGGCTTTTTTCTATTTGCCATAATGGTCGTAAATTCCAATTTGTACCGGGCATATTCCGCAAGAAGCTATCATGTTTAATTTATACAAATCTAAACATTAGCCAATAAGTCGATAACGTGCGTGTTCTGACCCTGATCTATGGGGGCACGCCATATATACATTATCTGTGTATGTACGTTGTGCATAAATATATGGTCTTCGATTTTTTCGAGATGATGATCCCTTAACTGTCTGATCAGGCGAGTGCGGCGCAGATGCGTACTAGCTTAATCAAACAATGCAGTCTGCTTTATAAGCTCATCTATCTGGAACAGCCGGATAATCAGGGATGAAATTACTGGCAACGGGAAACAAAAAAGTGTCGAGATAACACGCTCAGTGCACTTGGATGGATGGGGACATAAAGTGGCCGGCAAGCTGTTTCAGTGAAAGCGGTTTACTACAGTCAACTGCACTGAATACTTATACTTAAATAAGTTATTCTACTTAGTTCTTCCTTGAGCTTGTGTGAGTGCCATCCAGTATAATCCAAACGCAAATCTTTCGTGTCGTAAAGCACTATGTCTATGATCATGAAAACGCTAATTTTGGCAATATACATAGCAGATACACACGGAAGTCCCATAATTCTTTATTAACAAAAAGCAATTCAGGAAATCGTTTTAATTTTTATAATTTCCAAACGGTTGGCTAAATATAACACATAAATAATTGTTGAGAACTGTGGCTAATATTTATCTGGATGAGTATGTGTTCGATATTTATCTGGATTTTTACACATGGAAAAGCTTCGTCAAAACAACATTCGCTAAAAGATGGTTCTGATATACTACTCTAGTAATTACACAATTACACATTCCGTTTCAAAGCTGGCTTGTACGTGTATACATAGTATATACATGATGTAAATAATTCGTATATAGGGCACATATGCGGCATGCGCCTTCGGAATCGTCAATAATCGCAGTCATTTCCGTAATGATTACCCATCGAGCGCATGGAAATTATACGGAGTATTTTGCAAAAAGGCGTTTAAAGGACAGAATGCCTCTATTTACATCGCCAGCCATAGATCCAGCCTGCGGGCGTTAAGTAAACAACCCTTTGTTTGCATGGTAAAAAATTCTTTGTGAGTAGTGTGAATTAGTACAAGCACTGTTCAATTCAGCACGGGTTGGGCTTAAACGCTTCTCTTCCCCTCAGTTACGCCATACAGTGGGATGTTCCGGTTCTGGTCAACGAGACCCGACAGACGTTAAAAGAATTAGACATCGGCCTACGCTTGTTTATTGAGAAAATAGTCATAATAAACTGAAAATGAAGGAAGCGGTTGATCGTGAAGAGCTATCAGAATCTAAAATAATATTCACCAATCGTATGACTAATATGCCGATAATAAACCATACTGTTCTTAATAATATAGCCAAGACATGTCAGAATTTCACATAATAGGATGTGTTGACGGGAGCTGTTGACAGGCGAAATGCACTTACATAACGAGTAAGATAGCCACGAGAATTTGGTAGAGCGTTCGTATTAACAGCTTGTCTGAACAGAACAAAAATGTAAACTGTTATGTTTTGGGCGCTATTAAAAATCATTAATTATTGTGATGAATTCGGTTAGGGAAAAAATTGGCAATCTTAACGGTTACATATACTTTCAGAATTCCTACCTGTACTAATGAATTTAACATAAACCATAGCCTTAGCTATAGTAAGCTTGGTTAACGTTTCCATATTCTTAAGGTCAAGCATAAACCCTTCATCGCTGGATCATGCGCGCGGCAACGTCATGATAAAATGAAACCAAGACAGATTTTCCATTATCGATTTTAAAGCTTCTCTTATCATAATTCATTTCAGTGACAACAGCTTATTATCAGCACGGAACGTGAAAAGCGGCATATTTTGCGCTTACAATTAAGTAAATTAAGCGCATATAACGCTGCATGTCTGCAGATAATAATTTTTATAACTTACCTATTGTAATCCTGACACTGGATGTTAGCGGGACAGAAACTGTGGTGATTGATAAGACTGACAAGTGTTCCCGTTCTCAGACTATTGGACAATATGGATTTCCTATGAAATGTTCAACAGGCAAAACCAAAGCAGAGGGGAAGAACAGATATTCACACACAAATGGCATCGGGTCGGCGGTTTGAGCGGGGGTTATTTAGCTGTGAGGGAAGTGTATCGTGCGGCAGAAAAAGCCGTCGGGATCGTGATCAGAACATAAGATGAAGCGGCGACACATGCAGATCCGTCGGAATCCGCCGCTCTCTGGACAGTACACAAGTAACCCAACCGAACAGTATTATAATACACCGCCGTCGTCGCAGCAACATCGCTTCGCCAAGGTCTAACTGTCGATATACACACGGAGCGCGCGCACGGGCTTCTTAACATCCACCGGAACAGGATGTCATTGCGATTTGCTCTCTCCACCAGCTATCTCCAGTGCCACGTTTCCACGCATTAAGTCTGATGTGGGCAAAATGATTCAGTTGCCGCCAGCCGTTAACAAACCCCGTTATTAAGCGGACTGGATGGCTTGCGCTACTAATAAGTGTCGTCAGTTAACAACCGGAAGGGCCACATATATCCTACCGACGGAGAGTACAATACAAGGAAAACGTCAATGTCGTACACGGACAATTTTCTGGATGCACTGACAGTATTCAGCACAAGAAAACTCACGAAAAAGAAGAGATTGTATTTGTCAGTTATTTTTCGCTATCCGGCAGGCTAGATGTGGTGGCATTTCTTACACGAGACAGATGATGACTTTTTTGTTGGTTAATATTACCATTTTGAACGACATCCCGGACAGTTGCAGTATGTGCCGGTTGTTGTGGCCCACTGCACGAGGCTGGATTCATCCATCTGGATACATCGATTTCCACGTTATACCGTTGATTCGGGAATATGCGTATTTACACACTGCATACAATGCACATGTGCCGTATTTTTGTGTGTGGTATATGTAGTCGACATTGCACAATACCGTCGCGTTACACTGACAAGCGGCAATAAAAGAAACAAAGGCCGCGCAAAATCCCATACCTCCTCCCATCGATTAATGAAACACTCTAGAGAAATTGATGCGCAGAAGTAATCTTTACATAAACGATAAAAACAAACCGATTCCCCCAATCTTCGGGATCCGCTGATGTGTTGATATGGCGTCTGTCTAAGATTAAGTGGACGTAAACTAATTTTTTGTCACTGAACACGGACGATGTACGGATGTACGGCAGCCCCACGTGACGGGGTGTTAGAGCGTAACTAATGCAAACAGCTCTTAAAAGATTTAGGACTTGATAAAAACAATTACTATAAAAACTACACCACATGGAAAGTTAAATGACAGATATTTAATCTCATTCATAATTATGGGCTGTACATTTAGGTCTACGTCTATAATCAGCAAAGGAAATCTATGTTTTATGTGAAAATTACACAATGTTTCAGGCGAACCAAGCGTTTATGTAATCCTCTGAAAAATATTTTCACCAATTTCCTAAAATATTAAATTAAGCAAATTATCCAACAAGTCATTACGTCGCTGCACATTATACCAGGGCATGACGAACCGGGCTTTGTATGACGAGACCAGGGAAAACAGCATGTTCAGTGTGCATATAGGCCAACGCCTGTGCATATGAATCGAAGCACGCTTGGCTCACCGGCGCTGCTGTATAAATTTAATTTCCTTACTATAGTACAAAACCATTGCATAATCCATAAAGCGTTGATAATGTGATTATACCAAATTACCCCCGAAAATAATTATACCGACTGCTGTGGCACAGACAATGGCCTAATCTCGTTACACTGCGCATCCAGATATTCTGGCCAGTCGCAGGCTTTGAGAATATTATTAAACTTGAGATTAATGGGACAACTATGCGTGATCATCGAACCATCAATGTGACATTCATAATATTTCAGGCAGTTGGCGGAGGCATCCCCATGCAATCCTGTCATTCCGGGGACGCATTGCGGCTCTGGTGCAGCGGCAATACCCGGCTTCGGACTCGTCCCGGGTTGGGCCATAGGGAATGGAACGGTGCTACTGAATGGATCGCCGACTCCCTATAATATTCCTTGATTATATCAAATTTAACTTTATCGTATGAAACGCTAAACCAAAGTGATCTACACTCACGCATGTTCATCGAAATCTATATATCAAGCAGCATTGGTTTCGGGGATTATGTTAACGGAAAACAAATTTAAACAGGCAACAATTAAATAATATCTAAGAAAAATTAATGGCAAACGGAAGTGTTAACCTGTGGAAATGGCAGCGTAGGTGGAACAGACGGGGCCAGTGTTGTAGCTTCCCAATTTTTGTGCAGTATTTCTCTGGCATCCCCGCTTAAACTGTCCACACAGACCGCTGCACCGATGGGCACACAACCTTTGTTGGCCAGCAAAAAGATTTCCGTGGGTGGACAGGAAAACGTTTCCATCGTCAAATTAGTGTGGCAGTAATGATAAATTCTGAAAACATAAAAACTTACAGTAGTATGTAGCGCCAGCTATTAGCTAACCATAAGCCCTAATGATGCGATATTCCGTTACCGGCACGCGGAATCCGGTTCGATGTAATAATTAAGGGTCCCATCGCATTCGGTTTCATATACTGTCACTGCTGAGCCGGGAATTGTCAAGCCGATTCGTTTCGCAACCAACACTTCTGGAATCACGACTGAAGGTTTAACGGCAAAGCCGTTGCCAGTATTGACAGCGTTTCCGAACGTTTTCATGGGAAATTTTGACAGTTCCGGAGTTCCGAATCCTTCCAGTTGTGTTGGAGTATTGAAAACCGAGATTTTTGGTGGTGTTTTTGACATCGGCGCATAACCTTTACGAAATGTACATCAATATAATATAAGCGTGCAACTTTGCATGAAATGCATTTATAATAAACTAATATAAAGATTTTGCAAAGTTCTTAATGTTTTAACACGGTAACAGCCAATGCTAAGCACCGCAGAACGTTAGAATTTTATTTTCCTAATTGTTGTTTCGCGCCATATCACATCTTTGTTATAATGACTCAGGATTTATTATGAACATACGAGATAATCCGTGAAGCTCAAACGGGTGTAATTAATTTTGCAGTGATATTTGTACCTCGAAACTAAACTAGAAAGCGGAATGGTAAAACCTTTAGCTTTTTACTGGCGGGCAGACATATCGGTCCATTTACCTGATATCCTGTTGTCAAGATAATTATACTTGGAATGCGTATAGCCGGGCCCGGGTATATGTGACAGCGTCGACAGTGTCAATAACCCGGGAGTCCTGGCTTTGTGGCCGGCCGGATTCGGCATGGCGGGTTTGTTGTTTACGGGTGGCACGACTTGACGTAGCGGTGAAAGCCGTGTTGCCGGATTGCTCCAGGGCGATTCCGTATGCTCGATTGGTTTGACAGTTTCGGGAGCAATTTTCTGCGGTGCACTCGGGCTGCCGTTACTGTTGCCCGGCAGCTGCTGCTGTTGCTGCTGCAGCTGGGCTTTACACTCCGGTGCCGTCTGGATGAAGTCGCAATTTTGTACATTGGGATTGAAGATCATTTCCGGTGGGCATGTTAAATTCAGTGCCGCACCTTCCGCATTACAATAGTAGTACACCTATCAACATACATCATTTTGGCGCCATGCGTTAATTTGTCCATTTACGCGTCAAATGTCAATTGTGTGACAAATGAAGTGTCCTGAATGTGTATATCTATATGTGCGCGCGCGTACTCGACAATGTTGCAAATGATCGGGCACAAAGCCCGTTTTCCCGTAGCACGGCGCTTTGGGGCCCGGCGCTGTGACAGTTTCGGCTGTTCCGGGTGGTAATGGAGTGGCAACCGGCAGCAGGCCGGGAAACAGATTGCCTCCACCCAAATTGGTCCCCACATTCAACTACAGCATTTAAGCGCTTATGTAATTGCAATCAATTTTGTGTACTTTGCAAAACGATTTTCATACTGCCAAAAAATTCTAAAAGCTGGTAATTTGCTTATATTTTTTTTACCGGAAACAAACGCTCCACTTCCATGCAGCGTACTGCCGTTCGCGGTAAGCAACTTTCGGCTTTGGTATCGAAGCGCATTCCTTGTGGGCAGAAAAACGACTGGAAGCGATTGCCGAAAATTGACGGACAAAGAATATAGCCGCGGCACCCGGTGTCGGCATCTAAAAATTCAAATACGAGTATGATTTTCGATAGCGTAATCAAATTACTGATCCCACAAAACGTTTTGTAATATTTATTTACGGAATTTAGACAGGGTGTTTCCATAATAACTGACAATACATATGGCCGTACATTATTTGTGATCACCGGTACCTGGTATATACTGATTTGCCCTTCCAAAACACAAATCTGGATCCATATCCAATGGCGCACGCGGTTCTCCCTTCATGAAAAAATGCGAATAAGCATTCTGGCACATTTCTTTATAGTCAATAAATTACTATTGCCAGTCTGGCATAAAATAAAAAATGGCCCTATGCAAATAACTTTGTACGAAAAGAGGAATACGGCAACCAAGAGGAAATGCACCCGACAACGTACAGATACAAATTTAGTGATTTATCAGATTAAGTAATTTTTTTGTGCAGCGATTTTGAAACTGGCGAGAAAACCAAATGTGGACATATACATGATTTATCCCCTGTAACACCATACATACCATAATCTTTACTGTTGGAAGCGATGGAAGCCCGTCAAGTAACAAGTGAGGTCGTTCACTAGCCGCCGATAAAAGTGGTTCATAAAAGCCCGACGCGCCTTCAATGGCAACAGGTGGTAGTCCCGCTGGCCATAAACCACCTCCCAAAATTGACGACTCGGGAAGGATCGAGCGGGTCTGAATGGGCGGTGCCGGCTGAGCTGCAACCGGCTCACTGACAGCCACGGGTTTGCTGGTTGTGCAGGTCACCCGCTCGGGGGAGTCACATTTCTTCAGATGCTCCGAGAACACAAAGTTCATCGGGCATTCAAAGCGCGCCATTCGCCCACTGGGACTACAGCGGTAATAAACGCGGCAGTTCTGAGAGTAGTCTGGAAAGAAGCCATCTTTTCCGCTGCATGTTGGCGCTATGCCGGTACTTCCCAGAGATGGGACAGTGGCCGGTGCACTGGCAGGCGTGCCGGCTTGGTTTTGGTTCCATGTGCCGGGAATACTAGCCTGCCTGCTTTGCAGAGAAGGATCTAGCGCTACCGCGATCTCGTGGAGGAAACTGACATCCAGACCAGAGAGTCCTTCCCCGAAAGGATTGTTATATTGCTAGAAATTTTGAATTAGAAAAAAATGCCAAATAAAAATTGTGCCGTTCACCCTTTACGGAGTGACAAGTAAAGTAAAGTAAAAAAACCACGGAAGAAGCAATCTAAATTTTGACCTAACTACAAAATTCTTGTTCTGATTAACTTACAAATGAGATGATTTTAATTACTTTGTTAGAACTTCGAAAAGTACTATCCGGTTTTATTCTTGAGTACATGACTACAGGTTGGGCCCATCGAAGTGAGTCTCAACAACAATATCATTAAAAACGAAGAACAAAGAACAGCTTGTTATATCATGAAGGTTAGTACAGTGCAGTTAATACTTATACTAGAGACTTACCGACAATACGAAGTCAGTTAAATAGATGATAATACAAAAGATAACACAGATCCTGCGCACAGGTAACATGGATGAATGATATATGCAATTATTCCATTAAACTGCATGAAGCCGGACGTAACGGGGATTAGTGAAACATCTCTACATGTACACGGTTTGTCATGAAGATGCATGTATAAGCCTAATTTGGCGCACACTAGTTTATAAAACAATTCCGTAACGCGAGATTTTCAGTGTCCGATAGAAAAGCTGCAAATAAGTAATTGTACTTCTACCGCAAACCAACAACGACAGAAAGAACCTTATTTCCGGTCACTCAACGGACAAAAACCATTACTGTGGTGAATGAAATCCCAGCTCGTTATGGGTGCATGTAGGCTGGTAGTCGTGTGTTGAATGTAGGAAGAGGTGTATCGTCTTCATTCGGCTGGTTCGTTTAGGTTATATTTCGTACCATGGAAAGAAGTATCCGTACTCCAACCGTTTGTGCGTAGTGTCAGCCTTGAGGAAGTAGCGTAAAATATAATAGATATCTATTGTGCACCGGTAACCGATATGTGCGAGTAACCTTGTTGCACTGGTCAACGGGGACTTGATTATGTTACAAACAAGATGCTAATGGACCACTGAAAGACCGGGCATACCTTCTATCCACTTCACAGTGTCATTACGCATAAATCGTTTGCGCAGAAGTTTTGAATTCACGCACGACCAACTTGTTGATAGCTGGCTCTCAGATCTTTTGTGCATCACTAGAAGTGATCCTTTATATTCGGATATACCATAATCCAATGGCTGGAATACCTCTGTACTGCTTTAATTAACAGAACCTGTTTCTTTGTGACCTGACCTATGTATATAACACTCACCTGCGCATTGCATGTGTACAATACAACATGCACAAGAGCGAGCTTACGAACTTTGATACGTTAATAAGTGAGTTTTATGTATCAGTAAATTGCTTTATCAATTGAAATTATTGCTACAGCCTCTTTACTAAAAACACAAGCACTGCATAAATTAACTATGGACCATCTAATCACAGAAACCCAAGCAGTGATCTCACAAAGCAGTATATACTATCTGAAATATTAGGAAAATCGTAATACTTTTGTCACAACATTACAGCAAAAACTGCAACCAGTTCGTCTGCATTTGTATTGGAAAGGAAAAAATAAAAGGCTCTACATGTTTCGGAACATATTATCTTTGGCGGCGATTATAGTTTGCTAGCCTTTCCTTAGGAATGCAGAAAATGCTTAGTAAGAGCCGTCTCCATTATCCGAATTTTTGTATGAACCGTAGCATCTTCCTCTTCTTCGCGGGTCTCCCATATTGCTGCACACACACGGTAGCGCACAGGCATTATTTGCTCCGGGTCCACAGCGTTTCATCGAACACTGCGGCGGTTTTCCAAGGTACATCAGGGAAAACTCTATAGAAAAACAAAATCTTAGATATTATGTAGAGTAAATAATAGAATTACTTCCATTCTGTTTTCTAGTCGATGGTAAACAGTATGCTAGGAGTTTGCATTTGCCGGCGCTTGTGACCTCTTATCTCTAAATTTCTACGCACCTCGCTTAAGTTTCCCGCCATCAGTATTATCTGCCGCTGCGGTATGACAGATATAGCATAACGCGAAGGCCAACAGGAGCAGCTGAATTTCCGTTCGAACCATGATTGCCAGAAAGTAGGAAGTGTCGCTTGAAAACCTAACTATGCACACTACGGCGCAGTTAATTCGAAGGAAATTCCTTTGCAACCTAGTCGGTTAATGATCTTTTAGATGCTACAGATACACGGGAAAAGCTAAAATTCGTGTGGCTTTAAATACCCAAAATAATTTGGCTGGAAGCGACAAATATATGAGTGACGACAAACATTACCGGTTGCTGTCGCGCTGTCCGAGCAGCGATGCACGGTTTTCTTGTAGTAGGCACTTAGTATCGCTATCTTATAACAAAAGCCTTGTCAGCCGCCATCAAATATATATGTAGTTTTTTGTGGTTCTGGCCTAACTACTATTCTAATTCTTTTGTAAAAACTAAGTGCTGGACGAAAGCAATTATGGTCGCGTGCCGAACTCTTTGCATCTCATGCATGAAAAGCTTTTCAAGGACAAAAACGTGATATGGCATAATGCACAATATTTGCCTGAATCTATACTTGGTAAATAATCACGGAAAACCGGAAAAGACTTCGCGGAATTTACGTGATTACGCTCGGTCACTTAAAGCTGGTCTTTATTCTTAAGAACTAGTCAATGAATCAGTAACGAGAAAGCAGTGCAAAGCACTAAACATTTGAGGTGTAACTTCAAGTAATATTAGCCTGCAGTTTTGGTTTTGGAAACGAAGTACTGTTAAATATTGTTGAACGAACATCGACACAGCTTACGCGTAAACCGACAGCTGTTGCATGTTTCTGACTCATCAAAATATCACAAAACTGTTTTATTATCTGAATTATTTTTTATTACCTGAATTATTTTTATTAGCGTCGTGAATCGGGTCATTTGTTAAACTACTGGAAAACAAAAGGGCGTACTGTTATTTTATCATAAGCATGGTTACATTAACAACCCTTACAAAGCCAGTTTTGGGGACAAAATAAGGAGAATAGTGCATTAACGTTAAGTTCCATGTTGTATACTCCCACGTAAATGAATGTACAAAATTTATGTGAACAATCATCTGGAACCGGTAAACCAAGAAGCATAATGACTCACAGCAATATATACGATGAATGGTAAATTAAGTAACAAAATATGGTAAGCTGGTAAGTTTTGAAGTAAAAAGTACTTACCTATCAGCTTTTAACAACTAAACGTAACTGGGAACAGCAGCAGCTTCGGCAAATTTGGTTAAAATGTTCTGTAGGATAACCCGACTGCTTCTGCCTGTCGGCTGGGGTTGTGTAGTCGTGAGGTCGTTTGTGTGATTTCAAACTTGTGGCTGTTTTAAAGTTACGTATTTTAAAGTATATTTGTATTCAACTGCTGACTGGTCATAAATTTTGAATATCTGTATTGTAGTAAAGTAATTATTTATAAGCCCATTCCATGAATAAAATCGCCTTTAAAGGGCCAATAATACGATACACCAAGCAGTAGCACGTACTGTACCTGTAATCAAAACATGCGACGTGTAAATTGCAACTCCGTTTTATAAACTGCTAAAAAAATTCGCCTACAAAATGCGCCACTCCCGTATCTGTAACTCAAAATACGCCACAGGGTTCTATCGTTCTAGGTATGAAATACATATTATGGAATCTTTATAAACGAGTAAAGCCAGCTGTCGGTAAAACGGATTAAAACATCTTTCAGTTACCGTAAACGTTTCTCGTTTGCGTTTTTATAACTATTATGGGAGTACTGCGGTTGAGCTGTACATGAAGTTGTAGCACGGACGGCTAAATCTGAGTAATAAATCGGAAAATTATTTCGTGAATTGTGAATAATCGCATGGTATCGGATTTAGATTTTCAGAAATTGGCCAGCTAGTGCAGGTACATAATTTATAATATTGGGATTTGGTTTTGTTATAGGAATATAGGTAATTCGCACTCGAGATCACAATCAAATACGTCGGAGATTCGCCGGTTTTTTAATAATTCATTTTTAGTCAGCATATTAATTCCGCAAGCTGGTTTCTGTATTATATAATAACAATGATTTATCACAATCGGTGCGAATTTTTTCTACTTTGCGTACGTTAATATGTATATATTGTAGGTAGTCGCGGTCTATATACTATATATAGTATATCATATACCTAGATATATGGTCTGTATTCTGTCTGTACAGAAACTGTCCTATGGCTGTCACTCAGAATAATAATTTAATTTTCCAAACAGCCGAGATCACAATCAAATACGTCGGAGATTCGCCGGTTTTTTAATAATTCATTTTTAGTCAGCATATTAATTCCGCAAGCTGGTTTCTGTATTATATAATAACAATGATTTATCACAATCGGTGCAAGCGCGCGTAGTTTGACAACAACATCCTAACGTTGTATTGTCATTATTGCATGTGTTGGTTCCGCTGTCGCTAATAACACTTTTATTTCCAATGTGTGATTGCAATCCTCTTATAACCATCTACAGATACTGTACGCATTACTAGTCCACCGTAAACTTAATTAGCTAACTCCAGACAATCCTTCTTTAATTCTTCCTTTTTTAAAATTAAAGCAAACTTTAATCAGCTCAAACTACTAACCGTTATCCTTGCTATTGCTATATGTTCCTACAATTGCAAAATGTCTGCGTTTAATTCGTACGTTGGAGGTTTTATGATTGCAGCATTTGTGGGTGTTGTGCAATGCCAAAACTTGGTGTCTGAAGACCGGCCGGTATCCCGATTTTATCAGATAACATCCAGCGGTCCTTTTAATGTTACGATAGCGATGGGAAAAACCGAAGGACTAACAATAGAAGCCAGTCAAGAAATTATCGGGTACGTCCAGACAGTGGTGGAAGGTTTAGCGCTTAACCTCCGCTTTGCTCCTGACCTTCCCACCAACATAAGCACCACTGACCCCATCAATATTTCCATCAACGCCAAGATAATCACGAATCTGGTCTCCAGTGGCACCGGTCCTATAACCTTCTCAACGCCGTGGAAAGCCAAAGATGTGCAGATTATTCTTAGCGGAACCGGTGACATCACTGCACCGGTTAATCTGAACAACGTCAACGCCGTTCTCAGTGGCACCGGCAACGTGAATATTAATGGAAAATGCAAGAACGTTAACATTTCCGCCAGTGGCATCGGTGCTTTCAATGGAGCTGATCTGCACGCGCAACAGGTAAATGTGGCCATATATGCGTCGTCCGTGGTCAGTATTTACGTGGAGAACGGACTGTCGGCATGGATCCCGGGATCCGGACAAGTTATCTATGGAGGCAGTCCCCAAGTTAATCAGCAAATTACCGGAAGTGGATCGGTTATGCGAGCGGATCAGGTGGAATAGCGAACAAGCAAAATTTCCCGAAATACCTGACTTATAGGTGCTCTCATTTGCATGATGGTAGACGCTGCGGTTTTTTTTAAAGTTTTGTGTATTCAGCTTAATTTGTGCGCTGTTTAATCTAACAGCAAACTGCAACCCTGCTTGAAATATTTCGGTGTATTATTAAACACGTCAGCAATTAACGCCCGATATTGTATTATTTGATTATGAATCATTCTACGGCTCGAATCCACACAATCCTTTAAAGAAAATGTCCATAGAAATATGTCGCGCAGATTTTAATTATAATCAAAATTATTTGTGCAAAAAATTTAATTATTATAACATTGTAAATGCAACAAAATCTATTTTTCTTATCGATTTATTGTTTAGTTTTATAATTTTTTACAAAAACATCAAGGCAGATTGACGTGTTCACGACCCACAAGTGATTCTGTGAACTCATGTGAGAACTGATTTTTTGAGTTATTATGGATTTATGGTATGAATCATAATTACCGTATCGCATCAGTTTCACTTTAGTTCGAATTCACTAAACTAGCGCGCACATTATTGCAGTCCCACACGTAAGTTGTCATACAAAGCTTTACGCATTGATTTCTTAAAGGTAACTTTTGTTATGAGCTAGAACTTCCATTATTTTCAGCATTGTAACTAGGTCATCAGATGACAAATAAGCTGCGCGAAAGCGAAAGATATACTTAAGTACAATATAAAGAAGGGGCCTGCAGTTATCTACCTGTGTTGGGAGCTAAAGCACAGGTAGCAATCAGGTGTTTAGAGGAGGCCTTTAGCTCAGTCGCTCTGTATCTTTAGACCACTTCAGAAGCCCTCGGTTGAATCGGCTTCTGGAATAACCGCGAAAATCTGGAAGGAAATAGCTATGCATTCGACAGCCCGGCACCCCGATTGTGATTGGTCACCTGGTGCAAATTTCGTCTAGACATGGCAGATAGGAAAGACATCATTACCGCTCACAAATCCTATAGACTGGCAATAGGAAGCGTCCCGCCTATTGTTTTACAACGGCTTCATGGCATACACGACAAAAGCGCGCAAAAAAGAAAGGTAATCTGCCTTTACGACTGTGCTTTCACGCAGAAATTATTATATAAGGCAGATACCTCAAATAAAGGCGATTTCTTATTTGGTTCCAACCAAGTTAACCAATTGACCATATTTCGTCTAGATAAAAATCCTGCATAAGCTGTTTCTATAATTTTACTTCGTACACTAACATTTAACTGAAAACTATTCCATCTGGTAAAATGAAGTTGATGCTTATTTTGAGCCTTGCCGGTAAGAAATTTATCAAAGGGTAGAATACTCTGTATTAGCTGTTTTGTCGAACTCTATACACACAGCTGAACATAATATCGAAATTCACTACTACCCTACTGTACCCTTTGCAATTTTTAATAGTAATGCCCTTTCTTTATTTAGCGCTGGCATATGCAAATCCAGCCAACTACGGCTTTTCATCGTAAGTCACAAAACATGAACGTTTAAGAAGCTGTTGTAAAAAGCAAATACGTAAAAACGAAAATGCATACGTAAAATACATACGTAAATAGGAAATTAACACAACCGTTTGTTTATTATTATTAATCTATATTTTGTTATGAGTTTAATCAGAAATGTTAAAATTCAATTGTGTATGGCGTTGTGTATTCAGAAATCAGTGGAATCCAGTATCGACCCAGGTTTTGGCTGGAAGTGCCCAACAGGCTTCGCAGTTTCCATTACAGAACCTCTACTACCAACAAGTGCAACCTTCTGGTCGTGACCTGTACTCTGTCGTTCCGGTCCAGAATCAGTATTACCCGTACACCTCATACCCTTTCACTGCCAATGCCCGTGACCTTTCTGGTACCACCGGCACCGTTACCGCGCGCCAGATGCATCAGCTGCCAGGATCAAATTTCCATCAGACGCCTTCCATGACAAGCTTTGCCGGTAGCGTGGAACCACCGGTCGGCCGCAACATCCTGACCAACACCTTTACCGACAACACAGCGTTTCCCAACCGCAATTTCCCGGTACAGGATAAAACCATCATTCCAACCCTTTTGAGCGGCATCGACAAGGCTTCCCAAGATATCCGTACGAATCCTGATACAATCAAGGTTCTGGGGAAAGATGCCACCATCACCATGATTTCCCACGATGACGGTTCCAGCGTGCTGCTTATCAATGGAACGCATGGGAAGACGGCCGCACAAGATTACTTGAAATGGGTTGACCAGCAGCAAACCATCAATACTACCACCACCGGCACCACCGTCGGACAAGACACCCAGACGATTTTTCAGTTTCCTACCAGCAACAACAACATTTGGACCAATACCGGTATGCACAAATAAAACCCTTGAATTAGATTGATTCAGACTAATGCGGGAGCTTTAATAAACAGAGATCTTATTGTTTATTTTATAAATTGACACCCCAACAAATTATTTATAATATTTATTTATATAGAATGCTTACAAGTTGATACAAGTTGGGAATGTTTTTTATATTTTGGTTTTTGTGAGTCATGACGCATTGACATTCTGAAAAGGCCAGAATATTATATTTATACGTCGTCGATAGCGTAGTCTTCGAGCGTAATTGTACGAGTACTATATAATTTTTTAAAATTTACCTATGAGACAAAAGTTTTTATGGCCGGAGTCTTGATAAAATGTTTATGACTTTATAATAGAAAAGCACATGTAATTACGATATTTGACATGAATTATACATTTACTGAGCTCGGTATAAATGGTATGCGATTTATAAAAGTTACTGATAACTTACGTACCTATACCTATTAGCGAGACTCGTAAAGCATAACATGTACAACTGCGCTGAACGTGTAGTTCCCCCTGCAAAATATTTAATTCTACATGTACAGGTGATGCTACGTGGAAACCCTCAGCCCAAAGCGTCATCAGTGCACTGACAACGCCAACGGACACATTCCAACCGGCAACCTCTAACACAGGATTCCAATCAGCGCAGTTTGCCAACGAGAACATCAAGAACGTGGACACCAGCATCAACACGAACACCAAACCCATCTTCGCCGTCAGTGCCGGTCCCATCCGCAGTCCGTCTAATACCTGGACCGTCAATGCCAAACCCGCCAACGAATGGACTGTTAATGCGAAACCCGCCACCGAATGGAACGTTAATGCCAAACCCGCCACCGAATGGACCAATATCGACGCGACGACCAACACCGACATCACCAACAAGCCTGTTGCCGTTGTCGCTGTAGTTAAGCCTTCCGTTGCTACCGGAACCAGCAGCACCTGGGATGCCACCGCAACAGCCGGCAATGGTAACCTTTGGGTGTTTGACTTCCTGGCACCTCCGGTGACCTCGGCCAAGTTGACGAAAATTCTTGCGGACGCCGTACCCGGCAAAGATTATCCGGCTCTGACGGAAATCCCCGCAACCTCCTTCACGTGTGCCTCGAAGAAGCGAGTGGGATTTTATGCCGATGTGGAAACCAACTGCCAGGTGTTCCATCGCTGCGATGTGGATGGCGTCAAGACGGACTATCTGTGCCCGGAGAAAACCGTATTTAACCAAGTCACGTTGAACTGTGATTGGTGGTACAATGTTGATTGCGCTAAGTAAGTTTCGAAATCCCTGTACGTTCAAAAACGAATATAAAGAATATTATTTTATGTATAATTTTTCACAACACAACATACAAATATCAAGATCTTCTTAACCAGACTATAGCTGCCACGGAAGGTGTCAAATGTAGAATTTGCAGATTTTAAAGTGCTGAAGACAGTTGTCGTATTTCTTTCTAGTTCACCGAAGTTTGAGCAGTTTGCCAACATCCGTTTGTACACTGACCAACCCCTTTTCGACACTCCTCCCAAGGAATATGTTCCTAAATGGGTGAACTTGTATTATGCTCAGCTCCATAAGGACCGTGCGGACAACACCAAACGTTTTTCTTTCACAACTGTATAAAAGATTTGTTGAACATATTTCCAAGGGTAATCATCGTTTCCGTATCTTTGGCTTGGAATAATTCTCGTATAATTGCTACCTGATCTGTATGACGTGTTAAAAGTTTTCATTGTAATATTGGAAATTTGGAATTGACGAATGTCTTGTACTAGTAAAACCCTTTTTAGAAGTAAGACCTGTTTTTTTGTATCCCGTAGAAACTGACGTGAATAACAAGTTCGATTTTTTGATTCCCTATTTCCGCAGTATGGTCATTTTCGGCTTATACAGGTTAAATGAACGGACCGTGACGTCATATGTGCGCCATCTTTCAGTACCGTATGGTATTTGCACCGTATGAAATCACAAACAAGAAAAGAACACTCGTATAGTATAGGCGTAGTACAGATATAAAACTACTTTGTATAAATTCATTTTTGCAGATCAGATTGTGTGAAAATAGCTTGGAGTTAATGGATGTTTGTTAGGTATGGGCATATATGGTCCATTACATAAACAGTAAAAGAAACAAACAGCCGAAGGTCCATCGTATGCGTGTCTTGGCAGGCTTGACTAACCCCTCTGCGGTTCTACAAAGCGCGGTATCGCATTGTTTGTCTTGTAACATCTGCCAAGAATATACCGACAAACAAGAACAGTTTGCTTTCACAGTGTAAAGTGCCATTTGTTAAGAAACTTGAGTACTATGTAGCAAGAGCTGCGAATGTGGTCACTTTTGGCGGAGCTACAAGCCGGCGATTAGGCTACGGATGATTTCATTAACAGGATTAATATGTCCCTGTTTGCTGGACTGAGATATGACAAATATGCATACTTCCAAAATGAATTAATTTGTTGACTTGTAATCGGATGTAAATCAAAAATGAGGAAAACAAATGGAGGTTACTGAACATGGATGTTTTTATTTAAGGTCATACGAATCCAAATCGTGGGAATTCTAAATATGCATGTATACATGCACACTTTTCTGCTGGTTGGTTTACTGAAAGAATGGTGAGAAACACTGGCAATCAATAATCAATACGACTTAATGAAATCATGTTGTAAACTAGCTTATGGCTATCTGTGACCGGCACGAGCATGCAAAAAAATCACAAACACCATGTTAGATACTACACGAAAAATTATACAAGACTGTAGTTTTGCAACAAAATCGATCATTCTTGATGCCCATGGATCGGTCTTTTTCCACCGACACTTTACGCTTATCCAACCGGTGCTGGAAACGGACTTGTGAACGTGAAATGTCATCGGTGCTGCTCGCACATAAACCGGTATTTGTCCGGTTACTGCATAATTGTTTAGGGACGTGTTCAGGTAGTTCCATCCATCAATGCGCTATTGACTCTGCGTAACGTTCATGCAGTAGCGGGGAAGTGTTGGGCATGATGGAAGTGTATCGGTAAACGAAGTGGAAAGCGGAAGCGACTGTTTCGAACAACATATGTGGTATTCGTTTGCGTACAAAGGGACAAAGGACTATTTATCCTGAAGAATGATACGTAACAAACTGAAAAATTTTACGTCATTTTTTTGGTAACGGGAAGACTATAGTTCTATACTTGAAGTATCACTCAAACTGAAACATGCCTTTGACTCATTTGTTAACATTTTAGTGCTTATTGTTAGACCCATTTTGATGTACGGAAATAAAAATTTAGCTGAGTAGGATTTTTTTAATGTTCGAAACACAGGTAATTTCATTTTTTTCACTGATTTTGTAACTACAGATTCATTTTGCGCAGTTATTGTTAATGCACCTATGCTAAAAAAATGAACTTTTATGAGTATGGAAAATTTTAAAAAGAAAACTAATTCAGAGACCACAATATTTACGTCTACAGTGCTATGAACACATACACTACTCTAGGATATTACCTATGTATAATATCAACATACAGATATTCATACAAGGCCAGACAAATTGATGGCAAGCTGCATGCATAATTCAAAAATTCATGGTGTTGAACTTTTTACTTTTTGGACTTTATGATTAACCGCATATTTTCCCAATTGTGTTTTGTGCTTTTTGCAGCACATTGGGCACCTTGACTTTGCATAGTGATGATAAAGAGCGCCGGTGACAACGTTGTTGGCAGTGAAAAAACAATTGCGCGCATGCCTATAACCAACTGCAATTGCCAATAGCGATACAGACGGTCGACCCTCCTTTTCATCCATACGATCTTCATAAGTTCATAGTATTGCCGCCCATTAGCAGCAGCGTTTATGCTGGGCTATCTCAATGCATTTTCTGCCAGATCAGTGAATATTTTGTCCACTAAACAAATACCTCAAAGAAAAACTAAGGCGTAGTTTGGATTTTAGCATAAAACTGTCGCTAGCCTCGCTGTACCAGTAGTCTACTGTGACAAGATCAGGACGACAGTGTCGTACACAATCAGTACATACTTTGATATATCCCTCTCTCTCTCCATCACATTTCCGCTCATCCTTGTCAGTACATCGCCGTACGCCAGGTACCTGACAATTGTCAGTCCACGAGATAATTGATGTGCTACCAACCGGCAAATCCCTCCATAACTTACACACATACGAACGATCAAGATCATTATAACTGTATTTTTTTTCATTTGTCGGCTGACCACTGAGCGCGCATTCCTTGACCAGCAAACCAGAAATAAACATATGCGTGGATGTTGGATTAGTCAATGGTGTTGTGTGGCTACGCTGGTGTGCGGTCGGAATTGTTGATGCCGGTAGCCTAAACCGGATCGCCTGCTTGCGTTGTACGGGCAGAGCCAGCGCTTCCGTTGTCTCGTGCATTGCGCGGGATTGTTCTGTGCACCGGAGATTATACTGCACACGCATTAATTGTTCTAGAAATCCGGCAAAAAGTGGAACGGATTAATAATGCCCATTCCATTGTGGCTGTTTGGTACGGAGGATTATAACAAACGCTGTGCTTATTGATCAGTTTTTGTTTTATTTTGTCAACAGAATTTTTTGCCCTCTTATCGGCGTTCCAGAGAACCTATGGGGCCAGTCACAACGTTTCCGGTTTATCCAGAAATCGTCAGTTTCAGGTAACTGCCATTATTTAAGCTTTCAAATAAAAGCGAAGCTCCCACTTGCATACTTACCATCGATATGACGTCGTTGATATCATAAAACACACTGGAAATTACCAGTTTTTAATGCAGTTTCTTCAATTTTCATCAAAATTTCAAGTTTAATATTCTGCAAAATTGCTCCATAATTATTAAAGGGAGTTTTCTGGATATTCGACGATTGTACTTTATTTAAACCTTGGTTAATTTTTGTGCAGTTTTTGCTGTTATTTTGCTACTATTGTGAATCAGTGTAATAATTCCAGTCCGCAGATTTAAAGCATGTATGCTGCAGTAAAATGTAATCTGCGAATAAATCATGGCGGTTTTTTCCAAAAAAATTACGTGGTATCTCTACCGTTTCAAATATTTCTACTTGTTCCATCACTCCACCAATTTTTGGTATGCTTCGGCTTTTTTAATTTTTGCCCATTTGGCCACTGGTTTGAACTGTAAACAAACAGTCGTTTCTACAATAGAGCAGTGCAGTACATTATGAATGCAAATCTGTCAGACAAGTTTATTTGCATGTGCATTGGTCAACAGGGCACTTACGGACCTTCTCACAATCCGTCGAATGTGCCCATTCAGACACTTATGTCCAGAAATGTGTGCCGCGGAAGAACAGGCTATGTGGCGGACACGAGTCGCAATTGTCAAGTTTTTTACAACTGTCTCCCTGATGGGACGATTACCACTAGCACTTGTCCTGGTGACTACCTTTTTGATGAAACCACTCAGTGCTGCAAAATGCCCCACGATGTCAATTGTGCCGGTTATCCCGACGCCAACCAGGGTGCCATACGTCCAACGGTTTCTGTAAGTGTGTGAAATTGACCACCTGTGAAATACTCAAGAGACATAAAGTATTTTTATACTGCTTCGAAAGTGACACTTCGTTTTTTGTCTAACCATTAATTTAAACTTTATCGGATTCTAAGTTATTGTTATTGCATGGAATCATATACAACAGTTTCTTCCGTCGTATATAATTATTGTCCATATTGATTGTATATAAAACTGAATTTTATTAGATGAAAATTAAAAACAGCGTTTTTCTTTTTGTTGTAAATAGTGCATGGGAAAACGTGGATTCTATCCAGACCTTCCTTCCGGATGCAGGATATTTTACTTCTGTGAACCAAGCGGTCGCTCCCGTCAGTTAAGCTGTCCAGGTAAAACTCCAGTTCAGTAATTTTATTGTTAGTAAATCAGTGCATTTATAAAAGGCCATGGCTGGAGGAAGGGATAGGTCTGTATATAACGATTTATGATTTGTTCGTCGTTTCGTCATTTTTGCTAGTACGTACATACGAGTGAACGTTATTTTTCTTTTCTACATACAAGTTGATACAACAAAATTAATAACGTGAGGCTAGGACATGATGCTGATGTGATACCGGTAAAACCTTTAAAATTTAGCCTAATGTTTTGAAAATTTGTAGATGGATTACTTTTCAATGAGATCATCGGATGTTGTGATATTGCTCAAAATGTTCGCTGCGGAGGAGCTCCACTTCCTCCGTCGACGTCACCGGTTCCGGTCGACGGCGGGGTAATACACGGTTCAGCAGCTGACTGACCATCAAACACTGACATTCAGCTGCGTATTATATAATTTGGATACATTCATCAATCAAATTTTCAGGAAGTGTTTTGCCGCAGCCATCCTCCCGGTTTCTATATGAACCCGACGGACTGTTCAACGTACTTTTACTGCCAGAACAGTAATCGGCACAATCTACTACGCTGTCCCAATGGACAGGCATTCAACGAACTGACCAGTAGCTGTGATAATGATTTGAGCCGTTGCAATGGAGTGCAAATTGACCGTAGAGTAAGTGCCGATCCTGACTGTATGTGTGTGTGCATTTGCAGTTTTTCTCCATTACCACCAGATAAATATTTACCAATGTAAATGTTTATCAAACGCTATCGGATCTAATTTGAGTATTTTCACGCTCTCATGCTCTTGAACGTTATATCGGCTTCGAAACGTTATGGCTTATTCAGAACTGCAGAGCGTAAGTGAAATTTATGCAGTCAAGAGCACATACTGTTCAAATACACGTACACAAATTCCCAATTATTAATCTCGCTAAAAATGCACCATGAGTTACTTCATATTTATTTAACAAGAAATAGAAAAAATCTTTCTGAACACTGGTTTTCGCAAATAATATCGATAAATGTCAAGGATATTTTTATAAGACTATTTTTTTTTATTTTTTTTTATCGTGATTGCCGCGTTTGTCACTACACTGTCAGACAATTTTTTTGAATTGCTGTATATTACTAGTACGCTTACCTGAAATTTGATTTGTGAGTATAGTGCCGCAAATAATTTGACCCGCTAACCATGCATTTCACATTGTGATAGTGTCATACAACCCTTCTATTACGCATCAACAGGTGCGTTAAGCAGATCGCAGATTTATAATTGGATTTAAATAAACTTCTTTGCTAGCTCAATGTGCGCTTTGTACTTCACCATTTTTTACTCTGGCAGCGTAATGCATGTTACATAATAAATCTGATATCTTTGCTAGCCCGAACAACAATGGCGTGCACAACGGCTTTACTTGTTAGAAGGTGGACAATGTTTAAGCAAATCTGCTCACTTGTCAGAAAACCTTACAAAGCAAACAAACGCTCTACTTTTAATATAGCAGTTTATGTTCGTTTTCGCTGTTTAGTCATCGTTTGCTGATTGTGACAAGTTCGGTAAAAAAGGGATTAAAATTTGTGTTTATTTTAGTGACGAAGTTGTCGCTTGTTGTCAGGTTTTCGATTGCACTGGCCGAAGCGGATGGTATTCGGGTAGCGATCCAAACTGCCAATATGCCTTCTACTGCAACGCCGGAATCGGTTATATGCACAGATGTCAAGGTGGGCAAGATTTGCAAAGTTATAGCTTAATGCACAATTTAAAAAAATTAATGGCTTTAAAAAATGAATACAATAAATACAAAACAATACTCATAAGTTTTAATTAGCGTTTCGTGCTGGGAAACGTATTACAAGAGTATCAGTTAACAAAAAAAAGGCCATAACATCATTTCCGTTCCGCCAAATGAAAGGCAAAGTAAACATCTTCCTTCTCTACCATGTCGCTAAATGTAACGAGAACAGAAACTGCATTTCCTCTCTGAATCTCGATACCAATTCTTTGGCGTAAAAACTCTCCTGAGCGGGGGTTGCCTGTGCTGTCGATGATCTTTCTCGACAGCTCTTTGAAGAACTTCTTCGTCAGGGGTCCAAATGTACCTGTAGTTTCGATCGCCAGCGGCTGAACGATGTAACGGTCTGCCAGCCCGCTATATTTTTCTAACTTCCGATTTTCCCGTATTTCCGCTGCACTACCCGGCACTCTGGACGTCTGTGCGATGTACGTTTGCGCAAATGTGTCCGCCACGGTTACATCCCACACGAGCGGCTTTCCGTTTTTCCAGGGAAAAGCTGTCACACCGTCGGGCCGCTTTCCATCGCCTCTATCCAAGCCCGCCGGCTCGAGTGACGATGGCACTTTTGCCGAACTCAACGCCCGTTTGGTCGCTTCATTCAAGACTGCGTGGACACCGTGTCTTCCTTTCGCTAACTTGCATACCAGCCCATGGTGTCCTAGACTGTCTAATAATAAATACAAAACTAAAACAAAAACAAAACTAAACAAAACAATAATAATAAATACAAAACTTTTGGCAATATAAATAATAAATACAAAAACAAGCTAACTATGTAAATGACTTGTGGCAATAAATACAGAACTTTTTATCAAGAGTATAAGAACTGTATGCTAAAACACTGTTGAACTTACAAATATTTAAAATTCTTCCCCCATGCTTAGCTTAAAACTTATCGTGAGTTTGTACACCAGATGTTACAAAATTGTTGAATTAAATTATTTAATTAGGTAACTTACGGTGGAATGCATTTACTTTGTCTTGCGAGCCAAGAGAAAGAGTTCAATGCCCACGCAACGGCAACACCGGAAGTGGTCAAACCGTGGTGATAAGACCGCCAATAACGCCGGTAACTACCGGTACAATAGCGCCGCCACAAAGGCCTGGCAGCTACGGTCCTGCAACACAAAATCCGTATGGAGATTACCTGTTCACCACGCAACAGCCGTGGAATTACGGGAATGGTGGCGGTGTGTTAACATACCCATCGGTGACTACAACGGTGTCGACTTATTACACCTATTCGTCCACCCAGCATACCACGAACACTAATCCAGGATTAGGGATTGTAAGCACGTGTTAATAGGACAAACAATTACTGCTCGTTAGTGCTAATGAAGAACTTGTTTGCGGTTTGTGTATTTACAGGACCGTACTTACGACTGTCGCGGCAAAATCGGCTATTATGCGGTTGTCGAAAGTGGATGTTCACAGTTTATCTACTGTAATCCGGAAGGGATTGCGCATCGTTTTGCTTGCCCGAGCATTTTACTGTTTAACAATGTAGGTAATCGTGTTAAGCAGATCTGCTAAGCGATCGCAAAGTATCAGCGAAGATCCTACCTATACATTAAAAATGAATCGAAAATATCAAACATCATATTATTCATATACATACAGTAATACGAGTGACGCACCATGGCTTAAATTCATTTGATGGGTGAAGTACTGTAAATTCTCATAAAAATACAGGTACTTATTAAAAACTGCAATAAGTTAATTACAAACGTGTACATGCAGCAAGATATGTAGTATATATCCGTATTACCATACGTATGTTAACACCTTTAAATATTCAGTTTTAAATTGTTGAATTAGCTGCATAATGCAAAGACAAGTTATAATTTTGGGCCCGTTTAACTGTATATGTAGCTGGCTCAATAGTCTAAATTAAATGTACGTAATCTAAACAAGGATATCCAGTACTTACTTCTAATTGCAGAGTTTATCAGTTTGTGATTGGCCACAAAACGTTCGCTGTCAAAATCAATACACACCGGTAAGTCGCTTAGATTTTTGGTCATTTGCAGCCTGTAAAATTACTGCAGACACTAATAAATTTTTGATTTCGAAGGGATTTTTGCCCAACACTTTAACCCCGCCAAATTTTGATTGCCGAGGCAAAAACGGATTTTTTGCTGACCGAACACGTGGTAGTCGATTGTTTTATCTCTGTCATTCTGACGGTGGGAAATTCCAGTATGTCTGTCCAGGTATGCAAGAGTTCCGTTTATCTTCTGGGTATTTTTATTTATGCGAAAAATGAATCAAGTCGTCATGGCCAGTGAAATTTATCTAAATATTTATCGGCAATATAATATTATTGTTACTGTCGTTAGTATGATTATTGATAATCTATTATGTTATTTTTCAGCAAATCTGGTGTTCAATGAACGTAAGTTTTGTCCCTTAATTGGACTTAACGGTAATCGATACTGAGTCACTGAATTTTGCGCTTTTTTATTTAGAAACGTCCGTGTGTGATTGGCCTGACTACATGAAGCAGACTGGTTTTACTTCCGGTTCCCAAACAGTACACAGAATACTTTCAAGCTAATTAAAAATTCTCAGTTTTGATCAGAATGTGCACTTTACGTTTCTTAGGGCGGCAGAACGCAGACGTCGGCGGCCCAAGTTGAATGGAACGGACCAGCCTTGGACTGCCGGCTGCGACCCGCCGGATTCTACGCTAATCCCAACAACAATCAAGTGTACGCCCGCTGCACACCGGATGGCACCTTTATTGCCATGCCCTGCCCACAGGCTACTGTTTTCGACCAGGGACTGGGATTATGTGTTTTTCCTTACCAAGTTGGACAAGCTCAGACCTACCAAGGAAATTACGGAAGTTCGACGAATACCGGTGGCAGCTATAATAGCAATGTCAACGGTAACACGGGTGGAGCAGATTATCAAGGAAATTACCAAGTGAGACCAACAAGCACCGAACAATACCAGCCGCGTCCCGTACCAAATACAGCAACGTTCAGGCCTCCGCCGGTGGTAACGACGACCTCGTATGTCGCTCAGCTGCGTCCGTATACCGGCCCGGGAAGTGGGCAGCAACCACCGTCGGTCACTACGGTTGGATACAGTTACAATGAAATCGAAGGTATCCACTAGTGCCAAATCTACAATTAAACTAGCAATAAAACCCAAAAGGGCCGATTTTTGTTCATACAAAACAATTTGGCCGGCTTTATTAACAATTTGGAATACCTCCTCTCTACGTCTGATAGAATAGTAAAGGAAATTTAACCGTAACACCAATATAAAAACAGTTAACCGCAATATATTACAGCCAGTTGAGCGTTAACAGTAATATATAACTCTTACGCACTCGGCTGCCTTAAAAGCTGTTGGAAGCTTACGGTTCTTCTTAACATTTGCAGAAAACAATAACAACAACGACAATATTAACTACAACAATAACCAGTACCAGTACTCTACGGAACCCGAGCCCAGCGGTTTCCCGGGAACGTATCCCCCGTATACGCCACCGCAATCCCCACCACCACCAGTTGCACCGGTTAATCAGAATTTTCAATCCGGAAACAACATCGATAGTTTCTTCCAAGGCGAAGAATACAACATCCTAAGCGGCAGCAACCAGTTTTCTCCACAAAACCAAAACAAGCCCGACTATGGTTACGGTCAAGTGCAGCAAGGGAATGTCAACTACCAGCAAACCGGTCAGTCGTTTAACTACCAATTCCAAGGGGGAAATTACGGAGGACAACAGCAGCAACAGCAACACCCGGGATATGTACCAACATCACAACAAACTCCCGCTGTGTGTCTGGGAGCGGCTGGGCTGTACGCCGACCGTGCCAGCAGTTGTCGACGGTATTTTGTATGTCAGTCTGATGGGAGCGGAAGTATACGTGTGTGCCCAGGGACGTCTGTCTTTAATGAATTAACCGGTAAATGCGAAAACTCCCGGAATGTCAACTGCTTCTCTAACGCGCCGGGAATTGTGCAGCCGGTAAGAAATAGCAATGAAAATCCGTGCGGTAAATTGCAGTTCGGCTTGGAGTTTTCATGTGGTTTACGCTGTGCTGTGTTCATAGTCTGTTCCGGTATGCATGAATGGGAATAATGCCAATAAGTTTGTACCCGATCCGACCAAAGGATGCATGACCTTTTACAACTGTGAGCAAAATGGACGAGGAACCGGATTCCGTTGCCCAGCCGGCATGCAGTTCAACCCCAAAATAAATGCCTGTGACGACCCAAGGTAGTATTAAAAACGAATATATAATATATTTATATTATATAAGTCAAACTAAAATATACAGCACCTTGGAATAAATGATATTGCAAACTTATTCAAATTTAAATTTATTATTAAAATTTCCGGCGGCAAAGTTTATTACCAGCACTACACTGTAGACAATAAGTTTGTAACTTAATTACAATATGCAGAAAAGCATTGTTTTCAAATGCCATACAATTTAAGAATTAATTCGCCAAATGGTTTTGTTTGGTAGGAACTGCAACTGCGCTCCAGAGAACGGTGGAACGATTAACATCAAGATTCCTGTACCGACAACCGTGGTCACCGGCACCAGCGACATATATCGGTCAAATCTACAACAATATTCCGGAGACTATTCCACAGCTAATCAAAACATGGATCTGGATATTCGAGTTCGCCGGCCTGTCGTTACATCCGGAATGTTGCCCTTGGTTCCTGGCTACGATTCGTCTCTGTATGCTGATGCTTCCGGAAGTCATGCGCGCCTGCCAACATTTTTCTCTGACGATGACAGTTTGGGAAGCAATGCATCCTCCATTGTCCTAGATATTGTTATAGGTCCGCCTTCCAAGGAAAATACCACTTTGGTGGCTGCCAATACAACACAAGTGCCTGAAGTGGCGAATTCGAACAAAGTTTCCAAATTGGAACAGGCTGATGACGCTTTGCCGGGAGATAATTATTTTAGAATAAACAGAACTAAAAACAAATCATTAGAGAAGATTTTTAAAATTTTTACTGAGCGGCATTCAAAAGATTCTCTAAGTTAGTTAGACATTTGTTGCGTATTAAGAGCCTGTTTTGAGTTTTTTTTTTCAGAGACGCCGCTAAACAAACTGTGATGAGATTTTATTGTAAAAAGAAGTGCTATGTTTTATTCTTTGTTGAACCAAAGTTTATTGGAATCTTCCATGAAAAGACTAAAAAATATTAAAAAATGTCGATGATTGTCCGAGTATTTTTCCGCGCGCTACTTGGTGGCTGCAAAACGTTAAATATTGGCAAAACCCTCTGCAGTTTATGGTTTTTGAGTGCAGTTAGCATATATACAAGGTACTTCAGGTGCGTAGCACCCAATTAAAGGACCCAATATGCGCATTTTGAATAATATTTGTCCATACAAATGTTATTAGCTGTGTATATTTTCTTTACTTATAAAACAATAAGTCACGTCCTGGGCATTATTCTATGAAATAAGCAGAACTGACAGCTGACGGGAGACATACCGGTTTCATGAGGCGGAACTTTCATTGTCGATACGACAAAGCCACAATAAATCACGAGGCTTAATTAAGATTCCGCTTAAAATTTGCGTAGGAGTGGGAATAAACTTCTTTGCATGAATAAATATCACAAGTTAAACCTGATATCCTGAAGCGAAATTATGCTTTCTCGTAAATCGTCTTTGATTGAAGATGCTAACTCTACGGTAAATTAATGAAGGTATCGTATGATGTAGATCAGTATAAAAGTACGAGCTAGAACAGTCTATCTACTGTATGCTGAAGGTGCCGTCTTTGTAAACTCTTTAAAATATTCCATAGCATAATTCTGCAGTACTGGAAGATTTTACACGATTTTAGTTGTAACACGGCTCATATGATAAAGACAAATAATTTCAACGAACATCAACTGCACTATTTTATGCAAACAGTAAGAAACTATTGCTCATGCTTTTGCCAATTATTATTTCGCTAAGAAGTGATAGACGCTGCCGTAGTGCAATGAGTCAGTTGCGTTTGTTTTTCTGTCGAGTTGTCAGGATGCAAGTGCACTAAACTGTTCCCATAAATACAAGACTGTCGAATGCTAGCGACTCCTGACTCCACCGGATGTAGCCAATGAACTGAGTATTAGCCGGTTGTTTATACCGATTGTTAATTTTGAACTTACATAAAAAAATCACAAAAATTTAAGGTTAAACAAATTTCTGGCTGCAGGAGCGCACTTGAGCCTTTTCACACCAAAGAAACTGTAAAGTAGTGTACGTGACTGAATTAATTATTGTGCACTTGTTTTACGCAGTCCTCGAACGGATACTGAACTTTCTTTTATTATGACTCACAAAGCCAGGTCTTGTGTACTAGTGTGCGGTGGTTGATTTGATAATTAAACGCCGGGAAATCCAATTTTTAATTTTTTAGCTGGTTTTTATTCCGTTCTCGGAAAATCTGTGTATTTCTGTGCAAAGTTTTGAAAATAGTATATCAGTTTAAAAATTTATAAAATTTACAAAGGGTTTATGCAAAGTTGCTGGAACCGGTTTAGCACTAGAGCTGCTAATACGTATACTTAGACGTTCACGATAAAAGAAATTTAATTCAGTTTTACTGATACATTTCCAAATATTAATTTTCAACAACAAGATGTACAAAACTGCAGAATTATATGGCAGGGATAATGGCACACAACTAAAAGCTGGAAATCTATGCCGGTCGCACTTGCCAGAAACGTATGCTGCATACAACGTTGCATTTAGAATGCCTCGGAGATGCATTGAATTGCAAGTTATCCCATTCTTGCAAAAATCGAAATCGTGATTGCGCAGTTTCTGATGCATGCTCATTCAGATGTATACCAAATCTGTATGTTTCGCTAAAATCGCCATAGAATTTATCAGGGCAAGTAAACTCTTTATGGACTGTACTAGCGGTGCAGCACGTCGAATGGTTTTAACCGTTTCCGGGATGACCCTTCGCACCACTGTACTGATGTCATTCGCGTAATACATCATGGATTAGCATAAACAGACGACAAATTAGTTGAGGTGGATCTGCACATGCATTGCATATATTTGAGTGGAACAAGACTTTTTTCTCTGTTGAATATGATGCGAAAAAACGTCGAAGAGTACTCAGGATGTACCAGAAGTTGTAGTCAGCAGCACGTCTTGAGTAAATAATCAGTCTACTTAATAAGGGGGCGTTGTCACCCAAGTGAAACGAGATGATATCGGCGATTAGTATTTAAGCTTTAATCGTCCTGATCCTGACACTCTGTAAGTGCTGTCTGTATCTATAGGGATTTTTTTTACTGCCGGTGAGTACAACAACGCGCGCATGAAGTGATCAGCGACGGTGCTTAAGATCATTTCCAAGTGGATTTTCTGTAATATTGCTGCCTTAATTGATGAGCCGGTCTTAATAACATTTCCCCACCATCGAATGTTTCCCAGCACGCAAGGCGCAGATTGCGCTTATTAAATTTAATACCTGGACAAATGTTGTGGATTATTATATTGGGTAAGACAATAAATATCCAGCTTTTCTCGCATCGCAATAGAAAAAGTGGTTGTAAAATATGTGTTTTGTTTTTACTAAATCTATTATTAGTAACAATTAATAAGTGTATATCGATTAAAAACTACGAGTGAATTTGAGGCAATTTTCAGGATGTACCACTATAATCTCAGTAAGTAGTGTTTGTTTGTTAATGTTTTTGGTATATCTACTATTTCTGTTGGTTTGTTAAAATATTGCTCGGTGAATTGGTAATACATGTAATCAGATATATTTCATGGCTGATTAGCGTGATGGTTGCCGAAATTGATATATCATTATCAAATCCTCGCCGCCTTGCGTGAAATTTATATGAGGTACCGCATAATGTATTTGCGGTTAGAATGTTTACAATTGGGCAAATCGTTCTTTTCACGGGATATTGATTCGCCGATTATTTGCTCAAGGGGAGGATAACAATAATTGATAATGAAATGATCACATTTCAACAGTCCCGGCTATTGAGATTACGTAACTTTGTGCGTAGGATGCGTAGTGCATTCGACGTATGGAGTATCGAGCGAGAACATAACCAATTTTGACGGACCAGACCAGCCTGTTGCGGCCAAGCTCATCGGGATAGCTGTGCATGTCCCGCCCGAAACCAAACTACGCTACGAAATGGCGCGCGTGAGTAGCCACTGGCTAAACCAGGGAGAACCGGCTTAATGCATCGTGTATTTGTTCTGCAGGTGTTAAATAATACACTTGCCCCGCTAAACTTTTCCACCGTAAGAGCCGCCATCAACAGCCACCTGAAAAACGCCAATTTCAGTGGCCGCACACAGTCACCCAGAAGAAATGAGACCAGAATTAACGCGAACCAAAGAAGTACACAGGAAAAACCAAAAACAGGATCGGCTAAGGCATCTGAGACAGAATTGGTCCCAATGGAAACCATACTTGTTCCACAGGTTGTTGCCGATCCTCGCTATGACGTGCGTAAAACAAAAGTTCATTCACAATTCTTTACGAAATTTCTATGTATTTATATTTAATTAGTATAATATCATTCACAATTCTTTACCAAATTTGTACGTATTTATATTTAATTTGTGTTAATAATTGTCACTTGTATAAAATATTAGTGAACTCGGTACTTGATCGTCAGATTAACGGTACAAAAGAAGCGGTACTTTTTTGTCATAAAGGCGGTAACGTTTAATATTACTGTCTGATGGTAGCCATCACCGGGTGACGCGGCGTATCCCGATAAACCCCATCGACAGACTATCCAGGACAATGCTATACAGGATTTTGGCCCCTACTTTCCCGGCACCTTTGCCCCGATCCCCACAGCCGACGTGTGGGTGCCGCGGCCGACGGGCATGCCGCGCAGTATTACTCCCGTTGACACCAAATGCCGCGGCCGTATCGGTTACGTTGCGGATCTCGAGCACGGCTGTCAGACGTTTTTCAACTGTTTACCGGACGGATCTTACGATAAACTGTCCTGTCCAGCCGGGCTGATGTTTGATCAGGATACTTTATCGTGCCAAAAAGCTCACACGGTGGTCTGTTCAGCGGAGAATGTGAGTAGTGTATTAAGATAAACCGCCGGTAAAGCCGCTTGCCGGGTTAATATGAAAAATAAACGGAGCTGGTTATAATTGAGATGATAATAACTGCCCTAAGGCCGTAAACAACAAATACGCGTACGCTCAATACCAGTGAATGTGCCGGCTGATTGCGTAATGCCGGCAACGGTTGTTTGTATGTGATAGATTTTCGACTGTGCGGGAAAAACTGGATTTTATGCTGACCCTTTCAGTAGCGACCGAAGTTCATACTTCTTCTGCATAAATGGAGAGAAAAGCCATTTCAAATGTCCGGATGGATTATTTTTTAATGAAGTGAGGGAAAGCAGGTTTAATGCCTTGTTATGTTGTAATTATGTTGTAATGAAATCAAAAGCATCCATCAACGAAGAAATATGCAGTGACAATTATTTCCATCATACACATGCTTTGTATGTTTTCCTGTGTAGAACTGCGGGGCATGCGATTTACCGCAGAACTGCGGTCCAGCGGCACCGGCATCGTACATGCTTTCTGGACCGCTATTCAGTCGTGATCGGCCAAGTTCTCAGGCTAATGTTCCATCAACGTCAAACAAGCAGCTGGCTAACAATCAGCAAAGTAAACTACTTACTTCATAATTTTCAAGACCTTTGACGCTTATTCTTTCTTGTGATACACCATGAGGCGATGCAGTATTCCCTGCAACTGGTGATTTTTTGGTTTGCAAATGCAGTACCTTCTCGCAATGGAAATATTATTCAACAAGGCTCGTTTCCCCATTCAAGCGATGTGGCTCCAACTGCAGCAGCGGATCAACTGACGGCAACTCCAATAAATGCTCGTTCCCAAGATCCACTATCCAGGGGAAATTCTAACGGCATTAATTTTCAAGGTCCCGATGTATGTATGAAAACCCTACAACATCCAGAATCGTGTGAATACGCAGTATTTTTTAAAAGTTAGGTATTTTCGTTTTTTATCGAATTCCAAACGTTACAGAATTCTATTTTTTTCTCAACAAAATTAATCTTGAACAGAAAATTATAGTAATAAATCTTTCGCAATTTTTATTGACGCTTGTAACAGCTTGTAAAGTTACGCACAGCCCGGCTTTTTTATTGAATCGATTGAACAACAGTTTAATGACTTGCCATTGTCCACTGCAGGAGTTTGACTGTAGCGGACGGTATGGTCTGTTTGCGGATATTTCATCGGGATGCACATCCTACTGGTAAGTGGTCGCCGGCATCCCCCGCCTGTTCTTTGAGTGCTTTGATAGAGAGACCCCGGTCTGATTCATGCACCACTGGCTCTTGTATTGCAGGGTGTGCATGCCCAACGGTCTAAAACATCTCCTACAGTGCCCCGCACACTTAAGATTCAACGAACTTCTTGGTGCTTGTGACTGGCCGGATCGAGTTTCCTGTAGTTCGCTAATGGTGAGAATCACCTTTTGTCATCAGTGACTCCAACGTTTACAGTATGAGCGGTTTCCGGTCACAGGTTGGAGGGGGCTTTTGTGCCGACAAGATTGGCTTCTATCCAGATCCAAATAGTAACTGCAAGTCGTATTATTTTTGCTCAGCCGAAGGAAGAACGTACAAGTAATGCGCCCAATACGGCCACCGGAATGTTGGTTTTCATTTGTTGAAAAGTTAATCATTTTTAGCTTCACGTGTCCGGGAGTGTTGTTATACAATGAGGTCAAGTAAGTGCAAGTCATAACAATTCATTTTGACGCCTCTTAAATCCTTAAATATTATGTGTTATAATATTAAAGGTAATATCACGTTCTTATTAATAACAATATTGATAAATCTAATGAATACAGAATAAGAAATGCTTATCGTTTTCTCTCTGAAATTATCTTCCCAGTTATATTTTGTTGTGATTGTTGTTACTTGTTATGTAGGTGTTCTGGTCTAAAAATTTTGGTTCAACCCACGCATTTACGATCACTACATTGCAAATGCAGTTTACCTTATTTTGTAGCGGAGCCTGCGATGACCCCCAAAACGTGCACTGTTTGACTGCCCGCATGCTCGATGTAACCTAAACTACCAATTACCAAATTATGTTTACTTTTCCTAACAATTCTGTGTTTCGGTGCAGGGATTCGACTGTGCGGGTAAAATGGGCTTATTCGCCGATGTCGCGCAAGGATGTCGTGTCTATTACAGCTGCAATGCATATGGAAAGAAGACCCGTCTACAGTGTCCGCAAGGGCAGATATTTAATGAAAGTATGGTTTCACTGATTAGTAATCACATAATTTTTACTGTTGCTAGTGCAATTTGACCAAGAGCCACTTCGCATGTAATAGGATCAGGTATCTGCGACATGGAAAGAACGGTACTGTGTGGGCCGGACGGTAGCACGACAGCCTTTGACATGGGCAACGCCTTGGATTCTCGCAGCATCACACATATGACTGCGAACACCATCCCCAACTTCAATGTCCAGACACCACCGACCATAACATTGTTTGGATCACCACCCATAGGGCATTCGGGGCACGAAGAAGCGGGAGCCTTTACAGACATGCGAGATAGGCAGCAACATGGGCCGCCGGGCAATATGCCGCAGCCCAATCTGCCATCGGTCCTGTCTCCACTTCCGGTAGATGTGCCGCATCAGGAACAGATCATTCCCGTCGACAATTTCCGGCCCAAAGAGAGGCCAAACTTCAACGTTCCGGATGGATTTGGTCCTCCTGGTCAAAATAACCGACCAATAGATAATGGACCTCAAGCCGATATACCCAGCAGAAATAACTTTCCCGCGGAGTTTATACCGCTACACAATCTAAATTCCCAACCGAATCCAAACAATTTTGATCGACCACAAAATGAAGGTAGTTTTCCGCAGGGCGAACAACAGCAGAATTTCCAGGGAATGTTTTCGCCGCCGAGACAGCAAGATGGTAATATTCCGCATGTTCCCAGTCATCCTGAGAATCAGCAACGACCTTTTGTTCCCGAGCGTCCAGTGAACCCAGAGCGCCAACCGATTGCCGATCAGGCGCCCAATTTTCCACCTGGACAACCGAATATTGTTAGCCACTCTGACACTCCACAGCGTCCGCTTAATCAAGACTTCCCCAACTTTGCTGGCGGACAATCAAATAACGGCTTTAACCAAGGGGATCAGCCGATCAGAGACACAATGTTCAACACAATGTTTAATCTTGGTCAGCCGAATCGGGAAGCACAGCCGAATACCGTATTTAATCAGCCGCCGCCTAATCCCATACCTAACCAACCGCTGCCTAACCGAGAGTCAGTCTTCAACGGAAACAGCGGTGACCTCCAACACCAGAATCAAAATCAAAACCCCATCAACCCGATCAACGCTCCCGCAGCGCCAGGTCCAGGAGCCCAGGCAAACAATGGACCATTCCAACCGGGTAACATCCCGATTAATGATCAGCCACACCTGGGGATACAGGCCAACAACGCCGGGTCAGGGTCAGCGCAGAACAATAACTTCCCGCCTAATCAGCAGCAGCCAGTATTCCAAGGCAACACTGCGCCTCAGCCGAGTTTCAATATAAACGACCGACCGCCGCAGCCACAGCAAAACATTCCGAATCCGATTGACTTCTCCGGAAGAATTCCAATAACAAACCATGAAAACGGCGATAAACCCAATATTCCCATAAGTTTCCCACCCGGGCATCAGAATCAGCAATCAGCAGAAATCGAAAGTAGTCGTTTCCCGATGAACAATAATAACAATAATAATAATCAAAATGGGCCTCAGCTGGCACAGCCGAATACATTCCCGATCAACAGCGGGCCACAAATCGACGACATAAATTCCGTCGGAATTCCTAACCGGGCATTCGGTATTTCGCCTCCCATTGGGGCTGGTTACAGTGCCGAACAACAGCCATCAATTCAGAACAATTACCGTCCAAATACCGGATACGGCGTAGCGCAACCTAATACCGCGGCGGGTCTGGGCGGCGTGCAACCGGTGCGCCCGGAAGGTGGGCACAGCTACCAACCGAACAACAGACCCGAGGGACAAAATAGCGGTTACGCTCAACCGAACACCGTCGGCGGTTACCGCCCACCACAAGGCGGCTACGGCCAAGCTCAGCCCAACACGGCAGTGGGTATCACCAACATCCAGCCGCAACCGGCACCCGCTTATAACAATAATCCAACACCCGATGCCGGCAAAAATTATGGCGGAGACCATGGCTATAACATGGGCGTGAATCAGGAAAATTATTTTAATGTGAACGCACAGCAAGGTCATATTCCGGATAGCAATCAGTATGGTGATGCGCATTTCGACGGTGGATTGAATCAAAATGGGGGCAATCAAAATGGCGGCAATGTGGACTACAACAACCAGGAACCGCAACGTCCGGTGATAAATGCTGCGACGGGATATTTTGCCTCGGTACCGCAATCCGCCGCGGGAGGATATGGACAGACGAATAATGGAGGTTATGGGGAAGGTGGAGGGGGCGGAGGATATGGTATGCAGAACAGTGCGAATCAAGTAAGACTGTCATCACCGCTTTTACAATTCTCTACATCGAACAATATTAATTTTTGCTTTTTTAGAATGAGTTTAGTTGTCGCGGTCTGATTGGATACTATCCCGACCTGAACGCCGACTGCCGTAAGTGACTACTCAACTAGCCCGTGCACGGTCTGTTGGCAAATTATTTATTTATCAAAATAAAATCTCGTTGATCTTGTTATAGGAGTGTACTACTACTGCAAAGCGGATGGCTCCAAGTTCCAGTTCAGATGTCCAGGTATACGCCAGTATTCATAACTGCTTTAGCAGCGCATATAAATTTCCAAAATGTGTACCTTCGTAAAAAAACATACAAGCGAAAGTTTTTTGTTTCCGAAAGATGGACAAAATTCTTAAAGACGATAACAATGCACAAGATTTAGTAATGATCGAACTACACATAGTTTTGGATTACGCTTATAGTTATCCGTTACAGCTGACTTGCGTTACAATGCCACTATCGGGGTCTGCGACTGGTCGCGCAATGTCAACTGTCAAATGCAACGTCCCGGACCGGTAAACAAATCATACCAACAAATTATATTTGGGTATTGTGAAGATTTGTTTTCAGGGCAACATTCCAACCTGGAATGAATCCCCTTTCTTTGACTGCCAAGGACGAACCGGCTTCTTCGGTGACTCAGCTCGCGAATACCGCGTCTTCTATTACTGCGAAAGAGATGGACGGAAGCACCGATTCGTTTGCCCGTCTAACTTACGGTTTAATGTAACCAGTTTTCTGTTGGTAGCATTTTCTGGATCATGCATGTTTGTATATTTTCCTACAGGATGCACGTGCAGCTTGCGACTGGCCGGAAAACATCTTCAAAGGACCATACGTTGGCGTATGTTAATCAGCTCTGAAATATGTTAGTATAACTGACCCAATCGACCTTCGGCTTCAGGAACAAGAATTCGACTGCAGTGGAAAACGAGGCTATTTTGGCAATCCCAACACGCCCAGCGTCTACTATTTCTGTGAACAGGATGGAACAGCAAAGAAGTTTGTCTGCTCGGATAGGCTAATTTTCAATTTCCAAATCGGATCCTGCGACTGGCCGGAAAGATTAAACATGAACAACAATGGCTTCATGGATGGTGTCAGCCCGATGTATCGTTCCGATTTGCCGGGTGATGGTTTGCATACACAAGGAAAAGAGGCGGCAATAGGGGTACTGCTTAATTAAAAACCTTTTCCGTCGCCAATATAAATGTAAGACTTCACTGGATATAGTTGTAAGTTTTACAGATGTCAATCACACCCATGGATGCTCAAGGATCGCATTTACAAACATCTCTGCTTAAATCACCATTATCGAAGAACACTTTCCAATGTACGCCGGGGAAATACGGATTCTTCTCCGACGTTACTACAAATTGCCAAAAATACTTTTACTGTCGCGTTGACGGCAAGAATTTTTCTTTCTCCTGCCCTAACAATGTAAGTATCCCGGCATGCAGTTTTTCTCTAAATACACACTAATTTGAGGTGATCATTGTGATTGCAGCTGCGTTTTAACGAAAAACTTGGTGCATGCGATCTGGAGCGGAATGTCCCGTGCATTGCTTCCGGCTCACCGGGTTTTGCTCAGCTGGCTGTGCAAGTATGTTCAGTAGAAATATTTACACAATTTTTAGCACTGATAATAAGAAATTATTATTATTCTTATTGCAGAAAACGTTCTTTGATTGCAAAGGGAAGACCGGTTTACTTCCCGATTTAGAAGAGAAGTGCCGGACATTCTTCAATTGCGAGCCGGATGGATCATTCGTAACGTTTGCCTGCTCGGATGGACTTCTGTTTAATTCTCTCATTGGAGCCTGTGATAGGGCCGATAGTGTACAGTGCAAAACAAAAAGTCTAAATCAAACGCTTAACTGGAAATTAGGAATGTGAGAAATGTGGCGATGACATCTTTGGTTTTGACAGGGTCAGTCATGTACAATAAATTATTAATAAAATATACCTTTAACTACGAAATCAAATCTGTAGTACACATATTACTACAGAAAGCTTATATTAATCATCATATAGAATTGTGTATTTAATGAATTATTTACATGAACGTTAGGAAACCGAAAATCCCGCATCAAATCCAGATAAATACCACACCTCACCAATGTGAAAATAACCCCGACTGACGACCAGCTTCTTAAGTAATTAATTATTATGACACGTTACATAAAAGTGTTTCCCGGCACATTTCTGGCAGAACGTTAAATATAAACATAGGCAACAATGCCTACCTGCTTTTCCTGCCGCATTAGCAGAAGTCGAAGTGTAATTCTTAAAATATCCATAGAGTCCAGACTCCAAAATAAAGCTGTAACATGTATCACCAGTATTCAACTTTCGAAGATTACCGCGTAATCATGAACCCGTGATCGATACTTACTTGCCCGTTTTATGATGAGACCTTCCATGCGAACGACGGTCAATGGGTAGTGACGCGTCCAGGTGATTACAACGTACAATAGAAAAATGCCACATTTGTTTACAGTAAACAGCAGCACATGGAAAGCTGCACCCGGCATGGGCGGCTGCAGCAGCAAAATGATGCAGTGAACGGATCTGCACTAAATCACACACGTACCGGCGCAAGACAATCCTGGTGGACAGAGAGATCTCTAGTCCGATCCACTCATCGAGTAATGCAGGCATTCCTGGTACACGACCACACAGCGACGTAGTTGGTCCGTCTTTCCGGTCATAATTTAACATGATGACTTGACATAGTATATAAATGCATCCTGAGCAGAAGTATTTCAGATGCATTTTTAAACGTTTAGATAATATGAGAGATTGCACTTGACGGACAGCTGCACTAGCCGGCGCTGTCATTTTTCCTTCGTCCAATTTACTCTACCGTAGCCTTATTGTATCATTTCCGGTTGTAACTATCTCTCCTGATTGTTGTGTTGTTTAAAGCATTGTGTCTTCTGCCACAGTTTACAACTTTACTCTAATGAGTGCAAGTTGTACATGAATGTATGTACACAAGATGAGCGTTGCAGGTAGACATAATACGCGCACCCCAACTGACCCATGATACTCTCTGCATATGCTAATGTGGCTCTAAACACGATACTGTTAACGACGTACGGCGATATATTTTACAACAATGACCTTCGTCTTTGACCATCAAGGCTGATCGTACAGTAATTTTTTCAATCATCTTTACCATGAACGGCAAATTTTGTTGCGTTTTCTGATCGTTTCCTTGGACAGTTTGTGGATCTTACGAATTATTGCATATTCACAATTAGCACGCGGGTGAAAATATACTGAAGACTTGAATTAGGTAGACTGAGCGACATTGTTGATGGTGAATCTGAATTACTGTACAGCTATTGCGGAAATTGTCCATCACCTACTCACACGAATGAAAGATAAGCCGGTAAGCAAGGATGTTTATTTGAAATTATTAATTGATGTCGGCAGTCGCTAGCCGCCCATAATGCGACCGTTATTTTGACTGCCATCCATCCATTAAAGTGGTTTTACAGTGTACTGTTGCATCTGCATGACCTTTAAAAATGATCGAGGCTTCAGCCATGTCTGGGATAAACTGGAATGATTAATGCTCGTGGACGGCTACATCGATTCCAGACGATACATTGACACCATGGAGGCGATATTTTGTGTGGGAAGTACGTGGGTTTCTGCTCTTGAAGATCGTTTCATTGCTCGATTTTGCGAAGTCTAGTATTTCAAGTTTTTTACTTACTGCTTCCAGGTGTTTTTACTTTTGTACTTATTCTGTGGATGGAATTTTGTTCTGCCTTGAATGAGACCGCTCAAATCCTCGCAGTAAATACTACTCAGGTATGGAGACTGAATATTTCCAATAGCTGTATTGTAAAAGCTTCAGCGCATGCGAAAAATACATGAGCTGCCCGAGAATATACAAATAATTATTCAAAATTCTAATCTGAGCACTGAATAGTAATACAAATAGTGTTATTAATGGTCAGAATAGCCTCCGCAAAAGAATTGTCCGGTTACCAATATGATGTACTCACATGCTTAATTGTAACTGCATGGAAGCTGTAGTTCTGATCATTATTGGAGAAACTTGTCAAAACATTATCGATAAAACAAATCAAAAAAATCAAGTACCTACTGTGCATACCTGATTACAAGATAATGAAATAATAATACATAAAATGATAATAATGCCTGTACAAAAATAATGAAAATGTTTGTACTCGTATTTTACGTTCATAAGTATTATTGTAAACTATCAGGTTTATCGTAACTATAAATTGTGAGCTTTTTATTGTAAAAATTTTAAATTCTAGAGTACTGCAACAAGTATAATAAATTTAATGACTAGGGTAGTATTTATTAAGATAATTTTAACTGCATATAGTATTGTGTACCTAGAACAGCGGGACCACTGACCGGATTTAATAAAACAAGCGTAGAGGCTTTGTTAGTGATACTCTTTGGCAGCCAGCTTTATGAGCATTTAGGTTTCGGTGACTCCGAGGCGATCCGCCGGCTCAACGGGTTTGCTGTGGGATAAACCGTAAAGATGTACGCTACTGTTTAATCCCAATGCCTTTGTTTACAGCTGACAATAACACTGAATGCGGACGTTCCGAACAACCTCACGTCTGCGCGAAACATAAGCAGCAGTAGCTGCGTTGGAAAAAATGGATTTTATCCGGATCCCACCAAAGCTTGTGCGGTATATTATCTCTGTTCTCCAGATGGATCTCGTGTGATATTCGAATGTCCACCAGGACAAAGGTTTGACACTGCGGATCAAGCATGTGTCAATGCAACATTGGTGCAGTGTGCCGAAGAAGTAAGCATAAGGTTATCGTGTCCATTACAATCCATGCCGCGAAAAGCTTAAATAACTATCAGCCGTTTCAAAGTTAGGGCCGTTATGCTATTTACAGCTAATCAAAACTATAATATGTTGCGGATTAAATGGTATCACAAAAGCCATACCGCGAATAATTTACAAGCGCCGCCTGTCCGGTAACCTAAAGTGCTTAAAAACCATTTGCATCCAAAATCCCTAGTTAGTATTATCACTAGGGCCTATGATTAGTTTCGCATTACCAAATAATCATATCCAATTTTTAAGAAACGTCAACTGATTCTGCGCCACATTAAATTCGTCTAACATTTTATTTATTAGTGGGCAAAACAATTTTATGCAGGTAACTTTCTGACCTTTTTTCGTTCGAATTCCAAACTTGACCTGGACCAAATGATTGCTTTTATTTGGAGCCTGTGCTTTATATAAATTTAGTAGTAATATAGTACCATTTATTAGTCAGCTAACTTTTGGTACCGCACAAAAAAATTATAAGTGCGCATTGTGTCGATGGATGAGCATTCTCCAAGCAGGAGTAACACGATTAAACGACTCTGACAAAATTCACACACCCTCTTGTCCAGTTTTACTGCTCGTGCAAATAGCATCAGATAAAGAACGAAAGTTGATATCGTTTATGCATTTATTATTATTAACCTGGAAATATTTCGTTAAAAGGCTTTGTATTGTGTTTGATTTGTATAAAAAACTCTTCACATCACTGCTACTGTAATTTAAATGCAATAAGATGAACAGTGAACATGATCTCTTAATGCAGGTGAATGTAATAAAGCCGGTGACACCAGCTAGTAGAAAGCGCTTACGAGCATTCGGCCCAGAAAATTTTGCCGTAACGAGTACGGACTTCTCCGACTGGAAATCTGTTGACCACCTTGCCCTAGAATCTGATCTCAGCGACCAAATGCAAACTGTCATACCAGATGACAGACCCATCACAACGTCCATTCCCTACAGTAACGAATACGCTACCCAGCTGCAGTCGCGTATCGGTGGCATCTTCTCCAAAACGTCATCTTCACCATTCGTTAGCCCGGTGGCCTCGAGCTCCAATACGGTCAACACGGTGCAGCGTTCGCCGGCGGGGGTGTTTGACTGTCAGAATCGACGCGGCTACTTCCCCGATGTGATGCAGAGGTGTAACAGTTATTACTTTTGCGACGGAACGGGTCGTGCGCTGAAATTCCAGTGTCCGTTGGATCTGGCATTCGACCAGCCGAGTCAGGCTTGTGTGTATCCGCATAAAGCCATGTGTCCCTTTCCACAAGATGACGGTAGTGATTTCAACAATAAGCAGCTGAATGTCGCCAATAATCAGCAGCAAGCCGGCAACATGCCTAGCTCGTCCAGCTTCTCTGTAAACAACCAAATAGCCGGTGGCCAACAGACAGGAAGCCTTTTGGGCAACGGACAACAAGGAAGTGTTTCTTATTCGTATCAATCGACGCCATCGGGCCCAACAACAGGAGCCCAGAGTTTGACCGGTTTCCCAGCCGGTCAAGGTTTCCAGTCAGTTGGTGGTTCGGCAACTGCTTCAGGAAATACCGGGACAACAGCAGGATTTGGTAATGGTTTTAACCAACAGAGTGCATCGGGGCAGCAAGGAAGTTTTCAACAAGGAAGTTTCTCCCAAGGACCCTACACTGGAGGACAGTCAATAACCTCGTCGCCTAGTGTTTTTTCATCACCGAATTCCCAACAGCAGATTGGTAATCAAGTTGGATCCCAGCAGCTACAACAACCGTTTCCCCAACAAATAGGATTTCCAGCTGGATCTCCGATAAATGTCCCAAACCAGCAGCAAAATGGAGTTACAGCACAACAAAATCAGTTTACTCCGAATCCTCAAAATGTTTTTAACGGAGGCCAACAATCCTTTCAGTCTTCGTCCACCGGGGGATATGGATATGGTCAATCTCAAGGAATTACAAACGCACCTGGATTGGGCAACTTTAACAGGCCGGGTATCGGTTCCACCCAACCTCAGCAGTCGTTCGGCGGTCAACAACAACTGCAGACTCAACAGCAGGCACCTGCGTTTTCAGGTGGGGGGTCATATGGGGTGCCCCAAGGTGGAGGCTTGCCTATTTCCGGGACGACCTTCCAGCAAATTGCTCCGCCTGCGCTAAGTACATAATGCACGTAAATGTAGACATTGTGGATTTGTACATACTAAATAATATCGTAGAAGTTTACATTTTGGAACTATACACTGTATTTTAGCGATATACCGGGACGTACAGCATACAGACACATATATATATATATATATATATATATTATAATATTTATAGATACAATATCTCTCCGAACAGTTACCGTATAAGCCTGTACTGTAAAGTCATTCTACATCATTTACTTCTTATTTTATACCATTACGCTGTATGGTGAGTACAGTTTTCAACGTTTTGTTGTAATTAATCAAACGGCTAAAGTTAAATGACAAAAAATAATTACTGAATGTTCCTGGTTGCATTGTACAGGCACCGGTATTATGCAGTTAGCACCTGGGAATTCTCAGCAGACTTCGTTTGGCTCTCAGGGCCAGTTTTCCAACTCCATTCCTCAGCAGCCATCACGACCGTACCAACAGCCGCCTACTCAGCCACCTTTTCAACAACCTCTCCAATCAGGAGGGTTTCAAACACCGACACAACCAGCAGGCCAGTTTCAGACGCCAACGCAGCCGGGGCAATTTCAAAGTCAGCAGACTCAACGGCCACCGTTCCAGCAAGCTCAGCCCAATACTTTCCCGACACAACAACAGACACAGCAGCCAAGCTACGCTACATTCGGTCCCGCTGGCGGATATGGTGGTGGTTCTCCTGGACCTTCTCAGCAAATTATCCAGCCGCAACCAACGCCTTCCTTCACACCACCAGCTTCCCCACCACCTCAAGTTTTTACACCAGGACCTATAGGCCCCGGTTTGCCGACACAACCACCATTTGCCACGTTACCGGGATCATCCGCATACGGCGGGGGCAATGCCCAGCCTACCAATCCTACCGCACCGGGTGCAGGTCAAACTGGCCGCGACGAGCCGCCGGTGTCACCGCCACCGGCAGCAAATACGACGACGCAAGTTGTGCCGCCTATGGAAGGAGTTGCACTCTCGGTGACGGCTGTAACACCCACACCGGCCAATGTCACCAAATCAACACAGGCTTTAACGGAAGCACCGGTGCCTTCCATACCGCAGATCGATGCTTCCTGCAACGGTTTACCCAGGGGTTTTTATCCTCTCCCGGGATGCCGGAAGTATTTTTACTGCTCCACATTTGGCGAACGTCTGAACTATTCCTGTCAGACAGGGAAGATGTGGCATCCACAACGGTCGTTATGTGAAGACGAAGAGAAAGTCGTTTGCCCTGTGCCGGCTTCCAAAGATGTGAGCTTTATTTCGACTACTTCAACTGTAGATTCGGTTTCAGCTAGTGTCGATTTAGTTCAGCGTTAACGGTTTGAAAGAACAAATTCTGAGATAATGGTCCCTAAATTTTTCCAATAAACTAGTAAAGTGCATCACGAAATCGAAGCGTGCCAAAAGAAAATGCTACAGCCTCAGTTTAATTATAGGTTTCGATGGCATTCTTATTAACTATCCGACTGCATTCAAAACTTGCAAATTATACTCAGGTAGATTATCCTGCAGAACACTGTACACTATTATAACTCAAAAGTGCAAAAGAAATTAATTCAGAGTAACAATTTCATTCTTCACAGAATCCGTTCGAATTACAAGCGGATGATGCGCTTGGTTTGCCTGGTCAAAAAGAAGTTATTTGTGCCGGAAGGATAGGGAATTTTCCTGATACCGTCTCGGGATGCCGCCGATTTTATCGATGCTTGCCCAACGGTCAGATCGAGAAGCATCACTGCGCGGAAGGAATGCTTTTTAGTATACAGCAAGATATTTGTATGACCCGAGACCTGGTGAAATGCGGCAACCATACAGTAAGTAATGGTGTATAATGCGCCGGTTTTTTTAAATTCTTGTCTGTAATGAATTTTTATTTTTCAGGCTCAGACCGTTACCGGCGAAACAACTGGTTTCACCGTGACAACATCACCCTTCGGTACTTTTCCACCAGTTATCCCGACCAATAATCCGCAAACTTTCTGTGGCCAGTTGCCGCCTGGGCGGTATGCCAATCTGCAAGATGGATGTCGCTCTTTCTGGATTTGCGATGAAACCGGTCTGGATAAAGTGCAAAGTTGTCCACCGGGGCTGCTTTTCGATAACACCGTCCAAGCCTGTGACAGTCCACAGAATGTGGATTGTACGAACCGAATAACCAACCAGCCCGCAAATGACGGCGAGACCTTTATTCGACAAAATTCTATTAAGCCATTCGTGACTTCCACCATGGTGCCGCAAATTTCCAACTTTAACTGTGCCGGTCAAGGTGGTTTTTTTGCTGACCTCCAGGCTGATTGCAGGTAGGGCAACTGTTTTTACCCTACTGAAAACAGACCTTTAAAACATATACATACCGGTAAAACCTTTTAAAAGGTTACTATCAATATCAATGCAGGATAATTTTGCAGAGTTTATCACTATTGTGGCAACGACGGAAAAGCCTTCAATTTTACCTGCCCTTCTAATTACCGGTATTCCGAAGCCAAGCAAGCCTGTGATGTTCCGGAACTAACACCGTGCGAAACCAAATTCATTACGCCACAAGGCACGTTTACATTTATGACTGCGACTGGATTTACGCTTCCTCCATCCACCTTCGCAATGACGTCCCCGACTGAAATGCTGCCGGAAGCTTCGCATCTCCAGCCTGCTGTCGTGGATCCGGCACCTGAAGATACGTTGCAGAACCGATGGTTTAAATTTACGGAATCGCCATTTTTTAATAAAGCGGATATGTCAAATGAATGGCATGCCTTGCGACCTTTTAACGTTAACGACAACTTACGAATGGGCAGAATGATGACGCGCCAAGGTCGCCCTGCGGTTGCCCTTTTGTCGCAAACTTCTCCAACAGGAACGCAAAGCTCGATAATACAAAACCTTACTGCAAAAGCGGGAAACGATCGCCTGAAATCCAGCCAAAGAGTGCGCAATCACAACAATAATTTCGATTTTCAGCAAGGATTTTTCGAGGACCAGTTTCAGTTTCAACCACCACCTCGTACACCGCTTCCCAATGAATTTTTTTCGCAGGACAACTTCACCCCGTTTGTGCGACCTCACTTGAGAGAACCCGGACAGCTGGTTGTTAATGCCGAAAGTACACCGTTTGCACGGCCGAATTTTCGAGAACCCAGTCAATTTGTCAATATGGAGAATAATCCGAACATTCCGTTTATCAGGCCACATCTCACCGAACCCGGTCAACTGGTTAACTCGGGACCGAACGCCTTTATGAGAAATCCCGATCCCCGGCTGATCAGCCCTCAGAATTTTTTCGAAAATCAAAACTTCGATTCCAACCTCAGAACCCCGCTGAACGGCTTACCACGACCTCCGGTTACGGATAATTCATTTCCCTTCAATCCTCCAGCTCAGATACCGTTCCCGCCGGCAAATCCGATTTCTTCCGGAATGAATGGTCCCTTAGTACAATTAACACCTCCCACACCGTTCCCACCGTTCAACCGTCAGACGGAACCCGAATCGATATTCAGTCAAATTCAGGATACGGCCAACCCACCCACATTGCCACAGCAGTTTACGACAGGACCTTTCCCCGGACAATTTGAGCATTTTAACCCGAATGCCAACTTCATTGCCCACACCGAGTTTATGAAACAGCAGCCCATGACCACATTCCCCACACCACCACCCATTAATCCATCTTTCAGTTTTGAAGACCCCGCCTCACGATTGGAACCGCAGTTCGTGCAGACGCCCATCATTACCACTGTAGCGCCGCTGCAAGTGGAAGTCTTGACTCCCCCTCCGACTACGACCACCACGACATTTCGTCCACTGACCAGGCCGATTGAATGCCCACTGGGCAGGATGGGCTACTTTGCCGATCCATTGGTCGAATGTCGGCGGTATATTTTCTGCGATGGGAAAGGCGGCCGCGCGGAATACACATGCCCGCCGGGAATGGCCTTCAACACCAGCTTGGTGGCGTGCGATCTGGAGATTTTCGTGCACTGCGAAAAACCTTCGGAGCTAATGCCATTTAGTCTCACGCCCACCGCCACGCCCTCCATTCCTACGGCGCGGAACGCTTGTTTTGGACGCACAACGGGATATTATGCTGATTTCACGTCGGGATGTCGAGAATATTTTTACTGTGCTCCTGCTGGTGTTAGTGGGTTTTCGGAAAAGATGGATTTCCACTGTCCGGCGGATTTCTTATTTGATGAATATAGAGGTGTTTGTGTGGAGAATGGTCAGTGCATGGTTGTCGAGAAGCTGGCACAAGATCAACTGGACGCTGCGGCTTCGACCAATCAGGGAGTTTCTCGGCTGCAGGTACAGCATATATACACCTGATCGTAACATTGAACTAAACGTCATTTGCAATTTTTTTACATTTACAGGAGCGGTTTCCTCGACAGTTCGATATTTCATGGAGTCATCCCAACGATGCCAATTCTCAATTTACGCTTCCTGCGCTGCCAGAGAGACAAAAGGACGAAGCTGTAATTCCGTGCCGAGAAAACGGCAAATTTGCCGATTTCGATTCAGGCTGCATTGGCTTTTGGAACTGTGAATCACCTTTCCTTTTTGCCAAATTCGTCCGCTGTCCGCCTGGAAATTTGTTCGATCCCATTTCCAAGCACTGCATCGCTTCGTATTTGGTACAGTGTCTTCCAGCCCCCGACCAACCTGATAAAAAGGGGAAGACCGCTAAATTTAGCTGTTTTGGCCGAAATGCTGGTTTTTATGCAGACATCTCTGATGGTTGCCGTAAATTCCACCATTGCACAGTAGACGGCGACATATTCAGCTACACGTGCCCTTTCGATTGGATTTTTAACGAAGTATGCTCTCTCACAGTATTGCATTAACAGAAAATAAGCGTAACCCATATAATAGTATGCGTACTATCTTTCATAAATTAAAGTTGTCGTACAATTTTAGAAAGTTGGCGAATGTGTCCAACCAGACAACCATACCTGCCCGGTGTTCGCGATATCGAAGTATAATGATTTTGACTGGTAAGGAGATTAAAATGTAAAGCCATCCAGTTTTGTTTTTTGAGTTTGTGTTCATTGACGCATATTTACATGCGAATTTCTTCCAGTTTTGGTAAAAGCGGCTATTATGCTGATTTCGGACAACACTGTCAAGTCTTCCATTTGTGTCGACTGAATGGTTCCCGCACAACAATGTCCTGTCCACCGGCAATGGTTTTCGACGAAAACGAAGCAAAATGTGTATATGGCAATATGTGCGTCCCACCCTTACCGCCGGCTGAACTGGTGGGTATTTCCAAAATATAAGAACAGTGTTACAGTAAAATTATTATATGATTATCTTAAGAATATACTTATTCAGTTAACTATGTCTGTAAGTTCCATTACCGAAGAAATCGAATGTGCCATTGCAAACTCTTCGCTTTTACTGTTTGCCCATTGTATTTATTTTATAGTTTGAGCAGTCACTTGGTGGGTCTCCGGCTCTTCCCAGGATTTTTGAATGCCCACTGGGTTCGACCGGGTATTTTGGAGACCCTTTGTACGGCTGCCGGGTGTACTGGCAGTGCGTAGATGGTCTAAAACTGCAGAACAGAACTTGCCCAGGTACACATGCCGTTCGCCATTAAAGCATGGTAACTGATAGTTTACGCAGTAATTGACATAAACAACTCTTTCAGGTTACCTTCGTTTCAACGCATCAACGGAAATTTGCGAGCGCCCAAATCATGTTATTTGCTTGGACCCTCTCATGCTGGAGCTGATATTCCCTGTAAGTGACCTTTTGTAGTTTTATTACACACACCTGTGTAGACTAACGTTTTGCCATTCAGGCTACATTATGAGTATGAATTAAACAAGTTTATGCATTCAGGGTCTCATTCGGGGGCCTTTTACGCCCGATCTAATTCCAAGTGCTCCCACGCAGCAATTAGTTAGCGACGGGTTCAGCGGGTTTCCTACAGCAGCATTTTCCCCTAAATCGGAAGTCATTAATGGAATGAAACAATTTTGTGAACCTGGCTTCTACGGTTATTATGCCGAAGTTCGCAGTAACTGCCACAGTAAGCCACTTATTTTGTGCCTTGTGATTAAGGGAACGGATATTTATGAGCAGACATTTAACACAAACTAATAATATTTTTATTTGCAGCATTCTTCCACTGTGAACGAGATCTAACGAAAAAAAATTACGTGTGTCCGGGTACGTACTTATGAAACCTACTTACGAACTCATGCCTAATACGCAGCTTATAAATTTTTTTCTGCACGATAATAAAGATGCTATGGAAGTTATTCATGGTCATCTGTGTAGGGCACATGATGTTCAATGAAACTCTTGTACGATGTCAAGAGCCGGGGCTTTCTGGATGTATGTCGACCAGACCACGTTCATTATTTCCTCAAAATACTGTAAGCTGCTAATGAATTTTGACAGCATTCTATGTCTACAAATTAAGCTGTAATAATGCAAGTCTAGGACACTTACAGGATGTTCAGCTGGACATAGGTCACGCAATCTCTGGAAATATGTTGTGTCGAAATCGTGTGGGACTAGTCGCTGATGTGGCAACAGGGTGTCGACACTTCCTAATGTGCCATCTCAATGGAACTTTTTTCAATCAAAGTTGCCCTGGAGGCTTATTATTTAACGAAAAATCTTCTTTCTGCGAGTGGCCATTCCATGTACGCTGCGGGGATTCGATAACTTCGCAATCCGGTTTCGGGTCCAATTTCGCGATGCCAAATGGCCTTACACGGGAAACGGTGCGAAGCATATTTACGAGTGCAGTATGCTGTGCATTTAGTGCTCATAACCTTTGTTCTGCCATTTAGATGCCGGCAGATCTCAGCTTGCGATTTGGTTCAAATCTTTTTACGGCATCCGCCGCTTCTCCATCGGCTCGCAGTATTGCCGACACGCACGGCACTGTATCGGATGGCTTTATGTCTAATAAAGCTGATCCTACAGTGCAATTCCCAGCTACTCGCACATCGTCTCTCCACAACGTCCTCGAGCAAGTGCCCACCGATCCCTTTTCCATGGCTAATGTAAAAGTCGGTTCTGCCTTCTTCCACCCCGGAGACATGGCCCCGGAAACAGCGCGCTCGCATCCTGGCGTCTTTGTCCCGCAGTTTCGCCGGCATTTCCCCGAAAGCATGATCAGTTCCGGTAGCCACAGCCTGGACACCTTTCCCATGAAGCCAAAGAATCCTGGTAGCCAGCCGTTTGGCCCAGCGCGGCCTATTATTTTTGAGAATACCGGTCTGTATGGACCCGGTCGGCCGAAATGGTTTCCTCACTTTACGACGGCCGGAACGACGACAGTGGCCACTACGACGGCAGCACCGACAACCACCGCTGCTGCTGCTGTAGAGGAGCTGGAGTATGAACCGGAAGAGGGTCTGATGCCGGGTGCGACAACGGCGGCGCCGGCAGCAGTAGTAACCACCGCCGCGGCGGCACCGGCGAGGGCAATGCCGTTGATCATGGATGGGCTCGCAACAGCACCCCCGGTACTGAACGACGCGCTTACGGCTAATACCAAGCCTACGGAGCCGCACAAAACGTACGGTGTGGATTGTTATGGGAAGAGAGGATATTTTCTCAGTCCAGGAACGGGATGTAAATCGTACGTGTTCTGCAAACCGAGTGGTGCACTGTACGGATTTACATGTCCCGGAGAATACTTGTATAATGCTGACAAAGGTTAGTGATAACCATCATGCAACCATTACAGGAAGTTTAGAACTATTTACAATCAGTCGTTGTGTGTTAAAATAGAAATCTGTGATTGGCCGGAGAACGTGCTCTGCTTGGCTGCAAGCTCGCATTCCGTTCCTCAGCCTCCAAATCAACACTGGCAAAGGTCTGCAGTGGACATCGCACCCCGGCTGCGTCGTTCTTTACCCTTTACTTGCCCCTACGGAAACGCATACTTCGCCGATGTTGCCAGCAACTGCTTGAGGTATAAAAAATTTAATAGGCGTAGTTGCATGGGAGTGGCAGTAAACAGGTGGCACAAAGGTTGACTGGTTTACGAGTCAAATTGCCTGATGTTCCGATTTAAAACGGCTTTGACGAGATACTAACATAATGAACCCGAGCAATATTTATGAACCCGAGCAAGTAACATTTGAACTGCGAAAAGTTAAATTACCTTCACATTGTAAGTTGGACTAATATTTTGTAATTATTCTTGACAGTTTTTTCTACTGCTCTAATAACGGAACCGTGAGCATGTATGACTGTCCTGATCGGCAACTGAAATTCGATGAATCCCGGGGAGTTTGTGACTGGGGCAAAAGAGTTAAATGCGCAAACGAAACGGAATATACCGAAGCCACGCAGTCGCCTGTAGCCCTTGAAATTTACCAGGTTAATAAACTAAAATAGCCATAAATAACCATAATAGTTTAACAATAAAATTCATAGAATTTAGTTAGCATTTTAAGAACTTAACTTGCAGTTGATCAGCCAAATTAAATTGATAACCCTCTTGACAACAGCAGGATGGTAGAAAAATTTTATTTCTTTACAGTAAAAGGCTACTTACTCATCATATTCCATGTTTTAAAATTTGAATATTTCTGCAGGAAATAGTTGCAAATCCTACTACTGCGTCTAGCAATACTGGTTGCCCATCTACCGGGTTTTATGCCGACTATTCTACCGATTGTCACGGTTTTTATTTTTGTGGTCCGGAAGGTAACCGCCTGAACTACTCATGTCCCGATGGATTAGTTTATGACGAAATCCAGGAAAAGTGCACAAATTCCACTATCGTATGCAAAGAGCACAAATTGTGGAAAAGTTATGGGAAGCGCGTTCGTCTTGTGACCCGAACTCGACTAATCTCAGCGAACGGAGAATCCTCGTTAGATTGCCGGAACCGGCGCGGATTATATGCCGATCCGCGCAGTCGTTGCTTCAATTTCTTTTATTGTTCACCGCAAGGCCTCAAGTTTGAGTACTCCTGTCCAGAAAATATGGCTTTCAATAATGCGCTGAATGTGTGCGATGAACCGTCGAATTCCAGTTGCTCCGTATTGCCATGATCACGATGTGCAGTACTGTTGTTTAATGTGTAAAAGAGACATATTATGATTTTGTAAAGATAACTCTGTTTATTTATGTTTGTAGCTTGTGCTGTAATTTATAAAAGCTGCAGGAATGATGTTTGTTAAATGAATGTTTAAAGATTAATATGCATTTGAAGTCCAGATTATGTCGGCCGGTGACACGAAAGGTGGACAGCGGTTGCTTATGCAGTAAGAATTATGGAAATTGTCGTTCTTATGGTTTTCTTGGAAGAGCGTCGCAATAACAGAAACTTCCTCGCTTCGTATCTGTACCGGAGAAATCAGCACGGTGGTGCATCTCTCCCTTTTTCAAATCACAAAACCGTAAATAATGTTCAGTTTCATTTAATCTGCTTGTAGCCTGCATTAAAAATATGGAACTGGCACTCCATTTTTGCTAATATTAATATTTTTATCCGCGTTAAGCGTAAACCCAATCACAAAGCATTATCAGGTTATGAATTTGTGCTAGCAATTTGGACCAAAATTCTCAATCCCGAAGGTATTGGTAGTTTCGCATTTTCTTCTAGCCAGTATAACCGGCAGGGCAACCCACTGTTTGGGCGTTGATACTGTCGGACAGTGTCCACTGGGTGCACACTCTTGTGCCTCACAAGGATTTTATCGAAGCCTTTTCACCGGCGGTAAATGGAGTGCTGGTCTGCCAATCCCGGTGGAGTGATGTAAACAGGCCATCATCGATATCGTCCAAAAGGTCATCATCACCTAACATACATCATGCGGGCCGTTAAGCCAATTTTGAGCACCCGATGCATCATTGCATCAACAAGCGTATTAAGAATTACCCCCATCGAAGCTTTAATGCACAAAGAAAAGATTTTTCGTGCTATCAGATACATAATAATTCTCAAGAATGTTAAATTACTTGCAATTTATTAAAGCATGGGCAAAAGGAACGGCAAATACGTCTTTCATATTTATTGCACTAACCGGTAAGCCGAACCATGAACAGACCGCATATTTATTGTTCACTGCCGAATCTCGGCTCAAGAAATAAAAAAAGACATATAATTAGGTGCGCGTATAAAAAAGGACGAATTTGTAGCGCATGAATGATGATTATACGACGTTTAGCGCTACAGTGTCCACCGACATTTGTGCTCCACAATTTATGTTGTGGTTGTCTCAGGCTGACACACCCAGGAAAAGCACAACATAAATTGTGAGCAGCATTTGTTCCGTATTCTAAGCGAGACAGCTGACCTTAGAACGTTTTCCTAACGAAAAGGATTGTGTAGTTACAGTTATTATACTAAATTTGTACACACATCCAGTTCAAAGAACTGCATAGCGCTACCTCTACCTGTTAACATACATACCTGCATCCGTGTCGTCGAAAGGATAGGTTTGCACTTTTGCTATAAAAGCAACAATGAGGCATGCCGTCACAATCCACGTCGGCTCCATAAGTTCCAGAACTGACGGTATCGGGCACAAATAGTTATTTGTTTGTGCTACTACTCGTATAATTTTTATCCTTTGGCTTACAAATGAGAACTCACAATGGGGATGCTAAACTTGAAAACGTATTTCGACCATCGGCAGCGCAAACCATTGTGCGTATGTGCGATACAGAATACTTATATACAGCCCTAGATACAGTATGTAGTCCTCTTTTCTACGTTGAAAATGCTAAACTGCTTGCTTGCTTGTTAAATGTGCTGACCCCGGCCTTGAAAAGGAACAACTTAACGGAAAACAGTTTGAAAAACAGTATCACTCCATTTTGCCACGATCAGCGAATAATTTGAATTTACAGTGCGAAACTTTACTGAATAGACTAATTTGCATGTCGCTGGTCTTTGCGTTGTCTTTGCGTGCTGCGCTTCGCTAGCTACACTGCGACTTGCAAGTGACGAACTTTCTGCTCGCTCGAAGTTAGAATAGCATCACATTAAAAATTATTGAGACTTCGGGCTTTTTGCTTTCTAGCGTTGTACACGGTAGTCGGTACTAGTGACTTACTTACCTTAATTATTGTAAAAGCTTCCGGTGCGATCACTGTTATTATTCATCCCGTAGCCTGTGGGCACACTTTCCATAAACTTACATTGTCAGTACCACGATTAGAATAGGTTACTTGTAGATTGGCACTGAAATACCGTACCTTCGTGCTTACGTCAGCACAATACACCCGTCATGTCATTCATTGTCAGGCCGGACCAAGCGTGTTAATTAAGAAAAGAAAACCTTTTAATTTCCTCATTTTTTCCACCTTTTTTTCACGAAAAATACAAAGCTAAAGTGACGCCTTATGACGGCCAATAAATTGTTCATTCGATAAATCAGAAGCGTGCGAAATTTGGGATGTCTTGTACCAGTACAAAACAATTGTACCGGGCGCGGCTACTGTATTAACGTAAGTAATTTTACAAACTACTTATTTTTAGTAAACATGCTAACCCAATTGCAAAGTATGCATCGCTATTCTGCCGATTCATACAAAAAATAATAACTGCTGTCGTGTGGTTTCTGGATCATAATTTGCATGACATGTTTTAATAACGGTAAACATTTCCCATTCCAACCTGGTTAACACATGACGATGTTTACGATCATGAGCAAAACATTTTATATATAAATATGTAGATATTATCGTACTCGTATACTATTTACGATTTAGAGAATACAAAGATGCATTATAATGCATTTTTACGAAACAGTTGTACAAGTGATGCAATTCACAATAGTCTGTCAAAGAGGGCAAGCCTATTATTAACCTATGGCGTAGCTCTTCCGTACGTTAATAAAGATCACGTATCCAATAGTGATCCATTGATATCCCGAACGACGGATCCGTAAACATTCGGGATGAAAAGCTATAGCCAGCCCGCCGGCAGAAAGAATAGTGTAACTGCTGACACTTCGGCCTACTTGTTCCTATTGAATTTGTACGGATATGGTTGTGTATAAGCAACACTTTGAATTGTTTATAAGAATTGTGGTCACAGCGCTGCTAAATACATACGTTTGTTTTAAAAGCCGTCTTGCACTATGTTCCAGAGGATTGTATGTCTGCTAATTGACGTTTGTGCATAAGTTAAATTACAGACCTCTGTTTTCCACAATACGCCTGCCGTTATCAAAACCATCTCGTTTCACGGTATCTTTATTACCGGCCTGCTACAGGTCCTCAAGTATAATTGTGTTACCTTAGAAGAAACACTCCACTGCGTGTGTGTGCCAGCGCGTTATTTTGATATTTATTTCTTTTGCAAGGAAAGTATTGCCAAAGACCGGTAAAGGTAAAATGGTGAGTGTACTGATTTACGTACAATAAAAACTGATAATACTTTGTATTCATTAATATGTCATAGAATCTTGACTGGCTTAGTGTTTATAATTACTGGTTTCTTACAAAAAGTAAGGAAACGTTTGATGTGATTGTAATGCCTGCGTTTTACTACTCTACCTCGCAATTGTGATCTGCTTGTAACAATACAAGCAACACCAATATTTACGATTCCCAGTTGCATACTCCGCGACGCTGGGCAGTTGTAAATACGAGTATAATGCAGGATGGCGCATTGTTCTGAGTGGTTCTGGAATTTTTATTTCCGATTTTTAATCAGCAACGCAAATTTACCAAATTCTTGCAATCTAATAACTTAATGAAACTGCGTAAAGTTTCTGTACTTGACTTTTGCAAGGCTTTCTAGCAATACCCATTTTTAGGTTTAGATAACCAAATTGTCGGTAAACAAGTGTCACAATTTCACTCGTTTTCTACAGTATGGATTTGTAAATCGGGCCATCGAGCTACTTGTTACCCGAAAATTTGGAGAAGATGCCTGGATAAAAATTAAGTAAGACCAACTACTTTTGATTTCTTTTTATTCATGATCGTTGCAGTGAACTTTGATAACTCATATTGTACTTATAATTAAATACTTACAGATTTAACTGTGAAAGCTTTTAAGAAGAGATATCGTACTTCCTACAACATAAACGTGTCTTTTGAGCTTAATAAGCTTCTGAGCTTGGTCATCAGTATACCTGTGCACTACCCTCCAGGCTACAGCTGATTCTTTTCCCGACTATAAAGCTGGAACGTCAAGTGTCAAGTACTGTCTGAGTTCTTTGAGATTATTGACCTTTCATAAACAACATAAGCAAGGATTATTGATTAGAGGGCACCTATTATAGATTTTATATAAAAGGCGTAAACATTGAAAGTGATGGGAACTGCCATAAATTACGGAACAGTTTAAGATGCCAAAATTGATTACAAACAGAAAGGAGCACGAAAATGTTACCTACTCTAGTTTTCCGCAAATAAGTGACAATAGCTACACTCCCAGCTAACGGCAAAAATTATTCTAAGTGAAATAACTAAAAGCAAAGTAATTTATAAAATTAGCCCAGATAATGGAAAGACTTTAGTGTTTTAGATTTACAAAATAAGTTTGACTAAAAATCTTAAAATTTTTAAAACAAAGACGCTGGTTTGAATATATTCTTATGTCAGAAATTTTGAGAAATACCTGCATTCTCCCAACAAAGTGTCAAATCATCTGCAGGAAAGATTACCATCAAATAACTACAGTAAACGCGTCAACTTTAATGCAAAACCTGGCTGCAGAGAAAGCTGTTGTACTCGTAGCTGATGTTTGCTTATCGGCATCGATTTTTCTGAACTTTTAATTACAGTATTTGTTTACAGGCAGGTGGCTGGAGTTCCGGTGGGGAATCAGTACGGAATATTTCAGAGATATGAAGATGCGGAGTCGTACGACTTAGTGGCGGCCGCGGCACAGGTTTTAGGTTAGTAGAAGTAGAAGTTACGTCTTCGCGCGGGATGTATTTATTGGTTTGTTAGCTGCTTGTATGACAATAACATTAGCGCCAGTAAACATGTACTGGCACCATTACAGTATACTATATGTGCAGCAATAACTGTACATGTGTATTATCTTTGTATGGCGATTAATATATATAGTAAATGATTTAGGTGTTCCAGCAGAAGCGGTCTTGGAATTATTTGGGGAATTTTTCTTCGACTTTTGTGTAGAATTTGGATATGACAGAATTCTGCGCGCTCTCGGAGCCACGCCCATGGAGTTTGTGGAATGTCTGGACGCTCTTCACGACCACCTGGCGCATTCGTACCAAGGTATGAGTGCGCCGACCTTTCGCTGCACCCGAGAAGATGACTCGAACCTTTCGTCTTTTCATCTGCACTACCATTCTCATCGTGCCGGTTTATCACCCATAGTTGTCGGACTGGTGCGACGCGCGATCAAGGAAATCTTTGACATCGATGTGCAGTTGCAGGTTACCGAAGAAGGACCCAAAGAGCCCGGAGAGGTCAAATTTCTAGTCACTGCAGAGAAAAATTCTCTAGAAAATAGCAGAAGAACTCTGGGATCGTCGAATAGTCTGAAAAGTGTAGGACAACACAAAGCAGAACCGTTTATTAGCGGCGCCACCTTTGGGGAGATGTTCCCGTTTCATATGATGTTCGATCGCAGAATGGAAGTTATTCAAGCCGGTAGGACCGTGACAAGGATCGCATTTCACTCCCAATCCGTCAGTTTATCTGATACTTTCGAATGTCTGCGACCAAAAGTACAACTAACATTTGCTAATATTCTGGCACACATCAACACCGTCTTCGTACTCATTGCAAAGTTTCCTCCGGAAGCCAAGAGACCACTTAGACTAAAAGGCCAAATGATCTTCCAGTGGCAAACGGATACCATAGTATTTATTGGTTCGCCGTCGGCAGTTGATCTGGAAGATTTACACCAGCAAGGCGTCTGTCTGGCCGATCTATCGTTACACGATGCTTCCCGGGATCGTATTATCCTCTCCGAAGACTATAATGCACAGTATATCTTATCACAAAGCCTGGAACTGATGACTAATGATCTAAGAGCAAAATATCTAGAAGTCGATGCTGAAAAAGAAAAAACCGAAAGGTACATATAATTACAATTAAGAGCCGCATGAAAAACGATCATTGGGGTTTTCGAGCGATTCTCCTCAAATACTAATGCCGAATTACTCAAAAGTAACCAAGTTAGGTCTGGGGCGCTCGAGTTGAATTTTATGGCATGCATGTTAAACAAAATAAACTGACTATAATAAAGAAACCATAATTTACAATTATACGAGTATCATGCAGACACTGAGTGAGAGTACTGTACAGTCTATATAGTTATATGAATACTCATTATCTGTGCCAGGACTTCGGCCCCTGTCCTTCGAGGCAAAGGATCTCGGCTTCTACTTCACCAATTTTGTTGCTTTAAAGTACGTCAAAATTCTCTAGGTGTAGCGGTGGATCCAAGATTGTTGGCTTTTTGCCAAAATCATTTGTCAAGGTCCAGTGGTCAATCATAAGCTTGTTACCATGGACGCGATAAGAAATGCACACTGTTCTAGCACAACTTGACCCAGAACAGTAGAAATATCTGAGCTGCTACTTAACAATAAGTACGAGTACAATACAAAGTAAAAAATTCATGTATAACTTAACACGTTAGTCATCATCACGTTAGTCGTCATTGCAAGCTATGTACTGTATGTACAAGTAGACAGTCCGTGTTTCGATTAACTTATGTAAAGTGTATCATAATACAGATATTATTACTACACATACGTACAGGTTCATTAATATTATCAATATTATGACAGTCTGTAAGCGACCACAGAACAACACATCCTTGGAATTACTTATTTTTTAATAGTCATCCGCCAATATTCATCCGTGCTGGGCTTGTACAGATATAGCCATAGTCACTGTATCACTTAGATGGTACATAATATGTTAATTGACAATAAGTGCCTTATCAAAATACGGGCACTTAAACAAATGTGCAAATGGCGTTCTTGCATAGTTGTGTTTATAGTTGATTTTTAATGTGTCCTTTTAGCCTTATTTATTCGCTCATGCCACCAGAAATTGTGGATGATTTGCGTCACAAGCGAAAAGTGCAGAGTCGTCGATTCCCGGACGTAACCATAATCATGACCGGCATCGAAGGTTTCTCTAAGTACTGTGAAAACCACGAGCCAATTGAAATCGTGAATCTTCTAAATGAGTGTTTCTCGATATTTGACAACCTTCTTGCAAATCCGAAACACTGTGACATTTATAAGGTATTCTGACCATATTATTAGGTTGATGCACTAAATTGGTAAGCGCATCAGTTTTGGTTGCTATATTCAAGATCACAGTCAATTTGGCGAGACGCACTGCAACAATTACGTGCTTTTTTGCAGGTTGAAACAGTATTAGATCATTACTTGGCAATTAGCGGATGCCCCAAAAATGTTCCTGATAATGCAAAAGCAATTGTGGAACTGGCAATCGATATCAGAGAAACATGTGCAGAAAACAAATTTCTGGAAGCAGATGATCTTCAGGTACACCGGCAGTGTGATACGTACCTGTCTGTATATTAATTATTATGGATTATAGACGACATGCATGGGTTGGGCGTTATTGGATTATCAGCTTAACTTTAACTTACGGCGTTTTAGGGGTTCGATCCATTTATAACTATACATTAAATTTTATGTCTACGTCATCCTGGAACTACCCTCAATAAGACGTAACAATAAGATGCATATGCGTGCAACAGTATAATTGTACAAATAATCTATATATATGCCGATTGCTAATAAGCCGACTAGTGCGATACTGCAACACTTAAATCAATGGAGGTTGCAACAATTGCTTGTTATATTGCCCTCCAGCAGAAACGTGAATCGTTTGCGCTTGCTGTTTAGTCTGTAACCTTTGTACGAGGACACACTAAGTATACGTGATAGACAAAAACTTAAGCGAGAATAAGTGATAACCATGCCCAGCTCATGCAACGCGGGCAACCACCCAGGTCCGCAGTTGCTTGTAAGCACATAAAAAATGACGGACTGAAAATTATGCAAACTTTCAACGCTGATTTCTCGTGCACTCTGGAACGTGACTATTCAACCAATATATCAGAAGACGCAGAAAAAAATAACACGATTTTTGATACCAAATAAGTGAGAAGATACGCTGATTCAAACAGATTACAGCTATTTTCATTTTCTCGTAGACTTACCATAGGATCCACGGTCAAGGGTTCCCCACACAGAATCCTATGCTATGTCTACGAGAAACTCAAAAACGCTATCTATTGTCTTAATCGCAATAAACTGCAACTTGTTGGGTATCAAAAATCTTGTAGATTTTTTCTGCATCTTTTGCTTCATTGGTCAAATTGTTTCGTTTCATATCACACAAGGAATGAGAGCTGGAAGTCAGCATACCCGTCTATGAAGACGAGCTGTTTACTACGCAGTACTTGGACGCCAACCCTTGGTGGCTGGGTGTACTGCACAACACGTGATTGGTTATCATTTATTCTCACTGGTTTTTTTGTCTATCACGTATACTTAGTGTGTCCTCGTATGACTAATGTCAGCTGTTTTTCTAGATTACATTTGGTGTTAATTCTGGAGAAATTGTAAGCGGGATAATTGGTGATCGTATGCCACGGTATTGTTTATTCGGCGACTGTATAAATATTGCAAGTCGAACTCAAACAAACGGAAAGAAAGGATCGATCAACATTACGCAGTCTACGTACGAGTAAGTACGCCATAACGGGAAAATAATTATTAAGTATTAGAGCAAGGTCAGCAAGCACATTCTACGTACATTTTATGATGTCTGATTTTACTATTCGGATGCAACGAGAAACATGCAACAGAGGGCGCGTGCTGCACCTGCGTACTGCAAAATGTAATTATTTGTACGATACGAGTACAGTACGTCAGAGCTTAAGAAGGCTACTGATCTGCGCAAAATTTAATTTTTTAAAAAATTCTTGCTTTAACTTGCACGCTTTAAGAAAAAACGAGAGCCGAGTTCTTATAAATATAGTCCGAATCGTATCATTTGCAAGTTTGCTCGTGCTCAAATGCGCATCGTTCGGAATTTGTGTAAGTACGTGTAAGTAAGATTATTCGTGTAAGTACAGAGGTACAGTAATTTGGCGCTATTTTATTATTTTTGCAGTCTGCTCCAAATTTCAACGTCAACGAATGCCGCTTCTGCTTTCCATTTCCTCTTTTTCGGCAACATTCCAATCAAAGGCAAAACTCAACCCATGCCCATTTGGACTGTTGATAAATATCAAAAATTCCCTGAGAACTCTGTCTATACCCAGTCTAATAAAATCGTGGAAGATGACTTTGCCTGTGATAATCAAAAACCGCTACAAAGTACCGACGCTGACGACCACTCTCTCCTGAAGCCCGTCCCATCATCTTCGACGTTGCAGAGCAATTCCGACAAAGGTTTTCTTCAACGAGCAATCACGCAGCCTGCAAAACATGGATCGTACACAATGATCGCCGAAGAGAAACCGTCTCTTTGTGGGTTCCGTGTCAAGAACACGAGTTGCGTTTGCACAATAACGTAACACGTCATCTTAACTGTAGTTGTTACTTTTTTGCGCCTGTTGTTACTATTCTTATCAAATTCTGTGTTGCTTTGCTGCGAGTCTAAGTTTTTAAATAATAAAATAAAACCTAATTTAAATTATGTTATTATTAATACATTATGTTATTGCTGTAATGCATTCTACAGTACAAGTACAATAAATAAGTACAATAAATTATAAAACAGTACACGTGAATTTAAAAAAAATTAGTGATAACAATAGGCAATAAACCATGATTACTTAAAAGATCACAGATATAACTTACAGAAACCCTCAAAAATCGCCATTATTCTGGGTAGAACAACTTGATTTGGTCCGGTGTATGTCCAACTGCCGCAGCCAGCAGAGATCGCTTCTCGCAGTAAGCCAGTTCACTAAACACTGCAATTACATGAAAAAGCACCAACGCATACAAACAAACGTAAGGGCGACGCGAAGGTTGTAAGAGAAAGCGACGATACCATTCAGGTGACCTTTTCAATACGCGACTCACCAGATAGGATGATAAGTTTATTTATGGTTGTCAAATTCCAGTTTCGCGAAGCTTACCAATTTCGTCTTTCCATAACAAAGATGGTATTTCGCCTAGTTCGTGCAGTCGCACTTCCCGCATGTCAGCGGTGAATACATGGCCAGAATTATAGATAATACTGCGGACGCATTCCCAAAACGTCGCATCGGGAAGCCACCCGATATTGGCCGGATGACCAAAGGGTTGCGTCCAGTCTCTGACGATTTCCATATTCCCAGGATTGTACTGCAGAACTTTCCCTTTGTCTGCTCCTATCCACAGCTGATTATCTCCGTAGCTCATCGATATATTCCAAGTACCGGCCTCAGCGTCTACCAGCACGCTGTTGTTTCTGAGATCAAACAGTTTCAGTTTTCGCACCCCGTTATCCCATCCGGCTAAAATAGCGTCGCTATCCCGCAGAACTATTTTGAAATCGTTACAAATTTCCGTCGACAGAAAAATCTTATCCCGCATGTAAGGATCTTCTCCTTCTCGGGTATCAAAGACTTCAAACTACAAAGTAGTAAATGCACGCATGAAATATGACAATTCTGCATTGCATCGCAAATTTCGGAATTTCCTCACCGTTCCTCCTCTAGTGCCGGTGGCAATGAGATTGTTTTTCCAAACATGACTTTGAATTAAACCTGCCGATCTGTAAAGTAATAAAACAGATACTGTATCATTACTGAAATGCACTGTTACCGTACAGAGGGTTATTCAGCCAAGTGTGGTCAGCGCATTAAAAAAATTCCTATAATTCAGCCGTAGCGCAGAGTCAGATTCTAATAATTGTTCTATTATGACAAATTTGTTTTGATGCTTTTTGCAAATTTTTGTGACAATCGAGCTTAAACAGCCCGCAATATTGGCTACTGACCTAAAGACTCCGACTCTAAACCTTTGACCAGGCAAAATTTGGCTTTCGATGATCTGGCCTTAAAAGGATCGTCTGCTTTTCAAATCTGGATGGTTTTAATTGTAAAAAACGACGATCCGAATATTTTTCATAACAAAAACGATTCCATATTCTTGCGCGTTCTTGCGGTAGGACGGTTGGAAAAAACGCGAAAACAGGAAGACACTCGCAGGAGCCATGCTCATTGTGCGAATTCTTACTCACGGAGCTATAGCTATCCTTTTCGTTCCTCCACAAACTAAAGTTGTAACGCAGGTCTTTCTTCACCATTTACAATGTTCATTGGTCGAAAAAGACGCTCCGCGGATTAAGCCTGGCAGAGAGGAAGAAGTCATCCAGAACCAGAAATGTGCTCCCGGGAGCACTGCTGAGAAAACAAGGATGTTGCTTCCTGATCGAAAAAACTAGCAATTCCTTCTGAAAAAGGATTGTTCGAAACCCCTGACAGGTTTTCAATGGATTATGGCGAAAACCCAAATTTTAAATTAATTTTGAGTAAAGGGAATCCATTTCCTATAGCTGAACTGGTCAACTGTTGCCAACATGGGGGGGATGAACTTAATTTTTTCCTGGGCTACAGGATAGCGAAATCTTGGCTCGGTTGAATTCAGAATATGATTAAATGTTGTGGCTATCTGATACAATTTTTAAAAAAGTAAAATGAGCCTGCAACGGCTAAGCAGAAATTTTCCAAAAAGTGACCACACTTGGCTGAATAACCCTCTGTAGTGGCAGAGCCGCGTGTAAGTAGTCGTCACTACGATAATTTTCGCTTGAAAAATCATATACAATATAAGAAAAACGCATAAATTAGGAAAGGAAAAGGAAATGCATAAGGAAAATGCATAAATGTATAAGGAAAATGCATAATTTTCTCCGGCAGGCTGCGTAGCAGTGTGTACTAAAAATACAGGAAGACCTAGATTTTTTACATAAAGTTTTTCTCTGTAGCAGAAAATTGGTTTGTGACTTACAGTAGCCTTTGTAAAGGTGAATCGGTGGTAATTAGATGATGCAAATCCCTGATTGCCACTGTTCCATCATAAGCGGCACTGCTGAGCAAATTTGCATTTGCCCTCAGCGACGTGACCTTTTGCTGCGATAAAGTTAGTGTGTTAGAACAAACATCAATTCGTCAAGAGCACTTTTCCGTCTTTTTGAACTCAAAAAAATCAATAAAAAAATTGAAAAAACGATTTCTTCGTATAGCCTTTCGAACCGCAAGGTTTCAGTAATTATAAGGTGAAATGACAGGTCAGTTAGACAAGGTCACTTGTTTATAAATCTATGAAAAGTCGGGAAGGATTTTCGACTGGTTATTATACAGCGGAACATGAATCGTAAGCTGCCGTAATAAAACGTGGCGACCGGTCTTACGTCATGGTCCGAATACCGCAGATGAGCTGGTGTTGAAGATGTCGATTTTGACAGAAGCGGTTCAATATTCCAGACAGAAACACAATCACGATCTTTGGTAACATACGCCAAGGAATTTCCTAAAATTCTTCGCGGTATTGATGAAATCACTGTTCCAGATCTATCACTGCTAAAGACGCGAATCGTACCATTGTCCGCAAATTCGATACAGCGGAAGTTCCCAAGTATCTGATCAGGTCCCTCTTCTCCTAGATAGTGTCCCTCAATGCGTTCAGGTGTAAAATTCCGGTGGATGTTTTCCCACCCATACAAACGGTAGCGCAGATACAACTCTCTCACTACCGACAACTGGTGTTCTAAAATCCAAAATTTAACTTTTGCCATGTTCCTCTTAATAATCGTACGTGTCAGTAGCAATGCGAGATAACGTGTTTGAAAGTAAAAAAAAGTTTACTATGCTAATCACTGCCAAAAATCACAACAGACTTGTTTCCCGTTGCGGTTTACAGCTGATATCTATATGTCCGAAAGACTAAAAAAATTCAAACCGATACCGGAACATTGTAGGATAGTTTTGTAGTAATACTCCGAATCCTTTCGCAAACGCTCAGTCCAGTAACGTTTCTCTCCGAAAAGCTGATTAAGCTTATGGCTCCCCTGCGCTAATCCACAGGACAATTCCTTCACGTCCAGTTTTCCACCAATGATATGCAGAATCTCGTAAGGCAGATTATCCAGCGCAAGTGGCTCCTCTTCCTTATCAGTTTCCGCAGGCGGTATTTCACGTAAATATCCACTGTTTTTGTGACTTTCGTCCATGTTTTCTAATTATATACTGTTATACGTATATTTGAGCTCGTTTTCAGATAGAGTACTTTTCTGTACGTCATCTGTTCGACTGTAAAAACATCACTGAGTAATGAGAAGAACCCAGCGCAAGCTGCAACAAGCTTAAGTACCGTACCATCCTACACCGGAAAGAGATGTCATGTGTTTCAGGATTCTGCTGTTCAAACACGAGGTACTGTAGATCCGCTGCGCATCTCTCGATTGCAAGCCTGCATGACGCAGCGCTAAAATAGCGTCTGCGATCCAAAGCCGATGCTCGTGCCGGTATGCGTTACCAAATGTTTTTTTGCCATTACTTCGCTAACAGCACTAACGTCTTTGCAAAAGTACTCACCAGTCAGTAGGCAAGCAGTCAAGAGCCTGCTTTTGAACACCTGTTTCTGAACAACTTTACTGGCAAGACGGCATGGATCAGACCCACAATTAGCAGTTCGAACACTCTCCTGCCGTAATGTGGTACAACTTACAATCAGTAAAAGAAATTAAATTTTCGCGTTTTTGGTAGCGACTCATGACGGCTTCTGTGTGCGTACTTGTAGAGTAATTAACCATTAATAATTATTAAAATGCCGTAATACCCATTTTGTTCCCTTAATGTTCAATTATTAACTATCGAAGAAGAAATGTGTGAATAATGTTTCATTTCTGAGTAGTTTGTTTGCATTCAAATCATGCAGTCGGAGAAGAGAGTAAGAATTCCAGATTTTTTAGGCCTACCGCATCTTAGAAGTTAAAACGATAACGTATTAGACCTTTTTATTTCACAAAACACGGATACAACTGAGAATCAAAAACATTCCTTATCACAACAAAAAGAGTTCATTTAGCGCTGCCGCTCCTTCCATGCCAATCCATGGTACCGAGTACGGAAGCGGCGTTGACCGTATTCGTTTTTCACTTCCGGTTCGAACCAGGCTACGGAACTGCTTCCCTTGGAAGGTGGCCCTCAGCAGCAGAGCCTACACGACTTTGTATCACTGCTCATCAGTTTGGACCATTGAACGACCATAAAGTAACCATAAAGTGACCATGACCATAAAGTAGGTTGTCACAACCATAAAGTAACTGGTTGTCACAACCATAAAGTAACTGGTTGTCACAACCATAAAGTAACTGGTTGTCACAACCATGAATTATGTGGAGGCGGAGCTAAATCTAAATATGACTGCATCGCCTTGCATTTGAACTTTGAGGTATTTTATCCGGAGCCGGTGGATCTCGTTTTTAATGCGTCCACGCTGTCTGCTCACCGTGTAAGTTCTTCGGCGAAGTCTCCTCCGTTTTCTAAGTCCTCGAAATTCCACCATCAGACAGCCGCCTAATAAACCCCTCCGCAATATTATTATCAAGACGTTTTTTTGCCAAGAACTACCAAAATGATTATCTACAAGGATTACGTGACAGGTAAATATGTTGTCATGTTGTGACTGTCGCGATATGGCAACATCTTGTTAAATGTTTGATTAAACGGCAAAGAATTAAATTGAAATATTGCTAACCTATCATCCAATCCTCCAGCGCGAAATGTTATTTTGGTTTGAACAGATCCTTCGAAATTTTATGCTGCATTATAGATGACTCGAACGAAAACAGCTTTGAAATAAATCTCTGAAACTTGTTGAGTTAGTGTTTTACACAATCACGAAAGTGAGCTCTACATTTTTGAAAATTTGAGCAGTGGTGGTGAATCCCTGTGGGTTTGCAGAGGAAATTCGGTCTTTGTACAGCGAAAGGGTGAATGGTTTTCACTTCACCTTGAACTAAAATTCGGAATTGTCTATTTTAAGCCTTTGACATTTGAATTTTTCACTGTCCTTTCGTTGCATATTATTTATAATTTATTGTAAGCTTGTTATTTATATTTAATTCGAGTTTTCCATTTTGTATCTTCGTTTATGTTAAAAGGATGTGCTTGTACAGCAAGTCACCAAGTGCTTGTACTTTTATCTGCCCTGCCTGTATCAGAGCTAGAAAAGTTTTGTTGAAATTGTTAATGATAGAAAAGTTGAAATTTCTTTTACTGAAATATTTAATTAATAAGGTCTAAGAAAATTAAAATTTGACTGATTTGGATGTTGGGCAAATGGCTTGTGAAGATTTTTTGTGATGACGTCATGAATTATTACTGTTGCAGGCGATGAATTGTTCACCGACTCTTACAAAATGAAATTGGTTGATGGCGTGATCTACGAAGTGGAAGGCAAGGTGAGTCATTTTTCACCGTTAAGATTGCTGTCGTCTTGTTGCACAAGGTTGCGAGGTTCGGTAGAAATTATTAACTGTCCATTCTAATGCTCAAGACGCCTGTGCTGGGCGCACTGAGTTTCGCTTTTGGACAAGATCGGTGCTACAGACTCTTGAGAAACTTGTCCAGATCACATTGCTTGACTAGTGGTACTAGTGTCTGACAGAATTTCCCACTTCTTTTTTTGCGATTAAATGAATCTGTGAGGTTTTTTGGTTGGTCAACTTTTTGTCGGTGGTTGCAGTACATCCAGCGGAAGGTGGGCGACGTGGTGTTGGCTGGTGCGAATCCCTCGCAGGAGGAACAGGAGGAGGAATCCGAAGAAGGCACGGAATCAGGCATTGACGTCGTACTCAACCAGCGGCTGGTGGAGGCCAAATTCTACGAAAACAAGGAAGATTACACCAAGTACATCAAGGCATACATGAAATCGTAAGTTACCTACTCCACGGGCCTCCGTGATTGTGTTGTTTGTGTACAATTTGTTTTCGTTTGGTTTGCTTCGTTCTTTCGTTTACGTCTACTATTATTTTGGTTTGATAATGGGCGGTTTGTGAGTATTTAAATGTTGACACCTTGGTCTTTCATTTGCAGGCTCATGAAAAGGGTGGAGGAGACAAAGCCGGCTGAACTGGATGCATTCAAAAAGGGCGCACAGGAGGCTGTCAAAAGTCTTCTTGGCAGGCACGGAAACATGCAGTTTTTCATGGGTAAGTTTCTTGTAGAATTTGTCTTGCTTGGATAAATACCATTTAATGACGTCCGATGGCTGCGGTAGTTTTTGGCCTTGTACAGCACTTTTCGGATCATGAGTATTTCTCGATTTGCAGGCGAAAGCATGGATTCAGATAAAGGAATGGTGATTCCCGTGGAGTACAAGGATACCCCCACTGGCCAGGTTCCTACCCTCTACTTCTTCAAACACGGTCTGGTTGAGGAGAAGGTTTAAATGCAACGCTGGCTAATCACCACCAGAAATTCGATCATTTCCATGCTTTTTATTTGCCGCTCGTTTTTTGATTAAGATTTAAAGCCACCGAAGTACCGTGCGTCTGCTTCATGAAGTTTCCGTAACATCTGCCGTTTCTTAACCTGTACGCTTTTTTAAACAAAAAATTTACCAGTTTTTCGACTTCAGTGCTGTGTCAGAGATCATGTACGGGATGAAGATTAAAAGTCGATAACACGTGCTGTTATTTATGGTAAATTTTTCAGTATTATTAGACCACAATTCGAAATAATTTACCTTGTTATTGCGTTGTCGCGCATATACCGGTAACGGGAAACATGAGCGCTGTTACCGGTTACTTACCTCTATTCAGGAGTGTTCTCACAGAGACTGCGTAACAGAATTATAAATGTGCCTTTGTTGGCAGTTTCTGCTTTCGAGTTTGTTGTATTCGCCTTGAAGTTGATGTTGGAAACGTTTCCTAAGAAGCAACTGAACTCACAGAGTCCGCTTACGGTCAGATGGGTTGCTGAAATGAGTTAGGGTTCTGTTATTAGGAAAAACTGTTCTGTTATTAGGAATTAGACTGCAGGATGCGAAAAAGGGCAGCGTAATCAACAACGGGCTGAAAATTTTTTGGACTGACGGGTTTCCAGAATAGTACTACAGATACGTCATGTGCTTGCAAGTTGCAATTTATTCTGTGCAGATGGACCTCAACCAAAGTTGCCTTGTCGTATTTAAGAAGTACAACGAATGTTCACCCCTTGTATCCAACGCGGGTGCTTGTGCAAGGTAAGGATTAAATTGTTTTAATAACTGCCAGCATAGCGATTATTTATATTTTCGGAAGGTTGCTGGTAAAAAGGTAGCTTTCAAAAATAAAGGGTATTATTGCGGATCAAAGCTTTATGTATTCAGTATTATGATTTGTTGAGGAGCGAAAATACAGCGCTGCTGCTCGTAGTTCACTACGCACATATTTGAGTTCATTGAAAATGAAGAAAATGAACTTTTATGAATGTGTTATCACTACGTTTCTTTCCTTTTCTATCTTTGTTAAGGTCAACGGATTGTATAACGTTGATATGCAGATGACAAAATGGGCAAAAAACGAAATTCCTTTTTACATCGACAAAGGATATGGTAAGTACTCGTATCTCCACTAAGCCACTTTATTGTAGTTTGTACTGATTGTCCAGTGTCCATGCTGCGTGACCTTCCAGACATTTGTTCTTGCAGATGCTGAGCAAATCAAGCTCATCCGACTGGCGATGGTGAGAGTTATGTCGGAGGTGGATATGTGCGTTAACTTTGTTGAGGTGCCTGCAAATTCCCCGAAATATAAAATCCGGATAACCCCATTCAGCTCGGATGCTAACATACGGTAAAAATTACAGAATGAAATATCGTAATTCCCAAAAACCATTTTGACTGCGACTATACGACATTTAACCAATACACTGCATGTAAAAACCGCTATCTTGTGTAGTAGTGTAGCGGCTATTCACAGTTTTGATTCGGTTTAATACTTTTATTGCTGTTAAATTCCAGGCCGCAAATCGCAAAGTATTGCCGTTCTTATGCCGGAAAGGTCATAGCTAACGAACGCAAAAACAAAATGGAACAGGACATGGTGCTCTCATACGGTCCGGGAGGATGCTTCGACGGGACTCTGCACTCACTGATGAAGTTTTTTGCTATCGCGCTTGGCAAACGGAACGAGCACCAAGGGAAACTGCGCGACCGCTTTCTGCAGACGATCCAGAATAACATTGTGCCCGGTAAAGAGCTTGTTTGGCACAGCTGCTGTTTGACCGGTAATTACAGAATTGGCGTGGTATTGTTTCAGAAATGCTTTCTGCCTACCGTGTGTACACAGACGACGAAGCTGGCACCAGTCACAGTTGCCAATACGACTACTGTAGGTAATGGAAACGCAACGCAGTCTGCATTGAAGTACCGATACTTGGGAAACTAATACAAATTCAAAGCTCACAACTGGTGTTTTGTAACTTTAGTATTACCCACAATCAGCCATCCGACTTCGCGAAACCTGGTACCAATGCTTTCACTGTTCCATATCCTCCATTTTATATTCCCAAATTAGATCAGCTTTCGGCCTGTGATTGCATCGAAATTAAATGGATGTATGGATGTGATTATAACAGCTGCCGCAATTGTGAGTTAGCTAACTGCATATTCATCGTTTGCCTATCGGTAGTAACTTCGAAATAATGGTGAAAGCAGTTATTTTTAATTTGCTGATGATTCGGTTATCTAGTTGATTGCGCCACTGTGACGACTACTACCGCACCATCGAACATATCCACCGTAGCAACTACGGTTTCATCGGATACTTCAGGTGGCCCCACAATCTGCTTCTCTACACCATCGGTAACAAGTGACACAACCATGACCTTTACCACAACCTTGCCGTCGACGACGTCATCGCCCACAACACCGAGCTCTGCTGGTTCTCTTCCTTGCACGACGGTTGCTGTTCCAACTGGCACCACCCCTCCACCACCCCCACCAAACGGAGCTGCTGAATCAGATTTCTTCGGTAAGCGATCACCGAAAATATTATACATCGCGATCGCATTGTTCCAGTAAATTTGAAAATCAAGGACACTTCTTGCTTTTTAATTCTCCATAATGACCTTTTACTGTTTTTAAACGCTCACTATTTCGCTACGATAGGGATGCCGGACGCTCGGTCCCGATCGTTCACGGGAATGAATCACTTGCGAACTATTAATGCCGACCGGGATTTCGTGAAATGGGCGGATAACACTATTCGTTATTATCTGGATCCTTCCTACAGTATGTGAATGTTCCTGACAATGTTAATTACCGCAGAAATGAATTACAGTTTGGAGCTGTTTTTTTGTCTGACAGATTTTTCTTATTGGATTGTTTGTGTCCAGTACAATATCGGATCGGTGCATGTACATATATGAATCGCATATATTAGCGAATCGGTATATATATATAATATATATATATATATATATATAAAATATATAATATCGGATCGGTGTATGTATATAAAATACGCAACCGTAACACTTTCTTTTAGTTTGTTGAATCTGTCTTTCCCAGGTCCTACACAACAAGCGAAGATAAGAGACGCAATTTCCAGAGTTATGGGTGACTTGAACGGATTTATTCGATTTATCGAGGTGTCGCCGGCTGATCCATCGTACAAATTGAAAATTACTCCAACGGAATATCCTGGGTAAATGTGGAAAATTTTTCCCTATTAGAGGCGATCGTGTACACTCTATAAACATCTGATCTTTGTCCAGCATACAAAACAATGGAGGATGTCGGACATTCCCGGGAGTTTACTACCCGTTTGTGGCATCCAATCAAAAAGAACAGCGACTGATTTTAACTTCCGGAGGGAATGGGTGTTTAGAGGGAAATATTGGCAAGGTCATGAAGTTTTTCGTTATTGTGCTTGGTAGAAGGAATGAGCATCAACGTCCGGATCGCGATGATTTTATACAAGTCGATTTTACCAAGATTCAGCCAGGTGAAATTTTTAAAATATTTTTTGCAGTTTGACTTTAAATGTCATCCGAATAATTAAACGACACCAATATGCGTATAATTTGAAAAAAAAATTATTCCGGATTTTTGTTTTACAGAATGGCGGCAAGCATACGAAAAATACACAAGTGGTGTGAATGTGACGCTGTTGCGGTACCCTTATGATTATTGCTCTATTACTCATAACGAAATGACAGCATATGCCGTAGCCGGAAACAATGCTTTCACAATTAAAAGCAACCAGATCAGCAGAATTCCCAGAATGGACCGGTTGAGCGAATACGACTGCAAAATTATCTGCCTGGTTTACGGATGCCCGACAACCTCCTGCGGAACCTGTAAGGCCCGAGATATTTTTCAAAAAAATTTTGTAATTGTACACGTACACAATGTAACACAATTATTTTGTGGTTTCCAACAGTTACCTGTACGGATAACGGTATAAATGGACAGTCTCCGGTCCCGGGCGTTCCCACTGGTCAGACAGCACTTCCGGTCACCGTTAGCAATAACGGTACGATGACGACGGTGTGTTATACACTACCGCCCTCGTTATCGGATTCCACGTTCACGGCTACTACGTTGATTCCGTCGACTGTTGCGTCCACTGCTAGCACCGCTCTGGCTATCACAACCTGTCCTCCCAGTGGCCCGACTACTGTATCTCCAGCCGGCTTTGATTCGTCGACTCCGTCAGCATCTTCTAGCACTTTCGTGAGGTAATACTCATAGTTATTTATTATTGGTACTTATGCATTTTTTATCAGCAGTATTTTGTTCAAACCTTGTTGCGGTAGTTTTGAAGCTGACTCCTACAAATCGCTGGATTTATATGGCGCAAGCAGTTTTTGTTAATTTGCCACGTGTTGCATTGTCTTGCTTTACTATTTTTATCAAGCTGTATGGGAATAAATTTCCGATCTTGCTGATCCTGTTCAACCTCTTATACTGGTGCCACTGTTTTTATGACTTTATTGAAATAAAGCGAGCATGTTTTTCCGAAATTTGGCTTGGCGGTAATGTTGTTTTACCTGATTGTATCGTATAGATGATGTGCGCAATCTTAAGCTTTTGGTTGTAGTTCATCTACATTCACCTCTCCAATTACCGGAACCGAATCGAGCAGCACAGGTTCTAGTGCAAGTTCAAGCAGCCCATCGACACAACTCTCTTCAGGAAGCAGTAGCGACCCGACTACCCCAACCGGCAGTGCATCGCCAAGCTCTGCAAGCGGTACTACCGGAACTTTCGATACCACTGTATCCTCCACCGCGACGCCGGCTTCGAGCACAGACAGCGGCAGCACAGTACCTTCCGATGCGACCACAGCATCGACTGCTTCCACTGGAGCTACAAATCCCGATGGAAGTACCGTTTCATCCTCTTCTCCATCGGACTCGACAGCTGCTACCGGCGCCTCATCGGCCAGCGACAGCAGTTCGGCTGCGACCAGCAGTGCGACTGATACCACTTCCGGTACACCGGCATCCACTGCAAACGGTGAAAGTTCGGCTAGCACATCGGCTTCATCGTCTGATTCGAGCACTGTCGCTGATAGTAGCAGTACTGCGGTGTCTGCGTCCAGCGCAGACTCCACTGTCTCGAGTGCTGCTACCAATGCTGTGAGTGATACCAGTGCAACGTCATCTCCCGTCTCTACCGGAAGTTCGCCCAATAGTGACGCAACGACGGCCTTGGCAAATCCCAGCCAGTCTACAAATCTCCGAACTACCACCAGGAAGATGTCCATTGGTCAGTTACAAAATATCTTACAGCACATGGCCGATGAGATCATCAAGCAGCTATCCGCCAAACCAACCAGTGGGACCGGTGCTACACCAGCTCCCGGCACCGGTACAACGCCGAATTTTGGTCCGATGCAGAATATGTTACAACAGATCGCAGATAATCTTATGTCCAAAATGACCGTGACCTTCCCCACGTCGACAACGCCGATGACTGCAGAAACGACAGCGGGTACAAGTTCGGCTGGAGTGACCGCTGGTATTACAAGTGCAGCGGCAACGTCAAGCCCGCTAGTTTCAACTACGGGCTCCACCGACACCACAGCGAAAAGCACACAAAAACCGTTACCGTTGGCTGATATTCAGCAACAACTAGAAAACTTCGCCAATCAACTGAATGATCAGTTATCCACCACGGATCGTCCCGGAGCTACGAAAGGCCCCACCCAGCCCACCACCACGGGCGGCAGTAGTAAATCCCCCATGGGGCAGTTGGAAGACGCGCTAAACCAGTTAGCGCAACAGCTAGGCCAGCTGACCAAGAAGCCGGATCCGTCGGGTTCGACCAAGCCGCCTAAATCCACGTCGCCCAACCCACAAGCCCAGCATATGGAAAATATCCTGCAGAATCTAATTGATCAGTTGACTGGTCAACTGTCGACGCCGGGTAAAAAGACCACTACGAAGAAGCCGACAACCACCACCGAGACCCGTTCTGCAGACGATTATCCCATCGACCCTAATGCACCTCCTCCGCCAGAAGAGTGGTGAAATAGGTTAACTCACCAGTCAGAAAGATATGAGAATTACTTTTTAAGCTGTTTGATTGTTTTAAATGCAAAATTTCATTGTTAGGAGTCCTAATTATCTGTGTTCAAATATTTACGTAATACGCATAGCCCTCCTTTAACGGTAATTATTGGTAACGTGTTAGCTGTCTAGGAAAATAACAAATCTTTTTATACTAGTAATATATCGACTCTCGGCCAATTATGCATGGTAGAATATGTACAGAAATTATTATTATTCGTACAGTGCCAGTGCAGATGTGAGAAGTTTTCATATTTACGGCAAAGTTATTCGGACGGAAATATTGGCTGCATCTGGTCCGTGGTATGATTGGCATCTAGGTGTGGTAATTTAGAATCGGTAGACGCAGGATACTGTACTAGTAAATCATTTGACTGTATGTATGAACTAAAAATTGTGTTCGCGAAAATTTATTCGCTTTGTGACCACTTACATCTACCACTTTTATCAATAATCCATAACTGCAAAAATAGAATATAATTATGTGCAGCAGTTCTCAAACATTTTTATTATCACTTGAGAGTTTGAGGCGATGCAAACCCACAAATTACTGCGTCATTGAATATGCTCATGTAAGTACTGTAAGCATACAAAAATTTCTAGGCTAGAAGAACTCTTCTACATAAAACAAAGAGTTTTTTAAAAAATATGTTATTTCCTTTTTTTTGTCGCATAAGTCCGCTGACAAAATTCGATCAGAAAAGAGTGTAGAAACAGCAAGGAAATACACGGCCCATCATTGTTATGATTATGAACCTTAATGCGGAGTGACACCCCTGCCATTAAAATTTCTACATAGTATTTGATCATGAGCATTAGTTCGTCACTTTTTGGATGGGCAACATCTATTTTGAGCAAAAACGGAAGTCACCAGCTGACCGGCTATACTCACCAAATGGTGTTTTCAGCAAATTTAGCTACGATTTGACTATCACCCGCCTACGCATATTCAAGAAAGTAACCGTTGCGTTTAATGTGCATCTAATAAATGCTTAAGCCAATCAATTTTTTTGATAGTGTCATGGATTTAGCATATGTTCCGGAGAGATATTAACAGGTGTCAAGCACGTTTGATCTTGAGTCCACTTCACCACAAGTGCAATCATATGGTGTGAATTCAAAAATTATTTAATATTATCTGAACAGAAAATTTTTGTAGACATCGGCGACAGCCACATAATCTGGATATTTTGCGTTTCACACATTGCAGATACGAAGTGACCTTTCAGTTTTGCTTTGTTTAGCTATGATGGCTTCGACTTATTCCACCACCTTCTTGGTATATGTATTGAAAATCATATACATAGTTTTAAAAATCCATGGCGCCGTTGGTGAAGTCGATCCATATACTGGTAAGCAGAGTATTTTATGAAAATTTTTTATATTATGCATTTCGACTGTGCAAACAATGTAAGAATTACATATTATGTTTCTCTATGGTATCAGATAAAAGCAATCTGTTGTGTTACACCTGCTTGAGACAAGATGGATTGAATGCAAACGTCAGCTGCTGGACGGATAGGCAGACAATTGCCATTGATTGTAGCCAGCAGGAACATGAGTGCATCAATCTGTTGCTGAATGGATCACCAGGTTAAAAAACCCTAATTGCTGTTTGGAAACTTTGACGCTTAAAGTAAAGTAAAAGAGGGAAAGTAAAAGCTAACTTTTTTGTCGTTGATTAACCTAATAACAAAATCTGATTTATTTTCTCCCTTAGATTTTATTTCTCTTCGCAAGACCTGCCAACCGGAAGAAGCACATATGAATCCATGCCTGCATTATAAAGGGATCAGCTACCAAGTGGCTGGAACACAAACCTACACCGTCAACGGAGAACCGGCAAAATGTGTATGCCTTGATATTTGTGATGCAATGGCATATAATACCTTGTTTGGAAGCCCTAGTGAACAAACCACGTCGTTCTCTGCTCATGATCAGTGGACTGTAAATCACTCTTTTCATATGGAGAAACCTATGCTCGAAGGGAAATTCTCCATCAATGACCTGGATAGTATGAGACTCCCTTGGGACCTGGCATTAGATAGCGGTGCGCAACCGTTACATTTGACCTTCTCATTGGCATCGTTTATCTCTCTAGCTTTTTTTGCTTGCTTCGCCGGGATGCATAATATTTTATGAGTGTGTGTAGTGGTATTAATTATGTAGATATCAAGGCGGTATCCGTTCCTTCACTTGGTGCAGAACTACGTATTGCAACTTCGCACTTAACTAGGATCAGCAGACGATACAGATTGAACTGGCGCTTATTCTTGCTTTCATAATCTTGGCTAAAACGTTTTGATATTTGCTACCAAAGTCTGGAACTAATTAAATAATATTAATTTTATCTGTTGCGCTTGTCACAAAAACCGCCTAGACTCGCCCGGATTGCAATCTTCTAAAAAAATATGAATATTCGAAATATAGCATCCTCAAAGCCGCTCCCGCATCGTAAGTGGGAATACCGCAAAAGAGTGTCAGCCCTGGATTTCAAATTACCAAGTCGTCATCTTCGATTTTTTTCACTTCACAAAAATACGAGTTTCAAAACGAACCTAAGGCATAACAGTTATCCGCAACCAAAACAACATGCATTTATAGAAATGAGATTCTGTTTAAAAACAAAAAAAAACCATCATGCATTACACAGGAAAAGCAGATAAAAACAAACTTGGAATACGGGCTTCAAACCAACACCGGTACAGATAAAATGTCAGGCTAAAAACAGTAATAAAACAAATAAAAACATCTCTGCAATTTTTATGTACACATTTTCTTAAATACTGCTATCACGGCATGAACGGCGGACTCCTCGACACAGGAAGGAAACCGCCAGTACGAGAAACACGGCAAAGACAACCAAGAAAATAAGGAAAAACGCCCGGCTCATCATCTCAACTTCATGCTCGGGCTGAACAGCGTTGGTACTGTTCAAGGCCAACCCCACTGCCCATCCTGTCGCCACACCGTTGATCTAGGAAACACAACGTTTGTGAGAAAGATTATTCACAGTCCATATTAAGGTATCGTGTTTCGCACTCACGGCTTTGCGGAATTGAATGCGTTCGAACATCTCAGCCGTAAATCCATACACTTCCGTTAATAACATGTCAATGTAAATGCCATCAAAACAATATCCCTTCATGAAAGGATTTGTGCTATTTTGCAACTGCAAAGCAAAAACAACCAAACGTATAATAAACATTCAACCATGTAGCACCGCAATGCAAGAAAAAAAAGCCAACAACGAAAATTTCATGATACTGATACAAAAACCTAACCTTTTTAATAAGTTCTAGAGTCACAAAAAATAACACGGATAATTATACATATATCACGTATTCGCAACATTTTCATAAATGAAAATGCAAATCAAAGAAAATGATAGGAGTTATCCAAATTTTACTGCAAACAGAGGAGGGCTTCATACCTCCAACCAGGGAGTTTCACAATGATGCCGGTATGCCTGCCGAAAATGCTCCAGCTGCACATTGACAGTGTGCACATTATCTGTCAAGTTGAAGAAGTCCATCACAAAAAATAATCCCGCAAATCCCTGTTAAAAGATGAAAATAATCAAGCGTCAAATTCAATTTCCCACGCAACATGCACCGCAACGGCCGTGCCCAACTCACCATAAAAGGGTTAGTTATATTAACTTTTTGCCGAGTATTAAAAGAGCAATCCGGAGTATCCCTGAATGGGCAATTCACATCGCGGAACAGTGTCTTAACAAGCTGACGACACTGCTTAATATCACCGGTCCCATTAAACGCGTATATTGTCCGCACACGGGTCGGCTTACGCAGATCAACGGTACATTGAGCATCAAATAAATCCTTATGCGATTCATTGCTAACCGAACCCCGAGGTAAACAGGGATGCTTTATGAAATTATTGCTGGAATGGTCGATAACCAATTGAGCCTTTAGTGTCCTCAACGCTTCGCCTTTGCCACGACAAGCAAAACTGCGACTGAATAGACCATACCGGGTCCCAAAGAAGGTCAAGTCGAAGTTCGGTGGCAGATGACTACCTGCACCGTTCGTCGGGACAGCAAAGGCGATCTGGGTCGACGAGCCGCCCAGGTCTAATGAGCCGAACGTCTCCAGGCGGGGATTTGGAGCCGTTGTAGAGTTATCCGGTATTAATCGCTTGGAGACAAAGTTCACTGTTGCCCATGCCAGTGCGCCTTCTTCCTCGCCATTAAGGATTAATGTATGCAGCCGCTCACCGGTAACGTGTGGATGAAATGTCTCATTCAATAAATCCCGAACATCGCTCAGCAATCGATCGGCGGCGACGCTGTCGCTTTTTCTACACAAATACGAAACCACCTTGGTAAAAACTACTATTAAATAATTCGCTAAGAAGTAATCACAAAAACTTGTGGAGTGTGGACATTCTTATGCGTGTTAGTGAGCATTTTATGGATGTTTGTCGAATAGTTTACCCAATCGTTTACGAGATTAAGCGAATAAATATCGACTAGCAGAGCTTTGATGGATAGTTAATTTTATAGCGTCGTGCACTTGGCATTCAGCCTGTAAACGGTCTGACTGTAAAAAAAAGCAATATTCATAATACAGATATAGCCACTGGTTAGCACTACAAGTTATGTACAACTGTATAAGGTTTGCTGGCTGGCTGTAAGAACGCATCATCGCAGTTTGCGGAATTGTGGTACATTTCTGCCTAAAGCACAACACACACAGGTTCCTTATGGTTAACAGAATACAAATTCTCTACCCTGCATTTTCAAGCGTGCACAGATATACAGGAACTCTATCAATAATTTTCACTTCATTATTAGGGAGATAACATCAGTTTTTTTACGCGCTCGGCATGATGAACGGATAATTACTGATTAACGCATCCCCGGCATGCCCAGACCTTACGCTGACATAAAAATTTCCATAAGCCGGTTGTTACGAGTGATTTCAACAGAACCCGGGGTGTGATCTGATCAAGTTTCCACGCTGGATTGATTACACACAATAAGCAATGCAAACGAGTCTGACTTTCATTAGTTGGTAATTGTTCATCACACACATATGCACACACACACCGACAGTGAAGCATATTATGTCGCCAGAGCTTTTTTGCTTGCAAACCAAAAGAGTCAATACGGGCATTTGAGAGTGGTGCCGACTACTTAAGAATTATCAGCCCCTGCTGACAAACGTTTACTCAACCGCGACGGGCAATACGGAACCACTTTCACGAGCAGCTGATGTATGTATGAATTTTGAATGTTAAATAAATAGACTGCGGAATGTAAAAGCCTCATATTACATAACCGGGCCCGACAGCCACGTTATCAGCGTCGCAAGTAACACAAATAAATTTTCATTTAATTCTTCCACCGATACGCCAAAGTACCTCTGGGTGCCATTTATCAATTTTATTACCACTCATTGTGCATGAAAAGCCCATAAAATTTGTTCTTGTCGCTAATGACTATTTGAACTTGGGGCAGTTACACTTTTTGAATACGCTCACCTCAGATTTCGAATGCCCGCGGTTCCAGCCACATAAATTTCCGTTTTCTCCCATCGATCTTCCGGGATGATCGTCATAGCCTTATCTAGACACGGCTTCCAGGCTGCCCGCAGCCGCTGCGGCTGATTCCTGAATTTTAATAGTATGCCTGCAACGCAAATATTTGCTACGACTTAAATCCAATATCAAAATCGATAACATCCACCATATCACAAGACACAACATAGCGCGAAAACCGATTTCAAATTCAGATCTGATCATATCAGCAAAGGCTTTCGAAATTCGAGTGAAGACTTTAACCACGCAAATTTAGAATTTAAAATTAACGGTACACGTGCAACAGTCAGATTAACCGCGATAATTCCCGCTTCGCCTTCGTGCAGCTAGTACTCGTATTAGTAGTAACTGTTTCGCAACTTAGTTTTAACGAGACAATCAATAATTTTTACTATCTCGGCGACAGGCATTCGATCGTATAATTCGTATTCAATTAAAGATTCCAGCTAACTGATTTAATAAAGTCAAAAGAAACTTCAAAAAGAATTGCAAAACTTTCGCAGAGCATTCAAATTTTTGAAATTACGATAAACTCTATAAAACACGGAAATTAAAAGGGAAACCACCGCGATATACGATACGATTCGGCAGCAAGTTCTCAAAGACTTACCATCGCATTCCACAAATTCTTTCTGCTCAATATAACCCGTCCCGTTGACTTTATCCCCGCGATAATGAAAGACATGTAATTTGGTATGCGCAGATCCAGCATCCATAACAATAACATAATTCTCCGGAATATAGCTGGAGCGAAAATATAAAACCACCACAGAGACAATACAGCCAGCGCCCAGGATTACGCCAATGATGATCAAGAGAAACACTCGACGATTGATCCTGCTGGGTCTGGCGGGTTCCCCGACTAGAGTCAAATCAAATAATCCCGTCAAAAATTCTCACAAAAACTGCGCTTACGCCTTACCGAAACCCGTATCATCCAGCTGAAGATCTTCCACATGAGATCGCGGTAGGGATGTGTTGGATTCATGGCGCCGTCGTTGGCTCACCGTTTCGCCATTGGTATCGATGGACCTCGTGGAGGTGTTGGGAAGTTTGGCGTATGAACCGTTCCTGTAAAATAGTTAAGCTTCTTGTCATTCCCCGAAGATGATTTCTCGGCTAGACCACGCAGTACCAATTTTCGTTTTCGTTCTCATCGTCCACTTCGTCGCAAGCTCCGCTCTGGCTGGGTTTCAGTAGGCTTTTTTCTCCTTCGGCCACTCGACTAGGTTTAGATTTCCCAGAAGGCATCATGCCATCATGCGTGCTCGAAAAACACGAGCCGATCCCACAATAATGGACGATTCATAGCCACCAGCGCTTGCACACTGATAACAAGGTAACTCTACGGGTTAATGCATTTCACGTATAAAAAGTTAGTTAGGACCTCAAATGCACTGTCCAATTTCTTGTTCCCAGACAGAAAACAAATGTTAGCGCGTTATGGAGTTGATCATCGGATATGCTTTTAATGCAATTAATTAGTCACAAATACAAATGGACTGTGCCAATGTTTGAGTCAACCATTTCGATGAACATACTATAGACTGTAACTGTACACATAGTAATCTACGGTCATAAATCGGAGCACTACTCGAATCTTTTCTTGCGCAAGATGTGCGTGCAGCAGTGCACTGTAGAGTGAAATGTGCGTCCAAGTTCTAACGGGCTGTCTAGTGACTCTAGTGTGTCTTTTAATGCTCTTTACGGTGCGTGCGCAATTTGTGCACTGGTGCGCCGAACGTGACGTTTAAAAATGACCGACAATTTTGGGAAACGTTTGGGAGGGATACTCGTACAGTCGCTATCCTCTGGGTTTTTTTCCGTATATGTACCGGTACGTAATAACAAAACAAACACAACCACAGTAAATCTTTCGAAATAATTGTGGCAGCACTTTGGTTAGATTAAATTGAACCATTAAAGTAAATGGCAGCGAACAAAATCTAATATAAATTTGCACTATTAGGCGATGTCGACCGTCTCATGTCGGTATGTCTGGAAAGGCGGTACGGAGAAAGACGACGGCAGGGAAAAGCGGTACGACTTCCGGTACCATGAATTTGAATCGCATAATACGAGACTGCATACTGCATCATCATAGAGAATGGACATTCTGCAATATCTTTGCATGTAGATATTAATTGCCTGGATAAGTGCGATCAATACTCTTGTTCGTATAATATAGGCCTTTTCTTCCAGATTCCATCTTTCATACGAGGAATCTCGTACGAAAGGTTAACGGTCTCTTATACACTGGCCAATGTAGGTACAGTATAGGAGTCTGATGTGGTTGAGCCTGATTATTTATGACTTTTATTTGGAAAACAAAACCTATCCCGGAAGCTTATTCCACGAAGGTCAGGGGTACGGGTTATAAGTAAGCGGTAATTCTCTATGTCATTGTTAAAGCAGAAATCCAGCACAGTTTATACCAAAATCTTTTAATGTCTTCATGTTGTAAAAGTTAAATTGTCAGCAGTTAAGATCGTACTCAAGCTTTTATGATTTAGCCGGAACCTTGACTTATTTGACAGTTATTTGCGGCGACAACATGGATCGTTACCAGAAGATTTCGATTGTGTTGTGCCGGGTTTGGATTGTAATTAATATCGTGGTGACCGTGGCATCGGCCCGAACGTTATTACCGTACGCATCGGGACGGACATCGTCGACCGCCGAGGAGCCAGCGCCGGGCGGCGATGAATACATGCAACTGTCGAAAGAGGAACCCTTGTTTCTCACTATGCACGAGAGCAATCGCCCTGAACGACTGCTATTGAAAAGGATGTATGCCGATGTGGCCGGGCAACTGGAGGAAATGGCGCCTGATTTCAAAGGTGACACTACTCGATCGATTATCCTTCGATTACGAAAATTGTAAATCGGTTACCCTATCTTATTACTGTAACTTTATGAATTTACGGTGACCTTAAGTCGAAGAAACACAGAAGCACTGTACCGCGTAACTAAAGAGGCGTAAAACATGCCACCGTGATTTTTAATCGGTAAAACTTGTTTTTGGGTTACTAACGGTACGCTAAGAACAGTTTATTAATAACTTAAAAATGTCGCTGTAGTCGTTTCTTTAAAAATTTTGGTAGTTAAACCTGTTTCCTAAAATTCAACTGAAACAAAGCGAAAAAGCTGCATTAAATGCTGCATTAATATCGGTACTTTTCACAATTGCGCGATAAAATGAAATACCTGGCTCAACAGGTGTACTCATGATTTAAAGTAAAACATTTATTAACATGTGCTCATTGCTTAATACTGATCGAAGCAATGTGCTGTGTTCTTAGAGTGAAAATTCTCAGCACGTATGCGTACGTGTGAGTATTCATCCTTTTTCTAACAACGAGCAGGTTCACTTAATTAAGTAGTTTAAGCTACACAACCATAGAAACCTTTTGACAACAGCGCAATTGTTGTGTAGACTGTGCCACGCCTAAACCGAAAAGAAACAATCTGTGGTCGTACTGTGCTGCACTGGGATTTCGCCGCCGTAAGGACGCCAATGCCAAGTGCATGAATGTCATGGCGCGGGTGTTGCGTAGTTGCGAACAAGAACGTGAGCAGGTGGCCGAGACCTAAAGACTTGAGGAAAATCAAGCAAACCCATGGTGAATTTCATTCATCCAGCGTTTTCGTATGACTCTTTGTAATATTTCCTCCTCCTATCGTATTTATTTCAATATTTCGATATATTAACGCCTTCATCCTGCCGCACACATGCATAAAGCTGAACGATACTATTGTTGCATAATTTTTCGACATGAATCTGCATTATTCTGTTCATAACCGTAGTCGTAAGCGGGCTCTTAAAGAAATTAATTAAAATGGTAGTTATGAATGTGTACGCGAACAATACGAACTGATTAGAAAATGTGAGTGAGTGTAATCGCTGGTATTTTATCAGAATAATCTGCACTTATGTGTACGTACGGCGAATCTGGCATTATTTCATTCTGGTATGCTTTGTAATATGGCAATTATTACAGACCGAAACCGATAATGACAACAGAAGACAAGAAGAATATCTAGAGCAGGGTCGTATAGTTTGATTCAAAACTTTTATTTCGGACAGCGCTTTTTCCCATTCCAAGCGCACGTTTTCGGAAAAGAAATACCAGGCTTATCACCGGTGCAATAACTCGTACCGACACTGTAATAACTGATTCGCACTTCGGCAGGTAATTTGTTGTGCACGGCATTGAAATTGTCTTGCGTAGTAAGCAACTTCGCACTAAAACAATTCGTGAAGGAAAAAAATATGATAAACTTCAAAAACAAACCCGCTGTTTAGTTGACCCTAGACAGTCAAAGCTCTTAATTTGCTTAATTCTTCGTTGATTTTCTCTCCAATCGGCTGTCCCGTAATGGATACACCAAAACCCCCCAAAGAATATCACAGTGGTCGCATCGGATACCGTCATGTTTTAATGGTATTATTATTTTTTGGCGCTATTTTTAAGCAGGCAACGAGAGTGGGATTAAGCGTAGCTATGGTGGCGATGGTCAAACCTCTGGGAAGCATACAAAATTACAATCAAACAACTGGAGATAATCAAACTATTTTGGCATGTCCGGAAAATTTATCGCCAATCCAAAACAGCAGTTTGTTTTCCAATAATATTACCTTGGTGGTAAGTCTGGCCATTGTCCAATTATGTATATTAGCACGTAGTTCTATAATAATACATACAGCATACAGACACTAATGTTTTTTTTTATTGCCACTTTATGTATTGGCAATTAATACAGTAAAGACAGCCCAGTATTTATGGTATGCAAATCTAAATACCGGTAGTCAAGGACCTAATTTAAATATAACATAATTTGGATTGTTATATATACTCGTAACATGCACTGCTACCGGTATGAACAGAAAGCGTTATAAAAACTCGTCATCAAATGAGTCAATCGATAAATAAATATGAATTAATTTAAAAGCAAGTAGTCAGTCAGAAGACTTTGAGAAATCAAGGCATTGGAAAGTGTTACTAAAATCGTTTCACTCTAGAATTCGGGATACTTCGAGTGGGATTCAAAAACGCAAGGGTTGCTGCATGGAGCCTTCTACTACGGCTATCTATTTTCCCAAATACCTGGTGGATGGCTTTCGCATCGGTTCGGCAGCACGCGACCAATAACAGCGTGCTCACTCTTAATTGGGATCGTCACCGTCTTATCGCCGTTTGCTGCTTACGGAAGCATGTGGTTATTCTTTATTGCCCGGGTCATTATCGGAATCACAACAGTAAATTAATAAGGCTAACTTTCAGTACAGTAGTGTTTAAACCCGGCAAAACCATAATCAGGTACTGACGTAAAGTCGTAGTACTGCAATTTAATAACAAGCACTGCTTGCGGCTCGGTTTAACGGTGAGACTGCTCGTGCTATCGGTTTCGGAAACACAGCATTTCACATATGCCACCTGCTAAAATGAAGAAACATACTTTCGTATTTCAAGCGTATTAATATTTGCAGGGCGTTATTTTTCCTTCCATCGTGCATTTGTGGAGCGAATGGAGTCCGCCAGCAGAGCGAGGTCGACTGTTATCGGGAGCCGGCAGTGGCGCTCAACTGGGCACAGTTCTGGGGATGTTTCTAAGCGGTCTGTTAGCCTCTACATTCGGCTGGGAGTCCATCTTTTTTTGCTTTGGAGCACTTCAACTTTTATGGGTAATTCCCTGGGTGATACTGGCCAGAGATTCTCCGGCAGCGCACTTTAAAATTTCCGACGAAGAACGCCACTACATTGTCTCGTCAATAGGGAAATCTCGAAGCGGGGAGAAAGGTCATCGCCATCCAATTCCTTGGTTGGCCATTTTTAAAACAGTGCCGTTCTACGCGATTTTGGTGGTGGAATTCGGGCACAACTGGGGCTTCTACACTATGCTGACGAATTTGCCTACTTATCTCAGCAATATTCAACATTATTCCCTGAAAAAGAACGGGTTTCTTTCGGCATTGCCCTATTTGGTCCGATGGGCCGCCATTGTAATGGTCGTGTACGCAGCTGACTGGTTGCGCTCCAAACACTTTATGAGCGTCAGCGCTTTGCGAAAGACTTTTACCACAGTGTCGTTTATCATCACGGCCGGGGCGTTGATTGGTTTGGGTTATGCCGGTTGCAACAGTGCATTAGCCGTTTCGTTGCTGGTTCTCACAGTGGGCATCTGGAGCTTAAATTCGGCAGGATATTTTCTGGGTTATGTGGAAATGTCACCGGAGTTTTCGGGTGTTTTAGTCAGTATGGGGAACACCTTTGGCACGACCACCGGGATCATTGCTCCCTACGTGGCGGGAGTGTTGACCAACGGGCCAGGAGGACAGACGATTGAAAACTGGAGAATTGTGTTTCTAATTTCGGCCGCCTTGTATTTACTGGCTGCCATTACGTATGCGTTGTTTGGCTCAGCTGAGCAGCAGCCATGGGATCCCACGGGAAAGAATGAAAAAGTAACCGTAAAGATACCTGATGAGAGTGATGAAGAAGTTATGTTTCTTAAACCAACCAAATAATCTGGGTATCATATTCGCAAAAATGTCATGGCGTTCTATGAAGTATTTATTCATTTGCTGTACAGTTCGTGGTTATGTTTTACGTGTGCCTAGGTTTGATACAATAGTATACGTAGATGATTTGATCTGTTTGAGTTTACCGTATACAGGACTCTGATACAAGCAGCTAGGGTAGATGTACTTCTAGTACTCTGCAACACTTTATTTTGCTTCTTTCTTATAGAAATAATACCACCCTAAACATAATCAACGATAAAAAATCAAATAATGTAATGCAACAGCTTTGGACAGATGGCCAGTACAGACTAGTCACTCAACATTTTAAGTAACTTTTGTCCCCGTTTTGGCCTACCTAACTTTTAACTAACGTTCTTTTTACAATCTGTTTTACTCTGGATTGTATTGTGCATCCTCATTGGATTAACTATAAGGTAAAGTAAAATCGTGCAAAATATCTTATTTATCACGAACATCCATTATAGCCGGTACCAGTACCAACCGGTACCAATGGAGAAGGGAAGCGTTCCCAAATTTGTGCCATACAGGAAACTGCAGTATTTATCAATTATTTGTCTTTGATTTGATGCCAGAACCGTTCGCAAGACATCTACGTCATATTTTACATTTTCCGTGGCCCAGTTCCCGCCAATTAAAATAGCTTTGTTGCTTGAAATATGGATAAGCAGGATTACCTAAGACCGAGATCATGACTCTTTGCACAATCAGCTACCATTGATACACTACACATAATTAAATATAAATTAATCCAGAAAAACATATCCTTTATTTTATATCTGCTAAATATCAATTCGTGTAAGCAGTTACTGCTGGATGTAAATTTATCTGTATCGGCTTAGAATGTACGATAAGAAAATGTACCGTACACTATCCTGTACTGTGCCAGTCAGTTTTCCTGCTTTGTACAGTATATTACAATATATTGTGTATACAACTCTGTACTGTATAAAAATAAATGAAGCTGTTTTTCATTATTGGGGGATGCTATGTTTTTATAGAACGCAATTTTTGTCTCGAAAAAATGTTTTATAAACTATAAACTTATTTTTTATAAAACTTATTTTTATAAACTTTTTTTTATTTTCTGTTCTCTTTGATGATGTATTGCGCCCTTTCATCTCTTAATTTTATGATTTTTTCATCATATATGTATTAGAACTACCTAGATGCTGTACGTTCTTCCAGGAACTCTAGTAAAATAACTTGCCGGGAAAAAATTATTGCTCCCATGCTTTGCTATATTGTACTTTAGTTTTGGCATGAATGATGCTCATGGGAACGGCCGCATATATGTACCGACTCTACCGAGAAACTGAAAAACCAGTGAATGAGCACAAGGATCACGCTTTCAGGATGGTGAATGCTACTGCACTTTGGTGCCAGAAGCGTTCCTCGACGTACTATAACGAAGCCAATCTGACAACGTCCGGTTTCAATTTAGAGAATTGTTTGTTAATTATTAACACTAACAAATCCGGTGTGTGTGAGTGCCTGCAAAATATTCCTGAACATTAATCCCTGTCCCCGGTTGACGTCGAAAGATTTATCCTGTTCAATAGCTTAACAATACCGCGCCGCGTTCACCCCATTTAATACGAAAATGTTCTGCAGTTTCACTGCATCTTTTGTGCTGCCGCTGGTGTCCAGTTTGCTTCCATTATAGCGTAACCTTTAGCACACGGTTTCTTGTATGCTTCGATTCTGCCGAGTTACGTGCTTTCATAACGTTATTTTTTAAACGCTAATGTTATCTGGCTAAATCATCGACAGTCAAATAATTATACTCCTTGTACTCCAGTAAATCCAGTGAAGTGCATACACTCAAATATCGGATTGCAACTTTAGTTTTATATTTTATCTGTCGGTTTCCGCTATGGGGAAAGCATCGACCTTTGCTTTATTTTTCGTAATGATGACGATTACATTGCAATTTTTTGAGGCTGATTCAGCTACGGATTTGCCAGCTGGAACTGAAACGGTTTCAGAAAAGCCATTGGATATCACTGATGAGGAATTAAAAGGAGGATGCAGCAAAAGGGATCCGCACCCTCTGGGTAAGAAATATAGGAAGGATACTAAATATTGTGCAATATTAAAAGACCATGTAGATTGCTTCTTTAAGGCTTTGGCCTACAACAGTACAGTCTAAACTTAACATTATTAGGATTAACATGAACTCAATACAGTGTTTCGAATAGTATAATAAAATTAATGTTCTATGTCCGATTAATAGCACAGCCTTTTTTGCGAATGTCGCAGGCAGAATGATATTCTAACTTTTATTAAAAAACACGTTAACTTATATGAATATAATCATACCGATCAGACGGTCGAATATAAATTTAATTACAGCAGCTTCAAACTTATCAAAATATTGTAAAGCTGTTTTCAGTTTGTTTTATTTCTGTTGAGCCTAAATATTTACTCATATTGCTATTCACTTATATTAGCATTTACCTATATTATCTTAATACAAATGACTTGAGCACTGTTAGCTCATACACTGAAGTATTGATAGTCACTTACCACCTGTTTTACAGGTTATGCTACGAATACTGGACACTATCAAATAGCTCGCCTAGGACGACAATATCGTTCTTTCCCGAATCGAGTTGTTCTATCAGACCGTAAGGCCCCAATGCGTTTTTCTCGCTTGGAAACTCACAAAATACGAGGAAAAACGTTTGTTTCTAATAGGCAACCATAAAAAAGCCGATCTGAGTGACTTGTGGTGGTACTGTGCATCGATCAATTGGAGAAGGTCACAGTTTACGATCAACCGCTGCAAGAACATCATGCTTAATAATCCAAATTATTTCTAGAAGCCGTGAAGTCCAAAGAAGATCATGTTTATTTTAAATGCAAAGCCAAAGACAGGATTTTTCATACAAGCCCAGATTTTGTTGCATTAGGTTTAACTTCTTTAATTTCACTATTATCAACGTTATAACTATTATTGTGTTCGGTTAAGATACGGGTGGCTTTATTAACGATACAGGTTAACACAGTGAACTACTATCAATCTGTTTACCACATGAACTACTGTAAACACACTTGAGATTATCAGAAAACCTCGAGCGGTTGGCATTTCAATAAATTAAAGTAGTCTTCAACAAATTTGTACAACGACTACAGCGATATGATACCGCAAACATGGCAAGTTTATCTAAATTTTGAATCTTCTTCGTGCATTGGTTGTACGTATATTTGAGTAGCCTCTTGCACATTCGATTTCCTTCGTTCGGACTGCACTCCCAGGAGCCAGTACGTTCGGATATGACCTTTGCCTTTAACCGGGATTTCGCCTCGTTCTTCGTATTCAAAATATCCAAAGTTCTCCAGTAACCCGTGCATTGCGGAGCTGATTTGAATTCTGAGAGCTAATTCAAGAAATACAATATAGAGCACCATTAATTTAGTTCTGTTTGTTGTGATTATAGAATATACTGTAGTATAATATTCAAACAAATGCATTTGCGTTATGAGTACGAAGCAACGATGAATTAGCAGAATTCTGTATGATATTCCTTTACTCGAAATTGTTTTCAGCAACCAAAAAAATAGGCAGAATAAAAGCGACTGCGAAACTGAGCATGTATTAATATTTATTTAAGTATTTTGCTTAATATTTAAGTATTTTGTCTGAGGATGTGTTTTCCGACCTGCGCCTTTTAAATAATGTTTCGCATTATCAGTCGGAATACTGATAATTAATTGTGCTAGCCTTTAAAGTGTGCTCGATGTATCCTATGATGATTCATTCATCGTAAATTTTTCTGCACAGATCAGTCAATAAAAATCATCAATGGAGACTTTAATTTTGGTAATCAACTTTACAATGCGGTTTAAGATGCAGTTCCATTACGGAACAAATCGAATGTGGATGATCTGGTGCTAAGCCGCATCACGTGCAAATAACGCGGATATATTACACCAAAAAGATGATTCAAAATTAATCGTCACGTGCACCAACTAGAAAACCATTACAGTACCGAATATCCAATATCGGCTACAACAAGTTATTACTGTTCTGTTTATAGGCTGTACTGCAGGCATTTCCACTATTAACTCGCATGTGGTATTAGCTTTTACGTACCTTCTCCGGTAGACTCCATACGGGATGCAGTGTTAACCGTGTCCCCAAAACTAACATGTCGAAGAGAAAAGTCGCAGGTGAGAAAAGGAATGCACGGTACTTATTATGCGTTTTAAGGGATTCAAATGCGCAGCTTACAGGCAATAACGAGGCATCGTTAGTCCGACAACACCAGCGACACATGGTCCTGTAGACACTTTCAGTTACTGATAATATTTCCTTATGTTCGGAATGCAGCTATCCTGTACTAGTTAATGCGTGCCGACTGATAGGGTAAGGAAGTTCATCGGTAACGTTAATAATTGCAGACAATTCTGTTCTACTTCTTGATTGTAATTTGTAAGAGCAAAATTTTATCTAGGTCACATTTGATATAAAATTTGATATTCTAAAGTCAAATTTGATATAAAATTTATGATACCAATACATTTTGAGATATCGTACCTGAATGCATTCCGATCCGCAAATTCAGCCTATCGGACGGTCGGTGGCGAATTTTAAACGTGGACACATGTTCTCGCAACCGCAGGGCCATTTTGGCTGCAAAATTCAAAAATGCAGATGTGAGACGTGAGATGTTTAGCTGACTGAAATCAGCTTTAATTTTATTGCTTATTTATTCCACTACCGTACAAGATGTAATTAAGATGAGATCTGCATTACCGTACCCAACTGCTGCGCATGCTCCATCCCATTCCTGATTGGCAATCCGGAAACGCACTAAAATAACCGCAAAAATCTTATAGACATTAAATTTTAAACTGAATTAAGGACGCTTTGGGCTTTTAATTAAGGACGCTTTGGGTCCAGTTTAGTTTATGATTAATTTAGGCACTTACTATTTTGCGTGCTTCTGTGATCTCATGGTTAGCAGAAAATATAACAATATTTTTGTAATTCTGTAGTTGTTACAAAACGTTTTTTTTGCGACAATATTGTTGTATTAGTACTTTTACCATGTAACTGTCACCAATCGTTTCCACCTTGTATACGTCAAACTGTTTAATGGTGCCGTCAAAGCACGTATACCTAACAAATACATAAAGGTTAACCGGATTATTTTGCATAGTTAATTAGAACCTGTTACTGCTGCTTAATAGAAACGGAAACTAACAAGTCGTTTAGGAAGTCCACAATCTGTAATGGAGTGCTCTCGGAAGACATAGTAGTAAATCCCACAATATCACTAAAACAATCACACATGCTGTGATTACCGCTGTTGTATAATTTGTTTTCGTTGCAATAAACTAAAATTCAGAAATTAGATCCTGCTGTACCTAAAAAATATGGAAACGCTCTCGTAGGCTTCCGGGTTTACCGACTGACCCTTTTTTAGCTGTTCCGCAACAGTTCTGAAAAATTATTTCCCGAATGAGTGAATTCTACATATGCCTATTGCCTAGTGTTGTGTAAAAATTCATATTAAGTAGGCCATAAATACTTTTTTATTAGCACACAGGCATATCTCGTATAAACGTCTTTACTCACTGCGCATTTGTATAATTTTTCAAAATGAACGTAACTAAGTTAAAAATTAAAATTCTTGATACTCACGATGGCAGCAACTGGCTTAACAACTGGTCGCTCTTTTTCTTTTCCTCCAAAAATGCTTGCGTTTTTTCTTCAACGAGACCCTCCAGGTTTTCCGCATACTGTTCCATTCGTTGTAACAGTATGTCCATTATGTTGCCCTGCTGATCCTCATTTCTGCGAAAATTTTATACGTGCACAGTTAACCACTAACAATAAAGTTTAAATAACAAAGTGTCTGTTTTTAAACTTCGATCATATCCATTACTCGATACTGTGTCACGTTACTGGGCGTAGCCGGTTACGAGATTTATAAGTATGTCACAGGATGAGTATTACAGTACGTACTTAAAAACTTGTCTCATTGTACTACGGATCTCCTGGAATCTTGGGCGGCTCGAAGGATTCTGTGCCCAACATTTTTCCATCAAGGCTATTAATGCCGGCGGAGCGGCTTCGGTTTTGATAGTTGGCCGGAACGGCGGTTCCTGGTTTTTTATAACGCGCTGGACGCATTCTGAATTACAAAAAAATTTATATACATACATATGACTCAACGCTGCTGACAAGTGAGAATTTGCAAATGGGTGGGTATAATAGAAACCATCGATTTACGCAGCACTAGTCACAAAAACTGAGGAAGCAAAAACTTCAAAAGGAAAAACATTATTTAAAATTTACAAAGCTTAAAATGCTTAATCGGAGGTAAAAATAACCCAAAATAATATTCGGGATAGGTCACCTTCAGCACTTATTGGATACATGGCAAACGGTTCCTCGCGTAGAATGATTTCTTGCAGTATGATACCGAAACTGTAAACATCGGCTTCGTAAGTGTTGCCGGTGACGTTGTTGATCACTTCCGGCGCTTTCCAGAGCAGTGTTGTGAAATATTCGTTATCCGGGATCAATGGTGGTGGATTGTCGTAGAACGTCGCCAATCCGTAATCTCCAATCTTTAGCACGAATCGGCTATCAATATAGCAGCAGCGCGAAGTCAGCCGGCCGTGCACTTGCAGCGATGAGCCGTGAATGTACACCATTCCTTTGACCATATCGTTAATCAATGATGTTTTAAACAAATCATCCAGCTTAAAAGCGTCGTTGTTTAATAAGTTCTACACGGAAAAGACAGAGCAAACATGTAAATGTCACATGTGAGTAATCGTCCATAATGCATAAGCATCTGCATACGAGAGGCAATCAACCACCTGAAGACAACCCTTTGAGCAGAACTCCATCAGAACCGCCGTCTGGTCCGGACCGAGAATGGCACCCACAAAGCGCATGAGGTTCTCATGAGTGACAATGCGTACTTTCTTCACCTCCTCTCGCACTTCTTTCGTTAAGTCAATTTTCTTTTTTTCGCACATGCGCAGTAGTACCAGATTCCCGCGGAAGAACACTTGGTGGGTGCGGGCGACGGCGTTTTCCGAGAACAGCGTGGCACGATCTTGTTTGGTGTTCATTTCACTCTTCCGGGATTCCACGGTCATAACGGACATTCGTGAACTGCGGGATTTTGATCCCTCATTGTAGGTCAGTTCGCTCCACTGTGCCAGCCAGTCCATCGACGACAGAGCGGCTAATTCTTGAGCCCGTTTGTACATGAGGAAGCCGACCACACCACCAATCAACATCACACCCAAAGCCACACCCACCGTCATTTCGGTAATTGGAAGCGCTAAAAATGTAACGTACAGTAGTCTGTTTTCGTCATAGCACGCTTCCGTTGCATGCAAAATATTTCCCCGTAGTTTAAATAAGCCATGCACATGGTGAAGTTATCCGTGCATAAACGAAGAAAACAGAAATTAATATGTAATAGCTGTGATTATGGACAACACGCAGAAGTCGAAGCATTTCATAAATTTACCGATTTTACAAGGCGAATCGTCAATGCAGTTTGGGCAGTTTTTTGGGCAAGGAAGGCACTGGAAGCCGGAAATATAGTCACCAGATCCATTGGTGGTCCATTGTGAGTAGGCATTTTCCACGTCAAAACCGGAAAACGCTTGCAAATCGCTGGATTTGTTAGGGAAATAGTAACCCGGCTTACAGATGCACAAATACGTTCCCCTCCGAAATCCAAAGCCGGTTCGCGGAATACACTGAAAACACATAGCCGGCATAATTATTGCATTCTGTAATAAATACTGCGATTTTAAAAAAAATACAGCTAGTGGATAATCGTACTTCTGTGGTTGGTCCTTTGCAGTGATGCGTGCCTCGGAAGACATCCAACGCCAATTTGGAAGACTTTTCCGTAACATCGCATTGATTTATGTCCAAAATATTGAGTGCCACATCACATGTCGCTACACCCCTAAAGGTCAAGCAAAGTGTGATGCACTCGCGCAACCTTGTGATACCGATACGACAAAATCAACTTTCAAAGTATGAAGCGTCTCGCATACGCGAAAGTAAACGATCCGTTATAATGCGCGAAAATCGGACTGTTAAAAGTTATCATCCATATGTCGCCGCCACCGCAATCAAAGTAGGGTTTCGTCCAGAACCCATCCTCATATATCGCGATGGGTTCGTTAAAATGTGTGGTGTTTTTGTGAACCTTTACTCCAGTTTGATTGTACTCACTGCAATTGTTAAAATAAATTTAGTTTATAACTAAATCGGAAACAAGCATTATTACTGTAAGCGTTTTATTTTTATGTAAATGCGTCTTATCATTATATTTGTTTATCTGCTTTGCAGCTCATTCACATATTTTTTTTCGCCCACCTTAGTCTTAATGTCACATCCCGTTCCAAAATTCTGCTCAAGTTCAAGGCTTTCACTTTCGTTCCTGTTCGTTCGAATGCGGTACAGATTTAACAAGCTGTTCATTAAAAGTCGACCAAGTTAATCAGCTGTATATGCCGTTTGTAGTACAGTGTTAAGAACTACAACTTTAATACTCCAACACCGGATTATGGAGCTATTTGTATCAGTTAGATACGTCACACTTGCCTAAATACCACTCGGATGGAAAGTAATCGTATTCCACGCTGATATCGTGGGATTTGATGGAATTATTTCCGGTATGAAAACTGTAGGCGCAAAATTTAGACATGTTCCGGTAGAAGTACGGCTCAAAGGCAATAGCACTTCCGAACGCCAGTTCCTCGATTTCGATTGTGGTTCGGGTCATGGCAAACAGAGTCTCATCGTCCATGCTCCCGCCGGTTCCGTTGGTGATCAACCAGTTCTTCGTCAGTAAATTCGACAATCGCACTGCCGCATTGGCTTGCGGTTTCCACTGGGAGTTATCAAAAACAACCTACAAATTTTCCCTTTGTTTGACAGTAACCGGCAAAACAACAAAACGTGCTTCCGAAATTACGCCATATATTACCAATACAGTGAATACACCTAGTTTAACGCGCGCAACTGATTTTCGCAAGGCAATCCACTTCGCTCTCAATTCACAAATTCTTTCATATGTCAAATGTTTACTTTAAAATGCACATACGTTTAATGTATTTGACGTGCCGCCATCACAGTTCCCTGGTTTTACACTGTCCACATACTGTAATGCTTGTTGGACAACATCCGGACCGGTCTCTACAAGCACGATAACTGTAGCAGCAAAGGTAGTGCAGAGTGACCACTATGGCTACATTATTTTTTAGCAATTTAATTTGTTAAATGGAACTGTTACAAATTTCCAGAACCTGTGCTCTCTAAAAAAAATTAAGATTTACGTAGGCTGAAATTTCTCCAGTTTTGCTTTCTAGGAATTGTCTCAAGTGCAAATAAAGAGCTCACTCATTTGAAGAGGCATACAGATATTGTATGTTTCCGCAAAATGAGCTTGAATATCAAAATTGCTATACGTACGTAGAGACTAGAGAGCACTACATGCAGTTAATCAGCACTGAACCGTTTAATTAACAGCGATGCGCGAACTTGTAAGCTGGAGGTACCGCACATATGGGATATTCGAAAAGGAATCCGCAGAATATGTCAACTTGACTATCGGTAAGGCTCTTGACCGACTACTTACACGCCTTTCCACTTCCGGCGACTATTTCAAAACCCTGAAATCGTGACAACTTCTTCCCTGCGTCCACACTCATATTCATTCAGACGCCTGTTTACCCCGCGGGATTTACTACGGCACTACAGAGTACTCTGTAGGTATGTATATACTAACGTTTAATAATATAGCCCTGATTAAATGGACAAAAATTTTGTGTTTATTAGTTTGTGCTAAGTCACTAGAATATTTAGTCAAGTAAAATGATTTACAAATTTCGAACTTGAAAGCAAAAAGTCAGCTGCCTCTAAACTTTGGTTTTTACAAATGGTAAATTTGTTGGAAAGCTTATATATCACAACCGGCGGTGCCGGAATAAAATACATTAAGAAAATACAGTCGAAGGAAATTAATGTTTAACAAAAATATTACATAGTTGTCAAATATTCAGAAACCTGGGACATAAGTTTTGTAGACTGCCATAATAAAGCACATGTGTTGTTCGTGGAAAAAGCACTCATCGTAATATCCAGGCACTCTGCCTGTGGTACCGCAGAAGTCATCTATTATTTAACTTATTTGTGTACTGTTCCGTAATTTGTGCATTTTGCAGTAGCAGCACAATGGCGGAGGAAGTGCAAATGTCGCTTGCGTGACCTGGTCAGCCTTATGCAGCGCATTCAGCTCTAGATCCTCACGGGAACCAGACCAACAAAATGCTACCTTCCGAGCAAAGAACCAACTGTATTATTCCTCTAATTGCACTAGACAGTATCTATATTTGCAGTTTTCCTTATTATTGTCTTGGATTTTATTCATTCCGGTTGGCAGGCTGATTCAGCAATATCTTTACCTGCAGCTAACGTTCAAATTTAAACTATTTAATACCAAAAAGGTACAATATTAATCTTAACCTTTTAGCATAAACGAAAAATTACCTCTCAAAAACAGGCAGTCCTACTGAACAATCTGTTTCCCAAAGGTGCGTTGTATTAAATGCATATAGCGTAGGTATTTATATATTATCGGCATGATCAAAGTTTTAATCGAATTAGCAGTCCGCGCTAATGTTGTTTGAGAGTTCTGGCTTGTTGGGCTGCGCTGTGTTCTGTTACCTGACTGCTAGGTATATGTATGTAGTTCTGTAAGGTCGCATGCAAAATCTGCAAAGCCTTTGTAGGTATTTTTCCACAGCTAATGCCATATTAAAAATTCATGAGATGGAAAATTTTGCGTCCCGGCGTTCGTACAGAGCTTTCTCCAGAGCAATTATCACAGATTATAATACAATTAATTATTTATTAACCATTTCCATAATGTGCATAATAATTTCCATAAGTCCTTTTAGTGAGCATCAAATATATCGTAAGCATTTATAAGCAGCAATAATAATGCAAACACAATCCAGAAATTTAAAATATTACACGTACTTCCTTAAAAATTGTGAATTACAAGTGCACAAGGACGATAGAAAACAGAGCTGGGTTAAAGAGATTCTGTGTTTGTTTTGGCCGGGTGAGCTAGATCCCATGTCAAGTTTTCCTGGCATAGTCACCTAGTACTAGTACCTAAAGTTTCCAAACTTGTTGCGGTTAAAAACTACGTGAATATGTCGTAATGGTGGAATCAACAAATCGTTTTGGCTAGAAGCACAGCATAATTGTCGTCGGATTCCATTAAGCACGAAAACGAGAAGCTTTCTTGCAATGTTATCAATACAGTATTGTAAATTAACATCGCATGGGCTAATAAGACTGGATTGAATTCGTACACTTGACTAAAGAAGACTGGATTCGTATACCTGGCTTACAGGTTTTGATCGTTACTCGAGTAGGCTTTTCATAACTGATTTACATTAGATGTCCTATTATGATGTGAACTGTACCCGCGTGCAAAATGTTATAATAATGCGCAGCATAAATAAAGAAATCCATATGAACATATAAAAATCTTTACAAACAACTATCAACTGAATTAATTATAACTGAATTAGTTTGTAATAATTATGTTAATTCTAAACTAAATTAACTTAATGTGACTTATGGTCAGTTCGACGTACCTCGTTTGATAACATTTGGATGAATATCTGATTGAGCCGAACATCGAAGAGTGCGATTAACCAGTAAAGCGGCACCAAACACGATTCCAATCCACATGCTGCGCAGTTCAACCGGCACAAACGGTTTTTAAAGAAACCACTTGGACCTAACAATTCGCAAAGAATACGTTTCCCGCACACAAGTCTTAGTTGTTTTTTCCAGCATTCGTTAATCGGTTGAGCAATGCCTAACCCAGCCCGCCTGTTGTCCTTCAATTTGATGAAAACCAACACCTATTAGTGTTGTTCAAAAGTATTTCCTTGTTACAACAGATATACAGGCATGAAGAGTATCTAGCTGAGCAAACTTGACAGGCACAGTAACTGAACGTCGTATATTTAGCCGCATATTTGTGCAAATTCCAAATCCAAAAAAGGGCACAATCAGCATACCGCAAAAAAACCCTGAATAATCGATAATGGATGTATTAAATCGTCAGTAGCGACTTTCAAATTTGCACCCAGAATTCCAGCATATACTCCCGTTTACAACGACGTCCGGGATCAGCCACTGCGAACATACATATACGACACTGCACCACAGGATATCCAGGTTGGCTACATTCATCCAGGCGAAAGAGTCAAGAGTCACTTGGCGTTTACAATGTCGCACAGGTGGCGACGGTTTCCCCAAAATCAAACAAATAATCAGCCGTATTACGTCTACTTGCTGCTTTATTTCGATATTCGATATATTTCGGGATACTCAATATGCTGTGTATTGTACATTGTAGACTAACAGACTCGATAATGCGTTAACTATGAGTTTTCCTATCTTGCTGCATTTCTTGTAAGTCATTTAATCGAACACACACTATGGGATTTTGGGATTTCCCGCCAACCCAAACGATTTCACCATCACGTAAATATCCCATTTCCGCACCGTGGCCGGCTTACTGTACATCATCGAGATCACAAGCTAACAAATTTTTTTATCAATAAAAGAATACTCTGCCTTTAAGTAAATTTTAGGAAGCATATTAAATAACTGTAACTGCATAGTTCTCAACGACAAACACGTCCATTATTGTTTTTAAATTTAGGAAGGAAGCCACTTTAACAAGATCAAAATGCACGAGTATTCTCTCTTTTACACCGTCAACTGGACTTGTTCCCGTAAAAGCCAAAACGTCCGGATTTGACCTTTTCCTTTGACCGGAATTTCTCCTCGCTCTTCGCATTCAAAGGTACCGAAGGTGTCCAAAAGGATTTTAGTAGCTGAACTGATCTGGATTTTAAGAGCTGAAAATGCATATTTTGTAGCAGTATAAGTGAAAGGCAAAACAATTGCGAAAATTAATAAAAAATAAATTAATCAGTGATATAAATAAATGAGATTACTTAAAGTCAGAGATTACTTAAACGGCACTACTGCATGCTTGATTGCAGATAGCTCAGAAAGAGCAGTTGTACTAAAAACACTAAACAGGAATGTTCTAATGCCTTCTTTACATGCTTCTACAAAATTCAAACATTACATTTGTTCATTGTGGATACTAATGGTAAGGGGATAACGCAGCCAAAACGACAAAATTATCATAAATGACACTACGCTTTGTCTGCAGTGTAATCATCATAATTATTACCTTCGCCAGTTGATTCCATACGGGATGCTGTGTTAACTGTGTCCCCAAACCTAAAATTGTGGAGGAAATTTTTAATTTTAGGCATCAGTTGCAGAGAGCATTAGGTGTTCCTTACAGACAGTATCGAGGCATAGTGAGCCCAACAACTCCGGCGACGCAAGGCCCTGTAACCATCGCAGATCAAGTGATTTACTGATTAATCAACGTGAAATATATACCGTAGCATACAGCTAAACGAGCGAAAGATCAGCGAAAGAGAAATTATACTATTGCCATATTTTCTGGTAGCAATGTGCGCTCTGGATAGACAGAAAAACAGCTTTTAGAAAAAAAAAAACAGTAGGAAGCATTTAAGCAATATCCGAACATGATTAAAAGTACGTACAGCATATCTGTATGACTGTATTCTCCAAATACTTAAATGTCCGCTGCGAATGGAGGGCATTAAAATATGGCTTACGTGGCTTAACAAGGCAAGCTGCTCATCTACTACATGATAGGTTGACATACTAAAAAATCTGTATAAGTTGCTGTTACCATTTTTATCTACCTGGGCGCAAAACTACACCTGCTTAGATTCTATGCAGTACTTATAAAGGCATGCAAAGTACTTAAAGGTATATATAAAGGTCACGAGCATACTCATTTTGACAGAAAATTACAGAAATTACGAGTTTGTACAGAAAATTAGCAGTAAATTATAAAACACACTTAAAAAACTTTAGGTTTGTTTTTACACCACCCTGTTGTAAGTTTATCTCTAAAAACCCTGATCACTGAAACCATAAATATTGCCCCGAACTGCGCACTTCAATGATAACTTAGCATTCTTTCTGCTGCAAAGTAGGTGTAGATTATGGCCGTTTGGCACAAACGTATAAACATCAACGGTTTCCAGATCTATTTCACGTATTTATTTTACAATACTAATTTCTCTACTCTAATACTATTATATTTTTAACGATATGGTTGCTCGCACAACAAAAACAGCACCAGCATAATTTGCATTTGCACTTGGAAATTGGCATTAGAACATTTTTACCTGAGTGAATACCGATTCGCAGTTTCAGCTGATCATTGGGTCGGTGACGAATTTTGAAAGTCGTCACATGTCCTAATAAACTTAACGCCATTTTGACTGCAACCAAACAAAAATTACGAACCAGCAAAAAAGAAATGACTGCAGAATTAACATTTTACCTATTTGGGCTGCATGCTCCAAGCCGTTTCTAACAGGCAATCCAGAAACGCACTAAAAGCATGCACAACGTCTCATTAACACGAGAAATTTTCGATGTAAGTACCGCTCATTCTTATAATAAGAACTATCTGTACCATATAACTGTCTCCAATAGTTTCTACTTTGTACACATCGTACTGAATGATAGTCCCATCAAAGCAGGTATACCTGTAACGCCCAACATATCAGACAGCAATTTTTCCAGATTCGTTGTAGGCAGTGAGCGCTTATGCCGATTTGACTTACAAATCGTTCAGGAAGTCCACAATTTCCATGGGTGTGCTTTCGGAAGACAACGTCGTAAATCCAACAATATCACTAAAACAAAACATCATTTGGCATCGCAAAGGAAATTCCAAAGAACTTCCGTGCTAAAGATCTAGAGATTTTTCTATCACATTTTTTTACCTGAAATATATAGAAACATTTTCATAGGTCTCTGGATGGACCGGCTGACCCTTTTTAAGCTGTTCGGCAACAACCCTAAACCAAGAATCCACATTTAGCATTTTTGTTCATTCAACATGCCAACCACTGGAATACTCGCAAAATACGAAAATATCTGTAATCAGCTACCTACCTATACAGCTATGAGTTATAATAACATAGGTATTTCACTTCTACCTGACAATAAACAAAACCAAAGACACGTTTTTTATAGCAAAAAGTTCTAGTTCTACGTGTCCTTTTCTCGGTATAGGCTTAACGGACACGTGTGATCTCCGCACTGTTATCTGTTTCTGAATTAACATTCATCCCGTTCATGTACGAAGTGGTGGAGTGGTAATAAAAAATGATAATTCATAGTATTATACGGACAAGTGATAATCAGTACTAAGTATCGATGATGGTAGAAAATAACAATAATCGCCGATGTTTGTGTTGCCTGTACTTCAAAGACAATACATATATCTATATTTATATAGTCAAATCAATCGTTTTTTAAAATTGAATTTTTTTATTAAAGTGCTTTAAGTTTGATCAACTATTGTATAAAAGAACGAATTTACTAAAATTAAATTGTATGATAATTAAATCAATTATTTGCAGGTGTATTGTGCAGGTGATAGTCTCAGTATTTACACCTTCATGTGGCACATATTGATTATGCTCTTGTTCTTTGGGCATCGCGTAATCTGATTTCGCATTCCGAAATCCATATCGTTGGAGGTACGAGTACAATATGTGTCGTTAAAATTAGCTATACTCACTTGGGCAAAAGTTGATTTAACAATTGATCACTCTTTCGCTTTTCTTCCAAAAATGCCTGCGTTTTTTCCTCAACCAGACTTTCCAGGTTCTGCGCGTATTGCTCCATCCGTCTCAATAAAACATCCATTATATTGCCCTGCTGTTCGTCATTCCTAAACGATTTATGTATGAATTATTCTGCGATCATGAGACAAGCTCGCGTGAGAATTTTTTGTGATGTGTAGCAAGGTGTGCACAAAAGTCCGTTAAACCATAATACATGCGGATGACGTCTAAACATGGGCACACGAACCACGGCGTCATAAATCATGCTTATGCACCTGGAGATTTGTCGCATAATGCTTCGAATTTCTTGAAACCGTGGTCGATTGGAAGGATTCTGTGCCCAACATTTTTCCATTAGGGCAGTTAATGGCACCGAAGCGGCTTCGGATTTAATCGTTGGTCGAAAAGGTGGTTCCATGTTTTTCATAACCCGTCTAACACTTTCTGTTTAAAATCACAATTTTTCTAAATATATATATTCAAAATATTTTTTATGGCACAGTGCGCACAATGCAAATACTTTCTGTATTTAAAAATCTGCGTAAAATTACTTTTTCTAACAATTTATTTTGATTTCAATATTTTGTTACAAAAAGTAGTGGCTGGGTTAGCTAAAACATTACATGGTACAGTGCATATGTGGGCATGTCAAAATTTAATTATTAGAGTTAATTTAATTTGTCAAACGCTGATACCTTCGGCACTGAGTGGATACATTGCGAAAGGTTCTTCGCGCAGAATAATTTCCTGCATGATGATGCCAAAACTGTAAACATCGGCTTCCTGTGTGCGCCCGGTGGTGTGGTTAATCACTTCCGGTGCTCTCCACAATAATGCCGTAAAGTATTCATTATCCGGACTAAACGGCGGCGGATTATCATAAAACGTTGGAAGACCATAATCCCCGATTTTTAGTACGAACCGACTATCGATATAGCAACACCGAGAATTTAAACGTCCATGAATATGCACTGGTGATGTATGGATATAAATCATTCCTTTAATTATATCATTAATCAATGATGTTTTAAATAGATCATCCAGTTTGAAGGCGTCGTTAGTCAGTAAATTCTGCAAAACACAAAAGGAATTATGCGTTTTTGGTAGAATGGCATACCGTGTATTTATAATTTATTGAAGCACTAGGCAAGCGTTTCAAGAAATAAATTATTATCAATTCGGTTTTCCTACTCAAAGATCTTCTGTTACAGAATAACTAATAAGCACACCATAAAACTGAAAAAAACAACCTGTAGATTTCCTTTTGAACAAAATTCCAGTAGCACCGCCGTCTGCTCTGGACCAAGAATGGCTCCAACAAATCGCATGAGGTTCTCATGTATAACGATACGCACACTCTTTACTTCATCGCGTAGCTCTTTGGTTAATTCAATTTTCCGCTTCTCACACATTCGCAAAAGCACCAGATTGCCTCGAAAAAACACTTGATGTGTTTTGCTGAAGGAATTACTGGTTGTAAAGTTGAGCGTCATTTTGTCGTGTTTTTTTGTGCTTTCCGTTTTGCTGGAATTGACCGTTGTCACGGAGTTGTGCGACTTCCGGTTGGCTCCATCGTTATACGTAAGTTCACTCCATTGTGCCAACCAATCCATTGACGACAAATTCACTTCTTCTCTGGCTCGCTTATACATTAGAAAGCCAGTTATTCCGACCAACACCAAAATTCCCAGAGCCACGCCCACCACAATTTCGGTAATGGGCAGCCCTAAAATTACAAAGCTGAAAGTATTGTACGTGACCTTTCTTTTCGAACCAAGACACTTTATCAAATGAAAATTTTACAATCACTTCCATATTTACGGCTAACCGTGACAGTACGCAGGCGGAGGAGCAACGTTAGTTGACCTTTTATTAGCCTGTTCCATGAACCGCACCTTTAACAACACAGAGCGGACTTTCTCCCATGTAACCACAATATGGTTTATTCAGTGGAGGTCGTCCGTTGGGCCAGGAAATGTTTGCCACTTCTTCGTAATTTTTTTTGTATCCAAAATAATTGGCGACCACAACAAATTCCCCAGATTCTTCACTAATCATGTGATACAATGAGTGGTCATCCGACCGGTCACCGAACGGATCGATGTATACTTTCCCACTTGCGCCACCTGCAAGAACGCCACCGGTGTACTTCAATGCACACTTTGAAATCTAATTTTGCTAGCGACGATTTAGAAGAGTAAACTAACCAACCTTCCCATTTTATGCCCCAGAATCTTTGAGTGAGTGGAATTATGTGCTCCTTATCGACCTTTCCACCTTCGGCAACAGTTAAGTTAACCGTCGATGCAAACATGATGACCGAGTCGTGAAAGGCTCCTGTATGATGTATATAAATGATTCAGGAATTAAGGAAACCATGCGCTCAACAATACCCAAATGCACATTTCTGTGCTGCACAAATTAAGAAATATTCTACTTGATCTAATTTACATTTCACTATACTAGATTTAACCCAAGTATGTAAGTACTGCAAATAAATTTCAAAGCAATATGTTACGCAATAGTAAATAATTCAGAGAAATAAAAAGCAATTTTCCTGGTGTAGGTCGGTGATGGGTGAAAGTGACGAACAGCATTACAATAACATATCAATACAAGAAAAAGGATATAATTGATATCCACAGAATGTCTTGGACCGTAATCCCGTTCAGCCTGCCTCCGCACGGCACGCTCAAATTTCTGGTATTCCGGTAAAGGTCGTTTATCCATAAGTGTCAATACAAATAACGCAGCGTATGCGTGCTTAGCCGCCGCATCGTAGGAATCGTCTGCCGTAAAGGGTTAGTGACGTCATTATATGCTGAATTTTTAAATATTATTGACTATTGACGCTAATTACTCTGTCGCCATCCATTTTTTCCCGATCCGATGATGTCGTTTTGGTACAGATCAAGGGCAACAAAGGCATATTCTCCTTCGCACATTCCTAAGCGATTCGCTGCCAACATAAATCTTCGGAGCAATATTGAGTCCAGCGAGAACACAAAAACTACAAATTCAACCAAATTAATACAAGTCATGACCTTGCCGGGAATTAATTGAATGACGCATTTCAACCACGGCTTCACGTACAAAACAATTCTAATTATTAGAAAGGGATACCTAATGCATGCTATATGCCACCATGGATGCTTTTCGGCTATGCGCAAAGCTTTGACAAATACACATCATTGCACATGCGGTATATGTCAGTCATAAAAAAATAACATTCTGGTCATGCACTCAAAAGCTTTGTAGGAATAATGTTAGCTGAGCAAAAAAAAGCCTCAAATCATACTTCGTCCAAAGCGAGAGGCTTCCTTTAAAATTTCTTCGATCTTCTTGGAAGTGTTTAGAGATCTAGTTAGAAAATGATTCTCGTAAGGCTGTATATTTTCGTCCTTCAGTATGTTGATGAAACCTGCAAAACATTATGTACACCACAGCAGAAAACAAATCAAGCATTGTACATTCTAAATATATTTTCTACTAAATAAATTTGAATTATTAATTATAATTGTGATTCTATTGCAAAACTGACTATTTTTAAATAAACGGGTCATTCGGACTAGCTAATTGGACATGCCTTTCAGTTATCAAATGCAATTTGCCGAATTCACAAGAAATCATCGATATCGGCGATATGTCCACAATTATTTCATGCTACCAAAGTCGACCGCCATAAATAAATAAGCAGGGCGCAGTTGGCAAAATTGTTAATCCGCGCTTAAAATTTATTTGAGAAAGCTTCGATTACCAAGAAACAGCAGGGCCACCTTGACCAAGGTAGGTAATTGTTAGCGACAACGCGCGGTATTCGTGACTATCCCGGTATGTTGACAACAGTTTTTCCTAAGGTCGGCTCTCCGTGATGTTTACCGCAATTACTCGGATGCCATATCCGGCATTATTAACCGCTCAATCCGGATAAAAAACTTAAATGGATCGGTTTGTGGTATTAAGTTGTTAGCCAAAACGCCGCAGTCTGCAGTACCATTAATTGCTGTTATGAATGTAATTCAACATTTATGCTTCGAGCACGTGCGTCTGTGGGCGTGCAGATCTTCGGCTAAATCTCGGCAGTTCCCGTCAACGGCATGGAAGCGTGCTGTATTACGCAGTTTTGCTTGTTGAAACTGCGCGGAACATAGTGACTCGTACAATAAGTGAAAAGTACTAAACACACAAAAAACAAAAAATTTTAATTACAAATTAATTACGTTTAGTGCGTATTTTTTACAAATACCTGCTCGAAAATTTGCATTAGCATTTGTATGATTTGTGCTTATAATCAACTTAAATTAGGTTTTACTGACCTTGCGCTGTAACATTCTTTGGATAATCACAACAATCGCGGATGATTACAATATTGCTCCACTGATAGAATTTCATCATTTCCACAAATATCCTCCATAACGAATAAGTATTAAAGGAGAAACGAATGAGATAGGGATACATGAACGTGGTGTCGACCAGTTCCGCCGCGCCGGTCAGAATGGGCACGGGAAAGTACGTGGTCAGTTCGCAGGCGATGAGCAGATCGGCACTGCAACCCGGACCGATGACGACATCCACGAACGGCGCAAACAGAATGGCTTCCGTTGTTTTGCCCAGTGCATTCCCCTGATGACAGGCGTTATAATAAGGAATCCAATAGACATCGTATAAAACGTTGTACATTTCCAAAGATCGCTTGAAAGCGATTTCCAGCGCTGGGCGAACATCATACATATCGTACATCAAACCAGTGGCGTTTTCGGTGAGGATCACCGCCGCTCGAACCAGAATTGGCGAACCGGTGCCGTTACTGTTTGTGGCATTCCAAGCGTTAATACAACAGATGAAACAACTTAAAAACAAAATGATTATCGCATGTTTGCCGCTGATATAAGGAGAAGAGTGGGTACCGGACATTATCTCAGATCATTATGGAAATTGCACAAAAACCGATATGTCGATTTCAAAACGTTCCGCACTGACTTCCGCACTGGTCGCTTTTAAGGTGATTGCAGATGCAGTGCCTTGCGTAAAGATGCATTATCATACGACGGCAATCCTCTGTTCCGTTCCCGCCATACGTGGCGCTATATACAAGTATATATGAGCAAGTTTCCGTGACGAAATTTAATACATTAATCTGTTAGCTGTCAAAGGAGGAGAGTATCCTCGCTCGGCACTTTCTAAAGGAGTTGCACGGGAGAGTTTCAGTACCTAATCTTGGAATAACTGTATCAATAGCGGCTCGGTGGGTGACTGATTACTTTTTCAGATCGATTAATGGCAATGAAGCGACAGCTTTTAAGTGCAGGTGACATGAGGTATTTTTCCGATTAATCTGCTCTACATATAAACTGTAAACCAGAAGTCAAACTGTTTTTACTTATGGTGAACTCGGCCGACATTGAAGTTTATGTTAATCGGTATCCCTCTTTACACGTTGCAACCACTGTTGCACACATCATAAAAAACGAAGGAAACACCCAATTAACAATGCCAGTTAACTTTTCAGCAGAAGTTTCTCCAAATTTTTGTGCAATAATTTTACATACTTCTTTGAAGGCCGAATTAGTAGTTAATCAAAACTAACCAAAAGGTCTTTGAGGGTAATGTTTCTGCCGGCATGAAAATATGGATCTATCTCGAACAGGTGCAAATCCTACGTATTCGTATGTACAGGTCTAGACATCTCTAGACGGTCACGTCGATGCATTAAATTGGACACGGAATATACTGCACAACAGACTTCTTAAAATAAATGCAGCAAAACATACTGACAATATATAACTTCGGTTATTTATGGCGATTTCGCATAACTTAAAACAACGCGACTTACGCGAGCAACTATAAACAATGTGTTATGTATTGTGCATGTGTACTGCCATGAAATTTGTTTAAAAAAAGCCCCATTAACAAGCTGGATACTGATAAACGGCACGTTAACAATTAGAAAAGATTACAATCAGATACCAAGATCCTGGTGGTCAATGTGCACTAATAACCAAGTATAGATCCAGCCGGAGACTTCCTTCCCATAGCAAACCATTCCGGTCAGTTAACTGTGAATCTGCTCTATGCTGATCTGCTTGTAAAGCATATAGTGCAATCGATCCCATCGTTTCATGTGTTCAAAACTGTGCTACTCTACCCGTAAAACACAGGATGCCCGTTCGGCAGTTTCTTATCACGAAAATGAAGGGGTGATCAGCTCGAAACTTGGCAACATCGTCTGCCCCGAGGGATCGCTTTTGGCGAACCAGTACCGCCGTCGCTGCGGCAGCTTCCGTTCCTTCTTCATTCACATCTGGAAAGGCGTTTATTGCGGTAATCACAAAGAAAGGAACAAAACAAATTTAAAGTAAAAAGCATAAGTTTACAAAAATTGGAAAAACCTTATTAAAAAGCAGCTGATTCTAGCTGGAAAGATACCTCAATCAAAGTATAACGACTCATGCACTTGATGCTTAACAAACGAATCATACGAACAAAATTAGACAGGAACCGAAAGCTGCAGTACTTTGCAACATAACCAATCTGCGACTGATGTCGCTTAATTAGGTAAAGGCGAAACTAAATCAAAACATCCACCGCTTTTCACAGCTGAGCCACACGTCCAACAAAGGCCACAAGACCGGTGCCTTGATGCCGAATGGCGAACATGAACGGATGGTCAGCACGGAACTGCGCTGGAGGTGGTTCGACGACCAACGCTCGGGTCATCATCATGGCTGTGGCTGCCGCGGCTTCCGTTCCCTCCTCATTCACTTCTACAAAAACCATTACAACAATTTTGAATCTTACTAAAAAACTCACAGCATGTTACAAAATGTCATTATTTTACGTGTCCTCACAATGATATCACGTTTATGAGAAAACGTATTTATTGTGCGGCACTGCGGCAGCACACAACCAGACGGATGACCGAAACGCAAAGTTATGGAACGTATAAAGAAGACGGGGCATACAAAGTAGGTATTACTTTTCTTCCCAATTATGACAAGGGTAACTGCCACAAAAAAAAGAGTTCAAAAAAATGTGACTGCAGGTATACTAAAACTATAAAAATTCCAGTACTGCAATACACGCAAAACTTTCAAAGTCGATGCGGACATTTGTAGTTGCTCGGTAAAAAGGGAAAAGAAGTTGCTTAAACGACTGCTGTGGAAATCTTATTTAATAAACATTTAATAGCCTCCTCAATGTCCAGTTATACTGGTTTCTACTAATACGAGTATAAAGTCTGAATAATATAATATTTATTCAAGCTAATTTTATTTATGTTTCGATATGTACTGCACTTACCGACAAAAGCTTTGTGCAGCACTTCCGAAACGACCAACGGCTCATCGGCAATTCCACTCAAATCCGCTTTCCCAAACAAATGCTGCACTCCCATCTTCTGCAGCACATCTACCAGTTTGTACGATTCCTCCAATTTAAACTTGGGCAGCCACACATCCACTTTCCGCTGCGAACACGCATGATAGATATTCCGCAGCGCTTCACCCGTCAGTGACTTCTCCAATTCCGCCAGTCCATTCTTATCCTGTGGTAGAATCACCAACATCGACATCTCCTCAGCTTTATACGGGATTTCGATCATTTGGAAGGGCGGCAGCGGCAGCTTGACTTCGTCGTTGTTAAAATATTTATATTTCTTCTTTCCCATAAACATCATATCCACTTTGCTCACTTTCCCGTCCAAATTGTAAAAATCCTCCTTCTTCGTGTTCTTATCGTCAAAACGGTTCAACCATGAGGCTTTGAAGTAAATCGCGTTCACCAGGACCATCAGAGTCTGTGCTGTGACGGCGCCACCACTGACGAGATCGCGGATTTTATTGTTGGTCTGCTTTTCCACCCAGGTGTTGATCTCGCGGATGGCTGAGTCCGTATCCTCCTTGAACGCTACCTCCCCGATTTCTCCGTTGAGTTTCTGCGTCACCGCGGTCTGGTATTCGGGTTTCAGGTGGAAACCGCGTTGGACGTAGACGCGATTGGCCAACGACAAGTCGAAGGCATTTTGTCCGCGTTCGTCTTTGCTGGGCACGAACACCTGCATCACTTCACCGTAGGCCTTCAGGACGTCGGCCTCGTTGCCAGCGAAGTTCTGCTGGATCTGCAGAATGGCTTCGAGTTCCGCACGGGTGGAGGATTTGGCTCCGACGTACGCCAGCAGCAGCGCCGAGGAGATACTCAGCGGAGAGAGAAACAGATTAGACGATGCATGTTCCGGACTGGCGGCGATCTGGTGGTAAATGTTCATTGAGAATTCGTCCATGGACTTCTTTATAGATTCTAAGTGCGTGGTCATTTTAGCGGTGTCGGGTGTGAGGAATACGGATCTGTATGAGCGGGGACCGTAATGAAGGAATGGGACCGAGCAGATGTCAAACCTTGATATGAGGCACGAACAGTTATTTACCACTTTTCGCAAAATAATAACCATAATGAACGTTGCGTACTTACTTGGAGCCAACAGTGGCAACAAGCTTTGAAATTAATCCGAGTATAAAAATTTGAAAAACCGATAAAATTGGGTTAAACATTTACTTTTGGAAATCAAAATATTGTGGATATGATGGGAGTTTCTAATTTTTGAATGAATGGTGCTGTGCCGTGACTCAACTTATCACTCAAGCGTCATGAAGCGGCATAGCCCCGGAAATGGAGCGGTTCCACCTGGGTGTGACAGTTACCTAAAAATCGACTTAATTGTTTGAATCATACGAGATTTGTAAGAAAGTTATTTAAATCACAGAGATGTGAACTTGAACAAAATCTCCTTATTAGTGTGAAATTAATTGTTTAGTTGCTGCATATTGTGCTCTGAATACAAACGGAGATTATTTGGATTAGGCCAGTCAAAGTTTAAAGATTAAGTAAAATTGGGTAACTCGCTCGCTGGGTATTGGGTAAAATTGGATAATTAATCGCTCTTTAGATCTGCAGTATACATACATACTCTGTACGTAAAATTAAAAACTTTTAACTTTTGACTGTTCTTTTTTCTATTTGATCCACGATATGATAATATTTTTATTCACATAAATAAGCCGGACAAGAAACCCTGTAAGAAACATGCTCGAGGCATTTCCCACACAAAAATTTCAATAAAACGAAAATCTAGCAATAAAACAACTGCAGCCCTAATCAAAATGCTAACAATTCGCATTAGCGAAAGCTGTTTTTTCGTCACATTGGTAGGCAGCCAGCATATCCTTCGTAATGTCACGGAAAATCTGTTGGGCAGGAGCAGTGCAATCGGAAGCGGTTTTCGCAGAGATGCAAACCTCGTAACGCTTCAGCTCACTGTAAAAATTACATGGTAATATCAAAGACAGTATTTGATATCGTTAATTACAAAAACAGTGCAAGCAGGACGGAAAATGCTTCCTATACAGTAATGATCATCTGTTGTATTCTGTACATACATAAAAATTGTAATAAGTCCTGTTTTAAGCAAAAAATAGGAAATACGTATCACCATTTCACACTAAAGCTTACAGCCTGTGACTCTTTCATATCAGTTTAATTCTTGATAATTTGAATGAACGGCTTTTTATCTGTGCGTAACATTTTTATTTGAAAATTTAAGTAATGGTTTTCACCAACAGTAAGTCTCAAAAAAGTAAAGAAGAACCAACAAGAACAATTAATTGTACAGTATTAGAACGTGAGTTGTCTATTATTCAGGATGTGCATTATTATTTAAGCAACTATACGACGTGCACGTGTTTATTGACTCACCAGCAAAGTTCCTTGTGAATCTGTTGACCTTTCTGGATGTTGAATGTTGGATCGGCCGGATTTGTCGTCAAATACGCATACAGCTTTGCAACCATTGGTTCTTCACACTTGGAATACCATTTGGAGGAATTGCTCGTGCATCCCTGGGTAATGTTGCTGACCTTTTGCTGACAAACTCCCGTGTTCTGCTGTCCGATAAAGTTGGTTTTCGGTACCACCTGCGGGAAGCAGTGCTTCATGAAGTCCGTAATACATTTGCGTCCAGACTGATCCAACCTAAGGACACATGAGGGCCATGAAGCCACTAATTGCTTAACCGGAAAATAAAACGTTTTATGTGCAAGTATAACCAACATACGTTTTTTAAAAGCGAGAGTGCATTTGGCCCTAAATACTGAAGAATTTTCACTTACTCGCACTGGGTTGTTAAATCACGTGCCCATTTTTCATCGGTTAATGGAATTCGCTTTCTTTCTTCGTAGCGCTTCATGAAGTTACGGATAGCCGGTTGCACGCATTTCGGAATAGCTTCGTTAGGATTGCATGCTGGATTTTGCACTGGGACACTCGAATTAGGAACCTGCGCACTGACCTTCAGCAGAACGATAGCCAAAAGTGTGGTAAAACCGAGTAACTTCATTCTGACTGTGATTTATAAATTATAGTGTTTGCAATGGACTACGGTCACAAAGTTCGGACCACAACTATCGCTCTGACAGCAGGACACCAAAAATTCCCCGTTTTTGTGATGCTTTTATAGCAAAATTTTGTTGATCGACGGTTTTAGTGCAAAGGACACTGAGTACCGTGACAAAACACAGAGTTTGTTCATGGAAAGTAATACGGATCTGCTTCTCTGTACGCTTAATGTGTCCCATTCCCGGCGACATATAACCTGCAATCTGCATGCCAGTGCCAGCAATAGCCAAAATGCATGACCTATACTTCGAAGTATACGATCGTTGTGCCTATTGTTCTAAGCAAGCTCATCTTTTCAATTTGACTCTTTAACTAGTTACGAACTGGGTCAAAAATATCATTACCGTACACGTACTTATGTTAGTTATGTATATAACAAGTACACCATAGTATGGTGTACTTGTTGTGTATGGTATTGGCGACCATACACGTACTACGTATTAATCGTAAATATTATAACAAGTGCAAATAGTGCCGGTTTAATTTTAAAAATTAGTATATCGCACAGTCGTACAGAGGGCAGACACGCACTGCATCGTTGACAGCGAAGTAAAAAAAATTTAAAAGAAATTTTATCTGCAGATAGCCAGTCTTTTGTCTTTTGTTACTTATAGACTATAAAAAATCACATAAAGTACTGCAGAAAGGCAAACAAGATTAAAACTGAACCATCTCGTTCCCATTCACACTTTTAGGTACAGTCTCGTTTTCTCTGGAGAGATCAACATTGATATATAATACAATAAATGTTTTATACCTGAATGAGATAATATGTATACAAAATTAAAGATAATAATGAATATGTGATAAATATACGCTTGCTTCTAATTTTGTCATATTACGGGAACTGATTTTTAAAATAGTGCCTGCGAGAGAGAGTGATGCTTGGGACTCATTTCATTAATTTTTGTTCTAATTTTACACCATAAAACCTATTCATGCTGTGATGATGTAACATTCCGTGCGGTTTAGAGCACTCTGTATTTGCTTTAGCACTGAGAAACGATGATCCTCTGTTATTTCTTAACTTCTCATCAAACAGCGTTTATTTATCCACGAAGATGTGTCTATTACAAAAAGTGCCGCATGACATTTCGCAACCGCAGCAAATTTTTGCGCTGTGATACTGACGCGACAAGCCATCAAACCTTGACAGAGTGTCTAAACTCAATAGGTACCTAAGTATTCCTGATGTTTGGTTTGGCTTTAACAGAAACGGAATGTGTGTTTTGTAATATGTGCGAAGTGGGAATATCCGTTTGTCTGGGGATGCACGTTCCATCAGGGTCTGCGTGCTGGGCGTACGCACAGCGGAATTAGAATAAAAATTAACAAAGGCATACTTAATAAAACGTTCCGGTAATACAACCGGAAATATGTTTTCGAAGTTATTGTATAAAGCAGTGTATAAGCCAGTACGTTAGTAAGTATTATAAGAAAAACAATTATTCGCAATAAATTCTAATAAATGTTGTATTAAATTACTTACTATTATTATGTAGCCGGTGCTGTGCTGATAGCTTGAGTGATAATGAAAGCCAGAACTACGCGATAACGCATTTGCGCAACGTAAAATTGCTCCTCCGGATTTTATGCATGAAACCCGATAGATACTATTTTTAGTTCAAAATTTAACACAGCACGTGTTTAAACATGGCAGCATTGAACCTACGTATCTGTCTGAATGCTAACATCAAGCTGATTCAAGCATGAAGTGTATTTATGTTAATTATAGTGTTTCCTAATTTAATTGATATATCTATATGCTTATTTCTACCCTCTTCTTATCGCGGAATAAATTTCGAGTATTCAGTGGTGAATTGCTGCTGATGTCGGCACGCAGACTTCCTGTACCTTGCATGTGCATGTGCTGCTTATGGATTGTGATATTTTCCGAACTTCTGAGTTTCAGATCGGACTGCCTGTACCGTATATACAAATAAAGATGAATGGAAACAATCCCGTCCGTTTGTTGGTTAAGCCCCGTTAACAGAGCTGAATGCCATGATTACATAATAAATAACCATGTACAGCACAACATCACAATACGTAGACGAGTACCACCCTTTAAAAGGCTGTAATACAAAACGCGAAATACAATAAGTACAGAACCCGTGTCTAATGGTATAAAGCAGTCAAATTAAACCATATGCTAGTGTGCGCTCAGCTGTGGCGGCTGGTGGCGCAACCCAACACAAACACAACATCGCCGCGCTGATCTCGACCAAAAGGCGGTTCTTATTTGGATGTTAAAAAATTCATTCGCCCCGATTGGCATGTCCTAAACTGGCAGCAAGATTTATTTTGCTCCGAACCAAAAACAGTGTATCGACATAATTCGCCCCGGCGACAGTGCTCAGTTTGTTTAGACTTAATTCCTTGTTTTGCCTATTCCGCTCAATATTGTCCTTGAGAGTGGGGTTACATCATATTGTCTTCCGACCGGGGAAATCAACAGTCGGAATCGATGGTGGTGCGCGTGCTGAGCAGTGAGTAAAAGAGGAAATGTCGAGTAAGAGCGCAACCGCTACACCCGACAGCGATCGACGTGATGATGGTTTCATAAGCGATAATGAGCTGGATGGGCTTAAGAAAAAGCTGGATGATGATATCCGCCAGATGGAAGACCACATGAAGCAGTGGCGGAAAGAGCATTTCGACCCCGACGGATTTGCGGAGAAGACATACAAGGAATCCCGCACGTCCACCACAACGACCACCACATCGAAAACCACCTATTTCATGCCGGAAAGTGAAGCCAAGAAAAGCCCACAGAAATCCATCCTGAAACACTGGCGAGCGGACAATCTCAATGGACCGTTGAAGTTCAACGTGGAAGTTAATAAGCAAGCGGCAGCCGGTAACCATGAGAGCCGGCCGCCCACTGTGGACAACGATACGCATGTGCGGTTTATCTTTGACCTGGGCAAATTCCATCCCAAGGAGATTCGTGTACGAGTGGTCAATGATAAGCTGAAGATCTCGGCCAAACGGGAAAAACAAACGGATGCCAAATCTATTGGGGAAGAGTATAATCGGGAAGTGATATTGCCGGCCGATGTGGATGCGGAAAGCGCCACTTCGGTGTATTCGAAGAACGGTGTACTGGTGGTCGATATGCGGTATAAGGCGCGCGAGGAGATTAAGCCATTCAAATCCACACGAACTTTCTACACTCGGGGTTTCAGTTCCGATTAGAATGGCGCCATATATATCCATCCACTTGCCGCATCCCTTGTTAGTCCGTGGAGTATAGAGCCCTTGAAATATTTTGGAGATAATTCAAGGGTGCAATATTGGCTGTACTCAACCGATCAACGTAATCAACGTAAGCGCTTCCTGTCAATATGCACGCTTTCAGCAGTTCTTTTAGAAAACACTTCCGTGCGAAGTATGCGCACTCTGTGATTAGCAATTTTTATTTTGCTTCGTTCAAACTGAAGGATTTAGAGTAATATAATAAATGCAAATTAGTAACTGCATATTTTTATATGAGAAGTGGGTTTTTGGTATTTTTTTTTCGTTTTATCTTCACATGTTTATACGTTTTTTATATGGAATGGGCTACTTACCAGTTTACAGATAAAATTACCACAAAGTCATTTTACGGCTTCTTCTGGTGATCGTTCTTTTTAAGCGACAATATAATGTGAGAAAAGCTGGAATGAACCAGGCAAACTTATTTTGATCTGTTTTAAATTTAATACGCATACATGTATACAAACACGTTAAATTTAGACAAAGAAATTAAAATAATATGCTGAATTGCCAACAATAGGATAATAACAGACTAACAGCAGTCAATTCACAACGCAAGTGGCTATTAGGTAAACGTACAGAGCGCAAAAGATCGAAATTGTTATGATATTATACAACTTTTTGATACCAGTAATCAGTTTTACGTTGCCCACGCTGAGGAAGGCGAGGATGTGTATTACTTATGTAAGTTGCACGACCATCACTAGTTGTACTCAAAAGCCAACAAAAAAGAAAGCGTTTAATGAGCAAACGATATCACATCGTATTACAGTCTGCAGATCTGTCAATTGCGCGAGACGAAATGTAATGGACTAGTGGCGCGCTAGGGGTGTGTTAAATGGGATCCCGTTGTCAAAAACTGGAAGCGATGGGGATGGTCATTAGCTCCTTAAGCTCATACTAAAGCAATTTCCGTTTAGGCCATATACAAAGATTGTTATAATAATATTAAGCAATGTGGCTGTGGCTCTCTCAAGTTTCCATCACCAAACAGCCAATCAACCAATGGATCCCCAGTCCCGTCGAACAAATTCATCTAGTTTACTACCATCGCAACAACCGCGACGCGACAGCCCATCAAAACAGCGGAAAACGGTTCCTGTGTATGAGATAATCTTAACACTGGCGATTAACTTATTAAGTATTATTCCAGTCCTGAGAACTTAATATGCAGAGCGAAAACTGTCTAAAAGAAATACTAGCATGTACTAGGTGAAACTGGTTGTAATAGCATTTTTCATTTAATAACTTGCATTTTCCGACATTGACAATAACGGTCAACCAGATAAATTAATAAATACTTAACAGCAAACACAGAAAAACTACGGGTTTAATCAAGAATGTTTCAACCATCACAAGTATATTTTCCATAATAATCAACGAAAACGCGTAATTCCAGAAGAGCTGAACGCGACTAGCACAAAAAATCAATCGCCAAAATCCCGACCGCAAGTTCAGAACTCGAATCCTCCATTATCCGTTATTGTTCGATTTTCCAAAGAAAACTTCAAATTATACTGTAGTCTCAACAAATCCTAAAACAGCAGATTTATATTTTTAATTTCGAATCCAATTCTGTTTCACGCTTAAATACTTAAACTGGATACGCAAAGATGAGCTACCCAACAAAGAAAACAGAAAGGTTGCTAATCCACTACCTTCAAATGAACCGATCACTACAACAGTTAGTGCTCTCCTGTTTTTAACGCAGTACGCACGGTTAGCCGAGCACAACGTACCCGCTCGGATTTCGCCACAATGATAACCTGCAGCGCTGGACTGGAAGGAAATATAGGATTGTACGGTGGCAGGTCGAATGCCGATTCAGATTGCACTTTGACTCGCATTGTCTGCAGAACAATCAACCCTTGTGTGAGTCCATAAACTCGGGAAACGATGTAGAACCGTTCAATATGCCAAAATGCTGACAAAATTATGCGCTACACGGACAAACAGTAAAGGCAATGTCACGCAGAAACAGCTGCAAATAACAGCTAGCGTGAACAAACAAACTGCATATCAAATTTCGGTACACAAGTGCAAAGTCCTGCGTCATGAAATTTAACTCAACCGCAATTACTGCTTTTTCAATGCAAAAGAAAACAGCCAGGACTTTTCATGCCACTACAGCTTCCTAATCAAAATTTAACAAAGTATTATCCCATCTGTGCCGGTTCTTACTTGACCACGGAGAACTAATATAAAACATTTACTGTTAGTTTTACCTTAGATCCAGAGACGTTAAACTGCAGTTGGCTAATGGGCGATGTGTTCAAATTGGCAAAAGTTGCAACAAGGACGTAACAATCCTTTCTTGGTTTATTCTTCGCCACATGTATGGAAACGTTCAGTTTATTCTGATCATATGCCGTCACCGGAGGTACTGCACCTGCAAAGCGAAGGGCATCGGAATAAATTCAACGAAGTTCTTTTTCCATAAGTTTCAAAAAAAGGTAATCCAGCTACCACATAAAGACTGACAAAACTAATCCCACTCAAAAAATCAAAAACAGTTCGTCAGATTAAGCCTGCACTCCATGGGGTTAGAATAACAGCAGCATTTCCGCGCTGTATTTGGAAATTTCAACGTTGCACTAAAACATGTTTCGCATGTACGAGTATTTTTCCGATCTGGTGTCAAATAAGCTTAGCCAGTTCGCAAACAAAATCTTTTACGATTGGGATTACAGTTTCCCACCGTTTCAAAAGCCACAGAAAAGCGAGTGTACAAAAGTCGAAACACTCGAAAATTACGGTGTGTGTCAACTGCAGCGCGGCAATCGAGATAATTATTAGTTAGCAAAATATTATATAACAATGATATGCATCTCCATAAATTCATTTTAATTTCTACCCCGGTTAAACATCTGGAAACAGATTTGCCTAACACTCCTACGCGAATGCCAAGGTGACTTTAGATGGTAAAAGGCAAAGCCTTACTTAATTGAAGATCATTAACAGCGACGGCTATCCCATCTATAGGTGCCGGGACATCGACATCGCCATTCTGGGAGGGGAAGGTGGGCGGACTGCCTGTCTTTTTTGATAGTTGCCTGTCGTTAATTAACTCATCATCACCAGAACCCGCCGCCCGTTGCGCCGGAATATCTTGCTTATCGAATGCTGCCGGTTCGCGCTGCATTTCATTTAAAGTGCGTTTTGGCTTCCTGTAAAACAACCATTCTTACAATGATCAGTAAAAACAAGTAGCGAATTTCACGAAAGATTATACCGCAAAGTGTAAGACGAGTTAGGTATTTTATTTATGAACTCGCACAACATGAAACAAAGCTTACGTTTCAATCTGAAATCCCCGACCGCCGCTGCCTTTATCGCTGAGACTCAAACCTCCAAGAAAGCTATGAGTAACGTCATCAAATTCCACCAAAGTTTTACGCGTGGACGAAGGGGATACAAGAGTAGGATCAGCTACAACAATCATGCATTGAAAGCATTCGCTTATGCCTACAGCACGTTCAGTACAGTTACCATTTATAAAACGCACGCACGCCCTTATAAAACGCCCGTGTGCAGTCCTTTGCGTAGGCATTATAAAAATTACCTCGCTAAAAATTCGTTTTCTTAAACGACATTTTGTAAGAACGGTATTCTCAAGATCATCCTCGGCAATATACCTTTGCTGTTCGCAGTCGCACTATCGGGTCCCGCATTGGAACCGGAAAGCGACGAGCTGCTGGATGCTGTGGGGAGCTTTGATCCTGGCGAAACAGCAACCAGCGGCGTCGGCATACTGGTGCTGGACATGCTGAACACCTCGTCTAAGATGGATAGCACATCGTCTTTGGGCGGTGGAGGCATTGGTCCAGAAGGTACATGGCTTGTAGAAGCCGAATCCAGCGACAGCAGTTCTACATCACAAATCTATAAACAAATACTTCCTAGTCTGTTAACAAGACATAACAAACCTGCTGGAAGCGTTGACGGCGCAGACGTCTGGGCTTTCCCCTTCTCGTCAAACGTTTCTGCAGACAAACCTAAAGCGCGGTACTGCTGGATAGCTTCAGTCAGTTCATCGCTTGTGGCAAGAATGTCCGCTAAAATTGAATGATACAACTGAGAATCCATTAAAAATATAATAAACCAAAGAATCATGTTAATTACGTAGTTTCTAGATTATCCTTAGCAGCGTGTAAAAGAATTATTACACGATACTGTAATGGAAATAAATCACATGGTACAGTCAGATTACCCAAATTTGGACCATCGTCCGTTTCAGTGTTGCTCTCAGCAGTTTCGGCTGCTAATTTAAATACGCGTGGCCTATGTTGTTCACAGGTCTCGAACAGCTGCCGCATAGTTTCCCTTTCCGCAAGGGTACTAGATCCGGAAGAAAAATGCTTCATCATATCCAGTAGCAAGTCGGCGCTCTCTTTAATTTGAATCAGATCGGAATGCCGGCGGACAACCTTCTCCACGCGTTGATCATCCTGCAACAGCCAGCTGCATCAACAAGTACGATCGCATACGAATAAAGTAGCATTCACTACATCTACTCATCCTGTACACAATTTACAAAGTGGTCGCACCTCCCGAACCATGCTTTTGATCAGACGATTGGCAGCCACCATATCAGCAGGATCTTTACTTTGTAGCAGGCGCCGCAAAAGCTGCAAAAATGGAAAATCAATAAATGATACAGAGGAATCAGATACTACACTACGAAGAACATATCAGACAGCCTTTTGTCGTATTCAGACAACTTTTCCTGCTTAAAACCTTTAAGCGTAACTAATTGTAATACGGTGCATTTACAAGTTTCGGTACAAAAAACCCTAAAAATAAACCGCTCATATTATCATTTACAGCAAAATCTTCAGTTTTCCCTTTTAGTAAGGTACAAATAATATTTCACACCCCCGCATGAATGCAATACTGTACAGCACCGCATAGCCAGCAATCAAACAATCGTAGAATAACTTTTTACAGCACTAAGCGATCGAACTTAAAAACAAAATCACGTTCATCTTAAGTAACTGGTGTACAGGGTGAGTCACGGTCCAAGCTTTAATCAACTCTTATGCACCCAAATAAACTACTTGTACGTACCACATCTCACCCTTTCTACTTCGTATACAATAATCAGCATAACAGGCATAGAAATACCATTTGTACATTTTGCTGATATTGTTAAAAAAATCGTTAACATTTCAAGCAACGAAATAAACTCAGCGACTTTGTAAAAATTAAAATAGCAGTACTTCATTTGTCGTTTGTAACAAACGAAATAAACTGCACGTCAATGGAAAGGATCAAAATAATACAAAAGGAGACAGTAATGGTGGAAAAAGCACAATGTTTCCGCTGGCAAAGATAAAACTACTAATAAACGGTCTTTCGACAGTATGATACACTGAAGTTTTATGCAATTTCTTCATACATTACCTTAGCTCGTTCTTCGTCCTCCATAATGGGGTTTTTAACTCGGGGTGGCGGGGGAGGCGGTGCTTCAAAGACGACCGGATCCTCTTTGATGATTCCTTGCTGTTTGAGCATATTGTACGCCTCCACGATCTTCTGCTCGTACCGCATCAACTGGCTCCAGGAGTACAGTAATTCCACAGTCTTCTTCTTAACAGATTCCGCAGTTTTTTCTCCCAAATACTACAAAGACAATGCTTCTTCTAATAAACCATAATAAATTATGAACGGAGCTATACTCACTTTAGGAGACACAACTTTTATTAATTCGTTTAGAAAGCGAAATTTTCCAATTTCCGACTGAACGGTTCTCCCGCCTCGTCTCGCCAGAGTGTCCAACAGCTGTGCAAACATGTTAAACGATACAAAATGCGAAAAAATGAAGAAATTTAAAAATCCTTACTGCGATGGACTTCAGAGCCTCACGCTCGCATGGTGACTGCACCTTATGGGCAAGAAATTTGAGACAGTGTGCCAGCACACCGAGGTCGGCTTGAAGGATCTTAATAAACGCATCTTCGACATCTTGTTCATGACTTAAGGCTCGGGGATCCGTGAGTTTCACTGGAAACAAATGCGAACATACTTCATATTTCCCGTTTCATTTGCGTCTTCTTGGTGCACAATCAAACGCTCACCCACGAAGTTTTCTCCCTCTACCATAGGCATTTTACACCATAAATGATACGTCCTTTCCGGGAATGCAACAGCAGTCAGCAATCAGTATTTTATCATCAAGCAAAGCACGTTAAAACAGATACATCGAAAAATTTTGCTTCGTGCTGGTGTGTATTCTTCAAAAATAAAAAATATCTAATGCTTTTTTTAAGTTTTTGAAAAAGTTTTTGGGATCAAGGTCCAAGCCATAGCGACTAGCAGTAAATCAGGGCTGCTGCATCGCATCGTTGCACGTGGAAAAACGTAAACTGACGTAAGTACCGCCCGCGGAAGAGCTGGATGACGAGTTATCTTATGGCATTGCAAGTGCAGGAAAGCGTATTCCGTTGTAGGCCGCAATTTCGACACTAAAAAGCCACAGCTTAATTAAGCTGGTGCTTCAGCTGCTGGGAGAAAATTTTGTTTGGGTGTCAAGAAGGCTCCATAGCTCAGTCGGTTAGAGCGCCGTGCTAATAACGCGGATGTCGTGGGTTCGATCCCCCCTGGAGCCAACTTTTTACGTTTTGAATGTTTCTATTGTTTACCCTTGTTAATTTTAAGTTAAGTTATGTATATTTTGTGATAGTTGAAAATAGGTGGGTGACCATGAAAAGGCTTCTGTTCAGTTACTAGTAACACCATGGAACGGAAGTTGGAACAATTCTGTGCATGTGGTATCCAAAAGGCAAAAGAGCCTGATTTAGGGGCATTACATTGCACTGTTACTCGGGCCACAATAGATCAATAAGACGTACTTAGATTTGGACCGTGTGTTCCAGATTTAAAGGAATTTCAATAAGGTTAGTATCTTCCTTTTTATCGCTGAAATCAAGAAAATGCTTCGAGGTTCAGTGGTATAAAAATACCAAATGGGCTGTTTCAAATAGCGTACGATAAAATATTTAAAATCGACCGCGTATTTTTGGAATACAAAATATCTATAAATGCAGTTGCTAATTAGAAAAACCTTATATAAATTAAGCCCGGCCCGGGCATAAAATCCCGATTCAGAAATGTTTTGTGCGTTAAGTATCATGATTATTCACGAAGAGCGCCAGTAGGAATGCAAAATCCGGAACGTCCAGGAAACTGTCGGCATAGCTGCGTTGGTCTGCACACGTGACCGGGAAATTTGCGCTGGCATTCACGGTCCGTATTACAGGCCTAAAAGTGCAAAACAAATATGAAACGGCCATAATTGTTACAAATTTGTGTCCGTTGAAATACAACAGTAATATCTATTTCAATTAAAATTATAAAAGTAAACTTAATTACTATGGCTAAGGTTGATTGATAGAGGCAACTTTCGATCACGTACGATTGCCCTCGGTCCCTTATATAGACGCATATAGCCGCATATACGTAGATACTAGATACAGTATTAGAAATATAGTTACATAGCAAAAATTACAGGTTTTTATCTGTGACCCTGACGTTCTACGTAACAACATCAGAGGTTTTGCCGCGGGCCCGTAAGTCTAAATGCTTACCCATACGTCTGCCGCATCATTGCCTTCGTCCCACCAGCAGTTGCAGCTTCCGCCCATACATGTAGTTCCCGAATCAGGACATTCGTTGTTATTACTACACGACTGACCCAGCGCGGCTTTGGGAGCTTCTGGTACAGGAGCCGGTGTTGCGGCTTCTGTCGATGTGGTCGGTGGTTCAGTTGGTGCATCAGTCGGCGGTTGGGTTGGGGGCTCGGTCACTGGCGCAGGCGTAGTGGGAGGTTCGGTGGGCGCGTCGGTCACAACCATTGCTGGGATTTGCTGCTTCTCCGAAGATTGTTCTTCCACCGGTACAGCGGGTGCAGCTTGTTCAAATATATGCTCCGGTGTATGATGCTTCTTAATGTTTTTTCTCTTACGTAAACGTTTCAGGATTTTGTTTCCTTGCGATGGGGATCCTGCAGTTTATAAGAAGGAAATAATGCAAAATGTACACTAAATCTTAGTAAGTACAGAATGATAAGTATGCCGTATTTTGAATCGATGTTAAAAATTTATTGCTACTTGAGCTCGTAATTGTCCCAAACACGTCAAAATGGTGCTGTAGTTTTCTCCGTTTTTTTCCAAACGTAAGCGTGTATCGTCTCAATTCGTTTGTAAAGTTCTTGGTAAGGAATAATCACTTGAAAACATGTTTAGCAAAAAATTAAAGGAAAAGTTTGTGGAAACGCTTTAGAGGCCCTTTACTCACGCGCTTGACATACTATATATATGCGAAACTGAATTTTACACACACTTTGGTACAGCAGGATTGACGGCACGTGTTCTAAGTCGCTCAAATAGCAGCTTATTTGCACGTTTGACGTAGGTTATTCCCCTTAAAAGTCAGATGCAGTATAGTTTCATTCCCCATTCCACCCTTTGCTAGAGTAGCATATATCGTCACTGCCAGTAGTCACTTGCATTTACTTAATTTGTAAATTTATGATAATTGTCTGAAACCCAGCCAGACCACCAAAATGTACGGCGAAACATATGTGATCTTAATGCATATGTAACTTGAAACTTCAATGTTTCTCGTAACTAAAATTAATCACAAAGCGGTAAACGGACTAGCTGCGGGGTATAATGCCGGCGTTTCGAAAAACCGACAAAAGCGGTATGCTACTGCAGTACAATATTAAGGGTAAGTTGACTAAGTTCACTCCCGCTGGGTTAAACGTAAGCCTCAATTACGTCGAAAATTAATGCGAATAAACGAGGACAATTTGCTTGTTTGTACTGGTATTCGGGGTGGGTATTGAAAACGCTTTTCTGTTGCATAATTGTGGTATATGTATGTGATTAATTATTTTAAGTAATGAACTGCCAATAACTGCACAGATAGCGCGGAAGACACTTAATTGCTTTCAAGCTTACCTTGCGAAAATGCGGAGTATATCACGAAGTACGATATACAGCTCACAGTGCTATAGATATACAGTAACTGGCATTTGGTAATAACCTCTGTTTCCTGTACATTATCGTGCAGACTATCAGTTAACCACATTCCTAATTAACTGTAAGTTACGATACGACTAAGTTTTAGAATCTGTCAAATCGGTTGCGCTAGAAAACAAGCGAAACGGTGTTGTTTCCGCAACAAACCACAGGTTTGCTCCCGAATCATCATCACTTATATTACAGCTGCAATAACACTTTAGACTGGTAAACTGTTTCACAAACAGAAATACTGATTGAATTCATTGTTTCCATTGAGTTTGTGGTACCGAAATTATTAAATAACCGAAAACACACTATTTCAACCGCTTAAATACATCAGCAAAAAATTTTCGTTACATGACAATTTACTTACGGTAGCAGCACATAGCTCCTTCTGCACAGTGTTTTGAGGCACTTATTTCCAGCTCTTTACACTCTTCCAGGTTTTCTAAGGTATGGCACGTTCCAGCAAATTTAATCGTGGGAAATATATCAGGACGGCACTTTTTTTCTGATACCTGGTCGGCTCGTTCCTCAGCTTGAACATCCAGCTGACCTTAACAAATACAAATACTGTAGCTGCCATGCATGCTGTTATGGGTTAGAGCAACTGCACGCGCAGAATTTTGCGGGAGTAAAGACCCTTTGTTTGATCAAAATCATCAAATGACAATTAAAAGTGCAATGATTGACTGAACAAAGGGATTATGAGAGTAATATAGTATCTGCCACCGATTTTCCCAATATTCCAACTGAACAATGAAAAATGTAATTATATATTATTACAAAACACACTTACCCGCTGCGTCGACAAGATACCTTGCCGACAATGCTGTAACAATCAATACAAATCCGTTTGTAAACGCCATGCCGTTCAAGCTCTGTGCAATGAGATATGTGCTAAATGTTGGTTCTTAATCACAAATCTATCCTAACTGACAACCGTTTATATGAATTGATCGACTTATATATAGCAATGCCGATTTCCAGCTGTACCTGATTTCTTTCTTGAACTAATATTATGCAGACGCATAACGCACTTTTTTATTAAGCACGTAAACACGGCTATCGCATACATGAGAAGACATGAGAAATTGCTTCCGTCAAGATGTTATTTAGAGGGAAAGTTTATAGTCATTATCGTAACCGTAATGCGTAACAGCTACCGAAAATTTAGATTTTTATTGTGCAATATTGAGCTCTGATTGGAAGCGATGGACTGTGTAAAAACAAAGGGCAGCAGCTTAATTAACAGCATATTTGATGCTGGTACCAGTTAATTAGATAACTTCGTATCGTTAGCGGCGTGCTAATGAATCACTAAACATTACACTTAGTGCTTTGATCGGACTCAGAGAAAATGTTACAAATTAACCGCTGTTGCAATCATCGGATCGCCAGGAGCAAGCAAACGATTAGCAGATCCGTTTACAATCTGCAGAAAGTACTAGCCGCGTACCTGAACTGCTGAAGAAACCGGTCGTAAAATGCACACCCGTCTTTTTTTTAAATTTAAAATAGCCTGCAGGAATATACTTTTAAATAAAAAATCAAATTCTGTTCTACCTGATACATCAATTAAAACTGAGCGGTATTAAATGCATGAAAAACATCCCGTCAATACATTTTCATGCATATATACTATATATTACTTAGTAAGAGTTTTAATTTTCACCGGTTTCTTTGCAAGCATGTACGAGTATGTTGCGTGAGAAGGAAACTATAAAATATAACCAAAAAGTCAGGTCGTTTGCTTGCACGTTATGGGAAACCGCAAATATTACACGAACAACAAGGTGACATAAAACTGGCGCCGATGTTGTTACGCATGCGTTTGTTTGTGTGTACGTATGTACCGCGAGAAAAAATTGTGCGCAATAGAATCTGTAATTTAATTATATGATCGTTTGCTAAATTGTTGTATCACAATCAAAAATCCTTTCCAATGATCTCTGTAAATGTACGATTGATTATTATGTTGCTACATTAGGTGTGAAGTAGAGTGTGAGTTATCCTGTCATTTCTTTAAAATTTTTCAGTTATGAGTTACTAACAAAAAACAGTTGGTTGGTTGGTTGTTGTTAATTTAGAAAGTATTAAAATGCAAAATGGCGAATAAATATGCGCAATCGTATTTTCGTAAGCACATAAAAATACATATATACACATACGAGCATAGATTATTTACGAACACCATTATGTTTATTTAACAGTCAAATGAATGTAAACAGAAAACACTGCAGAGTAGTATATAGGGGGAAAAATGAGTCTAGCCGAACCAGTCCCTCGTACTTTGATGTAAGCCAGCTGGTGGTTTACGTTGTGGCTAGACAGCGTTTTATGTACAGCGCCGCTATTAAGATTACAGGTACTGATAACAGGTAAGCAGCACTTGTACAACTGCAGGTAAGCAGGCTAAAACTGTATTATAGCCCGGTGCAGCTAAAACCACATGTACCGTCACTGCCGCACAGCCTTAATAGCAGCGCTTTACATAAAACACTGTCAAGCCACAACGTAAACCACCAGCTGGCTTACATCAGAAGTACAAGGGACTGGTTCGGCTAGACTCATTTTTCCCCCTATATACCTTTGCCTCGCAATGTCTATGAGGTTTATATTAACTGTAAGTACTGCAGTTCAGTAGTGCAAAAATATGTAGTTCTCATCGTATTTTTTACTGATCGTATACCTGTAGTCAAAACTTCGAGTAAAAATGCTAAAGTAATCAGAAAATATAAACAAAATTGAGCATCAAATGTGGTAAGAACGAAAACACTGAATCTTTGGCTGTACGCTTAACTTTCGGGTACATTTCGATAAAAATATCCGCCGCGCATAATCGGTACATATGCAGAGGGTGTGATGACCTTTCCTGCAGAGGGTGTATTCAAAAATAAAAATCTTCCAGCATTCTTGAGGATGCACTAAGGGGCATGCAGTAACCAGTATTTGGTGGGATAAGAGGACACAGTTTTGTTGGTCGGCATATATGACCCGGGAATAATGTTCGGCACGTCGAATCATCGCTGCAAGACTACAACACGCAGATTTAGTGACTTATTAATTTCGTTAAAACCCTAATTAATAGACATTGACAGCACACTGAATGCCATTCACAACGATAACGTACCCAAGTTCGAGCGGCAGAAATTCCTTGGTCCATCCAGCAGTTGCAACGCCCGTTCTTACAAGTGGTACCCGAATCCGGGCAGTCATTAACGGTATTGCATGGTTTATTTAGCCCTAAATCTATTAAGGAAACGTTTTATAAAAACGTTATATTTGTGTTAGTGATGGTTACCTTACCGAAACGATAACTCTTAAATCAAACTTTCGCTTATGTAATTAGAAATCTTACCGGCCGATGGAGCAGGAGCTGGTGGAGGCGTTTGAGGAGGTGGTGGTGGAGGAGGTACCGGTGTCTGCGGTGTGGGAGCAGGAGTTTGGGGCGCTGGCGCAGGAGTTTGCGGTATAGGGGCAGGGGTTTGTGGAGGAGGCGCGGGAGTCTGCGGGACCGGCGCCGCCGGTGTTTGTTTGACAGTGGCTGGAGTTGCAGTTGTCGCTTGTAGCACTGGTTGGGAGGTTTGTTGTACAGGAGAGGCTGGCTGTGCCGGAACACTGGCCTTAACTACCGCCATGACTTTTCGCTGTTTATTCCCCATTGAAGGTGGCACTAACAATAAACAAAATTTTGAGTAATCAGAAAGATTACAGACACTACCCTAGCTTGCGTCACAGACGGCGCGATGTGTTAACCGGCAGACTAATGTACGCGACAGTTAAACATAACGTTATTTAATACTAAATATTTTTAACGCTCGTACTGTGTGGTTTTAATCAATTAATAACGCATTTTGTTGTACATTATAAGTACAACACGTCTCCAAATCAGTAAAGCCATCCACTTAAGTTAGCAAAAATTAACTTGAAGCATATTAGCAAATTTACTCTAGCTCGGACATTGATAAAATAAATAATGGTAACTAAATCAATTGCGTTTACCTACCGTAGCAACACCATTGTCCATCGAAAGTCATGACATTGCAGTCGGAAGATGCGCTGACCTCGCGATCAGTGCAGTCGTTATCCAGGTCCTTGGTGGACAGGCAGAAACCAGGTTCATCCAGCCCTGGCAGCATGTTGGGCACACAGGAAGATCTGATTCGCGACATTCTGTTTAACTGCATGCCATATAGCACCCTGCTTTCAGGGACAGCGAAACCGCGGTTGCTTCCGATAATCCGACTGTCTGGGAATTCATTCATTTCATTGTATCCAAAGCCATAATTGTTGTCGGCGGTAGCCGATGAAGGGAGCAGCATACCACTGTAATAGCCCAGTCTGGGCTGCATTAGATCGACGAAATCTGTACCATGCAATCAGAAACACTCACAAATCCCGATACATACAAACCACAATAGTTTATGCACATGACATTGTAGGGTTACAAGTTACGACGCTGTTTACCTCTATATCAGATACTGCATTTGTTTCCTATTGGAAAAACTAGCCTAACCTAAGGTATGAATATTTATATACGATATCGCAGTTGTGTATTGAAAATTATTTAATTTTCGGAGAAAAAACTGCATCGCCTAATGCCTAACCGGTCTCACCTTTAAACCCAAAAGTGTTTCCCCAATATATAGCAGAAATGAGAAATATAGCCGCTTGATGGAAGTCCATGATGCCACTTCTGTTATTAGCAAATTAAGCGATGCGTAAAGTACTGTAATAATTTTAAAACACAAAAAGGAGAATAGTAAATAGCCTCTAATCTTGTTCTTTCGCATCTAACCTCCACTCAGTAATAGCTGACCGAAAACTCAAGACGTTTAACTAAAGTGCATGAATTTTTTAATGCTTTATGAATGTTACGCATTTAATGATTCAATTTTCTGCTTTGAGGTGGCGGATGTGGTTCACGCATCTGTAATCGAAGAGGCTCATAAAAATTAATTAATTTATTTGCCTCATCATAATCCGCCAAAAGCGTTGTTATGTATGAGCCAATACAATCGGATCTCAAGAAATATCAGCACCTTTAAAACGTAACGTATGCGCGGCTGTCCGTTTGTGGCAGTCCTTTTGTTACCAGACGCTTCTAAAAATTGTGTCTATCTCATCTGATGTTGGTTTTATTGCTGGTTGCAATCATCCGCATTATTAATCAATATTATACAACAATTATCATTAATTTCATCACCTTGTGTTCGACCAACGTGGGCAACTTCTTATTTGCCTATTAGGCGACACCTGTTTGAGTTGTCGGAAACAAAATAATTCAACGTTATACAACGGCAGAAATATTCTTAGCATTTTTGATTTGCAGTGCTGGATTGTTTTGTTTAGTTGGCAACTTGACGTGTTATTGCGAATAGCACTCAACGAAAGAAGCTAACAATAAGTAGCGGACGCGCTTCCACATACAGATGATATCCTGGATTAATCCAATAGTTAGGAAAAGTGGAACGAACACATGTAAGTATCTGTAGAAGCTTAATGAGGTTTACCGCTTAATATAATAATGTTTGCGATACCTGCAATTACCGATTCCGGTATTGAGCAATACGAACGCTGTAGACCGCTCATTAAAGCACGGTTGACACATTGGCAGAACTTTATTGCTCTTGTTTTTAACAGCTCGATGTAAATTGGGTGGAGCATGAGAAGTGACATGATCCGACGCAGAATCCATCCCGGTTCGCGAACAACTTTTATCCCGAGGCCTTGAAAAATTTTTGTAATGTTGAAAACCACTCGAAATGTTACAGAAAGTGAAGTTTACAACTTTCACACTGAAAAAGTGTGCCATTGCACCTATCGGGCGATCTTGTGTCCGAAACGTTGGGGCGATCGTTTTCGATGACAACATCATTTGAAATTCTGATTTGAACAATGCCGTCGAACGTGTTCTTTAAATGAAGTCAATTCATATGGGCCGAACAACAACGTCCATACAGTCGGATCCGAGCAAATTACATGTGCTCATAACATTGTGCTATTGTTTCAAAATGTAAGCAAATACGATGATAGGTACATTCGAAGGCATAACGTAAAAATCGTAATGACAGTTTAATGGCGATGGGCTTGTTACTGTGGTTTATGATTAACGTGTGAATGACAATCCTGATTGACGAACATTTCCATAATTTGTTCATTTCGTTTGATGGTATCCGTTTCAAAACGCAAAAGTTTATGAAGTAGCCCACTTTTGTGCATTTGTTTTGAGAAGCTGTGTCACTCATGCATTCATTTGCACAGTCAAGATGATACAATCATTATTCTTTATCGGGATAACATAATTTTTATGGCCATCCGCCATAAGTGGCTACTGTAAGATGCCGGGAATAATATGGTACCATCTGCTTGCTCTAGGTAAATCCATCGTTGCTACAACAAAGATTCATATACCGGATTATTCTATGGCATTATGTTGTTGCTGTTTTAGCAGGAATATTTTATGCTAGCATAAAATGCACTGGTGCCGCAGATGACAACGAACTTATCCGAACCATATTTTCGCAAAGGCTTGACTCGGCGCAGCGTCAGATTCCGGTGACCTTCTGTCGACCGGATATCAGTCCTAATCTGACGAAGGCGGGCTTTTGCTGCTCCATGGATGATTTGGATCTTCTGTGCTCCACGCTAGAAATCAGTACGGCGTTAAAGCCGTGTGCTGCGTATCTTGGGAATTTTTGCTGCTATCGTAAGTTCCGCTAAAGAAACTGCGAATAACTTAAGTAAAAAGTAATTTCTTGCCTTTTAAATGTTAGCTGGTTTTCGTCCTGGATAACTCAGTACTGCATATGCTTTATAGTTAATGCAGGATAAATCCCGATTTTAAATCAGAATTTGAAGAAACATGCTATGCAACAGAATCACCAGAATTCTGTTCGGTAAAAGGGCAAGTGCTCTCATTTACAATAATTAAGGTAGATATGCAGATATACCGGCTACGGCTTTTGAAAATACCCAATGTACCTATGTGCAAGTGGACCGTAGTTACCGTATATTTTGATGCCTACTCGTGGAACGTAGTAAAACATGCTATTTTAACTAATATATGAAAAATTTAATTGAACTAGAATCGCACGCGACGCATGTCACTTGCAGGTTTTAATTTTAAGTCTAAAAAAACGGTCGTGAAAGAACTCAAATTTGCTGTTGTCGTCGGTGTATCAGCTTTCGTAATTTATTTTGGAAATGTTCATAGCCACGAATGATAACCACCTCTTACCTATTATTATTCTGCAACGCTGATTTGCCAATACTGGTGATTTTAAAAAAATTAACTGAAGAATGCCGATTTTCGCAAACTTTTGTTTATCGAGCTCTTTGTTAGCGACCCAACTTCACAATTACTGCGCGAATATTTTTTTTGAGTCTAGACAACTCGAACTCGATTATATGAATACTCTTTTTGGAAGTCCAAATTGTACTCATCCAGTAAGCAGTGGAAAAAAAATTCTGCTAATTAGTTATGTAATGGATTAAGTATTAACTTCACTAGAAGTAACTAAAACGGTCAAGAATTTCTCTGGAAAACTTTCGCCATACTCAACCACGGAAAAGGTAATACAACTAATTTAAATAACAATCATGCCTTTAAACCAGAAATTTCATGAAAGGTTTCTTAAGAAACTCATTTTTGCGTTCTTTTTTACTATGAAAACTGCTGTTCGGGGACCAGGGTTACCTTATTAAACCTTCTTTTACTTTTTACTTTCCTTCAGCCGCATAATGTCAACCTTATATCTTTATGGCGCCCTGACTTTAAGCCCCATTACCCGGGCGGCTACCTTTGATGCACAAATAAGAATCATGCAGAAATTTCCACAGATTGCTGTTTTCAGGGAGTATATCGCAAGGCAACAGTTTTACCTCAGGTTCATCCGTTCCGGTGGTTCCCTCGTCGACCGAGACAATTCCAACGGCACCGTCAGCGGCACCGGCAACCAGTCAAGCAACGGCCGCCCCTACAAACCCTGTAAGCATATCAACCAGATCCACGACGACATCTACCACCACAACAACAAGCACCACGCCGACAACAACGACAACAACCTCCACCACCACCACCACAACGACAGCAGCCGCCACAGCACCACCCACGACACTCTCCAGCGGCGGTACAACGACAACGACACCACTCAATCTGGTTGTCGGTCCCAATGATCCCAACTTGCTGGACACGTCCAAACCGGAAGTTCAACAGCTCATCTTAGATTTGCATAATCAAGTCAGGCGTAGTCAAAAGGCGGCTAACATGCTGAAAATGCAGTGGGATCCGGTAGCGGCGTCTGTCGCGCAGGACTGGGCCAATCGCTGTGTGGCGCAGCACGGACCGTCTGTCCGCAACGGCACAAGTAAGTCTGGAAAGGCTACCGCAATATATATCGATACAATTACTGTAGAATACTTATACAATAAATATTATTTTGTGTAATAGGCATTAATAGCTGATCTACTGAATGGTGTTTCTTGACGGAAGAAGGATAAGAAAAACGGTGTCCAGTACAATACTTGTAAAACTGGATTGTCGTACAGTACAGCGCATGCAACGTATATAGCGCATGCAGTACTAGCGCATGCAGCGCGCTTTTATTCGGCTTCGGCCAGCATACATAACAAATCGCCTGCGCAGGTTCACACTAATTAAAACCATCCAATTTTTAAACATTAAAAAAACATCCAAAATCGTTAGTGTCTCGCATGATCTTAGGACGTGCGTTAAGTGTACTTTGAAAATAAAAACAAACAGTAAATTCATACGTCGTAAATCCGTATAAGTCGTAAGGCTAATTAATCTGGACGATTAGGCTATAACAGAAATGCATTTTGATTGAGCATGATGAGCAACAATACGTTGTGAAGCAATAAATGTGTCGGTAGTTTTTAGCGGGTGCGGTCAGAATATTGCCAACGGAAATGGCATTCAAAGCTGGAACTTTAGTGTTCAGATTTGGGGACCGAACGAGCAAAAATTGTTCACTTTTGGCATGGACCCGTGTCCCAACGATTTCTATGAAGTAGTAGGACATTATACTCAAGTAAGTGGAATATTTGCGTATAAAAAAGTCTGTTCCAAATATGTTCTGTCGAGATTACGGGAAAGGAAGCCGCACTAACATGATGTTCATATGTTTTCTTAAGATGGTATGGTATCGAACGTGGATGGTTGGATGTGGATTTGCAGCCTGTCCGAATCCAGTGGGAAATTTCTTCGTATGCAACTACTGTCCAGCGTAAGAAAATCATACCACCGAAAACTTTTTTTAAGTAGCGCGGTTAGATTTCATAGAATTGCGTAATTTTTAAAATTTATGCGAGTTCAATTTTGCAACGCTCAAATTGTTTTACGTTAGTTTGCTGCATGTTTGTTTGAAAATGACAGTAATAGTGATTTGTAACTGTACACTTCGCAATTATCAGCCATTAATCAGCTTGCGCAGTTTCTTTTCTGTATTAATATGTCAAAAAGTACTGAATTCGGGTATCATAAATCACGGTAATGGACCAGCACGAGCTGTCGGCAGCTTAGTAATAATTTATGCGGGTGTTCATATATCAGTCTGTTATTCTATTTTTTTCCATTTCCATGCAGTTACCCCGGCTAGCTTTTGCTAAGTGCATTCATTGCTTTGTATTAACGCCAGATGCAGACACTGTCCTTCTTAAAAACAAAGCCTTAATGCATGCAGCAAATTTAATTAGTAAAAATTAATATGAAAATTAATGCGAACTAGGGAAGTTTAGTGGGTTGAACAGAACACGTTTTTTGCAGGGGTAATGTCGGTGCGGTATGCACCCCTTATCTGCCTGGAACACCTGAAAATGGAGGTGTCTGTGGGAAATGTGGAGGCATAAACGATCCAAAATGTGATAACGGATTATGCAGTAAGCTTACGTAAAAAATTCTTTGAAATTAATTTAATCCATGTAGATACGGTAACAATAGCACGTAGTACACCGATTCAAGATTTGTTAAGAAAGAATATTATCTCCATCATATCTGAATATTATCTCCATCATTCATGCTCCCTGTTTCCAATCTTTTGCAGCAACACCTTGCTCATTCACAAATCAGTTTAGCAACTGTGATTCTCCCGATCCAAGCAATCCCGCACTCTTCCCTGCACTGATCCCCGACACTTCCGCCTGCTCCAACACAAACGATCAATTTGTAAAAGCTTGTGCTGCATCTTGCAACTGCCGCCCAAACAACCTTATTTATTAGAGAAACTGAAATTGTTATATTTTGTTATAAAAACGTCTTTTTTCTAGTTCCTGCGATGTATCAACAAAAGCGTCGAAATGCGTGTTTGACTGATGTATAAACAATATTTTGGAACTCACAATGTATATTTTGTACAGATAATTATAAAAGCTGCACTGTGCTGCGCATAGATATGATCGAAGTTACTGGTTAGCTACTGTAGTGTATCTCGTTTCTCATAAGCTGTGCCGCACGTACGTATATCCTTGCGTTTTGTACTGTGGAGAGTTTGTACAGTAATTACATACTTTCGTATATATACTTTGTATATATCAATCTATAATTATATTATCTGTAATTATGGGTAGTTTCATATTGCTTGGTAGCTTTACATGTAGCATAAATAACTTGCCTCACAGGGTCACAATCATTAAACAAAATCTTTAATCGGTAAAACTTGAGTGTGAACTATTGATAAAAGTATCCGTGTTTGTTTTATTTTTGAGTTTTTTTAAGTCAACTTTTTGGCAGATCAGACCGCAATGAAACGAGCGCATACGGCATACTGTGAATATTTACTGTATTACGAATTTCTTATTTACTAGCGTATCACCACTGGCACTACAGGAGGTATGCGAAGAAGCAGTACGTATAACGAAAACTAAAAGTTAAATCAGAAGACATAGCAAAACGTTTTTTAGTACCCCTCTTTTAAACTACGGCACTACGGTATCGTATTAAACCTTGCACTAGTACTGTAGCTGGCAGTCGGAAAATTAAGACTTTAATAATTGTCAGTTTGGCATTGACCGAAGCTGCATATTTCACTAGAACGGTGCTGACCGACTTCAGAGATTGGACGAGCCTGATATATGCTGACAAAGAAATCCACGATTTGTACAGAAAATTTTAAAATTTCCAGACTGCATAAAATTTTATTACGAAAGCAAGTTCAGAGCTATGAGTCGGGCATCTACATTAGAATTCAATAGATAGTGCAAACCGAATTGCTTTAACAGAACTTACATGTACATTCAAAATTTTACGTAAAAGCAAAATTGCAATCGACAGTCAACATGTCAATTGCAGCTGGCTGCTAAAGTATGTATCAAATTTGTATTCGGCGTGCTTGCGAATAGCTGTTTCACTTAAGCAGTCGCTTTGGTTTCGACCAGCGCTTTCTGGACGTGCCCGTTGCTGTTGGCCGAAATATCAGAAAGATGACTGCCTTGCCGGCGGCGTGTGTAAGTCGTGGTGTTGTTGGTAAGCAGCACCGATCGGGAAGTGGGCGTTCGACTGGCTTCGGACACCGGTCGTCTTTCGCCCGTCTTGCAGAAGCGCACCCACGCCAGCCGAGCCTCCCGTCGTTCCAGACAGCGGAAGACGAAGATCATGAAGCCCTGCAAGGAGTTCGCGATGCAGAAAATATACTGAAACACCAGTCGTCCATGCGAAAATGCCATCGCCCCGAAGATCCATGTGATGCCCAGCAAGAACATCACCGCTAATGATCCATGGACCTGCGCCTTCCGGACGGCTGACTGCTTGCTGCTGGCTTGCTTGTTCGTGATGGCGAAATCGGGGCGCGGCTTGCAGATGACAAAAACAACCTTGATAAAGATGGCCGTGTTGCCGACGATAATAATGGCCAGTGGAGCGAAAAATGCGGTATAATAGACGAATAAATTCTTTGGGGTTAAACGGCAACTGCAATTAGAAGATTGTGAAAAGGTCATTACTTCATCGGTGCTTTTATTTCCGGCTTACTCGTCCATCAGTGCATGTTCCTCGAATTTGTACGACTCCATTATCATCGTTAATCCAGCAATAAATACCGGCACTCCTATAAAATTGCATGATTTTGTTCTGCATTTCAAAAAAATATTTGTTGCACCGCTGCTGAATTTTTACCCCATCCAAGCACCATTCTCTTCATGAGAAAATGGTGTTCATTGACATTGTAGAAAACCTGTATCAGCATCTGATACATGTTCGACGCCTCAATGCCCATCCATAACAAGGACGCCAGTACGAAGATATGTATAAAGGCTGATGCCACAAAACACGAGACATGAAATGGGGCAATCGATGCCAATGATGCCGCCACAAAGGTCAAATTAAGACCGGCAATGGCGCAGCATAAGTTGATCAGGATTTTCCCTGAGCGATCGGCCCGCAATTGCCTACAAAAATACGTTTGTCGGTTTTAGCTGCGTCATAAACAAAGACCAGAAGCAGCTATAAAAAATTTATTGCTAATTTACCGGAAAAAGCAGTATGTGAAAGCCGTGGCGAGTGCGCCGAACAGCGATAAGCCGCACCCAGTGTAGGATATTACGGACAGGATCAACTCGTGTTCGGCGGCTATCGCGACGTGGGGAAGGGGGTCCTGCAACAAACTCAAACAATCAATTAAGACTTTCTCGTTATACCGTTACGCATTGCAGCATTCTGAAGGTGTTTATAATCAAACAGTTTATTTTGTTGGTCTGTGCGGCCATTCAGTTTTGTTATAACAGTTGCGTCGATAGTCTCGTTTCTCTATTACGCATTAATCTTATTAGAAAGAGAGAAAAAGGGACACCGGAAGTGCGTCAGAAATCGCGAAGTCTTCAAATTTTACAGCTCAAGTTGGCTCGCAAATGTGCGAACAATTTCTTTTGATTAGGTAGTTTTTTCAGTGCCTCCGGAAAGGAGGCGAAATGATAGAAAAAGTCAATATAAGTGAGTATAATTATGGCGTGTAAATACGCAAGTACCCTCTTAACACAGGCAACGAAAATTATAGTACTGGGCTTACAAATAATACAGAGAATGCTGTCATGTGGTCAGCGGAACAACTGATATCGTCGTCGGTCTGAATGTCCGTCGTAACTCCTTCCGTATCCCATTTCGAGTCTGTTACAGCCACAACAAAGAATATCAAATTAGCTTACAGCTTTCCATCATGTTAGAAAATTGTACCAGTAGATATAAATCAGATTTTATAATGACTAAAGGGATCAGCAGCCACACATATAAATAAGCGGGTTAAAGCTTTAGCAAAGGTAATGTGAGCGCTGAAATTAAAAATTGTTAATTTCGGCGCTATACTGCAATATGGAATCAAAATAAACAAAATATAGTGTAACTTCATCAGATATAGGTTATTGAAAACAAATAGTTTTTTGCGTGTTTTTCCGTTGATTTGAATGTGTGTACATGCTTGTAAATCATATTATTATTTTTAATGTTTTAGTGAGTATTGTGATTATACCGTGTAATCAAAATACCTCGCTAACAATTTAACAAAGTTTTCCGAATATTACAATGTACAGTATACATTGCATATAGCAACATACATTGGCTAGAGTAGTTACTAGTTACTATAATTTTTGTGGTCTTTCTTCCCACCTTTTTCGTTCCAATACACGCACTTGTATCGCTGTCCCTGCGCTGGTTTCCTGAGACTATATTTTACCGGTTCCTCCAGATGTTCCGTGGGAACGTCTTTGACTTTCGCCACAACGACCGGCGAGTCCGGAATGTAGACGCTTTGATTTGCCACCAGCACCGTGCGTCCAACGATGACTTCCTGTTCCGTCGTCTTGAAAAGCTTGGTATTGTCGTAGACGACAAATGCCACCCGTACCAAATCCGCTGTATTGTTACGGACAATCGCCTGGGGAATGGAGAAGGTGAGGTTCTGGGTGGAATTACCAGCTGCCGGTAGATATTCAATGCTCTCATTGCTGAAGACATTTTCCACATCCATCATAATGATTTCCATGTTATCCGACAACAGCACGGTGCGGGAGGAATTGGCGGAGCTCACAGCATCCTCGGCATATGAGTCCACAGATTGCGTCATTCTAAATTAAACGAAAAATCCAAATCGTTGTACTTAGGATCAAAGAACATGGACCTGCTGCGACTGATTACCGTTTTGAGACATTCGGCGACATCGCCGCCGATAACTTTGCGCCGTCAACATCGAGCACTGCGCTGATGACAGTCACCATTGACTGCGCCACCTGAAGTGCAAATGTTATAAAAGATATTAAACAATTACTATTTATGTGTACGCTACTGTGCTACGCTATGCTTTTCATATGTGAGCGTTATTTGTTGTCTAAATTCTTTAAGCTGTTAGTAATGGGAGTTAAATGCTAAAGTAGCGAATTTAGTTATTTCTTACTGATAAGTAACAGAATAGTTTTTGGTACAGTACTAAAATACGGTAAGTCGATACTGCATAACACAATCGCAAAAATCCTGCCTCAGAACTGTGTGAATGCTTCTAATAAAAACCGGTACTTGCACATCTGCTAAAGTAATTAATTAATACTGTATTTGTTTTTCATCCATGAATTTATCTTTTTTATCGAAGTTTTGCAATTGTACCTTGATATTCGTTTTAGCATATTCTGCCATATTAGCAACAGCATCCGCGACAGCGCCAAGCTTTTCCGCGTCTATATCGTTTAGATTATTAAGTAGATCACTTTCGTTGGGAATATCCGGCGCCACTGTAAGCTCAGTGTAACCGCAACGAAACGGTATCGCGTCCTGCCGATTGCACGCCGTAATGGCCACAGTAATCCCGTCACCGGGCAGTTCACTCCATGTTTTCAATAACTTCAGCTCTCCGCTCTCTTGTATAAATTCCAGAAAATTTTCCTGAGAAAATACTGCCTCCTTAAAGACAATATCGTTGTTGACTTCATCAGGATCCGCATCGATGACATCAGCAATCCAAATGGTCGACGTCTTGGTGGCATTGCGCGAAATCAGAATTACGGAGGCATTCGACGGGAATGTTGGTGTGTAATTATTGACAGCCGGTGTGATTTTAATTTTAATGACTTCCCGCACATTCGATCCAGATTGCGTATTCGTGGCCGTTACGGTCAGCTTCAGTTGTTCACCAACTTTTCGATTAACCTGCATGGCGGCAATCAGTTGACCAGTGTAGCGGTCAATGCGGAAAGGCGCCGGTGTAGTGGTGTCGTAAAGGTCATAGACAATTTTGTCTTTACCTTTACTTTTGCCCTTTTCCGTTGCTCGAAAGACAGCTACCACCGTATCCATGGGGGTGCGGTTGGGAATTTCATAAGAAGGTTTTATATCCACAAACTGAACTTGACCTGCACTTACAACGCATAATCAATACATGCTTAACTGAAATGGTTTAATATTTGTGGCCGATTTTCGGTTCGAGCAATACATCACATCGTTTTATAGTTTTAAAGCTTTCAGGTTTAGTAAAATTATGATACAATACAACGTGTGCATGTGTACAACTGGCTGCTTTACTAAAACCGGCAACAAAGAAAGACCAATAATTAACTCCCTTCACAACTACTCCAGAAATAATAAATTAATAAATGTTTTTTTTAATTTTCGAGTTTACATAAGGATAGGAATGATACTCCAAAACAACTTCAAGTAGCCTACGGGTAGAAATTTTTCACGCAACTTACCGGCGGCCGAAACAGTGTAGATGCGGGTGTAAGACGATAGTGCAATGCAGAAGCATAGCGAAACTATGATCGGATTAATCTTGCAGAAAGGAGCTGACATCTTGGGAAAACAGATAATAATGTACGGGATATTTTCACGTTGGGAGGCAGCTACTAATGATCAAATTTTATATTGAAACCATCGTCTATGGATGATCTGCTTTTTATGAAATGAACTGTTGAGCAGATCATCTACTGCATTAGCTGCAGCATACAGCTATAGCAGAGTGCAGACATCTGCTTCTGCGAACATAACAATGAACGACGGATGTGCAGTAAATTGTATTATGCGGTCCATAAGGCGCCCACCGGAAATGCATCGTGCTATTTAAACTGCTATTGATCCTCTGCAATTTTTATAACTTGTGTGTAAGCAAGATTGCTGGAAAATGTTGGAACTAGTTAGAAAATGCGACCTTTGGTGGAGTGAAATTTAATAATCGTGGAATAGGAGGCCAACACTGACGTCCCCGATCGGATTAAAAATTGACGACTGCCACCAACTAGCTGTGGAGAAACCCGTGAAATGCTTATAGTGATCCTCGGTGGGAGCATACATGGAATAAAGGAAACTCTCAGATGATCCCATAGTCATCGTGATCGAAGTGCAGCACATGTTTGAGCTCATCATATACGTACACAGCGCTAGCGCACTTCGATGTTCCCAGTATTATAATTACTAGAATTAAATTCTGAATTTGTCATAGAGCAGGAGTGTATCTGTATGTCAATGCGAAAACCGCAAGTACGTAAATGTTGGATTCATATTATTAACTGCCATTGCAACACCGACCTCTAAAGGATCCATCACAGATAATAACCTATCCGATAGATGACCTATTTGATTTTAATTATACCAGTTACCTACGAGCAGCGCATTGCTTTAATTGCAATTTATAGGTTTGATAATGGAAAGACTAAAAATATTTGCTGTTCAATACAGAAATTCAGAGCAAAGATATGCGATTAATCATATGAGGGAATATACAGAGTAGTATAGTCGGATGACTGCGAACTTGGGAACAAAACACTGATTACTCATAGGATTTGCTTTGTGCGCCGCTGTTTTCGAAGTACCTAAATTACAGGAAAATACAGTAATATAACGCAAAAGTCAGTAATCCTGCTCTTGCATACTAAGTTACTAACCTATCAAGAGTCGCTACAATCTTCTAACTTCCAGTAGCTACAATCTCCAACTTCTCCAGCTTCGGTTCGACACAACACAATCTCATTAGACATATATGTCAATTTTGTTCAAACTTAGAAACGCCTCTGCGCCGGATTGTGCAAGTACAATACTACCGTAGTTTTATAACTCCTCTGTATGTAGGCAGATACTTACCATAAATAATTATTCATAATAATTATAATATTCGCAAAGTACGACTGCCCGCAGTCTGTCATTGACTGGCGCAAAGGCAGAAACCATTGTGGAAGGAAGGCATTGTGGTATTCGACCATTCAATGGTACTGCTCAACTCAAGCAGGTATAATACAGTACGTACTTCGTAAACTACTGTGCACTGTGTGCAGTAACTATCCGACCATACTGGCTTTGCCCAAGCACAAATTCACGATTTACTGTAATTAGTGCAAAAAGTATGAATTTCAGTGTATCAATGTCAAAAATTCCAATCTAACTAGCAAAAAAACCGAGCATCCGAAACAACGCAAGCTGAGCTACACAGTTAGAGAAAGTAAAACTGTCAGGTCTGCATAGGAACCATCTCGCATATAAACAGTACAACAACATCAGCTCCCTTTTGTCTACACGAATAAACAGATCAAAACCAATCAGCTCGCTATTATTATCCGCAAAAGATAAGTGGCTGTTGCACTTCAAGTACGATCTGTTGAGCGCAGTTTTTCTTCCACAGCTTCCTTTGAGGCTTCCGATTCGTCTGTCGCTTGGATGTACTTGGCCACGCCGACCAAAGCCTTCTTTAAGGCATCGAAACTACTGGAGTACAACATTTTTTTCTTGATTTTGGCGGTGTCGGGGCACCTATAAACAAATGACTTACGTAAATCTATAAGCTTAAATTTATGCAAAGAACGAAACAAAACATGTACTCGCAGAATCTTCACTGTGAAGGCCAGTTGGCTCATGAGTCACAAATGTAATACGTCAGCATTCGATACGTTTCATGCATTTTGAGTTTCATCTGGACCAAACCGAGTAAGTAATTTTTAACCTGTACTCGTACGTAAAACTACGACAAATTCTCAATAATATATAAAATAAATTGTCTGTGCAAATCTCTTTTATTACTTTCAAATTATTACTTACTGGTTAGAGTCAAAAGTTCATTGATCATTTGAAGACAGTGAATATTCAATAACCCAGTAAACCCTAAATTCATTCCGTCCATTTCCGTACACTAGCGAAAATATAAGCTTCAGCTAATACTCGCGTAACGCTGAAAATACAAAATGACCTGACAATATCTAGTATTATCTACAGACCACATTCATAATGAAAAGACAAAAAACGAGCCAGCACCAAATGCATTTGTATGTTAGAGTCAAATGCCAATGCCGATCGTAAACGAGCAGGTCTCCATAGAAATTTGAGTATACGGTAGGATGATTTTCAGTTCGCTAATACAAACAAATCAGACTTTATAAATAAATAATGACGAAATGTTCCACGTCTACGAGTTTACTAATTTCAACAGCCGCATAACATAACTGCCAATCATTAACATATGCCTATAATCGTCGTATACCAAGCACTTATGTCGTCAGATCTCGATATTTCTTTCGCGGGAGAAACTACGCAGAAAATCCAAGAGTAAATGCCCAGTCATTCCTCGGTGTTTTTTAACGGTTCTCAAAACCTGCCGGGTCTATATTTAGCGTCGCAGCATGCTCACTACCTACTCTGCAACACCCGATAGTTTCGACTCGAAGCTGTCGAATGCCGTGTGCGGCGTGCGCATTACGGAGATTTTGAGTTCTCTCGAAGCATTCGCAACCTCTGAAAATTATTCCGTTCCGGAAGCGAAATGGTTTCATGAAATCTCGATTCATATGCGGAAGGCAAGGAACACAAACAAATGCATAATGTGCACGCCATTAATCAGGAATCACCGACAAATTTGGAGAAAATATCAACGCTAGAATTTAATTGATCGCTCATCAAATAATTTCCGTACAGCTGCAGATTGTCACGCTGGCGATTAGACAGCAGTGACACATCTCCACCCGCCAACGCCATGATAAAACGAAGATTTTTTACGCAAATCCGACCACATGAACAGCTCGTGCCTCTGAGCTATCCGTAACCTAGAGCCACACTCACACTACCGTTTTTTCTGCTAAGCCACAGCTCTTAATTAACAAGCCAAACCTAGCCAACCGCGAAATGGACAAAGTGGCTTTCTTTTCGAGGGCCATGGCTTGTCAGCGGTACTTGTCTGGCTATCGGTTGCACGTAAACTGTACTCTGTACACATCTCACTATCAGCATATAAGTAGTGTACACTGAACAATAATTACCATGACATGAGGATGAGCTTTTGTTTCCGGCTTTCTGTGGCAGTTCCTTGACACTGATGATCGTATTCGTAATCAAACACACCGTAGCGGCAGTCGTCGGGTCCCGCGGCTAGGAGATCCTGAACGAAATCCTGGTACTTCCCATTCCGATCGCCGGCCTTCTCCACAACAACTTGCTTTTCGTCTTTTATTACGAATACGAGATACCTATTACGGAAGAGAAATGCTTAAAACCAGCAACCAAACATGAGCTTATGACCGGCCAAGTAAGGACTGGGTAAACATTATGATTAACATCACACACAGACGTATACCATACGTGGCTGACTGGCAAGGTCGAATTACTGCGCAATGAAAACGAAAACAGCAACTGCAACCGATAACTTCACATTGCAAGCGTATACGTAATATAAATACCGAAAACACAGAAAACTACCTTTACAGTAAAATAAATTTTTACAGCGTCTAAAAAACGTTCATATATAGTATCAATTATTATCGTCAGTAGCAAGTGAAGCTAATTTTCAAAATATTCGTTTCACATCAATCGGGTTTCAATTTCGGTTCACCAGAAAATGATCAACAATCATCCAGCCAACACCACCCTTTCAGTCAGCCAAAAGACGTCGCACTCACCATGTAAAGAATAGCAAAAATGTAGCACAGAAAGCGGAGAAAACGACAAAAAATTTAAAATTATCTAAATTTTATATATGCGCATGTGATGAAGGACAACAAGTCAAACTTCCCAGCCAATCTTGTAACAAGAAATAATAAAATACCACAACAAAAACTACTAAAGAAAAAAGTAAAACATATCTTAGATTTTAATTAAAAATTTAACACTCATAATTAAAATGTAATTATAAGTTAGCAAGCACGCGTCGAGAAACAACGGCAAAGACGCAAAGCCATGAATAATAGCAATTACCAATCGTTAAAATCTAAGTTTCCGGTAACTACACGTATCGAGCACTAAGCAGACAACTGAAATTCTTAAAATATGAAATTTCAATTCAGGTAACAAGCAAAACTATTTAGGGCCTCCACAACAACCACGGTAGATCTTAAAATGTTCGGAAAAGTGATGTGAGATTTTACTTTTACGATATTACGGCTTACCGGTGTTTTTTATCTCTTTTAATGGCTTCAAATTGCTGCTTACAATCATCAGCAATGGTCACTCCCGAGGCCTAAAAAGGACCACAACAATCAAACGCTGAAGAATAATAGCGCTGAACTGTTGGTAAACAAAGCAATGATGCAGGACACGATCATTAGTAAGCAATGAACAGCGCGCAATATCCATTTATGGGCATCACGATGAGTCTATTGCGTTCAGTTCAAACTCCTCGCTGACGGCTCATGCAGTTCTTCTCACCATCCGACCAAAATATGCCACCGGTTCCCATCGTAAAACAGTTGGTTCGTTCCCACTCGAGCTGTCTGAAATTACTTACCATTTTGAAAGGAGGGAACCGAAAGCAATAGAAAAAATGAAATCTTTAGTGTATCCTTGCGAGTTATCCCCTATGCGTCCGTTAACGATCAGTCCCCCCAAAATCCAAGCTGCAGACTACAGATTCTGAAATAATTCCCGGATAGATGAATTATGTGTATCGCAAACAGTGCAAGACGGAAAGAGGGAAAATTATGACCGGACGGTCGTACTGCGCAGCTACATACACGAGGATAAATTTGTGCGATTCAAGCGTCGAATAAATTTTGGCCTGCAGTGTACTTATGACAGCAGACAGGGTTCGGCAGAGGAGAGAGCGAAACAGAGTGAGAGAGAGCACTAGTACAACAGAATCTTCACTGTGAAGGCCAGTTGGCTGATGAGTCACCCGCAAAAGCAAAACTCATTCAGAAGCAAGCGCCGCTTCAGGGGGCTGACTGTTCTGCTCAACTCATGGCTAAAATCAATAAGTAACAAAATATACCTGACTTGTAAGTAATTCTTTTAATTAATTATAACAAATAATTCTTTTCTGATTTGATTAAAAATTTAAAACCGTCTGGATTATTCAAACTAAATTTTAAATTTCAACAGTGCGGCGATGTACTGTAAGCTTATGCTTATACCAGTGTAGCCTTAAACGGTATACCAGTGCGGCGATACAAATTTCCTAATTCCAAACAATAAGCACCAGTTCGCAAGAGTCGTGAGTTCGTAATTTGCATTTCAGCGGTACGTACTTTTACCGCAAAATCTAGTTGTATTCTAATAACTTGTTTACTTCCGGAGCATTTTCTGTTATGCGAGATGCAGATGGGTGTTAATATTCGACATAGCATAATTCCAAAGACAGCGTCTTTTCATTGTAGCAATATGTTTTATCACTTAATTATATATACGAGTATGAGCGATCCGGGAAATGCTCCGTACTTACATATCATGAAAGCTTTCCGTTCGCTCGCGCATCGAAATGTTTTTCGTTGTACTTGGCGAAAAATTTAAAAAAGCGCCTTCATTCACGGTTCATCGGAATTATAGGCTGTTTTCAAAACGTAAACAGAATCCCTTAAAAAATGATATTACACCAATAGCACTGTAGTTTGGGTTCAGTGGTTTTCTGAAATCGATATTCAATTTCTCACCAAATCGTAACGTCTAATGAAACATTTGAAAGCAAAAAATAAATCCGATGCGCCGCAATAAATCTGAATGCAGTGTCTGTTAAGTGTAAATGAACGTAATAAACATTGTGCACACGAAGCACCGATCATGCGGTTCGAGAATATCAGGCTGCAATCAGCATCATTAGCACAAAACGGGGTGCAGCATTCATTGATTACAACAAGAGCGAAGAAGCGCTTACTCCTCAGATAGCTTTCTTTTCACCGAAATCGGTAATATGTGGACTACACGTGTTCCTTTTGATACTGACAACGGTACGTACGCCTGTTTTAATATTAATTTGGAATAAATTGCAAAAAATGTTTATTATTTACCATTTTGGACCATTTACAAATTCTTTGCGCTACGGAAATACACTTGAACATGAATATGTAGCATACTCGATATATATCCCTATTGCAAAAAATATGTGTAAAATGCGCGTTCAAGCGGCAAAACACGCGGCGCAAAAGCTGTTCTCTGCGTTTGCCGATCGTATGTGAAAATAGGCGTTTTATCCACAAAGCACGCGCGTTAGAGGAAGGCACGGTAAGGAAGGTGCTTTTTGCAAGGAACTGACCAATGGTCAGTGTAGGTACTGACCAATGGTCAGTGTAGGTTTGAATAAATAGGTATTAGGAACAGAAACATTTGTCTCTCTATCGTGAATGTATTCGAATGCTAACCAATTCTAGATCGGCGGATAATTGCGCTAACAGTCGTTATTTTGGCTTTTTGCGGAAGCGCATCTGGCCAGAGTTTGTATGGACCTGCAGAGTATGGACCTCCTGGCGTGGGAAGCGCGTGCGCGTGTTCCTTTTACTACAGACCGGTTTGTGGTTCCAATGGGAGAACGTATTCCAGTATTTGCCCTTTACGTTGCGAACAGCAGTACAATCCAAGTACGCTAAAAATTGGTTGTAACCATAATATATAAACTATGTTTAATAAATAACCTATGTTGTAACCATAATATACAAGCTTGTTGTTGGGCTTCGTCGTATTAGAATTTCAGAAATCATACATCACGGTATTAAAAGAATGCTTCAACATCACACTTATGCGTATTAGTGGTTTCACACTTATGCGTATTAGTGGCTTTCAGGTTGACGTTTGCTTAATAACTAGAAGTATGCGGTATTCGCTCGTTTCTAATCTCCATTCGTCTGCTTCATTTGATTAGCAATCGCTGTGCTCAGCGAAGGACCGTGCAGTATGCTGATCGGCTCGCGGATGCCTAACGTCGGACCTATACGGATGGCCGGACCAGTTATTTTGAGTAATACCCTTCCAATTTACCCAAGAAACCCAGCTTGCGTTTGGCAATGCCCGGCCACAACTGGATCTTACACAAACGCACCGGGGTTGCAACGGCCACTTGGGTGAGACAGGAGCGTCTAAAAATCGTCCTAAAAATACATAGTTTTGGAAAGACAACCTCTTGCTTGCTACAAAGGGTGTAACAAAAAATTATTATATGTTCAAACTGAATTAACGGTGTTAATAATAGTAAATAATAAAACCGTGATAGTTAAATAATTCAAACAAAGTGGGATTACATGTAGAACGAGTATTTCAGTAAACTAAATGATTGTTCTGCGTTGAAATCAATTATGTGATCTACGTTTGACTTAGCAGTCCAGCATCGCTGCCTGTGACCTTAGGCATGGATATACCACTGCCTGTTTGCGACAATCGGGGAAACGTTTACCTGAATGACTGTCAATATTATCGAGCGATGTGCGAATGGGAAAATCGAGGACTCCCACTTATGAAGTCACCGTGCCCTTTTGGTGTCCGCAACGGTTTTGAGACAATAAGCAATGTTTTAATACAGTAGAACAGTGCAGCCGCTGTTAGCTTTATCTGATTTCGAAAGATGACAACTTACGATGTAACTGGTGAATAACTTTCTATACTCAGACGCATGCAGCGCACTGTAGGTTCTTCAGCATTTAGTAGCGGCATTAACCTTAAAAGATTTGCTTGATGTACACACGCAAAGATATGACTATTTAATTGTTTTATGTGCTGACAAACTATCGACACTCTCAGTAGCATCGCACTATGGAATCGCGGCATTTTGTAGGAGCGTGTCTTGTAGGTCACTGAGCATGGAGTTGCTACTATTAATTACCAAATACATAAAATTGTACATTTCCGGTTTGTACTGTTACGGAAAAGCACGTTTGCCCCACACACACACTGCACACACTTCGTAAAGATCCCATCGGATTTCGGTTGTAGATAATAAAAATTAATTACGCAGAACAGAATGCAACCTTCAGAAACGGAAGTTATGGACCTGAAAGTAGCACATCTATAAGAACCGTCATATCGTTCCGTAATGGTTCATTTAAGCGAAAAATATCTTGATGATGGTTTTTGTCTGGAATACTCATCTCATTGAATGCTAGATCAATCCGTGTGGCGAATTCAGATTTCTGTCATCTTAACTTGCTGTTATATTCCCTTTCAACAGCAACCTGACGAAAGACTGTGTGAACAACTGGTGCTCCAATGAAAGAGCCTTGAATTTTTGTGCGGTGCATGCAGTTTTAAACCGGCTATAATTACAGTGTGACGGTGCGGACTGCACCGCGGCACTTTATGTAAATTCCTTCTAGCGCCCATTCCAACCGGAAATGCCAAAAATATTATTGTTCCTCTTTTTCTGTTCCGCGTGTGGTGAGTTGTTACGCTCGATCAATATACATGTCTAAACACACTGAGCTACGTTTGTTATACCATCTGATATGTACGCAGTTATATGATTAGCGTTCCTTCTCTGTCAGTTTATCTTGTGGTCGAAGCTACCGAAAATGTGCAGATTTAATTAATACTCGCACTATAACCTTATCAAATCAAAAATTTTGCCGCGTATAGCTGCTTACAGTATTTAAATGCAATCAATACATTAGCTTTTGACCGATTTAAGTTCTGGTACGGTAACTGTGTTGGTCAACTATTGTGTATGTAGCGCTCGCATCCGGCGAACAGAAAAATATGGTGAAAAGACCCATCAAGCAGGCACTTTCCACCCCTCGCCTGGTTCCATCCATTCCTTTGAATGCAAAACAAACATCAAATCAAAACCAACTTCCACTTCAACAACAAATGCAAGACGATCAACGCCAAGCTGACCAAGTGTCCGGTGGCTTCCAGATGCCCTTTAGTCTGCGCCCACCCAGTGACCTTAACAATCTGGTGCCCATAGCCGGTCCTTTCGCACCAAATACCAACATGAACAACATGAACAATATGAATACTTTTCCGTCGGCGCAGTCCTTCATGCCGGCGAACTCACTGAATAACTTCAATCCCGTGCAGCTGGGGCAACTAAATCAACTTCCGCTGCAACAGCAACTGCTACAGCAAGTCCAAGCTGCACAGTCCCAACAGGCCGCTCGGCAGTTCGGCCCCAACTTCAACGGAAACATGATGGATGCCGGAAACATGCAACCTAATGAGAATTTTGGCAGCCTGGGACCGATGGCCGGTGTGTATGGTGGCCAACTGGGAACGGGTGGACTGAGCTCCATTGGGCTTGGCGGATTATACAACGGAATGTACGGGGCTCGCGATGGAAATTTCAACTCCGGTGGAGCCGGTGAAATGGTCTGTACATGCACGCTGCAGTACGCTCCCTCTGTGGAAGCGATGGGAGAACATATCCGAATAAGTGTTATTTTGATTGTGCACAGCGCCAAAATCCTAGTACGTACCTTATGGTAACAAAATACAGTGTACTGGTGTACGGAAAGGTCACTGTGCTCAATAATTCTTGCACACAGGTTTGCAAATAACGATGGAGTCGGAATGCAGCGGCTCATCCACCAGCAACAGAGAATCGGATAATAATGTCAGCATTCAAGTTTACGAGTCGCCCAATTATATCCCGTCGGATCCTTGGTAACTTGGGTCTTGACATATTTATCTAAACTGGTTTTTTATCAGTAGCTGCGGTTCTAGATCTTGCTATAATTATATTAGTTAAACGAAAAACATTTTGTTTGCAGCTCATGGAAATGTTACGGAGGTAGTAAACCGACTTGTGGATCAAATGGCATGACTTACGGGAATGAATGCAAGGTAACACAATCTTTACAAAGTTTAGAAATAATGCGGGTCGTGTATTCAGCTATACATTAAGCTAGAATTTCTTCAGTTCTGGAGAGCGGTTTGTCGAAGCAACCGGCAGGGAATATCCATTACGGCGGTGGACTGTGGTGTAACCAGTGCAATTAGTGGTTCAGGGGGCACGATAGTTAAAGCTCCAATAGTAAACTTATTCAGGGATATTCCTTCGGCATCCCATACTAGCACAATACCAACCACTCTTCCCACGACCACGGCATCACCCGTTGGTGTATTTTCGGCCAGCAACGAAATCAGCCTTAGAAAGCTTGACCAACCAATCGATCCGTTTTTCAACAAAGAAATAAACCTCAAACTTTGAGAACAACATGTTAGTAATGGCAATAAACTGACAGGTTACGGTAAACTTCGACTACCATGCAAAAGAACGAAATTTGCAAACACTGACCTTTGCATTTTGTTTCTGCATCTTTGTGTTTTCTGTTATAATATATCTATGAACTATCGTTGATCAGTCAGAATATCGAATGTTCCAAAACCACTTTAGTACGCGAAGCATATTATTGCTAACATAGGTGCTGTTGCTGAATTTGGTTTCTTATTTCCCGTACGGTTTTTTGGGTTTGTGCTATTACAGTATGCGCGCTATTAGGGAACAAGAAAGAGCGTTTTACACCAAAATACTCAAGTTAACAATAACATATCTTTGCAGACATGATTATGTAACCAGACGAACTGTACTGTAGACTGGCCGCACTTAATTAGAAACCATTTTGGTTTACAAAATTAATGCAAGAGTAACTAACGTAACAAACTTTCCAAAACAGCTAACCTTCCTCAGCTTTATGTGTGCTCTTCAAAGGATATAATTTGATTACGGTATAATCATTATACCACATAAAGTATACAAAGTAGACTACATTTGGCTGGTAAAGCCTAGTATCAACACAATGCGCAAGTTATCGCAAATTTTACATTCTACAATTTTCTACTCGTAGTCCGTGTTAGATTTTCTGTAATTCTGACTGAATTATTTTCTTCGTACATATTCATTGATGTTTTATTGAGAAAGTCCATACTCTGAGCACGAGGAGAAGAAAAATCCGTGGATGAATCTTTTATTCGTCGAAGTTCGAACATCGCCTCACACCGTTGTTACGATCAAATACATGATATCGAAAAATTTTGGAAAACAAAGAAATGCTTTATTTTTTCTTCGCAGGGCCTTTTCCTTTTGCAGCAGGTTTCTTTTCTCCTCCGGCTTTCTTGCTTTGGAGGCGCTTCAGTTTGCCAAATTCTAATTTGACTAATTTGTTCCTCTAAAAATAGAAAAACAATTCAGGTTAGAGAGTTTTTTAAGTCAGATGCAGACAAGTTGCTCAAAGTACCATGGCCAGCCGTCTCGTATGAAATCACTCCATATTTTAAGTCAAAAAACTAAAAAATTGTTCGCTTACCGCCTGCAGTGCTCGCATGAGCTTGAATCGGTCAAAATCAGTCATCGCGGCCCTCTGCAATAAAATTTCAACCATCAAATACCACCAAACGCTACAAACAAATTCAAAAAATAATCCGTAAACGTAAAGGTGAATTTCAGAGCGATTTAATCAGCATATTAGCTCAGCCGGCATTTCCTATCATAATTGTTGGATCATCATAACCAAAACTGCGTGTAACTGCATTCACAGCGCCTTTAGTGCGGAGCTTACCTTTTTCTGACGTTCCAGCTTCTTCGCCCAGTTGGAATTCTTCCACGCTGTGGCAATGTCTCCTTTATCCCATGCTGCCACCACAGCCTTGTGGGAAGCGGTATGAGGGATCTTAATCTTTAATTTTGTGAGGTGGAGGTCGCGAAAGTTGGCGACCTGGCGAGGAATTGACGGCCCGTCAATTAAGCTCTGCAAAAGCAGTCAAGTCAGATTCCCAATAGATCATCACCGTCAGCTAACTGTCGTCGTTTTCCTGATCCAAAACCACCGAAATACAGTAGAAAGATGGGAGCTCACTCTGTTCTGATCAATGACATCGACAATGGTGGCCAATTCTCCAACATTCTTCCCTTTGGCGATATACGCCACTCGGCCAATTTCGACGGTTTTTGTGAAGGTCTACGAAAAGGACTGCGAATTACAGGCGAAGCACTTTCAGGAGTATATAGTGAACAAAAACTTACCATTTTAGATGATTTCACCCCAGAATCAAAACAACTAATGGAGAACTGTCTATTAACCGGGTACCACGAAAACTACCAAAATTTTACACGAGTTCTCCGACTTACGAGTGATCGACACGGCTGGAGCAGTCTGAAGTCGCGACATGTGAATTCCACTTCAGTGACAGCATTTCCAAAATCCGTTGACACCACTACGCTAGTGGAATGCCGAACTGCAGTCACCACTGGGCTGGCGGCTACGTACTACAGTACTCTTGATTCTTTGAATCTCGATTTTTCTACCGGCAAGCGTTGAAAAACAACCTTTTTTAGCAATAACCAATACAAAAATGCAAATGCCTGAGCCAATGCAAACTAATTAAAGTGATTGAATTTAAACATTAAACAAACAACCAAAATGGTTATTCGTGATCTTACGGTTAGGCCGCGTATTCAATGTTCCCAGTGCGGCTGCAGCATTTTACTCTGTAATTAGTAACGAGTATCCCTAATTCCGTATTTTACAATTCTTATCGTTAAATTGCTAATGCTAACTTCCGGTTATTGCCGGCTTTTGCAAGCCAAAATTGAAAATGACTGTTAATTTAAACCAGAGACGAAAATTTTACTGTTGATTTGTATTATCTTTTATTATTTCGCCATAAGCGTCTCTTATGTGCTTACTTTGAAGAAGGCCAGCTGGGATATCCCATAAATCTGCATTACTTTCCTTATTACGGTCGCCCTATCAATGTTGCTTGATTTATTACGGTCGCCCTATCAGATCCGATGATTTTTGGATTTTCAGAAATTCATATACTCATACCTATACATAAATTTCGCAATAATTAATACCATTACCCGTAATCACCAGTCAGTACCATAGAATACTGCAAATTTTGGTGAGAATCCAACCTAGAATGCTTGACATATTGGCTGTTGACCAGAAGAGGTCGACTTCAAATCCTTGACCAGTCGAAATTTCGCTTTTATTTCGCTGGCTTTAAAAGGCAAGTCCTTTTCTCAAGTCTAGATGTTTACAACTTGTAAAAACGTCGATCCGGATTATTTTATGGAAAAATTGATGTCATTCCTTTGCGGGTAAGTGTGGAGGAACGGTTGGAAAAATCACGAAAAAGGGAACAAACCCGCGGGAACCATGTCCGTTGCGCGAATTCTTATACACTTAACAGCAGCAATCCTTTTCGTTCTTGCCCAAACTAAGCTTGTAGTGCAAGTCTTTATCGACCGTTTTAAACGTCTATTGCCTGCAAAAGACGTTCCATGGCTCGAGCCAGGCGAGGAAGAAAACTTCATCCCGGAGCAGGATAGTGCTCCCGGGACGCAGGGCCGCGAAAACAATGAAGCTGCTTCCCAATCGTGAAAACTAGTTATTCCATTAGAAAAATGCTTATTGAGTACCCCTGAGATGTTTTCGATTGATTTTGGTGAGAACCCAAATTTTAAAAGATTTTTTATCCAAAGGGAAGGCAGTTGCAATACCTGGACTGGTCCACTGTTTGAAACATGTCTGTCACGCATTAATTTTTTTATTGTGCCAAAGGATATTGAAATCTTGACGGCATCAAATTTTTAGTATGACTGAATGTTGTGGCTGTCTGAAAAAATATTTGGAAAAATAATATGATCTTGTAGTGACTAAGTATAAATTTTTCAAAAAGTGAACACACTTGGCTGAATAACCCTCTGTAGAAGTACTGTATGCCATATGCGTAGTGTTTCGCTTGACAGTTTGTGATTAGCATAACTGCCGTAAACAGGCAGCTTATAAACTTGCACAGCTGGCTGTCAGGTTTTTAACAAGTAAGTACCGTAAATTATTCCCGTTCCTGGTTTTCATGGTTCTGTAATGATTTGTGTTTAGAACGTTAACGAAGCCCTGTTGCCAAAGAACCATTTAATGCCCATTTCGCCGACTGCGGAGATGGACACAATGGTACAGGATTTGTACATACTATCTTGCAAGCATTATCCCACACGCGCTATGGTGGTCATCACACAAATTAAAAGCTCGCATTCGTTATTTGTTCGATTGCTGTAAAACATTGTAGTTGAAGCCTTACTTGCTACAAACGTAGTTTATTATGCAGTGCGCGGACAGATTGTACGTCCTAGCATTGGATCAGCGGCACTCCAGATCCACTTGGTGTCTTCCGCTGCGACATATTTACGCGTACGTATACTTCTATACGGCAACTGCGGCTGCAGCGGTGTTCACTATGATTAATGTATGAAGCAAGACTGTCGGCAAAAGTTCATAGTAAATGTGCATAGAGACTGGACAACAAAAGACTTTGTGCAATGTGCATGTCGGAAAGGGCATGCGTAAGGTCTTGTTAGGAACTGAGTACAGAAACTTATTGCATTTGCCGCTAGTTCTGCAACCACGGCGGTAACTTCGTTGCACGAAGTTGTAGCGGTAAACCATTCATTACCACGGGATTACCACGGTGTAGTAAAGTTTATATTTATAACGATATGGTCGCGCGATCGATGACTGCCCAGTGAAGGTGTGACGTTTGCACGCAGTCCTGCCGTCAAACATCTCTGATTCAACGAAATCCTACGAATCTTTTTCCGTTTAATTTACACTCGATATTTTAATTTAATATTCATTCATTTCCAACATTTTTTTATCCCTTTTATTGCTCACACCTTCTGTTTTTATCATGGAAGATCTGCTACTTGTGCGGCTGGATGACCCTTTAACGCGCGCAGACAGTGACCAGTCGGACGCAGACTGGAAATGTCAATGCGCTGTTTGGAAAGCCAGGTGCGTCCGTAAAATAATTTGCAGCCTTCCGGTAGCCTTGTAACAGGCAACAGGATATTCAAAAGATCCCAGTTTCGATCCTTTATAGTATCATTAGCATATTTTGTGTAACTCGACCATGCGATTCAATGTCACCAGATTTTAATTAGCAAACGTTGCATTAACTAACTTGTAAGTTGGGATTGAAATTTGTCATATTGTCAAACAGCATAAATTACTGTATTAAACTGAGTTTAAATATGCTGAACTAACTAATTCTGTGCTTTTATTCGAAGTTACATTTTAAAATTTTAGAACTCACTTATAACTTCGGTATTATTCACGTTCTCCGTGTAACATTAAAATTATTGCCTGACCATACCTATAATTATATGAGCAAGAAGCGCGGCAGTTAGCACCATAAAATTTCTGATGTACTCGTAATTTCTGATGATAAAATTGGCATTTATGCCTGATTACCGCAATATAATGCTGCCGAAACAATTAAAATGTACCCAATATGCGTAATTTGTGTCTAATGAAATCAAAATATCAGTCTGGCATTTATTCTTCCGAGATTAACTAAGCATTCCGTATCGTTACAGATATGAAAATCTTCGAGTGGAGCTGGATGAGTTTACACTGAGCAGCCGTGAATTAGAGCATGAACTTGAGCAGGAGTTAAATCAATATAAACATTACTCTGATCAACTGAAAACCGATACGCAAACCTTGGTGCTTGAAAACCGCAGCCTAAAGGTAAGTAATGATTTTGCATTTTATGAATACCATACTGTTGTTCATGTTAGACCAACAACACGTCTATTGTGATGCAATTACCGCCGGTTGATGCGACCAGAATGTTTTTATACAACTCTTCCTTAATAATTAGATAATTAATTGAGCTTTTATTTTAATTAGGTACAGTAATCAGATCTAGAAGTAGCATTTTATTGCAGGACCATGAGGAGCGTCACTCCAAGCGGATAGTCGTATTAGAAAATCAGATTAAAGAATACGAAAATCAAAGGCAATCTTTTTTCCAATACAGAAGAGAGCTGGAACAGAAGAATGATGATTTAGAAACTGCTAATCGGTACACATGCACAATGCACATGCCCTTTATTTTTTTACTGACTGCAAAATTTAAGATCTATGTTAAGCGGAAAAGCTACTTTTGTTGCAACTATCGCTTTTGTTCTACTATACAAGAAAAACAACAGTAGCTAGTGCAGCCAAAAGCTAAAAGGTCATTTACATTTTAGGAACCTCGCCGCATCCTTGGCAGACAACGCAAAGCGCATCGAAGAGGTAATGCACAACATAATCAACAAGGTGCAACAGCCTGGCACTTGTATTGTGTTTGGATAAGTATTTTCAACACTAACCAAGTGTTCGAAATAAATAAACGTTACTGTTTGCCGGTACGTAGCTTATGGAAGTAAAAGCGGTGTTGGAGAACGAGCTCGAGCACACACTATCTCAAAAGGAAATCGAACAAAGACTACGCGATGAACTCAAGGGTGAGTGATGATCCGGTTACGTTGGCAGACGTTTTCTCGCAAAACATAAAGGAAAACATTGTTATCCCGCATTGTGCAACTGATCACGAAGGACCGGTAGCGCGTTCTTACACTAGCCAGCTACTTTATTTTCCTATCCAGTTTTTGCATAGCAAGCTAAACCTTTAACGATTACCGTTTTGAGGGTTTCTAACAACTTTGATATAAGTACTCTGTAACGCTTACAAGATATACTGCAGTACAGAATAATACATTTTATTAGAGAACAACCGGTTGAGACTGAAAGGGCACAATTAAATATTTCACTAAATTCCATGCATTCGAAATAATGTTTTGACAGTGTAAGTAAGAAATCGATCAAGCATTATCATGCTGAATTATTAAGTACTCGTATTTTAACTGCATATATAAATATATGGGAATTCGTCGTCGACGGAAGCAACACTTTACCCGGGGCAGTTTCGTCCTGATTAAAAGTTTGAAATTGGACTTTGGCATCGCGAAAACCATTAACAGCGTGCAGCGCTAAAGCTATCCTTCCTTTACAGATTTACAGGATGAATTAGGAGCAAAAGGGAAACCGGGTCAGGAAATGAGTCACACCGATCCATCGTACTGCGGACAACACTGCCAACCTGTCCCTGATGACTGTCATATGGCTATCAGTAATCCCGATTTTGATATTATGCGACTACAAGCACTAGCCCTTGGTCACTTCGAATTCTGGCCTTCTGTAGCTGTGACAGAAGGTAATATACTTTGTACGAATTCGACGGATTACTGCAAAATCTTAATGCCGATAATTATTAATACTTATGTTATTAGGAATCCGTAATTTTGCAGATTCGCTCTCGTTCCATGGCGGCATATCCAATAAGAAGGTCATTGGCAATATTACCGGCTCGATTATCCAGATTATTAGAAAGATAACGGTATGTGTGCAAATGTAAGCTACGTATTTAATTGCTGGATATGTGTTACTGTTTCGTGTTCGCAGAAAGGCATAAGTATTTCGAAGATTACCACTGTGCGTCGTTTGAATTGACTTATATTGACATCATAATTATGTTACAAGTACGCTGCATATTAATGTGTATTGCTTCTAGCTTTTACGTAACTATTTATTTCAGAACTTGGAATCCGGGCTGTTGAATGCTACATCCAAATCGCACGTGGAAACACCTTGACGCCAAGTGTATCTGAAGTTCACAAGCAGGCCATGAGCGTAGAAACCGTCAGTAGGAGAATTCCCAATAAGTACACGGGCAGAATGTTTTGATTCACGGCCAATGTTTTAAGTAACGGAACTTTTGGAAGTACTGCAGTGATTAAAGATGTTGTCCCACATAAGCATAAAAATTGCAGTGGCTTTCCATAATTGTGGCTTTCCAGTTTTCTTTTGGATATAACTGGATTATTGATAAGTTTGTTTATTGATAAGTCACGGTGTACTTTTAACACTCCACTGAAACTAGAACTGCCCATTATTAGCCGTTTCCAATATGTACTGACATGTAAGTGTTCTGTTTCTATAATATTCTATAATTCTGGTAGCATAGGCCGTTTGGCGCCCGTGTCCCATTTGGTAATTCATTATTCAATATTTCATTAGTTCAATATATTTGAACAAATGTTTGAAATTTCTATAGTTTTGCTGAAATGTGAAACTTGAAGCAGAAGTTTTCTAGCCATACTTGGTACTGGTAAAATTGGGAAACTGTGGTATGGCCAAAACTATGCCGTTGTCCGACTATAATGTAACAACAATATCCGACCTGGTGACTCCATATGGTTTTGCGGCTTCCGTTCCCAGGAGTAATAATCCATGTCGATGCTGGAGTGTCATTTAGGGATGAAATGGACATAACAGTTATAATTATGTAGGTCGAGAACGCAGTCGTACTGTCGTAGTTCCTTTAGAGGCAAATGAACTGCAATATTACAAAGTATATTCATAGATTACTGCATACCTCTAAAAATTTTTTGCAAACTTTAGGCCGGTATACTGATTGACTGTTAGTGAGTATTGGCCAATAAAGATTCATTTCGCAGGAAAATAGCGTCAGCAATACCATTCAGAATGCCACTCATTACCTTAACACCTTACAATTACAATAATGGAAATCTTATTGTTTGTCGCTCATCAATTCATCATCATATTTCACACTGTGCAAAAACATCAAACAACTTGTTATACTCGTACAAGAAAATCACGGCATGAATCATGATTTATTAATTCAAGATATGTGTCGAATGTAGATTTTTACAAGTAGTTTTATTTGGTGCTTATATCTGACCGTCTGCTTTGCTGAATTCTGCAACCTACTTCTTTTTGTAGCGTTTAGTAGAAAAAACTGCAAATACAAGAATGGCACAACTACGCAAACAAAATCTCGCAAATGGAGATCTTGATTGGTAGACCCAAACATAAAATGGAATTTGAATTTTGAATTGAGTCAAATCAGAATATTTGAACCCGTATATACATTATGTACTACTCTAGGTAACAATTAACAAGCCCCAAGTTCTAACTAATCAAATTTTAATTTCGTTATATGCTTGACTTTTTAGCCTCAAAAATTTCGATAAAAAGTTGAACTGTAACGACGGCGACTGTTCGACGGCATTACAATTTTGATTTTAGTTAGATGCAGCCGATACCGTTTGTGTTTAGTTCCGTATTTAATTTAATCATATTGAATCAATACTTTATTCAAGATCAGCCCAAGATACCGGCGTATTCACTGCCCGTTACCAGAACCGGTCGCTCAGAATCCAACAGAATGACACAACTACGCTAAAAAAGCCTCACAAATGGAAATTGATTGGCAGACCCAAACCATAAAAATGAAAGCTCTAAGTTTCGGGTTATGTTTTCTTACATCTATTTTGTCTACATCGTTCGCCTATCTATCATGCAGCCGAAAAACGAGTAGAAAACAATATACGATATCGCAAAAAAAGATACAAAAAACATGATCACATCACACGCTGCAGTTGCGCTTTATTTACTAACTCCTCGTCGTCCCCATTCAATTCACATTCCTCCCCCGAGTCCATGGCAGAATCCACCGACATCACGGTCTGCAGGGACTTCTTGGCACCCTTCTGCCCCTCCCCCTTCACATCACTCTCTACCTGCAGCCTTGTCAATTCCTGCTCTAACGCTGTCAACAATGGAAAACTTTGAGCATTTTTTATTCGAGAATGAGATCGCACAGCCGTCGGCGCCGCTGCTGCCATGTCCGGCTGGATTGTCTTATCGCGCAGATCCAGGGTGGATCGCGAGAAGGACTGTCGTCCATTATCTGCCCTATCAGTCCCGTTGTTATCCCCCTTGGAATGGCAAATGATGTCGTGCAGTGTGTCCAACATCATCTGGTGGCGCTCCGACGGTGTTTGCACCGCCTCGATGCTCTCCGCCGGCCCATCACTGAGACTGGTCAAATCCAGACTGTCCGTGAATGAATGGCTATCGCTGATGGTGCCGCAACCACTATCGCGCTGTGCCAATAATTCATCGCGCATCCGACGCTGCAGATGGATCTGCTCGCTGATTCCTTCAAGGTTAGCCAGTCCGTCCGCGTAGGTGATCTTAGCTTGAGAAATTGAACGCTCTAGTTGGCGTACCTTGAATTTCTCCTTCTGCAATGCCAAGAAGTCAAGATCATTCACCGCAGCATGCGCTTGCTATAATCCACTATCTCTAAAAATGTCTACCTACTCCAGATGTCAAGCACTACATATGAAAACTGTAGTCCACTAACAGTAAAGTTCGCAACTAGTTGAAAAATCTTATCGTCAGATAAAAACGACAACGATAACTCGTTTTCCGGACCGCTCTCGAAATGTATGTACACTCAGAAACTAATTAAACAACCAGACAGTCAAATAGCAAAGTGAACTATTTTTCACCAAGAGTGGGTCAAGAGTGAGAACCCGTGATTTGAATTTCCTTAACTCAGTTTATTTCAGAATACCGCCATACAGTACACGATTTTCTACGCAGTTGTGTCAACTTGAGCCTTACCTCAACGAAGTGGTTCATTTGAGCGCGAAGTTCATAATACGGTTTTGATTTATTAATGGATGATTTAAATTTCTTTTCCAGTGCTTTGACTTTCTCCTCAGACTCAGTGTAAAGCTTTGAAGCGTGCCAGTGTTCGCGTTGGCGCTGTCGCAGGTCCACCTCGCAGTGTGTAACCTGTGACACACGAAAATGTCAACATACACCGGCGAGCTTTAAACGTGAACGAATTTTTCTGATATTTATCACCGGCATGCCGCACAAAAGCTTATTTGCTATGCAGTTCGAACTCTCACCTTTTTCGTGGCATAATTGAGCATTTCTTGCCATGTTTCGTCCAGTTTCCCACCTTGGCGAACTAAGCCTTCTTCCGTCAGTTTGACGATTTCCTTACTGGCCTTTAGGCCGGCATTGGATTTTTCAAATAACAAAGCGGCATGCTGAAGTTCCGTTTGAGCCTGAAATTGATGACACAAATATAAAGAAACCATATAAACAAATTATATGCGTCTGCATTGTTCTCCCTTAAAACAGAGTGACACAATATTAAGTTGAAATAAAATGTTCGGACATAACCCTGACGGAGCCATAGAAATTACAGCGACTGGGACTGGGCGCTAATTGTTTCTGGACCAAGTATGCGAAATCACGGATAGCAATTCAACGTTCCTGTGCATAGTGAGATTTACACTTTCGAAAGTTAAATGTCGGGGTTCTGACTCCTCAAAAACTACTTATGTCAAAATGCAAGTTCTCTCACCTCACTACAAGTATGTATTATGAACTGCAAAAACTCGTAGTACAAAGTATACTGAAATGCAGATTAGATTGCAGACAGAAGTGTGTAGCGGAATTTTCCAGCCTTATTACGATCATTAATTGTACTGATTAATGCGCGCCATTCAACCTTGATTTAGTACGAGTTCAACCCAGAACAAATCAATGTTTTGCATAACTTAATGATTGTTATATTTTATTCATCAACGAAAAGCCAGCCTTAAGCGGCAAATTACTTTTCTTCTGTTAGTAACATGCAGCAACCGTGACCAGGATTTCAATACCACGAAATGTTATTTATTCATGTTAGTTTCATATTTATTTTAGTTTCCCAGTGGCCCTCGAGTAAGACACATGGTGTATTTATGATTCTGTTGTCAAGCTGCCAAATGCAATGCAAGAAAACGCTTGAAAAGAAAAGCCATAACATTCTTGTACAGTACTGTAATGGTCCGGCTGCCGGCATTATAATCTACAATGTAAAATTCATGGCATGATTACACGCCTTTGTAAAGATGTTACACCGGATACCGCACAGGGTAAAACGAAAATTACGCGTAGTCTAGTATTAACCGACAAAATTATCATCCGGGGGTAGTTGAGGGTGCTTTCTAGTTCATAAGTTCGTCAAAAGTGTTTAAACTTACTTATCTAACTTAGTCTTATAATAAAAAGTTATACTGTGAAGTCCCATTGAATCAAAACAAAAATAATTAACTATGATAGTATTAAAAAACTCTCACAAAAGCCAGAGAACAGCTGATTCCATCCCATAAATCAGCCATTTCACGTCAGATAGATGATTCAACAATCGCCTAGCCATGATCAGAAAATGTTAGTGCGGACGAATATCATCTGCGCATCCGCACATCTGTCTATTAATTAAATATCTACAAGCAGTTCTCCAGTCGTTAATATCAACTGACAACCGGATGATGCAAAATGTGCGTCCAAATCCGTTTTTGTTTCACTGAATTCAGCCTTGCTCACAACAATTAACTGCCAACGCCTTGGGTGATTGAATTATTGTTGATCTGAACAATTTTTATCCGTAATATTATAGCTCTGCTACGAAGTACCAACAAACCGGCTTCACGATATAGTTATAAAGTATATATAAATAAAGAATTCATAGGGACAGCAAATACTAATTTCATTAAAATAATTAGTTACGTAATTAATAACACTATTGTCCATAAAAATTGTTGTGGATTTCATTTCCAGTAGAACGTTCGTTATACCGTGTCAGTGACTGTCGGAAAAATTCGTTAAACCAACGGCAGTGCGCAGAACGGCCGCATTCCTTTTAAATTCCGCTTAATAATCTCTCGGAAATCCACATAACTCAACACTGAAACGTTCAGAATCTTGCATGTCGCCGGAAGCGATCTAAGTTTCCAACGCTTGAATCAATAGAGCACCGAACATAAGTCGCATAACTGCAGTTCTTACAAATCATCTGATAAAAACTATTCAACGAGGAAAATATGTAACTAAAACACCGGCGCGCACATTCCTTTGCAGTACGTTGAACAGTGCTGGCAGCGATGTTTATCCATGTTAACATGTGATGAAGATGCCACATCACACACACATGCACATGGACGCACAAAAATTATTTGTGCAGTAATAAACACTTGCTAGCACTATTACGCAGTATTGCAGCCAGTATGTGATAATAATTAGATAAACGCCAATTGTATACGACCGAAATTACTGTCGCCTATCACGCAGTGTAGGACAGCGTATATCGTAAAAGTAAACACTTTACGCACGCCACAAACACCGACAGCGTATACAAAAACCAGACATCGGCATCAGCACAGTTTTGTATCAACTATGGGTGTATATTGTACACAAAAAATGTACTAAATACGCATCACCAGCATCATTAATCTCTCTTACATTCGGTCCACTTAATAGCCGCAATCATCAAATTAACCAGGCAAAAGAAAAACCAGACTTACTTTCTTCAGATCAGCTCGCGCTTCATAATAAGGACGAGATTTCTGCACACATTTTCCAAGTTTGTTGTTCAAATCATGCAAAGTGTGAGTCATGTGGTAAAAGGCTTGTCGCCCCGCTGCTTTGGCTTCCTGAAAACAACAAGAGAATGTGCTCCATAATGGCAACGGAAATCAAAACGTCAAATAAATGCTAAAAGCGGATTTTTTAAGCTAAAAGCATGCAAATAGTGTAAAAATACTGTAAGACGAAGAACAATGGTAAGCAGAAAATATACTACGAGTATAATAATACACATCGTTGTCTGTAGGTTACCACTGCAATTTCGCAGTATCACTTTCCAGAGTATGTTTACGTAATTATTTGAACAGATCGTGCTTAAACTTTGAACTGCAGCTGTGTCATCAGGCCAACACGCAAACCGTATTCAACGAAACGAACTAAAATGGCAGATTTAAACAATATAAAACATTAAATCTTATGATTACCGATAACTCTTAACTATCCAGCAAATCTCTGACCCTCGTAAATGAAATCAGGGCAAACTTGCCTGATAAGAAAATGTGAACAGCACTCCAATTTACCGTTATCGCACATATATTTATTATTCCACACGAAGATATTACGACATCGTTCTTTCGGTTAGCAATAAAATTCCTCAAACGAACGACTTACATCCAGCTGTTTTTCCAGCCTGTTGATTGCTTCTGCTGCTTCATTCAGTTTCTCCAGTTCACCCTAACAAAATATACAACAAGGGATTATAAGACATAGTAATCACACATCAAAAGAATGTGCAGACACCACAGGAAATTACAAGTGCAACACTTTGTGGCTGCATGGAAATAATTAACAGCTTCCGGTCGCTGCAATGTGCACTTTATTGTACCTTACATGCTTGTTTATTTTGGCTGGACACAACCGGCTTCGCAACTCCATAGCTTTACTATAATAAGCACTATCACGGTTTCACCGTATAACTGATGCCTGATTTAATTGAGACAATATTTAACACGTTTTATCAAAGCAATTGTTCAAAAATGCCGCTCATGGTTATTTAATAAACACACTCCAGAGACGATACAAATGGGTGCAAAAGAGATGCTACTGATCTAGAATTACAGCTAAAACATGTGCGCTTTTGCAGTTTAGAACTTAAGTTCATGATAATGCGCTTTTCAGATACACAGTTCTACAATCTGCTGCAACGCTGTCGATGGACGATGGATACTATTCAAATTCCAACCAGCCAGCTACATGCACTTTGAACTGGGAGCGGTACAACTCTCGATCTTGATCGTTTCCGGGACAAGGAACGTTGCATTTTAAGAATGCACCGAACCCACAAAAACGCATGCCGGGAAATACTTAAAGTCTCACTGTTACGTTAAGATCGATAAAGCAAAAATGCAACGAAAAACGGACAAAATGGACTGGAAAATCTAAATCCGAAAAATGTCCGAGACGAACTTGTATTAGTAGATTACAAGAAACGAACTATCATGCATTACAATCACGAGCTAAATCCAGCGAATATAACGAATATAAATAAATTGATAAGAGCGAAAACTACGTACGTATGAAAGTAATGCAACGTATCACAAACGAACTGCGACTTCGCTGTAGCCTGTACCTGTATAGCGGTCATGGTTGAACTCAATTAAATAAGATCAAATTTCAATAAATTAGTTCACCTACAAACGAACAGGCGCTTACAAATGGTGCTTGACCGAAACGGTAAATGGAAGTTGCAAGTGCTTAACTGAAAATATTGTCAAGCAAGGTAAAACATCCATAACTTCCCTCTAGACTTCGGATTTCTCTTTCGTGCAACGTTATGTTGTTATCCAAACACTCTGCCTCGAATAATATTTATAGCATTACGAAAACCTTTCAATATTTCGCAGATTATTGCAACTTTATAAATTTTTTTATCATTCAAAACCATGTAGAAATAATAAGTAGAAGAAAGACACTACAAATTGCTACTGGCATATACTGTAAATTAACATTTTTAAGAAAAATCACAACAATGCTAGAAAACAGCAAACCGTAAACGGTAAATTCAAAACTTTTGCGAATCCAAAAGCAACCTGCAAAGCAACCTGCAAAACAGTCTTCGTACAGAGAGCAAAGTTACTTAACATTAAATTATATAATTCTGAAAATTACGCAAATACCGTACGTTTCTTCTGAAACTAAAAAATATTTCAGTTTATCTAGCACTGAGCCCACATAGTTGTAGTACAGTACCTGTACACGGGGGTCCAGATGTTCCGTATCGTTATCGATATCATCGCCATCGAGGCTGTTATCGATGAATTCTGGCGCTTCGAGTTCGCTAGCGGAATCCGAGCTTTTCAGGGATTCCACATCTCCAGGTTGGAACATCTCGAAGATACGGCGAAAACGCCAGGCCGTCAGGGATGCTGCACATCCAGCAGAGGAATGCCACAGCCGACCAGTGTTCCCTCTTCACAAGCCAGTTCGGCCTGGAATTCACCTAGCTAGTGCCAGGTGAATTCATCAGCGAAACAGAGAAGGCGAAGCTTCAATGATATGTGTTTTGCAAAACGAAAGAAACTGAATAAATTAAAGGTATAAAAAGACAGAATTAGTACAAAGTTAAAACTGAAGGAAATCCGAATCGTACAAACTAGTGCACACTGCAGAGATAAAAAGTAAAGAAATGCACTGAAATGCCAGAAATGGCACTCAAAATTTAACTTATCGTTGCGAGTGCAGTACGTGCAATACTGGTCGCTGCTGTGTGCTTGTGCTGCGCTGCAAAAACTTGTCTACAAATCTACGGCGTAATCATCTGTTCAACGGCGCTTTAACGTAGCGTTTGTAAAATGCATTCGTACATGAGTTAGACCGGACAAATTGGAACAATCAATATTGAGTCATAAACATGGTCAGCTTATTATTCATCGGCTATGCCCCATTTTGCCGCTATATTTATGCTTTATGTATTTTCTGTAAACCATCCTTGCCTCGCTGTGTAATTGAACTATAGGTATAAACAACTTCAAGCATTCACTAAATTTTGGGGAAAGCTCCCAAACTTATGGAATTAGGAATCGAACTAATTTTATCGTTAAGCCCCATCGTGATCCGATAAAGGTAGACAGCGGCAATTTAATTCATATTCCTACTATATTATACCACTAGAAATTTGCAGATTAAAATAATCTAAATCCGTACAGAACAAAAATCGTACAACCGAACTTGAGGTAATAATATTAGTAATGTTATACATCTTTATTCTTTAAGAAATGTGCGCGATCGACATGTGCGAACTCGAAATCCAACAAGTGAATCAGTTACAACACCGAGATCGAGTAAAAAATGGTGCATGCAATAAACAGATAATTATAAAAACCATTAAATAAATTTGTGAAACGGACACGTATTAATGCTGGCAACACAAAAAAAAGGATTTCAAAAATAATGGGTATGCTGTTATGCTTCGTTAGCTCTGATATTATCCAGAATTTCATCTCCATAGGATTGGAAATGTCTTAACACCTTGTTAGATAGATAACATGGAATGCTCAGAAGTTATATGTTAGGATGGAATAAATGTTCAGTGACAGTTCCAAAAGTTGTGTCGAATGTGCAGTCGTGTAAATCCGTGTGGCCATAATTTTTACCACCTATAACGATATTCAGATTCAAAGTTGTGACTAGTTAGTACATATATTGTGTTTTAGGATTTACGAGGGTAATTAATTTACGAATGTTTTTGGTTTGCGCTTAATATTATCATAGTTCGGTTATAAAATCAAAGCTGATGTATCTACAAAAATATGCGCGTGTGTGTGAGTCTTGGACATATTGAACCAAAGGCGATATTCGATACTGAACCAAACACGATAAAAGAACCAAAAAATAACTGGTATACACTTCAGTAAGTGTTTGTTTCTGAGAAATGTGCCAACATGTCCAAGACTCACACACACGCGCATATTTTTGTAGATATATCAGCTTCTGATTTTATAACCGAACTATGATAATATTAAGCGCAAACCTAAAGCATTCGTAAATTAATTACCCTCGTAAATCCTAAAACATACTTGTGTACACTCATAGTAGTAATAAAACACACTTACATGCGCAGGTCACATGTATAGATGGTACTGTTTCTGGTGCAGCTTCTTTTTCGTACGTAGCCCAACTATGCGTCCTGAAAAGCAAAACAATAGTACATGTATGTGACGATATCCAAAATCTGAGATAGAACGAGAGTAGGTTTACGAAAGTACATACGAAGTTTTTACTGCTACTGACTGTCTAAGGCATAAAACTTCTTGAATATCAAGGACTTTGTCGCTTTGTCAATCCGTAATAAACCGTGATATTTCGAATTACGACAATTCATCGAGTCATAATTACTATACCGGCGTTCTGAATCGGGCGGTAAATCCCAGACAGGCGGTGACCGTGTGGAAGATTGCAGTAGATTAAAACATATGTTGGCAGGCGTGCGGTCGGCACCGGAAGAATCTACTGGACTTGTGCTAGCGTTCACAGGCGTAGTGCAGACATCGGCTGGGATCTGCAATTTTAGAGCACTCAGTTTTCTGCAATTCGCCGTGTGCAATGCAAAAGTTTGCACTATGTTCTGCTCCACATCCTCAATTAACGATAAGTACCGTTTGATTGCCAGTGATATGAAGACTAAAGTTCGGTACTTCCGGTTCTGAAAACATATCCATTACGAAAATTTCCGGTGGGTTTTGCTCCATGCGCGGCGATGGTATTCGGCTGCTGGTTGAGCTGCTCGGGTAGTCCAATTCACTGTCTTCAGAATCCGGACTAAATCATAATTTATATGATTACTATTTATATGATATGATATGATATTTATATGATTTATTTATATGATTTAATGATTACTATTTACCCTTTACATAACTGTTTATAATTGTGCTTAGGGCTAACTCACACACAGCCTCTGAACCGTGCCAATGGCGAAAGTGGAATATTTTCAGCTGGATTCCCGTGATGATACCAGTCATGCGGCGTGTCCCCATAAGAATTTGGTGACCTTTGGTGACTGTGATTTCCCTGCAGACAGAAGCTAAGTATATGTTCGCTTCACGACGACACCTTGTGTACCGTTGTGACGTTTTAAACAGAATTGCAGTTTTGTTATAACAAACTTACGGTCTGCTTTTTCTGCAGGTAACATGCAAAAAGTGTTGAAACGTTAAATTAAAACCACCGTCAGATTTATGCAGCACTGTATCTCAACTACAGATTGTAAGAAAGTCTCGATCGTAAATCAGTTTATGTGCGGCGCACAGGTCGTAGTATCAAATTCTGCAATCTGCACAGTAAAATTTTTTTTTTACCTATAACTATTGCATGCAAGTTTGTTAAAAGTATTTTCATAAATACTGACCGTTGTATATCCTGGAGGGCAGCCAAAATTGCGATTGATTTCAGTCGTCAGTCCGCATGGAGAGCTGTTCTCTGGACTAGCTGGAGGCCAAAAATTCGTTAAAGGAGAACCGGAGCGAGGCGACGCGTCCCAGGGAAACCTTGATGGCCTTTGATGATTGTGGTTCCCCTGCGTACAGAACTACACACTCACAACAGTGTCTTGAAGTATCCTGTTCGATACTTTTCTTGATCAGCTACAGATTTTGTGGAAACGCAAATCTTGCGCAAGTTTATAACAGTACTGTAGTAATAAGTAGCAATAGAAATAAAGTACGAACAGCAACAAAGTATAAAATAATTGATTTTCTATCGTCTATTGATCTGCTAAAGTAGCTACCATATTCGTACATACACATAACTATTCGATTGGTCTTTTCTGACCGCTGCCAGCGTAATTCTGGTATACTGGGAGCAGTCAAAAAAATGCCAATCAAGAATTTAACGCTGTTATATAATTATGTAGAGCGAATCTAATGATGTTATGGTTAAGACGTCAAGTATTTGCAGGTAAAAACTGTAGCAGCGGCAATATCAAATTATTGCAAAATTGCTGAAACAGTGCGATTTAATAAACCGCTGCTTTATAATTTGTACGTGGATAGTGCAAATATTATCATACTGACTGACCGTTGTAAATTCCGGAGAGTGACCAAAGCTGCTGTTTACTCCAGTAGTCGATCCGCATGGAGAGCCACTTTCTGGGCTATATGGAGGCCAAAATCCAGGAAACGAAGAACCGCAGTAAGGCGAATTAGCTGAAGGTGATAAGGAGCTGATTGGCCGAGACAGATACTGCGGCGATCTTGCGGTTAGGTGATCTTTCAATTCTCTAACATATCGTATTCCCATTTTAAACGCTGCATCGCCTTTCTTTGCGCTCTCCTGAAGATCGAGCATTTTATCTTCAAGAAAAGAATTTCGAAGTCAGTCTGGGTAGTTGTCAGAGTTATCGGTGTTATTAAATAAGAAAAGCAGGAAGACTGTAACCGTGTTATTAGTATTGTTCGAAATTTTAAAGGAATGTAACCATATGTTAGCACGATATGACGCACTGGACACTAAATGCCTTCTCGAGCGGCTTCCGTCATGCCGTTTTGATGATTTCCTGGCGGTTCGGCTGCCTCCTGAAGCTGCAACAGTTGTGTATATTTGTAATAATATGGACATACTGTATATAATTATTATTGCACGGGTCCATTAAATCTTCCAGCGCAAGCATTTACAGTTACCGGGAGATATGCAGCCGATATTTTGTTCCAGGCCATCAGGACCCATTCCAGTGTCCAGCGAACGTTGACTCATATTAAACGCATCGCAGCCGGCAAGGCTGTGGTTGATAAATCCATGTGGATTTCCGTACTGCTGATTAAACTCCATTAATTATTTTATCAGAGTTTTAAGCCGCAGACGATACACGGAATATGTGCGTGAGGAGGGCCAATAACGATACTTGAAATACAGACAGTAGATCACAAATTTAGATGGTTTGTAGACTACCGGCATCATCTAGTGCATTTAGTGAGAACTATTAAATAGTTCTCGTAATATCCAACAAATTATTGTTTGAACAAAAATTTTTGAAGCAGACGTTAAACAGTTTAAATTCCGCTAGTTTAAATAGTCTCCGTTCCGGCTTCTTGACTGGCGAGCATCGAATTTAGTATGACGTATTTAAAGCGTTGGATGCGATATTCAACATATTAATAATTCTCGAGAATTTCCAGATAACATGAGACTATTGTACGCTGACGAGTTATCTGTGCCATAGCCAGTGCTAACTCCCGATAGGTCAGCCGAAATGTGCGCAATCTTTACTAAAGCGATTTCATCAGCGCTAAGCATACAACAACAACAAATAAGCAAAGCTGTGGTTTCTGATAAGCTACCTTCTCTATCAGCACTCTCATTCAGAAATATAAATCAAACAGTTCCGTAGAAAAACCTATTTGTACATTATGATATATACATGTTAAATGATAGGTAGAGCCGTAGAGGTACATTGTCCAATCTGTGGCTTTCAAGACAATTAATTACTAGTAATTAACTGAGAAGCTACAGTGCATAACAAAAACAAGTAAAAATCGGCGATCGCGACCCATATCTACTTATTTTCTCATTTTTGTCATGCAAATGGTATGTGGTCTGATGCCACTAAGAGTAGATTTTAAATCTTGCAAAGCATATGCAAGATTCTACGGTAGAAATAAATGAAAAACATTTTCTAATGCTGCATTGTGGTTCAGAAATTCCCACGGTAATGCAGCCAATATTTTGGGCATTTCTTGAGCGCACAGGTAATTTTTAAGACGTATTTTACGGGATTTTATATCTTTTAAACGAATATTGAATTTAGAGATCAACGATTTGTGTCGCATATGACTGTTTGAACCTTTACCTGCATAAAGAGGACAGTTAAGAGGTTATGGTCAACGATCGCATATCCTCAACAGCATTTTAAATTTATAAGTATAAATCTAAAAAAAAAGCTTATCAGTTTTATAATTGAACAAGAAATTGAAACTTTGTTAATGCTTTTCATGCTTAATAATGATGCGCCAATATGACGAAGAAATTTGTAACAGCTGTAGTTTATCTTACGTAGTTGAGATAGGTCTTTTACGTAGATTATGTATGGGACAGATTAGAAACTAACTGTTTAAAGTCATTTTTTCTACGTTTTGCTTGCAAAATTCATGTTCAACGGTGCTTTACAAGTAAGTATATAAACGAGGTACCACCTAACCTCGATGCGGTTTCACGCAACCGCCGCGTAATTCTAGATCCGAAAATTTGAACGCTTACCTATAGCTACGGCACCCTAGATTCCAACTGACTCATGTGGGGAATTGCTGATTTTAATTATTAAAGTTCTAGATCCGTATGGAATCGATAAAGCGATAAAAATTATGCAGTTCTGTAAGCATAGCCATTATAAAATATCGCTTATCGAAAACCAGCTACGTCACTACCTGCAATAAAATTTCGGCAGCGGTCAACGGGGATATTAGTAACACTGTTAAGAGTAACATTCTGCCAACGCTGATTGTATTTACTGGCGTTAGACATAGACCTTTATAATTATTAACTATGGTGACTAACTAAAAACGTTTTCGACATCAGCTACGCAATCGCCAGCTACGCACTGCCATGATAATTAATTCCGAAGCCATCGGATTAGTCATTAAGCCAGGGATCTCTTCTTTTATAATTTTACTCCGTGACTAATATGCAATTTGATTAGATATATGGACGCCTAGTGAACTGAAAAATAAACTATCTAATTATAATTTGACAAACGTTGGCCCCAGCAGAGGTCTGCATAATGTACGGCAGCAAAACACAACGTGTCTTACTAAATAACAATGCCAAGAGAAATTTTCATAAGGAAACGATCCAGCTCAGACGAGATTGTTGCAAAAAAAAGCATAGAAATCTGAGTAATTTGTTGCTTTACTGACCAGGGTCCGGTTAGAAAATGTTTGAATTAATGGCGCATTTCGGAAGACTGAAATACATACACAAATGCATTGTTTTTTAGAGTAATAATGTTTGATGTTTGAGAAATTGTTAATTTAAACCTTAAATATCCACCGCAATGTACATTCGGGTACTAAAATGTCTGCAGTATCGTTTATTTTCTCGCTGGATTTCGAATGCCTAAATCTGTATTTTGAAGCTGCAGTTATTACCGAATCGCACCATGCACTGCAAAATTTGGTGGAGGATGATACGTGCTCGTGTTTTCTGCAACTGTGTGCGTTTGTTTGTAATTGTGGCATAGCAGCCAAATTATACTGTTGCCGCCCTTTTTCATGGGCGCGGACCTTTAATAAATTAGCTACAAAAAGGTCGTATGCAATTTTGGTCATAGGTCATTTCTTCCCTCTTTCACCTGTATCATATGGGAAGAGGGAAGGAATAACGTCTGACCGCAACAACATGACCGTTTTTGGGTATTCCTACCCGGTAGTATTCGTACTAAAGATTTTTCAAGCAGCTGAAAACGACATACTCTAGCGCTGTGACATCTTTTAAGATCAGTTTGTTTTTGTCAACTCATGAGAGAAACTCATGAGAGCGAGGCTTCCCAGTATGTTGCTGGAGCTGCTTGCCAATTTCTTTCACTAAAAGGGTAGCCGAGTTTCCCCATGGCCCGAGTATTTCGAAAGCAAGCGGTGCGATGTATGAGCTGCCCTCCAGGTACTAGTATAAGTTCGCTTTCCTATTCTCAGCCTGCGCAGCGGCGGATCCCGCGGTAACTGACGTCGGTTTCCGGTGAGACAACGCCACGGTATATTCCACGCAGGTCACATCCCATGCCAGACACATACCGGGCGAAGGTGGTGCACCGTTTCCAGGCGAAGGTGGTGCGCCCATCTGGGCGACGCTGTGATGTGTGAGATGTTCTTCGTGGCTCCAATTTTGCGGGAATGCCGGCGGATACCGACGATTTGCAGTTATTTTGCACAGAATACTGTTCATGCTGCCGTGGCGTGCGAGAAGGCACAAGATAAGCCGTAATGACCATACACATCGACGGGCTTTAGGCACTCCGCACAGTATTGTGTGCATATATCTGTAGAGGAAGTGATGTTATAATAATATGTACGAAATATTGGATGTATCTTCTGCAATGTATTTTATTTGATTTCGTGAGTTAAATATATGTCGAGTTGGCTTCGTTCAGCGCGCCTATAAACTGATTATTGACTTTGCTGTAACACAAGGAACTGCGCTTTTTATTCGTATATTGAGTGATGAAGAGGCTATAATTATATAGGTAGAGCAGAATCCACAATTTTTTACGCAGTGGCATAGGTATAGCAGATCAGGATCAGTGGGCTAGATATTAGTGGAGCAGTATACATAAATATTTCTCTCAATGTAGCTACTAGCCTGTCATCCGGTTCGCAATATTGAGCAAAACCAATTACTAACCAATGGGGTACGAGTAGAGTACATTGAGTTATAGATAAATTCGCATCCTATTGAATTAACGACAAGTGTACAATACGAACGTAGTCTGTTATAATATTACATAGATGTATCATGTATGCAATTACTGAGACTATGGTACGAATTACGCGTAAGCGCAAAACAGTAACAGACATTTTGCATACTTCTATTGATTTCTTCAACAGGTAAATGTGCAAGCGTATTCCTGATACACCTATTAAAACATTCAGTAAGAAAACAAGTTAAACAACCAAATGTTAAAGTGCTACAAAACCAAAGAAACAGAAAAGTATATTTATACTCAGTGACCGAATTCTCTGGCTGGGGTGACTGCATTAGCGAATCCAGTTTACAGAAGCATTTCCAGGCGAGTGCAGTTCCCTCAGAGCAATTTCATTTAGTATTGCCAAATCATCGTCAATGTTCATGTCGGCCATTTGGGAGGAAGGTTCTGTCTTGATTGCAATATCTAGGTCACTGGGAATTCCAGATTCCAGCTGCTGCGCTTTCTCAGGATCAATCCCCAAAAACTCCACAAATATATTGTTAAGGGCCTCCTCCGTGGCAGGAGACAACGGTCCGTTTAACGCATCGTTCGGCTCTAAAAAGTAGTGTTAATTTCATATCAAATACTGCATGGCTGTGGTGTTTGGCAAAGGTCACTACAGTCTTAACTATCGCCAGTTGTACTTCAAAAAGCCAGTAAGTATTGGAATATTCAAAGAGAGACATTCTGGTACCTGTTATTATCACGCTAGGAATATTGTTGTAGTTATTTTGGAAGTCTATCCTGTTCTGATGCATAACCGGCTCGCTGAATGACATTCTTGATAAACCGCCCATAGGAAAAACGTCCGGTTGGTAAGACGGAGGTGACTGTATTGATTGTATATTTGGGCTATCCGTCAACGTCGGAGTATATCCGCAGTCCAGGGTCAAATTGGCCATGCTGGCTGACGGACTAAATGCTGGTGGAATGTAGGTGGGAACTCCATCAAACCCAGCCGGGTTTAAATTAGCATTGTTATTATTAGCTTGCAATGGCGGATAACCGTTCACGGCATCGAAGCTCGATGACGAACTGGAGCGGCTGAATTGTCCGTTGGCGTAATGCTACAAAAACCGGTCATTAGAAAACAGGAGAACAACCAAGAAAGATTTGTATTTTCATTGTCAATGTCATAAATCCAGGTTAAAAATGACCGGAAAAATGCACTCTTACATTAGGTTTCAATGCATAACATAAATTACAGTGTAGCATTGGTATACTGTTGTACCTGACTGGGAATAGAATGGGCAGGCAGAAACTGGGTGCTTTGGAATGGACTTCCGTTGTACCCCGACTGGTCTGGGCCATTATGAGAGTGTGCAGGCATTTGTAGCTGCAAGGGATTCGGTGCACCCGCACAGCCGCACTTTCTGAAAATATCCACTTTTGAAATATGTTCGCAATTTATAAATGCTTCTTAAGAATCGATTCTTCACGGAAATTTAAAAAATCTCTTTTGAAGCTTCAGGAAATCGTTGTTTTTGGTACAGATTCTTTTATTGCGCCAGTGGTCACGTATTTCAAAGTCCAAACAGGGGAGATTGACGTTTGACATTATTAGTAAAATGAGTTCAGATTTTAATGTTGTATCACATGCTTGTACGTTGTGCTTATAAAGTTATAATTATTATAATAAATACGATATAATCGTCGATATTATGTCCAATACTGGGTTTACAACCAGCAGTGTTTGATTATAGAATACAATTTAACTATGTGTAAAGTGTGCCTGGTAAAAAATGTTTTACTCGACATTACCGATTACGAAACTGTGAAGGTATAGGAATGCTATGGGGCGAGAACTGTGGCACTACAGGCTTGCTATTCCAAGGTCCCGGCACATTTGGTACCGGAATCGTAATCTGGCGCCCAAGATTCATACTGTAACTCAGGGACATTTCCTCTTCGGGACTGAGAGTAGTTATCGGACTGTATGAACTACTCCGTTTCCGTAACACGGGCGGGTGCAACGATGTCACTAGGGAAGGATCGGCCAAGGGGCTGAGTGCGCCAGGCGAAGGAAGATCAAGAAGGTTGGAATGAGAGTTAGTTCGCGCGGGGGCATATCCGGGTGGAAAGGGCAGCGGCAAGCCATTCTGATTAGGACTCCCGGCCATGTCCGGCGTGCGCGACATATGGCGAGGAGAGTGACCTCCGCAAGGGAATGGTACTGTGCGCGGGCTTGCGCTGCGCTCATGTCGCATCGGCGAAGGTGAACTCCGAGTGTCATAGTGAGGCTACATTAAGTTAATGTGAACGTTTTTGATGAAATCATTTTCTCGTTATTGTTGTTGCAAATTGTACGTGTAATTAAATAATTATACGAGTATGTTATGTTCAGCATTTCTTAAAAGCCGTATTACGTGTACTTCTATCTGTATATGTTTATGCGGAGATGATATTACGTGACTTTTTTCTCTTTTGCACGGATTTTTTTCGGTACAGAAATCTCACTAAAAAGCAAAACATAAATTTTGGGATGACATAGGCAGAAAATGGTCATAAAATAATACGATAATGTTGGTAATACATGCTTTCCTGAGATTACAGCTAATGACTGTTTTATCATGTGGATACAAAAGAGCTATCTTCATTAAACTTTGCCCTTTTTATCACAAGTTTATCTTATTTTAATATCCGTCCCGCTAAAAGATGGCACGGTGAAACAAATATCTTTCTGCTTTCTAGTTAATTAATTTTGTAGGGCAACTTTAAGCAAATATTCAGTCGAATATTGGCGGGCTAAAAATTAGGAGGGTCGCGGAGTGTCATAATGTTGCAACTTTGTTCTGAATATATCCTGGACCGCGCCTCAAAACTGGTGCACTGCCGGAAATTTTTGATTAGATATTATCGCGCTGTTACAGTCCGTGTACAAACGGTTTACCACCATTTTATGTAATTAAATCGAAATGTTCGCAAAACTTAACATGTGACTGCAAACGTTTTACAAATGCCTGCGAGGCCACTTGACCGGTTGCTCAAGTCCTTTAAAAGAACGAATAAATATACAAGAAACCCTAATTTTCAATCAATTATAATGGCATGTTGGTTGTATCACAATTATCTACTAATTATTATGTGCGATATAAGTTGCCGGCTGGAAAAACTTACCAGCAGATCTCCCGGGAAGTTAGCAAAGGATATATTGGGAAGCGAACTAAAAAAGATTATGTTAATATATGCGGCATTAACTCTAGCATAAGTGCATCTGTACATGCACTACAATTACACAAATGAGCTTTATACCCGCTTAGCTGCGACCCGCTAATTTTCCGGGGTGGAGCGAGGTGAGTTGGAGTAATTGGCGCTGCCAAAACTTCTTGGGTTGCCTGAAGAGTTTTTTCGTTGTTGGCCATAAGTTCGTTGATTTTCCCTGTTAAAAGAGTTAAACCGTTAATAAAATTCCCAATATTCTCATCTACTGTAGTAGATGTCCTTTCTTCGATACCGCACTGGTAAATTGTAGGACATGCTCGTGATTACGCCGACGTTGAGCATTCGTCCTTTTCGCAACAAAAAAGGTTTTTTGTTAACTGAATTACTCGTGGTGCCAAAACTAAACTGATGGTTAAAGTAGAAAAGTACTAGTAATTTTTGCTAAGTTCTCGAAATGCGACCACTACATGTGATCTTTATTACTGTACTTCTATACCTCTTCAGTTTATTCGGCATAAGGAACCAGAAACTCTTGGGGAGGGCTTTATGTTTTCAGAATAATTATAACTGTATAGGACGCTAAATTAAAATATTTTCCCAAGCTTAACCGCTTAGTGAGTTGAAAGTACCTATTGTACGATCTATCGTTACATGGAAATTTATGATTGCTAAATGGTGAGTTTTATTTAGTCCTGTACTGCATCTGTTCTGTGAAATGCCAAGTCCATTTACTCCACATTATACACAATATTAATAATTTGAATTTCGAAAGTGAAACAGTACGAGTACAACATGTCAACTGAAATCTAGCACAAGCCGAGCGCGACTAAATCTATGAAATAAAGGTACATATCAAGTCCAAAATTAAACTCAAATTATGAACGTTTTATGTTGGGTACTCGTACGCTATTTATGTTGTAACTTTATGGATAACCTATTTATTACTTGTAAGAATACTAAAAATTAAAATAGCTGTTCTGGATGCAGGCGATTAGCAAATACAAAACTATTATGTTTTGCCAGTAACGTCCCTTACTTTGTATGGCATTGCTGCGCAGTGTTTTGTTTTGCGGAGGATTCGGGGAAACAGGCGAGTCTTTGAATTCCTCCATAATCCCAGAACACAACAACATATACTCCGTTAAATGATCAGTGATGGTCAATGTACGGCATACAGTGGCCAGTTGCGTGTTGGTGTAAATTGTAATCTCGAGTGGATACAAGTAGATGTCCTTAGCTAAAGGTGATAGAAAATCTACTGGTTGTCGGAAACAAATACAAAGCAGCCGAGAAAAAAATCGAGCAACAAGTATTCAAACTGAAAAGACTTCACGGCAGCAAAGTGTAAGCATTGTTAATCTGCGACTTTGGCAAAAAGTTACTGCGGAGCTTGGCGAGAACCTTCACAGAAGTTGTTTAGAAGAATGTTATGATAAAACCACATATACGATTCCGTACAATAACGTCCAGAAGTGGCACTGCCACATGAACAGCCAAGCACTTTGTGTGTTGATTATATATATCGTACGATTCAGAACGGTCGACAGAACAAATCAAAGAGCCAACTGTCTGTGCCGATAAACTACGCGATCAAAGTTCTTTTTGATTGCTTAACGATATGTGAGTACAGGCAGTGCAGCCCTTTGAGCATTAATATAATAATGCAACATTTTGTTGGGTCCTTCGGCAGGGTAAATGTGTGACATAAAAATCAGCTGAACGAGAAAAACCACATCATTAGTTCGCAATTGCTGAGCTATAGATGTGGTACCGAAAAACGCGGTTCGCCAAATGTTAGAAAATATGTCTGCTGTTTGATAACCATGCACGCCGTGTTGGCTTTTTGTCCTTTAAGTACGGAAACCGGTTTTGGATTCTTCATGGTAACACTGCAAAAAGCATCAACCTGTTATTACCTACCAGTATAAGATTTGCCTTTGTGTGTGCCGGTCGAATCGGTGCGGGTGCGGTGTACTAAAATGTTGTGCTGCAAAACTTGAAAATGGCACTTTTCAAGTATTAAAAGTGTGTATGTCCATCGTTAATAACGCTGCCGGCGCCTGCTCCGCGCCGCGTAATGTAAGCAACAGGGTCTGATTCCTATTATTGATGAGTATTGCGATTATGCATACGAGTACGCGTGTTAAAAACGTGAAACTTCACCTTTTAATACCTCTGTACACTCCTAGTAAACTGTTTGCACTTCATAACCCTCAAAACAGCCAAAACAAAAATGTCATCTACCGAAAACGCTGGACGGTTGGCGGTCGCCGGTCATTTCATAGTTCATAGTATGACAGTATCATACTATACTCGTATATTAACCTATAAAATATTTCACATAATAATATCGATCCATATATCACTACATGTACAGTCTAGCCACACAACCTGCTATAATAAGCTTGAAAAATATAGTTATTTCAGTACATAATATTAAGTAATGGATACGGATCATACGACTTAAGCGGTGATCGCAGATTTTTGTGATTAAAGGTCAACCATATATATACAATGCAGTGGGCACCTTACTTTTATTACCAGAACCTACGCATACAAAATTTCCCGCACTTCAAATCAAATAAATTTTTTTTGACAAATTGGCAATATGGTGAAGTCCGATCATACATTTTATTAAGACAAAAAAGTATCGCTAAAGTATAAATATTAATACATTGGTAAATGGTTTATGAGTTCAACTGCTGCCTGAATAGGTAGTAGATGGAAGGCTTGGAAGCGTTGCAGTACATAGTAACTTTTTACGCTGTAACGTTTCCAAGCCAGCTGGCTTGGAAACGTTACAGCGTAAAAATTTACTATGTACTTACAGTAATTTACAATAAAATTAATAATAAAACTGTGCAGTAAGTACTTGTATTAGTTTAATTTAAAAATCCAATCTGTACTCTGAATTGTTATAGAGCGGCAATGGTTTAAGAGATAAGCAGATACTGTAATTTATCGAAAATCTAGCGTGATGTGTGTACCAACTACCACGCATCCCAAATGGTTCTGGAATTCCAAAGCGTGAAATGGAATCGATGTTTGCGCGCTTGTTGCAGTCTGTTTAAGCGTGTACAGAGATATGCCAGTGCACCACATCATGATTGCGCAATAAAATTCGTGACGGTGAAGATTTGACGCTGGCCCATAGACACATATGCTATAACTCAAATTTTCAAAAATTCATAACTTTGTTAATTTTCGCGTTAATGTTTTTTGAATATGCTTTAAAAATACAGAATAATATATACTAGTAGGCATAACAAATGTTTTTTCGATTTTATTTTAGGGTTGCGCACTATGTGCCTACGTAATTAGCATGGCTGTCTATGGAGAAGTCATTTAATTTGATTTAAAGATTTCTCGTAGGCGGCTATGTTAACCACGTATGCTCTCAGTGCCAAACCTTAAGATGGAAACAGAAAAAAAATCGTTTTGCCTAATAGTAGATATTATTCTATATTTTTAAAGCATACTCACAAAACATTAACGCGAAAATTAACAAAGTTATGAATTTTTGAAAATTTAAGTTATAGCATATGTGTCTATGGGCCAGCGTCAAATCTTCACCGTCACGAATTTTATTGCGCAATCATGATGTGGTGCACTGGCATATCTCTGTACACTTTAAGCATGCTGGAACATGTCTGTAGGATCGCACTCGTAGTTTTTCGGTCCAAATGGACCAAATCTGTTGTTATTCATTTTTTCTATAGTCGAAGACTTCGTCACTTCAAAGTTCAAAGAATTAAAAATTTTAAGTTTTATACTTATAGTTATAAGATTTACGGTTTACTGGTGAAATTTGTGTACGCTTTTTTGTTTATAGTCATCAAACATGCTCCGCTCCATCTGACTTCTTGGAAGAGCAACCCAAAATAGTTTTGCCGTCCAGTGTGCACCTCTTAAAGTACGTGCCAGAACGTTTTGGTATCTTGGAATGGCGCCTCCCAGCGGAACGACGGCGAACCGCCGTGGACGCCCAGCAAAAATTGCGACTTCAAGCATCAACCCGATTGATATTGCTGCTCAGACAACAGATGATACAGCGAGCAACAACGGACGTCCGAAGCGGACGCGAGCGATGAAAAATCAGCAGACTGCGGGAACCAGACAAGATGTTGTCGTTTCCCAGCCCGTTCCTGCTCCGACCAAGAAACGGGGTAGACCACCAGCGACCAAAACGATAGGGAACGGAGCCAGTCAGGACAGTAACGGCACGGGAAGCAGTGTGACTGTGGGTTCACATCCGGGAGCCAGCCAGAGCGATGATGACAGTGGCAGTAATGCACCGAAGAAACGGGTTCGCACTGCAAAATCAGCTAAAACGAACGGTATCGGTGCATCCCAGCCTGCTGCAATGGTTCACACTTCTGCTGCTCCATCGCAATCCACCGTAGCTTCTTCGAAGAATGTCAAACCTGATCCAGACGACGGTAAGTTCTACGTTTAATACATTAACCAAGCGCTAAGAACGCTGGAACAATCATTTTACTTCAGTAACTTCACAGTGTGATGTTTACACGGCTTACATTTGTTACTTTTAAAGTTTTAATTTGTGCCCGACGAGCATTACTGGCTAAAGGAAATAATTACAGGAGCTTGCGATCTTTGCGATGCATTAATATGATTTTGTTTAAATGTTATCAACAAATCACATAAGTTTCTCTGTTAGGACGTAGGATCCTTTGTTTACCTCAATTCGTGTGATAAGTTTATACGGAGTTACCAGTGTCTTTTTCAAGAATGATCATAATTTTGAACAGGAATACTGATTTGGTGGAAAGCTACAAGTGCTTACAAGCTTTCCGGAATATTTTTTGCTTTTGTGTTATTATTCCGGAAAGCTTGTATTTCTCTTTTTTGCAGTGTGTTCTGTTTCTAGACGATGATGATCAGAAGCCGACCAGTTCAAAGCCGATGAAGCAGATGACGATCAAAGGACGGGCTCCTGTCGATGAATTGTTCCAGAATCGGGACAGTGTTCATGTTTACTGCGAAGGCGACGATGTGTGGGATGTCGCTCTCAATCAGACATCCATCGACAATAACAACAATAAGTTCTACATGATCCAACTGTTAGAACATGATCATCGGAAGGAATACTTTGTCTTCAACCACTGGGGCCGCGTTGGATTAGCCGGACAGTCCAGTTCGGCTAGTTATGCAGCTAATCTCGAAAGTGCCAAGCAGGATTTCAAGAAAAAGTGTGTTTTTGAAAGTATAACGTTGAGTCGTTATTCGTTAACTACGAATTTGGTTTTGCCCCATGCATTAGTCCACGTATTTCGAGTCCGTGATTTGCTAGTTACAGTACCACTTCGTTTGTATTATGGCCTTCTTCAATAATAATCGCTTTGTAGGTTCAAAGATAAAACTAAGAATGATTGGGAGGACCGTGCTGAATTTGTGAAGGTCCCGGGCAAATACGATCTGGTTTTACGGGACTACAATGCAAAGGATGAACCAGCCGGGCGGGATGCTCCTGATACAATTACCCGGAATATGGCCGACTACAAAGTTCCGGATTCAAAGCTAGATGAACGCGTGCAGGTTGTGGTCAAGACCATTTTCAACATTCGGATGATGGAGCAGACGGTCAAAGAAATGAAATACGATGCGAAAAAAGCCCCACTTGGTAAGTGTTCACCCTATGGAAACAATTTTATTGTTGTCAGATTCATTCACATATAATGTTAGTATTATTATTGCTCGTATATGATCTTGGTGCCTAATTTTTACGCATTTCATTTTCATCTGCGGTTGACGTATTTCGTAGAATCTTTGCGACATGAATGTTAAAATTGGTTCATTGTTCTAGCGAGGACAGTTGACATGTCAATTATTTGCATGCTCTGTTAAAAATCAACAATGTTTTAGGTCGTCTAACGGAAGCCCAAGTTAAATCTGGATATTTGTGCCTGAAGAAGCTTGAGGAGTTGATTACGAAGGGACATAGTTTTTCCAGACAGATCAACGAGGCTTCGAGCGAGTATTATACCAAAATTCCACATGATTTCGGGTAAATACAAGCTGAATTATTTCTTCATTAACCATTTGGTATAACATCATCTTTAAGGTATTGTAATATCGGTCCATTATCAAGTTTTGGTTTTTTTTTCTCATAGAATGCATCGACCACCACCTATCACAAGTTTGGATGCAGTGAAGCAAGAACTGGCGTTGTTGGAAACGTTAGGTGATATTGAAATTGCTATGCGCGCTCTGGAGAAAGGGCGTGATAGTGTTGGTCCACCTGAAAACCCCATGGACATTCACTACCGCACATTGAAAACCGACATTAAAGCTATGGATCGAGATGCCGAAATGTTTTCCACAATTCAAGAGTATTTACTGCGCACTCATGGACCGTCGCATTCCGAATATCAGCTGCAACTCTTAGATGTGTTCGAGCTACAGAAAGATTCTCAGTTCACGGATGTCGGCAATCGAATGCTGCTCTGGCACGGATCTCGACTGTCCAATTTCGTAGGAATTTTATCACAAGGTCTGCGCATTGCGCCTCCTGAAGCGCCCGTTACTGGCTACATGTTCGGTAAGTATCATTCTGGCGCGACGTGATGAGATTTTATGACAGTTTGTTGAACCTGTTAGAAATTAAAGGCTTTAGACGTAATTGATTTACATTTTATGGAAAGGGGTGTTTTGTATAAGGAGTCTGTGATAAGTAATGAAGGGGATCGGTGTGGGTTTCTGTTGTATTCTTTGTTATCATAGAAAGTCATTCTATGCAATTTTCATTGTACTCGCGTATTATAATTGTATTTTTATTGCATGTCTTACTATTCCAGTCTAAAAGTATTGCTTACTGCTTTGTTGTTGCTGTATACTGTATTAATTTTATTTACTCTCGCATTTAGGAAAAGGCATTTATTTCGCCGATGTTTCATCCAAAAGCGCTAATTACTGTTACGCCCAGCAAAGCGACTCTGTGGGATTTATGCTCCTCTGCGAAGTAGCGCTGGGGCAGTCGCGAGAGCTTCGTGATGCCGATTACAGTGCTGATCAACTACCAACAGGATTTTCCAGTACGAAGGGTGTTGGTTCCTACGTCCCGGATCAGTCAACATATCGCACGTGAGTTGTACCTACGTATTACATTCGTATTGTTAATTTGTGCTGATAAGAATACAGCGCTGCAGTATACATTTCGATGAGCTGTGGAACTTGTGAACCTTTCTGATTTGTGGATTGGTTTTTGTGTCAATTACCAAATAGTATGGACACATGCTCATCATAACTCGTTTATGACTGTACCGACCTCAAGCACAAACTGTTTCTCTTATAATTGGATTTTGCTTTGGTTAGCGTGGATAATATGGTGGTACCAGTTGGAAAATGTGTGGATCATGCTAGCGCCAAAGCTCGCTTTAGCTCGCTTGCTCTGCAGTATAATGAGTACATTGTCTACAATGTGAACCAGGTAAGCACTTTTTTTTAAAGTTGCCGAAAATTCATGGATGTTTAGAAAAGAATTTACGGATGTATGGAAAAAATTCTGAATTTTTTCAGGTTCGGATGCGGTATTTGGTTCAAGTAAAATTCAACTACAAAAGAAGGCGATAATGAGGAAACTAAAAACTTTCTGGTTGGAGTGATCTTGCAATTTGGCATTGTTGCATTGAAAATTGTGGACAATAATATTGTGAAATGCAATGTAGCGACTGTGTTTTGCTTTCGGCGCCACTTATCCAAACTGAATTGTTCCTTTTTATTTCGTTGAGTGGTTTATTGTAAATTCGTGCTTATGTCAATGATTTTTAGAATAGTGATGGTCAAATCCATTTCCGTTTGGGAATGTTTTGTTGTTGATTTCCTGTACAATACTTATTGTACCGTACTACTGATCGTACTTCCGTAGTAGAATGTGAGGCCATTGTGGGCCCAGCAGGATTGCAGGAATCCGATGCGTAAAAGTTTGAGCGGGAAAAGTGTTCGTACAAAGTGTACAATCGTCGTACTTCCACTACAAGTTTAAGCTGGTATTGTTAAATTTGGCGATATGGTACGCTCAGTACGCTGTGCCAAAAGTTTTAAAGTGAACCCGCCTTCACAACGTTCCTGCACGTGGATTGGTTTTCGTCAATAAACTTCTGCGCTATTGGATAGATTGTGGTACAGCCCGACCCCTTTAATAGACAAAAGCAGAGCAATGACCAAGCACGGATCGTGGTATGCGGTCGTCTAGGCCGCTGGATGAACTTCTTTACTTCTGTAATCCATCTGTTGCGTTTCTACTTTCTGGAACTGACTTTTTCATTGTTATTATTTATCGGTTAGCAAAATTTCACAGCAGTTAGGGCTCTTTTGGGTGTTCTGCATCTTCCTCGGTGAGATTCATTAGATTTCTGTCTGAAATACTGTTTCTCCTTCGGTTTGTATTTGTCAAAAATCAAGAACCCAAAAATGGCTCCTGGTTCGACTGCGACTGGTAAACGAGGACGTCAACCGAAACAGCAGAACACAGAGAGTAATCCGCCTACCCAGGACGCACCAGAAGCTGATGGCGCTCCAGATAGCAGTGAGAGCACAAAACGCACTAAAGCTCAAGCAGGTAAATGGCGGTGATAACCGCGAGAACCGCAAAATTCGAAGGACCCTCTTGGCACCATCGAAGCACGACGGATTTAATTTATGACCTAGTTGTATCTTTTTCAATAGCAGCTCAATTTCGAAACGCGTATTTAGTCTTTTGATACTGTACTATGTAACTGCTAACTAGCAGCACGTTAAATAGCTAAAGTTACGAAACTGATAAGGGTGCTTGCAGCAGCGGCTCCCGCCTCAAGTCAAGATAATGTCAACAACGGTTCATCTGAAGCACCACCTGCGAGAAAACGTGGTGGAAAAGCCAAGGCCACAACGGCTGAACACGGTGAAGATAGCGGCAAAACAACCGAGGACTCTGCCAACAACAAAGGCGATAACACGGCTGCCGAAGCAGCTCCGGCAAAGAAGCGCAACGCGAAGGGAACGGCTGCCGAAACCGGTGAGGCAGATGCGGATGACGCCACTACGGCGGCTTCATCAAGTCAGGGTAAACAAGCTCCTGCCAAAAAGCGCGGAGGCAAGGCCAAGGCCGTCGCGGAGGAAGATTCGAGTGAAGAGAAGCCAACTGACAATCAGGCTGCCTCTGAGGATAAACCGCCTCCGGCGAAGAAGCGCGGGGCTAAAGCGAAGGCAGCCGCGGAGGAAGATTCTGGCGAAGAGAAAGCTGCCAGTGCCGACGATCAGGCCGAGGAGGATGCTGCTGCCAAGAAACGCCCGCGAGCGAAGAAGACGGCATCGCAGCCTGCTGAACCTGCCAAGGACACCGAACCAGCGGCAGAGAAGCCCACAAAACGAGGCGGACGAGCCAAGGCCAGCCAGGAGACCGTGGAGGAAGGAGCTGCTGCTACAAAGAAACGTGGTAGGGTCATCACATAAATTTCATTAAATAACTTCCATCCATATTAAAACGATTATTCTCATATCGCATCAGAACTTTATTTTGAGTTTAAGTTTCTCTTTTGATTTATCATTTGTGATAAGAATTTATTTTCGGTGTAGTTTCGCTTGGTTTATTCAGAGTTATTGATTTTTGGCAGTGGTACAATTTACAGAATAAACTGAAAAGCAGCGTTCGTATATTTACGCTGTGGTTGTTTACAGCTTCGCCATCCAACAGCCGTGATGCCAAAGCGGAGTCTACGGAGGGGAAGGCCAAGAAAGCCAAAGGAAAGGGAAACGCGAAGGAGGATAAACAAGAGAACTCTGCATCAGATCAAGATATCTCGGAGGACGGTAAGGCTGACGCGGCTGAAACGGAAAAGCCTAAGAAACGCGCTGGAAAAGCTAAAGCGGTGGTCAGTGAGGAAAACGCTGCCGATGAGGAAAATGTGCCGGTTCAGAAGCGTCGCGGACCGCCGAGAGCTGCGAAAGACACAAAATGAAGGAAATTATGACGGTTACAACGTCTTTTTTGGCCGTTAATTTGTAGGTTTGAATTGGCGCATTCTATCGTTTATAAGGATCAAGTAGTGTTATTTTTTTCAAAAACTGCCGTTAAAAATCGGTTTTGTGGTTATTATAGTTGTAGTTTTTTGTACTCCACTTAAGATGCGCTCTTACTTTTCATTGAATTTTTGCTGGTACGGCTACTTTTACTTTTTGATCTGTTGGTCGCTTTCGCTGGATAGAGAGAATTCATGAATATCGGTTAGTATTGGTATTTGGTATTTATTGACTGACGTAATGTAATAGTGTTTACGTAGGAAATAAATTCTCAGCCGTTAATTAATGTTGTTCAACATTCTCGGAGAGAAACCTGATGAATGGATAACTCGCTCGTTTACGACAAGTGTCAAGCGACTGACAGCGTCAGCTATATTTCAAGATTACCGTGTTTCCCACTTGCACGCTAGTTTAGCGGAGATACAACCATAATCAGACGCAGACGAGATGACTACATCGCCTATTAAAAATAGAAACCAATAAACATTAGCAGACGATCGACAATAACGTTCGAAATAAATGCCATGGAACTTTACAGTTTAAGTGAGCTCACGGTTGCCGCTAACCGCGGTACTTATGCATTTGCCATTTAATATGTGTTGAAGTGTTCAATAATTCAGGTGCTGCGAAGTGCTAATGACCGTTATTCATACCACGTAATTCCATTGTAAATCATACCACTGCTGGCACTGCATATTTGATCGCTGCTTATAATAGCTTCTAATTGTTGTTTTACGTCGCTTACGTATTACCTGCTAGCCCTTTCAGGAATACCGAATAGGTAATTTAGTCAAAAACTGCATACAGTAAATTCGATGCCATTTGCACAATAAGTAGCCATTTAATTGCTAAACATCGTGCAGCTGCAAAGGCTTTAAATATAGCGATCGTGTGTACTGTGTACTTCTAGTATTGGATGAGTCTGTGCACATATAAAATATTGCAACGACGTACAGCAATAACACATAACTCTTCGCATTAAAACTCTAAACTGTCGTTGACTGTTGAATAAAAAGGATTTTTTCCATCTGACCTTCAAGAGGCAAAAGATTATTTCCGCTAGATAAAATAACGCGCTGTATGAACATCGTTATGGCATCGCTTGCGACACAGAATCTTTTCCTTCTTCACTTTTGACAGTGGGTACCGGCTCGCGTGAGCAGCTGGTGAAAGGTCGAGAGAAGGCCAATTTAAAGTGATATCGGAATCGCTCGATAGTAATAGCGTAAATAATAGGATCAATCGCGTGGAGGTGATACTGCGGCCACGTTGCTGCCAGGAATACGGTAGTGGAAACACTGCGGTGCTCAAAATTGAACAGAACCGGCTGTACGAAATTGCTGATAATTTCGTACCAAATCCATAAGGAAAAGTATGTTCCCACTAATATCAGCAAATTCCGAAACGTGCGTTGCTCGCGGCGAAATTCAGCGATCGCCGTTCGTTTATCCTTCGACGGCATATTACACACCGGCAATCCCTCGTCATTTTTCGACTGTGCAACCACCCGGAAGCTGGCGCTGCGATATACTTTCTTCCGTCGATTGCGAATGTACAACCACAGCCGCACATTGCAATAGCATATTAACGCCAACGGTACGAGAAATTCCAGAATCGCCTGTATAATACTCATGGTCATGTCGTATTCGAATTCCACCAGGCATTCGTTGTCGGGCACGTCGGAGTAGCCCTGTACGACATCCCAGAACATAATGGTTAATCCGTAGAACAGTATGGAAAATGTCCAGGTGGCACCGATCCGAAATGCCGCGGTACGCCAGGTACTATTTCGATAGCTAACCGGCTTGCACACCATACAGTAGCGATCATAACTGATCAGCGATACGGATAAGCTGCTCTGTAGGGAATTAGTGAAATCCATAAACGTCCAGAATTTGCATAGTGCACGACTGCGAATGGGCCAGCCTTTATACAGGAAATTATACAGGGCGATCGGCATGACGAAAGCCGCCATCATCCAGTCGGATGCGGCTAAACTGGCGATGTAATAATTTTGCGCTTGATGCAGTTTGGGATCGCGCAGTACACTGATAAGGACTATACTGTTGGCCAGTAATGACCATGTTACACAGATAGCGGTATCCGCAATAAGGAAAATATTAAACCCCAACGGATACGCCCATTCTCCGGTATGATCCGATCCGTTTTCTATGGAGGTCGTAAAGGGTAGGGATTTATTGTTTGAACTTTGAACAAGCCAGTACATTTTGCAATTGAATTATTCGTAAGCCAATATCCAAATAATAAAAACAACAAGATAAAAATACATGTAATTAGAATCAAACGTTTCCCAGATCCGCTGTCAGCGTGCACTGGCGCATGCCTCTTCCAGCACTGTTAATTGGCATGTGTTCGCCCAATAAGTGCCGGTGTAAGCTTGCAAAATGCAAATTTCAGCTCCCATGTCATGTCGTAAAATGCGGGTTGTCAACTATCATGAGCACACTTCTGACAGCACTGGCAAACTGGCAATAACAGACGTTTTGCTCATTTCAATCCACTCGTCGCTGTTTTCACTGCTGGAATGCCGATATATCCACATATGTTGTCATGTCGTGCAGAAAGGTTACCGCCATGCTGAACAAACATTGAGAAGCCGAGTCGGCTTCTCAACTGCTGCATAGCACCATAATACTTAACATTCTGGAATCTCCATTTAACCGGAAATGTATCTCAATGTGGAGAACAATTATAAATATTTGCTTACACATCCATACAACTGGCTGCATATGTTGTGCCGGTACAAACCACACCACACAACGGATGTAAACGCAGTGATGCACGCAACGTAGCTTTAAGTGCGTGCACATAATAATCTGCTATACAGGGAGACTGCAGATCCGGGAGTTCTCGGCAGGCATTTGCGGCTAACGATGCTGACGTGTCGAAATGATTTCCACCGCTGTGGCTGTAGTGGGTGTCGCATCTGGCCCGGGATGTAGTTTTTTGCCGCCTAATCATCCGCGATCGATAGCTTGATTGCTTTTAACTGCTCATTAGGGGAATATAATATATACCGAAACAGCTGCCACGGTGCTGTGCGGTTTCCGGTGCTGAGAGTCCTTAACTTTTTCACTTGCAGCATGCAGTCCTTGTTATACTGCCTGCATGGTAGCGTTTCTTTTCTTTCGGTATACAGTGCAATGCAGAGTCTTTGGTGCAGTACAGTATTTCAGGGAAGAGATTTCATGTAAGTCTCAGCTACAGTTTTAATTGTTTTGCCTAGATGTTTGTTTTCTTCATCGATTTTGCATTATGTCTTCTTTAACTGCGGACGATCTGCTTTATCGACTTACAAATGAAACATCGACTTTACCACTGAATTGCATTATCGTATGCATTGGAAATTTGGTAGCAATAAATGGGGGCAGTTGTATTAATTGACCTCTTAACTTTTCATTATGCAGTAATTTTATTCGTCTGGAAACTGGAAGGTTTTGTACATGTACAATTAAGAGTCAAGTTGACGAAATCTACTGCCTCGTACTCAGTTGCACAGATTCTTAAGAAATCTGCATAACTAGCAAATTACAGTAATGTTAAAAACACAGGTTCCGAAGCACAAGGTTCGAAACATAAGATGTTTACTATTTCTCTTTGGTGAGGTATTGGGAATGTCTTGCATATGTATATACAACAATTAGCTATAATTTTTAAGCCAAAGGTTATGATATCGTTTTACCGTATTAATGTCAACACTGACTTATGTTAAAGGTAAATAATAATATGTATGTTTGAATGTTCAGTTTTTAGTTATAAGGTACAGACCCAGCGTGTGCATTTTTTGTATTTCCCTAACATAAGGGATGATATACATTATATCGTTTACATCATATACAAAATCTAGTAACAGCTTTTGCGATATCCCGTTCTCATGTTAACTTAAACTAAATTCATGTACAGTGACTGCATTGAAGTATATTTGGCTCGAGTCCCTGTGGGAATTGAATAACAAATGTTCTTTCTGCAAGAAAACTATGTTTGCTCACTAACTATGGGTACAAATATTATCTTTTCGAATTGCAGATGGACTAGTTCCATGCATTACTGATAAAAGCTCCCATAGTTTAAGCGCGCGCCGAGTTGCAGTAATTCTTAGTGCTTCGTTATGCACACAGTACACAAAAAACCTCAAAGATTTCAGCCGGAAGATTTAGCGTAAGTAATTTTTTGTTGGGTGCACTCTCATTACATTCGGCTTACTCGATTACTTGTACATATGTTCGCCTTTAAAGTTCGTTACTATTTCGCAAACTTAGAAGCTTTTGAAAAAATATGATTTTGCAGCGTAATAAATAAATGTAGGATTGCTTAATTTTTAATACCAATAGCTTTATTAAGATAAGTTTTAATTCTGGAACAGAATAGCGCAATGAACGCTGATGTAACCACAATCAGAGCAGTTTGCGCTGCGGTCGCTAACCCTAAGAAGCTTGGTAAAAGCTGTCGATTTATATAAACATTTACTACATAACTACAGAAAGTTGGAAATGAGATGTACGGTTTTCGAAAGTATGTCAAACTACTTATACGCATGTTATGTTGCATGCAGTTTTCCTCACAAACTATTTTGGGAGCGAGCTTTTAAGAAAACGTTTTCGGTAAACACCTCGCTACAAATTTTGTAACATGCCGTAAATGTTGTCGCATACAGACTACACTCACTACGGAGTACATAGAATTACTGTACATCGTACATTCTGTTGGTCAGCCGCCAGTACGTATATTTATATACAAATCTTGCGTTTAATTGTGAAATGCATATTGTACACCTACTGGTTTTGAGCGCGTCGGGTTCATAGATTCTTCTGTTTTTCATGCTACAGACATGTTTACTACATGTCCAGATAAAAACGAATAAAAAACTGCCGGGATTTATGTCTTTGAATCAGTATTACAATTTTTCCGTAGATCCCACTTTTGTTATGCATATAAAATTTGATAATCTAAATTTGCAGCTCAAATTATTGCTGCTTTGGCTGTGTACCAACAAGTCTGGCACTCTCTATCATTAGTCATTGACTAGCCTTGGGATTCCAATTGTTAGTCGGTGCTGACTAAAACCTCAGATTATTTGTTACTGGTAAAAAGTGGATTAGAGCCTCGAAGGTGGAATTCTTTATTAGCCTTTGTTGCAATTGCTGATCTGTACAGGATGTAGCTTTGTGAGCATCATACCGCTTTAGATTCAATAATCAAATCCAGGAAAAAGCCTTGTTGTCACCTTTGGCGAACAGCTACCATCATTTTTTTCCCAAGACGCTTCAATAAGTGATGTACGAACTCAAATGCTTTACGCTTCAATGTTATTTAGAAAAACGATAAACCTACACGAACGGCATCCCCCGATACTACTGGCTGAACTACTGGCAGTTGCTTTTAGCCATACCATGCACTTCCCGTATTTGCCCTACGTACTGAAGTCGACTTCACCAACCACCAACGTACCGCATACACTTGTACAGCAGCCGAGGCGTTTTGTAAAGTTCTCGGCTGGAAGCTGGTCGACCAATTACCCATAGTCCAGTCGAGTCGCCGACAGTCTCCGTTGCGTTAAGGCGAAGTTGTGTTTTTGGGGTACCTTAATTGACGCTGATTTTGGAGAACGCCCAAACTGATAAATAATTTTATTAGGTACAAGCCTACAAAGTCAACAATTGCCGGTAGCTGAGTAATTCTATTTAATGTTTAAATACTAAAATAGTCGTGCACGCAAACGAAAACGCTTCTTCACGAATTTGGCAGCTACAAGGTTCACAATCGAAAATGAAACTTATCCTAGAACAGAAAATTATGCACAGTAAAGTCAATACAGAATCACTTCCAGTACAGCATTCAATACAGTATCATTCAGCTCGTACGGACAACAGCTGTCGGTCCATACAATATTATGAGCACAGTGCGGGAGCGATATTCTGTTCGTTGTTGCTTTTAAAGATTCTAGTTCCTACGATCATTATAACATAGTTTTTTAAGGCATAAAAAAAACTTTGCGAAGACAAATACACCGTAGGTTGCTCACAGCACAGGCTGGTGCTGTTACTGTAAGTTCGGAAAAGAGTCGTCGATTAGAGATTTCGAAAGAAATTTAACAGAAACTTGATACTTTTGACGTATACGTATTCTATATATAAAGCGTGCTTTTTTGACATGTTTGCGATTACATAACTAGACAAATCTCCCGAAGATGGGTGCAGAAACCTGCCGCTTATCAGATCCATATGCATATATTGATAGAATATCGATTTGGCCCTGATTGCCTGAAATTAACAGTAAGGTGCGCAGTGTGTTCGGCAATTACACTACGCTGAAAGCCGTGAAAGGAGTTGTTTTGACAATTCCTCCATAGAGCGATGTCAGGGTTTTTCCATGCCATTGGCCACACCGGCAAAGACAGCTTCAAGAAGTCCAAATGGATTTGTAAAAGTGTTTGCGTCGCTTAAGAACTACTCCGACATCCGGACCTGTCAGAATCCGTAAATGCATAACCATGTCCATTTCGTCTTCCTGTATAATGCCATTTCTTAGCACCCGGCAGTGCAGGCGGCGGCCAACCGGCATGATTAAATCGTTCTCGGTTGGCGCACGCTTGCAACGTATTACCTTGTGTGCATCGTCATCGTCTAATTACCCCTCATTGGATGAGGGACACTGCGCCGCTGTACTGGACCAATTCTGTCAAAGGTTTCTATAATGTTAACTCCACTTCCCGTCCCCTATCGTTAACGAATCAATCTATGATCTTAACCGATAGCCCGGGCCGCCAATATATACAGTATGTGGCCCGCCAAAGGAGCAGCTAAGGAGATTTTTTGTTCCTTGTTATCGTGCCGCACGGCAGGAGATTTCCAGTCTGCCGTGCGGAAAGCTTTTACGGTTATGAATTAACTTTCGACAGGTTGCGACTGGGCCGCTCCATTAAATCATGTGGATAATCAAGTGACAGTTCATAAAAGCCAGCGCCGGTTCTGGTATAAAAACTTTGCGACAAACAGATCTAGAGTTTGTCAAGCAGCCGCTGCACTCACATATCCGGATTCGGGAAACATTTGTTCCGATATAACTCCCACGTAATTTTGTTTGCCTACCTTCGACACGTGAACAAAGCGACCTTCGTTCGGATATTTAATTATACCAATCCTCTTCTCTAATTACTCGCCATGGACTTTAACGATACCGATGTATTTAACCTGACGGAATATAATTCGACTTTATTTGGTGACAATTATACGCTATGCGACAGTAACTGCACAACCGAGCCGCCGGTGGTCAATGTCACCGCGAACAGCACATCGAATATCACGGTGCCCGATATGGCGTATCCGATCGAGGTCACTGTTTATATTCTGGCCGATACGATAATATCCTCCTTATGGATCGTGCTGGCCAACTCCCTCATTCTTGGATCCTTTCTGACCGATCCTAAATTACGTATTATCCAGAATTACTATATCGCCAGTTTGGCCTTATCGGATTTCTGCATGGGTGCGTTTGTCTTGCCACTGGGCGGTTACCAGTTCGTCTTCGAAGGCTGGCCCAGCAACGACTTGCACATGTGTAAATTCTGGAATTTCATGGACTTTGTCATGTCCATACAAAGCAGTCTGTCGGTCTGTTTAATTAATTATGACCGTTACAAAATGGTCCTCCATCCCATTGCGTACCGCAACGAAGAATCACCAAAAAAAGCCCTGGTGCGCATCTTTTGCAGCTGGATATTTTCTATTCTATTTTATGGTCCGGTGACGCTGTTCTGGGACACGATTGCCGGCTATTCCGTCCTGCCGCCGTATCAGTGTGATGTGGAATTTAAAGACGAAATCCGGGCGACCATTCCGCAGGCCGTCGTGGAATTCGGTGGACCACTGACCGTGATCTGCTTTTGCAATCTGCGCTTAATGATTTACATTCGCAAACGGCGCAGAAAGATGATGGAGATGAAGCGGAATTTCGACAACACCCCGGTGACCGATGTCACCACGGACAACGACGACACCGAGACGAAAGCCGTGAAAAAAGTCGCCTTGACCAAGGAGCAGGAGAAGCAGAAATCGGAGATGCAGGAGTTTCGAAAGGAGCAGCGCGCCGTCCGGAGTCTGTTGATCTTAGTGGGTGTATACTTTTGCTTGTGGTTTTTCTACGAGATGATCGGCAATTTCGTTGGACCAATCTGCAACTGTGTCCCGGATTCCGTGTACCGCGCATCTTACTGGATACAGTATCACATATCCGGTGTCAATCCGATTATCTATGCCGTCACCATAGAAAGGTTTCGCTACCATTATCAGATTTTCTTCTCCTACATCTTCCCGTGCTGTGTCAGTCATCCAAGTAAACAGCGCAAGAAACGCGTGGCCCCGGCCATATCGGCCATCGCTACCGGCAATCCGCACTCCAACACGGCACCGACACAGCCTCGCCAGTCACAAACTGTTTCGTCGTAACATTTGTGTCTTTTCTTGCCGACGCATATCCAGTCACAATTTTTTTCAGTATTTGCTTCCGCGCGATAACAAAATGTGCTACAAAGCGACATGCAGCAATGTATAAATAAAATGTTGTGCTATGGTATTTCCTCAACTTACACTTATGTGTTATATACATTTATGTTGCTATTAATGATGAAGTTCAAACGCAAATTGTAAGTGTTCTAGGCCACCGCCATCTTTGTTTCTTTCTTTACAAAGTTGCCACTCTAGAGCAATCACGTACATCACGCAAAAAACACCCCTGTACAGTGTGTTGCTTCAACATAAAAATTTTCTTTTTGTTAAACACAATAAAGAGAATTTTGAGAGAGATTTTTGAAACAAGAGATTACTGTAACAAGACAAATACTTCCGCTGGACAGTAAATCAGTGAAAGGTTGCAGGATTTCATTAACTAGCTCGGTACTAAACTGTCAATAATTCCCGGTGAGATGCTGGCACCGACACCTTGGGAGTTTGTCGATGGCTATGTTGAGACAGGTTTACATAATTATTATGTTAAACTTATTGAATACTGATAGGGTGACAGAAGGGTGTGGATACAACTACTCGATTGCGCTCGATGCGTAATTCTTTAATTTACGCGTACGTTCGCATGGTATGGTAATCGGAATCGTAAATGTTAGGGATACCTATTGATCCAGTTAGTTCTGCTTGTAATTCGCGAAAAATCAGAAATAGTTTCTTGCATAAGGCCAAGGGTGTAATGATTTTACTGGATTAACCAGGTTTCTGCAAAGGTTGCGCATCAATTACAGTATTATGCACAGAGGAACGTGACCCCACGGCGATCCATGGGTATATACTTATACAACAACGCAAGTCCATTAGGATTTTCCGTACTAAATGACGTATTTGGTGTTCTAAAATAATATGCTCAAAACAATGCAGCAGCTACAGTGACATCTCGATCACAACAGAATAAGAGTAGATGACTATCCCAAGACGGATGAAGGAATAAAAGTGTACAACAGTGATGCATGGCAACTTAATTTGCTGCAATTTTTGCACCGAACGAATATGAGACTGTAGGAGGAGGTCAAATTGCTATTGGAATTTTAACCGGAAGCAACAGGAAGCATTGACTGCAAATTGCTATTTTCCGAAATATATAATTTTTAGATTGTGCCAAGCACCAAGACTCATGCGACCCTTTTTGGGACCGCAAGCGGTCTGCAGTTTCGTGTTTCAATTCTTCGCAGTTGACGACGAATAAAGCTGAACAGCAAAATTTGCATACAATTAAAAATTGATACGATAATAACAGAAAGGATGGTCGGCTTATTTGTAAAAAATCACCATCGAAGTACATTGATCCGTCAGCCAGAAACACCGCAACTAGTATCCCAGTAAAAGGAAATTACGCTTACGCTATTCAGTATGAGGATGCTGGTGATCAGTTTCACGTCCATTTATCACAGTCATCGGTATCCCGTTAACGGAATCGATTATGGTGGTTTCCGTCGATACCGGTTTATCACCATAAATCATCTTTTTGAGATAAGCGCACACAGACCATCTGCACTTTGCTTTGTGTGAATGTATATCTGCTTGAATTTCTTCCGGCTCCTTTCCTTTTGTTTCCGGTAAATAAATCCAAACGTAAATAAAATAAAAAACAAGTAAAACAATAAAGATTAGAAAGGTCAATCCTCGGGCTTGGGCCTGGAATAAAACAGGAAGGGTTTAAGGCACCATTGATCTTACATAGTTGCCTGGGCTATACATGTACAACAGGCAAAGCAAATACCCAAAAGGACCGACTGTTCATTGCAACAACAATAACATGCGGAAAGTGCACCCTCAAGGCTGCTAATGCTTAGGTTATCTCGGATTAAATATAGCTGCCATGTCATTGAAATCATTTGTTATTTGGTACATGGTAGTACCTGTATTAGAGGGAATGCCAAAACAACAATAAGAGCGCCAAACCATTGTATCGCTACCGCTCCGTTCGTTGCCGCATCTCTGGCGTTTTGTGAGAACATTTCCGCGATCAGAAAGAGGGTGATTGTACCTGTTGAAAAATCCAACATGCCATATTTTATCGAAAACATGCTGTATTCTGGATTTTTATAATGTGGAGTTATGCTATCTTATCCGGTCAGTTATCCCTGAACGTATCCCCTTTTGAATTTATGATACTGCTTGTGTTTCTAATAATTCTGGTGATGAAGGCTAATCACGTATCTGTATATATAATTAATAAAATAGCATAGTTTTTATAAAACGCAATGAAGACGTAGTCTACCGGTACGTATAAGGAACACACTCACGTGAATCCACCTACATATTCTGGGAAGCAACATAATATCCAGCAGCTTGGGGAGCAATTAGATAAATTACACAATATTATTATCTAGGTGATAGCCACCAGAATAGCATTGCCAAAGCGTGGGAGTTTCCCCCTGCATCTCTGTACCTGGGCCCAGTGCATGCATGGTCTGGAAGAGGAACAGACACGCAACAGCCGCGTAGGGCAGCCAGTAGTCAGGCGATGAGCTGGACTCGATGGTATCAAAAGTTTCATACCGGCTTTCCTGCAAAATGAATAACTTATCAGGTAAGGAGTTAAGGGATTGGTTTTGAACTCAAAAAAGACTATATGTACGTTTTGCTTACGTAGGTTGCGAGGAAAGTTGTTAATAATCCTAATGCAAGTGCCATGCCCGCAAAGCCAAAAAGCAGCAACGGCTTCCGCCCAATCCGCTCCACAAAGCCGGTAGTCGTCAGTAAAGTGGCGCCCAGTAGCAATCCACCTAAACCGATGGTGCCATACGAAGCTGTGGTCTCCGTTGCACCGGCACTTTGGAAAATGTATGTGGAATACAGGAGCGCCTAATATATTAGAACCGCGTGTCCCACAGAAGTAGCAAGTCCATAAATACTCCACATTTCCAGTACAGAGTACTTAGTATTGTGTATAACTATTGTATTCTTACGTACAGCGCTACAGCGGTCAGCAGTGCGCTATAAGTTATTGTAGTTTTGTCACAATAACATAACAACGAGACAGTACATATTGCTTCAAAAAACGTAAAATCAAAAGTGAAATGAGTGTCACCAATTAAACTAAATTAGTGTTGAAAAGTATAATGTTGTTCCTATTGCACTTCTGTTTTTCTGCGCAGTATAAGTAAATCAAGTATACAATAAAGTGTGTCCTTATTATTTCGGTACAGTACTAATGTTTCAGGTGCAACATTGGTTTCTTTTATTAGGTTGACAATGACGTGCGATATGATATGCTCGTACCACATTCAGGCCCGTTAATTCCAAAGAACTGGCAGTTACGAGTCCAATAACTAGCACTTTCCGAAGGTGCGGATCGGCACATATGCCGAAAAAACTAATGGTTGGTTCATTTTTCAATCGATTGCGTTCCTCCTGCATATCCGCTATTTCCATTCCAAAGTTGGATAACCTCCGCAATCTCTTCAGCGCTGTAAAATTAAGTACCACAATAAAACGTGCTGAAAAAGGCGCATTTTTTGCTGGTTTAGTGATAAAGGTCACCGAGTAACACCTCCGCAGTCGGATATTTCCCGGCACTAGATAACTGTAATAAACTCTGAACTTATTTATAAGGCTTAACAATTAATCATTTGAGATATAATTTTCTGGTCACTAAATGACAAAAAAGGAAAATCGTGCATGACATTTGGATATCATCAAAATTTTCTGACCATATCGTGCTCCTTGCTCATCATCTTGAACGACGAAAAGATAGTGCGGACTTTCTGGACAAAATGGCAGGGTTGCCAACTGAAAAATACACGGCACAGCTGACATTCCTAGCAGATATGGCCACGTCTTGGCCCCTCCAAGAATGCTTGGCAGACTAAGAATTTCCGCAAATAGTGTCCCAAATGCTTCTCCAGCTGCTTGAATACAACCAAACGTGCCACGTAAAGTTATGGGTACCAATTCCATGAAATACACCGTAGCCACCACAGCCGTCACCCCTGTACAGAAAGGTCAGCAGCACAGTAGACAGCTGCTAAATTCATGTGCTACTGGTATGGTTTTGGAGAAGTATATAATGATGACTGCGTTTGAATTTATCGTTAGTGTTTCACATAGGTGGACATAGTACCTGTATGAAAACCAACGAAGCCTCTTCCGATAAGAAGAATCTCGAAAGAATTAGCGGTATAGGAAATGGCCATCAGTAACCCTCCCACGATGCCGGGAGCATTGTTCACCAAGAGCGCACCTTTCCTGCAGTGTCATTACACTTTAACAAAGTTCAAGAATCAATATTCACACTTATATTACATTTTGCGAAATTCGTGGTACGTCATTGTATCACCAGTGTAACAGAAGATAAAAATAAACTTTAAAAAAATCTGAAACCATTTAGAGAACGCTCTTACATCTCTCTGTACATTAACAGAAATGCCCGGCAGCCCTAAATCCTATTTCGGTACTACTGACAGTTAGCAATCAAACAGTTAACAAAATAACATAACTGCACATTTCTGCTGACAGTATACGTATTAATTTGTGTGTACAACTATTGTACATGCTCTGTACCTGCCGAACTGTTGGACTAGGCGTCGGCTTAAAACTGCTCCCACCATTGCTCCTGCGATGTAGACAACGGACACGCCGGTCCACATCCAATTCAGTCCCAAAAAATCGGTGAAGAGTTCTTCCAACTCTTTCATAGATACATTTTTGCACCACGATTCTAACGTTTCATTGTTAGAATAATTGTCATCGTCATCGCGGTCAGCATACTCCGCTCTAAGTTGTTTGCAACGAACCTCACGAATCCACTGTACCATGATCTGGGAAATTTACATATTTTTCGTAATAATCTACCACATCAAATCTGCACTGCTCACCGATCAAACGTTGCGCTTACTTACCATCTGCGGTATATTAGTAGAACCCAAATTGTATCCCAAAGTGAAAGACGATCCGTATGCGACCGATATCACAGCGAATAATAATGTGGATGTGATCGCCTACATTCAGAATAATATGAAATTCTTCAGCTGCACAACAATATGACACAGAGAAAATTGGTTTGCAGCAGGTTTATTTGTTGTATTGCATTACGTTGGAAGCCGGCTTCTTTGGTCCATCGCTATTTTCACCGGTTGGTAGTTCAACACTGCTGTCATTCGAAATTATGTTTTCCAAAGGTATCACTTCATGAGAAATCATTCCAGATTCTCCACGGATTATCCAAATCCGGAGCACAACTTATACAAGTACAGAAATTAACAAAAATGTTAAATGCGAGCAGGCAGTGCGGATATCGCAACCGTGTATTGTCGACGGACCAACACATTAAAGCGGTTTGCGTTTCCTGGCAGTGTACACGAATATTGTATTCGTAATTCGTATTAACCATTCGCACTCATGCAAAGCTGCTGCATTGTTGCACAATCCAAGTTCAAGTTGTCCATTATGGTCATCGCGTAATCAACAATTGCATTTTGCGTCCCCCTGCTGCATACAAAACAAATTTACACCGGGTTCACATACTAATTCGGTAATTCCTAACATTACAATAATATATAATCAAATATTGACGTGAACACAAGCATCGTCACAAATTCTATAATACCCGCAATTGTGGTAAAAGCTTTAAAGTTAGAAATTAAATCGTATTATTTTTCGAGCTATTTAAGAATTATTTCATCGGTCTATTTTCTAACGCTATCGAAAACATGTGAGTACCTTAATTGTTAGTCTCGAATCTTTAAGATTTTATCTGTTTTATCCACTACAACTAATAACCTTATTATAATCTTTAAAAGACTGGAATCAATAATTTTAACAACCGATAACAGTTGTTAACAAACATTATTATACACGAAACACACTAATAACTGAAATAAGTAACATCTGGCTGGTTTTAGTTTTTACCTCTCCACGCTTTGCCTTACGTCTGGAAATCCAGAAAACGATTATCCACAGGTGCCGTAAACCAAACTGAGAATGTTCGAGGGCACCGCAAAACTGTAAAAATGTATGCTATAGAAAAAATAAAATTCAAATGGTTCAAAATGGGAGCCTTTATGATGACCTTTAGCAAAATAGATGTCTTTAATACAAAACCACACTGAAGTGATTCAGTATTGCCACAGCCATAAACGTCCTATCCATTAACCATACTATATTGTAGCACGATCACAACAATTCCATAAATTTAAAAAAAATTTACGCATAAACTACACCCCAGATATCAATGCTCCGAACGCATTAACAATGAAACACGGTACTCAAGAAAAAATAAATTGGCCGCATGAAATCCCCTCTCAACAATGAGACGCGAATATGAGTGTACAAAGCAAAATAGTAGCCATTGTGCTGATGACAGGTTAGATTGGAAGTGTTAAGTGTCGTTTTTCCGAAAGTTGTTAATAGATAGCCTTCGGAAATACTATAATGTACTAGTGCGTAACTCGTAACTGCAAAAGGTGAGAGATGCATACAACACCACAAAGCAGTAATAGCCGACCATGCCCATCTTAACAATAAATTAGTATAAAATTTTAGTACTGTATACGGTATTGTAGAAGTACAGTATTCGTATGTTTGATTTTAAAAACACAAGTGAACACTTAATTCGTTTGAATAGTCTTTGATATTTTCGTTACTATTTACTGACTCGTTCAAATGCGTTATTTTAATTTCCACAATGGTTTCGATATTCGGATCACTGGAATTTGAAGCACCATCCAAGTAAGCTAATAATTTCCTGCCATAATTTTATCAGGCACCCATATACTGTTATACTTACTAAAACTTATAAATTGCTTGTTACGCATCATTGTGAGGTGACCACAGTCCGGCTAGCGCTGAGGGATTTTGACCTACAGTAAATAAAACATTCCATAACTAATTACTTTTGACTTGTACGCGGCCCTCCCTGTTTTACCAACCGCTTGCGACAATACATTCATAATCCGTACAAATAAAGAAAAACAGTCGACAAGCGCCGACTAGGAATCGTCTACAAGCAAAGCGCCTAGAACAAGTCGCTGATTGATATTGACAACAAAACCTTTTGTGGTTAATTGTTGGCTCTTCTGTCAAAATCCAAAATGGATTAAGTATCAAAATTCTAATCAACATGTCTTGACAAACATGTCATTCACGGTAGGAAATTAGTCGGACAGTAATGGCATGACGATTTTCGCTTACTGCAGGCAACCAGCAACCGCACCAATAAAATCCAGACGTTATAATTTCCAAATGCGAAGATTGTAAGAAAACTGGTAATAAAAAAAACGGATAGAAGGGCTTTATCCGTTTTGCCTGAATCCTGATTAGGTTTTTCCATCTACTTTTCATGTTAGTACCCATTATGCATTCATCAGCAAATTTGATGTCAAAGATAAAAGCAGTACAAATGGATAGCTTTGCGCTTAGGTTAACTACGGTAAACAATAATTATACAAAAAGTAAGCGCTTTCATATTTTGATAAGCTAAGACAGCTTAACGCTCATATGATTATGTGAACAGCGAAATTACTATGACATCATTAAAATGCGAATTGGAAACCAAGCGAAAGTACAGTAAAATAAATTATGGCAGCCACATCGCTACCAAACTAACAAGATAATGAGTTTCAAAGGGGAAAATATTCAATTTCGCATCTGCAGTGAGTATATCGCAACTGGTTACAATTATCCTTATTGAAAGAGATTGATCAGAGACCTCCGAAACGATCCTGCCCGGGGATCACCGTTTGACCTTTTCGGCAGCATTCCGCCGACTGTAAGCTGATTTCCAGTTTCGGCTACTTTCGAAGCCGTTGGCCTTGTTAGCAAAATCTGCAGTTAATTAACGCTCATTTAGTCACTCGTTCATCGTAATTTACGGTGTGTTCATCGGAATTTACCTCTGATTGTTTGAAGAATCTCCTTTTGACTATTCATCACGAAAGGCCCTGTAAAATAGTCAGCATATATGTAAGTAGGCAAAATGCTGTATATGCGGTACGAAAAAAAAATTAATCCGAATAGAGTTGAAGTCGTTCTCCTTACCGTGACGAAATACGGGTTCGTTCAAAGGTTGACCCGCGATTAAAATTAGTCGAGCCGGTGATTTGGACGCATTTTCGATCAAAACCCCATCCCCATCCTGCTTGAACGTCACGCAGTAGTTGGGTTCAGCTTCTTTCTTGTCCTCTCCTAAGCATGAATTCGGCTTTTAAGTTAGGGTATTTTAGAGTACGTAGACGTATTTTTAATGAAGTAGCCGGACATACCAACAGTGACTGTTCCGTGTAATACATAAAAAAAGGCATTCCATCCAGCAGGAATCGCTTGCTCCAGTTGGGATTCCGCATTTAGTGTCACATCGAGAAACAGAATGGGCGTTTGAGTGGACAGTTTAGACTGAAATAACAAATGCAAAAACGTTTCACTGTTAAAATTTACGGAAGAAAATTCAAAGGCTTTGCTCTCGATATTACGTTTTGTGATTAGTAATTTACACATTTCAAGAAACGCAAACGTTAATCAAAAACGTGTATGGCGAGGTTGCACACACAGTGTATGGCAAGTACAGTTATCGTCAATTTCAAAGATAAAAGGAATTATCGGAGATAATGAATGTTAATTCTGGCGAGCGGCATGATTTTTGTCTCGCCTTTGACATTAATGTGCTGTCGCGGTTGAGATTTATTGCTGGCCATCTGGGTGGTCAGATGGTATTCCTTGAGATTGCTCTGGTTTCATGCTGCCTTTAGCAGCTTTACATCAGTGTTCATTTGCAAAGAGTTTTGATGTAGTTCACGTCGAACGCGATTTTTGGCGAGTTCGCGATATTTCGCGTTCAAACTTCCATGCTGTTCTGCTGTACTCACGTATAGATAGTTACAGACAGATAATTTCTTGATTTCACCAAGTGGTTGATTTGTTTAAAATTCTGGAAGAAATTCCATGTTGCTGTGCTTTAGTGTATTTGCTCCTGCCATATGCTCCTGCATTATGTTATGGCGTAATCTCGTCCGCGGCATATCTTGCCGACAATTATTACGTCGTGTCTTTCATGATTTGTATATAGCCGCTTGTGTTTCGTACGATCAATTTTTGGAGGTCCCTGTTTACGTTTTCTTTATCGAGGATTAGTAATGATTTCTATTTGCATAATATATTTGCATTTTATTTGTGACTATCACCATATGGGCGGTTGCCCTGTTCTTTCAGCCCGGCATATTGCCGGGTGCACAAAATGCCTAACTTCATTTGCTTGCATTCTGGCTACCATTCTACAACGTGGACGGCCATCTCGCACGTCAACATTTGTTATTCCCATTGGGTCATTTCTGTATAATACGAGTTTGTGTGCTCCTGATCCATTACATAGATTTTATATTTTGTACATAGATATTAGTATTATATATTAAATTATTTTTATATTGTATACATGTTGTAGGCTTACATACTTGTGATATGTATTACAACATAAATTTTATTATTGGTTGTTATGATTATAAATATTATTATTATATATATCATCATTAATATTTTTATTATATATATTGTTATTATATATAATATCATCAATATCATTGTCATATTATAATTATATTGCTTGTATCATTATGTCACAGCCTTCAAGGGATTGATCTTAATATGTATAGATCTATCATACTATTACTATATACCGTGTATGGTTTTACACATTTCTACACCTTTTTGTATATTGTGTTAAAAGGTTATGTCAAACAAATTATTGATAGATTTTATGATATGTTATGTTTTATTATTAATATATTTTATATTATTGTATATTTATTATTTATAGACTTCATTATCATATTTATTATTTATATATTGTGTACCTATTGTGCGTGTACATATTGTTATGTGTATCATAATATATATTATAGTATTATTGGTATATGTATTATAATATATTATTGTATTGTGTTATTATATCGTATTATTATATTGTATTATTAAACTGTACTACCTTATGATGTAATATTATATTTTATTACTGCATTGTATTCTATCGTATTGTATGCATACTATATCTTATACATATTTGATATTTGTTTACAAAATTTTACCTTATTTTTTTATATATATTATTAATGTATTATTATGTATTATTATTAATATTATTATTTTATCATTATTTGTTGTTATTAGTAATATTAAAGTTATTATTATTTTACCCTTATTATTATTATTTAACACACTATTGTTATTACTATGTACCATAGTTCTTGCTGTGGTCATGATCGTTATTGTTATAATTGCTGTATTATCTTCCCGTTTTACTATTGTTCGTTGTTATAATTTTTATTCGTCCTGTTATTGTTAGCCCCATTGTTATCCGAATTATTTTTATCTTCGTTACCCTGTTATTTATTTCTCTATTTGTCATCCCTGATATTTGTTATCCGTGTGATAATTACTGTGATTGTTATTCTTTCTCCCTGTTATTTCTATTCCTGTTGTTTGTTGCATCCCCGTTCTTATTGTTTGTATATCCTTATTTCTGTTATCCTTACATACCTGCTCTTGTTGTTACTTTGAAGTTTCAGTAAACGGTGTCTCTATAATTCGAAATCGGAGTAAATTTGTGACTACCACCGTATGGGCGAATGCCCTGTTCTTTCAGTCTGGCATATTGCCGGATTCATTTGTTCACACTCTAGCTACTCTTGCAGTCTTATACGTGTTATTCATTGTCATTTACTGTTACTGCTGTTATTTATTGTATCCTCATTTCCACTGATGCTATAATCGTATTTTAATATCCTGTTTTCGTTTTCCTGTTATTTATTATATCTCTGTTCATATTCAATAATTATTATTCTTTTTCTTTACTTTACGCCTCTGTTGAATTAATTTCACTGGTGCCATTAAGGTTACCCCTATTTTGGCTTTTCTCAAAAAGACCAGTTTCTCAAAACTTGCAATCCCACCAACTGAAGAGTGCTCTATCTGGTGGGGAAAAGTGTATAGAAATATAGTAACTGGGAGGCGAGATATAAATTTTTAAAGTATTCGACCCAGAGCAGCCAGTACTGTAATTAATGACCGGCCCGGCTTACCATTTGCATGCCTGCGTATATGCAAGCGATTAGATTTGGACATGCAGTCAAATGAATGGGGAGCACCTGTTTGCGATTTGTATCTTTTATTTTACTGGGTCATAAAACCGTAGCAAAATGGATGCAAACTCTGAAGACAAAAGACTTTGATCACACATGAGTGTAGCTGGGCAGCGCACACTCGGCTGTCTAGTTGGTCTTTCGGGCTATTCCTACGTGGTATGTGTGGTGAACTGAGACTGCCAACATCTTCAAATGAGATTTATCCCTGCATGAACTTTCGAATCCTACAGCTAAAAATGCGGTTAACAGGCTTTGAAAATTAACTAGTCACTAATGGAATTAAGTAGAATTTTGAAATTTTGACAGTGGATGTATGGATATCGTAAAAGTCTAATTGCGAGGGCGATTTTGAAAAAAGTTGATTTTGCTCGCGTTATTGTCGAATCAAGCAACCGACGAAGTGTTTTTTGCAAGTTGCAACTTTAAAATGGACTTTTTCCAAAAAAGCTCTCGCAAGGTGCTGGAGAATCGCGTTTTATATTTTACAGGCCGGTAACAAAAAATCTCAGTTCAATCTAGTCAGACTAGTTAATTTTTAAGCGGAATTACCAAATGTTGAATTTTAAAGTTTACTATTGAACCTATGATACTGGTTACAGGGGTTGAATTTTTCATGATTTTAACTAAGAAACACTTTAGAATGGTCAAGACTGGGTTTTGAGTCGATATCGCAGGATCTCCACATTCGCGAACGGTAAAAGCCAAAACAGGGGTAACCTTAATGGTGTGTTCCGTAATATATATGCCTTGTATTTATCGTTAAATACTTATTGCCAATATTTTCTGGTTGCCTTTGGTCAATATTTCCAGATTTTACCGTGAAACCCGTTAACCACCATCACATTTCCGTGTCTACGCAGAAAACGTTTCGGCGGCATATTCGGCGGCACTGCAGTTCTTATCTGTTTATTTTATTTCATTGTGTCTCATTGTGTTTCAATGATTTTATCGTTTGGTTCCCTTGATGCCTGATAATCGCTTAATGCTTATATCCGTTGGTCACATGTGTTTAGTGGAAACCAGCATCACGATTCCTTCGTTGTCATTTCGGTTCCCTTTGATGGCTTCTTATTTGGGTGTACAATATGCATTGCCTTCTGCTTGCACCTCAGTTCCCTTCATTCCTCAGTGATGACCATACTGTTCGGTTACGTAACTTGTTGCCTGATGACAGTCATAAAGTTCTCTTAATCGCTTATATAGTGATTCATAATTATAAATTTTACCAGTTCTCTCGTCATTAAACAGTTTTGTTCTTTAATCTTGCTGATCGATCTGGACATTTGTTGGATATCAAGTGCGTTTTCGTCTTGTTCGCGAGATATTATTTGCGTCCCATAATTTTGCTTATACAGTCCATCACCATGTATTGGGCCTATTGGCTATTCACGTCGAACGCGATTACAATATATTATATTATATTATAGTATATATCATAATTGCACTTTTCATTTGCGACTGCCAGCGTGTTAGCGGCTGCTCTGTTCTTTCGGTCCGGTAACTTGCCGGATGCGTAGAATTCTGATTTCAGTTGTTTGCGTTCTGACTACCTTTGCATCTTTGCTCAGCTAAATTTATGTTGGTATTGTTTCCGTGGGATTTTCACATCAAACATGACTTTTAATCGTTTTTACGTTATCATCCCAGAGACTTAACCGTATCCGATTCGTTTTGGTGTTCTCAAATTTTTTTTTATCCTACTGTATCTAACGCCTCGGATTAACTGATTCGCAATGGGACGAGATGGAAAGCAGTGGATATGCCGATCACCAAACCGGAGGCGAAACGCGGATGCTCGCACGCCAACGTTATTACCATTTGTTCTTCCAATTTTACCTTCAGACATGTTATCCAGCATCACATTTCTGTGTCCATGCCGAAAATATATTCCGGGGCACTGAGCCGCTTTCTACAGTTCCTACATTTTCCACGTTGTGTTGCGTGGCTCATTAATGAAGCTGAAGTGTTTAATTTATCGTCCGTTAATACCGGTATGGGATCAAATATTCCCATGTTGCACTTACAGGAATTCAACGTTTGGTTCCCGTTGAATTCTTTGTTGGCCTATATCCCTTGATATCATCTGTGTTTTACTGAAACCCGCATTGCGGTTTCTTCATTGTCACACAGCGTATCTGAATTCATTGTGTCTGAATTTGCGTTATCGCTCATTGATAAGTCGTGACGATAAGTTTCGTCATTTTACGGTTTTGCGATCATCAAGTTTCCCGTATAATCCTACTTTCCAAAACTGACCAATTCTCTTATGGTTGTGCAGTATATTTTAATCCTGCTGATTCGTCACTTGTACAGTTTCTGTACTTATTTATTCCATATTCCTACTATTGTGTGTCAATTGACATTTGACGCTGATGCACATTTCTCTGCTTTATAATCGGTCACCGTGATTTCGGAATTAATTTTAAGCGCAGTTTGCGTCGTCTGTTACCGACATTGCCTTCCTTTCTACAGTTTCCGTATCAGTGGTGCAGCTGCCACGTTGGTCATTGATTGGATATTCTTATGTTCCTGTTTGGGGGTTTGTTTGGGGCGTTTGTGCTTGTTGTTAGATCATTGTGTTTTTCGTTGTTGATTCATTGTATTCATTGTGTATATCATTGTTTCCCATTAAAATACCCGGCAAACCCCGTCGTCGATCGGTTACAGCACACGCGAGCAACAGAATTAAAAGGAATTATCGGAGATAATGAATGTTAATTCTGGCGAGCGGCATGATTTTGTCTCGCCTTTGACATTAATGTGCTGTCGCGGTTGAGATTTATTGCTGGCCATCTGGGTGGTCAGATGGTATTCCTTGAGATTGCTCTGGTTTCATGCTGCCTTTAGCAGCTTTACATCAGTGTTCATTTGCAAAGAGTTTTGATGTAGTTCACGTCGAACGCGATTTTCCCACCCACCCTATCCCATTTTTCCTGGGAAGAGCTGTGGAAGGGGTGTTTATTTTTATTGGTTCATTGTTTTCTTTCATTGTGTTCAATATTCCCCATGGGGGGCGTTTGTGCTTGTTGTTAGATCATTGTGTTTTTCGTTGTTGATTCATTGTATTCATTGTGTATATCATTGTTTCCCATTAAAATACCCGGCAAACCCCGTCGTCGATCGGTTACAGCACACGCGAGCAACAGAATTAAATAGTATATACAAAGCTGACCTTTAGCGTTGTCGTTCCCGTAGAATGGTCTCCAGCCACTGCAGTAACGGCAACTCCATTCTTTTTGCTAGTAGGGATTTCTTTCCGCCGCACAACGTGGTACTGTGCCGGCTTCGTTTTCATTCCACTGGATAAATTGACAAAAACCTGTATTCCTTCCACGCCCTGCGTTCCTGGCACTTGACACTGCATAATCCCCGAACCTGCGCTCAGCCACTGTCAAATACCATTGTTACGTTATCTAATGTGTTCTGAATTCTGAGTGTTTAACTACCTGAGCACATCTAATAAATCATCATAACAACTTTCCTGGTTGCAAAAATACTAAGCTAACAAATACCGTAGATATTACAATCTAACCGGAACACATATACTGTACCAGCACCGAAAATATATGCATAATGATAAACGAAGGCCATTTTGAGAATTCAACGTTCTGCCCAACTAAACGGTCATCATTAATAACATACGTACCTGAACATCACCCTCTTTAAGCTCAGTTGTCGTGTTGTTGCAGTCTTCATGCACCAAGGATCCGTTTAGAATGTACGTTATCTAAATCAATAAGCCTCTTTATTATAAATAAATTCGCTTCCTGTACCGAATGTGTCTTATAAAAATTAACGAACATTCTAAGATGCTAGATCAAATAACGAAAGGTTCCATTATCTTTCCAATAACTGATGTAAATTATCACACATACTACACAGCTTCTGTTTGTGCGCCACCTGGGACCTCACATTTTCGATTCCACGAAGTGGATGGTCCGGTATGGCTTTCAAAGAATCAATCCGAGCATGAGCCATAACCAAGAAGGGATCCAGAAAGCGAAGCTAAAAAATCCGTACAAACAAAATAAAAGTTTTTGCCGTCAGTACTAGTTTCGCAATCCCAAAGTATGTGCACACGTTACATTTCGTTATTTTCGTAACGAACAATGACAAAATGAATTCCAGAGTTTATGAATGAACATTACCCGAGCGCTGGAGACCACTGTCCGCATATCGAACCCTATTAAAAAGAAGATGTAGTAAACCGTAAACCCAGAACGACCTGAAAATTATTATGAAAATGCACAAATATTTTTCGATTACCTTTCCACGTGCGCCGTTCAATAACTGGAAAAATTAAATCCACAGACCGGAAGTGACTTGAAGGCATATTCTAACGTGAAGTCCAACAAAAGATGACAGAAATATAAGAAATGAATTTTAGCGGAAAGAGAACGCTTCCTGATGTCAAAGTTGAGAAGCAGCTCCGGTAAAGCAGTTAGGAAATTTTGTGTGAATTAGTGTCGCGATCCTATGAGTAAAAAACTGCACGATCACGACACGGATTATACTCTCCTGAAAATCGATGAAACGGTTGCAACGGGCGTCGTGCAACAGCTTACACACTACGCAGGGAGCAGAACTAACGATAAAATGACGGCATACATCAGGTGACCGCCACAGGAAGAATTCCGTCCCACCCGGATCTCTGACAGCTATGTGACTGTCGTGTAAACACCAACGTAACTGAAACTGACTTGCACTTGTCTCTCTTATACGTGCGCAGTAAAAACAGCCTTTTGTAGCTTGTACGCACAATTTATCTGAAAGCAATGAATTAATCGAAAGTAAATCAGGACAATCAAAATTAGTTTCGCTTTAATCTACAGTTGCATAATCATAATGTCAATATAATAACAGTCACGGGAGCTGCACTTCCAGAACCGGGATTAACCAACGGAGATCCAAATTACTGTCATAACGTTGTTGGAAAAAACTTAAATATAAAATGAAAGCTTAACGTTAGCATTCAAGATCCACCTGGAAATTTTAATCTCCTTTAAAAAATCGAGACGTCCAGTTCTTTCCTCTTTCAAAGCCATTTTGGCTATTTCGGAAGTCTATAAAAAAAACGCAAATTAAATCCCCTTCAAAAATAAATTAAAAAATTTATTATTAACTCACCTCGAAACGCTTGATCGATTTCCTCCTGAGTATTCATCACCATTGGTCCTAGATTAAAAAAAACTATTGGCAACGGCAACGCGTCAAACATTAATCAGAATTCACCCCGTCGAGCAAGCGGTTCGTTCAGCGGTTGGCCGGCAATCAGAACCAAACGCGCATCCTCCGCAGTAGTGTTCTCCATCCGCACATTAGCACCATCCTTAGCATAAATGACACAATAAAAAGTTTCCTTTTCCTGTTGTTCATCAGGAGGACCTACAACAATATCGGTACAACACAATCTGCTGGTGTACTATTCACACATATACAATAAACAACCGGCGTACCAAAAGCAACTTTTCCCGAGATTACATACGAAAAGGCATTCCACGTTTCATTGACAGGCTGCACCAGTACGGCACCAGGGGACAGAGTAATGTCCAGGTACATCGTCGGAGTGCGTGTGCGAACAGGAGACTACGAGCACTCGAATCAGTTTACTGGTTAATCATTATCCGCAGAAATACCATCGACGCAAATGCGTACTTTGACACCCAGACACTCGCCAGCAATCACGATCGCTTTAACACCGTTTTCATTGGCAACGGGAATATCGCTGCTGCGCAGTTCCTGGTACGCCGGCTCAATCATTTTGTCCTTTTTCGCTAAATTCACCCACAACTGGAATCCCTCTCCCCCATCCGGACCGGGCACTTCCGAGTGCAGGATACCTCGTCCAGCCGTCATCCACTACAACCAGAAAATAACAGGCAGTGTCAACATGACATGGCCAACTTGAAATGGCCAACTTGAAATAAAATATCTATCAATAAAACAATCATTAACAATAAATAATAAAATAACAAAGCATTTATAAAAAAAATTACACTGCATTAGTATATGCAGGTAGCCAGGTACTTATTTTAAAGGACTGAACAAAATGACTCTTTACAAGAAAGCTGCACAGTATTCGATCACGATATGTAGCAGCTCCATCACCATGCAATCATGATAACAATGTGATGTTGTTACTTAAATAAATTAATCAAAAATCATAAGACTTCACTCAACCCTGCAATAATAATAAAAAAATAAAAATAATAATTTACTCTTAATAATTTACTCATTAATTACAAATTTACAACAGACATTCATTGTGGTTCCATTGCAGTCTGCATGAACCCGTGTATCCGATATGCGAATTTCAAGAACTTTCGCCATAAAGAGATCTTTAAATCTCCACAGTAAACGCACAGTGCACTAACCTGCAGATCTCCAACTCCAATGCTCCCTTTGTGGCCGGCAAAATCTTCATGATTAAATGATCCTTTTAACATGTAAGTCACCTGCAAAATAAAAACTACTAAGACTGTATCTCCCGTTGCAGCCCTGCCAGCCAACCACATGGTAAGCACGCTTAATGACCTACCGTTTCAAAGCCACGATGAGGATGCTCCGGGAATCCCGCTGGTGGTTTAACATCGAAATGATCCAGCAGGAGAAAGGGATCCAACTGCGTGAACTGCAATGGAATATTGTTCGCTACGGAGCACGGACAACAAACTCGCATGGTAAGCGTAAGGTTAAACAGCCAGAACAGGCAACGAGCAAGAAAACATCACGACTACGAGTACGCATACGGCATACCAGGTATGCCTACTCCCCGTACCTCTCTGGATCTTCCAATAGATCGACGAACTCGAGCACCTGGAACAATGCAACTGTATTCTGAAGCAGCAAACTGCTGAAAATGTTTTATTTACACACCTGCTCCGTCCATCTGCTCTTCAGCATAAAGCATGTGCTCGACGGTTCTAAATTTCGCCATTTTCGTCATAAACCGTACCCTAAAGTGCCAACGAGGCTATGCGTAAAAAAAGGACGCCAGATTGGCAAACCCACCAGCGTAAGTAATAAAATTTTATAAAAATAAAGAAAATGGCAACAGAGCACTCACGGATTAACTGGCCTCGCTGTAGAGGATCTGAAAAATGACACCGTTCTTTTTGCAGCAATATTCATCGTGTCTGGCAAGTGACAGGTGTTTTCGCTTTGTCACGACGGCGATTAGCACTTGGCGTATATCGTACGTATGCTAAGGCGTATAAAACAACAAACGACTTCGTCGGACAAAATCAGCTGTTCAATCCTGTACAAGCTGCCGTAAATAATGCATCACGTGATTGGGCGTGGAATGAGTGGAGAAACGCAATAATTATGGAAGAAAGAACGAAAACTATCTTTTAAAACGTTTTGGCAATAATCACCAAAACAAAGAAATTCAATCGCGGTGATACTATCTGTAAATGATCATAAGCAATTAAGAAACGAAAAATCTCGAAACGTTGTCTGTTACATTAAGTATATAGATATTATGTATTGCGCCGCAATACATAATATACTTAATGTAACTGCGGTACAGACGGCAACACTGGAGTAAGGTGTTAATTCACTTTAACTTATAATTAAGTATACGATATAATTATACTGTACTCTGTACTCGTTAATTTTATCTGTACCAGCACGAGTATGTACAGTTCTTTATTTGGCATGTAACATGTTGATAACCAACGTATAAAACTATTGCGAGCATCAGTTTACAACAACAATCAACAAGTTAACGAGAAAGAATAAGCAGGAAAAACACTGTCAGTGCGATCGCACTGTCAGTGCGATCATGATCAGAGATCTAGTTCAGTAACGCCTACTTAGGTATTGAATACTTTATAAATACAGAAATAAAAAAATTTTATAAATAATTTATCTATATAAGTAAATTTATAAGTAACTGCGTAGTTATATGACGGACCAAATGTCCAAATTATAATAATTTGCACTGATCATGACGGTTGCTAAGACTGATAAGTAAGTTTAGTAATCTTTTAAGCGCTATAGTACTAAACTACACAGATTCGACTGAAAACAATGAAACAATCATCCGCAACAGATACACCCCAATCACAAAAAGAAAAATTCATCTATACTAGTACTGTCTTGCTCAGAAATCGTGCCCATTACGCATATCGCATTCCCACGCTGTATCTGTTTAGACAAGCGCTGCCGAAAAAACTGATCGTGATTCTTGAAGTAAGCCGGTAAGGTTTTTGACTTGTTTGAATGATTTCAGTAAGTACTCGTAGATACAACATTTTTACAGAATTGATAAATGCATGATAAATGGTTTTAATACTGGTACAAGCACATGTATTTGTTGCAGAGACAGCATTCTCTGCAACAAATACAACAAACGCGCGCCGGTGAAAATCCTTACGATTAATGTCGAAGACGCCCACTCCGGGTTAAAAATTTAGACTACGATATAATTGCGATTGCAATCAAGGCTTTAACGGTTTTACCGTACATGTGTCATGTGTGCAATAATTCTTTAGGATTTTAAAATGTTATTGGCCAAAAATGACCCTGCTGGTGCTAGAATGGTAAAAACAGGTTATAAAAATTTTATTACTAATTAGTCACAAAAGCATAGTCGCAGAATTACGACACAGTTATTTTGCAGATACTGTACAATAATTAATCATAAGGTGGATAGGTCATAGGTGTACAGGGTATCCACCTTGCTGTAATTATGACGGCGCAGTAGTAATCTTGAACACAGCACAATTTCTGTGTCAGAGCGATGGCTACTTCGCATGCTTCTTCATGTATTCTGATTTCCAGTTCTTTGCTTTTTCGAATCCATTTGTACAATTCCTAAAATCTGCAATATGGCGAAATTAATGCAGCACAAGAAAAGTGCCATTTGGCATATCTAATAAGACTTTGTCCGGGTGGCAAAACACAAATTATTCTCTGACCAACGACAGACTACAGTGCTGTAATTTTTTACAGCAGTGCAAGAATACTTTATTTCTTATATCTTATGCAATTTGTATTATGCAATTTGTATAAGTATTAACTGGTGTCATTATTTAAAATTAGTGTCAGGCGTTATATACGGCTTTATACAGTAGCTGCAGTTGTATTGTATGTGTCCGCATTCCGCAATATTTCCTGACTGGCTTACCCTTTATAGCTTGATCGATTTCTTCATATGTATTCATCACAAATGGGCCTGCAAAAGGAAAAAACATAACTTATAGTGCAGCAATAATCATATTGCACATAATCATATTGCAGCAATCATAACTTTCGTATTCTTGGGAAATAAAATTATATCTGTAGTATTTAGCGAATGGAACTATGCATGGAACGTTTATGTTTATCTATATGTCCGTTTCCGAAGGATGTACCGTGACGTGCTACCGGCTCATGCAGAGGTTGGCCTGCAATCAACACGCAGCGGACTTCTTCTGGACTGTTATTAGCCAGTCGAACGCAATCACCATCTGGCTTGTAAACGATGCAAGAATGCTCCACAGTTTCCTGTTGCTTGTCTTCAGGACCTGCATAATAGCGGGCAAAGTTAGCTGATCTGCTTACCATTAGTGAAGTTATTTACAAGATCAGCGATTGCTGGCGAAATGCGATGCTGAACACAAACAACAGAAGCGCAGAAGCAATTTTTTAACCAACCGACTGTCAGCTTTCCGAACACAGTATAGGAGAAAACGTTCCACTTCTCAGGAAATGGTTGTAGTACTCTCGAACCGGGAGCCAGTGTAAGATATAAATAATTTGTGGGGGTACGAGTACGAACAGGCGACTGCAAAGATAACAAATCCTTAATCGCAAAGAGTCATAAGTATTAAACATACACTAGTTAGCGTGAAACCGATTCCAGTAATTCAGAGAAATTCAGAAAGAAACGCAATTATTACCTACCTACCTTCTGGCCATCGTATTCCCCTGCTACAATAACTGCAGTTACACCATCCTTGGAGACAACCGGAATATCTTTGCACTTAAGGTCTTGGTAAGCAGGCTGAACTAATTTTTCATTTTGCGGTAAATTAACCCACAACTGCAGGCCCTCGCCCCCGTTGCCATAAGGCGTTTCGGAATGCAGGACACCTCGACCAGCGGTCATCCACTAGTTAAATTAAGACCATGTGAAACCCAGTGTTCGAAAATCACTTGTTTACTAACCACAAAATAGTTCTTTTAATCAACACTTTCCTAAAATGTGCGTACAGACTCTATAACAAAACTAAAACTTAAATAACCATAAAGTAATCATTCTGCTTCGTCTGTTTAAATTCGGCCTACCTGTAAGTCTCCAGTGCCTAATATCTTTTTGTTTCCGGCAAAGTCCTCGTGTTTAAAGGAACCATTCAGTATATATGTCACCTGCATTCAGCATATGCTTCATCTGTGACCCGAGAATGAAACCACTTAAATGTGTTCGTAAAGTAATAACTGTTTCTAGTACTAACAGATCGCATCCTTTATATCTGTAACAGTACTATATATGTACTGTCGTGAATGAAAGACCTATCCAGTATTAGTGGGGTACAATCCTCACTGTCCGACCACGACACAATCGGAATAGAGCAACTCTTATCTCAAACTGGTAGGAAAGTAGAAGATGGTAGAAGAAGAAGAAGATCTGGAACAAGTCAGGAACTGCTGGAACTCAGGAATCCCTGCTGCAACACAAAACACAAAGATACGAGTAATACTCACCTGACTCCTCGCTAGATGTTAGCAGAAGCGGTAGAAGCAATGTCCATCAACCTGGCGCTACAGGGCATGAAGATCGAAGGGACCGAAGGGTCAAGGCAAACAAGTGGGATCAAGTGGGTAACCTATTACGTCACGAGACTATCCGAAGATGATAATGCACGTCGACGAGATAGAGGAATGACCCCTGACGATAAGTGAAAGGTCACTCAGAGGTCAGTTTGAACAGCCTCACTTGGAAAGAGAAGACCAGAGCAAAAGCCTGAAGTTAATCAGATCGAGTAACAAGACTCTACTTTTGTTGGGATTACAACTCTTGACATTTCTGTGGGCGACGAGCGCCTTATATAGCCCTGGGCACCGCAAGTGCTGGCTCTTCGTACGCGCAGGTACGGATCTGAGAACAATAGGGATTTAGAAACTAGCCAATGAACTACGATTACACACACGTGGACCAATCTAACCGCCGCATCATTACACGTGGACTAATAAGAGCAAGAGGTCAGCTCGTACAGAAGAACAAAAGGTTTAGCTACGTCAGTGACTCGCGGTCACGTCGAAATGGCAAGTCGCGGTCAAAGTTCTCTGCTGGAGATTTCTGAGAAGTCGAAACTGAGACTCGGGGTCATGACTCGCGTAGAAGCTGTAGTAAAGCCTAAGCCGTATCGTCAAGGGTAGAAGTAGTAGTAGTACCGATGTGTACTAAGGGACGCCAGTACACGTCACCCCGCAAACGAGATTTCTCTGCATCGTAGTGGAACAAAAAGTGGAACATCGTGGAACGACGTGGAACGAAGAGGAAGGAACATAGGGACATAGGAAAAAGTATCAGCTCCATCCGCAATCAGAGTGCGACGCTCCATCCAGCACTATGAGTGCAACTTCCACGTGTCCTCCGGTGCCATAGAAAATGTGAAACGCTGATCCATAAGTAATAGTGCGAGATCCTTGAGCGTTAACTGACAGTCCGGAGTCCACGGGAATGGATGGCGGAGAGCGAGAACGTTCCAAGTTGCAAAGAAAAACATACAATGCGCAATACATACACAAACATTAAAAACACATTTTGTCATCAAAATCAATACTTCTACACTTTTCAAAAATAACTTTCACTGACTCATTCAGTTTTCCGAATTACTTAAACTACGATTTTTACAGATTACACGAAAAGATGCTCGTATTATCACATTACTGTTAAACTGACTGCGATGAGCCACTACACTACGATTTTTGGATTTTCACAGTATATAAGCCTGAAACACTGAACAACGAAATTAAAACGAAAACTCAACTTTTCATAACTTTGAACATACCGCAAGTTAACAGACTTCGTCTTCATCATCGTCATCAACTTCTTCTGAATGTAACAAACTAGCCACATACGCGCGACCGGTTTGACAGAGTTCACAATCATCCTCAAACTCCTTTATGTCTTCTTTCATATCTGGCCAGTAGAATTTTTGCACATCAGTGAAGTACTTAAATGTGAATAAATCCGCGTCGTTTTTATCATGCACACAACGTTCATGGGCTAACTTCAGTAGAATTTGTCGGCACTGGTAAGGAATGAAAATGCGATTCTCACTTCCATCAGGCGGCTTATGATACAACACGTCAGATTCAGAGGTAGTCATGCAACTGATTTCAGCACGCACAAACTCTGTAGAAGTACTCGCGTCTTTCGGATTCTTGTACAACCTTAACCATTTCTGCGTGTCAGAACACTGAGACTGCTGAACTCCCCAAAACTCAGGACTTTCCATTTCATCATACGACGGAGGCCAAAAAGTTTCGTCTTCGTTGTTCAAACGCGGCCTCGTCCAACCAGGTTTACCAACGTTTCGCGACACATCTTTCTTACGAGCTTCCTTCTTACAAGCAATTTCCTCACAAATCCTCTGGTGGTGTTCTTCACGGAATATGGCAAAGCCCTCATTGATTTTTTCAGTACTGAGGCTATTATCCTCACTGACACCCTCAATACACTGTACTGTACTTTCCACACTATCGTAGTGGACTGGCTCACCCCCGCAAACTTGCTGTTCTTCCGCATCCGAAACATTGCTTGCCGGTTCTTTTTCGGTGTTTCCTAATCTTTCAAGGTGTGCTCGCATTTCGATCGAAAACTGATCCATAGACCGTAAGCTTGCAACATACCGTATATCTTTCAACAGGTGTTCTTCAATAGTTTCCAACCTTTTCAGTTTCTCACGAATTTCTACTTCTAACTGAACTAACGTACTGAAATTAACCGACATACCGTTCGAAACATTTTGCGGTGCAAATGCGTTATTTACACCCCCGCAAACTTGACTACTACCGACACTCTCACTTACACTTTCCGTTTGTACCTCCATGTGCATCATCGTCGCCGATTGGGAATACCCCCGCAAACTTGACTCAGAACCGGGTTCCATTACTGATTGACTTACCGTATGAGTACATACTTCTGCTGGCACAACGTTCTCCATCTGCTTAGCTGGCCACTGTTTAACTGCAGAGCGAAGTTGCATAGCGAAAACTTCAGGCGCGTCTTGTGCCAATGCACAATGTACCATTTTGTACGGTACCAATTCCGCTTCTTCACAAATTCCTATACGTTCCGTGCGCATGAGCGCTGGCAAGGAAGGACCAATTCTCGCACGTGGATGTAAAAACGGGTCAAACTTATGTGCACGAATGATGTCAGACATTTTATGCGTAGTACGATAAAACATGTTCGTTCTTACCGTAGGATCTCTGCGCGAAGGACGCAACGACATAGTGTTAAAATCAAAAATTAGCGATTTAGTAGTCAAAAAGTCCATACCGAGAACAATGTGGTCTCGATTAAGGGCGGGACTGACTAAGCAAGCGTGTTCATAACCATTACCGAAAAGTGAAATGTTGAGAAGCGCACAAAGTGGATCGACCACTTGCGAGCCATACGCGCCTTCCACTAGTAAACCTTTCATGTGATCAGGGCATTGGAAAATGTATAAATCCATTTCCTTTGCAAGTTTGTAAGGAATGACAGAGATACTGGAACCAGTATCAATCATTACTTTAACTTTCTTACCAAGGATAGTTAACGTTGTGTACAGTGCTTGGGCATCCAGAGTGGGCAAAAGGCACACATCATTCGTTACAGGATATTCACTAATGTCAACTACTGTACTCGTACTCATTGCATAATTTTCAAGATATGGCTTAAACTCAAGCAAATTTACCTGCGGCAGGTTACTATAGCGAGCTAACATTTCTTGGGATGGTTCATACAAACGTGGGAACGCCAACGGTTGTTGACACGCTAATACTGAGTGCAAATTATGACACTTATAGCAAATTTCTCTGCCATTCGGTAATCGCCATTTATCTCTCTGAATCTGATTTTCATTAAACTGCGCGCTATTCTGCTGACCACTCTGATTATTGCCGTTAAATCGCTGTTGGTTATTAAAACCACCGTTATTACCGAAATTTCCATTACGATTAAAGTTATTACCGCGGTTAAAATTTTGACCATTATAACCGTTATTATTCGAAAAATTTCCATTATTACCAAAATTACCGTTCGGGTTGCCGTTACCATTTTGTGGGATGCCGACATTCACATTAACCGGTACCGGCGCTGGCGGTACACCTGCTAAAATCTGAGGCTGCTGATCGTAGTACATGGGCACACCGTGCTGCACGGGTTGCACATTATTCCAGTTTCCATTATTATTATAAGACTTTTGAAAGTTTGACCGATTGTTATTGTTAAAATTTCCGCGATTATTCGAATTTCGAAATTCAAAACTTTTCTGTGAAATAGAACTGGCACTGTTACTACCAAGAGACGCCTGCATTTTTTCAAGTTTCTGCAACCGCTCAACCATATCCTCAACTGTCTTAATGTCTGCGGGTACAGCTGGGTGTACCAGCTTTCTCGATTCGATCTCAATCCATCCAAAAGCACACCTACGCGCTCCTCCTCGGGTAATTTCAATTCTTCAAACCAGCGACAAAAACTATCTGTATAAGTATCTACCGTATCTTCATCACGAAAGATACGAGAATTCATTTCACGACGCATTTCTGCTGTAGTTACAGCCACATTAAAATGTTTCAATAATTTTGGGCGGAAAAAATCTGCCCATCGTTCGTTCGGATTTTCATCGAAAAGTTTTTTAAACCATACTGCAGCATTACTGCGAAGTGACGCTGCCACTGCTCTACAAGTTTTCTCATCATCCCAGTTATTAGACAAAATGCACATGTCAACGCTTGTGAGCCAATTATCAATAGAACCAGACTTTTTCGTGCCTTCATACGGCTGCAAGCGCATAAAATTCTCGGTTCTGCTGACATTCTTATTATTAGTTTGGATTACCTGCGCCATTAACTTAATAACTCCCATTAACTCAGGGTCTCTTGCTGGAGCATTAACATACTGCGGTGGTACGTTACCATGCGCCGGGACTTCTTCCTCTTCTTCGTAATACTCATACTGATTAGCACCATCGTGCTGGGCGAAATTATTATTAACGGGGATAAAAGGTTGATTATCGTAATAGTTATTTACACGATTACTCACGTTTGCATCACTGCCTAATACACGTGGTTCTGGCCTAACTGCCTGAGACTCGTTGTTCTGATTTGGCGGTGCAACAGGGACAAACTGCCTAGCTGGAGGTGCAATACCCCCGCAAACTTGAGAAGGACCAGAGGGAGCAACATTACCCCCGCAAACTTGAGTACTTCCAATACTACCGTTAAGCGGAATCTGCCCTGAACGTAAACCAACTGCAGTACCATTACCTGTACGCATACTACTATTCGGTTGATTATCGTAGTACGATGGCATCGAACCCGTTACATTCGGTGCTGTTAATGGAACTTCCGATACAAACAACTTTTCTGCACAGGTACTGTGCTCCTGATTTAAAACTGAAGAATACTGCTGTCGCGAATCATAAACTGAAGATTTCGAAAATACCGCGCTACCTGCTTTCTCCTTACTGACAGAAATACCCTGACCACTCGACTGACTTAATTTTAACTGCTTTTTTAAATCTTCAATTTCGTTCTGCATATCGCGCATCTTAACTTTGTAATCGTTAATGCACTTACCCCGCTCCAAGCATTCAATACGCCATTTCTTACTTTCTTCACGTGCGATATTCAGGTCAATTTCAGCCTGGTCGAATTGCCTTTTGGCATCCTTCAATTCCGCATCGAGTTCTTCATTAGCCAAAATTATCTTGGCATGATCTGCCATATCGAGCTCAAGTTCTTCGTTCCGTTCTTCCAGAATTGCGAACTTGTCTGATAACGACTTTAATTTTTCACTTACCGTATTATTGTCAGTCTGCACAAGCGTTAAATTCCGCTTTGCAGTTTCCAAATCTGCCTGCATCTTATCTCTGTTATTATTTTCCCTACTTAACACTTCATTTAACCGCTCAATTTCATCACGCGAATTGATTTGCTGTACACACAAGGCGATATAACCTTTAGTACAACGAATCAAAGTACCAAATGACTCTCTCATGACGACTCTCACTTCGTGATCTGACTGAGAAGCTTGAAGCCTTTCAGTGACTTCCTTCACTTCTTCGACGAACTCAAACCGCAATGGTTCGAAATCTTTTTCGTGAACGAACTGTCTTAAAGCAGACTGCATTGGGTGCCATGATTCCCTAATCCTACCATCTACAGGTAAATCTTCATCCAGTAACGAGTGATTACCGAAATTGAATGCCGTTTCGTTTACTTCCATAGTTAAATCTGACAACGGCGATTCATTACGCCTAGTCACGTTGTTAAAATCAAAAATGTTACCAAAACCAGTGGGTTCAGAGCCACTGTTCGGTATACTCGTATCATGAGCCACTGCACTACGATCGAGCGACTTTTGCGCTGACACTACATTTTCACTGCCCAAAGCGATTTGGCTTGGACCCGCGTTTTGCCCTACATTCTGCCTGACTTCGGAATTATCGGTTCCTACAAGCAAATTTACTGCCTCACTACGATTCCCTACCGCTGGCTAACCAGATACTGACGACACATCCTGAGGGGTCATGGCTGTTTTTTCCACATCACTAGCAAAATTGACTAATGGGGAATTATTATTACTCACAGAATTTTCACCAATTACCGGGACATTACTAGAATGTTCTTCTGACGTAACGGCTGCATTCCGCGAACGCGTTGATTTAATTGAACTGACTTCTTTCTTAGCCCTGACTTCCTCCTGATATGCGTCAATATTCTTAATCGCCCATTCCCTCGCTTTCTTGAAATCGTCATCTGACATGTCAATATACTCAGCTGGTATCGACCTTTCTTTCTCGAACCATGTCCCATAGTAACTGGGAGCTCTGAGCAACGTCGTGTTTTTGTCTTGCCAATCAACCCATTGTTGACTGCAATACGCGCTTTTTACATCCGGAGGTTCTAAACCTACTGCCCTGTACATAAGACCCAACGGGATACGAGTAGAGAATTTATATCTCTCATCGAAATCCCCTTCGTTTGCTTTATATTTCAACCTGCCTGACTCAACTTTCCTGACTGGCCAAAAGCCGTCACGTTTTACTGTACGATCGGTAAAATCCGACATTTTGCTGAATTTCAGTGCAACCGCGGCAAAACCGTACCACTCAGGTGGATTAAGTTAAGCGAAAGTTGTACTGTACCCACTGGTTGTAAACAACCAGCTCGTATTTCCCTACAATTACTGACTGACAAACGTATGCAAGACGCAATGCTTGCCGATTCTGTTTCGAAAAATTACACGAAAGCAAGACGCAATGCTTGCCGCTTCTGTTTTGAAAAATTTCCCTACCGACGGGTACAAAAGACAGGTCCGACAACTGCGGATGCTGCTTTTACTCCGAATACTGCACTACAAAGTGACTAATCCGGTATGCGGACGTTGTCGCTTGTGTACGAGTACAAAATATCTGATCGCAGGTGCTTTTGCCCGTTGATACAGATACTGTACCAAACTGCTGAATTCAAATAGAATTCCTTTTGCTGTAATTTAAATTACCAAAAACGTTCTCAGTATTAGAGAACACGACGATTTGATTGAATGGAAAAAAGTTTTCAGTATTAGAAAACTACCAGAATTTTTATAAATTTTTGACTCTCTGCATTAGAGAGCGAAACTTTTGAAAAACCGACTGCCTACGATTATCCAAGCATTATGGATACACACTACTGTTTGATACAAATGCAGCTGACCTTTGAAGTTTCAACCGCTTCACCGCAATTACCGTACAGCTATCCCATTTATATGAGATACTGTAATTTTACACAAACAATAGCTGACCTTTAAGGTTTCAACTATGTTGCTGAATACTACCGTACACTGAAGCCAATTAAAAACTCACAGTGACACTGTGTTATTTCAAATAAAATGAACGGCTATAAATTCTGCGAATTTTTTCGCGAATTTTCACTCACCGATTCCTTGCTGCCGCTGCCGTTCACTTCCAGTCTTTCTGGCTTGCCCGTAAAAAAGAAAATAAAAGAAAATCTGACCTCGAATGGTCTTACGGTGCTTTTTCAATTTGACATGTAAAATGTCGCATACACGTACAGTTTTCAAGTGCCTATACTGTACTCAGTCCGTATTGTCACCCAAAATATATATCGCTAAGTGCGAATCAATCTATACCTCAATCAAACCGGGGGACTCGGTTACCCTAGGTCGGAACAGGAACGCAGACCTCCTGCACCACACTAGTGGCTCCTAACGGACTTAATTAATGTGGGCTCTCTCGAGTTGACCACCAACCATCCTGCACCATCAAATTAATAAATCTACCATCTACAGCCTTTCCGTACCATCGGGAAAGTTCGAACCTGAGGTGGGCGCCATGTCGTGAATGAAAGACCTATCCAGTATTAGTGGGGTACAATCCTCACTGTCCGACCACGACACAATCGGAATAGAGCAACTCTTATCTCAAACTGGTAGGAAAGTAGAAGATGGTAGAAGAAGAAGAAGATCTGGAACAAGTCAGGAACTGCTGGAACTCAGGAATCCCTGCTGCAACACAAAACACAAAGATACGAGTAATACTCACCTGACTCCTCGCTAGATGTTAGCAGAAGCGGTAGAAGCAATGTCCATCAACCTGGCGCTACAGGGCATGAAGATCAAAGGGACCGAAGGGTCAAGCCAAACAAGTGGGATCAAGTGGGTAACCTATTACGTCACGAGACTATCCGAAGATGATAATGCACGTCGACGAGATAGAGGAATGACCCCTGACGATAAGTGAAAGGTCACTCAGAGGTCAGTTTGAACAGCCTCACTTGGAAAGAGAAGACCAGAGCAAAAGCCTGAAGTTAATCAGATCGAGTAACAAGACTCTACTTTTGTTGGGATTACAACTCTTGACATTTCTGTGGGCGACGAGCGCCTTATATAGCCCTGGGCACCGCAAGTGCTGGCTCTTCGTACGCGCAGGTACGGATCTGAGAACAATAGGGATTTAGAAACTAGCCAATGAACTACGATTACACACGTGGACCAATCTAACCGCCGCATCATTACACGTGGACTAATAAGAGCAAGAGGTCAGCTCGTACAGAAGAACAAAAGGTTTAGCTACGTCAGTGACTCGCGGTCACGTCGAAATGGCAAGTCGCGGTCAAAGTTCTCTGCTGGAGATTTCTGAGAAGTCGAAACTGAGACTCGGGGTCATGACTCGCGTAGAAGCTGTAGTAAAGCCTAAGCCGTATCGTCAAGGGTAGAAGTAGTAGAAGTAGTACCGATGTGTACTAAGGGACGCCAGTACACGTCAGTACAATATATGCCTGTTTACTAGCCTTTGCGATAAAGAGCGGACTACGGAAGTGTACGAAACAGTTTGTTTGACAATTTATTTGTGAGAAACATCTGCAACGCATACAGCGGCACAGTAGCATTACGTGTAGGTTTGTTTGCTATAGCCGTGATGCAAGCGCGGTACACAGTCAGTTAATTACTGTTTCAAATCCTCGATGCGGATGATCCGGAAAGCCGGCCGGAGGATGCACCTCGGCATGGTCGAACAGGAGAAAGGGATCAACTTGGAGAAGCTATAAGTAAACATAACTTGAGAATGACTGTCTCTGGATGATACTACTTTTTAGTATAACAATACTCATGCTTCCTTGTAAATATAGATGAAACCGTCAAAACGGTTGATTTATTGTATGCACGCAGAATGCCATAGGTTGTAACAGAAAACAGCACGTATTTATTTTACTTATGGTTAGGATATAACAGGTTGTACCGGCGTACTCGTACCTGTCCTCCACCAATACCGCGGCGCACTCGTGCCCCTAAAATCAATGGATAGGTTCGTAAACTTCGTATGTTATATGCGCAGTTTGCGTGTACTAGAAGTAAAGTACATATAAAATATTCCTCAAAATTGTTACGCAAAACGCGAAGACTTAAAATGACCACAGCCCAGCAGCAAAAGTATCATGTAAACTGCAGCTTGCACCACTGTTTTTCTCCTCCTGGGCAATGCATCCATGCACACACGACATTCGATACGATTTTAGTAAGAACATTTACTATAAAAAGTACAAAATAAGTCATTTCGAATTTAGTAAGTACATAATCTTCTTTAAGAGATCTTATAATTATGTTCCATACTGAAGCATGTGGTTAGCTATTAATATAGCATCATACATATATTAAAGCATTATCATACCTCGTATTAAACCTTACCTTCTCCTTCCGCTTGCTCTCTGGCTTGCACGATCTTCTCAACAGTTCTAGCCTTCAGCATTTCATAAGCAACAATATGAACGGAATATATATATACAGTAAGAAATCAATGTCACTGCGTGGACGCTCGTGCGGAAGTAGTCTGACAGGCCGTTACTGTGAGGAACGCCGTGTGAGCCGTGAGGAGCGCTACCAAGGACCGTTAGTTACTGCTTCGCCGCATGCCAGTTATCTTTGCTGATATTGGCATAATTTTTGTAGAAGCCTGAACGGAACTTCGTTCAACATAATTCACTGCGGTGTACCAGTGTTACGTTTGATTTACATCCGGTATATCAGCTAGCGAATTAAACGCTGCTGATTCGTTTGCGGCGTTACTTATGCGCTTGTTTCGGCCATTAGCGTCTTGTACACCTTGTAGGCTTGTAGCTTTAGCCTCGGATGTGACAGTGCAATAGTAAGTAATCGATCATCCACACTTTCGGTGAAGGTTATGAAATTGGGAGTGAGAGAGGAGATTAGGTAGCCGTACTCGTAGAGAAGATTGCGACAGTACTCGCATATTGTGTCATTTGTATAACGCCGTCAGTCATGATCGGGACTCTGTTCTCCCGGGTCTCACCGACTGTTTCCGCTGGGAATGGGAACGCTTTAACGCTGGCAACCGCCCAGGTAAGCTGTTACCCGTATGGAGGCGCAGGTGACGGCGTCATGGCAGTGTGCCTCTAGTCTTGGATAAGTACTTTTTTAGATCCAAAACAATCCGCTTTAGAATTCCTGCTGGACGATTTTTAAGACAATTATTTTAGGGACAACTGACAAACATTATTTTCGCACGCAGTTTTACGAAGTCAGAGTGAGACTGAAGTTACATTACGTTATTTCAAAGGATCATCATGGCGTTTGGAGGAAACGTTACTCTCGATCTCAAATTACTGCGGCCCAATAAAACTTACAGAAAAGGGGTGAGTTTTTTGTCCTGCTGATTTTGTAATGGTTGTAGTTAATCTTATGATTCTTATCAAGAAAAAACATGAATGCAGAGATTTTTTAATTTTCCATCTTATTCACAACGGTTACTACTTCTGCGGTACATTAATGCATGAGTTTGTTGGAACAGTCAAATCCCGTTGTACTCATGTTGTTTTGCACTGTTACCGCCGTGTTACGATAGGATTTGGTTACTGGTATAATCTCTGTGCATTCCTCGAGCGATACCAAACATGATGGCATCGCGGTGGCCCTGGAAGGAACATTAGCGATGCAAATGGATAACAAAAACCTGCTGCTTGAAACGTTTTACAGCTCATTAAAGGTACGTGTAATCTTACATAATATATACTCTGGTATTCTAAATGCTCTTTGTATTCGTGATTCCATCATAATGAAATCGTTGTTATGCAGCCAACACAACTGGCGTTTTCTAGCTTGGAAATGGCTAAACCGGGACGGCTGGCAGCAGGCACCACCGAAATCCCGTTCGAGCTGAAATTGGTGCAACTGGTGAATAAAACGCTGTATGAAACATATCACGGAGTGTACATCACTGTACAGGTAAGGAGTTGTTTTCTATCAGCTACGTATCATGTAAAATGTGTCGCGCTTGTCCGTTCTTACAATTTAAATTTGATTTAAGTTATTTGGTGTTTGCTATAGGAAGTTTACTCGGACTCGTTTTTGTTTTGTGTACTTTTTTTGTTTGGTTCTGTGCTGTGCTTGGACAGACGGCGAGTTATCATAATTTTTTCAACGTCGTCGTTCGAGATATTTATTTTTCTGTCTTTACACATACCACACAATGCCTTTTGTGGGTTTCTAGTATACTATAAAATGCGAGATGAAAAGATCCGTACTTAATCGAGACATCATTAAATCCTTGGAATTCGTGGTGGAAGTGCCGGTAAGCCTGGACCCATTCTTATTGACCATTCACGGAAGTTTATGTTGACTTTTTGTAGCAACCATACGATGATTCGGAAAACAAGCCCTTAACATTTAATATAACACCAGAATCCTTGCAGAATATTGCTGAAGTAAGTTATGGTGCGCTTAGATTGATTTTCGGTACGGGCGTGACGGTTAATCTGAACCGATTTGCTGAACTTTGCGTTGTTTTTCAGAGCACCAAACTTCCTCGGTTTTGTATAAAAGGACAACTGGACAGATCTCATTTTAGAATCACGGAACCGATGCTTGGAGAGGTGATTTGAATTTGACAGAGTCCTTGTACAGTTGGACTATTTGGTGGACAATGCGACGGAATGTCTTTGATATCGGTTGTTGCTTGTTTGTTGTAGTTGATCGTGGAAAATTGCGAAATAGGTATAAAATCCATTGAGCTTCAGTTGGCCCGGGTAGAAACCTGTGGCTCATCCGAGGGTTTCGCGAAGGAAGCAACAGAAATTCAAAATATTCAAATTGGCGATGGCGATGTGTGCCGCAACCTGTCTATCCCGATCCATATGGTCTTTCCGCGTTTATTTACGTGTCCTACTACAATTGCCCCAAATTTCAAAATTGGTAGGAACTTGCGGGAACCTTTATGGGATAGTCGATTTAAGTATTACAAAGCTTCTTTATTGCAGAATTCGAAGTCAATCTTGTAATCATTTTCCAGGATGATCACTTAGTGATGGAGACTTTTGAAATAAAGCTGATTCGTCCTTGAAATGGATTGTCAATGCTAAAAAAATATCTACCTTAACTTTTCGATTCCGCAGATGCTTATGGTTTACGGTGGTATGGTTTTTGTTAGACTGTTACTAATTACTAATTATATTTGCTGTTTCTGTGATTCCTTGCAATGCGGTGTTACTTACTTCATTGTGCGTGATTGTTGTGCGTTTTTATTTTTTTATATTTTATTCCTTTGATACATCGACTAATTGTCCATTTTTTATTTGTCATTGTCTCAAGTAAATAGAAAGAAGTCAAAGAATATTCGCAAAGAATGTCAAAGAATAAACGTGGCTGCACAAAAAGATAAAGGCAAGAGTACATAAAACTGGAAAGGCGCTAGCTTATCTGCGTTATCCTCTGCAAGAGATCAAAAACAACAAGAAATCAAATTGTGCACATTATGGGACATAAAAACGCACTTGCAAAAGGACGGATTTCACGTGCAACGGGCAACCAAAAATAATCACTCGGACGAAAAAGGCTAGTAACGCAGAGGGGCACACGAAAAAATGTACAGTAATATCACAAAATTTGAGATCGCACTGAATTTATTTGCAAAAGGGGATCGCAAAAACCGCTTCCGCATTCCCAAGACCCGAATCGATACTGACTAATCTTTAACTCCAGGCAGAATTCCCACGGTCTCTATGCTGGTTAAATTTTCTTGAATCTCAGCATTCTGCAGATCTTCGGCTAATTCCTGCAGCCGCATTTCCGCGATGGCACTTCTGATGTTATAAACGCCAATTTCCTCCTTCATGCGTTTCATAGCGGCACGCATACTCGTGATGGCAAGACGATCAGCGGCACTGTTACTCTTCGCTTCCAACTGTCGCTTGAGCTTATCAACTTCCGCCGTTACATCCGCAAGTTTCTGGGCATTCGTTTCCACTTCCGTATTATGGGCTTCGTACTTCGCTTTAGCGGCAGCTAACTTTGCACTCACAATTCGATATTTCTGCAGTCACAATGTCACATAATAATGCATGCTCACACATCTTCAGTTACGAAAAGAGATAAAAAGCGCCGGGTTTACCTCGATTTTGTCTTTATTATTAACGCTAATAAACTTCTCTCGATTGCGTAATTTCTCCATAGAACGTCCCATTTCTGCGCTGACATTCAACAGTTTCTTCGACACATTCCCTACATTTTGATCCAACTCTTTCCAGCAAACATCAAGCCTTTTAATCCGATCACTCCAACCCTGTCAAACAAACGCAAAATCAGATCATCAATACAGCACGCACATCGCCCCGCATAGCACTTCACCACCACTTGAGCAACCGTAAAACGTACCAGCCTATCACTACCCATTCGATCCGGTTGACCGAAAAAAGGTGCCACACGATCTGCTTCCAATTGCCACTCTTCGGCAGCTTTCTGCCGGGCCTTCACATCCGATGCGGACAAGGCATCGCCGGGAGAAATTCCCTCGTCATCGACAATGGCGTCTGCCACTTCCTGTGAGTAGGCAGAAGCTCTGTATGCCAAATCAGGTTACGTTGTATCAATTTTGTCGGCCTCACCTCCTGTTCCCAATCATAAAACGGTATGCTATGAAAATCTTCCGCATCCTCGCCTCCATCCAGGCCCTCTTCGTCTAGATCTTCCTGATGGCTAACAGCTTCGGGAAACACGGGCGGCCGAAATTCTTCCCGTTGTTTCAAGCATGCGGTTGCCAGTTCATACAGGACAGCAATCACATCAGATCCCGACCCACTTCGCAAACGATGTGAAGTCGTTTCCACTGGAACAGCCTGCGCGATAGCGTAAACACTCAATAATTAATTAATTCCGGTATATTGCAGAAGTGATTTCTGAACTCGTATGGCGAGTTGATCGAGATCCATGATTTTCATATGAAAAGATTCGTGCAGCCACCTTTTATGCTTAATTCCACTAAAAATTCGTCTCGCTCATGCAAACAACGAATCTGATACAAATGATCGATTTTGACTGTCTCTGGTTCGAACTCACTTGTAAGCAAAAACGTTTAGAGCAAAAAAAATTTTTGTGTGACCAGTGGCAGTGCCTTTCAAAATTCATCAAAACATTACCCTATTCGATCTTACATGGATGTTCCAATTTTGCAACATGGAAATTTTTTAACTATGCACGGTAAGGTATACCGTATTCACAAATGCCAACACCGCAAGCTCACCAACTTTCGCAGAGATTCCAAAATACTGGTAACTGTTAAATTGGGATCGTCGCGCTCTTCCGGTGCTCGCAGTTGAATCCCAAGCTGGCCGATCATCCAAACGGCCAAGGTAGCAAATGTCTGAAACGTCATGGTTCCAGCATTGAGATTTCCCGATAAAAAGTAATTCCTGTAGAAAATACGCCATCATTTTGCATCAAGGCATGCAAACTGCCACACAAAACTATATCACTCAATTGCTATACTTTATTTTAATAAATTATAACTAGCTAAATAATAAAAAAATCGATATGCTCTTAATAATCTGTAACCATTTATAAAACTAAACGAGAATGACAGTACATCTGCAGTTAGACCAAAATTAAACCTGATCCAGCGGTACCACTATAAAACGAACCTGGGGAGGTTTGCCATGCCCGATCCATTTTGCTGCAGAATTTGGTTATAGTCAAGAAGAACCAGCTTCTCGAGCAATCGTTCCATGCGGAGCACATCCAAATATTTGGCGCCTGGTGATCGCCGGGTAAGGTTCAAATGGAGATCTCCGCTGGGCACAGGTTGATCGTCAACGGCATTAGTGGTCAGCTCACTGCTTTCAGCGTTTTCAGCAACACCAGCCGAGCCCTTCGACTTATCTTGGGATGGTATTCGTCGAGATGGTTTCGCTGCCATTCTTCCGATTTCCGAAATAATGTCACAATAATGCTTCCAGAACGTTCGGAACACAATTGACGATCAATACACAGAGGCAAGCAGCAAGCTGACTATAAACTTGACATCCTTGATCCTGGCGCCTCTAAATCGGATCTGATGGGACTCCAGAGATACGCATTATTCATGGAGTACGACGCATGGTCCTGCATGGATGCGAAAATCAATGCTTTCGACCGCGTTTACGGTTTGCTGGTTTTCAATAACTAATGTGATCAATTACACATCCCCAAGCTGGTAGATCACTCCCTGTGGCCTACCGCCGTGCTTGTCATTTAAAATCGACCTCTAAAACATGCAAAAATTTACTGTAATACAAGTGTAATAAGTAATAGTAAGTTTAATCATTTTACCACGGTAGCTAAATTCCTAACAATAAAGTAGTAACTTCTGACTTGTCGTTATAAAACAGTGAAAAGCATTTTAGTGGTGGGATAATTTACTTTATTATGAGTGCAATAGTTACTTACTTATAACAAAAACCTTCCCGAATTGATAAGTGCAAGTGTAGTGTGTAGACGTAATATTTGGATGATTGCTTGTGAGCTCCGGAAGTTATGATAATTTCCATGGCGTTGCATAATTCCATATTTGCCTGCCTGTCTATATTTCAAAATCTAGACGCCTTTGGGGCGGAGCCTGTTCGCAATCTCGCTTTTTGATTCGCTAAAAAGCGCAAAACGTCACTCAAGATTTCAGCAATCGCTGCCATTTGAATTCGACTGTCCTGACCAGCAAATTGTGGGTTAGAATTGATAGAAGAAAGAAAATTTTCTTTTTCCCGACCATTCGCCATCTTTGCATTACGAACCTGCGACCTTATGTGAATATTGCCAACTTTAAATTTCAAAAACGTTCCCTAACAGGCTTCCCGTTTTAAAATGATTAACCGCAAGCTGCGCGCACTGGGGTATCCGGAGGCTCCGCGGTTCAACGCCAACGATGACATGAGTATCCGAAAGATGGTGGTTTGGTTAGAAGATAACGTTTTCTATACGGAATTATCTGCTGATCTCCTGGATGCCCTTCATAATCTCAATCATCCCGAATGGAATACCGTCTTTGCTACGTACCTGAGCCAGTGTTTATGCCCGTTTAGTATCAGCGAGCGTACCGCATGTGTCGACTGGTTGCTGCGCGAAGCCGTCCGAATGGTTGCCGAGGATTCCAAGATCGCGGATCCTCTTCAGAATGCCCCTGACAATAAATCCTTCTCAGGAACGGACGAAGCATTGCTTACGAAGCTGGCTCAAAGTGGAGTGCTTCCCGACGCAGTTAGCAAGATGGTAGCTGTGCTGCGCCTTCCTGCGCATCCGAATCCTATGGTGACATTCCAAGCTGTTACGACCTTCCTCGAATCCTGCCAGAATGTGTCACTGAAAGAAAATGTGGACGGGAAAAATCCGGTGTTCAGCTTGGAGAATGTTACTCTTGGAATAGAGACTGGAGGTACGTCCTAGGTTCTGCGGCCTATGTTGAAAAAGTTGCCGTTCAGCTAAGGTTCGCAAGACGATCAGCGATAAACGTTTTTTGTGCGAATGTAAGTCAGTAGTCAGCTCGTCATTTTTAATTTCGGACATAACAGGTTTTCGTCGTTAGCAGTATTAGTCGCCTTTCATTAAAATTGGTGGTGGTGCCCTGTTACCGTGAGCACTAGGAGCAGTAGAATCGAATAGGTTTCGAGTTAGTTTAGTGTAGGTAGTAGGTACATTGTATGCTAGCGTTCCACAGCTTTCAGCCTGTCAGGGTTTGTGCCACTAAAATGTGGCTGCTTAGAAATTTGAGTTATTCTGAATAATTTTGAAAATTTGCTGTTTGCCCTTCGAGTTTTTGTCGATACGACTTTGGTACCAGCCATTTGTAATTCGCTGCATTGGTCGTAGCTTCATAAGGCTTAAATCCATGTTTTATGAATCAACGGTAGCGTTCACCTACAGTTCTGTATGTAGGTGTAAAGTTCTTGTTTCGCGTTCCCTTTAATCAGTGTTGTAATATTATTATAAAATAATCATGTTCAAAATGCATTTTTTATCGCAATTCGTAGTATGACCCGTGTGGGTACGATATAGTATTCTTATTATGCGCTATTTACCAGTCAGTGGCAGTCACCAGTCTCACCACGGAGTACATAATGTATGTACAATATGATACATGTGACCATGTCAGACCTTGTTGTTTTGGCGTTTATGGGCCGTGATTTTACGTTCATATTTTTATTGTTATTCCAGTTGTTGGATATTTATATTGATATGGTTAGAAATTTTAGCGATCGTTATTGTTACGATTACTGAAATTTCTTGACCTTTTTCTCTTTGTACTAGTAATAATCAGGTGATCAAATTTGTTGGTCCAGGCTCCTAGGAGTGCACCGGTAATTTTGATGGCGAGAATTTTTCTCAAGGCGGACACGCGAGCGTTTTTAATGTATATTTCGGGTTTTTCATTTTCGGTAATCCATATTTCATGTACTTATAATGAGTTTTTAATGCCCTTGCAGCAGGGCTTGCAAAACTAATTTTGAAACGGGCAGTTTCAGGAATGGACATCGCTAGTGATAAGTAAGCTGTAAGCACAATGCTTATGCATTTACAATAATAAGTACTAACAACTATATTAGTCATAATTCATATTAATTATTATTTCCGACTTGCGCCATGGAGCGCCACCTACTATCAGTTAGCTTCTACTACAGTGCCACTGAACTCAGTTTTCCGGAGATAAGCAGCTGTGAAGTGTGAATTCGTTCACGTTTAGAAGCCTTTATGTAATCTTTCAGTCTAATCAGCAGTATAGCGATCATACGGGTTATACATAGTTTCTGTATAGCGATCATACGGGTTCATGTGGGTAGCATTTTTTGTTCCCCATTAGCATTAATTAGTCTGCCTTTCGGTTTTAGTATACACGAGGCTTACTAATATGCAACATCGACAATCACGCTGATTAGCGTATCTATGATATTAACCAATAACCAGAACTTATTATTTCAGATAAAACACTGAATGCTGCTTGTAAAGTCGCCCGTTTGCTGCATGTTCGTGAGCTTCGTCGGTTGCAGACGGAAATGGACAAAGTTATGGTGGCCGCACAGGCGATCACGGCCGATCCGAAAACCGATGAGCAGCTTGGTCGAACAGGATTTTAATTAATATAAACATCAAATACAGCCAACAAACCAGCAAAAGTTCGGTGAGTCAATTGTTCAACCATAAATTGATTATCGCTATACAACAGCGACAAAGATAGATATTCAAGTATATGTAAAGGCTGGATTTTCCTCCCTTATACTTAAATGACAAATCTCGCACCAAAATCCGTAAAACTGATGAAACAGCTCAACAAAAGAAAGAAACAAAACACAATATCACTTCAGGTAGCGAAATGCCGATACCTTCAATAAGAAAACATTCCTAACGGCTAACGAGAGCCTGCATGACCCAAGCATCAGTGCCATACGTAGATTTAAATGGACAAACGCTGGTGTTGTAAAACAAACATGGCTCAGATTAGTTTGGAGTGCGACGCCGTAATGCCCAAACCCAGCCCATTCGGCGTCACAATAGGACTACCGGGTGCACTGTGGAACCCGTTGGCACTGATCCCGTTTGAGGGCGCTAACAGAGCTTGCAAATTAGGCTGATAAGCAGTCACACGGGAAGCCGCTGTTCCACCCAAGGATTGCGCTCGAAGCGACGTGGGGCTGAAGGTCAGCGAAGCGGGATTGGCCCCGGCTATCGTGCCCGTAGTACCAGAAGCAGGCTGGGGGAGAATTGCGCGTTGTGGGGCTTTGAGGATAGCGGGGGACTGAAGAGAAAGTGGTAGGGGCATGGCCACTTCATCCTTGCGAGGACGCTTAACAGCCACAGGTCTCGCGCTCTGGGCGCGCTTGGTTGGTTTTTTCGCGGATTCCCGTGGGTCTACTGCAGGCACAGAATTTTTTCAGCAAGTGCAATAGTATGAGATGACAATGCTGAGTTGAAGCAAGAAATAGCTTGTCTTCCTTATTGAAAAACGTTTCAAATGGGAAGATTAAATTTGAACTGACCGACAGCCTTTTACTAGTTCTTGGTTACACTAATTTACCGTTCCGCTTTGCGGCATGCATTTCAGTAATAAAGTACACCAGATTCTGAATATTTTTTTTCTTAGGTAATAGCCTCAGCGCTTTCATTTCAAGTATACTCGCGCTCTTGTTATGAGCTGTTGTTATTTTGGATTATATAATTATATAAAGCTCTATATTTTCGAATACCGTAATCGATTCTATTTTAAATTCGAATGCACTTTTTTAAAATTTAAGGTGTATCCAATAATTATAAAATTCTTAAATCCACGACAACAAAAACATCTGCAACTCAGAACACACAACAAACCATGCTAAAATAGAATAAAAACAGTATTTACAAACAAATTAACAAAGCTGTCTTTGGCAGATAAGTTACCCTTTCAAAAGCAAGAGCCCGAGCTTACCGGCGCCGAGCAATGCATCCGTTTTCGGAATGCTCTCATTTTTCTTCGCCGGTGCTCTGCTACGCTTCACTGCCGGGGTTTTAATCACATTGGTGGCGATGGGCGGGGGAAGGGCCGGCGGCATCGACATCACAGCAGTTAGTAAATTATTTTTGTTTTCCGATGCATCCACAAACCCGTTTGGTTTGGCCTTCTTCCGCGGCGTTTTGGGTGTTTCATTAAGGGCTTTGGTGGCATCGGTTGCGGCCTTAGTGGGACGGGCGCGCTTTATTGGGACGGGCACCGGACCCACAGTTATGCCCTCCGCTAGTAGTTTCGCCGCAGTTTTGGGAGTTTTCATAGGAGCTTTACGCTTCTTAGGGTTATTCTGAGAAGGATCCAGGGAGGAGGACAGGGAATCCACTTCAGATTGTAGAGGCGTGGCCGGGGCTGAGTCTAAAAAGTTGCGGGACGGATCCAGGGAGCCTTCAGCCAGTGCCTCAGCTGTTGCCATCAGTTCACTTGCTGTTGCCAAATTCTGAATATCCTCCATGTCCAGATCGGGGGTGTCACCTAGTCGAGAAGTCAAATCCCGAACGGCTGCCGGTGAAAAATAGTTGTGTTCCTGTGAAAGGTCAAATTATGTTAAGAGTTACTGCTCGCGTATGCATGAAGAGAGAACAGCTTTGTTTTCGTAAACTCGTAATACGTTTACCTGTAGTGGCTGGCAAATGCTACTGCACGCTACATGGTACATATCGTATTCTTCATCGGGCGCCATAGGTTCCACATCCGCCGGGGCGGGTGTCCAGGTTAAGGCAAACTGATAAATGTCCTCAAGGATGGCATCGGTGAGCGCTTGACGTGCTGGGTCGTCGGGAAATGTAGAGGTGTCCGTAATGATTTCCGGATCATACTTGTACACTCGGCTGTAAAAATACGTTTAATACTGGGCTTATCTCGACTGTTCGCAGCACAACGCACTCTTTGTATTTGTGAAAGACATTCCAATCAGGATTGTCAGACAGATTCGCTATCTCGAAATTGCTATCTGCCTGGATCATATTGAGATCGTAGGACTCCAGGTATTGCGGAAGCTTGTAATAAACAAATCTGCGCCTAAAAAGGAAAACAATTTCAACATAGTTCGAGCATAAAGTTTGTTTATGAAATACTTACGTTCCACCTAGTCCAATGGTACGGCAACCAAGTACGGTTTTCATCACAGTCGAACCTCCCTTTACTATCACCGGACATTCTTGAAAAAAGAATCCATCAAGCTGGCGTTCTACATCATTAGACTCAGTCTCCCAATCCATTTTCTCCTAAAACAACACAGTTACTTATGGCAATATTCCGGCATGTATATGCTATCGCAAGCTAATTTTTAAGCTAAATCAGCAGTTTCCCTTTTTTCTTTTGATTACTGCGCGTGTATTGAACCATAATGCTAACTCAAACGAGAGCAGTGCATTCACCTCGACATAGCGGCAGTCTTTACGCGGAACAAACGTAAATTCACCATCCGGGCCCCAGTACTCGGGCGGTTCATCGCCGTTATACTGGGCTTCGGATACGAGATTCGGATCAACTACTAAAGGCGCTGGGAAGTCCTTCAGGTTTGGATCGTTCTCCACGTCGTAGCGCGGCGAGCGGGCTCGAGCATCATCTCTACCCGAAGCACGCATGTCGTTCCACGAGTTCGTCTGCAATAGCGTTAAGCCTTATGTAATGCTGCAAAAGTATGAAGTAGAAGCTCTTCCTCACCTCTACACTATCACTGTCATAAATCTCTGACATCTCTTCCACACTTTCCCCTGTTTCGTACTCGTCATCTTCTCCCCCATGTGTCCCATCGTCCGCTGTTTCTGAGTCAATCAAATTCAGCTGCGTATAGGCCGACAGAATGTGAGCATACTGCTCTCCATAAGCGTCGTCGAAGTAACAGTGGTTAATGTGAAACTCATGCCGTTCCATTTCAGTGATACGAATCTTCAGAATTTCACGTTCTTTCATGCGTTTTAAAATTTCCCTGCAATACCAAAAGCACAATGTTATGCAGTATTACGTAATCAGTTTCCAGTCGCTTCACTGTTGCTCCAGTGACTCACATTAAGCCGTCATTCATGTACTGGGTGTGGGCGATCTTCAGTTTGTACATAATAATGTAATTAAGCTCATCGCTTTTTCGATTCTGTGAAACAGAAATAATTGTTAATTAAATTAATGATGTTACTCATGCCATAATCAGCAGAAAGCAGTGATTTACTTTTCGTGTTTGCATTTTTTCAGCCCGTCGCCGAAATGCTACATACGGATCGTGCCCAGAAGCCGCCTCCCGTTTATTATCCGTCTTCACTTTTAACAGGAGCGGATGTTTCTAAAATTAAAACCGAAATTATTTATAATGAAGGTTTTCTGTAAGTTGTTCTTTCCTACCAATTTCTTTCGACGCGTTATCCAATATTTGGACAACGCTGTCACAATCTCCGGTCGCTCTTTAATAATTTTCCCGGCATCTGTTTCACTCGGTTCCTAAAGTGTTTTAGAAAATTGAGTTTTATTAAAACTGCGATGATTAAATTCAAATAATTTACTCGTATTCCGACGGATTTTTCCAGTCGGTCGATGGCCATTTCAAACCGCTCGGTGGTGATATTCAAGGCGGCATTTTGATCTAACCAGTCTTTGTCGTCTTCATCGATACAGTAATCAACAACGTCCGGCTCTGGCCCCACTAAAAGAAAATCATTTGTATTACTGCTTCTGATATGAATCTGAACCGCACATTTGTTTCACCACATACAAAAACCAGCTTTTTAACTTCTTACCACTTAAACCTTGCACCCGATAAAGTTCATTGTTCTTCCTGTAAGCGGCGGGATACATGCGATCGTAGATATCGGGCTCCACTTCCATGAAGTCGGGCACAGGAATAATGACTGTTTTCGTGTCACCATACTTCTGGGAAGCAGTTAGTGCCAGTTGCAGATGGTGTTCCTAAGAAATAAAAATTCAAAGATATTAAAATGTATCCTTGTTGAATCGTTCACGTCAAAACAGAGTTTAGAAGACGATCCGTGAAATGAGTACTAATAATTACACAGTGATAATTAGGGCTTTTTAGTTTTGTCTAATAATTCTCACTTTAGAAAAACAGAGGAAAGTATTAGTATTCCGGTTCGGTAGCTTAATCCGACCGGAAATAGCCGGAAGCAGTCAAGTTTATTACGTAACTTTACGGTCTTGACCTACGCCCCGGCCCTACAGTGAATGCGACAGCCCTATGGCCATTTAACTTAGCGTATTTGTAAATTGTAGGCACAGCAATTAGCTCAAGAAACAGGTAACTGAAATGTACTACCACTAGAAACCATTTTTGTTTTTCGAAAATTATCGATTCTATCTTATTTAAGCAATCCCATAATTAAACAAACAAAAAAAACTATCATGGGCAACATGCGGTACAAAAAAATTATTTCCAGAATTTAATTTGTAACTTGTTTTCTTGAAGCTCATTTTTTGCGAGGTAGGTACGAGATAGATAAACTGTAAAACTTACTAAATTAATAATAACCTAACTGTTTGAAGTACCACTTCCGGCACGTACTATGCACAATCAGTGCCGGTGCCGGTGAGGCGGCACAAAAGAGGGATTTTAAATCTTCAGCAGTGGTTTAAACGGTTGAACTTTGCAGTGTGTCGCTACGTTCGATGCCATTGTCGATTCATTAAACTTCACGTTTTATATTTTCATAAAACTTGTTACTGTAATTGTTTGTAAACGGACAGCCGAAAGCTACCGTATGGTGTTTTAAAGTTTTGTACGGTATCCGTATGTCGTCAGTCACCAGTGCGTGCCTATAGTTATACTACCGCTGGTATGCTGTATTCAAATCAAGCAGAAGCGAATCGAAAATAACCTAAACCTGAACACATCAAGCGACAATCAGGAAACTAAATGCGTATTCGTGAACCTGCGCCAGTGGGCGTAACAGACCAATCACAACGCACTCAACAAGCAGTTGTACAGCAGCGCGAAGACCTCGAAGAACCGTCATAACGAAGAACCAGAAGACTACGTACCAGCTCTTCTTCCTTCTCCATTCCAGTGGGCAAACTACTGGCTGTCCTGACAATCCCAGAATTGTCAATTCTATCCGGTAGTTCATCCTTCTGGGCATCGTAGATCACCATCGGCTTACTGGGATCCAAGTTTCTGGTGCGCATATTTTTGCTCATTTTTGGGACAGTTGGATGGCGACGGTTGCCCTAAGATGAGAAAAACTGCGGCACGCAGGCCGAGAAAAAGTTTCACGGTTTTCAATTTAGCTCATTTTGAGTAAAAGTTGAGGTGTTTGAAAGAATTACAAAAACAAAAAATAACAAAACCAAATCATTCATGTTGCTGGAAAAAGGCAGCAATATGATAACAGGCCCTCTGCTGCAAAAATATGAGGTTCTGCTATGCGTAAATGCCACGTCGCACTGCGATGCTCTGTGTTAGGGCGAGTGCGTTTCATTTCATTTCGTAAATTGGAAAAGACAGCCAGCAAGTTAGCATGGCGCGTTTGCACCCACATTGCTGCTTGGAAAGATGACGTCAGATTGCCTCGTGAACGATCACATCCTGAAGGCATGGTGCTAAGGCGCTACGGTGTTATTTAATCATGATATCATAGAACTCAGCCTTTCGGCGGGCGGAAACAGTAGCCATTTGTGTAGCGAAGTCCGCCATTGACTTATGAGTACTGCAGCAGTACAAACACGTTAACGAGAGTAATGTAATTTTATATACTTACTTATATTTTGAATTTACTTGCTTTAGCGCTTACTTGCTATACTGTGGTAGTACTTATTACTGTATGAACATGATAGATCAGTAGATACGAGAATGGGTTGGAAGCCGGAAGTAGTTAAACGAAATTGAGGAAGGAAGTTGAACGAAATTCCAGTAAATACAAAACAGTACTATTCGACCGCCTTTGTTTACAGATGCAGACAAATGATGCAATGTTTGATGCGCTTTGTGGCTCGCTGTCTTCCCATTTTTCATGTTTTAAGAACTTCGCAAAATCTGTTATCGGAAATTCTTTAATAAAACCAATACTACGAGTCTACGAGCAAGGAAGAAACGTGTAGGTACGTAACGAGTCTCATAATTTTAAATAATCAATTACCAGTATTATCAAGCATTGTGTTTACGGATTAAATATGGGATTTTGACCGGATTAAGGCCGACAAGCATGGATTAAGTCAGCGCAGCACTCTAATAAAAAAATTAATAACCTGTGATTCAGCAGTGCGTATCTCCGTACAGGGGATTGAATTAGACAGTTGGAACTTAATTAACCAACGTACTTACATACTTACTTATGTAAAAACCGGCGCACAAAAGAAGTGACCACACGGGCATGGACTGGTCAGTGGTCACTGGTGGATAAGCGGGATAGCAAGTGAGAAACTGGAACGACAGTCAACCACTGACCACTCCCATGTGGACCGGATGTCACCCTTTACACTTCTGGCTCAACAGGCATTGCCGGTAGAGTATTATTCCTTATCTTTTTAGCTTTTAGATTGGCTGATCGGGAATAATTTGTACCCGATGTTGTTTTTCATGGCAGCTTTGCTGTGGTTTTGTTTATATGATTAAAATTAAAAAATAAAAAAAATTATTCCTTATCTGTGCATGCACTATACTGTGTTGCAGGATACATGTATATTTATTTGTATGTTTATTTGTTTTCCGTTGCCAAAAGACTCAGAATGCTGTGGCTGAAGTGATGCTATATGCACCATGCAGCAAAAACTGCAAATTTTAAATCAGTATTATCAAGAACTACAGAGTACGTTTGGGTAACGCGCTCTATGGCAAATTAACCATGACAAAAAAAACTGGCAAACTACAAATTGTGCACCATCACAAACAATACTAAACAATATTGTTAGTATGCAATTAATCTCTGTAAAAAGCTGCCCATTGCGATCGTCAACCACATAAAAGAAAGCCAACAAAGAGTATATAAGCCACTACCTAACCCGACAAATAAGAACTCAACAATTAACAAACGTACCGTCAACAAGAAAGAGTTAGTAAAAATAGATTTATCACAATTTGAGCTGATAAAGATGTCATGTTCAAAAAATATCACCGAAATGATTACTGTCTAGCAATGTCTACGAAGCTTGCGAGCGACGCTGTTGTAATTCGTGCGAAAACTTGTCGTCATCGCTCTCGTCGTCCCTGGCGTCGTCGTCACTTCCATTGCCCGTGTCCGTGTCGCGGTATTCCGCACCGGATCCGTTCTCCGAGGTGGCGGACGATGAGTGCGCCTGAGCAGCTGATTCTGACCAAAACGGATCAACAGGGCGTGACTGCATGCCCTTTTTAGGCCGATGCCCTACCGGATTCGAAGAGTCCAACATTGGCTGAAGAATGCGCCGTCGGGCATTGATAAACCTATCCAATAAAATTCATACCGTCAGCAAAACCAATACTGGATAAATCCTATCCTAATCCGGCATTATTAAAGTCATGATAAAAATAATATACATCCGAATACTTATTGCGCGATACAGTTAAACAATACGGATATTTAATCACTCAAGCAAATTTTCGCTTAACAACCGTACAAACACACTAATCACTACGATTAATTAACAATAAGAATCTCCCTACCAGAATAGTAAATAAGATAGTATTGTGTTGTGAACTTGTGTAGTCAAAATAGTAAATGAACAGCAAGTCGCAGCACACTGCAAAATTACAGATGATGTAAATTTTAACTGAATTATCCGAGCGGTATGCGGAGTAAACGATATTTTTTCATGTTATGAATTCATTGGACTTCTGCTACCCATCGACTATAAAAATGCAATCAGATTATCAGAACTAGAAGCTTCTATCCAGCGACAAATTACTCCACGACAGTGTGACTGATTAATCACTCGTCACATTCGATCTTACCAGTTATTAACCTGCAGCAGAGACAGCTGCGTTTGCAGTGCCAAAACCCGCTTTTCGTCTTCCGTTGGATAAGGGTGCTGCAAAACATAGTCACTGCGTATTTCTTTGTCAGCTTCAGTAAAAACAACATCTGCAGCTGCTTTTAACCGTGTACGGAGCGATAATAACGAACTCAGACCAATTATAACCAATTAAACGCTTCTTCCGCTTAATAGATTGTCGGCTGTACAAAATCTGCCACATTAATGACACTCTTCATTGTATCAGGTCAAATACCCACCACAATATGCTGAAAGAGCCACGTTTTCATGATGTTGATTGCATCCTTGGGCAAGACTCCTCGCCGATTCGAACGGCTTCCTTTGGGACTCGATGGGTCATCGGGATCATGATCCATTCTTCCCTCATCATAATGCGAGTGACCGCTAACAGGGGACATCGCTGCATTACCGAGATACTGATCTACAAAGAACGCCAACCATGTTGGTAAAAAAAGTTTTGCAACATAAAATTTAATTACAAAATCAAAATCCAATTTATACTCGTATTTCACTGTCATACAGTTTTACGCCACTGGACATGCTTACCATTACGATATACTGAAGACTCTGCAGGCACCGGTGGACTCTAGAAAACAGACAAGATGTGGCGACAAAATATTTATATAAAAAACAAACTGAATTTGAACATAAACCTGCAACAAAACTAATACCTAGGAATAGTTCTGTATGTAAAACAAACAAAAATGCGCCAATTAATTTAAGTCCAATTAATTTTCAACATCATTCCAACATCATAATGCAACGGTGCAGGATTTCATGCGCAAGCAAGAAAAAGTACAGTATCGTACAAATTACAATCGGCAATACTAGTACTAGTAATGGAAATTTTAATAATACGAGTACTGGACCATACAAAAGCAGCGCTAATTATCAATCAACATTTCATCAAAGAAGACGATACTTATTTGTCAGCAACAAATAAAAATCACTGCGAAAGAATGTTAGAATAATTAGTAATACATGCAATTAACATTTGACAAAAAAAACAAGAAGCATCTCCTCGTAACTGTCACTGGCAGGCGTGGACTGTATTTGTATTTGTACACAGAATGTATCGTTGTAGATTCTACCTAGCTGTCTGTGACAACTCTACATCCTCCTCAGATAACAAGCAAGGCGGATCGATGAATTAGGAAATGCCAATCACAACCCACTAATTATAAAGCATTTTAGCATCTCATACCACGGCCAACAAGAATTACTTGTGTCATAAAATTTTATAGATAGAAATTCGAGTATAAGTATGAAAATCGTGTAAATTAACTAACCACTGCAAGCAAACCAGCCAATCAGCAACAGTAAATTGTAGTAAAATCTAAGAAGAAACCTAAGAAAATCCACAATAAACCAATACATAATGTGCTGCTACTTCGGCTCGTGGATTGACTTGCCGAACAGGAATCGGAAACGCTTTTTGATTAATGGCACCACGCCGAGTAATATCGACTTTAACCTCAATTAGAAACCGATTCATCACCATCGCCTAAGTGACTCAAAGCATCCGAGTTCCTTTCACGAAGAAAAAAAATAACAAGCTCATAGAAAGAGCAAAAATTATCCTAATTAAACCATTACCAAAAGAAGACCGTCGCATTCATTAATGAAATACTGCAATTAACTTTAGCAAGACGCAAGATTTCGGTCGCCGAATAGCATTGACTTGCCCGCTTACCAAGACGAACTTCATAATGTTTTCGGTCATTCATATCCATCGGGCATAGGCAAGTATAAAAATCAATATAACTAATCATAATGGAATTCGTTACTCTACCGAGGAATCCAATTACGACTGCCAATAAACAAAACCTTCAACTGTCAGTGCAAACGGACCTGTAGATGTTCATTACCATAAATTTTAATCAAACCAAAAAGTCAGTCTAACAATTTTGCTGCCTTGATTATCAAACTTTATTGCATCCATCTGCTGAAAACGGTCTTGCAAAAAAATTTGTAATAACAAAATGACGGGGATACTTCGAAGTAAATAAGCAGAATAATTTTACAGAAGAAGGTAAGTCGCTTACCGTCATGGAATGCGGCACCATTCCTTGCGGCGGAGTGACCACTTCGTATGGTCGAGGCGCGGAATTCGATGTCACGGGGAAATTGGCACAATGGATACTCTCCACATTCGGAGGAGGAAAACTGCCATTGGAATTATCCGAATCCATGCCATCACCGCGCAGTATCTGATCAGTGTGGAGGTTTCGACGAAGGCAGTCAGTGTAGCGATTACAAAAGTCCCGGCATAGTTCATTTACTTTTTCCAACTCGAATAAATGCAAACGGAGTACATTAACGCCCTGAGTCATCTGCAAACCAAAAAGACATTTCACCTAATTTGCACAAAATTTTACACTCTATACGGGGCACGTCACTCACTAAATCATCGATATCCGGACTGCCGGTGTTGACAGAGGAGTGATTTTGTTGAATTTTCCGAACCAAACCTTCCAATTCACTGTTGATCGCTTCGCGAGATGGAGTTACAGATGTCAGAGTGGCTTCTTCCAGTTTCTCGATCAGCAGCCGCATAAGCGGGAATAACGGATGTCTGAACCAAAAAAAACCCAGTGAACAAAAACTTTTGTTGTCATAAGTCTAACAGAATCTAGAGAGCCTATAACATAATTATATGCTGGTTAAACCGATTCTCTTAATACTCGGTAGGTCGGCCGTCGGTTTTAAAGGTCACCAACTTCTAATGTATCCAAACTTACGAGGGTAGTTTTAATTCTGTAAGCTTATCCAAGTATGGAAACAATATACTTGAAGTAGGAGTAAAATCATACTAAACTTATATTAAATCACGAAAGCGACGTACAAAGTAAGTGCTTAAATATTATATTAGTCTGATAAATCTCACAATTAAACGCATAACAAGATACTGTTAAAACTTTTCCGCAAATTAATTAGAGAGACACAGCACTGCTTGGAAACCAGCATATTGTTTACCTACAGTAACTGTCTGGAGGCAAAAAAAGAACTAAGAACCCACTTCCCAAATTTCGTTCGCATTTCGTTCACTTGTGTAGTTGCGTTGATCACTTTTGTGTTTGAGCATTATTTGCCACCTTGAAGATCTTATCTTTCACGCAGTTAACAGACCCCCGCGCTAGCATTCCGGTCCCTGAACGGATACATTTTCCAAAGCGGTAAAGAATTTCCGTCATTAAAAAGAGCCATCAAGCTCGAACAATGCTCACATACAGGTCAATCCACCGCTAATCACTTAAAAGGCTCCAGCAAAACAAATTACCAGTTTTTTAAACGAGCGAAATTTTTCTATTTTCCTACACAGCCCCTGGGCGAAAGTATCGATCAGCGCCGACAAAATTCAACGGTAATTCTGCACATACAGACAACAGCACCATATGATCATACCGGAATATTGCTTCGCATTGGTCTTTGAGTGACCCTTCGGCAACACTTTCCACGGGGGACGGCGTGAGGCCATTTATCACAGAACCGGTACGTTGAGCGCCGCTCTCGTGCGGCTGTATGGAAGACGGGAATGGCATGTGCACAGACGGGGGATACTGCTGAACAGGAGGGGCCACGCTGCTCCGCGGCGATGAAGCAGCGTAGCGCTGATAACGGATAATGCCGGGTGTCGGTGGCGCAGAGGGAGGTTGGGAATCAACGGGCGACACTGCGGGCTGCGCCGGTTGAGGTGGGACGCCATACTGGTAAACCGTCCACGGATAAGGATACACGATATGCCCTAAAATTGCAAACCAACAAAAAGATCAGCAAGCATTTAAAGAAGGCACATACTGGAATTAACTATCAAAAACAGTCAAAATTAATACAATACTGTCAAATATAATACTGCCTGATAGATATTATAAACTAAAAAACACTGCACGGGGATAATAATATAGGAACAAGCAATACGAAAAATAGCTGGAAAAACATCATGCTGATAAAAAAAGATGCAATAGTACTGTACGTAAATACTTTAAGCGAACATTTAGCAACTCATTTTAGCATATAAAATCGTACTTTGCACGAAAGTTCACCTTCCGAGTGGCCCGTCGAGAAAAATTAATTCCGCAGTAAACTCGACGTGCTATTAGATGGATTGCATACTTTCGCACACTCGTTAAAGATGGGTGAAATTATGAATACAGCCTGTGCATTGTGATTTAACCGGTTACCGACAGGTTTCACAAATCACTATACCAGCCTTTAATTTTTTCACACAACTACAGAAGATATCAATCAGACAGCTGCGAACACCTAAAAACTTTACACGGTCTTACTACTGGTACCGGGTGCATTATATCTATCCTCAGGTTCAGCACAAGGAGGATAAATCACGCCTGCATTAGGCGGCGGCTGCGTAAGCGCTGGAAAACGGGCAGAATTATACACCGGAACGCTACCGGGATAATATCCAGTATTATTGGCATATGCAAGATGTCGTTGTGAATGCGACATGGATGAAATATGAAATGACAGCCTCCGATTACCAGTGTAACACGAAAAAGTAAAGCAACTGCTAATTTACGCCAGCTGTCATTGTCAAATCAAACGCAGAGAAAGTCAAGTCGGGTGAGGTTGATGTTTTTGAAAAATAGTTCTTTATTAATTACTGATGGACGGATGAGTGACTACCTACTCAATCCAAACCTCCAACGTAAAAAGTAACTAACTTCTATACACGCACACAACTGAATGCACACGAAGATTGATAAGAAGCAACAAGTTTTATGGCTTCGCAAAGATTTCTTATTCTGGCATAACCACTATAACGGTGAACTCATTCGATCAAGCCATAGCCTAGGGCAAAAAATTTATTCAACTCTAAATCGACATTACAACAATATATGCACATTTTTTCAACACTATGTCCAAACCTTTATTTTCTTTTCTTTCTGTACTGACGTATTAGCTGTCTTTCAGAAAACTGAAATTAGCGTGTAGTCGCTGAACAACATTTGCACACGACGAAACTAGTTTGCTGTAAACAAAACAACCGGGACTGCCATGTCGTTATTCGGTATCTCGAGTATACAGAGTAATAGCAAAATTCATCACTTTGTAAAATATGGCAGTCCAACATACAAATGTATGCCCGTAAAAGCTTTTCAAAACGGATAAAAACAGCGGGCTACTTCACAGTTCATAATTGCGGCATTTGGTGTATTTCAAACAGATCAAGCAACTCGCGCTCGTGAAAATTATGTAGAGTAAAAGGACGCATAAAAATTTGTAGCAAGTATCAAATTAATAAACACTAAAACCAGTTATAAATTAAGAAATCTCAAATAACAAAAGCCAGAAACCACATTTCGAAGTTTCCGTTGCTTCGGTTTTTTTATATCTGTACTTATTGTTTTTTAACCGGTATCGCATTTGTCTAATACTACCAACACACTAAACTGAAAAAAATGTTCATCTCAACCCTATCCCGTCAACTGTCGAAAACTGGAAATTGAATAAAATTATAACTCTTGGTTGCCTTACTATTTTTACCATTTATATGTAAACAGAAATTTTTCAGATACAGCATAAAACACACGAGATAAATCCCTGAGCACAACCTGATAACACGTATTTACGTACAATAATCTCAGATAGAACTATGCTAACAGGTAACAAAAATTTACAAAATTTCTAGTTCTCGTGCTATGTGGTTTCGTCTCACAGTTCGCTGGTCTTTTAAATTAGTAAAAACGCAAAAAGTGTCAGCATGCAATTTCAAGTTAACAACTATTCCCTCACATGGTACAAAGCATTATGTGATAATTCCATACGAATGTAGAAACAATATCTGCAACAAATCAATAGCCACAGCTTGCAGTTAATTTCCACCATCAACGCGATGTTTCTAATTACAGTGGATTCACAAATAAGGCAATCACAGCCGTAAAGGTTTGCAACTTTGGCTTTTGGCTTTCCATATCAGCAGTTATTGCGATAAATAAAACCGGAAGCTGGTTTCTTACGAGCTTCTTGGTCTCACCTCCTGAACTTGACTTGCCCAACCATGATCCAGTAATTCACGCGCATCAAAAAGCACATCCGCGGCCTGTCAAATCACTTCCTTCACAAAACCCTGAAATGTGCAATACGCGATTCTTTCGCGGTTGCAATTTTAAATCAGTACATACTGGTATGAGTACAAATACGGTGCTTGTTGCAAAAATCATGCTGTAGTCATAGTGTAGTGTACCAGTGTGTTCCAGGGCTTACTGCTTAGCGCATCCTCAGGGACCCCAAGTTGCAACAGCCATGGCAGTTCTATAACAGACGTTTTTGTAAATTCAGGATAAAAGCAGAAGATCTAGACACCAGTCCCAGTAATTCCATATGAAGTCATGCAATAAGAGAATAAGATCACAAGATGATAAGGATTATAAGAACAGAAAAAAGTGAATAATCACGTTTAATTACAGTATCACAACCCCTAACATTCAACAACAATCTGTTACAATCATTAAACAATTATTCATTCTCGTACCGACTGGAGGAATAACACGAAGATTTGCAATTAAATAGTATAACTATAATAATACGATAATGCCGTATTGATTTTACTGTAATTATGTTTTCAAACAAAAATTAAAGGCTAAGGCTATTTTGCCGCAGTATAACAATAGGGGTCTGAATAGCCCTCAGGCTATTTTGCCGCACACTGCGCCGGAATAGCCAGTTGGCTATTTTACCGTACACTGCGTTAAAACAGCTCGTTAGCTATTTTGCCGCACTATGGACGGGAATAGGAATTATAATAAGGGACACTCGGTAATAAGGGGAACTCTGCCACACATTCCCTTAAACTGCCCGCACTAGTTTTTGGTTTAATAGTTTAATAGTTTCATCTCGGTAGCAGGTAACCCATTAACCTGCTGTGTTTTGCATACACAGCATGGGAATTTAAACATTGGCCGAACACAACACACGCACATTACCAAACTCCGCTACAGAAGGCATATGATACAACACAACTCAGAATTGCAGCATTATTAGACCCATGCACTGGCACAGTCTAGACAATGGCTAAGCACTGATATAAACGTGTATAAAGCAGACTAAACGCTATAAGACCTCGACATCGGTTCCCTCGACATCAGAGGCTAACAACTAGTGCAAGCAATTTTTTGGATTTGCTGTCTCTTAAAGATAGTGTAATCAACGTGCGAGTTACGCTACGAGTTTGGATATTCATGCAAGTAAAAAGTATTTTGGGTTATACCGCAAGTTACGTTAGCATAGACGAGACGGAATGGATTCAGAGGGACAAGGAATCCGGGTATTACGACACACGACACGCCCCCATTTTAGTGGTCTCTCTATTATAGTTATGTGTATGTGAAATGGTATAAATTGGGAAATGTTCACCACTAACTTGTGTCACTTGCTGAGTAAAAATTTTTTTTTTCTTGCTTTTGTTTCTTTTTGTGATGGCATGGGGCCGTTTCCGGCCATGTTCGGCATATCTGCCCAAAGGAAGTAAATTCCGAGCCCACCTTCCTGGCGTGACGTGTAGGAGTAATAAGAGCCATTGTCGCCTGCTCCTCAGTTGAACTTCCGGCACTTTACCGTACAGAGCGCGTTGAAAGTGCGCGGCGAGACAGGCTGCAATGATGGTGTGGCAAAATAGCCAACTGACTATTTTGCCGACTATAGTGCGGCAAAATAGCTGAGCAGCTATTTTAACGCAGTGTGTGGTAGAATAGCCAACAGGTTATTTGCCCACCCTAGTGCGGCAAATTAGCCAAGTGGCTATTTGGCCGCAAACACTGCGGCAAAATAGCCACTTCGAAAATTAAAACCTAAAAGTATGTTAAAAGGCTTTAATTGCTTTTATCTCGTTTTTCAAGTCCTTGCCTGTAACCACCACGGGCGGCAGCTATGACTTAGCGTTAAACTAAAAGCCGGAAGACAAAAATCCCGATGCCTTGGCACCTGGCCAGTGGGCCCACATTAGATTGTTGTGCTATCGACCATTGACCTAAATATTTTTGATTAAATTATCCACTCCCTTTTTATCTTTCACATCCGATGATCCCTATCTATATATTATCTTCTAGTTGCAAGCAGTAATCATATTTAATTTTGTTTATCTCAATTCTTGCAGTGTAAACACATGTTTATGTTATCGAACCAGACCGCCACAGCTCATGATCAGAAGTACGGGCGCAAAGCATCGGCAACCTGGCAGTCAAGAAAGTAGAAACCGGCTGACAGACAGGCTGGATGCTACTGTTCACACTTGTTTGATTGTGAATTACGTGTGCAATTAACAGTTGTGATTCGATTTTCATTTTGCACCAGAATTTTCGTACCGGAGCTTGGAGGTCGCGCTTGTTACATCGTAAGATTTACTCATTCTGGATCACGAAAGATTTTTGTTCACTCAAAATGAACGGACCAAAATGCGAGTAAGTCACAGACTGACGCTGCACGGCTGTTGGTGTGTCATTTCGTCTTTACACTGTACCTTCATTTAACCAGCTGCTGTCCAGCTGGAGTCTGACGTTTTAATCTCTATGAAATGGAAGATGTTCTTGGTGTGAGAATGAATTTCCTGAGTGATTTTATTGTGCCAATGTTCTTTGCCTTGCAGTTATTGTTCGTACAACAAACCCGAGGGACTTGTGCGCTGCGTGGATTGCTTGCGATACTTCTGCAATGGAACCTTTTATGGGCCTCTGCAAGTTACAGGAAAAGCGAGCAGAAGGTTAAGATTTTGCTACTTTGATTTGATTTGCACGATGGAATTTCGATTTGCACGATAGAATTTCTGCACTACGTATTTTGATCATATATCGCAGTGTGCGTTGACGCTGTATTCAGTTGAGCTGAATAACTATACGATCGTACGATAATTAAGCAGTTTTGTTATTTTTTAATTTTTTTCTGTTACTTTTAGTCACGCTGTACAGCATGCATCGCATGTTAAGCATGTGTCGTTCCTCTTTTACGGACCGACTGTATCTGGACCGGCGTGGGATATTCAGAAATGCTGTGCACGACCGAATTGCCAACAAGACAATATCTTCGAACTGGGAGCGGTTGGGGATCGCTCCGTTCCAGGTGGACTGGGGATTGTCTGCCGATCGCATGCCGGTGCGGAGAACTTGATTAATCGCCATTTGTGGAATCCCCTGGTATCGTCTAAGGGTAAAACGTTTGCGGCCATTAACCCGGCACTGTGTCCGTGGGATGAAATCGTAGCGCACTCCTCTGCTCAAACTCCATGGGGGCTGGATTCCGGCGAGAAATGGGATGTTGGATTTTGTCGGCTGCTGGAGGAGTACAATCTTCTGTTTGGCAAAAAGAAGCGCAAGAAGGCACATTTTCAGGAATGGAGGGTATGGTATCACCGACCGATGCGAAATGATAATTGCAGTATGATAAAAAATCAGGTTTCTAGTATATGTAGTAAACTTAAATTTTATTTTGATAGCAGATCATGTGTATTAAGTAACTACTTATATTGTTTAATACGCTTTGGTAGCTATTTGAGTATTAGCTGTACTAGGACCAAAGCTACATCACCAGAAACTCCCGATTCATCGATGTTTAACTAGACAAAAAATGTAACTAAAGAACGCTTTCAATAGCAACTAACCACTTCACTTCGATAATTAACTAATTTTATTTTGATTTGAATTTAATTTTGTTTTGTCTACTAATTTTGTTTTGGTTTCACAGAAAAGCGTTTTAAGTGGATCGTCTCGAGTGCCTACTTCGCAGGTGAATTATGTCAATCACTTTACACATTTGGTGCAGACTTTGGACGACATCGAGGGCGCACTCGTCCTCAATCTTCCGCCATTGCATGTCGCGGAGATTTTACAGTCCGTTTATACTCAGTTCAAGATCAAAGTGCCGTTCGGAATATACAGAGATCTGTTGTCTAACGGATGTCCGATAAATCTGCTGAACGATGCGGGTGCCGTGATGCTGGGGTTTATCGCCCATGTGTCCGAGGATCATTGGGGAAACATTTTGGATATCGATCCCGCGCGAGGAGAGAAGAATCGACTGCAGCAGTTTGGAGTTCCGGTGGCACTAAAGATTGCTTATTACGGCGTTCCTTCGAAGCGAATGAAGCGTGCGCTGAAGCTTTTCCCAAGTGCTGCTGCACTGCAGGCCCCGCTGCGTCATTTGCTGTTAAATCAGCCCGGGCAACCAAACCGATGCCACGAAGACGAAATCGAAGTATTTGGAGATCCGTATCCGAATCAATGGCAAATTCATGCCGCTGAATTGGCTTTGACTAACCGTCTGACGCTTATTCAAGGCCCACCGGGGACCGGAAAGACCGAAACGGCTGCGCTTGTCATATTCAACTTTTACCGGTTTTTGCAGAAGGGCGAGCAGATTTTGTGCTGCGCGCCAAGTAATCATGCCACAGATCAATTGTTACTAGCCATTGCCCGCCGCGTGCCGGAAGGGACGAAAATTGTCCGATTACTGGCTCGGTCAAAAGTGTACAAAGGAGTGCCGGGTGTTTCGCAATTCACTGTCCGAGGTTTGAAGGGTTTTCCCCCAGGGAAACGTGTATCTCACGGCAAGTATCGAAACTGGGAGTTGCAGTGCGTGCGCGACGCGGATATCATTTGTGTGACCTGCAATGTGAGTCACGAATCTGACAGCCACCGACGAGTGAATTTAAATTTGTTGCACGTCGTCCTGTTGCAGCTTTAATTTTTATCCGAACGTATCTGCTTTTCTTCGGTTATTCTAGTGTATGCTTTTGATTTTTTTCAGAGTGCCGCGATGGATGTTCTGCAAAATCGCAAATTTCCGTATGTTCTCATCGACGAATGCAACCAGGCTCTGGAACCGGACTCGTTAATTCCCATTACGAAAGGATGTAACCAGGTGCTTTGTTATATGAATACTAAACATCTCTTGCAGACCTTCGGACTCTCTTGATTGTAACGCGTGATCTCCGCTTCTACTCAATCGATTTTTCTGCTTTAAATTGCACAAGAATCCTCCCAGTGCGGGGAATGTTCTTAGGCTCTTGACCTTTCGTCTTTGCGATCGCGGTAGGCCCAGTGGTCACTTAAAAGCTTGTTACCATGGATGCCATAGGGCTAAGATGGGCAGCTCTGTTGCCACAGGCATGATAAATTTGAACAAGAAAAAGCTTTGGCTTCGCCTCTGCGTTTCTTGTGCTCCCCTGGCTGAGGAACACTTAACAAATCACTTCGCCCACTGATAAGCCACTACCGTAGCTTTTTAGATTCAGTAGAATTTAGTAGAAAAAGCAGAAGCTTAGCAGCTGTGCCATGAATCAAAAAACTTTAGGGGTAAAAGGTCAATACTCCACGATTCTCACCGCAGGCAACCATCCTGAATAAGTAGCTGTCTGGCTTTGCCATTCTGACTTTGCAACACAATCCAACACATGAAGATACGACGTAATTTTAAATAGTCGTAAGCCAATATTCATCCATGCTCATCTTGTTGCTATACAGTTTTGACTGCGAGTGCCATTGGTTTGTTAGTTCCTGAAGATGTCATTCGTTTTGATGCCATTTTGTTGTATTGCAGCTTGTCCTGGTTGGTGATGGTCAGCAACTGGGACCTGTGGTGAAATATCAGTGTCTGGAGCGTACTTCTCTGGGAACATCCCTGTTTGCGCGACTCTCGTCCTATCCGCAATTTCAGCCGGGTAGTGACGGTCAGATCATGTTAAGGGAACAATACCGCATGCACTCCGAAATTGGGAAGATGATTTCTGATATTTCCTATCGTGGCTTGTTGGAACACAGTGCCAGCAATGGTCAGTCAGTCGTGAAATAGTGGGAATGTTCTGTGGGTAAGAATTTATGTGAACGGTTGTTACAGCTGACAGAAAATTACCCCGGTTGGAATACGTGAGCGGTCTAAATGATAACGGCGCGCATCCGTTGTTATTTGTGGATGTGTGGCATAACGACGAGCTTTCCGCCGGTGGAGATTCCTATTTGAACAACAAGGAAGCTCACATCGTTACTCGTATCGTGGCAAACCTCTTGGCTAAAGGCAAGTCTTCCATGTTTGGGCCGCAGCTGAAGCCGGAGCAGATTGGCATTGTGACGTTCTACCGCGGACAGACACGGATTCTTCTGGAGGAAATGCGACGCCACCCGGAATTAGCTCGCGATAATAATGTTGATGTAAGCAACAAAAAACCTTCCATATCTCACTACCAAAAATTGCCTTTGTTTCTTAATGGTACTGATACTGACTTCTTTTTTGAAGACTCGTTTTTAGTTACGGCACCTTTAAGGCCAACGAAACTGTGTGTGGTGTTCTTCGTATTATGTATCCGAAGCGGTGTTTGTTTGGAATTTATTTTATCATCATGCGCGACTTGTGTTTTATGATCCGGCTTATTACTATTATCTTTAAGCTGGCTGTTAATGAATGTGTACGCTTTTATGTTTGTTTCAGAAAATCGAGATCAACAGCATCGATGGATTTCAGGGACGCGAGAAAGACGTTATAATTCTTTCATGTGTTCGCTCGGGTGGCTCCGGAACATTTCAACAACGCGCGGGATTCGTGGATGATCCACACCGTCTGAATGTGTCCATGTCGCGCGCCAAATGTTGGTTGATTGCCGTTGGCGATTACAGTGTCTTTTCCAATAAGAAGGTTTGCGATAACTGGCCGAAGTATTTGGAATATTTCCGTAAATCTGCACTGCACCGTCGATCGGCTGCACCTCCGCGAGGCAACTTGGATTCGGTGTTGCAGCTGCCAATTAGATGTGGTGATACTACCGGGACTTGCCAATTCTGTCAGGATACTTACTAATCTGCCCGCACAAAAATTAAATAAAGCACATTGATATTCTTTGCAGTTCCTTATTTTGCTGTTTATTTGGTTTTGGGTTTGTTCGGTTTGTTCTTGTAATTTATTTGATCGCTTGCCTTCTCGTTAGTTATTCAGATATGCCTATTTTAAACTTCACGCTTCGGTTACTAGTTAGGTGAAAGTAAGTTTCTAAAAGTTTTGTAATCTTGCTCATCTGTTTTGTTAACATTTTGCTTGTGGTTTAGTGCATTCTTGTGCTGCTAAGGAAGATTCTTTCACTGCTCTGTATTATTATTGCAACTTGCATTTCTGTCTTTCTAACGGTAATTTTGATTCGTGAGCAATTTACTGTACTTAAAGCTCCGAATTCTGGCAATTCAGATCAATAAATTTCAATGTTACTATTTTGGGAATTCACTTTGCACTGCTTGTAGTCGTCTTGCTTATCGTTGGATCAAAACATAACCAAACTATGAGCATTGTTTTGCTGATGATAACGAACACGTTAATGGATGTAAGTACGTATCATTACCACAAAGTGATATTGTTTGTATTTACGATTAGATTTGCATCGGCATTTGATGCTTGCCGGTGTTACACACCATCAATTAAGTTATTTCCGTCGAATAGTTCATTATAGTTGGTATTTCTGTAATACATGAAACGCTTACAAGCAGCGGCTAGTGACTTCTTCGTAAAGTGGCACGGTCGCATGTTCCTGCCACACATTGATCTTGAAGAAGCGAGCATTACATCCACGACAATAGTCACTGAAACATCTGGCTTCGGGAATGTTGCCACATTTTGCGAACTGGCAAGGATCCACAAAGCACGCCACGGTTTCATGGGCACCGCATTGATTTACCGGTGGATACAGGATTTTCGAGTCCGATACTGATTGCACTGTGTATAAGCGAAAAAAATGTACGGATGAATACTTATAAGACTACAGTACATATAACTGCATGACCTTTAACTAGCTGTAGTTGTCGATATAGCGGAATCAGCGGTTAATTGTCTGCGTGCATGAACCACTACCATAGAAAGGGTTACCAGTAGGTTAACTACAAGTTACAACACTACACAAACGGCCGCTTCCTGCCACTTTATTGCAAATACCGAGTATTGATTGGATAAAAATTAATGAATCTCTGTTGCGAGACTTGTGATAATGTGCTCAGTAGCATGTAATAGCATTGCCGGGTAGTTTCGCAGTTGCAGCGCATTGCATTCACAAAAGAAATTATAGAAAAGAACACATGACCGAAACAGCTAGATGTGTTCAGAATGACGAATAAGGTTGAAAAAGACAATATATCGGCAAAAATGTGTCGGTTTGCAAGATGGCAAAATTGCTTATCATTAGTTTATTTTGCTCTGCACTGACGGGTCACTTCCCACCACCCAACAGCAGCATTGTTCACAAACCAGCGAGCATGACATCCACCGCAGTAATCATCGAAACAGCGCGCCTGCGGGACGCCCTCGCACTTCGCCATGGAGCACGGCGCTATAAAGCAGTTAACCAAGAAAGGGCACTGGTTCAGGCCGGGCGGACCAGCCGGTTTGGGAAGACTGTTGCTACGGCTTGTTGCCACTGCAACAGCAAAAAAACGGCCGATGCAACATTACAGGGTGGACGTTTCATTTTTTCGGAAAATGGGTATACTGAGAATGCGTAAAATGGCGTGACAGGAATGGAACTGTGCATTTTTGAGCCGCACTAACACTAATCGATATTTTTTTAAATGATCGTCGTTTGATAATTATAGTCGTGTATAGCTTACGGTCAGGTTAAGAGACGTCTAAACTACGAGTAATAGCTAAAAATAACGGTGCTAACCTTTATTTGCAGCACGAGATGTTCGGTTGCAGCGGACATTCCACGGGTGGTCGCAATAGCCGTTCAAACTGCAAAAACACAATCTTAATCTGGAATATCCTGCTAAATTTAAAACCAAGAATAACAATAACGTTAAATAAAAAACATGGCAAAACTACCACTGACACCATGCAGTAATTAATGAAACTAGAAGTGTCACCATAATTTGGGACTAAAAATTTTTAAACATTCTTTGTACGATGGTCATAGTTCATTAAAATATGATACATACTGGTTGTATTGCAGAGGATATTGGCAGTAGTTCAGCCATAAATTATTCTAAAAAACAAACAACACCTTTGCATTAAGTACTTATATCCCGGTTCGTAAATCAACAAAACATAAATACTTCTATGCATAGCATAGCGGCATGAGTACGCTGTGCAGATACATACATAGTATGCGAAGACATAATCATGTACACAATCATATCTATAGAAGTATGCGAAGAATTATGATTATGGTACTTGATATTATTGTACTTACGCCCTGGCACTGGTAGAAAGCACTGCAGTTTCCGCGTGGGACATATGTGGTGAAGTTAAGACCACGGCAGAAAGTAGCTAAAAGCAAAAACAAAGCAATTATTATAGAAGAAAAGTATAAAAACTCAGTTTGATTCGACGATGCATAAATTTTTACCATTGTATCCAAGGTAGACCGGGCCAGCTCGGTTGCTCACAGCAGCAGGGGCAGCTTTCAAAGCTACATAAATTTACACAGATACAAAAAATGATTGATTGTTATGGTGCAACAGTGATGATTGTTTTAAATAACTATATGTCTGCACTGTAAAATAGTTTTATAGTTTTACAAAAGAAACTTAACATATATGCGCTTCGCTCACCGACTATGGCACCAACCAGCGCGCACAGAACTGCGCAGCAAATAAGAAATTTGGCCATTTTGATATTCGTATGGTAGAATAAAAATTGCTCTGTGCGGTGTGTTGCGTGACAATGCGTATGCAGGTGTCAGATAATTAACATTCGCCTTTTTATACGCCTCGCTACTGGGTCCACACAGTTCACATAAACGGTAATTATTGGAGTAAATAATTTATTCCCCATTGTCAATGTTGCTGTCTTTGCTATCGACAGATAACACGAAGAACAGCGTAACAACAGCATTGCGGCTCGGCAAACAGCGTTATCGGGTTTATCGTTGGGCCAAGGACATGCACAATGCGGAAGTGTTTCACAAAACAAAGCTTTGTACCCAGAATATTATTTGCTGTGACCTTTACGATATAGCGATATGCTGCAGCCTTGCACTCAGCTATTCCGGCACGTCCAGATATGCAAATCTGGCCATTATCTGCGCGTAGGGAATTTGCATGAACTGTAATGTACAGACTTTAGAGTTTAAAAGGCTATAATAATAATAATTCATTTGTTATAAAGGTATACGCTAATGGACTTCAATAATAATTAATATCGATCATCAAAAAACATCTCGAAAGCTGTATAAAAATTATATTGCGAGTTTTGATAGCTGCTGGAATGAATCAAGCATCAGATCATGGAGTTACGTTCTCTGGACTCTTTTAAAGGCGTATTATATATACACTGCTGGTCTTTTCTAACGATAAATTACTTATTGTATGCTGTTTCTTAACGCTGCTGTTGACGTTGGGTGTGTTGATTTAATGCTTAGGGCTTTGGTTCTCTTTTACATTGATCTCGATGCTTTTTCTTTTGCGGCAGGTTCATTTGAACCGTGACAGGTTCTTATATGCGGTATACGACTAGAATCAGTCGTAGCATATATGAAACTGTAGTTTCGGTTTTCGGTCTGCGATATCCGTGTGTAAACAGAAGAAATTTTTAGCGCCCGTAGAGTACGGAAGGGTCCGGCCGGTTGAAGGAAGCGGTGGGGCCTAACAGTCATGTGACACGAGTCATGTGACATGAGTCGAGTAACGATGCGTGAAAGTTGTAGATGGCGTTGTTAGCTCGGCATCTTTTTTAGTTTACATTATGTGCTCCTATATTATGTAGGAGCACATTGCATCGGTTCTTTGAGGAGAAAAACGGAATTGTAGTATTCAAACAAACGTAATCAATATGCTCTGCAATGTGCTACATATGTACATTGCAATGTGTCTACATATGGGACATTGCAATATGCCCTACATAATGTAGGAGTACATTGCAAGAGCATATTGTATGTGGAGATTATAAGGGGTAGGAATATAAAGTGCTGAATAAGGAATTTATTAGTTTAGTAAATTATATTAAAGGTGATATGTTTGACGAAAAGTGATAATGAAGAAAGGGTGTACTAATCCAATGTAGGGAAGAAAGGGTCTACATTGAATCAGGGTGAAGGTAGTGGGAGTTTTACTGTAGTATGGTATAAATATATTCGACTTTCTGGTTGTTCGTATTTGAGTGTTTAGTGAAGTGTTACAGGAAGTGGAGTGTGTTGCGGGTTGTAGATGGTGATGGATTATTGTGGAAAATTCAAGAAATTTCTAGAAAGTTGATTGCTTAATGGAGCAGACTATTATGTTTTGCTTTGATAGTCTTGGTTGTGTAGGAACAGGTGGTTTGTATATGGGAAGTAGGTTGGTAGGTACATCAAAAGATTGTTCGAGAAAACGTATAGTTTAATTGGATTGTTGACTGGATTTTTTGAGTTCGGTGGGTATATAAGAAGTTAAGGAATCTTGTGTTGGAGTTATTATGGAGTGGACGAAACATATGGAGTGAGCAAAATATTTTTCTTTTTGGTTATTTTTTGGTGGCCGGTGTGGATTTGTGGATACTTACTGGTTCAGGTTGCTGTCTTTTGTTTGGCTTTGGTAAGTCTTTTTTGGTTAAGTTTTCTTTCATACATTGTTTTCGTTTAACAATTCTTTTTTTAATAAAATAATGGAAGGTGGTTGTGATCGTAAGAAATACATGCGTGAGTATATGCGTGATTATAGAAAGAAACGCAAAATAGAAACTGATGGTAATTGTAGCAGGGAAGATAATGTGGGAAGTGGTGATGATGGTACATATGAGAATGTGAAATTTAAAAAACAAAAACGTAATCGGAATACTAAAGGTGGTGCGTTTTCTGATATGTTTGGAAAAAACTATTGGAGAAAGGTCATGGTTGCTTATCTGCCGTGCGATTCTTGCAATATTTTAGTTGCATCTGATTTGATTGGTGATAATTCAGGAATGTTAAATAGTGATTTAAAAGCTGATGCTAGACTATGTGCAGGATGTATGACTTTACATAAGCATAAAAATTTTGATTTTTGTGTTTACGAATTACGGCGGAATTGTTTAGATATTGGTAGAGAAAATTGGTTAAATAATCTTGGTTACATGGAAGTCCAGGCAGTGCGTTTAGTACAGCCTTTTTTGACAATATTTCATTTGAAAAATAGCTTAACAAAATGTGTAGGGCAATTATTTCATGTAACCAGTGATCCTAGTGAAAATTTCGAATGTTTGCTACCACGTCCGGCTACAGATTGTTTATTAGCTGTACGTCAGGCTAAAAAAAACGATTTTGATAATTGTAGTCGAAAAATCATTTATTCTGTTGATTTTAATATTGTCTATAAGGCGCTTGATTTTTTGATTTCTAATAACGTGTTTTTTGATTTCAAATTTAATCTGGGACTGGAAATCACAAACTGGATTAGAAGAAAAAGCGTATCCTAATCTACTTCCGTTTGGTTATGGTGGTTTAACTGATGATCGGCCTTATAGTATTTCACCTGAAAAATATTTTAAATTGCGTCTTTTAAGTGCAGAAAATAGGTTTCAAAAAGATTGCTCATACGTTTTCGAGCTCTAAACCTTAATAAACGGGATCAGGTAGAACGGACGATTAATTATGTTCTTAAAAGTGACAGTTTTTGTAAAGAGAAATGACAATTTTTGTTAAGGGAAAGATTAAGGTAATAAAATTGTTGCTAAGTTTTTATATCCAGAAATTGGAAAGGTTACACGAGGTAGTCAAGCATATTGCAATGGTGCTAAACGACATTTGCGGAGTATGGTAATGTGTAATGGTTGTCTGGATCTTTTCTTAAGCATTACTTTACGATTTTGTCCTGAATTGTTGTGTTTTGCTGACCCTGTTAAGTTTACATTTTTGTTTTTTAAGTTTTTAACTTTACATTTTCATGTCTAACATCATCACTACTTCATTATCTTCCTTGCTACAATTACCATCAGTTTCCATTTTGCGGTTTTTTTCTATAATCACGCACATACTCACGCATGTATTTCTTGCGATCACAACCAGTTTCCATTATTTTATTAAAACAAACAATACTTGAAAGAAACTATCTATGAAAGAAAACTTACTAAACTATACTCAACCTAAAAAGACCAAAGCCAAACAAAACGCAACAACCTGAATCAGTACGCTTCCGAAATTCTAAACCGGCCATCAGAAAATAACCAACAAGAAAAACATTTTCCTCACTGCATATGCTTCGTCAAATCCATAATAACTCAAACACAACGTTCCTCAACTTCTAATATACCCACCGAACTAAAAAAATCCAGTCAACAAACCAATTAAACCAAACATTTTCTCCAACAATCTTTTAATGTACGTCCCAGCCTACATCCCATATACAAACCACCCGTTACTACACATCCAAGACTATCAGTGCAAAAAATAATAGTTCGCTCCATTAAGCAATCAACTTTCTTAACTACACAAATTACTACTACCAAAATGACTGTGTAAACCTATGGAAAGTTACTGACTAAACGCGCAATTTTCAAGTTCTCAACTGTAGTAAAGGAACACCCACAACCTCTCATGTTTTTCATGCACTCACAAAATTCTTTCCCCTACTATTATTATTCTTTTTATATACACAAATCCGAAATTATTTTGAATCCCAGTATCCCTCTTTCTTATACCGAAGCTGCCGCTACACAATCGAGAGATTGTCCACGCAGTGTATTTTAGCATAGACCAGCCAGGTTTAAAATCCGATGCAGCCGGAAAGAGGCTACCTACAGTGATCTCATTCGAGTTAAACTAAATTAAATACTGAAGACCATTGAAAGTAAATTACATAATTTACTATGCGTTAATTTACTAACCGTTAACGCGGATATAGGCGCGTTAACGATTCCTGAATCCGTGATGGTGATCGTGTGCGCCTGCGGTGCACGAGACTATATGGTAATCTATCAATCTATCTACTATATGGTAATCTATCATGTAGGTAATGCTGGTGCAGGATTAATTTTTTACCTATCTCATAATACGAAGTGACATTTAGCAGCCGTTTGACAATTAGCAAGCTAGGCATTCATCTGCCGAAAGCACGATCGGATCCTTGGTTGGTTTTGTGATAGATACAATTAAGTAAATCATAAAAGGTCATAACAGCTGAGTACTCAACCTTCGCGAACCGTCTGCTTAGTGCGAGCCACTCTTAAAAGATTATTGACCAGATTTGCTGGGGTAGCATTAAGTGTTCAACTGCAAACGCTAAGCCTTTTATATCGATAAACGTGAGAACTGTTGGATCAAGGATGGCAACGGGAAGACTTTGTCTTCTGCGACAAAGGCCAACGAAGATGAATGTACTTACTTGCTGTGTAGGGAATAACTAAGAGCGCTATATGCCGTCACGAGATCTCAGATCGTTCCTGGTTAATTCAGTAAATATAGCCCTATTCCTGTGCCACATTACTTACATATAAAATTATTAATTATCGGGTGATTTGAAACACTGGTGTACGATATGGCAAATCCCGTAATATTTTCTTCCTTTCCTTCAATATTATGACATACACATTACGGACTGAAATTGTTTTGCAGAAGCGGTTAAATATGCTGATTGCAGATTATAATACTCATACACTTTTCTGATTTTGTTATTTTTGTACATCCGTATAAGCTGTGATTCTTGCCAGTTCCAGCTACCTACTTACTTTTAAAACGGCAAAGCACAGCTCAGCTCTGAAAACACAGAATTAGGCTAATGGTACGAGTACTGTAAGTAATAAGTACTCCGTGATTCGTACTTTGTATAATAAGTAACAATATGTACGAGTATTTCTCGTACTGTCCAGTGTTGAGCGTGCCTGCTTCGGCCCAAATCATACTCGTAACTTTACGTGCATTATTAGCGGAAGGGCAATGTGGAAACGGGATGCGAGTGGGAGACAGGAAGTGTCGGTTTGGGATCTGGAATATTTTTAACCTACCTTCAGTACAGTGTGTTCGTATAAATGCGACAGCGGAAACATTAAGTCTAACAAACGCTATAATTTTACAACTGCTGCAGCCAGAGAGATGCACTGTCGAACAGAACTAACTGTAAATGCAGAGAGTACAATGCAGGATTATTACGGGCACAATAATACCATAAAAGTAAAACTCGAGAATCAAAGGACATATCGCAGCTAATTAATTGGTTCAACATACAATTCGGTCAAAATACTTAAAACTTGAAGCGAAAAACAAGTTTGCTGACTGATCGGTTCGGTTTAGGTACGGTAACACATACAATCGGATTGTGACAGTTACGTAAAGCAGAGACAGAAAAAGAGGACAAGCACCTTCCGGAACCATTCATCTTCCCAGATTCCTTCCACCAAACAGCTTGAGAATTTCTTCACCAGTGCCGCACGATGAATCCATCCGACGCCAAACCGTAGTACGCGATAGGGTAAAAACACACACAGCAGTAAATGAATGCGAAAGCGTGACACGTTGTTCCTTCTTCGGGATCAATAATGTCGTAGTATGCCCGAAAGGTGTTTCTATTTTCCCCCACCAAACTCAACCAAGCAAACGTGAAAGACGAAAGGAGCAAACGGAGTGCAAAGAGCGCATCAACAGGCCAGCCAGTTTTTCACCATCAGCATTGTGTGAACAGAAAGCAAAAAAAGTCAGCCCGTATCCGGCACTTTGCTGCCAGACTTCACTCTAAACGTCACCGAAAACTAAGGCTTTTCAAATTCGTCGTTACGGACAGAAGCTGAAGTTTGCATCAAATTAATTTATATAAAAATATAAAATGAAATAATTACAATAGCTAAAAACCACTTCTTTTGGCTGACAAGCATTGGGATTTGTGGACCACAAACTAATCAACAACTCGAGAGCTACACCAGAGAGAAGGGCAAATTCAAAAACAGTTGTGGCAGGAGAAAGACTGACACAAAAACCAGACACAAGGATATACTGATAACTTGATCATCGGATAATAGAATCAAAATGCATAGCCAAAAATAACTAAAGCACGCACCACTCACTGTAACTGATCACTGGACAAAAAAGTGTAAGAGCAAAAACCAAATATAATATACTTACACTGGACAAAAAACAACTCGAGACCATAAAACCTTCAAATGAGCATATCAGGCGAGACAGGTAGGAAGTGTTTCACAGGAGGAGAAGGTAATCCATGTCGCCCACAACAAAAACGCACTGGTTAACGGGGGTCCGGTCCTTGAACGGGCGCTTTCCTCTTATGTACAAATGCATCCACCGACGACAACCGGCCAGGCGTTTCTGCGCCGCAGCATGAGACGTTGAACATGTGCAATCAATTAGGCAGGCAGCAGATTGATCAGAAAGGATGATTTTTAATGCAAAAATTAAGCATTTCATTTTCTTGGTTCAGGAATTAACTGAGTTTCCCTGAGGCGCTCCTCCAGATTAAATGATTACACGCGAAGCGAGACAAAATTAAATGATTAATTATAATACATCCCACAAATAAAATTCAGGAACAATTCTTCTTTGCAGGACTGAGTTCCAAAAATGGACGAATTTAATCCACAATGACAATGCATTATCCAGTTCATCGGAATTCAAAATCATCGTAATATCAAACCACCAAAAAATCACCGTCAATCTTGTTTTTGTCCATGGAGGAAAAGCCAATAAGTCTTTTCGTCCAATGGGGAATTTTCTCTGGGATTTTTTACAAGGCAATATAACGACAGCTCGGAATAAAATATAATGGAGCAAAAACTAAAATCTAAAAACTTTCATCCGGATTTCACTGTGTAAAAGTGTAAGATTTGGTAAGAGTCAAAACGTTTGGTTATGACGGTTGCAGTCCGCCTGCGGTCAGGGATAGATCGTTAGAACGACTTTTTTCATAAATTCAAAACTTTTTTTTGGTTCTCCGATGATCCACAGCACGCGCAGGCAAAATGCAAACGAGACCGAATGAAGAGTCACAGTCAGTAATTAGGGCAAATGGGCGTTCGGAAGTGAGATGCTTGCTTGCGTTTCTTGTTTCAGAATAATAATAAGACCACAGATGTAGAGGATCACTGTATCCAATGATCCGAGAAGAGAGCGCTTCGCTCATTTGAGAACCATTCATTAATCGCTGCTGTTGAAATGGCTGCCACCACCACCGGACGTCACCGCGTTCATCAGGGGGCTCTTGGCCACACTGCCGGGTGTCAGATGGGGATCCTCATCGGCACTGATCATTTGCGATCCGCGCCACGGCTTACCGGGCTCAAATTCCGGCAAAGCATCCCAAGTCATACGCGAGGTAAAGTTGGCGAAACTGTTGGAGTCAATCTGGCGATTGCCTGCAAACAACGAGCCATTCAGCATGAGCGCGCAAGAAGTAACTGGCACAAAAAGCGCAAAGCATGTGAGCGCCAGGCGACTCAGCACACACTGACTACCACACTGACTACCACACTATGCAACAACTAAAGCATTAAGCATGTAAAAAACAATGTTCCCCAGATTTCCAAAGCGATTTACTGCTTGCTCTGATTTATTTAACCTTCAACGTCAAAAGCCACATTTATTTTAAACTGCATTTATTGTGCTTATCAAAACCTAAGCTGATCTTGTTCTGCATTTCGGTATCGAGCTCAAAATATGTCAAATGCGTAAAGCGCCATGCACAAAGCTCACCCCAGCTGCCATCAGCCTCATCCATACCATATCCAGCGGCTCCGTTTCCAGTGGCTCCGGTGCGCGACGTGGGACTCAGCGAGCCACGATCCCCGGATGCTGACTGGGCATGCTGGCCACCGGTATTCCCTGCACCCGACGACGACATCTTCATGCTTCCTGCTCCGTGCATACCACCAGACCAGTCATCCATGTTGTGTCCACCGGCCCCACCGCCCGGCACCGTCGGTCGCCAGTTCATTCCGCCCTGATTCATCCCGGCATTATTCCAATTGTGCGGGTCATTCCACATGGGCGCTCCACCCGCCGCCGCCGCCATATTGGAATTATTGAAGGCACTTCCGGCTCCTGCACCGGCAAATGAACCGCTGCCACCGCCGCCCCACGAATTACCATCGCCACCGCCCATACTGGCGTAGGGGTTGTTCGGTTCAGGCATACGCCATCCGCTTTGACCGTAGTTGGGGGCTGCGGACGAGGAATGGAAATCCAGGCCACTCATACCCGACATGGATGTCGCTAAGTCCACAATGGTTGGACCTCCTTGGAAGCGGGGATCCATCGGAGATTTCAGATATCTAAAATCCGGTGTATCAGTATCTTACACACTGATACAAACAACCAGCATCAAGCACAAATTTCTTACTCATTTTGGATAAGATCAATCTGCTTTTGGACGGTAACAATTTCTTTGCGGACCATTTGACCCTGTTGGTTAATGTACGCCATCTGCTGCTGTTGAAGAGCGGGATTGATAGCTTTCTGGCTAGCCACAACATCCATCTGGGCGGTAAGCTGCTGCATTTGACGGTGCAGTTGCATAAGCTATAAAATCCCAAAATCAAAATTAATACTACAGTAACAGCTTACTCAAGGTGTGCTTTAGCTCTCAAATAATTGTCTCAATATAACGCTTGTGAATTATTCAAAAACTCTTAACTGATATCGAAAATACTATTATTACTCGAACTGTAAGTAATTTAAGCCATGACATGTTGCTGTACAACGTGCATAGAAGTATGGGAAAGAATATTCGGAAAAGATAATACACGAATGCTGTTTACATTACATGCCATAAAAACACCGGAAAGGTGTGCTCTGGCTTTCAAATAATTGTCTCGCAGCGGGTGCGTGCGTGCAATATTTTGCTTCCTTTCCTTTAAATACACAATACCTTGTGGAGATGGTAGACGGTTTGAGGGCACAGCGGTTGATTCAGGAGTCGTGGATTAATGATTCCCTGTTGAGCGGCATTACTGAGCTGGCGCGCTACAGCCTGAACGTTGGCCTGCGGACGGGACTGGCCCATTTTGCCTGGCTGCGGCGGCTGAATCAATGTGTTATTCTGATGATGTGGCTGCATGCTACCCGGTACGCCAGGACCTCCGGAACCGGTGCCAGTTAGACCGGTTTTGCCGTAGCCATCACCGCCGCCCATTCCGAAGTTAGCGCTATTGGACGACGCGAGTTGCTGTTGCTGCTGCATTTGCTGACGTCGACGCTGCTGCTGCAGCTCTGTCACCGTTGCCTCGTAGTTCATGTTGCTATTGCGCATGGCTATATCGATTTCTTCTCGCTGCAAATGCACAGACACCGCTCAAGTATACCCGATCAATGAGGCATAGGCACACAAAACCAGTCAGTTAAGAATATAATATACCAGCCTGAAAAACCAAGTGAAAACTCTCGCATACAACTTGCCGGTGCAAACACTTCCGAGAAATATGTAGAAAGGCAAAAGCCTTTTTGCTATTGACTCACCTTGAAGCCCATCTCAAGCAAGTTTTGATACTGCTTGCTTTGATAGATTTGGTCACGTGTGTACTTAGGAGGCTGCAAAAACACGAATTATTTTACAAGCTGCCTACAACATACTAAGCGTATCGGTGGAATTACCAGCATTCAACGTTATGCGTGGAATAGCACGGTAATGCAATAAAAAACTAAAAATACACACATTGCGATAACTCGTTACCCCGTTGGGAGGTGAAAAGGACGGTGGTTGATGTGGCCGTTCACGACCACCACCCGAACTCCATTGCGCTTTTTCGTTGTCCGGATCGCGCCACTCATTGTCTTCATTCCACTCGGAAGAACCACCGCGCATCTGCGATCCACCGCCGCCGCCACCGGGAAAGCCCGAATCACTCCAACCCCGCGGTTTCTGTTGCTGATATCCCCCCTCTGACTGCTGCATTTTCCGGTTATCATTGAGACTCATGCTTCCGCTCCCACCACCACCGTATGGGCCGTTGGAAGAACGCGGACCCATCGGCTGATTCCAGTGACCCGTGCCGTCATCCACTTCAGACTTCCGCGAACTGGGATCACGCCAATCCGACCAGTTAGTATGGTCAGACCACTGATTCGTCGGGCTGATGTTGCCACCTGAACTAGCGCCACTACCACCGCTTCCTGTGCCCCCTGGACTATTCCAGGACGGTCGACCGGATTGTCCACGATCTAAAAAATGTCGCAAATAAGTTATGTACACCGTGAAACAGCAATAGTGCTATTTACCGTGTGCGCTCATTCCACCGTTATTGAGCATTCCGTCCCCTCCACCGTTACCGCCCCCATTACCACCCAGACTACCAGGCATACCCATCATACCCGCTGAGCGCGGACCACCTGACATCGGACCAGACATTTGTGCGTTGGGAGGAACACCTGACCACACGGAGTTGGGTTCGCGGTCATCACTCATCCAGTGAGGCGTATTTGGTCCTTGATTCTGCCAGGGCTGAGTACGGTGGCCGGTGCTTTTTTCCCACACTTCCGTGCCGGTGTTCGTTTTTGGCTTCCACACCGAGGGATCATCCTGAATGGGAGGCGACTCTGGAATCGGCCAGGGAGGTTCCTGTTTGATCTCCACCTACAACAGACACATTAATTAGCGACGTAACAAAATATTATCTCATCGTCAATAGTAAAGTTAGCAAGTATCGTTATGAGTGTAGCTGTATCCGATCAATAAAACCGCACAGGCAGACTGCGGCTAACGCATTAGTGGAAAGCACCAGTGCTACCAGTCGTACTAGTACCGCGACAAAACTCTACAGCCAACATTCTCGCGTGTTTGCGATCAGATGACTAAGTTAACCTCTGGCCCTGATAACATACTCGTTAAACCACTTCATTATCTAAAAATAAAACGAAACCGTAACACTAAATGGCACAACACCAAGCGCAGATGAACGGAACGATAAAATTACCCAAAGACACTGCTTCATGGATAAGCAGACCCCGTTCTATGAGCATAAAACCGCACACGCTGGCTACTGCAAAGTGCAATCGTAGTATGCAAATAATTAACAGATTATCGTTCCATACTAATTATCGCTACCAATACGGCAGGGTAGGCAGTTCCTGTTGTATAAAACGATTCATGTACGCAAGTTTGCATCTATACTAAGAGAAACGAGGAGATGCATAAAATTTCGTTAGCTCGTTGCACGGGATCCATGTTGACTTTCCTCAGGTGTCAAAGGCAAAGCCAGTGTTTAGAACGGAAAACGCAGTCGATCCATATAATCAAACTATGCAAATACACAATCCAATAAACAAACGAAACAGCCTGTTTCCTGTCACACAGAACCATGCTCAATGGAAACCCAGCGGACTGTCGGCAAACTGCACACATCACAATTTATATGGAGCTGAACTATCGCTATAGGTATATCGTTTGGAGACCGGAACAATCCAAGAATGAACCAGCGTTTCTACGGCCACTTCTTCAGAAAAGGATGTGAAAGTGTCATGCACAAATCTGGACCCTGGCTCATTTGAACTTCACAGTAAAACAGAGGTGCCAAACACCAACTCAGCTCAAAAAGTGCAGCCCCAGCAAAATTATTCCAGTACCACTAAGAACGAAGGTTAAGAAAATCGAAAACAGACCGGTTTACAACTCGACAAATTATAGCTGTAAATGTTTGTTTCACTAAAAAGGTGTCTAATGGACCTAAGAAACGGACAAGACTCAAAAATTTCAATATTTCTCGAGCAGGGCAATCAAATACGAACAATGAAAACAGTTAAATTGTTCCCAAAAGAAAACATTAAACATGATCACTAACTGCTGGGTGATCCGTATGAACTCTAGTAAACGTTTCCGACAGTAGGAGCAAGCTGTTCCTTATGCTTGGCTAGTAATCAAGTTAAGAAAGTACGGCGAGATAACGTATGCAAACTGCTGTTTTTCACTTAAGCCCCGGCATCATCCATTTGAACGAAAAAAACCCCAACAGGAAGAAATATCGATTTTCAGCCCCAGTAAATGCGAATGCAGATGCGCGACGACAAACGCCGCGCTCCTGTGAATTTTATCAACCGGAAACACAGCGGCTGCCTATACATATGTAGACTGACTGCGATCTTCCCGTGCCGTAAGCGTTTTCATGTAGGTACATATAATAAAACCGGTTACGTTAAGTATAGGGCCTATTTTTTATAATATTAACACGATCCATGTTTTCTAAAATTCAGCAAAACAAAAAACTTATTCAAGCAGATTACTGTAGTGAGGCGGCGTATCATCAGCCACTGTATTTCCTCTACACGAGGTCATTCTGTACATTTAAAATGGAAATCTGCAAGGCAGCCAGCAGAGCACAACATACCTGACCCCAGCCGTCCCGGTAGATCATATTATCCAGAGGTGTCCGTTCCGCTGTCTGCGGCAACGTAATACTAGCAGCATTTTCTTTGTCCTGACCTTGTGGGCCATTGGGATTTCCCGGTGTTCCAAAGGGTCCAGACGCAGCAGCCGAGGTCGAATTTTTGATACTTAATGACTGAGAGGAGGAGTTGACCGCGCCCGCAGCAGCACCCGAGCCCACCACTGCTCCCGAGGCGGAATTCCAGGAATTTTTACCATTATCACCGGGCTCATTATTCTGCCACACGGAAGATGCACCATTGGGCACGCTATTCACGCCACTGGACACGGAATTGGACGGGACAGCCTGGTTGGGCTGGGGATGCTGCTTGTTGGTAATATCACTCATGGTAGTGGAACCCGGTCCACCACCGGCCGTTCCCAGCGGTGAGGCGCCCCAGGCACTGGACAGACCTGTGAGGCCACTGCTGCCCTCCACACTGGAGCCCCCTGCTCCCCATTCCGATACTGTATTCCGGTTGGAAGTTGCCGTATCGCTCTGCATAGATAAGACAGGTAAGGAACACTATCGTCACTTAAGCTATTATGCCAATTTTCACCATGGAATTCAGAATTGTCGCGCGCTCGGCTACAAGAGCACACCAGCTGCGCGGATATCAATCAACAAAAATCCCTGCCGTGCTGTGGAACAGATGGCCCATACAGACACAAATGGAGATTTTTCTACTCGTCGAGATAACAAAGCACGTGAAAGACGGATTAACAAAAGAAATACTACTTGGCAGAAAAAAATGCTTCAAACTTGCGAATCAACAACAATATAACAGATTTTTCATCCCTGTTTTTCATATCTTTGGCACAACAAAGTATCCAAAAACACAGCTGAAAGACAAGATCACATTCTACAAAACCCATACGGTCTCGATATCATTCTTGCCTTATGGGCCTCCTTCGTAACTTCAATACGAGCTATAGCTTGACACGCTTGCATAGTTCAGACCTGCCTGCCCATGGGCCTGAATTTAAACGCACAGAAAATATTCGATCACGCTTTGTCAGCAGAGAGAAAATCAGCTGGAATAAGCCAACCAATAGCCGCTCCATGAAACCGTAGCTAATCGCTTATTGGCGAAAGGAACGCCTGCTACGCTCTTGCGACCAATGGCCATCAGCTTATCAACGGCAATGTTGTGCAGCTACTTCTCTCCAGGCTTCAAATAAGTAATTTCCAAGTATGGCGGAGATCGTACACGATTAAGTATCGAACGTATTCAAGTACCTAGGTACAGAAATACGATACCACTGCGCACGGTTCACGTTGGAAAAATAAGAAACGCCCAGTTGACGTAGAATGGTTTTCGAAATAGCATACGCGTGGTCTGCGATCAATCAATTTGCAAAAATGAAAATAATTACTAGAGAAAACAACGCGTTTCGTGCCTCTTACTTCTTATTTATAGCGAAAGGATGTGCGCTATATTTTAAAATTTTCATCCACAATTATTTGAACTATTTTATCAACGATATATCAACAACAAAAGCAACTAAACACAGTTTTAATAAATATTACTTTCCTGTTCTAGTATAACTTTCTAAAATTCCAGGCACAGAAGTCAAACACAAGATTTTTAAACTTAATGTTTGTCTGAAGGTAGGAAACGGTAAACAATGCTAGAACTAACTACAGCAGCGAATAGCGAAAACAAACGATATAAAAATGTTCAATAAAGAGGACTGCAGTGTTCGTAATTCTTATAATTATGCAATTTCAAAATCGAAATCCGCATTTGCGTCCAGCCGCACTCCGTTCTCCTATCTAACAAAATTTATAAAAAAAGCAAGTTCCATGCATTTTAAACAGCAGAAAGAATGCACCGAAAGGAATCGCTGAATTACATTCGACAGTAAACTTAAAAACCAGAATTCAACTCGCAGGAAAGTGCATGTTTTGCAGGTTTAGAAATTACCAATTTTGTGAAATTCTCTCGCATCTCAGGCGGACTGAGGCAAGACCAGCAATTTTACGCTTCTGCGCGACAGTCACTATTAAATACCTTTTATGTCGACTCGTTGATGCTGAATTCAAATAAATATATGTATTTACATATCTAAGATACTCGTATCTTTCAGAATAAAACAGGAAGATACTCAAATTTTCCAGGTGAAGGAAAAATAATTTTGCCATGAAATCGCATTTCAGACTAATATTAAAAATTTTAAAAGAGAGAAGAATAATAATTTTTTTCAGAATAATACAAACGTTTGTATTCGTTCCAAAATTTATAAGCAAACTGCTAACAATTACTGTATTAGCAATTCGCACTTAACACGGTAACAGCAAAATACTCGAGCACTGTACACCGATCGCCATTTGACAGGTAGTTCCACAACTTTACCAAGCGCGTTATGCTAACTTGAACATGGTCCAGTTTCTGCCTACCTGCAAGAAAGAATCCGCAGCACTGAGAAATCCATTACTCCATCCATTGGGACCTTTGTACATGGACTTGCTGGGACTTTGAAGACCTCCTGCGGGGCTGTTTTCGCCGTTGGCCGGCAACGTTTCACCATTCGTATCAGCTGCTGCGAGTCACCAGAATTACTTTCCAGCTATAACCAGCACTGGTTCCCATTTTACGCGTAACCTACCGGACATTTTGGCGACATGGAGAGCGCTCTTGTCCAGCTGACCGAGATCCTGCAGGGTGCCCTGTGCAGACGCTCCGAACCTCTCCATGTCGGTGTCGTAGGGCGACTTAAACGGCATATTCTTTAAGACTTCTAACTCAGACATGTCGCTCCTGCTGTTATTATAAAGATAACTTGGAACGGCCATTCGGGATATCACAGGATTCTTAATATTTCGTTTATCATGATTTCTCAATTCTGCAGCGTACAATCAAAAGTCCAAACGACCAAACAAATTTGATGCCTGTTTTCGGGGTTGTAGCAGGCCAGCAGCCGCAGATGGCAGTAGGCTGTTGGCGTAGCGAGACGACTGGATCAAAATTAGACAAGTAGCCGCTCGCTGGTGGGGCTACATAATAGTATCTCAGCACGAGTGTAAACTAGAATTTCTCACCCATTCGAGAAGAATCCAGCAGAGATTTCGAAGATTTAGCAGATGAATTTTCCATCCGATGCTTATTAAGAAGAGATTCAATGGCTGCAACACTAGACCTTCAAGAATGCGTCTGGCAAAAGACAAAAGCCTGACGATGATCAGGATTCAGATCATTGGTGTTCTGGTAAAATCGTAAACCGTAGGAGTGCAGCTGTACCGATCGGCAAGCTTCTTCGTTCCAGCTGGGCAACAGACATTTGTCGAAAGGGGTTTTTTGCAGTGTTGCTTTACTTAGTAAAAGTAAATAGTAAACCTTACTTAGTAAGCCGGTTTTGCCTTTTACTAATTAAGTAAAAAGTAAGTAAGCAGCAAAACGGAAAAGTAAAAGTAAAGTAAAAGTAAGAGCAGCCGAGGCTTCAGAAGTAAATAGTAAGTAAAAGTAAGAGGCGCGAAACAGGAATAGTTTCATTAGTAAAGCAGTCTTTTTACTAAACGTCCGCAACAGATAAAAGTGACGAGCATCATCAGAATTTTGCTGAACATGCTTTTTTTCATAGCAGTTACGTTTGGCAGTACTGGTTTTCTTCTGAAGCGCTAAAATTTCTGCGCTGCAGACGCCTTCAACGGTTTAGGTGGGCGAGTTACGTGACTGCCAGGCGTATTAGCTAGTGCTGCTTCACTGCAACGGATACGGTGTTATGACTTTTGCTAATTTGTGTTAAAACAATAAGTACTGTAATTTTACACAGAACCAAATTGCTTCATTGAAACAAATTTCTGCACAAACTGAAATTAATCGGTGTGCACGCTGTCGCATAGTACAACCTGTACAAGCAGCTATTTTTGTTTTAGATATTTTTTGTTTTTTTTGCGATGACGTCATAATCGCATCTATCGACCGACAGTATGACTTGACTTGACCGGAAAACCTACCGTGTGAGAGCAATACTATTTACAGAGCAGTCCATTCTTTTTTCTTGAATTTATTGCCTATTTTGTTTGCTTTACTAGTGGTGATAGCCATGCCACGGGGCAGGCTAGGAAGAAGAACGATTTTCTATGAAAATCTACGGGAGAAACACCGCTCGACTTCCGTTACGCTTTTATTAGTCGAAACCAGTAATCATAAGAAATTCCAGAGCTGTGCGATCATAACTCCTCGACTAAAGTTCTCTGACAAAACATTCAGCGGATCAGAACTTCAAAGCCCAGTGTTATCGCAACAGTGTAATGCTGATCGTATGTGTACTGCTCGTACCTGTCTTGACTATCGAGCCAAGTGCTAAACACAGTTAATGCGGTGCAACAGGTAATGATAAGACGTACGTGTAATGCTAATAAGTACTGCATATGCACGGGAGATGGTGACGTACTAGCGTCATCCCTAACATGCCACTGGTGGGGATCCGAGGTCCTCCGAGGCTATTGCGACGGCCAAACTGGGGATTAACCAGGCGCCTTGCTATGCCTTTTTCCAGTGCATGTGCTGCAGTGTACGCTAGCTATACCGGGTCTGCCGCGGAGCTAGTCCGTATTGCGTCAAAATTTGTATTGCTTTCATGATTAATGCTATACAATCGTTAATGCGGAAAATTTCGACACTGCGTCTGAAGAATTTTACTGCTTCAAAATCCACTTTACACTGTCGCTCACACAACTTACCAGTCACTGATCGGCTGTTTAATGAAAATAAAATGAAATCATGAGTTAAGCTCAATAAACTGAAGAAATATCCATCGAGATCTGTTAGTACTTTGGTTAAACAGGAACACAAAATTATCAAAAATCCATTCCACCGTTAAATGTCCACTCATTCCGACACCGCCTATAAGGCTGCGTGTCAATTCGCGATCCACATCCAGACTGCGCCTGTGAGGCTGTCAGTCTATCGTCCATCGAAGAAAAATGCTGACAAATCAAGTCTATTGCGGAATTCAAAGAAATATTGATTACAGAAAAATAATGCTAATTTACAAAATAAATATTGCTTAGTAATTCAGTACATGCTATTCAAACTACTGCTCTTTTCCCGAATGCTCCATAGTTTCTGCGGAGAAATTCAACTGCGCCACACTATCCGCCACCTGTTCAGAAACAACTGCACTTAATTTACTGTTATCATGCGAATTGCCATTGATATTGCTATTACTACTGCTCTGATCATCTGATTTACTTGAGTCTTCGACTTCGTCCATTGCGGCATTCTCACCTGCCGGGATAATACCTTGCAACTGTGCAGCGTTTCCCTGCGGGTTCAAGTTGAACACTGGCTGGTGCTGCGGCTGATTTTGTGCGACTTGCTGCTGTTGTCCGCCTTGCGGCTCGTACTTGTCCTTCAACTTCTGCAACTGAGTGAGAACGTTTTCCACGGCATCATGCGGATTTACTACCAACTGCTCAACTGGCTTTCCAGCAACTTTCTCCAAACCAATTTCCATTGCATGGCGAATGCGGTCGATCTTGTCCTGTACGTTCAGTGTCGGACCAAGATTAACTATTGCTTCGTGAAAGAAAGCGCTGTCTTCATGCGGAGCGTCGGCCAACTGCTTATGACATCCGTGATGTCCCAGCAATGCACCAAAATACAAACGGACGTAATTCACCATAATCTGCTGTTTACGACGGTCCATGCTACGAAAATCTTGCTCTTCCTTCATCATGACCAACATCTCATCGGTGAATATTGCTACACGACCGGCGTACAACAGGTTTGCACCGTTCGCATCTGGACTAATGAAATTGAACAAGTACGGGATCATGCTTTTACGCGGATGGTACACAAGTTGACTCAATGCTTCAATATCGATAGTCAGAATGCTGTGTTCGAAATTCTCAGGATGTAATGCTGAGGGCATGCCATTGCTGCGAAGATAACCGTACCGGATATCGCGTTCTTCCTTCTTCGGGCGATCATCACGGTAGTTATACTTTTCCGCTTGCATCTCTTCCAGTAAACCGGAATTCGCCAGAAAGCGGTCCAGTGTGCTCATCGTACGGGTTAACATGCCTTTCATCAGTTTGCGCTGGTCATGCTTATCAAAACCCAACGTCAGCAGAATGCGGTCGGCGCGCTCATCCGCAGCTGGCAAATTAGGCATGCGGGTGCTGTACTGGCGTGGCTGTGCTGCCGGTGCATCGGCTCGGCGCTGCTGCGGATTCTGAGGCACCTGCGGATATTGCTTGTTATTTTTAATAGCATGCTTGGGTTTAATTAATAAAGTGCGGTCATTGCGAGGTTTATTAATGATGGTTACCGTTGAGCGGTCAGGAAAGTGGCGTGCACCAAACGGCTGACGACCAACGGTATTCCACTGCTGCTGAACTAAGGCGGCTGGCATTGCTACGGCAGACTGATCATGCTGGACTGGAGGCTGCTCTTCAGCGTTCAACTGCTGGCGTGCTTGCGACATGAGCTGGTGATGCTGCTGCTCCTGTGCTTTCATCTCGTCCCATGTCGGTACATGCTGTGCCTTGCTCCAGCCATCCTTCGTACTGCGGAAATGATCGACTGCGACACGAATTTGTTCGTAGTAGTCACGGTTGACGATGACATGCTCCCAGTGGGCGCGCAACAGGAGACACTGGAATGCCTGGTAATTGCCCAGTAGTGCTTCCAGGTGCAGCATAAAGACGCGCTGTTGTACATTCGGCGCCTGCTTGAGGATGCACGTCACACACAAGCGTCCTGTGCGGGCACAGTTCGGACACTGCTGGTCGGCCATAACTACAGAAAACAATTGCGTTAATGCTTGCTATTGTGGAGTAACCTGCTGTACTTTCATCTACTCACAACTGCAATTTATTGCAAATTAATTAAAGTTAAATTTACTGCTTATTTTCAATAGAAGTATGGGACATTAAAATTATTCGTAAGCACGATAAGTGCTACGGTTTACATGCAGAGACTTTATGTACTCGTAGATACGAGTACAATCAGAATTTAATGCTTGATAACAAAACGACTGCTCTGTACCATGATAGCCATTGACTGCTTAATGCAATTCGAGTACTGCTTACATACTACTGCGGAAACAGTGGTTTTCTGCGGGATGTACCACGTAACATGCGGTTAACAATTTCCTGATTTTCTTTACTAAACGCGTCTGCAAGTTCACGTGCGCGTAAATCAGCTATTGTTTGCTTTGGGCGTACTACTGCGGTAGTTTCCGGAATTACTTTCTTAACTATTGCGGGTTTATTAATTTTATTGCTGTTGTCATTATCGGAATGCTCAGTACTGTAATTACTATCAGTATCTGACTGCTCCTTCTCGTTAACAACATTATTGCTATCAGAAGTAACTACAGTACTATTGCGCTCTTTCTCAACAGGTTGTTGGCCACTATTGCGCACATCGTTATTATCCACTAATTTATCAATATCAGCTGGCAAAGATTCTGCTTTTTTCAGTACGGTAGTAGGTACTGACAGCTTATTGCGTTTAATTTTCACTTTCAATGACTTGTTTTCTGCTGATGTACTAGGTACATTATTATTGCTATCACTGCTTTTATCAGTATTGCTGTAATTAAGCATTTCCGATGGCTTAAAAACAATCTTTTCGCCAGATTGTTTGCCACGATAAGGTTTCATGCGCTGGTATGCTACTTCCTGGACATTGCTCAAATCAGATAGTAATTTAATTATTGCTGTATTTGGACGAGGAATATCCTCAATCACATAAGGACCATCATAACGGCTACGTAATGATTTATTTTCATCTTTCGACTGCTCTGCTTTACGTAAAAGTATGTAATCACCGACTCGAAAATCGCCATCGACTTTCTTACGATTATACTGCTCTGCTGATGCTTCGTAACCTTGCTGAATATAAATACGAGCAATTTCATGCGCTCGATTTAATTTCCATTTTAAACGATCTAAATAATCTTCTACAGAGACGTAGTCCTCAGGAAGATTAGTCTTCGTAATGGTATCAATGGGCAACGTTTGCTCCCTACCATAAAGCATGTAAAAGGCGAATGCTTTGTAGTTTTATGTACTGTCCGATTATATGCTGCAACAACGAAAGGAAGAAACTCATCCCAGCGATCCTGGGTGCCTTTCTGCGCATACATGGATAAGCTATCTGCTATCCACTGCATTTGTCTCTCTACGAGACCTCGACCGATGCTGTGGTATGCGGTACCAAAATGGTGCTTTATCTTCGTCAACTTTGCCACTGCTTCTATTATTTGATTCATAAAGTGCGATCCTCTATCAGAATTAAGTACTTGCGGAGCACCATACGGTAAAATCACATCATAAATGAGAAATTGTGCTACTGTTATTGCTTTTTCATCTGGTACTGCTTTCGCTATTACAAATTTAGTGAGTTCATCTATTGCTACAATAATGCATTTATTTTTATTTTTCGACTGCTTTAACGGACCTTTAATGTCGATTTGCATGCGGTAAAACGGTTCACCAACGGGAACATGCAAAAGTTTACCTGGTTGCGGCTTACGTTGCGATTTCCTCAACTGGCAGTCCAAACAACTGCTTACATATTTATCGATGTCACTGACCATATTGTCCCAGTAGAAGCGTGCGCTTATCTGATTGTACGTCCTTTGTCTGCCTAGATGGCCAGACGCCGGCACGTCATGATTAATGCGGATGTAATCATTTACCATATGTCTTGGTACGACGAACTTTCGCACGTACTTATCATTTGCTACTGCAATGCGATACAGAACACCATTCCACAACTGGTAATGCTGCGGTTTTGCAACTATTGCTCCAGATTCCTCTTTTTCTTTTAATGAGTTAATTTCTTTTACGATATGCGGATCACGCAATTGCTCGGTTCTTAAGAACTTAAAATTATTTTCGACATCTTCACCTTCAAGCTCAGTTTCAGCCGTCCCTTCCGGTTGAGTAATGCTAACCATACGAATGTCACGAGTGCTAAAATAATCATCCCAGTCATCTTCGGGGATGGCTGGATCAACAGGATTTCTGCTTAATGCATCTGCATTATCGCACATTTTACCTGGACGATATTTAATAGTAATATCCAGGCTACCTAACTCCAATGCCCAACGCGTCAAACGCCCATTTAAACCTTGCTTGTGAGATGCAGATCTCAAAAGATTTGCTAATGCTTGATGATCTGTCTGCACCGTAAACGGCGCATGATCAATGTATGGCTTAAACTTACGTACTGCGTAAATAACAGCTAAACATTCTAGCTCTGTTATTGCGTAGTTTTTTTCAGCTGCATGCAGTAATCGGCTTGCATAGGCGATCGGATGATCGTCCTGATGCAATATTGCTCCTATGCCAGTGTAACTGGCGTCACATTCTATTGTTATCGGCTTTGTGTAATCGAATTTTGCAAGTACAGGCGCATTGCTCAATGCAGCTTTAATATCAACAAATTCTAATGCATGCTTCTCATTCCAGTCTCTCTTCACATCGGCATCTTTTACCAGTAATGAGTACAAATACTTGGTTTTGTGCGCATATTGCTTAATGAATTTTCGGTAATAATTTGCCAATCCGAGGAAAGATCGTAATTCTTTCTCAGTAGTAGGCTGCTTAAATTGTTCTATTGCTTTAATTTTATCGGGATCTGTAGTTATCCCATGCTGGGAGACGATATGCCCCAAGAAATGCAATTCAGGCTTTGCGATATGACATTTACTCGGTTTCACAGTAAAACCTGCTTCTTCTAGACACTTAAATAATGCTTGTATTTTTAGTTTAGCTTCAGCCAATGTTTTAGCTGGGACGATTATATCGTCTAAATATGCGAAAATATTTAAGTGCCGTAATTTTATCAGTGCTTTGTCAATGGCAGCCTGGAATGTGGCTGGTCCATTGCAAACACCAAACGGCATGCGGGTAAATTCCCACAGGCCGTCTTGCGTAACAAATGCTGTCTTTTCAATGCTATCTTCTGCCATCGGGATTTGCCAAAATCCAGACTGACAATCAAACGTAAAATAAATGTTGTATCCTGCTACATTGCTTAAAACCTCATCTGGATTTGGAAGAGGATAGTTATTCTTTTTAGTCACGTTATTCAATTTAATATAATTTACACAGAAGCGAGTACCAATGCTGCCGTCTGCGTTACGCTTACTCGCAAGTACAACAGGAAAACTCCAGTCACTACTGCTTGGTCGGATAATTCCCATTAATAGCATATCGTTGACATGCTGCTGTATGAGTTGACGACCTCGCCAACTCGTACGATGAGGCTGGCTTTTTATCGGACGGGCATCACCCGTATCGATATGATGCTTTACCGAAGTGTCTACGGTATTAAACATGCAACTTTTTGTAGGGAAAACATTACCGTACTGCAGAAATAATTCTTCCCATTCTTTGCGTTCATCGGGCGTTAAGCCTTCATAGAAATTCATTTGCGATATTGCTTCCTTAATTTCTTGTACCTCTTCAGGAGTACGCACCTTAATGCTGGTAGCCAATACCAACGGACCTTCGACCTCTTCGTACGTCTCTATAATGCCGATAAAAGTGCCTTTTTTAATAATGCGTTTCTGATTACTGTAATTAGCAATCTGTACATCAAATGCTCTATTCTCTGGTTTTACTAGTCCTTCTATCGGTACTAGTCGTGCTTTGGAATACAATGCTGGATTAGCTGAGAACATGAACAATTCAGTTTTCAACTCTTGACCGTATTTCGGCTTAGCGCAAACAGATGTCCAAGTTACTTTTTTAGCGGGTAAAATGAACGATTCCGATGCATACACGTTTACTGCTCTAATGCGAAATTTTTCCTTAATTTCAGGTTCTTCTATTGCTGTAATGTTATTAATAAATGCTTCAGTATCTGCAATATTGTTATCCACTGCTACCGTAATATTATCATCAGTACTCGTACATTTCTCTGGTGGTTCACTACTGCTGACATTATTGTGATTAAGTGCTTTTTTATTATCTGTACTCGTACACTGCTCGTTATTTGCATCGTACGGATAAGTTTTATAAACAATAGTTTCGTTAACTTCTTTCTTAGCACGATTTTTCTTCGTAATCGGCCATTCGTACGGCTGCAAAATTAACGGCTTATCTAGCGGCAGTACGCCTTTTTTAAGCTTTGCTTTAATAATAATTTTACGTGACTTCACAGAAGATGCTGGGCTATTGCGGTCATAGACTTGAACCTGCGTAGTTCTTTTAAAATTAACTTGCTTTTTGATATTCATTTTAGGGCGCACTGACCTTACTTGCGGGGGTGCCAAAAAATTTGGCTCGGCATCAAATGCTTTAAACAACTGCTTTCGGAAAACTAAACCTGGTTGTCGCCAAAATTGCTTTATAGGAGTTTTAAGTATTTCCGGCATTGCGATATGTAATGCTTTTAACGATGATTTCAGTTCTCGACGCCGTTGTACTGTATGGTAATACAAATCGGTAAATAGTTCATCGTGCTCTCTGCTGAGACGATTAAACTCTTCAACTTCATATTGCGAATAACCATGCTTTTCATATTTCTGCTTTAATTTATGCAGCTTCATGATGCTGTGGCTATAATCACGCAATATAACATGCATTTCACGCTTCCAGTTTTCGCACTGACGATATGCTAACAAATGCTGCAACATTCTATCATCAGGCTCACGTATAACTTCACAATTGCGTTTAATTACAATATCGCTAGATACAGTATTTACTGCTTTATTTTGTTGCTGCTTTACTGGTACAACAATTTTATTGCTATTAATGTTCTTACACTGTACTTGTGGCGGTGCCACTGGTACAGGGGAAGATTTTACTTCATGCTGCTCAAGCAAATGTGCGGAATATTTATTTATCGCCGATATAAATGCTCGTACTTTTACTTTCCTTTCAACTGCTGCATTTCCATGCTTTTCTTTGAGAGTTACATATTTCTGGGAATGTTGACAAGTACCTTCGATTTCCTTTAGAATGTTACTGTTTACGTTAACCCTAGTACTGGCCAATACTACGGGTTTAGAAAAGGTCTTAGGCGCGCGCAATACCGCAGCTTTTTCCTGAACCAGTGCCACTGGTTCGGGGAAAGCTGATACATTTCCTACAGAGGCAGTGATCAGCTGCTTTGACCGGTCGCCAGCAACCGGCTGCAGGAACTTAATACGGACTAGTTTGTTCTCTTCGACTGTGTACGCTGCTTGTTTAAGGAAATCCTGTCCCAGAATTAGTAATATTTTATCCGATGTTGGTTTTACATACATGCTGTGCAAAATTCTTTGCTGTCCTATTGTTACATATTGCTGACAATAATGAGTCACGGTGAAGTAACGGCTACCACCGACTCCACAGATATGTAGTGCTTTATTTAACGGTAAAGTACGTAATTTGTTTTCAGCACAAAATGCTTGTGATATCAGGGACGTTTCCGCCCCTGTATCAATTAATGCTTTGACTTGCATATTGCTGATTTTAACATTATGAAACAACATCCTTTCATGCTTTGGTTCAGAAACTACAGCGCCAATTTGCTGCACAGAAGCGTGTACAAAAGTACATTGCTGTGGAATATATACTGTATATCCTTGTACATTTACATGCTGTTTATCTGGCGGTTTACGTGGTTTGGGCTTGGCAGTGCCAGGACCTGCCGCCCTTACTCGTTTAAAGACTCACTGCATTCACTGCTAACGCTACTGCTGTCACTGCTATCTGAACTGTCTGGTTCGTTATCCGGCATAAATGCTGCAAATGCATTCTGCTGGGATACAGGCGGAGGTCCCTCGGGCATCCGGAATACCGGCGCCCGTGGGTTCCCTCGACCAATGCCGTTACCACCTTGCCTCAATACAGGCGATGTACTGCGTGAGCTGGCCGGCGACGAGGAGCCGGACCTTTCTGCTCTCCTAGCCTGGAATGCCTCAAACTGCCTGCGTGTTCGTTGTTCACCGCTAGGCCAATGGTACTTCCTATAATTAGGGTTCTGATGTTGTGGAAGGTCTTTCCACCAACAGTTCTCTGTTATGTGGCCTTCCACTACACAATGCGTACAGTACGGTATACCAGGGCGCGGTGTGGTACGCACATTGCGAGGGCCCTGCTGCGGACCGGCACGCGACTGCTGTTGTGGTGCCGGTTGATTATTGCTCACAGTTGCCGGCTGCGCAGCTGCCTGCGCATACGACAGCTTGCTGTTTGCTGCTGGATTTACTCGATTATTGCTTCTAAACTGCTGTCTATTAAATTTATTTGCCGGGTTAAACGGCTTCTGCTGTACAATCTTGCTGGAAGTAGACTGCTGCAGTACATTTACCGAGTACTCATCTGTACTGTATCTACTGGGCATCATTGATTCTAGGTACCTGGCCTCGCTTAGAAATTCAGCGGGCGTACGTGGCTTGCGCAGAACAATATCATCTTTTAATGCTTTAAACGTGCGTAACCCTTGGATGAGGTAATTCACGAAATGCTCCGGCGGACCGGCAAAACCTGCCCGGTCACGCAAGGTACACATTGCTTGATAGTATGCATCAATGCTTTCCTTATTTTTATCAAATGTTCTCGTAGCTAATTTATTTAATGCGTTAATTGCTTTATCGCGATCGCCAAAGCGCTCCACAAATGCTTTTTTCCATTCGTCGAAGCTGGTCGGTGCATCCACCGCGACAGATGCAGAACCGTACCACTGCTTCGCATCTTTCTCTAATGCATTGCTGAATTCAATAATTTTAGTTGCGTCATCCCAACCATACGTTAATGCGGTCTTATCCAGCTGAACAAGGAACGATTCCACGTCGTCCTTGTTACCGCTAAATTTGCCTTTAAAGTGTACTGCGGGCTTTACTGCCTGTAATGCGGTAATTAATTTCTGCGTAATATCATCTTGCTGAGATTCGGCTGCTCTCCGTACAACCGGTGCAGCTTCAACATCATCATCACTGATGTCAACTACTGCTGATTTATGCTGCTTATTAATGACACATTTATGCTTTAATAATTCTGCGATACGATCCTGTGCTTCAGCATGTTCTTTATGCAAATCTTCATACAACTTTTCGTATTGCTCTCCATGTGCTTTATACATCTGCGAGGAATTTACTGCGGCCGTTAATTCTTCTGAGATTTTTAAACGCTCAGCCTGTTCATGCTTATATTTATCCTTATATTTATTCAACTGATCAGCCATTTTAGTAATAGCTTCTGCTTGCGGTATGCTTTTATTATGCTCTTCTGCTTCTGCACGGAGCTTAATAATTTCATGCTTCCAAGAATTTAGTACTTGGAACTGCCGATCAATTTCTGCTTTATACCTTGTTTCAGTTGCTTCATGCGCTTCAATAACTTGTTCATATTGCTTCTTCTCTTCTGACCATGCCTTGCAGACATCATTTGCATGCTTACTTTCTTCTCTACGACGAAAAATTTCATCATGTGCTTTCAGTAATTTTGCTTTTAATTTTTCATTATGCTCAGTTAATTCCTTATAGCGATTACTCGTATCTACCAAATCTTGCTGTGTCTTATGCAATAATGCTTGAATTTCATCGTAATGCTGCTGCGTATTTTCCGGTAAAAGTTCTTTAGGAGAACTATGCATCGGAGAATGAAATGCTGGATTACTGGACAGACTCTCCTCAGATGGAGATCTGTTGACCGATAAATTGAGCGGAATATCCGACTCATTGCTAGAAGGTTCAATATGCTCATTATTATCACCGTTATCAACAGGTAACTGCTTCGACAATGCTTGTTGACTTTTATCAATATACGTCAGTTCATGCTCGTCACCAAATGCAATTTCTTGATCGCGATCAGAAATTGATATTAATTCTGAATCACGAGTGATATTGCTAGCGATAGACTGATACGAAACATGCGAGGCTGATGATGCTGACCTTTCCGGTAATTTTTCGGCATTAGCATTAAGTGCGCTAAGTGCCGATGTAGATGCTGGTGATCTTTGCAGTTTACTGCTACGTGCAAATGCTGCCGCTCCCGAATTCTGAATGGCAGCATCAGCTAATAATGCAAAAGCTGACTGCGGATTATGCGCGCGAGCACGCGCACGAGTATTCACATTATGTTCCACTGCTCCTGTTTTACCCGATACTGCTTTATTTTTCTTCGTTTTCTTATCTACTGCTTCTTCTTGCTGCTTTTGTGCACCAGGTTTATTAACGACCTGGGCCGGTTTAAAAATGCGACTGCCGACAGCATTAAGCAAGTCTCTCACAGGAGACCGCTTTTCTTCCATGCTGGCTAAAGATTTTCACAATATTGCTTTAATTACAAATATATTGCTTTATTGAAATTATGCACCGACAAATCAACCAGTAATGCAGGGCGCGTGCAGCTACATGCTGCACGCGTTACGTAACTTGTTTACAGTTTCAATGCAAGGCGTGCTAGGCACGTGCTTATCACGATTTAAAATCTTCAGCTGGCACAATGGATTGTGCCAGTCTGAATGACCTGCTATGCGGAAATGCTGTGCCTGGGCTGTTCACGCAGCAACAGGTTGACACTCGAGATAAATGACGCACTGCCGTTCAACGTCTGGGTCAGACGTTGCTCGTTGAATGCGGAAATTCAAAACAAATTCTGGCTTTTAAAGGTCAAAATAATGCAAAAATTAATGTTTTCAATGCTAAAATACAGTATGTAAAAACTGTATTTTAATCCTGAAATATGCTGTGTCTAAATGTGTGAAATGCTGTACAAAAGATAAACTGCTGTGTATTTTGTCAAATGCGAGATTAATGCTGTGTACAATGCTGTTGTCCCTTACTTCTAGTTAATTTTCAAAACGAAAACCAAAAAGAAAAGGAAAACTGCAGTTGTAAGGTGAAAGTTTTCAAAAACAGTTAACCAGCCTTGCTGGCAACTCACTGCTTCGACGATTCACAATCCTTGCTGCACGGAGTTTCGGGAACCGTGTCTCACCGCAACAACACCCCACGTCCAAACTGCACGGGTTTCGCGCACCGTGGCTCACCGCTCCGTAGTCCACGAAAACCAAAACACTGCAAAATGAAAGTTCACGACGATACTGCTTTGGAGAATCAGCGTCCACCACACCAACTTCCGACAAAGATGAGATATTGCTTCCAATATGAAATTATGCTCAGATTTGGCGGATCTTAGTATCTGCTACCATGATAGCCATGCCACGGGGCAGGCTAGGAAGAAGAACGATTTTCTATGAAAATCTACGGGAGAAACACCGCTCGACTTCCGTTACGCTTTTATTAGTCGAAACCAGTAATCATAAGAAATTCCAGAGCTGTGCGATCATAACTCCTCGACTAAAGTTCTCTGACAAAACATTCAGCGGATCAGAACTTCAAAGCCCAGTGTTATCGCAACAGTGTAATGCTGATCGTATGTGTACTGCTCGTACCTGTCTTGACTATCGAGCCAAGTGCTAAACACAGTTAATGCGGTGCAACAGGTAATGATAAGACGTACGTGTAATGCTAATAAGTACTGCATATGCACGGGAGATGGTGACGTACTAGCGTCATCCCTAACAACGCACTGTGCGACTGCCTATCAGTGGCAAAGTTTTCGCCAGCTGTCTAGCAGCAACGTAGCTGCAGTACGCGTGCGGTGGCCTATGCAGCACGCTGCTGGATGTAAATCTTGAAAAACTCGTAACTTTGTTAGTTTCCGTGTTAAATTTTTCTGTATGAGCTTAAAAAATACAGAATAACGCATACTATTAGGCAAAACAAATGTCTTTTTTGTTTCGTCTTGAGGTTTTGGCACTGAGAGCATACGTGGTTAGCATAGCCGCCTATGAGAAATCTCGAATGAGTTTCCCATAGGCAGGTATGTTAACAGCACAGGCTCACAATGAATAACCCGAAAATAAAAACGAAAAAACATTTGTTTTGCCTAATAGTATGCGTATTTTTTAAGCTCATACAGAAAAATTTAACACGGAAACTAACAAAGTTACGAATTTTTCAAGATTTACATTCCAGCAGCGTGCTGCATAGGCCACCGCACGCGTACTGCAGCTACGTTGCTGCTAGACAGCTGGCGAAAACTTTGCCACTAGTAAAGCAAACAAATAGTAAATAGTATGTCCCTACAGATATAACGTGACTGCGAGTGTTAACGCTACCACTCACAAATGCAACGGTACAAAGTTCAAGCAGAGATAACGCTCTGCACAGGGATTGGTTGAATGAGTTATCACAGTTGCTCCATTTTCACGCATTTGCGTGATTTCTAACAGTTGATCGACATCAACTTTTAGAATTCACACTTCGCACTCACACCACTGCGTATACCTACTTATTCGTATATTTACAGTTAGTTTCACTGTACACTTACACATCGCATTATATTTAGTAGCTACAACAAGGCGGTACGTATGATCTGTTCGGTTAAATCGTTTCTGCTTGAGTTACCTGTTTGTCGTAAGATAATTGGTAATTACTCATTAGGTAATTACTCATTAAAACATGTTAACTCGCTAATTATCATTTCAAGTATACTTAGACAAAGAGTTTACAAGTTTATTTATTTTCTGATTTACCGTAAAATCGTTAATTTCTACAAATTGCAATTAACTCATAATATAATTACCCGGCTTAGTTTACTTATTAGGACACAATAAAAAATAAAATTAATTAATTTTGGACACGACTGTTGAGAATTACACCGAAGTATTAGTGCATATTTCAAAATTTGTATAATGATACTATAACAAGGAGAAATAGCCGTGACAGCAATTTTACCAAAGACTTCGGTGCAGCTAAACAGACACCATGCGTTTTGCACGTTCAAAGATAACCACGTTGTGAATGCTTATGTTATCTTCCGAATGGTCTGTTTTTTGATGGCTCACGGCATATGAATCATACGGCATCTGCCAGTGACAGTGTTGTCACTGCCAGTCACGTTATATCTGCAGGGACATACTAGTATTCCTCTCACCGTGTGTGCCCCGAACAGAGACTAATAATAATATAATAAATCCATAACCAAATTTCAAGCGCGGTTACCGTAATGATCTGTAGTATTCATTCCGAGTCGTTCTTGAAGTTTCTTTTGCGGCTTTTTCTTCCTGTAGTGTAGTTGCCACTTGCCAGTGCAAACCGGTTTTTTCGAACTACCCAGTTTTATGCCTCGGAGGTTCCTGTGTGTTTGCGCGTATCAGCTACAGCTCGCTGGACTAGCTGGCAGGTTAGAACAACTGCATTCCATCCCGTTTATCTTGAAACAGAAAGTGTCGGAAAGTCCTGGTAAGCGTTCAAGGGAGTGAGTTCTGCTGCGTCCGGAATTGTTTACCCAATCACTGAAAACGTTTACTTGCACCAGGAGCGCGTATGCTCCCGTAATAAGGGTTTTCGAATTTGTTTCGTTTTTAAAACTGCTGTCTGGTTGGCTCTGAGTCTGAAGTGAATGCAGTCTTTCGGCTAATCTTAGCGGGCTGCTGCGGCTCTCCAGTTTACTTTGCGATTTTTTGTAAATCTTGGAATTGTGTGCCTGCGCGCGATGCTTGCCGCAGTGCTAAACTGTTATGTCAACATTTGTTTTCAGAATGATGCACGCGATCCGAGCTTCCCGGCAGTTGCAGCGGATGGCGCCGGCCCTAAACCGAGCCAAGGACTGGAAATTTAGCAAAGACCCTCGTTTGGCCATTTTGAAAGGTGTCGATTTCTGGACTGATGCGGTGGCTGTCACAAAGGGACCAAAGGTAAAGTTATTTTGAATTTGCAAAGATAAGCACTGATACTGGGATACGACTACAGTAGCTTTTGTGATGGGAATTGGGAGCTCGTCTCGTTATGTACTCTGGATCGAATTTCGATTAATTTTTGCAGGGACGCATTGTGATTATTGAACAAAATTGGGGCAGTCCGAAGATTACCAAGGACGGGGTGATGGTGGCCAAGGCGGTAGAGTTGAAGGAAAAGTATGAGAATATCGGCGCTAAACTCGTCCAAGATGTTGCCAATAACACCAACGACGAATCAGGCGGAAACGCGGCACCCACTACCATGGCTCGTTCCACTGCCGAGGAAGAATTCGATAAAATCGTCAGAGGAGCCAACCCCATAGAAATCCGACGAGGTAATGAATAGGTTGGATGCAGTGTTTTTTGTTTATTGCTGATGTGAAAGTAACATTATTCACCAGTAATTCTTCTGATTATTCGATAGGCGTCCTTATGGCTGTACAGACCGTAGTCGCCGAACTGAAAAATCTCTCGCGAAAAGTCACGTCGCCTAGTGAAATTGCTCAGGCGGACACAATCTTAGCGAATGGTGACAAAAAGATTGGAGATTTCATTTCGAAGGCCATGGATCAAGTGGGGCGGGATGGAGTTATTACTGTCAAGGTTAAGGATGCAAATGCACACGAAATACAGACAGCTGCTGATGGGCGTGGAGAGAATTATGAAATCTAAATCCATTTTGTTATTTAGGATGTGAAGACTTTGCAAGACGAGTTGGAAATCATTGAAGGCCTTAAATTTGATCGCGGTTACATTTCGCCTTATATGATCAATACCGCCAATGGCAGGAAAGTGGAATATCAGAATGCTTATGTGCTGTTCAGTGAAAAGAAAATCTCCAACATTCATGGTGCACGAAAGCCACTGATCACAGTTGACGAGGATGTTGATGGCGAAGCCCGGAGTACCCTTGTGCTCAATCGGTATTTTTTTCCAAACTTTCTGTGTTCGATCTTTGTGGATGCTGGATCTTTTTAATAAAATTACGTCATGTATACACACAGCGTATGTTTTCGCAGTTTAAAGGGCATAATACAAGTATCGGCGGTTAAGGCTCCCGGCTCTGGAAACCAGCACAAAAATATGCTGAAGAATATGGCTGTCGCCACTGGCGGAACGGTGTTTGGAGACGAGGCGGAAATGTACAAACTGGAAGACTGCAAGATCTCGCATCTAGGCCAAGTTGGCGAAGTAACCATTACCAAAAACGACAGGCTCCTGTTGAAAGGACGCAGTGAAAAGAAAGCCATTGAACGACGGGTAAATCAGATTAATGATGAATTGGACGATACTACCTCTGAGTATGAGAAGGAAAAACTGAAGGAACGATTGGCAGAATTGTCCACTGGAGTGGCCGTGCTTAAGGTAAAATTAGTCACCGACATTACATTTTTAAATGGCTTGCAACTTTACGGAAGGTTTTCTTCTGGTACGAGTATTTAGATTTTTATTCTAGGTTGGTGATACTTACCAGTCGAGTAGAAACTTAAACGAGAAAAAAAATCGTCGTCATTAGATACCCCGACAGAAAACAAATCGTCGTCATTAGATACCCCGACAGGGCAGTGAATTTATTTTGAAGATTGAATTATTTTTGCAGGCTCTCCACAAGTGTGAAACGGTGTTTAAAAAGTCTTCACCGGCTACGGATATGAAAGGACAAAAACGATCGTATTCTACTAACACAGTAAGCGCGATATTGGTACCATGATGAGCAGAGTCGCAGTATAATCGTATAAGAGGTGCACGCGATGCACAGGTGGTGGGAAGGTTCTGATAGATTTGTACATATTTCTCGAGGGGTTTCTTCTTGTAACTTGCCGTACAGAGTTAATGTCTTATTTGTCCTTTACAAGTTACAGTAGTGCTAGCACAACCGGAATACTTAGCCGGTATTACTGATGACGAAAGATTTTAGCATGCATCTTTAATTTTGTACAGGTCAGATTCAGCGCTGCTGATCCTAAAATCGTGGAGTTGTACGAGCGGCTGGTAGAGTCAGAAAGAAAAGCCAGGAAATTCGCCGAAGAAACAGCGGTTTTCGAGAGGGAGACAGCTGCGCGGGAGAGGCTGCTACTGCAAGACCGGTTTGCAACGCAACACGCCGAACTTCTTAAATCGAAAAATTTATTAAACGCGCGCGGTATAATTGATGATGCACAAAAGGAGTTGGGCAGAAACTGCGCCCAAGTACGAAACGATGTAAGTTAATGTCTTTTAGATTTAAAGTTTCGAACGCAATTTCAAGGCAGTGTACTGTTGCTTCGTGCTTATTTATCTATGCAGTGATATTGGTTTTGCAAGGTTAAGGCTTCAGAATATTTGATTTTCGACGTCCTTAATTGTTTGATTTTGCTAGGGATCCACTATGCGCCGATCCGAAAAGTGGGAATCCATTGCCGAGAAACATGATCTCTTATCGATCAGGGTAAACGGGGAGCCTGTACTCACAAAAGAAATGGTTTCGGGTATTGGGAAGTCTATCCAGTCCATCTATGATGTTGCGAGTGGTCAAATTCATGGTTTTACATCGGACCGTTATTGGATAGATTGCTCATTATGGGTGAAGTTCCCCGAAGCAGTCAACATTTTAGTAGCCCTGTGTGTTAAAATTGACTTGAAATTCGCGATCTTCGACAAAGGTGATATTTATATGTCCTATTTTGCTCGTGGTGATAATGGCGCACCTGTTGTAGTAACCCGAAAATTGTTAAATTATGGAGAATTATTTTTGTGAATAAACAAGAACTCGTGGCTTTAAGGGACTCCACGGTGACCAGTTTCGTGAAAAACGTACGCCCGCTTTTTGTATCACGGATCCCAAGAAAGTGAACAAACAATATTACAATAATACAACAATATAGTCTCCCACTCACCGAAAAAGCAGGACGTGGTAACTGGTAAGATTCCTTGTTGAAATGCCGCTGCAGTCAATGTTGGGCACAAATATAGATATTCCGCACAACGAATAATATGCGTCTCAAAACATACTAATAAGATTTGGTTGTTTCCTTAACATTTCAATCTGAACCATTTTGGTAGTACTGTAGCACCAAGCGAATGCACCTTTTTTGTGTTGACGGCTTCTCCCCAGTAAAATCTGGCCCACCTAGCAAAAGCTAGTAAAACCGATTGCACCTAATTGTACATACCTTGTAAAACTTCGTCTCAGAATGAGTACTTAATTTCATGCCTACTCTAATCGTAATCCAGTAAGTACTGTAAAAGTTTACAACTTTGAAGATTACACGAATACGGCTATACGAAATTCCAAAATTCCGGTAAGTAGCAAACACATAAATGTACATATCTATATATTGTAAATGCACAGCGAACTTCATTGAGAGATGTTTTATGTAAAAAACTGATTCGAGAATCCTTCGTACGCCTTTGCAGTACTAATATGTACATTTAATTTTAGTCAATGTTTCTAGGTCAGAAAAAGGTAGGTACAGTCCCTGCTTCTGTGATATTTATGGAATAACGAAATCACAGATACACAAAGTACATTCGGCTTTCGACCAATGGGCATCTAAAATTAATAACTATCGTCAGATGATGCAGATTGATGTCCAGTGCGCAAACAACACATACATCTCAAGAATCAAAATATACAGAAGTAATCAATTAGCAAAGCTTTACGATGACCTCACTTATTAAACTGGAGAGCCGGTGTATTCGGAAATAATTCTACAGCACGAAACAGGAGTGGCAAATACAATTACGGAAAAACTAACAAGCACGCTACGAAGCCTTCATTAATAACCAATAATAACTTTCACAGATGACGCTACATGCAACAGCTAAGCTTAGCGCTGTAATCTGTGATAAGCATGTGTAATCCATTACTTTACATACATGTAAGATAATAATATTATGATTGTTAGATCCGCCACAGTCCCACTGCAGTGTCCACGAAGCTGTTGCTTGCCTGGATTGCACCAATGTTCGCTTTCCTGCCATTATTTGGCCTCTTCCGTGCAGGAAGACTTCGCAAACAGTTCCCAACTTAAACGCCGACCCGGCTTTTTGGCTTTCAGCATGAGATCGTATTCAGCAATCACTTCGGGGATTCGCAGTCGATTCAAATTCCCACCGGTCGCACCGTAAAAAATTGGAAGCAGTTCATCCAGCATCTCCACGTAACGGATTTTCCGGTGAAACATAGTGCTATAAGGGCAACAGAACGATAACGTTTTCCTTAACAAAGCAAGGTGGTACTCCTTATTTGAACAGACAATAGCCATCATACAAAAAAAGCAGTTAGCCTGCGTTGGTAGAAACTAATTAAAATAATTCAAAATTTCAAAGGTTACCTCAGTGTTGCACGTCCAAGGGTCTGCAACTGAGTTTTGAACCAAAAATTTGGATGCACAATGATCAGCTCTTGGATGGTTTTCTCCATTCTAAATATACAAATTTCGCACGGGATAATGCAAAATCAGCATATCAAAATTACAAACGTAAATCTCATGTCTAAGTCGGTATCCACATTGTGGTTTAAAGTGTCTGAATTATAATTGCACTTCTTACCGGCGATCAATCACTCGGCAACACTGCTGCAGCCAACTGGCCCGTGGATAGCAATTCTTTGGAATTGCACCATTGAAGAATACCACTTTGCACTGTTTGTCCACAATGACGTCCAGGCTGCTTACGAAATACCTATATAAAAACAAAAAACTGCAGTTTATATAACGGTCACACACGATCTTGGAAACAATGAAGTAGGTTGGTATTACGTAATTCACACAAAAAAGGTAGTAGTTACCGGAAGATGTTTTGCATGATATTCTCGTATCCCTCGGTAGTTCGAGGGGGCAAATAGCACGCAAAGAAACAGACGATATCAATGGCAGCTTTTCCTGCTCCCATGGTGGAAATATGCAAAACTTTCTTGTATGGCTCTAAGACATTCATGTCCACCGCCCAGATTTCATCACGTTCTCCACTGACCCGGCGCGCAACGACTGTGTTTGAATCATTATTCGTCGCATTCAGGCCAGGGTCAACATTTTCCTGATCTTGTTCCATTTGTGTAGCAGATGTCTGTTTTATTATCGGTGAATCGGATGCTGTATCAGATCCACTGGATGATGACGTTTTGGATTCGGTTTCCAATGCTAAATTTCAGAATGCCGCACAATTAGGAAATTTTTTGAATCTGAAATTTGCAGACGAAGTTTTACGCAGTATTGTGTAATAATGTGTACCTTGGTTAACGTTGCCGTCACCAGGAACATTGCGATCATTTTCACTCAGCAGTCGGCTCAATGCCGCTGGGTATTCAAAAGACAAGCCGGTCTTCTTCAGCAGAACGCTGTCAGCAAAACGACTCAAACCGCTTTTATCATCGGATTTAAATTTCTTCTCCCGGGGTTCACTGGTTTCCGCATGAATATCCGCGGTGACTTGCACCGCGCTATCAACAACATCATGACCTTTAGGCCGGTTCGCGTCATTCAAACCAGACATTGATCTATCATAGCCAAGCAGTTCAAATCGCTGTTCTTCCGGTGACATCTGGCGAACAGGTTTTTTGGGAATATGAATGTTTGCGGCACTTGATATGCTGAACTTTTCTCGCTGCACATTTTCATAATCGTTATTCATGTCGGTATTTGAAGAAAGGATCGCAGGCTCTAAAATTAAACGTGAAGTGGCCGACTGCACAAAATGGTTTTGGTAGTCGCACGAATTTCTTACCGATATTTTCTTCCGAACCAGTTACAACCTTTTCTTCGAACGGACTGTCGATGGTCTTTTTAGTGGAACTCTCCTCCTTGATATCAAAATCATCTCCGCTTAAAATTTTATCGACGTCCATTTCCACAGTGTGCTCAAGCGCTTCCTGTGCGTTCGCGTCGGAACTGGCGGAAAATTTTGCAGCTGGATCATCAGATGTCGCGACCGAATCCATGGATTCTGTATCAATGGTTTTCTGCTCTTTCTGCTGAATCTCGGCTGTCTGATTAGGCTCGAACCCATCCAACTGATCACCTCCATGTTGTACGCAATGCCAAGGCAACGGCAAATATCGCAGTGTCTGTTGTTGCGGTTCGAAGCTGCTCCCGTACCATCGCTCATCAATGGCAGCGTAACACTGTCGGCTGGATGGGCGTTCTTGATCCGACCAGCCGTCAACTTGATCGCCGATTTTATGTTCTGCGGTCTTTGTTGCAAATGGATCAGAAGATGTTTTGTCAAGAGCATTCTTATGCAAACCTGAAAATCAGAAGAAACTGCAGATATATTTTTGTTAGACAGTAGTCTTAATCGTGAAAAGGTCACAAGCGGAAACTGTCACAGTATTACCCGTACCATCAGTCTGCGGTTCGCTAGCGTTCCCGCTCTCGACAAACCGTCCTAAACGAGTAGGACAAGCAGTCTCGAATTTTTTTGCCTCCACTGCCGCAGAATCTTTATTCAATATGTCCGAACTCCCTGCTTTATTGGTTGTTCCCTTATCCGACTTTTCCAGCCAAGGATCCAATGAGAAGGCAGCGGATGTCGTGTTTCCACCACCCGTTGTTTGATCACCGAAAAATGTTTTTGTGGTGTTAGAAGGTGATAAGCCGGCATAGATCTCAAAACCGGTTTCAGGTGGAATGGACTGCGCGCCCGTTGTCGAAATTGTCAAAGATAACTTTCCGGGAGTTTCGGACGAACAAACCGATACAGTTTCGCTGATAGTATAACGAGGTTTTTCCGGTAAGGTAACTTCACCCAGTGGGCTCTACAAAACAACACTCCATAAAAATTTCGTAAAATTCTGTGGATAAGCTGGTTTCAAACGTCAGCTACTTACCTTGACATTTTCTTGACCTTTATCAGCATTCACCACGCCGGCCCCGCTGTCTGTCGCTGCTTGACCCATAAACTGCCTCGGCGACCAGGGATATGCCGGAGCGTCAGCCGGGTTCGGCGATGCGATGGCGCCAGTCGCATCCGCGTTAACATTTTCGGTAGGTTTATCTGCGGGATGTGCGCCGGCACTGCCGTTGCCGATCTCGCTAATCTCGTTGTAGCCCAATCTGCTCCCCAGTTCACCACGGGTTAAATTGTCCAGCGGCGTGGGTGTACCGGGCCTCTCGTAAGGTTCCGCATTTTCATGACCTATCGGAGTATATGATCGTTCCTGTGGCGCGAATTTCTTTGCAGGCTCTCCGTCGACTTCATCCAAGAAACGCTTTTTGACCGGTGGACTTTGTTCTTCTTCATTTGTCAAGCGAAGAGAATTAATGTCGGCATCTTCTCCAACTACACCAGATTTCTCCGAGGGTGATGTGCATTCTGATTTGTCGTTCGTTTTTTTCATTAACTAAACCCGGGATCGATGGCGGAAACGTTTCCACATCCATGACTTCAGAAATTCTTGGTCTGTTGGAATTTTGCAGACGCACTACACTGGTGACCACGTGAAATGTTCCAACGGCTGATTTTGGAGCACCACTGCTATCATCCGCGGAAAATGAAGCATCCATTAGCACGGTTACGTCACCTAGTATAAATAAAACAACGCTCACGTTTTTTTTACAAACTTCAGTTCGTGTTCCTCAAGCGTGAGTAAGCAACAATAAATTACCCGAATTCTCCTTATCCGTATCAGCTTCATTCTCCGTGGGATGATCATCTGTGACCTTTTCCGAATCTTTTGGAGTATCATGATGCAGAAATTCTCCGGTCATTTCCGGCGCACTAACATTAGGTCTCGCGAGTGGAGGTTGCGACCACTGTGCCATCGGAGTCGCCGGGCTTAATGATGATGCCGATGACCAACCGGTGCGTTCACCGGCATTTACTGGTTCCGTGCCGGTTCCCGGTGTAACTGGTGTACCAGCGCCCGAACCACCGTCCAGCACGTCTCCCCGCTCCAAATGCATATGCGGCCGGGTCCGAGTCTGCCGTGGTGTAGGCAAGCAGTGCGTATCCAAGGATCCGGATGTGTCCGATCCGGGAAACGGTGAATGACTGACTGGACCATTCGGGGTCAAGTTATTCAGTGGACGCAGAAAAGAGCTCGGAGCCACAGTATTTCTCACTTCGATGGAATCTTTATTCAGAGCCAGAGCTTCTTCCAAGGACAGCATGTCGTTTTCCGCTACAAACAGGTGCGAAGTGTCAATATCAATCAATGTCAGTCGAATTATATTCATAAGAACGTGCAGTTCTCAGTGTTTTCTGTATCGATGGAGCTGTCGGAGTCGATTTGGCCATACAAAGATTCGTAGCATCCGTCCGCGTTGTCGGTAACGTTTGTGTTGGGGGTGGACGTCGGCGTTAGCATTTCTCCTAACCTTTGGAGTTCAAGAAATAAAATGATTAACTGAACATCATAATAAATAAAAACAATGCACTAGCAATAGTCGTGCAATGTACCGTTTTGCAGCCTTCGGCGGTATTCCATGCGGTGATATTGGTTCCGTAGCGAAAAACGTGGAGGCAGTTCCGTTCTGATCGCCGAAGTCATCGGTGTTTTCCATAACGCCACATCCTGTTTTGCAATATCATAATTTTAATTAATATAAAAATATCCAAAGCGTTTGCTTTTTTTAATGACCTTCCTAGGAAACTAAGAAAAATTTTACCTGAGAAAATTTATTCTGTGGCATACATAAATATTATATAAGCAGTATTAAGCACTCGTATGATGAGTCGTATTGTAGTTTGATATCCAGCAACATACCATTGTCGCATTTACGCATTAACAGAATCGCTTGTGTACTTGTACGCCATATTATTTCGTGCAACTTACATCACATTCTGAGATCAAAATATCATAATCAAAATCGAGAGCAACGATAACTTATAGAACTTTTACCGAAGCAAACAAAATCATCCAGCAATGGAAGAACACAACAATTGATATGGAATTCGCAAACAAATGTAATAACAATATTCGCACAACAAAGGGTCATGGCATTAAGATCACAGCAAATTTGTCATAAGCAAATTTGTCATAAGTTCAGTGTAACGAAAAAATCTGGTAAGAGCGCTCGGTCAGTTACTTGATGGTGGTCGCGGCGGTGATTCCATGAGACCGGTGGTATGCATATCCGCCAGCCTCTGTTCAATTATCTGCTTTACCACCGGGAGTATCTGCTTGCGAGAGGCTTTAACATTTCCCTGTTTGAAATACTGATAACGTCCGTCCGGTATACCAAAGGTGGGATCACGCTCCAGGCCCAGTTTCACTTCAGCATTGTTCAAATCATCCAGGAGCTGCAGACCAACATACTAAAAGAAAACCGTTAGGTCTAAACAAAAACTGATAACGAGATCTAAGACTTACAAGATCTACGTAAGACATGTCCGGTGCAAAACAAAGCATATCGCGCTGCACACTGGTATCCTTGATCGAAACTCCCAGCACAATCAATCCAGTGTAATCGTACTTGCGGCAGAATGTTTCGATTTCGGCTTGCGCATCATCAGCCTTCAAGCAGTGCTGGAAACCCAAAATATGCAAGTAAAAACAGCAATAAAACTCTGCGGTTGTTTTGGCGCTGTCACCACAAAGATGCTTGCTATATTTCACGGCATTCCAATCGTGCACAATAATACTGTTAACGTTGACCTACGCGGACAAGCTTTGGAATCGATGAGACTGCGATTTTTATCTCCTGGATATCCAAAACTTTCAAGTCCTTTCGAAGCAACTGCTCAGTATTGAGACAGGAAATGTCGGATTTTGCATCCACGAGTTCTGAAAAAATTTGATCGCGCACAGCAGCCGTTGGTAACCGCTTCTGCAGTTCATCCGCGATATGTTCGTCCTTCTGCGTGGCCTTTTGGGCGTCCTTGGAAAAATTCACAGTGTCCAGTATGATGGTTTCGTACAGCAAATAAGCGGTCACCGGTGTCAATGATTTCGCATCAGATGCAGCCAAAATTTTCTCGGCGATCAGCGTGCAGCATGAACCAACTGTTTCCGTAGTAGAAGAAATATCCCTGCAAAATTCAGCAACGTGTGCATTCGCCAAATAAACAACGCATTTCTATAACAGTTAATGAAGTAGACAAGCATGACGAATTCAGTATTTAATGACGAGAAAATTCTGAAATTTGAAGTCTTTTTAACAGAACTACAACCTGAACCGGTATTTAAGCCGATAGCCTTGCATTAACATTATTGTTGGTGTTGCATTATTAACATTATCGTTTTATCTAAATTTAATATAAACGCGAATATATCTGTGCCCTGCACACAGATATGTGCAATGACAGCGATAATCGTGCTAACTCCCTTCTACATCTACGAAGTTGTCTCGAACAAATTGTAAGAATTCTTTTTTAACAATGCAATTTTCATCAGCGCGAAAGCTGTCTAGATATAAAATAGTTAGCTAGCGATTAAGTAAATGCTGATTTCACATTGGAAAAGCCGCGTATTGTACCCACTTCAAATAAGCAGTCTTATCTCCTTGCTCCACGGGGCGGTGGTCGATGACTTCTTTAACAGCATCTGTCAAGCCAGAAAATTTTCCCACCGGCAGATGATGATCCACCAGGGTCACCTGCAGTCTGCGTTCCTGATGCAGTCGAACAGGATCGAGATCGTCCGCAAAAATCAAATTCGACTGTTCGATGCCTTGTTTTGTTAGGGCGTACGCCACTTCCGTCTTGAGAACATAATCCTTTCTGGGAACATTCAGCAACGGGAGCACGGCATCGTTGTTTGCACTGTCCGTCTAATGTAAGAAACGACACAACAACGTACGAACTTCAATTTTCAGTGGGTTACAAGGTCAGTGGACGAAGTGCACCCATTAGCTCAGTAACATTACCTTCCACAAGTGGAAAGCGTAGACAAGGGCCGATACGGCGGAATCCAGATCGCAAGCTTCGTTGCCCGTGACGATGTGGATCGCCTGGCTCTGTTCTGGCAATTCCTGTAAGTACTTAAATGTTTGTACCGAATAAGCAACAAAAAGCCACCATAATGCGGCCAAGCTAATAACTGCAGGAACAACGCGACTGTCAAGAAATGGCCCGTTACGAGGTAGAAGAATGAAAATGTGTTTAGATACTTATATAATACGAATACGGAGAACATGAAGTACTTGCACTAGTAACTACTGTACGATCCATTCGAAACAAAATACATTATATTTAATTTTGCAGCTTCCGCAAGTAGTTACTTTCTGCGAACTGACAATGGCAAAGCAAAATAAATGCCGGCAAAACAAAATAAAAGGAAGCAAATTCGGGTACTTACTTACTGAAAGCAGAAGCGCAGCGCGCAAATGCATTCACTAGTACCGTTTAATTCAGCACAGTACGTACGCTGCTTTGTACTTTGTTAAAATTATAAAGTAAGTTGTAAATAATGGTAGCATTATTATTGTAGTAAAGCATAGTCACAAAATATCGAAGACGTTTCGCGAATAAAACGCCTAATTAGAGAATCAGCTAAACTGGAGTACAGAATTTACAAACTCGAAAATCCGAGGATAGAACACAACTTTAAGACCTTTACGAAATTTTAATTATTAGCGAAAAATTAATGAAGCACGAGAACAGCACATGTAGAACGTTATAAAACAGCAAGAGTGTCAAAAGGCTGAAACGGTAGGTACGTACTAGATAGTCGCTGGTAGACTAACCAGCAAGTGGTAGTGGTGACTTAAATTTTTTTGTGAAGTAGATGGTTTTAAGATAAGCCGAGAACTTCAACTTACCATCCGCTTTTGGGACAACAATAAATATTCCTGAAGGCTAGTGCGTTCCTTGTCGTTGTCCATGATCCAGCAGTTTAATGAGCCGGGCCACCGACAGAAACTCTGACGAGAAACGGAACAAAAGTCTAACTCGCTGGCCGCAGCGCACGAAAGGAGAAGTCGACGTTATTAGTTATATCACCAATATCTGGCAACCTGCAACACAATTAAAGGTGAGCTAGTTGTAATACAACAGAGCATTTAAAGGAGTGATAATACGGTAATGACATCAAAATACTGCAAGCAACATTAACGGGCTTAAAAGCAGTTTTTAGATCGTGAAATCACCTGGATAATCCGACGAAACAAATTTCACCACCACGTCGAATACAAACCACAACAAACAGCTTTTGCGCTTTTATAATCCCAGTGGGTGGAGCCGCGATGACGTCGCTGAAACATACCCAACGATTGGACAAACCATTTCAACAAATATAGCACTTACCACTGCGGTAGTTTATATCGTACGGCTTAGCCGCTTATGTTTGTTTTTTGACTTTTTTAGTACTGTCTGTCTGTTCCTGTTCAAAACAGTGCACTTAAAATCTAATTTCCTTTACTTAAATTTGAGAGTGCTCCTCTGATTCCGTGGCTTCCTCGAGTAAGTGTGAGATGGGGTGAGCTTTTCCTTTGTGATACGACATGACTCACATGAGCATATTAAATTGTGCTGCACTGCTGATCATCTGATGCAAAAATTGTCACCTACCTACTGTAGTCTTGTGGTTACCGTTGCAGTTTTAACTTTTAACGACGGCATGGCCCAAGCGGATTTTTCCGCCGGTTGCCATTCTACAACTAACCCCGTTCCAGTGGAGGACATCGCGCATGACGGACGGTGGTTAAGTCAAGTAAGCCATGATCAATAACAGAAATGGTTTCATTAAGTACCGCGTGCTTGGCACTGCTTGCATTTCACTTTCACTCTAAGTTCGACAGTATCTGAGTATCAGAGTATCCAGTAATAATGGACCAGTACTGGTATGTATCCATATTGCGCTACACGATTGTACGGTACAAGTAACATGTGGCAACAATTAAACTTATTAGTTGGCACTAAGACGTTTTTATTTCTCTAGCTTGTCTCACAAATTTTGGCTTCTTGCAGCATAACAGATTCCTCAAAGAGAGTCAGATGAAAGCAGAGGAGACAAACGTGCTTTTTATTGGCGACAGCATTATACAGCGGCTACAGGATTCTGACGTGAGTGCCATAGCGTTTTCTCACTTTTGTTATGAAAACTTTTGAGTAAGATTTTTCCTGTTGAACAGATTTGGAGAGAGTTACTCCACCCATTGCAGGCAGTGAATTTCGGAATCGGTGGTGATACAACACAGAATCTTCTTTGGCGAATAGCTGACGGTGTCGTCGACCATCTCGATCCAAAAGTATGCAATGAAATTTACTGTACATTGCTGTTTGCGCATCGTCCATAATTTCTGCGAAAGAATTAAATTTTGTGGTTTTTTATTGGCAATTGTGGATGCATTAAAACGATTTTTCATACCTGCTTTAGGTAATAGTAGTGCACATCGGAACCAATAATTTTCTGAATACCGCGGATGAAGTACAAGAGGGAATTTTGGAAGTGGTAAGACTTCTTCATGAGAAGAAGCCGCGTGCAAGGATAGTGCTAATTGTGAGTTTTCTACTGCTTCTATCTTTATTACAGTAGGTGGCTAGGTGCTATATTACTAATATTAGGTAGTTAGATCTTCGTATTAATGTTATTTTCTCGAGCCTATTAGATGGTGTAGAACGAAAACTCGAAATAGTTTGAAGAGCACACTCGATCTGTACTGCAAATGCTCTGCCGTTTCCAGCAGAATGGGTGAGCCGGAAAGTCGGTAAAAGTTGTACGATGCTCTTACGTAATATTTTATGGTTGATTATCGTACTATTTGAGCAGTACAGATATGTACAGTACTACCTCCTATTGATTTTAGCATCTGCTTGGTGATCTCTTGCATCTTGCAGTGTTTAATTCTGTTGAAAACGTCTTAACAAAATATATTCGATTAATTAATTAGAGTTCGCACTTCACAGTCGACTTTGTTTGCAAAGTATTGCACCTATTTATTATTTTTGTAATCGCTACAAACTGCAACCACAAAACAGACGAACGATTGGATAGGCTGTCTAATTTTAAAATCCTCTTGTGGCTTCTAATAGTCTCAGATATGATCGGTGCTGTTGAGGGCTCTTTTTTTCCTTTTGCTCTGAAACTTTAAAACTTGTCCAAATACCGTATACATAAAGTTTTGTGGTTACTATCCATTGCATGCACAGTTCGTGTACCCTTTCCATATCATGAACTTAAGAAATTGCCTAAGATACGTTTCTTCAAAAGTTATAAATTTGAACCATGAATCTTGATGCAGGAATTATTTCCCCGTGGGGAAAAGCCAAACCAACAGCGCGAGAAGCATATTACCGTCAACAAGATGTTGCATCAGGCACTTAAGGATCACCGTCATGTCCGCGTCGTTGACCTGGATCCCGGATTCGTTGCGACGGATGGGCTCATCCACTTTCACGATATGCATGATTATTTGCATTTGACAAATAATGCTTATAAGAAAGCATTTGAGCCTCTCTACAGCATTCTCGTATCCCTAATCGGTGAAGTGGAGTGGGAATGGGAAATACAGCGGCGAAACTCAGTTGATCCACATTCGTAATAATGAACGGTAAATTAGCGATTTTTTTAGGCTTCAGGGTGGAGTCATAATAATCTTAAATGCCAATATGGGCAGTTCTAATTGTGTGACTGTGATGGACTTATTTCAGACTTTTCAGTCGTGTTGTTCTTGTTGTGAATTATTGGCTCTTGCAACGTGTTATCTCTTATTGTACACTGCAGTGCTGGCCTACCGGCGTCTTATAGATGCAATATTGTTTGTTAACCTGGTTTGTTTAGGGTTGATTTAGATTGTTTAAGTGTGAAAGTTCCTGTTTTGCAGCGCACAGAAATCCTTTTCCGCCATATAGATAATACGACTAATGATGTAGTGAAATGTCGTGACCCGTGTTCTGTGTAATACGCGCATATGCAGAAGTCAAAAGAATAATATAATTAAGGAGTACTTGCTGTAGAAAGTACTAGGAAAATATCGCTACACAAAATGGTGACAAAAATCAAAGCAGTGAGATACTCCAGTATTTACGCCGCTAAGTGTAGCTGTAATAAGGATTTGACAGTTTCATGTTTAATTTGACTGTTAGTGCGATGACCATCTACAAAATTTCTAACAAAAGCTACCCAAGTTTAGGTTACAGCTTGCTGTAGGAAAATTATTATGCACACAAAATACCTCCATGTTTAACCGACTTGATGAATTTCATAATAATGACATTATTGACATAATTATACTATGACAAATCTGATTGATTAATCTGCGTAATACAACCTAATAAGTAATAACTTATTGTACGTGATAAGTCGCAGTACTCTGTAGGTACAGTAAGTGGCTACGTGCAACAAGCCAAGTAAGTCCATGTCCATGATAATAATCAATAACGATATAATCATGATTATGGATATGTATAAATTTGTCTGTGCAAGATATAAGGAGAAAGAAACAAAGACTTTCTGTTGTTAGTAGGGTTAGTAGGTACAAGTCATACTCGTGCATACGAGATAGCAATATTCACTATAAACACAATAAACTGAATACAGTATATTAATTGTCCCTTCCTCCACATACGACATACTCTTATCAATGCAGAGTCGGTATCAGTGAATTACGGTAATTTGAATTTTAAAGTTAAGTATTCGTAGTCTAACTCTGCACTCCCACTGTACAAACGCTCCGGCATGTCTAGTGTCTACCAAGCAGTGTAAACTGAAAAGCCATCCCGTTCTTCCGTAACTGCTGACGCCTGTCACTACTTACTTCGCAATATCACTTCTCTTTTATCATGCCTTTATTTGTTAAAACCGCAGTCAATGACGAGGAAGTGAAAGCGCTCGTAAAGAAGCACTGGAACGTCGACTTGGGAGAGAAACTTAAAGACTCCCAAAATCAGACCTTCGCCGGCACTATCGGAGAGGGAAGCCATGTAAAGAAAGTGATTATTCGCGTGACGCCCAATCCTGCTGGTGAACGCACCGGATCCCTTGATTTAGAATTACAGGTGCTCAAGTTTTTGGCGTCCAAGAATCTCCCTGTTTGTGAGTCCATTCCTGCGCTTGATACCGGCGCGTTTCAAGTGCCCCTTGGCGATCTGAGCGTTTCAGTTTTCCATTACGCGGAAGGAGAATTCGTTGGTTTTGGCGACCGGCGCTGGATGCTAGAAGAGCAACACGTCGTTGGTGTTGGTCGCTGGTTTGGCCAACTGCATCTTTTGCTCGATGAATTCGAAGATACATTTCCCGAGCTTCTTGTACATGCTAGAAAATGGGATGAACTTCATGACGGCGTGTTGAAGGAAGTGTCAGTCGATCCGCGAGACCGCAAAACGGAGAGCGAGATTTCGACAGCCAAGCCCCGCACCTACGGCCTTATTCACGGAGATGTCAACACTTCCAACTATTTTTGGCTGCCGGAGAGGCAGCTTCCTTGCATGTTCGATTGGGACCAAATGCAGCGCGCCTGGCGCCTGTACGATTTGACCAGCTGCATTTGGGGCGTGGTCACACTTCAGTACGCCGGATCGCCGCTGACCCTCCAACCGGTGCCGGAAGCGAATGAAGTGGCTTATACTAATCTTCTCGTGCGCGGATACGAGGAGGCGACAGACACGAAGGTGGATAGAGACGCTTTGGCACGGGCCCTCAAAATCCGCCGTGCGCTCTATACCAGCTTCTGTTCTCGAGCTCTGGCAGAGCTGACACCGGGAACCCCTATGCACCATTTCTGCGATTTCATGAACAACTGGCTATCTTCTGAAGCGGAAAAGAAACGAATCGGAGAGGGAAGCTGAGCAGTGAGCACCGTACACCGGGAAGCAGCTAGGTTTATAAATATTTTATACATAGTGTGTGTCACAGTGACAGTGTTTGTTTTGATTTGGGTTTCTACTTTTATCATGTTCTATAATTATGTTCCTCTGTTCTGCTTTCTTTTCCCCAAACCAATGATTTTCCAATAAATGAGTCAACAATTTGTGGCACCATAATTTTCCGTAATTCGGAAACGAAACCTGGTAGAGTGGTTAGTGTATGCAGCATAAGTGCATATGATTTTCCGCCATGTGCAAACACTACTCGTACCTGTTACGGTTTTTCGCATCTCCAGACTTCAGTTTTGGGGGTTACACTACTGTTTGCTGTCTGGCAGTGGCAACCTTGCTTATCTTTTCCGGCGGATGAATCATTCGGTCGGCTTAAGCTACTTTTATTCAAGTAAAACATGTTGGAAATGTTATCGCGGTGCTATTTCCTGTTCTACGGCTCGAACACCGTTTCCGGTAAGAAACTGAGAAATTGTGCTATCGTATAACCGTGAAATGGACAAACTGGTTTATGCGGTAGCGTATTGATTGTAAATTACTCACGGACTCACGGTAACTCACCGATACATCTTATTGTTGTTTGCAGTTTGCCAGTTTGCGCTTTTATGCATATGATAGCACGATACATGTTGGAAAGCCTATAATAGTTTTACTTCGTCAGTTTCATACCGTTTTTCAGTTTAGTCTGATTTTTAATTTGTGACTACATATCTGTAAACTTAAGGTACGAATCAACGGTACAATGATACATTAGTTCAATATTATATCTATTTAGTTGGCTGACTATTTTTTGTGTTGGGTTTAGGCTATGAACTTTTTTCGACGGATATCTAGAAGCAAAGCGAGTTCAATGGACCACAATCCCGAAGTTATTTTGTTGGGAGATAGCTTGATTAACCGTCTGCAGTATGCTCCAGTAAGCAAGAAATCTGTTTCTCTCCCGTTTGATAAGTGCTTTTGAGGTTGCTGACTTGCTGACAGTGATGCCCGGTTCTCTGCGGGAAAAAGCGGAAAATGGCCCGCGTCCGCTTGTTGTAGGAAGCCGAGAACGCAAAAATGGACAACACTGGTGGTCTCAGTAATGCACTCTGCAGTGTTAGGTTATACAATATACCCCCGTATGCCACATCAACATGCACCGGGTTTTAATGCTTTGTACCGCTGGCGTAAATAATTCCTTTTCACTGACGGGATGATACTTAACTTGTGTTGCAATAAAAACAGTTTCCGAGTTTGTGCGGTGTGTCACTGCGTGTCAGCATGAAATTTTACAGATATGGTCGAACAAATTCGCATCGTCCTTTCGCTGTCTGAATTTGGGGATCGATGGACTGACTGTGGAGGGACTACTGCGACGGGTTGTTGAGGGAGAATTTCCGATAGATGGTTTCCACGCCAAGGTAAGTTAGTTATTATTTTTATTCGAGAAAGCGCAAAGCTTTGCAGAATCGTGTTTCTGTTGTTTTTCTGTTGCTGTTATTGTGTTTCTGTTGTTTTTTTCTGGTAATTACGACCTCAGCCTGTGCACAGTTACAGTATGACACAGTATGCTATGACAATAATTATTATTACTTTAGTTTAAGTGGCGATTTTTGTATATCGGTCTGATACGTTGCTATTGATAAGTAGTCGATCGTCTTCCGCTGCTTTGCAGATTCTGATCTTGAATGACGTTAAAATGTTACGAGATATGTTTAACGGCGTATCGTGAGCTGATTGGCCCTATGAAATTCTTTAGGTTATCGTTCTTCTGATCGGAACGAATAATGTTGGGGACACGCCGGATCACATTGCCGGTATGATCGACCAAATCATCGTAGCGGTTCGCGATCGTCAGCCTTCCGCGCAACTATTTGTGGTAGTAAGTTTCCGCTCTTGCAGTGTGATGTGTTTTGTTACCGCTTCATCTACCGCTCTTTTGTCACCGGTGCTGTATGGTCAGTTTCGGTACTCACAAGACCGGTTATCTGATATTTAATTACGCTGAGGAATTCTATTAATGTTTTTATTTCAGTAATGTATGTTATGTGTAGGAATTATTCCCAAAAGGCCCGGGACCATCCGTGTACAGGGATAAAAATACAGCAGTGAATGTACTGCTACGAGAACGACTAAAAGAGAACGCTAACCTCCGTGTGATAAATTTGGATCCAGGATTTGTTGATGAGAACGGCAAGATCAGCAAGACAGATTTTCCGGATTATTTGCATTTTTCGGATATTGCCTATGAAAAAGCATTTTCTCCTCTGTACGTCCTGTTAGACGAAGCTGTCAAAAAGTCAAACACGAAATAATCGCATAAAATTTCTGTTTTGTACTATTAGTACAGTACTTCATTGAATTTGTGACTGCTTTTGTGATAATCTGATAGACTGGTAGTGACAGTACGCTTGCTTTCCAGTTATTTGATTCATGCTTGTCTTTATTGCCTTTCTGCACAATGTGAACTAGAATACGGGTTTGTGATTTTGGTATTCAGTTTTTCTTTAATTTATAAAATGTGACAAGAGTAGAAAGACGCAGCTTGTGCCATGTTGCTAAGATTGAATCCTGGTTTTGTTGGCTGCTGGCAAGGTGCAGAGATTTCCATGTGAACCCTTGCGGGAATCCTTTGTTGCATTCACAAGGCCTGCAGTTTTTTGCTGACGTATTCTTGGCCAAAGTTTACCAGGAGTCTTTTGCAGTTACGATTTGTGGTAGCAGCTTCATACAGTGGACGCCAAAATTGTCTTACACTTATGTAATCACACAACGCGCGCAACCAAGCACTTTTCTGTACTTAAACAGCTAAATTTTTGACTGGCCATTGGCCTGCTGACATTTACACTTGCACCTTGCGCATTTCCCAACGAAAACCATTGACCAATATATCAAACGAATGAGAAAAAAATTTCAAGAATTTAGATACCAAACAAGTTGTTCTTTATGAGATCTAAGAGATAATCGAGGCATCTAAAGTTTCTCGTAGACATAGCACAGGATTTGCATCCGCGGTTTGGTTTCAGTTTTCACACAGAAATCGTGTGCTTTGTCTACGACAAACTAAAATGGCTCGATTTTCTCTTAGATCCCATAAAATATGACCCATTTGGTATCAAAATTCTTGAAATTTTTTTGTCTTTCGTTTGAGATATCGCTTGCTGGTTTTCGTTGGGAAATACGCCAGGAACAAGTGTTCGTATTCTTGCGCGTTTTCAGTTTACTGGTCATGTGGTCCTGGCCATTTAGTTTTATTGGTCATTCGGTCCCGGACCGAATGTAAGAGAATTTTGACTTCCATTGTACCTTCGCAAAAGTGAATTACAATTACGGTGCATTACACTTGGTGACAGTTGGTGTCTGCCGGCTGCCGCGCAGACAGTTCCAGGCCTTAGGCGCAGTGTCGGTTATAACGTAACTGCCAACTGTTTCGTTTCCTCCCAGTTACGCGACCGCCGCAGACTGCAGCACGACAGTCGATTCTCGGATACGTTTTTTTTTGCAATCTGAAAGAGTGGTTGTCAGTGTCACTTGTCAGGTTGTGATTTTTGTATTTTGTTGATGTTGGCTTTTGCTGCAGTTTTTTGGACGAAATTGAAACTTTTACTGGATAGATCGATTCCCGAACGTCGTTTTCGTGCTTGTGAGTAATGGATGTTATCATTGTTATGGGAATGCATCTGTAGACTGCAAGATTTATCGGTCTGCGAGGCCCTCATTGTGAGGTGCATTTTACTCCTCGATGAAGAACTTTTCCCTCCGCTCTGCGCTTTGACGTGTTCCGTGTTTCACCGCTCCTTAAAAATCGCTTTCTCAGTTTCCTGGTGTTGCTGTTGCAAAACGACACATCCTCCCACTATATTTGTGCGGGTTTCAAACACTTATGAATCCATACTGATGTGTATGAGTTTATTGACTTCCCACCTGTGCGTCGGCGATGTCTCTCTTTTTGGATACCATAACGGTGCTGGTCAGCCAGGTAAGCAGAACTGGTGATGATTTGCAGTTTATTAGAAATTGGTACAAATGTTCGCGACACGGCAAAAAATTGTCGCTTTTGCAGTTTATATTTTTTGGAATTGGATGGATTTTTTTAATGACACGTCTGTCTCGGGACTACGAGGTGAGTAAAACCGCATTCAGTGTCCGCGGCAACATTTCGAACATGAATTGTCAGCAGTGTTGTATTTACTATTGCCCCAGAACCTTACTTACTTTTTACTTTTCGTCTGGCCATTGGCTTTACTATTTACTTTACTATTTACTTTTCATAATCTTGCTTCTTTACTTTTACTTACTATTTACTTTTTTTATCGTAACCTTACTTACTTTTACTAACTTAGTAATTACTAGTAAAATAGTAATTACTATTCGTTTTTTGCGATAAATCGCAGTACTCAGCAAAAGTTTCCAGTTTTGCCATATTCGTTTCTTAAGCATATTACGTATCTAAAGCAAAAATAACTGCTTGTGCTCTGGGACAGTGTGCACACCGATTAATTTTAATTTGTGCTCAGAAATTTGTTTCAATGAAGCGATTTGGTTCTGTGTAAAATTACAGTACTTATTTTTTGACAAAAATTAGCAAAAGCGATTCCACCGTTTTCGGTGCCAAGATACTTAAGTATTGCGGTGAAGCGGTACTACGAGGAGCTATTAGCTAATATGCCGGGCAGTCACGTAACTCGCCCACCTTAGCGGTTGAAAGCGTCTGCAGTGCAGCGAAAGTTTAGCGATTCAGAAGAAAACCTGTACTGCCAAACGTAACTGCTATGGAAAAAAAGCATGTTCAACAGAATTCTGTTGATGCCCGTCACTTTTATCTGCTGCGGACGTTTAGTAAAAAGACTGATTTACTAATTAAACTATTCCCGTTTCGCGCCTTTTACTTTTACTTACTATTTACTTCTCAAGCCTCGGCTGCTCTTACTTTTACTTTACTTTTACTTTTCCCTTTTGCTGCTTACTTACTTTTTACTTAATTAGTAAGAGGCAAAAACGGCTTACTAAGTAAGGTTTACTATTTACTTTTACTAAGTAAAGCAACACTAGAATTGTGCTGCTGACTGCGTTCAGTCACCGTAGTCAGTATTGACGGCTACTACTTTAATGGCATGTTTCTAATTTTTAGATTCGAAATCATCCGGTGCAGATTTTGTTTTGCTTGACATTCACGTTATCCGTAACACTGTTCGAGCTGTTTATTTTCGAAATCCTTGGACTGCTACAGACGGAGTATGCGTGAATTGTACGTCAATACGTAGCATTTTCTCACAATCAGTGACGTGTTTTCAGTTCGCGCATGGTCCATTGGAAACTCGGGATATTTTGTCTGATCGTCATTCTTGTGGCGGTGATTCCGTTTTACATCGCTCGATCCATTGTCAGCATTGCTGCCTCTAATGCACGTAAGAGTATATTCCCACTTCCCAGCGAATCTCCAACTGAAGTATAAAACATTCAAAAGCTGCAGTTTGAGATTGTTTACGGTTTATTTTTTTTGGATTATGCCATTTTGCATTTTTTAATAGGCATTTTTTAAATAGGCGTTTTTGTTTGTTTTTCTTTTTGATGCCAACTTGTAGCCACTAGTCACGGTTTTACTTTCGTATATGTATTTCCTTTAGCAGTGCAACCAATTGTAGTGCCTAATTTTTCTGTAAAATACCTACTTTTCTCAGGTTTTTACATACTTATGACAAAACCAGTTTAGCAGGTGGTATCTGTCTTGCGGTGACAGTGACACCAGCAATGCTAGCGCAAATTCTCACCACTCAAATATATTTGTAGGTAGTCTACCGTTCCGGCATTTACAATCGAGAGTAGTTCACTTTCTCGCTTGGTGCTTGTTTCTTTACGGATTCTGGAAGATCGGAGATCCGTTCCCCATACTCAGCGCAAGAGAGGGTTAGAAATATTTTTTTTATGGAACGCTCCTACACTTGGATCATGCATGTGGAATTGACATCGTTTTCTTCTCTGCAGGAGTTTTTCCCACCATGGACCATGCAGTTGGGCGGGTGGGCGTCATCGGTGTAACATTAATGGCGGTGTTATCCGGTTTTGGTGCTGTGAACACACCGTACATCTACTTGTCTTGCTTTTCTGAGTATGTTGCATGCTTGCAGCGGTCACATTTTGAAGTCGATTCTTATTATTATTTTTTCAAGTAGAACAGTGGGAGATTCCCACATCCGGTTGCTGGAACGACGTCTGGAGCAGGGAATCGAAATGTTGGCGACAAAAAAGAAACGGTAATATCGGTCTCATTTTTCCCGGCCATTTTTCGTCATCGGTGCTTGTGCGCAGGTTAGCGGTGATGAACAACCGGTTGAATGGGGACGCTGCTGACGGAGCTTCCTGGTGGAATCCGATACGCCGTATAAGTCCTAGTTCGACGGATAGTGAGTTACTATTACGAAAACAAATTGTGCCTTGGTTGTAAGACATGATTCGGCTTAATTGCAGATGCGTCACAGCTTCAGGGGGAAATTAATACGATGCAAGTTATGTGTACGCACCTGTTTCTGGAGATCGACGAATTTCAGAAGATGAAAGCTCGCCATGAATATTCCAAAACATTCCAAGGTTTCATTTTTCATTGCTGGGGAATGGCGTTGACTGCGTATTGTATTTGGAAAATACTTATGGTAAGTAATCGTCAGCGGGGAATTTTTGTAAACTGTTCACTCACTAAACGACTTTATGGAAGAAGTCATAGTATGTCAAAACGCACTAACATCAAACGCAATTGATAGTAGTTATGATTAACAAAAAAGCTCATCTAGATCAGATGTAATGTGATTATCGCTTCTTAATATTCTTCCACGTAGCATCTGCTTTCGTTTCTTTTAGAAATGTTGCGCTGGGTTATACGCATTTTTTTTGTATTTGCAGACGATGCTTAATATTATTCTGAATCGAGTGACACACCTGGATCCTGTAACGCGTTGTTTGGAAATTGCTGTTAATTATATTGGACTGCGTGTTGATGTAAGTTTGTTTTGTAATTTGCGTCTCTTCATGGTTTAGTGCTGCCATGCCGTCTGCCATCTCGTTGTCCGTTGGGTCTTCTTATTCGCTACGATTTCCTTAGATTTTTATTTCGGTTCCGCTGATGTGCTTTATTGCAGGTCCAGTTATGGTCCCAATACGTTTCTTTCGTACTTGTTGGAGTGCTGGCGTTTACTTCGATTCGGGGACTGCTGATAACTTTGACAAAAGTAATTGAGAATTTTTAAGCAATTGCAGATTTTGATTGCTGACACTGCTTAATTGTTTCTCGGTGCAAAATGTTTCACTGCTATCTTGGTTGAATTGGGTTGTTGAGTAAATGTGTCATCAAATTCATAGTATCTACGTTTATGAACCGACATTTTGGTGCCGGTTAACGCTGAATCGAATTGTCTTTGGAGTCTTACGATGTTTTTTTTGCAGTTCTTTCAGTTTTCATATGTGATCTCCAGCAGCCGGTCGTCGGATATTATTGTGCTTTCCTTTGCAGAAATTATGGTATGTGTTGAACATTAGTTCACAGCTGAACAAAGATTTTAGGAGCAAAAAAATTGTGTACCCTAATATTTTTTTAATCCTAATTTCGGAGCTTGCGGGCTGAATAGGCAGTATCGGATTGCTTTTTCTATGCTTATGGTTGTCGATAAGTATTTGAATATTAAATGTTTGATAACCTTCTTATGAAGCGATAACAGTTGTTCATAACCAATGGAGTGTGCTGGGATTTTTCATACGAGTGTCTGGAACAGAATGATACGCTCCATATAATTTTATGAATGGTCAAACCATAAATCAGTTTCCGTGATCTGAAGGGAATGCCAGAGTTTTAATCGAGTATAGTTGCTGTTTTGTTTTGATAAATGCTCTGATTTGGCGCCGAGCGTGTTGATGCCTGAGAATTGAGACAACGATATTTAAAAGCAATGTCTTTTTGCAGGGAATGTATTTCGTGTCAACGATATTACTGATGCGTTTAAGTGTCCCGCCTGCCTACCGGTAAGAAGAACATTTGCATTATGATCTGCCTTTCCCTGTAAATGTTCGCAGCGCTCAGGAATAAATTTACAAAGAACATACCGGTACCATTCTGTATTCCTTATATTTTTTGCTCAATTTGACAGGGCCATTATCTCTGAAGTGCTGGGAGAACTTCAGTTCAGTTTTTATCATCGATGGTTTGATGTGATATTCCTGCTCAGCGCCTTCGCTAGTGTGGCTTTCCTTTATTTGGCTCATCGTCGCCTGCCTAGTAAAAATGACCTGTGAAACGCAACGAATACGGACACTCCAATACAGATAAATCTGTTTGACGTTTGTTGCGCTTGATGCTTAGTGATTTTCAGTTTTGCTCGAGTATGGAATAGTTGTGATAGAATCAAATTGTTAGTTTTCTTGGATTGCACAGACGCGTGTTATAATTTATTTGTTATTAAATTTTTGAATTTTGAAACTGCATGGTTCTGGAGCTGTTAGGCCATGAACATGAAGTCACGAACATGTGTGGTCAGTTCATGTAAATGTAATTTCCAGACTACTGTTTGTAGTTGCATTTAAAATCGCATTACAGAGAGTATTTTTTTGTTTTTGGCTGCTTGATTAGTTGGGATAATGCAGCTCTCACCTGAATGGTGTTATTAATACTTAGGTATGGACCGTACGGTACTGGGTAGTTATTTAATACTGTGACATCAATGTACCACAAATCGAAATAAGCGGAGTAGCGACAGTAGTCTTCCGCTCTGCTGTGAGTCATCATCGCAAAGACAAAAAAGCGGCCCCTTTTACCAAAATCTTCTACAACGACAAACCCAACAACAACTATGACAAATCTCTAAAATGGCACACAACGTGCGGGGCTATAAAGTATAAACGCATTAGTTTTGCGTCAGACAGTTGCCCTTGGTTCAAACGGTAACCACCACGCACTGCCAACGCAACGCCGGCTGCGTCGTTGCGGTATCCTGGTTCTGGTTGCACCACATTTAACACAACCAGATATACTATTCTCTGCTGTGTGATTCATTTTCATGATTTCATCCGACTTATGAACAAAGTGAGCTAGAGTAGTGCTTCCTGTTGGTAAGCGCTAGAGTAGTGCTTCCTGTTGGTAAGCTCAAGTAACTTGGTGGAGCACGTAAACGATCTAACGTGGTCACAATATTTCTAATGCACATGTGCAACCGAGTGCAACGATACTAATTACTTCTTTCGCAAGCATAAAATTTTTAATTTCACAGTTTAATTTGCTTTTACCGTTGCTTCCGACCAATTCAATGCCTATACACAGTAAAAGAAATGGCAATCTAACATAAATTGCATATTAATAATGGTGCTTTTTATAGAGTTCAGACCCAAAGCCGAATGTCACCTTTGCGTGTAAAGCGAATGCGGGAGCGGACGATGCAAAAGATCCAAAGGGTGGAGTCAAAGCCATCACCCCATTGGCTCACAGTGGAGTTGTACTCCCATGCCGATGATGTGCTCCAATAAAACTGCATACAATTATCCGAAATCTGATTACAAAAGTGCTGGCCACCCCGGCCTGCGAGCATATTAAAATACATTTCGCTATCGTTATCAGCGTTTTGAATTCCTTCACGTTATGGATCCGGATAAATATTTAAGCGATTGAAATTTTCTGTTCATCGGCATAGAATCAGCAAGTTTGGAGGAAAGACGCCAGTGCAAAACGCGTCAGCACTGTGCATAACCCATCGTCGTTCTGAACTGGATTTAATACACAGTCGATGACCTTTGATAATTTTTCTGCTTATTGCGTTTTTCACGGGAATCTTTGTTCTGTGATGCTGAAGTGAGGTAGTTCTATTATAATAGTCTCTCGTGTTATCAGACAAATGTTGGCTGACGCGAAAAAATGGGACTGTATAATAGCTACCTTTCTTTAGTGCACATGCATCCAACCGTTCCGTTAACGTTTCGATTCATTTGATGCAGCATACGGCCAAATTTCGTAAGCGGCTGTTTTGGAAGTGTTTTCACACGAGCACCTATGGACTCGTCTTTCATGTATAATACAGTAGTGGTGCTGTTATGCTTCTTATCCCTGAGACCCATAACTAGTGTAAGACCTGCTACACAGTTCATGGTTTTCGGGTTAAGAACACACAGCGTGGTCATCAGCACGGATTGCGGAGTACAACATCGGAACTGAAGTTATTGAGTGTGTCCGTCCATCTTATATTTTGAAATCCCATCCAATATGCTGGGATCTACTCTGTAGCAGCCGCAGGGAATAATGGAACTTGCCCATTGTTTTACGGTTTTACCGGTACACGAGCTGCATTACTTGATCACTTATTTGCCACCGTTATACAAATTACGGACAGCTGCGCAGTGTATTTCATGTTTGTAAATTTGAAAGCAACTGAGAAACATAATTTTTTATTTTTTAGCTATGTTATAATGGCATGATGGTGCTTTTTTACTTGTACAAGTGGATCCTCTGCATACATGCTGCTTTATCTGGTTTTCACTGAATTTAGTATAAAGACAGCGATGTGCAACATTCATGTGCGACCTTTGTTTTATTTCTACGAGACCGCTAGGACAATTTGAAACTCCTTTACCAAAGTTTCTGTACGACTGAAATTCCCTCAACCGATAACGAATTTGAAAGTCATTTGACATGTCTTTGGTAGCAGTTCGAAATGCGTTATCGATTGAGGGAATTTTAGTCCACGATTCCGTTGGATTCATCAATTGCTTTTGGTTTTTAAAAACTGCCTGCTCGGTCAGCAGAGTAAAAAATCGTAACGCTATAGCATAAAAAATGAAAAGCGCATTGGTTACTAACTTAATGTGATTCGTTTGTACCATACGTAACAGATAATAAATACCTGCCCTATTTATGGCAGGCAGTTGTAACACTGGCAGATTAATTGAAATGCTTAAAATTCTTTTCCTGATTAAATCAGGACATTAGGGTTTTGTAATAATTAAGCATTTAGCATTATAATGTAGCCTTTGCCAGCGCCGGCTCGTTTTAACTGAATTGACCTTTGCCGTACAAAACGAGAAACGGCCAAAATATGTGAGTTAAGCACAATTATTACTTGAACGGGACCATGTCCAACACCGTCAAGTCAGTTGAAGATCCTACGATGTAGTAGTCACTAACATGGCTATAACCACGAAGTTTGCTGGTCCCGCTGCCAAAAAGTATTTTCCGACAAGAGCGAAAGCTCAGTACGCTCTCCGTTCGTTGTTATTTTGTGCCGCTAACGTGCGAAACGTCTGGAATTTGTGTCGTATTGCAGTAATTTTTTTAAAAGAGATTCGGTAGCAAAATGTGCATGAAAACAGGAGAAAATCATCCATCCTACCGGTACTTCTACTTGCATATTAACGTTTAAGATCGGTAATACAGTAAAGCGCGGCAATGCGATGCCTTTAATTTGGTACAGTTCCCTCTCACGGTTAACTGGGACCAATCCTTCATAATTATAATGCTTGACCTTTGAGCAATTTGCTTGACTGTGTAAAGACTGGATCAACAAGGAAAGTGAAGAATTAAAGGATATGCACAATATATTTAGACGAATTGCCATCGTGTCGCTCCATTGCACCATTTTGCATTGTCGGTTGTTGATGCGGGCAGCACTGGATGGAAATCTGCATGAGCAACGTGACACATAACGCCACATAAATTTTAACCTGATCTTAAGAGAGCGGTGTCGGCTGCCCGCTTTGGGCAGCTGAGAATGCAGATTCTGGTGGTAGACCCTTGCCCAATTACAAGCCGTGCGCCTGTGACAAAGTAAAAATGCAATAAATTACGACTTTTTGCAGTATCATATTATCCACCCAAAAGATCCAATTAAACGTAGTGTGATACATACGTGTATATAGGAATCATTACTATCCCATCGCATTACACCGATAAGACATGCCGATGCGTTAAATGCATTAATACGATTTATCATCAAACAGTATTGTTGAACGCTATACAGTCATAATTATCGTATTTCGGTTTTCGAATCTGTTAACAGAACCACATAATTCGCCATGTCGCAGACTAACAGCGACTTGATACAAACTAATACAATATAAATGCCAAGCAATGGTAATGTTATGCACCTTGTACAGACTACAGAGTACAAGAAGTTGAATCACCAAAATAGTGAAAATCACAATCATATTGTTCATAAAATATTTTATTATGCTTTAATTTGTTTCTGCTTGTGCTAGTATAACAACCAATTTCCGTGTAATCGAACTTGTTCACAAATTTGAACTTCGCTTTCAGTTTTTGCGCGACAACACCCACGACAACATCTTTTCAGTATACAGAAAAAATTCAAAAGAAATCCTCGAATTGTACATAAATATAAACCAGCTAACTGATCAAAAGCACAGTAAATGTCATATTTCAACAAGAATTGCAGAAAGCACATGTAAAAATGCAAACGGGTCGGTTTATGAGAAATGAATGAAAAATGCCGGAATATCCGACACCACAGCGTAAAGAGCATGCGTTCAGGTCCAGCCGCACACATTTCAGTCTGTACAAAACCTACCATACATACAAGTACCACCAAAGCAACGGGAACATGTAGAAAGCACAGGACCAATAAGAGCCGTAAATGCGATTGACGACATAAAAACGGAAGCCGCACAGCCCTATCAGCACTACCCAAGTACTACATAGCGCTAGAAAAGAAACCGGAGAGACACACATAAATAGCAGATAAGAAACACAAAGACGAACGAGTTCCTCTTTCAGATCCATAAAGAACAAATTCTGTGGTACAAAAAAACAACTGACCACAATCCAAAAATACACGGCTTAATCACGACTGCCGGATCCGCCGGCAGTATCAATATTAATCAACGTTTCACGTGGAGATCGACCCAATCCCTCATCATCACCCGAATTCTCCAGCAGACCCGACCGATCCGTCTCTGAATTATCGTTGATCATGGAAAAGCGCGGCACACGCGCCTGTGGATTAGCATATTGCGGCGGCGATGCACCGCTGGATGTGGCAGATGGAGACGGAGATAAGCAGGTCATCTGGGTGCTGCTCGACGCGTCGCCTGGCGCTTCGCGTCGAGCCAACTGAGGTAGGATGTCCGCAGCGGCCGAAAGATTGTTCTTCTTGTTTCCGCCTATATAAATCGCTGGAGTGGAAGTGGAAGGACCCGCTGGCGCGGGGGCCGCAACAGCCGGCGGCGCAGCGCGGTGGCTCAACAGTGTCGACAGAGCCTGCTTGTCTTTGCTTCGGAAATTGAAAAATCCACCCAAGCTCATTCTAAACAAGAATAAACTAATTAAAACAACTCATTCGACAAAAAACAGCACCAAACATATTTAACTTTATCAACAAATAACGCATTAGAATTTGAGCTTGTTAATACGTACAAGTTCAGGTGCGCAGCAGTATCGTTTGAGACTTTCTTTTGTCGAGCTGGCGGTGCGTTAGCCGTGGAAGTGGGAGTAGGGGTATTGCGCGTTCTGTTAAATAATGCATTTGATGCATCTTGTGGCGACCTAACAGAAAAACTGAGTCTTTTTGGAATTCTCTGGCTACCACAATTCAAAGCGAACTTACTGTTGTCTAAAACCAGATTTTTTACTAATAAGATTATTTCCGCTCGTTGTTAGTTCGTCCGATGATTCCACTTTGTAGTTGCGTTCTTGACAAGGATTTCGTCCCTGATGCGGCTGAATTCTCCCGATAGCGGGAAAGCCCAACGAACCCGGAGGGTTTTTATTCAGAATATCCATCATTTCGTTGATGTTTTTCGTTGGCGGTACGATGGTTTCTGCAAAAGTGAAGTCACAATAGTTATCAACGTCCATTAGGTTATGAAATCTACGAAGACAAAAGCAATTAAAAAAATTCGGCAAGCATCTTGATTTAAGGTAAGGAGCATTCGTTTTCTGTCGGCACTTTACGAGTAAGATTTTCGAATGATATAAAATAAAATGTTTTAAAGCTATACCGTTAATATTATCCAGCATGGGGGACATTTCAGTTGGCTCCTCTGGATTACTGCGCACACTGGGCGCCATGGACAGACGTTGTTCCGCAGCTGCGACATTTATCACCGTGCTCTTTTGCTTGTTAAGCACTTCCGCAAACTCCACCAATCGTTCTTCAACACAGTTAGCAGTCAGTCGTGCTTCGGCATCGGCATCCCAGCACTCCTCCATAATTTCCTTACAAAACTTCACCGGCATATCGTTGTCTTTCCAGGAATCAGGAAACAGCGGTCGCGCTTTCTTTCTGGCCACCAGCGTTGTCATCTCAGCGAAAGTGGGATGCGGGCCCGCTTCTTTTTGAAAAGGCAGCTTGTATTCTGGTACAACCGACGATTTGTACAAGTCCACGCAGCGGGTGGCCATTTCCCAGAACACCAGAGCGAAGGCGTACATGTCCACCTGCCGGAGAGCCGTGCTGCTATCGCGCAGATTCAACGATCCTTCCAAAATCTCCGGTGCCATGTACCGGATGGTTCCGACGTCGTTAAGAACAGGTGCGTCGTCACTGGATGCCCACGGACAGCTGCTGCTGTTATCGCGAGGGTTCAGCGGCAACGCAAAGCCCATATCACAAATACACAGACGGAAATCACTGCGCACCAAGATGTTGCGCGAATTGAAGTCACGATGCCCGATTCCAGGTTTAGTAGTGCCTAAATCAGGACTTTCATGAATTCAACAAACTAACCAAGATTAACAATGCTCGAGGTGAAATGGCGAAGGAAACAATAACCGCAGCATTCTATGACAAAACAAAATTACCATCTCGGGTTATATCGGAATGAAGGAATGCCAAACCGCTGGCCAAAGAATATGCCATTCCCCTGAACGTCTCGGAGTCGATCGTATTTGTTTTCAAAAATTCGATCAAGGACTTGTTCGGATGATAGTCCAAAACCAACCAATATGCCTTCTCATCGCCTACAACAGATTCGCGTTAAAATATGGGGACTAAAATGTCTACTACGCACAAACTTACGTAAACCTGGCTGTTCCGTGGCGGCAAGAAACTTCAAGATGGCATCATGTTCCTGCATATGTGGCAGATTGTAGATCCGGCATTCGTTAAGAAAATACGCATAATTCTCTTGGGAGAAAATCTTAACAGCGACCACACGTTCTTCAACGACTGCTTGATATACGCTGCCATAACGACCGGAAGCCAGTTCATCGCCCAGTTTCGCCAGCCGCAAATCGATGGGTTGACTGGAGTCTTTGTCCACGTGGAAACGTTGCGGAAATGTTTCACTAATTGTTAATGGTTTCAACTCTTCGGAAGACCTGCCCGCTTTCTTTCTATTCATGCGACGTCTGAGGCGCACAGCAATAACTGTCCCCGCGAGAACCACCACACTGACTGCCAACACGCCACCGATACCCCATATCCAGGTAATACCATTAGGATGCGCCAGCACGGCAGCCAGCGTAGACGACGTTAAGGTGGTCGGCGACTCAGGAATGTACACATCCGTGAAATTAGCGTTGCAGTTGCTTTCCGTGCAACAACAGAAGCGCGTATTAAACATGCTAGGCATTTTATCATTTTCACATGAGGCCACGCCGCAGTGTGGTTTTCCAGAGGCATCATGTTGAGGATTCTGAGGGAAACAACCTAAGTATGAAAGAAAAGATTACCACAATCCTAAACAACCATCATCACAATCACCAAATTCTCATGAAAATTAACAGCTATGTGCACGAGAGTGATATTTCGAATTCAAAGCCAAATGCAAGGAGAAATAAGCAACTTGTACGTGTGAAACATTACCGCTTTTGAGAACGATGTCCTCAGTTGTATTGGTGGCATTATTTCTAACCGCCCTCCAAACGACATAACACGACATATTTTTCCCCTGACATTCCTCCTTTAGAATACCATTTTCATCTGTAAATCTTCTGCCATAATGTTTCGGTGTTGTTGTGAAGTCGTTTTCCTCTAAAGTCTGGGCTTTGGAAGCCGTCAACAAGGCAAAACCCTCTTCGGGTAGACCATCATCATCGGAGACTGAGCGCCTGGAAACGGGGTGTTTACCTTCCGATTTGACATGGCATACAAGAGGTTCGTTCGCTGAAAAAAACCATTATATCAATTGAAAAAGTATTCGTATTAATGTGGCTATCAAGATCATATCTAACAAACGAAGTTGAATGCAGTTTACATCAGTGCAATTCTTCATAGGTTTTGATAACTTAAAATGGGGATTCTGCTTTATTAAGTTTACTTATAGCACTATGACCACACCATGCAGTCCCGCACCCTGCAGCACACTGTAAACTGTAATGCGCATTTCAACGGCTTATTAATAATAAATTTTTTATCCACGGTTCTGTTATAAAATCGCATCACTGCATGCCCTTTCGTTCTGATCAGAAATTTGATAAACGGCGACGTCATAGTGTTTGCATTGCCACCAACCCCCGCGTATTTGATCGACCAGCAGATGTTAGTTAAGAGCGCGATTAAGTTTTTCGTTTTGCCTGCGCAGTGGAAGCAATTTATCCCACTAGGGCCTGCGCTTCATCCCAGATGTGCGTAGCTTAGCACTATCCTTTGTTTGTCATCACTGCGCCCAGTTTGCGACGTCAAATTCCTGGACGAGACACATGTCTCAAAGCGCGATCTGATCGTTTTGAGCGCCGCCGTCGCCGTCGTCGTCGTTGGCGGCGCATACAGAGTGAGCCGATGCGAAGTCAGTGGTTTTCAAAAGCAAGTTTCCGTGTCAGTCAGACATCGCATGTTCTCCAGCTAGACGATAAAGTATATTGATTTAGCAACACTGGCAAGTGAGCGCAGCGCGCCGGCTCAACCGGAAAGCTATAGTCTGCAATTAAGTGCATGTGTATTCTCAGCCACAAATGCGAGCGACAACCAGTTACAACCCATGTCTATAACTCCGACGTCTGCATTTCGCTGCATGACTATTTTCAACCTCAATCCAGTACGACCACAACACGGACGGAAAAGCTACGCCTACAACAACTGTGGAATTTAACCTCTTTTTTAACAAAGACAAAAAAGTCAGCACAAAATATTTATATACGCAGAACAGTCAATCTGGGCACTTGGTGTTAACTATTAACGACGTAATCTAAAAGAAAAGTAATCAAAAATCAATTCACAAAAATTAAAGTTGTAAGATAAACGCACTTGCGAATCGATTCATTGAAGGATACCGCGTCGACTTATAAAATGTTAATAAATAAAATTTTCGGAAAAATGACTGTACTGCAATCTATATCTCACACTAATTACTGCATTTATTCAATAACATAATTGCAGACACAAGGATGCACGTTACATACTTAGGTAATTAATGTTTAGCTTATCAGATAGAGTCACAGATGCACTCGTACCAATTCTGCGATAGACATCGTAATCAGCACCAGTCGAACTATCTCTGTTAGACAGTAACGAAAAGAAATCAGCAAAAATTAGTAATTACAAAGATAACAAGACTGACAGCTTTAAAGATTCCCTATTCCTGCTCCAAACTCAGCAGGCAGCATATTAACATGGATCAAAAAAGAAATTTTAATTGTCTTACGGTTTGGTCTGACCGGAAAGGTTGAAACCGAACGGATACGATATCTTTTGTTAATCAAATGTACAGCACAGTTATGAAAATATGTATAAATATAAATACTTTAAATTCTACCAACAATTACAAATATTCCTTTAACACAATCAAAGCAAAGAAAAAGTCCATTCCCAATTCAATTTAAGCACAAAGGGTTCAGGCCTTTTTTGTTTTTATATGCCTCTTCCTAACTTTTGTGAAAACAGCGAGTAACAGTGCCTTGCAAATAGGTATAAAACTAAAAAACGCTAAAGCTTAAGCGGTTAAGCCCTAAAATCTCATTCAGTTTCGCTTTCTAAAATCTAAAGAAAGAACTGATCTGTCTGTGAGACATGTAGTTTAGGCCTTGCTTACTTACCCGTAGACAGCATCACAGGGCAAACAAAGAGGCAAAGCAAAACCAGTCCATGACGATGATAACGTTGGGGAATTTGTTGCAACATGGTGCCTTGCAGGTTTACCGTCTGAAATCCCAACAGGTACTGCAGAACTATCCACCAAACATAACGGTATCAGGAAATCACAGAATAACTTGTCAGCAAGACGGAAAGATTCCGCGATGGTAGCGAAGAACCTAAAATTTCAGAAAGTCGTGCCAAAGAGCGTGCATAGCAAAATGAATCGTGAATTTGAACAGAACTTGTGAGGACTATACCACGGCACGCTAAATTACAGTTGCGTACTATCTAGCTTCGATACCTCAAAGGACCCTCATACTGGAAAATGAAAAGGGATTAAGGGACATCTTGCGTTCAATCAGGTGATTCCTGTTTTTATTGTTATCGACAAAGAATAAAGGTTTGGAAATCGCAAAATTACGGTGCGAAGTACTGTGTTAAATCCAAACGCAGAGCTGCTGGTTGCAGACGAAATTTAGAAACCAGTATTACCAAAACTCAAGCGTATGCCGGTTCGGTTCAAACCACCCGCACCAAAACTGTTTGAGTCTCGGCAAGTACTGTAGTTCATTAATACGAGTACATACCGGTACTGTATTTGTACGGTAATTCTCGATCGGGTCATAAAATTATATTTTTCATCTTCAACTGGGAATCACCCTTATTAATTTACCACCATAAAAGCACGTTATAATTTGTGGCCTTAATTTATACTCAAACTATAATTCGAACGTGTCTGTTTAGCAGCTACCATCGTCGACATTTTACCATCATGGTCCAATTCAACAGATTGCTCATTAAAACAATAAAAATTTCAGAAAACCAAGCTCATCAATGCGTCCAACGCAACAATCATAACATAACAGTTAACAACAGTTTTTCAACGATGCAATTATCAAAAAATAAATAAACTGGCAAACAGTCATTTGCAGAAAGAAGATAGAATCAAACAATCAACAGAAAAGCTGCTACAGTTCTTCGTGCGGCTGATCAAAAGGTTCGGCAGCCCCCTCCTCCCGTTTGGGTGGTTGAGGATTTCGCATCCACTGCACAATACCGCTTTTTGTTCGATCACCTCCAAATCTAAGATGAAATCAAATGTGTACAACGTCGCTCCACTTTACTGTTTGCATGTACTCAAGTTTTTCAATCAAGGCAAAACGCTTCTTATTGTAGCCGTATAACCAACCAATTTAAATGCGATTCAGTGGGCTAAAATCAATACGGGCTACGAAGTACGAAGTGTAAAGCAAATTAATTGTGGAATTAACTGTACGGAAATTAAAATAAAGACATAGAAAAGTTAAAGTAGGAAAATTCCAGAATTCAGTCACAGAATACTGTACGTATATAAATATTTGCAATCACTCGTAAGTTGTAACTCCCGTAACTAATCTACAAAATTAACCATAGTCCGACTGCGAATTAGAACTATAAACTTACGGATACTGGAATCTCCCATCCCGGAAATAGTACAGTGTTGGAAATCCCGTAATATTGAACGCCTGGCGGATATCGGCATTCTGTGGTCGGTTAACATCCATCGCTACAAGGACCGCTTCGCGTTTCAACTCGGTAGCGGCAGCGGCGTATTCGGGTTTCATCCGTTTACAATGCCCACACCCTGCAACAATCAACATTACAACCACGAAAGAGAAGCATAACCTCAGCCAACCTAAATACGGGATAACATAATGAAAGCCAAAATGGCATTCTTCTTACACTGGCCGTGAAAGCATACCAACTTCAACAGCCAGTAAGTGCAGCAATGTCAAACAAATACCATGAAGTTACAGACCTGAGACATCATACTTTAGGTTTGTTCTATCAACGAGACGAAGCTGAGGTAGTAACTTACAACAATAAAACTGAAATAAATCAACGAAAAATCAAAATCTTCAAAACAAAAAATCAAAATAAAATGCATCAAAATAGAAATTTATTTCACATTTCAGTTCACTGTAAATCTGTTTCTTTTTAAGTGAACGTACGCAAAGCGTACACAAATCCTTGTGTTGCAGAAGCAGAGTGGAATCATTGTCAAAACACCGATGCTGTAAACAAACAAACTTATAAAATTATAAAAACAGTACTGGTACTAACAAAAACAACTTCAAATTAACGGCGTCGCAAATTATTTATACAGTATAATTATTCTGTATGCCTGGAGGTGTTTGCTTGTGGACAGTTGTGGTAATTTTTTAACAGGATATTTTAACAGTTTGCAAACATATAATCACTGATAAGTTAATGTTAATGTGTACAAAACTAATTAAGTCAGTGTCTAACTCGTCAATACGTAGTATTACGTACGCAAGTAAACTTACACGGCGCATAGAACATGATGAGGGACGGCTTCCTCTCCGTTGTTAAGAACTTTCTTAGTTGTGCACTATCCTCGATGTGCAACACATCCTTCGCCGTTGGATCGTCGTCCCAGGGAGCTTCGGATGTAGGATCTTTAAGGAAACTTAGGAAAGACTTAATGCTCTCCGGCCGATCGTAGTCCTTATTGAATTCTCCCTTATTATAGTGCTTTAACACGTATGATGCCGGATCGGCTTTCTCTTTCTTGCATATCTTTTTCCCATCTGACGAACTGCAATCGATCTGCGCGACAAGAGCAGCTCCGCGACTCTGGTCCGCCACTTGTTCCAGGGTTTGAGTTAGCGCGGATGGGACGTCTTTAGCGGATTTTTTGAATATTATCAGGACATTATTCCGTGTCCTCAAGGTCTTTTCGAAATCTTTCTTATTTGTAATTTCTTCTAAAGGAGGTAATTTGGAGTAAACTTGAGGGAGGACAGCTAAGAGCAGCACTGACGTGGCCTGCAAAACAACATCAACAAAGGACCGACGACGGTGAAGGACAACACTAATCAGCGCGAACATTACTAGTACGCTTACCTCGTAAAAACGTTTGTATTTCATAATGTTGCGCAAATAGTAAATACACTGCTAATCACAAATCACTCACAGTCCAGAAACGCTATTAATAAGTCGAAGTTTACCAATTAAAAATAAATCCAGTACTCTCATTCTTGAGTTTTAACCAAAAAGTAAAATTCGAGTCGTCGTCTAGGCGCTACAGTCTACGCGCTAGTGTAGACTGTAGAGTCTACTGTCTGCACTCTCAGTATACCGTATATTATTATTGCTGTTTAACAGATAGCATCCTTGAGGGGCGCTTTCGTGAGATACCAATCACTCTTTTTATTCAGCTTTTATTGTCATAATATACTAATTCATTGGTGCAAAGATCACTTGATCACAGCAGTACAGTTCACAGTTTCGCGCAGATAATCAAAACAAATTTTTAATTGATAATAAGGCAACATTTTTGCGTCACAAAAAAGGGCAGCATGCCTGTTCATATCGATTACCCTACTTATTTTCTCAGTCTTTACTCACTATGTACTCGTATATATGCCAGTACATGTGGTACCATGCATTTCTTCAATCCTGTAACTATTTTGTAAGGGTAAAGCATTTTCTTTTAAAAAGAGTAAGGAGGAACTGTATTAATTAGAACTTAACTTTGAGTTTTTTTACTTAAAACTTGACTTTTTTAAAAATTTCGAAACATTTTTTAGGTTAAATACGGTGCACGTACTCCAGCCGCTATAGAACAGACATGATAGGATAGTGCTAATAATTATGGTAAAGGTCATCGACAACTCGACGACAAGGATTACCCGCATCAAAAACTAATTCTATCAAATGAATTCACAACAAGGAATTGAATTTCCACTTCATAAAGGAAAAAAACTTTGTAAACGGTCTCCGATTTCCATGATATTATTACAACTGTTTACGCTAAATTACAATTTGTTGTTCGTCCGATATATTTCACCGTAGATACCCAGCACATGCAGATATAAAAAATATGACCTTGTGTACAGTACAGATAACAGATGCTTGCAATAACATGTAGAAAATTAAAAAAGTTAATCCGCAGATTTTTTAGCACATTCCACTATATTGTTTAAGAGAAATCAGTGTATTCGGTCTTATACTGTAATATGGCATAACGTTAACATCCACAAAAAATTCTTTGAGTCGGATACGTGACTACGTAAAGCCGTAAATAATTTACAATATGCGGTCGATTTGCGGGTGAATCTATTCAACTATTCCAAAAAAATTTCAAATACTGTGTAGTACCATAAAACATGTATCATTAACGAACCAAGTTATATGTAACACATGCTTAAATACCATATATAATATATTCCAGATTGTAAGTGCGGCAGAATGTTCCGCGCCAGCACATATTCAGTAAACACTTGCGCAAATGATAATACTTACCACTAGCACAACACTTTGTCATGACGCTGAATACGGCACCAAATTTAATACAAAAATTGCCAAAAATTTACATTGATTGTGCTTGTACACGAATAATTTTTCGAAACTTAAGTGGTCAAAAATGATATCAGATTGTCGTATATCGGTTGGGCGTTAGGTTACGAATTTTGGTAATTTTCTGGGTCTGGTTTAGATACTACACTTGCGATACTTGTTCATTTTTCGCCATGGCGCTTTGGGTTTCTGCAAAATTTTTAGCGCTTTACTTAATCTTTCCAATAAAAATTCTTAAACAGGGAGTGTTTGTACGCGGTAAGAACCTCAAGTTTTGCGGCATGACACCTGATTACTTCTGTGACGAAACCTTTTTCCTTGTGCTCTGCTTTCCAGTCAGTTTTTCACTATACATCTCAATTTGTCCACATAAAAGTCGTATATGCTTATATATTTAATTGCGATAATTAACCGCGCGGCATCCATGAATTTCAAATTTCGCAATTTCTCTAGTTGGAACTACAATAAGAACAATATACAATAAGAACTTTTTTGTATATTTTGTATCGAAAGTTTCGTCTGCATAAAAAACTGATAGCAGACTGGAAAGTGTGCAAAAACACTTTCGCCGCAGCGCTTTATATTCTCATAGCTTTGAAAAACAAATACAGCAGGGTACTAACGCTGTCATCATTCTCGCGCTAGAAAACTGGATGAGCAGATGGGGGTGTCATTAATTGACAATTTGGTATTATTTTTCACAGGTAGCCATCAGTTAGACACCGGATCAACTCATGGCTTATGGAATAAAAATGCCGTGCCTTACTACCTTGACCCTGTATATAGTACGTACCAAGAAAACTTACTCTCGGCTATGTGGAAGAGCATGATAAATGTATACGTAGCCGTTGTTATCACTTACGTATGTTAAAAGATGAAACGGAAGCCAGCATTATAAGAAGAGCGATCTACAACGTAATGCATCAGATGAACTATTGTGTGACCTTTGTGGAAGTGTCACTTTCGAGTCCGACATATAAGGTTCACATTACTCCCCTGACTGGAAACAGCAGGTAAAATATTCTGTGGTGTACAGTATTTTCTATCTGCCTGAATATATTGTGTATGACTTCGAGGTCATTGATTTACCCGATCCCAAGGCATGATTTCGTACGCTCGCCTAGCTACTGTAGCGAGCACAAACGGATACAGATTTCGAGCACCCAGCGGATCGCTTGGTGAATACGCAAAGCTGTTTGATTCAAAATGGCTGTAACGTTATCCTGCCATCATACGCGACAACTTCTTAGGTATCAAAAATCTTCCCAAATGTTTCTTCATCTTTTGACGCTTTGGTTGACAGATCTCATGAATCAGATCCTGTTATAACAAAAGATTTCATCCAGAACAAGATCCTGTTAAAACAGGATCTAGTTCTGGATGAGTCTGCGAACCAATGCGTCAAAAGATGAGGAAAATTGCGGTAAGATTTTTGGTACCAAAGTTGTCGCGCATAATGGCAGAATAAAGTTATAGCCATTTTGAATTAAACAGTTTTGCGTATTCGCCAAGCGATCTGCTGGGTGCTCGAAATCTGTATCCGTTTGTGCTCGCTAGGCGAGCGTACGAAATCATGCCTTGGGTTATGATGTGTTCAATTCAATTCGCTTGGTTTTAAACCTTAAAACTATATTTGGCTTGTTGCAGAAATAGCCCTCCACATGCCTTATGTTTTACAAGCCCAGGGATTGATCCCCAAACAAAAGCCACATCTGAAGAGCAGATTTTGTCGGTTGCTCGTGGGTCCCAAGGATGTCTGGACGGCACATTGCGGAGCGTGATGCGGCTTATAGTTCTGGTACTTGGTCGGCGCAATGAACACCAGCGATCGGACAGGGATCAATACATCACGGTTTATTCCGAAAACGTTACGTACCCGGTAATTTACCTACGTACTCTGTACAGATACTGCAATATAAAAAAATTGTCAGCCTCCTCCATTTCTTTAACTGTTGATTAGGCAGCCGTTTACAGTCTGTATTTTATTTGATACACCACTACTATTATAACAATATTAACATTATGTACTTATTTTTAAAGGCAGCTTTCAACAAATATCATTCTGGACAAGCGTTTTGGAATTTATTTCCATATGATCACTGTAGCATTACGGTAAGATCACCCAGAATTTATTTCTACATGTTACAGATACTTGTAAAACGATTAAGCTTCCGTTTGATAAAAACAGTGTGCAGTTAAATATGCAATTTACACACGGATACAGTGTATTTAACATTCCTTACACTGTGCCAGTTTACCTTTGAAACTTTCGTAAATTACATTAATTTTAACTGCAGCATGTTTTTCCGAGCGATTTTGCAAGGCCAGGAACAGTGTCCTTTAACTTGATTGAGCCGTCAGCATCCATTCCGAAAACCGACCAGCTCAGTTTCACTGACTGCAGGCTTTTGAGCTTGCTCTATGGTTGTGACCCTACGAAATGTCCGCAGAAACGTAAGTTATGTGATTTTCCTGGGAACGTTCAACCATAAGTGAAAATATAACAAATATGTATGTACTGGCTTTAAAATGAGTAGGGTTTAGAAAACCTTATAGTTTGGGTTTACGCGTTAAATTTAGGCACTTAGTTTACTGCGCTTATTGCAGCTCACTGCAGTCCCAGTCCCTCGACAACGAGCAAGGAAAATGTAACGGAGAGTTCCAACGAGCACGAGTTTTCCCGTTCGACACTTTCTGTCGAAGAACGAACCACATCAGGCTTTAGTGCCACGACCGGCACCCGCTCCAGTGCCACAAGTTCGCCCTCACAGGCAGCGAATACTACACGTAGTTTAGTGGCAAACTTGATAACCAGCGATGGGATGACTTCCACCGGTACGAGACTGCGCTGTACAAGCACTACTCTAAACATTACGTATTGCATACTATAGGAACTTAGAACTCGGCTCAGGATACGGTAAGTGTACAAGCTTTGCATTAGTGAATTGCGGATGATATTGTTAGGTGCAAATGTCAGAACTACTGTACATGTAAAATTAAAAATCTGTATGACCTTACTACCGGGAAGTGGAATGACCCTAATCGAGACGTGCTATGCCGGTTAAGCGAAGAAAAAATTATTATGTACATAAACACTTCGGCAATTTCAATGCCTAAGTATAAGTGTGTCATAAACAAATACAAAATATCTCGAATGAAAATTTTTTATGTACTGCGAATTTTTGTCGTGGCAGTGTCTCACACCCACGCTTGCACTTCTACAATAAACAAAAAATGTTTTAGCGACTACGCTTCCCGCTCTGCTAGGAAACAGCACCGTAACATCGAGCACCGGAACCAGTGTTATTCTGGCTACCAGCACATCCGGAACCATCGGCAATTTTACCGAAGCAGAGTTAGCTGTATCAACTGGTGTGCCAACTACCGCTCCAGTGCCCGTTATACAGAATACACAGTTCGGGAACGCAACTTAGAATCCTGCGACAGTGGGGAAATTTCAGATTCGATGTCTGCAACGTAACCTTCTCCCATCGATATTTTTAACTTGTTGCGCGGTGTTCTGTGCAATAAGTACAGATAACTTAGCACGATGTCTTCATACTGCTGCAGTTGGTTAATTAGTGACGTCTACGAAAGAGTGTAAACGCGTGACTTTACTTTAGTACGAACCCTTATGTTAATACATTAACGCACTCGCAGTTGTGCACTGCTAACGTTTTTAAAGCAAAATCATGAATTTCACTCGCAGCATTCCTGATTAGCGATTCAAGGAATCTTTAAAAATGGTTGTGTTAGCCACAATGAAGAGAGACGACAGAATTAATGTCGTGCACCACGGTACCGGGGGTTTGTGCCAAAGGTTGCGTCAACAAAACACAGCAAAAATTAATCTGATTCATACGCGCAGCTGACAGTACATGTGGGTATACGACCTCACTCATCTGTTGATTTAACCAGCAAAGTTACCGGTCGATTTTTGTCCTACAATACATGTGGATAAAGCGCAGTCCAGAATCTGAACATCAGCTTAAATAACGTTTGACTAACGTTTAACTAACGTTTTTCTAACAAACTGTTTTACTCGGGAACTGGATCAAGAAAATTTATTGAGATAGGTCTATACTAGACTGTATAATAATCAACTGGTAAAGAGAAATGCACAAACACAATAATGCAGACTCTGTACTATAACAATAATTATTATACGAGAGATAATTTACATTACGTACTGTTTTAATTAATCCTGCACCATATTTATGTTGAGGTTTTTTTCCTTTTTAGCCGCAGTAACTACTAACCGGTGAAAGCTGGCCTCATCAAAGATGGCATTCACAATTCTTAGGTGTGGTTTAAAGTTTATTAGTTGTTCACGAACACGTAAGCATGCATTAGGGTACAATTTTGTCAACCTATGCGATTTATAATAAAGTTTGGAGACCTGCATGGTGCTGCCTTCTGTTACCTGTTTTAAATTTTCCTTAACCACCATGACCCTGGAATTCGACTCCCGATAGTAACAAATCTTTACTATGAACAACCTACAACAGCTTCAAATCTTTATCATCATCGCATTCACGGACTGTTTTTCAGGTAGCGGAGGTTATTAGTATAGAAATGCAGTTCAACCATGATTAGTAATTACATTACCGATCCATATTTGATATTGCTGAATGCAGTGCTCATGCCTTCATGCGACGCCTGGGCTTGTTTTCTTACTGATCGATGTTTTGAAAGAACTTACGTGTTAATATCCAGGGAATTATTTTCTCGAGTGGTTTGCTATCTATCACTGGGGACAACGGATTAGTTTTTCGTTCTCCTTATTGTAGAATCATTAACAAAAGGGAGACTTCCGGGGCATGGCACGCTTCGTACATCCAACGTAGACGATCAGTTTGGAAAATGGAACAAAGTAGCCGGTGTTCCCTATTGCCTGGACGCGAATTACAGTATGCACAATTTTAGATTGATATTTCAGTTCATATACGGTCATCCGAAAGAATGTGCAGGCCTTTCTAATTACGCGGCTCATTGTCAATATTGTTGTTGTAGCTGCTGCGGAAGTGGATGTCATAAACAAAGCCATCAGCATCATGAAAAAGGCCATGTACTGCATAAAGTGGACACCTGTTAACTGCTCGGACTCAAAGTTTAAGGTCCGATTCACACCGCTAAAAGGTGGACCGTAAGTTCAACCTATTTCCTTAATTTCAAAGATTGATAATGGAAGTGCAAGCACATTTCAAATAAAGGAATCAATTAAAGGCATAGTCAGAAATTCTCGGATTAGCGGTAATCAAAATTAGAAATTAATGTTTCTAATTGCAGCGGAAGCGATCCCCAGACGGTATCTTTCAGCTATCCGGGATTGAATGTGAAACCATATCAAAACAACGCACCCGAGCAGATCATGTCGATAGCACGAGATTCGCTTAACTGCTCTATGCAACCGCGATGTGTATTAAAAATGTTAGCCATTCTACTTGGACTACGCAACGAACATCAGCGTGGGGATCGTGACAAATATATCGAACTACTAAATGATAATTTGCTAATACCGGTGAGAACTGATATACTCAGAAATTCAAAATCGGCATAATTATGATCTTTGACGTATGTCCTTGCAGTTTTTAGTTTTTTTTTCTGTCGATTTTGTAGGCCGCGTACCGGCTGTATGTATCACAGGAGGCATACTGGGAAAACTTCCCTTATGATTTCTGCAGTATTACGGTGAGTATAAGATTTATTTATCATCTATGGCTTACCTAATTGTAACTGTCTGGACCACGCGCTCTTTACCAAACTTCTTCAAAGCGAGTGGAACTTTTGAAAGAAGAGTAATTTCGTTTACGTCAACGGTATCGTTGTCAAGCATTGTACCGCTAGTGGCTGTATGTTTACGACTGATAAAGCTGACCTTTCTTTCAAAATGGAGCAGTTGTATGAAATTACGGAAAAGATGTGCAATAAACTTCAGTAGCACTTTTAATTTTTCACGTTTTTAGCATAATCAACCTGGTGATTACGCAAATCCAGGGACACTGGCCTTTAGAATTCGTCCGAACACGCTGCCGGGATGCATACCGCCACTGGAAACCATTAGCAATACGGACTGCAGAATCCTTAGCACATTGTACAACTGCGATCCCTACATGTGCGCTACGTGTAAGTCTGTGCGCGAGGTTTTAAACCCATTTACGTATTCAAGCGAATCGGAAATGGGCAAGCATTATTTACAATTAGTGCTTAAATAAACAAATAATTAATTATTGTGCGGATTGACCTGCTCTTTTGTATAGTAAACTGCAGCGCCCAGGTCTGCCCAGCCACGACTATCCCTCCTCCTACTGTCAGCACCGCTTCCACTTATGTTACTACGGCTGTAACGACAACAACCGCAACACCGACGACAACAGAATTACCAGGCAGAAGAATTAATATCTATTGCAAGCCCCGCTTCGTACTTAACAAGTAATTTAAAGTGTATACTTTCAGATGTGCTGTGCTCCGTTGACTTCTGTGCAGATCCACCACCGATACTTGACGAAGCCTCAATTCTTTATAACGACAAATACTTCTTGTTTTCAGGTACACGGTGATCTGTGGCACACGACATTTTGTAGTACATACGTATACACCGAAGTAGCACTTGCTGACCCTGTTCACAAACGATTTTAGGGAATTGTGCAGTTGAGATTGATGGAACAAACAAGATTATTGGAAAATCTATAAGAATCGAGATGGTTTTGCCGAATGTTATCGGACCAGTTGCAGCTGTGTGGACAGATCAGTACACTCACATTACCAATGTCCTGACAAAGGCAAACTATAAAAATAAATTTTTAATTGTATATAACAAATCCACGTATGTTGGTGGCTTTTTAGCTTGCTTATGCAGGGGCATACTTTTTTTGCATGTAAAGCGCATACTTGATATTGGATAACCGTTAACAAACCGGAATATTATGAAGCCTTAATCTGCGGCATACAATATAATTTTTTATTATCTATTGCAACAGGCAGGAACTCAATACGCTTGCTCCGGCAATGGCTGTATTCGTGCAACCGTAAAAAAAGATAACGACGATTTGGAATTTGAATGGGCGGATTCACCACAAGGACCTTACACATCCTACCGATATAACAGTAAGCCACTATGTCATCGAAGTTGAAAAACGTATCGTTGCTAAATCAAGAATTTTTAGCAGTGAACGATGGCAAACAAAATTAATGATATACTACGTAATGAATATTTTGTCGCGACTGAAGTAAACAGTTAACAGTGTGACTACTGTAATATCGTACTTAATTAAAAGCGTCGGTTTATTTTAGGAGAATCGCGGCAATATGTCAACGTCATGACCCAAATGCCAACTCCTCAGTTTTTTATTAACTGTCCTGATGTGTGCTCTATCACAGGTGCTTGGACTGCGGCGTATCTGGTAAGATCAGTTTGTTACTTAATTTTTGGTTGCTCTGTGGTCTATAGTCTCTATACCTATTCGACCCTTCACGATCCAGTTAAAAACTCAACAATTCAAAAACTCAAAGCGGACGCTTAAACTGAATTATTACTCATATATATATATGAGTTACTTATCTGTGGTAAGGTTGGGGACTTAAATTAAGCCTTACTTTGTAACATTGTAACGTCGCTTTTATCTTTGTAGCCATTGCTGTGGTATGTTTAATTACAGTAAAAGCTTGATTCCATGATTCTAGGTAAAAGGAAACGGTACAAACTTTGTGAATATTATTGGCATGGATTCCAATTCCGCACAAGTCTTGCTCATTCTTAAAAAATCTGAAAATGCTAACGATGCTTTTGATGCTTCAAATAATGGCATCTTGTTATCTCAAGCATTACAATGTTCGTCAAAAGCGTCGGGTTTGTAACGATTCATCAATTTCTAAATGTCTTAAGCCATCGTGTAAATTTGCGCTGGGAATAAATTTGCATGTTCCTTCGGTGGCCTTTGTATCAGGCGGTTTCATTAAAAAAATGACCGAAACAAATATTAGTAGTAATGTACGTACATAAGCGAATCTGGTGTCATGCATGCATATGCTTTCATCATGCCATGTAATTTTTCCATTCCTCATACCCAAAGCCGTAATAGACGATGCGAATAGTTTTCATTTTTTAAATACGTATAAATTAAAACTGGAACGAGTTGGGAAGTAATAAATTGCAAAACTGTCTGAAAGAATCCAAAAAGAAAACCAGTCATAAAACAAAATATTTCAATTGTTCGAAGCTTGTAAACTAAAATTTCATGAGCAGACTGCACATTCATTTCGTCCCAGACCAATAAAAATCAAACAAATTGTGTATTTCTGTATTTCACCATTTCACTTGCGATCACGCGCTGAGAGATATGATAACTAATAAATGACATGACCTTACGTAATCACAATATTCTACAATTTTGACGAGACATTTTATACAGCACCCGGAGACCCTGGTTCAATAGACCCGATTCATTTGAAAATGTTCTTTTTTGTTTCGTAACCCAGAGTATGTCCAAACTGCATCTTAATTCAGCTTGTAATTTGCAGATCAGATATTACTGTATTACTAAATATCCGGTGGTTCCACTGCTTGAGCGTGACAGAAAACGGATGATAGGCTAACAGCCTTGCATGACAGTGTTGAGTTTAACTGGAGTCGCGGGAGTCCACTGTAAAATATTTTAATTACATTAATTAGTTATTAGAATCCGGAAATCAGCGTACGCGTGACAGTGTTTTCAATTACCGTCAGGGGTGAGTCATAGGTTGTAGGCGCAGGAGTTACACTCTGCGGTAAGCCGGTAGCATCCAAAAATCCAACGTAAGGCGTTGTACCGTCCGAACCAACGCCGAACACCGCAATTTTATCACCCGTAAAGGTTATCAGATCTTGAAAGTACTGGATAGCAGTAACCTTTAGTATCACGCTTTGTGCGTTAAGGGTGGTGGTGTCGGTAAAGTAGCGGGTGGAATAGGTGGTGTCCCACAATGCCAAACCCATTTGAGTACCTGTGATTAGAAGTAGTAAGGATATGAACACATTTCTGTCAACAATATAACTCACAAGGAAAAAATATATGGAGATTTAATACGAGGGAATTAAGTGGATTAAAATTTAGACATTTATAATTAGGCCAAAGTCTTCACAACTGCATACTGAAAAAGGAGACAAAATGCTTAACAATTGAAAAAAACTTTGTAATTAAAGATTTTATTTTTTCTTGGTTACAAAGCTTAACACGATTAATTATAAAAAAATAAATTTGCAGTTTATTTCATAGTGTCGCATGTAACCATATACAAGTGAGGTGTATTCGAAAAATCTCCTTAAAAAGTCATTTTTTACGCAGTTAATTTCAGTACCATCGACAGCCAAATGTGGAACTGGAAAAGGCGGTCCGTTTGGTACCAGATAATCCGTTTGGCTTGTAACCGACGGGTACACAGAGGTTGGCAATGACGTCGCCGACGGGCCGGTGCAGGTAGGGTCAGTTTGCAGAGCTACAGGATTCCCGCCGAAAACTGGCGAGCAGTCAACTTCCTGACCGGATCCCTGTAAATTATGGTATGCTGCTTACGTACACACATAGTCAGACGGAAAAAAAGGAATGTTAAGTGCATTACAATCAATTAGTTGTTCAAACTAGTACCTTATTCAACATGCTCATAGTATATTCGCCAGTGTTTTGGTCGAGATTGGAAATGTAGTCCAAATCGACTGGCGGCGGGTTTGTGGATGAAATTTTGGTAGCAGTAGTGATTAATGTCGGATTTCCAGACGGGATTATTTGTCCACTAACGCTAATCGTGTACTGCAGTTGGCACTGACCTACGGTAAAAGAGACTACTCAGTAAACTGCAGTCACGTACATAATTATTTCTGCAAGAATTTCAAGTGCCGGTGTTACACAGATCTAGTTCTAGGTAAATTGCAGTTGTAGAGTCACGTAGACAATATATAGACTACTGAAGTACTTATAAGTACAGTACTTGTAACCTTAAATCCTTTAAACTATCCATTTTTATTTCGAAAAATTTATAAGTTTATCGGCGGGATCACACAAGTTTTCGGTATCAACACGGATTTGAAGCTGATGAAACAGTTTTGCGCCTATTTTGTTAACCAGAAGACTTCAGAGGCAAAATATTTTAATGTCAATAATTATGTAGCGCGAATCCCTATTTCAGTTGCATACCTGAATACATGGTGAACACTTGTTCAGTTGAATATGGTCCACTAAAAGCTCCGGATTCATCCGGCGCAGTTGTGCAAAATCGGCTTAGGGGACATGGGTTAGTCTGTGCAAGTAAATTTACAATTAATGTTAGTTTTATCTACACGGTTACGACGAACTCTACTCGTACAACTGTGCTTGTATCGGTATAAGTGCGCTAAAAACCTTATGTATAAGAGTAGAGCGGAATTCATGTGTATAAAAATAATCGTAAGTCTTAAGTTTGCGGTAGGCACTGCCGCACTGAGGACTCATTCTTAACAATCCCTAAGCCCTTGATAATGCCCTGTCCAAACTCCGGATGCTTTTTGAGAGACTGGCTACCGTCACGGTTGCGAATTTTTAGACAATCCGTTGTGGACGAATGTGTCTCACTTGCGTTCGCACAGTAATTCTAATATCTGCTTTGAAGAGAACAGTATTACTGTGGTAGATGTCGTGGTGGTGGTAGTTGTGGTGGTGGTGGTCGTCTACGAAAACAAAATATCGTTAACCCCGCAAAGAGATGCTACAACGTCTTACGGTTATCACCAACATCTCACGGCATGCGCCACACGACTTACTGTAGGCGTGGTTGTGGTAGTCGTCGGGGTGGTAGTCGTCGTCGTCGTTGGAGTGGTAGTTGTTGTCGTCGGCGTAGTTGTAGTAGTGGTGGTGGTTGGGGTCGTGGTAGTCGTAGTGGGCGTGGTTGTCGTCGTCGTTGGGGTTGTAGTTGTTGTGGTTGTAGTAGTCGGTGTAGTTGTTGTGGTTGTCGGTGTAGTAGTTGTCGTCGTAGGAGTCGTTGTGGTAGTAGTGGTAGTGGGTGTGGTGGTGGTGGTTGTTGTTGTTGGCGTTGTGGTAGTAGTGGTCGGCGGGGTCGTTGTCGTCGTCGGCGTCGTGGTGGTAGTGGTTGTGGGCGTAGTGGTAGTTGTCGTTGTTGGAGTGGTAGTTGCTGTTGTTGTCGTCGGCGTCGTGGTGGTAGTCGTTGTGGGCGTAGTGGTAGTAGTCGTTGTGGGAGTTGTTGTTGTAGTCGTCGGCGTGGTGGTAGTTGTGGTTGTCGGCGTTGTGGTAGTGGTGGTGGTAGTTGTCGGAGTGGTCGTGGTCGTCGTCGGAGTCGTGGTGGTAGTAGTGGTGGGTGTGGTGGTAGTTGTTGTCGTGGAGGTTGTTGTGGTGGTCGTCGGTGTGGTGGTCGTGGTAGTAGTAGTGGGAGTAGTTGTGGTTGTCGTTGGAGTCGTCGTAGTAGACGTGGTTGTCGTTGTCGTCGGAGTCGTGGTGGTAGTTGTCGTCGGCGTGGTGGATGTGGTGGTGGTGGTGGGTGTGGTAGTTCGTGTAGTTGTAGTGGGAGTAGTTGTGGTGCTTGTGGTTGTCGGAGTGGTTGTGGTTCTAGTTGTTGTTGTGGGTGTTGAAGTGCGTGTTGTGGTGCTTGGTGTCGTAGTTCTCTGTGCAAGACACCGCTTGGTTAGATGGAAAAGCAGTACAACAATGACAGCATACAAGGGCGCGCCAAGATATCACCCATATGCATTTGCCTCCAGTGCATTATACCTGTATTACATACGTCACGTATAAGCACGTGTGAGAATGTAAATTTTGCCAGGTGACCTTTGAGCTGCAGTTCCATGCACTTTAATATTTTCAAACGTTTTAGAGCACTTAGCGAAACTGCAGTCGGTCGATCGATGCGGGCTTGCACAAAGAACGAAGAGCCAAGTTGTTTGCATTTTGTTTTATTGCTTTATTTTAAATATCGTAGGATTGACGCTTGCAGAGTTTTGCTTCAGTATTAGCCGCATTCAACAAATGTACTGTATAGTGGATTTCAGGTTTTGTTTTTCTTGTATACTTACAGTATACAGAAAGATACCCCTTGAGTACAGTTTTGGCCTGGTCTGTGACCTCGCTTTGTACTAAGAATTCGTAGCCCTTATTAATATCACAAAATTATTGTCCCGTGTGAGCTGGGATTTACATTAAAATTTGAGCAAAAGGTTACAAAAAATTAGTGACCGTACTGTACCCTATAACCAATAGCACAAGTGCACTGCGAATGCCTTTGGCGCGCCCTCTTTGGAAGTACTGTACTCGTACAAGAACAGCCTTAAACCAAATCATTGTAATTGTTCTTACCGTTGTAGTTGTCGTCGTCGTAGTGGTCGTGGTAGCCTACAAAAATACATAACGTTATACCGGTGCAAATCTTTTAACCGTAAATATATATAATTATATCAAGCGGTTTTAACAAAACTTACCCCGGCAGCGCTCGCCATTGCTGCGTTGCAATCGTCTATTGAAAAAAATGAAATTTTTATTAGTTGATACACATTACTGCTTATTTCGCAAAAGTCGGGCAGAGATCTAGATACGCATTACGCGTATGCGTCATAATCATAGTGTATATGTATACGCCACTGCATCATAAAGTTCGACGATTAATTTCGCTGTGCAAAAGGAGGACAGTTGTTAGCGTATTAAAAAGTAGTAAAGTTTTTTCAGAAATTAGGAAACATCAACCTGGAAATAGTCGTATACTCGCTGACGAACCAATTTCATTCATTTCGGGTAAATCGGTTTCGGTGCACTATGATAGTAATTATATAGTGCTTAAAATTACAGATCTGCTTACAATTTACGCATGTAGTAGCTGGGCATCGGTAGATCGTGTTTAGAATTAGGCAGTCTGTGGTGCTAAGATGCTCCCATTTCGGGATTCCGTTCGGTGCATTCTTAACCGCGAATGCTGCCGTCCCGGGAACTGCAGCGTAATCGCTGAACTGATTGTGGGTGATAGAACAGTAATCATAAGGATACAAGTCCCAGTACGCTTCGCTTGTGTTGAAAAGCCGGTATGCAGCCTAAAAAAAGCATGCAGTTTACCATGCGCTATTTAACAAACGGTCAGCGATCTTGAAAGACTTTGCAAAAGCCTTAAAAATCTTGTTTTTGCCTAAAAGCGAACGATAAAGTTATAAAAAGCTCTAACCGTTAGCTGAGAATTCAGCTTAGTTGTGTCAACCGTGATAAATGAATCGCGGTCTCCCCTCTGATGCTCGTTACGTTTTTGCGTGACAATGGCAAGGTATTTCATAATATTGTGTTTCGAGCCATCCAGACATCCATATTGACCTCTCGTAATATACATGGGCTGTTCCTTGCCGTTCGTATTAACGATGGCGTTGCTCAACCCCGGGAATGATGAACAAACAGATTGGAGAACTTGGTTTCTGCAAGAGTGGTATTGCAGCAGCCATTTAATCGTTTTAGTAATTTTCACATAAGAAGTAACAGATCGGTACATTTTATGGACGATTTACATAATATTAAACGAACCTACTTACGGAATTACTTACCCACTGGAGTCGTAGGTGTAAGGTGTAATCCGTATTTTATACATAGAATTAAAGTTGGAGTCGGATGTAGCAATCGGTACGAATCTAATGCAGTTTTGCATATCAAGAGCAAATTGATCCATTGCATCTGTTATGTATTTCTGCTCAAGGAGAGCTGCAGAAGAGAACCATGCATTTTGTAAAAATGATTTCGTTGTGTAACGTTGAATAACGTTGGATCGACAGCACAGCTAACAGGTTTACTAGTAAGGTGACTAAGGACTCAGGTCATGCATCAGTAACAGGTAGACAGTTCATGCAAAACATGAAATTCATTGGAAAACTTTTGATAACAAAATATCTGTGTCTGTAACGTTTTTGGTAGTTAAGACCATAAAGCTAATTAAACTTTATTAAAGGATCTGCATGAAAAGTAAGTCTGTATTGTGTACATTCTGCTCTAAATATGTCTACTGTAGTCCGTACAAGGTTTCATCAAATGAAAGTTTAAGTGAGAACTCACAGTAAGCGTTTAATTCCATGTAATAATAGATGCTACTCGGATTCGGCCATTTTGAGTACCCCGTGTCCCTGTTGAAGGTTCGAGTTTGATGCACCGATCGGTGCGCCCTTTCTGAAAACACGAGTTAACTAAATTAATATGGGAATCTGTTACCGATCTGTCAGTTTAATTAAACACTTAAGCCTTGCTGGTGATTTGTTCACTCGTATCTTCTTGAAATCTCTTAATCTGTGGTACTTAATTACGTCAAATTTGTGATTACTTACCGTTTGCCATTACGGAGGTTAGCGTGAAAATCGCTAGCAGTGTTGCAAATATGAATGTCCACTCCATGATAACGCAGTGATGTCAGTGCTTAATAACGAGGGATGAAATTCCAGTTATACTAATTTTCCCGTTTTTTTTTTCAGCGGTATTATATTTTTTTGGCAGCCAGTATGGTATTCCGGTGTTGGTAATGCAGCTATACCGTTAAGGGCATTGAAACCTCTATACTAATTAATGACAAAGGGACCCAACGCTGCACGCTGACGTCTATCCAGGTCTGAAACAAGAACGTGTTTTGTTCAGCCTAAAACAAGTGGGGTCTGTGAAGAAGCGCATCCGAGTCGGCTGTAACAGTTGCCAATTATATTCCAGGTTTTGCTGATTTTCTGTTTATAAATTTCATGGTTGCTTGTCGACGTTTTTTAATTTTGAATTATCACAACTATTCGGATGCACGAAAACGTTTTACGTCATTTCATGGCCAAGTTCAGGTTCTATAACCCGTAGATCTGATGGCCGGTAAGTCTAGCTGATAGCTACTTTGTACTCGTACCATTAATTTGCATTACAACATGCATGTATGTACTGCCTAACTGGTTTGAGTTGCGGCACACTAACTTTAAAGCATAAAGAACTCAACAGTTTCTATAAAAATACAATCTGCTCGCTTCTTTACAACAACCATGTTTCAGCTTATATGGTAGTAAAGGACATTTTTGAGTTTTCCGGTTTCCAAAGAAAATTATTTTGAGTTTTCCGGGCTATCCCTAATTTGCCTTACCAGTTACCGGTGTCACTAACCGGTAGTTTTTGGAAGAATTGCGAGTTATTAATAACTTTAAATACGGTTATGGAACACACATTTATTCCTATAAGCCTATAACTAATTTCCCCTGGTTTACAATTGCAAACGTATAAGTAATACAGTACATAACTACTACATAATTATACAGTTATACTGCGTCCGAGTTGATATATTTATTACAAACACAATTCGAGCAGCCACAGAATTAACTTTCAGACTCGGCACTCAGCTACATCAATCGCACAACTACATACACAAACTTTCCATGATACTATCCATAACATACAGTGCTACAGCTGACCACAGCCCAAACGCCCCACCGGCGCCCAACCGCATCTCACCAATCCGCCTTTCATCCAACTCCGCTGTCTTAACCGGAATTAGCTCCGCTAGTTTTGTTTATACTGCGTCCGAGTTGATATATTTATTACAAGTATTTTGTACTGTACGAGTATAATTATTACAGTGCATAATGCGTTTACAGAAAAAGTACATTACTTACACGCAAAATTGTTTGGGTGTTTTACTACCTCTGAGAGCAACATCTGATTTTTTTCCACAGGGATTTTTTGAAATAGGGAAATTGCCCAAAAAGTTATCAATGCGTGCTTGAGCAGACGGGAGAGCAACCAGTAAATTAAGAAGGTAGTCCGAAATACCAAAACCTAGCGTTCAAAAACCTTTGTCATTCTTGTGATAATTATATGCCGAGAAAAATTAATGTCAACCTGTATGCTCTAAAACATTTAGACAGATACTGATACAGACACTGAACATAGCGTGCGCCGAAAATGCTATCCAGTGCCGCTTCACGGGTTACTAATTTAAACGCTTCAATTCTGGATTTCGCTGATAAAATAGGAGCCACTTCCGCATACTGTATAAATATTATACTAACGGTAATCATTTCGTGAACAGCCGTTTAAGCGAGCGTAGTAAACTGAAAGCGTTTTCATACGTTTCTGGATAAAACGATCGCGTTAACCAGTTTCAATAACTACGGGTATATGGCTTTTTTGACGGCCGATACCATAACATTACTATAGTACTAAACTAGTATTTAGTAATATTATGCCAATGCACATGTTTTACTGCATGCTTTTAAAGCTTCAGTTATACTTCGAGTAGTGATAAATCTCGCAAGCCATATGCATCATACTGTTTTTCGTACTGAGCTTTATTAGAGATTACCACAAATAATAATTATCAGTTCACTTGACTGTTAACAACAGAGTAACTATAGTAGAAAAACACCTCGTATTTTTAATGCAGTTTTTTAACATCCTTGGAGAACGGTCCTCAGAAGCTTTGGCTCCGCAACCCACTGAAAAATTTAGCGAATACCAATAGTTATCGTAGTCAATTTAACGCATAAAAGTAACAAAACTATGCTAGCGTTTTAAACATGCTTACCCTTTCTCCAGGATTAGGAGCGGGCAAAACCACCGGATCAGATAAACTCAATGTTTCAACTGCGGTAACCAACATGTTCACATAACCAAAGTACGGTGTGACACCGTCTGCACCCACGCCGAATATACCAAAGCGTACGTTTTGCTGTGGATCTTTCTCATCCTGCATAATCTGGATCGCGGTTATCTTCACAATGCTGCTCTGTCCGGCCAAAAAGTTTGTTGTTTGGGAGTATAACGTTGTAAAGGTGGCGTCCATCAAGCCGATTTCAGTATCGCCCGCTAAATAAGTCCATAATCAACCAAGAAATATTAATTGGCAGACAATTAAAATATCTTGAAATGCTTATTTTATTTTCCACTTGTGCATGCCTGCTTATAAAGTATCGCCCGATTTCACTGATGATAGTCCCGATAATGTATATATACAAAAGTACATGCTATGCCAACACCAACACACAACTCCTTTTCGCTCCCACTGCCGCGGATTACCGTGCTCCAAACATTGACAATTTTTAAGCCACCCACATGAATGAAAAACAACTCTCGCCAAAAATTTTTCATACTTACGAAGCACAACGTATTGGTACAAAGTCAGAGGAACACCCTGAAACTGTTGTGACGAAGCACTGGTGGCTTTGCTCAACGGAACGGCCGACCCCGAAGTCGTAGCGGCCGTTGGACAGTCCACGGCCAACGCGCCAGAAGAGAATGCTCCATTTGACGGGCATGTCAGCTGTTTTCCTGTTTGCTGGGGAATAAAGCGTTTTACATTAGTTTGTTAACAACTGCATCCGGTCCCTACGGAGCAATTAAAACTCGCCCAACTGCGCACATGCAGGCGCTTATTTGCGTACCCGATTAACCACGTTTATCATATACGAATTGCCGCCCGTAGCCGGGTTATATGTCATGTAAGCCAGGTCAACGATGGGCGGCGTAAATGTTGGACCACCAGGAAAATGGAAGTATGTCGATGTCGCTTGTGGAGAAATTTGTTGACCATTGCTGTCCACATTCCGCAGTAAATTCCCGGTCAGATAGTCATACGTGTATTCCAGTACACACCCGCCTGCAGGAAGAAAATACAGCGGTTTCAACAATAACTATTCAGGTTCGGATGTGGCAGGCGATTTTAATAAGACTGAACCTTTAAAGAGTAAGAAAGTTTGGTAAAACTGGTATGGACCGATCAGGTAAGTGGACTCATCCGGCGAACCGGTACACATTGTGGTGGGATCGCAGGTGGACGCCAGCTGCAGCTGCTGTGCAGCACAATCCACTAAACAAAAATTGCACTTCGTTTCAAGGTTTTCTGAACAACAGCTGGAACGATAAAATTAATACGAAATGCTTATAAGTATTATCCCACGGGAACGTACAAGCGGGACACGAAGCAACAGGGCATCCATACATCCGGGAAAGAATTTGACAATCGGTGTTGCTCAACTGATTAAGTTTGGGTACGTTGTAAGGACCGGGAATAACGCTAAACGCCACTGATCCGGGAAGAGCGAAGTCCGTCGGCTGATTGTGCGTAATAGAACAAAAATCATACGGATAGAGTGCCCAGTAGGCTTCGTTTGTGCCATACTTCCGGTAGGCATTCTGAAACCGAGTTGCTTCATACAAAGCGAACAGTAAAATAATCCCTATAATATTCCGCAGCTGTAAAAAATGTTACCGGAACGCCCAGGTTTGTAGTCGAAACCGTTATGTACTGATCCCTGTCGCCACGCTGGTGCTCATTTCGCTTCCCGAGAACAATTGTGAAGTAGCGCATTAAGGTGTGTTTGACCCCGTCCAAGCATCCATACGAACCCCGAGTGACAACCATCCGCTGCTCATTTATGCCCTTATTGATGACCACGTTGTTCTGACCCGGATACGAATAACAGAATGTTTGGAGCACTCTAGAAAACGTACCGTTGCTTGACCATAAAAGCAGTTAGGGCGTTTGATTAAAAAGCACCGGCGTTTGATTAGGGCGTTTGATTAAAGAGCACGCATACCCATTTTCGTCGTAAGGTGACACGTGAATTTTGTATAGAGTATCCGAGCATTGAATTTCCTTAAATTGCACGCAACCGTTTAGATTGTTTGATACTTCAGTAGCCGCATCCCGTATATACTGTGCTTCCGTTGCAGCTATCAAAAATAGTAACTGTTTATTGATTAACCTACGGATAGCCAGTTTAATAGCTTGCTGTGCCGCATAATTTGTCAGTTTATGTTAAACGCGCCTTTCAATAAAAATTGCGCTGATACTTCAGCTATACAAGTTCTGACTAAACCTCCGAAACAGATACCTAATTTGTGGCGTGGCATGTCTTACTGTAATAACTGTCGATGCAGAAACGGATGTTGGTTTCGTCGGGCCATATGGAAAAGTTGGTGTCCAGATTAGCAGTTCGTGTTTGCACATGACCTAGCGAACAACAGCAGTATATCTATTCTTTCTGGATGAACACCAAAATTTGCTTTCGAAAATCTCCGCTGTCCTCTTACTTGAACCGTGAGCCTTCTTCTGGATGTGGAGTGCAAGAAGTGTCAAAAAATTCAAAATCCCTCGTCTAAACAAGCCGATCGTCATTTTACCCTGACCAGATGCACTTACCGCGCACGTTTACAGGGTGCATGGCATATATGTAAAGCATTGCCGATAAGAATTTTAATGCAGTGTACTTGGTAAAAATTCCGAGACATCAATTTTGCACAATCAGTTATAAAATTTTACTCATTATCGGTACAACAAGGAGGCTTGTACGCTGTTCAGCATTTTGGAAAATGTGAGGTACGTAACGTTGATTTATTTCATTGTCAGCAGGATGGTTATTCGCTGGACTGATTATTATTCGATGAGTTGGAGACATCGAGAACCTGAATTTTGCTGAAAATGTTGTTATATTTTTGGCCAGACCCATACTTCTATAAAAGTGGCTGGTCTGAGTAGCAGTTTTGTCGACGGTCGGTCAGTTTTCACTTCTTTTTTAAACAATCGAATCAAAATCCTCGGGTGAAAGTTTAAAATATCGCAAAATTGCATTGATTGCATCCCAAAATTGTGCATTTATTTACAGAATGCAGCATTCATTCATTTATTTATGCGACGATACAGTGTTCGTTTTTAAGTAGAACGACGCATGCAACTACAAAAATGTAATAGATTGGTATGCAATGATTTTTGGTTAATGGAGAAAAACTTTAAAGTGTACTATTTCATGAGCATAGTAATATTACATAGAAAAGACAAAGTGTTACAAGAAACAAGAACGTGCACTGTATAGATAAGGGAAAACTTAGATGTACATAAAAGGAATGTATAGTACTAATTCAGAGGAGACTCTTGTATCTAGTTAACAGTAGCAGCGAATGTGTTGCATATATAGTATCACTGATATCTGATGAAAAAATTAACTATTGAAGCGCCGATGGTCTTTAAGATAACTGCAATAATATTAACTACAGAAACCCACATGTCATCAGCAACAACGTTTTTTAGTTTGCAAGTCCGAAAAGGTTCTGTAGCGTCTACACTAAAACCCTACTTGACACCGTTTACCATTGCAAAATTTAATTTGCTAGAATTGTGCAGTTGACTGCGTTATTTTGATTGTGCATTATATTGTGTACTGAATTGTGCATTTCAGTTCACTGTTCTTTTGCTAAAAATGCAGATAATTGTGTTGTTTGCCGCTTTGATAGTTTGCGTTTTATCTTTGGGTTATGTTATTGGTGAATGTCCATCCGCTTGCTCTTGCGACACAGATAGCAGAGGAAGGAAACGGGTTCGCTGCGACAAAGGTGGCCTGACAATTGGTCCAGCGTTTGACCCGCAAAAACTAGATAAGGACACTTTGATCCTGTCTATCAGTGCTCCAAAGGGTGCAACAAATCCCATCACATTATTGAATGCCGACCATTTTAAGGATTTAAACTTGGAGGAAATACATATTCGAAATACTGATCTGCAGCGTATTGGTGATCGTACATTTTTCTATCTGTCGCATTCGCTAAAAGTTCTGGATCTAACCGGCAACAAGCTGATGTTCATACATGAGAACAATTTCAGAAATTTATCACAGCTGACGCACTTGCATCTTGATTACAACCAACTAACGGATGTACATTCTGCCACTTTTAATTATCAGAAAATTTTGCAAGTTTTAACGTTATCTAATAATCAAATCGCCAATATTGGAACCCGATTATTATTGGACCAGCAGAATTTGGAGGTAAACACCAGGTTAACCGAAACTTCGTTTTATAATTTCTTGCCCTTTCATGTAGCCTGCAGGTGTTTGTGATTATTCAAGTATACCAAATAAATATGAACAGTATGTACTCTGTAGTTCAACTGCAGTATTTTTTGTAGTCGTGAAAAAACGCATTACAATGTATCATGACAAATTTTGTAGCAGTAGTGTCTGGTTATTACTGTGATAATTATACGGAAATAAATACAGTGTTATTTTTTTTACAATGTAATGAAAATTTATTATTTACGTATGAAGAGTTGCCTCTTTTTCCATAGTTAACTGCGTGACTGAATATTGAAAATTCAAAAAAGGACTACTTGAACAGATTGTTTTTGTAGGTAATTGATTTGAGCGGCAACCCCATCCACGACATCATTCCCGGCAGTCAACAAGGCGCCATTCCGGAGTTGATGTTCCCGGATGCTCCGAGACTTCGCCGAGCCAGTTTAGCGCAGACCGGCATCAATAGCCTGCCCTACCACGGAATCGCGCGCGCCTGTAAACGACTGGAAGAATTGGACGTTTCACGCAACAGTTTCACAACCATTAGTCCCGGTCAGTTCAACCTCATAACAAGTTTGCGCCGGCTGATCCTAGCCGGAAATCCCCTGACGAGTATCCAACCCGGTGCCCTAGCAAATCTGCGATTGGACTTTCTTGACCTATCGGCCACTCGTCTACCGCTTCAAGCCAGTTTCTTTGAACGGGCCATGATTAAGAGCTTGAGCATCGCCTCCAACAATCTGCAGACCATTGATGGGGCGGCATTCATTCCTATTGCCACTGATCTTACCTCGGTGGATGTCGGCGGAAATCCGTTGACATTGAAGGAAAAAATGTTCGAATTCTTGCCCAATCTTAAAGGTATTTCCCTGCCCAATATGCGACTGGCTCGACTTCCAAAGAACTTCCTGGCGTATAAGCATCAAATCAGGTCTCTCAACGTTTCCAACAATATGTTTCAAGAACTGGATGAAGAAATTTTAAACGCGTTACCGGATTTGGAGGTAATTAAGAGGCCTCTTCTTGGAGTTTTGCACATAAGCAGAATACTATAGGAAATCCTTACTGCAAATGCAAATGCAAATTAATATAGCCTTAATGCAAAATTAATTCAAAATCTTATGCAACACGACAGAACTAAAGTAAGTATTGTTTATTTGTAAAGTTAGTTTATTACTGTAAAGTAAGTATTGTTTATTTTACAATTTTTGAAATGTAGTTGCTATTTATTGGTACGTGTTAACGTATTGGCGTGCAACATCATCATCAGATTTAATTTTTTTGTATTTTTTAGGTCCTGGATATATCACAAAACGAAATCAAAACTCTACCAATACAGCTTGCCAGACCGGGATTAAGGGAACTCTATGCAAACAATAATCAGCTTAAGAAAGTTTCTGATTACTTTGTTGATGTCTTCCGAGCTACTTCGTCAAAAATGAAAGTATTTCGCGTTTTCGATAACCCCCTGGAATGTGATTGGAGTGTCGGTGGACTGGCTAACTGGGTGGGAACTTCCTCAGGGAGAATGGCCGTGTGCGGTCCGGATGCCGGTTACCGATGTCCAGTTTGTTTTGGCCCAGTGAATGTTAAAGGTAGAACGATCGACGATATCAGAGTAACGGTTTCCTGAGCTTGTTTGTTTTCTGCTTGTTTAACTATCGAACTGGAATAAAATTTAGAGACGCTCACTGCTCACATTTCTGGCGTTATTATTTAGTAACAGTGGTAAGCTGTACAAAGATACCTTGTGGTAGTTTGGCAAGACTTCAAAATAAACAGCTCTGTATGACACTACATTTTACAATCAGTTACTGAAACTGCTTAAAAAAATTTAGCACTGAATAAATGGCATCAGACATCAGCTTAATGAATAAACTAATAAGTACTGCAGTAATTATTGTATTGTTGTATTATCTGGCTCTTACTTATGGTTAGCTACGATATTGGCAATTTAGCATCACTATTAACCATTATAAGTATTATTAACGTCCTATCTGTTGCGTACTGGGGTAACGCCGTATCAATGTGCCGCTAACCATCGTCAATACCTGTAGTTTCATCGCAGCCAAAAGCACGCGGAAATAAAACAGTAAAATTAATTACTTTTGTCTAAATTAGTTGCAAACAAAACGGGATATACATGTACTTGGCAGTATAAAACTAGCAAATGTTAGGTTTTTATTTAATAGATGTTACAAGTATCCAACAATATTCTGCAAACAGCAGGCATACATGCTTTAGAGTGTAAACTAAACCAAAAACCTAAACGTCTAGCGTCGGCACCATAAAATAAAAAAAAACTTAACAAAACGACTTTAACAGCACAATTGGAGGTTCAACATCTGAATTCATGATGTAATCAATTTAAAATTAAGCCCAGATGTGCTTTCCCCAGCTCAACTTGCTGGATTTGATCGAGTTCTTTGATCGACCGGCAGCTGAGCCACACGATTCCACTTTGGGCACAACAAAGTAATCGTTTACCGGCTTCTGGCTCATTTCCGTGAGTACACGGGTCTGAGCTTCGGCCAGGAGACTCTGTGCTAGGCTGCTATCTTCAGGAATACAGTGGAAAGGTGCGCGTTTGACCATAATGTAATCGTCGTCATCTTCATCTTCCTCGGAGTTACATCCACCAGGACAGTTGGTCACAGGCTCGATGGAGAAGCAGACCAAACCAGGACGGGTCTTGATGATGGTTTTCTGTTTACCGCACTCGGATGCTATAATCATAAGAAACAGATCAATTACTTATCGGTACAGTCAGAATTGCGCATTTATCTATTTGTATACAGAAAATGTGATTAATAATTAAAATACGTACTGGGTACGCATATTCACGCGGACACAATCGAGACTATGCGTATCTACATTCTTTAGCTACAAAAGTTATCACTTTACAGCAGTCACAACTCACACGAGTCAAACATGTGTGACCTTTTACAAACCGCTTACCGAAAGATGTGGGGAACAGCGACTGTGTGCGCATGCTCATCACTGGCTTCAGCTCAGCACCACAACCACCTTTCTGCATCATGTATCCACGAAGGAATTCCGGAATGGATTCGGCAAATTTACCAGTTGGCAGCGTCATGTCATCCCAGCTTTCTCCGTTGTTATTACCACACAGACCGCAGATTTGGTTACGGAGCCAGAAAGTAGGCTGCAAAAGAAACTCACTGTTGTAGTTACCGTTATCCATGCCTGAGCAAAATGGTGATTAAAGAGCGCTAAATAGAGCAAGTGACCTTACCTTGACAGCCACATTGTGCCCATCGAACCACAGTTCCACACCGTAAGGTTGAGCTGAGATCTTGTAGTACGGGGTCAGGCTGCTTTCTTGGGCTTCAATGCTGATGTAAATTCCGTTCTCAACCATGAACTGGCTGTTGGCCAGAGGACCAACTGGGACTGGGCGGCCGTCAATAAGGATGACCATATCGGTGGCAGATTGGAAGCGAGAAGAGACGGTATCGGCTGGGATCAGTTCGATCTTCTTCGACCCGATGTAAGCCAACACTTTCTGCAACCAGATTTTACATACAGACCACTTTAAATTTATTATACTCTTATTTAAGTTTACAGTGCTACGACTAAAAAATGAGTTCTCATTGGCATTTGTACATAAATTTATGCCGCTGAAGTTGAAGTACGAGAACTGAAAATTGAACCCGTTAAATGAAGTGATCAAAGCGCTGACCTTTGCTTCGCCAAAGCGCGATCCAGCGGCAGCGTACATCACCGCCCAAGCACGCTCCATGCTGCAGTCCTTAGCCAGCAGATGGTAGCATTCGCTCAGTGGAATCTTGAAGCGCGCATTGTCCAGCGTGTTCAGCTCGTCGCCGGAGACAGTGCACATATCGTCGAGATCTTCGCCCCACATGAGTTCCCACAGATCCATGGGCTTGTCGTCAGCGGAGATGGGCGTCAACGGATACGGAGCCGGAATGCTCAACAGTTTGGCGTTCTTGTGGGGGGTGCTGTACACAATATCCACGCGGTCCTTGGCAGAGGTGAAGTCAGCGAGGATGGTCACTTTGTTGGGTGCGTTGGCCACGCGAACGGTGTCCACTTCGCTGTCCCAGAAGCACATGCTGTGCAGGAAGTGTTCAATCTTGGTGAACAATTTCTCCAGACCGTAAGGAATCTGTAAGTAACAAATAAAAAACTAAAGTAACCGGTATTTCAAGTTGCATACCTCGGCAATATTTGAAATTTCACATTAATTTAATCTATGTAATCAAATTTTAATTAATTAACTAACTGAATTAATTTAGAATTGGTGACCTACGTTCTGGTAGTCAATATCGATCTTAATCTGCATCAGGGTGCTGTAGATATCTTTGACGGTTTCGCAGGCGGGGCTGAAGCGGATGCCGCGTTTACGGTCGTTCTCACACTCCTGGAAGACCGGCTGGATGGAGCGGGCCATCGGCTCGATGGACTTGCTGATGATGTTTGGGATAACGGATCCTTCCACACTGTAGTAATCGTTCTTTTCCATCATCAACTGGATGGGGCTCTTGTCACCGACGAACTTCATGCGGAGCTTAGTGGCTTCGCCAGCATAGCAGTTGCGACCGAAAGACACCTCAAACTGACCCATCATCGGCTTGTTCATGCCGGGCATCAACATCCAGCTGTCGTATTCGCTCGGGTATTCAGCATGGCCGTTTACGCACATCTGTAGGTAGTGCGGAAAGTGCTGATGAATTACGTATTAAATACAACATTGCTGTTTTAATCCCCGCTAATCCACAAAAATCCCATGTTCCGGCAGTGTTTAGTGTTTACCAAAAAACGAAGAATGTTTGGTGTTTTACCTGGTAAGACAATTGAGGATGGGGGCTGGCAAATTCAGCGGCAATCTTGACGAACTTTCCGCCTAGACCGCGCACCCAGCTGAAGACACCTTGCATGGCCGTTTCCTGTCCGGACACACTGATGCCCTGAACAACAACTTGCGCACTGACACCCAGTTTGTCGGTTTTCTCAAATCCGGTCGGCAGGCCTTCGTTCAAACGTTGGAGAATGCCGGCGGTATTGTAGCCCGTAAGCTGATCATAGAGGAAGTTCCATGAAGGAGGGGTCATTGGGGCAATTTGCTGTTGACGGAGGAAGACGGTGGTTTTGATCTGCAACACAAAACTGTTATTACAGGCTCAGTGTAATAACATAGCTCAAAAAGCTAGAGCAATAAATCACCAACTTAAACCAGTATCAGTCATCAATAGATAGAAAATTGGAAAGTCTGGAATCAGGATAGCATAATAATAATGACAGTTCTTACCGTCTTAAGTCCGGTGTTGAATGGAACAAGCGTGACAATGAGTCGGTTTTTGCCGCCAACTGGCACCATGGGCATGGTGGGCACGCCAGTGGGAACCTGCACATGGGCATTGACGTTGATCATGACACCCAAAGCCGGATGACCGATGCGGAAGTCAATGAACTTGGTCTTAAGAATGTCCAGCGTGGCCACTTCCTTGTAGTCGAGGATGGGCAGCGACAAGCCTTTGTAGTATTCACTGGAAATACGGCCGAATTGCGTCAGCATGAAGGGATTCTCCATGATGTCGGTCTTGTAGAAGAAGAACTCGTTGGGCATTTCGTTGGCCAGAGGTGGGCGGTTGAACTGTACAACTTTCTGGGAGCGATCAACGTCATACCGATCCTTGCGGTCTGGCTGATGGGGAGCAAGGCTCTTGGGGATGACCTTGGTGTAAGTAACCGGCAAAATCTGGAAAACAATCAGGCTTTTTAAAAACATCGTGAAAAGCGACATCGAATTCATTTGATAATAATCGCATTTGTAGAATGATAAACCAGTTAATGCAAATCATTCAGTAGAGTTTATTAGAGATTATTGAGTCCTATATTTGTCACACTCTGTTACTGTAAAAACCATATGCATATATTTTTCTGAAATTGTTTCTTGGTTAATACCTCGAGATTGATGAGTTCCAGCGGCTGCTTGGGGATGTTAATGGATGATTGCACGTTACCGGTCTTGATGTCAAAGGTGATGGCACCATCAACGGGGATAACCGTGGAAACCTTTCCCAGAACACCGCATCCGGCCTTGAAGAAAGCCGACCATACGGACATCTTTCCGTGGATTTCGCTGGCCACGCTGACATCAATGTCGCTCTCGATGGACAGCGTGTGCGGAATGTCCACCAATGTGCTCATGGACAACGGGGGCGTGGTCTTGAGACCGAGCGTACCTTTAGCGGAAACAACAACCGGGGCCTTCAGTTCGACGGTCAAGGGCAGGCCCAATTCCGTGGGGATGGTGATTTCGGTGTCGGCGGCCATGAGGGCTTTGCGGAAATCAACCGGGAGAGCGTCGTTGATCAGACCCACCATTTCCGTGGGTTTAAGATAGGCATCGGTAACCAGTTTGATGATAGATTTCGGGGTCAGGGTCAGGAAACGGACCTCCTGGCCGAAGATCTTAAGGTAGGCGGAGCCCTTAACGTCGTTGTCCACACGGCTGGCCAGACCCAGGATGCGTTCGATCTCGTCGAATTCCGGTCGTTCCCACATGCGGAAACCGGCACGACGGTAGTTGCTGTCGCTGCGGATGGTCTCTTCGTCGCCTTCGTTCATGAAGTCTATCACGGAGACTGGGTTGACCAGAGCGTCCGGGCGGGTCATGAAGAGGCGTTTGAGGACGGAGTTGACTCCTTCGGTCTCGATGCCAGCCTATAATTACCAATCAGATTTACAACCAACTGTTTTATAGCTTATATATCGAATACAAACTTTTGTGTTTAGGCATATCGAATACACAAGCGAAAAGAACTGCATAAACGGAACTTCTCTATCTTTTGTTTAAGGAAGCGTCATCCGTATTTACCTCAATGAGATCATGGGACAATCCGAACATATGCGTGTTAACACGGAAGTTGACCGCACGGGGAACGATTGACGATGGATCCGAAATCATGTTGACTTCGGCGAATCCTCCCACTTCCAGTTGCTCTGCAAGGTAGAGATTTCGATTAATGTCGGTCTAGTTTGTTAAAATGATACAACTTTCTATTAGCATAATTCGGTATTGGTACGCTTACCGGAGTAACCTCCAAAGTGGAATCCTTTCGAGAAAGAGAAGCCGGTGTGGAATGGCTTAGCGAATTCCAGAGCGATTGAAGCATCTTTTGCACTTTTGAAGAAAATTACGGTATTTACTCAACAGGTGCAGCAAAACAAATTTGCAACTCTAGTTAAGGTAACGTTAACAACTACTGCAAAGCTTGTGTGTTTCCTGTTTAACTGTACTCTATATTAAGGCGTACCACACTGAATAATAACAGGTAAAGGATACTGACCACACTATGTAGTATATTGTCAAGGTGAAATTATATTGGATTGAAAACGATTTTTATAACTTATAAATTAGCTCGTTTTTGTAAAGCACTTTTTCTGCAAGCAAATTCGATTAGCCACTTACACTTGCTCGAAGCAAGGATGGGTTGAGTTAGCCATGGAGTTCAGCTTGGAGTACACGTAGCTGCCGACCTGGATGGACTTCTCGGTTTGCAGGCTGCGAGCGATGAGTTCGAGGTCAGGCAGTTCCGGTTTGCATTCCAGAATGATGTCGAAGGCGGCAATACGGACCTGGTACGGGTTAGTAACGTCGTGGAATTCCGGCACCAAGACGGTCAAAACGATTTCCGGCTGGCTGCGCAGAATGTGCGACAGCGCGTAGATGGCCTGGATGCGGATGTGGACGGTGCGGGTGTCATCACTGAAGATGGCCTTCAGCTCATCGATGGCCTCGACGAAACCAGTGTTGCCAATGGTCTTAATAAGCAGGATCTGCTCTTCTTCGTTTTGGAAGGTCTTCATGCGGGCAATAAGCTCCTGCAAATCAAGGCCAAATGGTCATTGCCCATTAATCTAACCAAGAGACTGATTTCATTCAGTTTATAGAAATATTTAATTTCAATCGTAAATTCAAAACTTTTATGGATTGATCATACCGTAACAAAGCGGCGTTTGCCGTCGGACGAGCAGTGGGGATTTCCGGGTTTGACGACAACATTCTGAATGGACGTAGTGGTTTCTAGATCGTCCACGCACGAGGTATGTGCCAGTGTACCAAAGGTCAGCCAACAGGCCTTCTTGAGGCTGGAGTGTGCAGCCACCGCGGGCGTTTTGCAGAGCTCCAACACTTCGTTGACGATGTCCTTGTCGGCTTTGCGGATGCTGAAAGCGAGGGTATTGAGGATCTGGGCCGCGCGTTCTCCGACCAATTTGCCGCTGGCGATTTCACGTTTGATGAACAGAACGGTGGGCTTGGTACCACTCAGAGCCAAGATGTCCATCCACAGTTTCCTACGAAGGATGCAGTTTTTTAGCTTTCGGAATTATTTTGTCGAAATACGTATACGATACTGTAAACTGGCGGATAATCATGCATATGTTTTATGGGTTCTGCAGTTAAACTGTTAAATCGAAAATTCTAAACCGAAAACTATCGGCACGATAATAAAATAGGAAAATTAACTCTTTCATGGCTGGAGCCCTTCAGTGCTGTTTTAAAACTAGCTTAATCTGCAAGCGTTTAAGTTTAGACAAACTTTCGAATTTCTGAAATAATTTAACACATGTCGTATAATAATTTGTGCCGACAGCATTGCTCCCAGCATGACAAAGTTGTCACTTACTGAATCTGTTCATGATCGAAAGCCTGATGAGAAAGGGCTTTGACAGTCTGGTGGATTTCCATGACCTCTTCGGGCGTGGCATACTGCAGGATGAGCGACAGCTGCAATACCAGGTTGGCGGATTCCGGCTCCACTTCGTTATCAGACAGATCCTCCACCAGCTTGTCCAGGAGGGATTTGACCAGGACCTTCTTGGCCGCCACATTGGGCCACTGTCCGGCCGACAGCATGAAGGGCTTGTTGGCCTCCTCAGCCTCCATCCAGTACTTGTCATTCTGGAATTTACCGAACTTCGGGAACAGTTGACGGAGTCCTTTCAGGGAGATACCGGCTTCGGTGGGCAGGATGGAGTCACGTGACCAGTCACCGGAGTAGATCAGCTTCATGGTGGCGTTGACGTAGGCGGTCAGACTGCCGGCTTTCTCGCTGAACGGGATGAACTTGTGGACGGCTTCCGTGGTAGCGGTTTCGATGATGTACTGGTTGCGGGTTCCCACAATGTTGTATCGGGTATGGGCTCCGGAGTTGATGATATCATCCTGTAATTATGTGTCATGCTGATGATAATGCATATTATGTTACTGATAGTCTGCATTATAAAAAAGCTTCACCGTTGCAGATAAAATATTTTTACTCGCATTCGATCAGCTATCAAACTTTCTTGGGTTTGAAGATGTTTACGTTTTAAGTAACGTTTCGTTTATTTGAAAATTATTTATTACCATATCCTTGTCCAGTTTCTGTTTAGTGCACATGGAGGCATCGATCTTGGTCTCGCATTTGATGGGGTTGTTCAGGCTCTGGAATTCGATGGGGCGGTTATTGCAGTTGGTATAATCCCAGGATTTGGTGACATTAAGGATGTTGGCACTGGGCATTCCGGGCATGGATGGGATGACGTTGCCCCAAGGACCAGTGGGCAGCGACTGTACGATGTACGTGGCTTCGCATTCTCCGCCGATACCTTCCTATAAATAAAAACGAACAACTGTTACATGCACAAGCAAACAAACATACAAAGTTGTGAACTCATTAAAGCAAGTTACGGACAGTAATGGTCCTAATCCAATTATCAAAAAATTTGTAGTAACACACCCACAACTCTGTCCAATTAGGTAGCGTGCTCTTTTGCTTAACTGCGCGCAGTAATATTTGATTAAGAAATTCAAGCGATAATAATCATCAACAAATAAAGATCACCATTTCATCTAAAATTCAATGCGAAGTACATATATATGTACAGTATGTCGGTATCTTCACTAATTTTCACTCAACTGAAATCTCGCGTTGGTTCTTCTATATCTCGCATAAATTTAAAAATAAAAAGTTTTGATAGAATGCATATAAAAGAATTCAAAAACATCTGCTTGAATGCACAACATTATGACGACGTACTGACCTCCGTAACGGTGAAGTACTCAACGTTGTCCAGACCAGCCTGTCGGGTGTTCCATCCGGCAAGGAATTTGTTGGCTCCGGCTTTCGTGGGGAACGATCGCTTGTTGAGATTGAGATTGAAGGTGGCCAGGATGCTGCGCTTGATGTTGACCGACCAGAAGGGGTCGCTCTCCATCGACACCAAATTGGTCACAGTGCCGTCGATGTATTCAAAGCGGATAGGCTTGGTCAAGGCGGCTTCCCATTCTCTGGCTTCCTCGCCTTGCAGTTCATCGAAGTCCTGGATCGGCTGGATTTTCAATGGTCCGGTGACGATGTTGCGTTCGTTGATGCGTCCCAAGACGGCTTTCTCGATCTACAATGCATTGCGTGCGAAATCAAGTTTAGGTTTTTTACGGTTACTAATTAAATGACTTTCCATTTTTCTGTGGGCATTTGAAACTTTTAGCCGATATGTATAAGAAAATTAAAACTTATGGAATCTATAGCATACAGTTAGGACGATATACAATACTGCATTAAAAATAAAAAACAAACACAAGCTAAATACGTATATAACTGCGGGTACTCACTTTAAGGACATCGATGCCATTGCGAAGCTGAATGGTGAAGATGGCACGGATTCGGAGGCCGGAGTACTGGTTAGCGGATTCCGGAAGACCGGTCAAGACTTGGCCGTTGTAGATGTAGCGATACTCCTTGTTATCCCGGAAAACTATTAATGAGACGTGCAACGGAATCACATAAAGCCAGTGCAATTTAATTTATCTTTACATGGATAGTAAACTTTACATTTTCTGTAGTAATCAGTTCTTGTACATCGCGATACCGGCTACAAAATATACTACCCATGTGGCGTATACGTAAATGCATCAAATCAGGAAGAATTTGAGTAATATCGTTTATTACGCCTATTACGTGCTCATTAATCTACTTCGGTAGTAAGCATTAATCAGCTGGTTATACCGTTGTATACGCTTTCGAAAGGTAGAATTAACATATATAAAGTTAAGTTAATTAAAATTTTTTTTTATCGATAATGAAAAATTTACTTACCTAGTTCGGATATTCTCGGGGTTAAGATCTCAGGATAAGTTTCGCTCCATGTGTCAGGGATAACTTGCGACAGTCTTTGAGCGCCTGAAAAATGTCCATGCTATAGAATGTAGTCGCTAAGAAGCCAGTGATCGACAAAATATGATTATATAGTAGTTCCGTAATAAGTAATTCAACAAATGCAGTAATCAGATCAGGTGGAACACAAAACTATTAAATAAAATAAAACGCTTTAAAAGCCAGAAATACATTGAGTTACTTTTAGTCGCAACCTTAGCCAGTCAAAAGCATAATCGGAAATATTGAACCAGAAAATTGGAAATCCAATTTCATCATACGATCCGTACCTGCAAAAGCAAGCCACCCAAGAAGCAGCGGTACGATATACATTGTAGTTGTTGGATACCACCACCAGGTAGTGCAAAAACAGTTCTCCTCATTTTTCACTGGGCTTATATAGTGATCGATTGTCTTGATTCAAAAATTTAAGCCTGTAGAAGGTCATCATGATGTTCGAAATTGATTTGGTTTTAAAGTTATTTAAAAGCTGAGTGTCAGTGAGTGATAAGGTACTACAATGGCTGTATATTTTTTTACGAAGCCAGACTCTGTCTTTGCAAGTGATTTTGCTGTCAAAAACCTTGCATCACAATCGAACGCCCTTTGCCCGGAATGTTAGTTTAAAAGTTCACTAACCAGAGCCTTACATGTGGACAGGAGAATTCGTGCAAAAAAAGTTCGACCTTCTAAAATGTTGGCAAAACACACATTGTGAAGTATTACGTATACGAGTATCTATATTTGAGTTTTATGTGTAGTCAACTAGTCACTCTGTATTGCAACGCTGCTTATACCGGGTGGCTTTGTGCCTACTCAGAGTATTGTACGAAAACTCATCAGAGGGCACAGTTCACGCTGGTATAGTGTTTATAAGAACTGGATGTTGGGTTCTCCTGTGTCTTCCTAAACTCTGTTTCCGTTACCAGCTAAACAAGAGTAACTTCCCTACTTGTAAGAGTAACTAATATTTTTCATGCGCGTACGTATGAATATAGTGGAAAAATGTTATCTCCTTCTTGAAATAAATCTGCCAGTTTTGTCGACGATGCGTAAAACAACCGACACAAGTATTTCCCATTTCTCCACTCCTTTAAAACACCTGCGTCTATGCTATGATTTAATTTAAGACTTTAGCTTAGAATAATGAGCAATTATTTTTTATCAGTAACGAAATCTGCTATAATTATGTTGAGTACTGTATACAGTATATAATTTTACCTATTCTCATAGGTAAAAAATACTGTAAATGACACATAGTACGTAATAGTTGTTGCTGTTATACCTCAACATGAATTGTTTTTGTTAAAATTTTGTGAAAAAAATCTCAAGTAGCTTAGTCATTAGAAGCTAAAGAATAATTTATAGCTTTGCAGTGTGCTTGTTACCATATATCTATATTAGTTGAGTTAACAAAAAGCTGTGCATCGAAAACGACAAGCACAATATGAAATCGACAATTCTTTTGAAAAGTGTTGTTTTAGCTTACCATGTAAGTTGTAGCAGATTTATTGTGTGTCTGTTCCGCGGATTAGTCAGTAAACTTGTGAGGCGTTTGAGCTCATTCTTATAAAGGTCGCACCACAAAAATAGATCAGAATAGCGTCATTTTAATCCTGCCAGTTAGTAATACGGTTTTTTACGATTTGTACCAACTTGACATGTAGATGCGACGTTCTGATAATTTGTTACTGAAGTTATGATAATTATGCTTTACAAGTGGATTTATCGAACAAATATGTAAAACATTTTCGCAGTAAATACAAAGCACTTGGTACAACTTCCGCATTACGACTTGCTCTGTAAAAGACAAACGTCTGTTCGGGTACGATGAAGGGAGCGGAAAAGTTAGGCGCGAATTCTTTTGTTATAAAACGCGCGCTTCCTAGTTCCTATTATTGCACGAGTATTAGGATGCACTGTTTAGTAATTGTGTGTTGCAGGAAGGCATAGCTATGGTATACTGTACGTACCTGTGTGCGATTTGCAAAAAATTGTCAAATTTGCAAAAGCGTCATACAATATCTGTATTGCGGTGCACGATTTGGGTTGCTGATGTGAACTGCATTGTTTTGAACTTTTCGAAATAACGGTAGGACGCTTCCGAACATGGCTGGGAGTTTTAGAAATTAAACAGCGGCAGCCTACTTAAAAATTATTTATCTAACACAATAATGCAGAAAAGCGCTTATAAAAATGCTGGCAGATTTCTAGCTACAGTCTTGCCGCTGTCGTAATTAGCATATGCGATTCCAACACAGGTCGAATACAACGGCCTGGTATAATAATCGGAAAATTTATAAATTTGGGAACAGGTCGCATGGGCAGGTCAATAATGGGCAACGGCCGGATGGTTTACCCCTTTTCCCTTGGAAGAACAGCCTCGTTTGGATTTGGGACATGTTGTGTGCGACACATTCGCACATCGTACATCACCGGCTCATCAGAAGTAGCGAGATCGGCAGCAGTTGGCGAAAAGAGCGTAACAGACTGACTGTCGTTTTTATTTTACGGGGAATAGACTGATCTTTATTTTTTCCAACCGCTGGCCTTCGAGATTATGGGAGTCGCGGCTTCACTACTCGGCAGTTCATCAGTGAAGTTTGTCGAGGCATAAAAGATCAAACAGGAGAAGCGCGCGCTACCGAAATTTTGTGGTAGCGTATAAGTGTTGAAATTCAGCGCGGAAATACCGCTTATGTTATGGGAACTTTTGGTCCTTCAAAGAGTTTGAAGAGTCGTTTTATTTGTTCTAGTTACTGGATGTTTGAATTTAAGTGTAAATCGCATTTACTTGTACGTGTAAAAGTTTGAAATAAATATATATTTATAATTAATTAAGATACAGCAGGTAGTTGGTGGTAGCTAGACTACATATCCGGTTGGACATCAAGCGACACAAGTCGATATGGAAGCTTTTGAAAAAGCCATACGAATACCTTCATGTCGTAGATTAGCTGCAGTACGAGCCAAAACTTTGCAATAAAAATGTGAAAATTTCTTGGCGACTGTGAATTTTGCTGATACAAACTGTGCATCTTATTACTCGCAGTGGGCGGGCTGTCATTTACTGTTTTTGGTTTTTACTATCTATTGCACACCAATAACATTCGTCACATCACTGCGGATTGCATTTTTTAATTGCGCAACAAAACAATTTTTTGCACTTCACTTTGTATCCCATAGGTATCTATTACGTATGCATGCTGCTTCTCATTCCTTATGTTACAAACAAAACAAAAAAACAACTCGTGTATATGCAAGAACGACATTCGCACGTATGTAGATAAATGTTTCATTCAACAGTTCAAATTAACGAAGATCTAGACCATGTGAACCTAATGGTTACTGCAGTTGTTAAACTCTAACTGACGTATCAATTTAAATCCGTGTGTATATTTCTTGTAATTAATAACAACGAAGCTTGTCCTTTCAGTTCGCCCGGCACTGCAATCACGAAACATTATAGACAGCCGCATTTGCTATAATTATATTGTTCATGCTAAAAAGGAGCTTTTATCCGAGGACTACTGTAGCATTCTAAAAAGTCAAGTAACCAGAACGGAAATTTTGCTTGTTCGATACAGTTTTTTAAAGCGCTTTCTCCTCAGCTTTTTTACTTGGTTCGATTTTGTTCAGGTATCGCTTTGGCTAGCTTTACCGTTTTTAACAATTTTAATAATACGCCTCTGGCTCCGAGATTTTTATGCCATCAATAAAGTCATTTTACAGTATTACCGCTTACAGAGAAAACTGGTATTTTTGCGGTGTAAGTATTTGCGGCAGAGTTTAGCGTTGATTGCATGATGCTGCCGCCGGTGTACACAATGTACTCGTACTCACTGATATCGGAAGTGGTTGAATGCCGGTCTGCAAATAGCAGTGAAGCGTGTTACATCGAAGGTATCTCCCAGACTGCGGCTCCTTACCTGAGCATACCTATGTCACGGCCTCTACGGAAAAACGTAACTAAATGCTTGTATTAATCTCCAGCCAATACAGCTGACACCAACACTCACCTCCAGACCCCGTCTCAACTCAGTGGCTTGTTAACCTAAACCTGCTGGGTCGTTGCTGTAGTGCACCGCGGCGGTGTAAACTGATTTCCAAAATCGGCTGCCGCCGACCGAATGTGCGTATATGCGTATTCCGTGCTGCGCCGGACATTTACCCGTGATTTATACCAGAGTAATATCATTTTTACGACACTGCTTTGTAATACAAGAGCTAAAGAGCTTCTAAAGGAAGGGGTTTTCAGTTTAAGTGTTGTCTGCGGGACGTCCTTGTTAGCCGTGTAATTTCCTCATACTGTCACGGTCCCCATCACAGACCATTCCAGTACCGAAAAACGGCTACACCTTATTCCGTCGCTCACCGCACCGGCAGCTGCTGTACATCGCTCACTAATCAGCGGCTGAACAATACCCTGCATTTGCTCAGCTGTTTCCCAGTTTTGTTAGTCCACACAATAGACAGGCACTGCGCGTGCTACGGGCGAGGATGTGACAGGAAAGGGAAAGAAATCGCCACTCGCCGATCCAGAAACCTTTTGCTCAGAAATTGTGATTTCCAAGATTAAAGTCTACCCAGAGTATCTGTGGATTCCTTGGTTTAATTTCCACATTCCTATTAAATTATTCTCCAGAGATGTCGTACAAACCAGTTGCAACCAGTGACCCACAGGTATGCTGCTTTTTCTGATTAAATTTTAATCGAGATTTTTAAATCGAAGTTCAGAATTAGGGTGCGCATATATGTTGCAGTTCCCCAAAAATCAGATTTAAATATTTTCTGTTCCCTCTCCCCTGCAACCTTTGCAAAAGCTTAATCTTTATAGTAATTTTTGGGTAATTTCTTGGGATGGCTAAAAACCGGTACAGGTTGAAGACACCGGCGAGTATCGTTTTTTCCCCCCACCGGTAATAGCAATGCCGTATATCAGAAAATTGTATCCAACCCAACGGGAAATTTAAGACTGCAATGCTGCAAGTGTTTGCTCTTGACTTTGCAAAATGTCTTTTATTTAACACCGGCTGTGTGCTTGTTAATGGTCTAATATCATAGTGTGTAATCGAAGAAACTGCATGTTCATTTGGTTTATGCTTATGTATTTCTCTTTTAATTCAAACAAACTGCCGTTTGTGTGAGCTCGGTAAACACCCTTGTTGGATGTAGATATTTATAATTCTACAGAAAACACCGTACAGTAGTTGTTCAGGCGTAAATCATGGTTGTGTTGTGAATCACAATCGAAATAGTGCCGATTTCGCAAAATAAGTACCATGCTAGCGTTTCGGCTTTTCTGTGCGAAGATATGGTCTACTGTTCTTTTGTTAATCGATTTTAACTATGTAAAACCGATTGTTGCAGTTGCAACAATTCACAGCTGATCAGTTATCGTGGGCTTTGAAAATACGGTTTTCGAAACCTAAATTGGTTTTACTCCGCAAGCATACCCGCCTGAAGGAAAACAGTCGCAATTACCTAAAGGCAGCCACCTCTAATTAAGCACGGCTGCTGCAGCCGGCTTATTTCTTGTATCTGTATGTATTTGAAAGGTACGTGTGATGCATGCGCTACGTCCCACGGTGCTCTCAAGCGTCGTAATTATGTGGTGTTTTATTGAAAAATTCTACAGTAAATTTATTCTTCACTAGAAGTAAATATTGCAGTTTCCATATTTTGTTTTTTAAATTAGCGTAATCATCGAAGACGTTGGCTTTCTATAGAAAGGTCATCGCCTATGGCGCACTGTTGATTTGCGACATAAGCCGCACTGGTAGTCCAAGACTTTCCACGCTAGCAATTGCAACACCAAACTACTGTGATGCAACTGCAGACGATAATGGGCTTTACACCACAAAAGTTATTGCAATGCAGCTAACCCTTTATTAATTATGTGCAAAATGAGATATGATAATGCTCGTATTTGCTGAAAATTCTTCCTTATTTCACGGAATAATTCATTATCAGAAGATTTAATTTAGGCGCCGAAATGCACACCTTAGCCAGCGGAATACAAAAATATTTATTATCTTATCGGCGGTACATTCTTTATGTTAAAGATAAATATAATAAAAGCCTATTAAACACCGTTGTTGGCACAGTTCAAGCCTTTCATTGAGTAACGGGTGTACCATAAGGCTCACAAATATGGCATTTTAATTATCCGTTAGTTCGAAGGTTTCAGAATCGATCGATGGTTTTGTTTCGAAAGCATGTTACCTTTGAAAGTTAGTGAATTTTGCGAACAAGAGAAGTGCCTGATTATTTTACCAATTTTGAAGACCGCGTCATCGTCAATTTAAAAGTTTTTCGTGAATGTATGCTATTTCGTGTAGTTTTTCGTGGATGTTTGCACATTACGTTTTCTCAGCTATCTTTGAACTACCTCGTAGCATTCTCGTAGCTTTTTTCGCGTGGTCGCCTACAAGTCGTTACCTGTACCGTAGCAATGTACTGTGCAGTACAACTATATATGCAGCTTATTTGAAACCACTAACTTTTAACTCGTAAATGCCGTGGACAGGTATGAGATTTGGAAAAAGGCAAATGCAGGCCTAACAGATATAAAGAAGTGTCAACATAAATTTTTTTACAATATAAAGGAATCAATATCCGGTTCCAAAAGCTAAATTACAACGCAGGTTGGCCCCGAGGAAATATCCCTCGCACATTCGTAAAATACAAAGTTACAAACCCGCGGCTTACAATTAATATAGATATTAGACCAGCGGTTTTATGTCTCACAACTAGGATTCTTCAGTCGTAAGGAACAACGAAGGCACTTTAAAAAAATACACAGGAAACAACATTATTAAACCTGAACATTTCGGAAAATTGAAATTAATGGCTAGCTAGTGGCTACTCAACCGGCGTCTTTGATGATCCAGATATACAGGATCTACTCCTCTACCTTGACGCGCTGGCATATGTAATTTTAAAGTGGTGCACGAGTTTCCATTTTCCGTTAATATCGATAGGAGCAATAGGATCCAGACGTTAAAATACTGGATGTAGTCCTAAGTATTATGCAGTCAGAATTAAACTCTATTTTACTAATCCGAGAAAAACCAGATTCGTCAACGTACGAAAACGCACACGGAAACCACTTCTCAAAGCTTCTTTTCCCAAGACAAAGAATTCCGTTACCAAAAGCAGTAATGGAATTCGTCTTGTGGAATGGACATCTGTGTGAAAAATAGGCCCGAGAACGTCACTGCCGATTAGCATCAAGGGACGTCATTGGATTGATCCGGCCCTGTATGTTGAGCTCAACATGCGCACTGGCATTCTCATACACGGCGTGCACTTATTCACTCCGCTTCCTATCTCCACTTCGGACAGTGACAAAAATAGGGAACCGTACATCCATTCTGGTTTATGCACCGTATTCCCCTTTCCCCCGGCTTTTTTAAGAGATTTTTTCGCATTACTAAGCGATTAAAAATGCAGAAAGTTAGTTGAACAACACTCAGCCGGGATTGTCATCTGGATTGCTGTTTGATTTTGTGGAGAAATTTGCCAAATTCATTCCTTCTAAACGATTCCCTACGGTTTTTTTAAAGAGATCCCTTCTTTGACAAGATGAATGATGAGGTAGGCTTTAGAACAAAGCCGGGTTGTTGTAGGTTTTTCCAAGTTTTTACGTTAGAAACAGCATTGCTGAAGATAGCTGTAATTTTGTGGTAAATTCAGCCAGGAACCCGGGTGGGCGCTGGATTTTGCCGTGTATGTTGTAATAAGCAGATGAGTGTGCAGCTCCCTCCCTGTTTCTCTTGACTAGTGCGCGAAGCGCCTATTCACGCTGCTGCGTGTGTGCGTGTTCGGATAATCTAATCGACGGAGATCCATGTGTAGACTAGTGCTGCTATAGAGCGATTTCCCAATAAGTTTTCCTGTTGAGCAATATTGATCGGAAAATATATAGGCGATATGTACAACTGACAGCCTTTTCGGCACTCGGCGGCGCGGCACGATTATGTTAAGAACTCGGGAAAAACATCGCTGTAATCTGTGAATGTAACAAGATAGCGCTGGCATTTTGCTCGGCTGGGAATAACGTTTGTTCGACTGTAAAAAACAGGATTTGAACAGTGTTGTTGGTGACTTAAAACTGTTGCAGTTTTGTACGTACATTTACTATGTGTTTTCGCGAGTAGCCGTTTAAATGCAGTCTGTACAGACTGATAACACTGCAGTGACTGCACACAGTAGTTTTTATTCTTTTGTACGCCGGTAATAAATTACATTTTTTGCATTTTCCTCATTTGTGTCATATCTTTTGTTTGAACTTTCAAAATGCCAAATAAATAAATAATAACCCATGACTTAACTACGCGAAGAGGAATTTACCAGCATAGGGAATAAGTTAAAACTTCGAGAATAAAATAACAGAAAGACGATTAGGCAATACTTACCGGAAAAAGATGTTTGTTAGACATTAATTTTTCAACAGTTTAAACCGGATACTCTATATATTTGAGCGAAATTATAGCTATGGGATTTAAGAAATTATATATACCAGTTCAAGTGGCTCGGGAGCATTGCCCAGTGGGTGTTAAAAAGCTGTTCTTTCTGATTAAAAAGGCAAAAAACGCTGTCATAAATGAAGGGCAGTTTCTCCTTCGGTTATGGTCGCCTTGGTACGATTTCTCACGAAATTAAAGATTCCCCTCTACATGTACTTAAAGTATACTGTTGTACGGTGTAATTTGTCCATTAATCATTGTTTACGAAAATTTGATGATGTGCCGTTTCCATTAATCTTTTTTGTTTGACTAAATTCTATTAGCACTGTTTCGGTAATGGTGTCTCGAAGAGTAGTAGCCGGTGTGAAACTCCCATATCCGTTGATGACATCACACATGACTATGAGACAGCGGATGAATAATAATTTTTTTTACTTTTAAGTGAAGAGGCACTAATCTTTCTTGCTTTGCAGCATGGGCATGCAGAAAGTTACCGTGTGGCAACAGCCCCCATTGCACCTGACAACGGTAAAGTGCCGACGAAAAAGAAGGGCAAGGACAAGAAAGATGGCCTTGACGACCTCAAACAAGAATTGGATATGGTCAGCTTCATTACTTTTGGCACGCGCGTTATCAGCGCTAATGTTTTACGGGAGCACAATTGATGTTCATTTTAGGACGAGCATACCGTACCTATTGAAGACCTATGCAGAAGACTTGAAGTCGATCCAACAAGAGTAAGTCGTAACACAGACGTCGGATAAGGAACAAATAAGACATTGAATACTTTGATGCGATGATGTACAAGTGAATGAATACTTTGATGTACAAAAGAAAATTTTTTAGTTCGATTGTGAATCAGTATTCTCGTGAAGTACGTCATGTTCCAGGCGGTGTTATCAATTAATGGTTTTGTGCAGGGCCTTACCCATGCTATTGCCAAGCGGAATTTTGAGCGGGATGGGCCGAACGCTCTGACCCCTCCGAAGACCACCCCAGAATGGTTGAAATTCTGCAAACAGTTGTTTGGCGGTTTCTCCCTTCTACTGTGGGTGGGAGCTGTTTTATGCTTTATTGCATATGGTGTGACAGCGGCGCGTGAAGATGAGCCTCCTGCTGACAATGTACGGGACGAGTGTTCGTTTTTTTTGACAAAATAGGTTTTATAAAATTAATATGTTTTTGTCTTCCAGTTGTACCTGGGCATTGTGTTGACGGCGGTCGTGGTTATCACCGGCTGCTTCTCATATTACCAGGAAGCCAAATCCGCCCGCATCATGGACTCATTCAAGAATCTGATCCCGGCCTACGCGACCGTTATACGTGAGGGTGAAAAGAACAGTTTACTGGCGGAACAGCTGGTCCTTGGTGATTTGGTCGAGGTCAAGGGAGGCGATCGTATTCCGGCTGATATCCGTATCATAGAGTGCCGTGGAATGAAGGTACACTGCATTAGTTGCGTTATAATTTACAAGGTTTACTCTCGAGGAGTTATTGTTTGTAACTATTTTTTGCGAGTATGGGTCGTGGGATTTAGTAGCACCAAAACAGCCGTGGCAGAATTCTTGACAGATTAAGGGCTCTCTATAAAAATACAGCTCATACAGGCGAAATTGTTTTCATCGGCAAGCGGATGTCGTCCCCTACATGGTGATCTCGAATCGTTCAAATATTCCTTTTTCTACAGCAGAGTAAACACGCGCTTCAGATCCAGTTGGGCATAACATTATCCAATATGTTTTTGTTTACCCACACTTAAACTGATCGAGTTAACTCGGCACAAATCGCAATTGAGATGATGCACTGAACCGATCATTTATGTTGTTCTGAGCGGAACGGCGGATAAGATGCGACAGTTTGCCGATACAGAGACCAGATAGTGAACCGGCTGCCGTATCGGTAGGTTTTTATCAGGTACCGGGACCGTTAGGAAGCATTTTCCCGGGGAATGCAGCTTGCCGATTCATTGAGTGGTCGGACTCATTTAGGCAGGAATGCTGTGGCTACAGCCTACAACACTGAGTGTAAAACGCAGCACACACATCGGGCTACGAAGAGTGCTTAAGCGCAAATTGACGACTGGAATGTTGAAAGTGGCAGCATGGTTGGGGCTAGTGACGTCAGAGGAGAACGGCGCGTCCCTGGATGAGCTTGTGCTCTGTTAAGAGTGGAAAGTCTTTCCGGGCGCTGTATTTCTGATCTATGTGTGTGCGCACACCAGCGCCGAAGCCGTCTCGCGTTTTGGCTAATGTCGCACCGTAGGGTTTTCTTTGCTGTGCTTGAGCGGTCATAGATACAGACAGATCAGTGACAGATGCAGCTTTGTACAAGGACATACAGCCGGATAGAGAAAGATGAGAGCATTTGTTGACGATTTACATTTGCATTTTGGGGAAATTGTTTTCTAACATTTCCCGATTGTGTGTCAACAAGCACCGGTATGCAAATAGGTAGCACGATCCCGCGAGGGTCTTTGAAAGTGATTATCTTGCCATCCCGGCTGGTTTAGTAATTGGATCTGGGGAGAAGCATCTATTGAGAAAACAGCACAGGATGCGAAGGACTTAGAAACTCCAAAAAACGCGCCAAAAGTGCAAAAAGTGACATTTGGGCAGTAATAGTCTGTTTACGTTAACTGGATGAAAACTGCCTAATTTTTTGTCAAAAAAATCCTAATTTTTTATTGTTGTTCTAATGAAGTCATTAAATACTGGGAAATGTCATCAGCAGTTCACATTAGTAATCTCAGACTTTTTGGCATAAACGTGGTAGAGCAGGAAAAGCCCGGCGCGTTCTTGAGGTTCCTGTTTGACGGTTAATATTAGCAGTTTGCGCTAGCGTTATTAAGTTGCCCTTTGCACCATTAAGAGTGTGATACAGTAGCACATCAAATATCGAATTCCACCAGCTTCAATTTGTTTCCACAAGCATCGACTGCGACATGTGTAAAGCGTCTGGCATATGGAGCGGGTTTGTGCCGCCTCCGTCCCAACATTCATGCAGATAGTACTCGTACGGAAAGTTCGTGCAAGCGAGCGATCAAATGTTTGCCAGGGCTGACTATGGGACGAGAATCAATAATGTACTGCGGTACTGGAATATTGATGTGAGGGATAAGTGTTACATAATACGGTCCCGCGCTTGTGGTGTCTGGTCTTTCAAGAAACGGTTACAATTAAAATCATGAAGCAGTAATCGATAGGTCTGGCAGTATTGTGTGGCTGCAGGTGCTACAGTGTCTTGGAAAAGCAGTTTTCTTTCTTGTTATAGGTGGATAACTCTTCGTTGACAGGAGAATCCGAACCGCAATCCCGCAGTCACCAGACGACGCACACCAATCCTCTGGAAACCAAAAATTTGGCATTTTTCTCGACTAACATTGTCGAAGGTGTGTTGGATGCAGCCATCAAATCAATACATGTCAATAAAATTTATGTAATTAAGATACTTTCAAGGAAATATCACCTTAAAACGGTGATATAGTTGCCAGATGAAAATTATAACATTCTTTAAAACAATATTATGACCAGTTTACTGATATGACACAAATGTGGAAAAACAGTTTGTGAAAGCTGAAAGTACAGACCGGTAGATTTCCTAATAATTTTTATTCACTTGCTTGTATCCGCTTGTAGGCGTGGGTACTGGAATCGTGATTAATACCGGTGACAGAACGGTTATGGGTCGTATTGCCAATTTGGCCAGTGGCCTGGAGATGGGCCAGACACCAATTGCCCGCGAGATCTCACATTTTATCCACATCATTACCGGTGTGGCCGTATTCCTGGGAGTTACGTTTTTCATTATTTGTATTTTCCTGAACTACTTCTGGCTGGATGCTGTGGTGTTCCTGATTGGTATTATTGTGGCTAACGTCCCGGAAGGTCTGCTGGCTACGGTCACGGTAAGTTTTTCAAACCTTCCGTAAAATTTTGGTATGCGTTATTTACAATTGATTATTACATCAGGTGTGCTTGACACTGACGGCCAAACGCATGGCCGTTAAGAACTGCTTGGTCAAGAACTTGGAAGCCGTCGAGACGCTGGGTTCCACTTCGACCATCTGCTCGGATAAGACCGGCACTCTGACCCAGAATCGTATGACAGTGGCCCATATGTGGTTTGATAACCAAATTATGGAGTCCGATACAACGGAAACACAGCAAAGTAAGGAAAAACTTTACACTTCCGTTTGTTTGTGACTCTTATGGATGTATCGCAAAGCGAGGTCGTAACCGAATACACTTTAGCAATAGTTTGCTCATACATTGGCGAGTGGTGTTTGTTAACGTTGGTGACTTTTATAGATGCGGGAAGTTTCGACCGAAATTCAGCGAGCTGGAGAGCCTTGGTGCGTTGTGCGGCACTGTGCAATCGTGCCACTTTCAAACCGAACCAGGAAAAAGTGGCTATCCTCAATCGTCAAGTCAACGGTGATGCATCGGAGGCGGCTTTGTTGAAATTCGTGGAGCTGACCATTGGCCAAGTGGTGGAATATCGGGAGCGTAATAAAAAAGTCTGCGAAATTCCCTTCAACTCCACAAACAAATATCAAGTGTCCATTCATGAAACTGAAGAGCCAAATGATCCGCGCTACGTCTTGGTGATGAAGGGTGCCCCGGAACGCATTTTCGACTTGTGCTCATCAATACTCATCGGCGGTCACGAAGAGGCGGCCACCGCCGAATGGAAACGCCGCTTCGAGGACGCCTACCGTGAACTCGGTGGGTTAGGCGAACGTGTGATCGGTTTCTGCGATATGATGCTGCCGGCGGACCAATTCCCGCCCGGCTATCCGTTTGACCCCGAGGAATATAACTTCCCACAAAATGGCTTCCGCTTTTTGGGTCTGATGTCCATGATTGATCCACCGCGTGCTGCCGTACCCGATGCGGTCAGTAAATGCCGCAGTGCCGGCATTAAGGTCATCATGGTGACCGGTGACCATCCGATCACCGCTAAGGCTATTGCGCGCAGTGTCGGCATTATTTCGGCCGGTAATGAAACAGTGGAGGAGATTGCAGAGCGTTTGGGTGTGGACCGCAGTGAAGTGGATCCGCGCAAGGCGCGGGCGTGTGTAATCCACGGACAGGATTTACGAAGCATGGACGAGGCACAGATTGATGACATTTTATCGAATCACGATGAGATTGTCTTTGCCCGGACGTCACCGCAACAAAAACTGATTATCGTGGAGGGATGCCAGCGACAGGGAGCCATTGTGGCTGTCACTGGTGACGGTGTGAACGACTCTCCTGCTTTGAAAAAGGCTGATATTGGTATGTAAATCTGCATAGTATGATACTCGTATACGGGCATTTGTTTGTGTGTTTAATACTGAATATCAAAATTAATACAGCAAGGTACAAATTATTACAAATACCATAATGAAACATAAGAGTTAGCGATAACAAAATTAATGATATATATAATGCTATTGTAATACATGAAATTTCTGTTAAGCGTCCAAGTTAGGATATTTTGGCATTTCTAACATTTTAAGCTGACTGATTAATTAAATTTGATGGCTTCATATTATGGATTTGTGTCAACTGAACGCTCTGTTGGAATATTTTGACTGTGATATTGCAATTTTGTACTGTTCAAATATCGTATCCAATTATGCAGGTGTGGCTATGGGTATTGCGGGAAGTGATGTGAGCAAACAAGCTGCCGACATGATTCTGCTGGATGATAACTTCGCCTCTATTGTGGTGGGTATTGAAGAAGGACGTTTGATTTTCGATAACTTGAAGAAATCTATCGCCTACACTCTGACGTCCAACATTCCGGAAATCACGCCCTTCCTCTTCTTTATTCTACTTGACATCCCTCTGGCGCTCGGCACAGTTACGATCTTGTGCATCGATTTAGGCACAGACATGGTGAGTGCTGCAGATTTTTGAGATTTGGATTGAAATTGAAACGTAACTTCGTTTATTGTCAAAATATTTAAAAATTTAAATTTGCGTTGCGACGAAGACGACGAAGACGGTCAAAATTACTTAAACCAGGCGGAAAACATGTTTTAAGTGTCTGTTCGATTACGAAAATGCATTGCAATTACCGTAGTAACGAACCGTTCGCTACAGGTACCAGCTATTTCTTTGGCCTATGAAAAAGCGGAGAGCGATATTATGAAACGCCGACCACGTAATCCAAAGCTTGACCGTCTGGTGAATGAGCGCTTAATTGGTCTGGCATACGGACAAATCGGCATGATTCAGGCCTTGGCGGGATTTTTTACCTACTTTGTCATCATGGGTGAGAATGGCTTCCGACCGTACGATCTGCTGAAAATCCGTGACCGTTGGGAAGCGAAAGGCATCAACGATTTGCAGGACTCTTATGGACAGGAATGGGTAGGTGGATCTGTTGGTTGAAGCACTGTAGTTTTGACCTCATGAAGATGTTTATTCAAGAAAATGATATTACATTGCTTAACTTCATGGGTTTACTTATTGAAATTTTCAACATAATTGTGTAGACCTTTGAGCGACGTAAGGTTCTGGAATATACTTGTCACACGGCGTTCTTCGTGGCTATCGTCGTGGTGCAATGGGCGGATTTGATCATCTCCAAAACCCGACGCAACTCGATCTTCCACCAAGGAATGGAGTAAGTATTTTACGTCAGATCTGGTTGAAATTGGCATTATGGGTATGGTTTTTGCAGTAACTGGATGTTGAACTTCGGTCTGGTGTTCGAAACCGTTTTGGCTGCCTTCCTATCATACTGCCCCGGCATGGACAAGGGTCTTCGAATGTATCCTTTGAAGTAAGTTTTTCGATCAGCTAACGGCAAACCGTGTGCGCTACGAGAGCGCGTTCACGAAACAATTTTGCTTTGCGCATATTCTGTGTGAGGATCGAGAGAAGTATTTGTATATTATACGCAATGTATGGTGTGGTATTTTGCCTTTAATTACAGGTTAGTTTTAATCCGAATACATACTTCGTAATAAACGGGTTGATTGATAGCTGCGTACTGTATTGTACATGTATATTTTTACTGCGTTTTGGATAAATAATGTGGCTGTGCACAGCTAATGGTTCAGTATATTGGCGGTGACGATTGGAGCTGGTTTTGGCCCTCAAATGGATGTTAAAAGTTGCATTTTTTGTAGGATAAACTGGTGGTTTCCTGCCATGCCATTCAGTTTGATGATCTGGATTTATGATGAATGCCGTCGATACATTTTGCGTCGCAATCCAGGTGGTTTTATTGAACGCGAAACATATTATTGATTGCTTATACGTCAGAGCAACGCGCGCGGGGATGGCATTATTATCCTATATTGTATTTTCATCCCGAATTTCGGCAAAGAAATGTGAAAAATTGGTATCCTGTGCAATTAATAAACGCAGAAGGGATTCAACAAGCGTGGACGGGTTTGTTGTGGTGTGTTCGTTTATTTTTTTTCTCCTGTTTTCCGTGTGGCTTGTCTTTTTTGGGGCAAGCCGAAAAATAACTTATGTCCTCTAGCCATTGTCCTCAGCTGATGATTTGTGGTTTTGCGAGTGTGTTGATGATGATTGTTGTTGACTTTATTATGTGCTCTCGCATTTCACTTATTCTTCAGTTATTAGTCCAAACCGAGTCAAAGCAGAAATGCTTAAAAGTAACCAAGAATGATTTTCTACGCTGTTGACTTAAAATAGGTAATTAGAAAACGGTCTGCTGCCGCTGGAGCACGCGGCCTTGATAATTTGATGGTGCCGTTTTTGTTCGTTCGCAAGGAATTTATTTGATTATTGGTATATTTAGTTCTAAGATTTGACACACCGATTGAACACAACTTTCGAATGCACGATATTAAGAGATGAAATAAGTTTTTTGCTGAGAAATTTGGGGGATGAGAAATTGCATTTTCTGCGTGTATTTATTTCATGTGGAGCACAAAAACACAACTGCGGTTGTATCACGAATCACAAAATTTGATGTACGAGAATTATTGCTGCTCAGAAATCTGAGAAGCGTCCCAAAAGGCAATTGTCCAAAAAATTTTTGCCGCTTCCAGTTTTAGAGACTGTTGCTTTTGGGCTGGCAGTTTTGTTTGGCGCACTCTTTGTAACAGCTCGCAAATTTCTCTCCATCTAGTTGGTGGCGTATGTTGGCAAAGTCTGCCAGCTTTGGTGTCCTGTTAATTGAAACACGCATAGTAATAAAGCGGCACATGACGATTTTATGACTTAAATAATCAAACTACACAAATAAATTACGTATAATCGCATTCGTCGAGCGTGACCTTTTCCGAGATCTGAACTAAGTACCTATCCGTATCAGCAAGTACTGCTGAATTTTCGGCTGTAAAGCGCAGTTTCATACCAACCTGGAACACGCGACATTGAAAAAGTAATCACAGACCAAAGTGAGCTGATTAAAAAGTGTTCCATTGTTGCATTGGTAAGATGTCTGGTATCCATCTTCTGTACACCTAGGAAAAGTCGACGTTGAAATGTGAAGTTCTTCAAACGATATTTCCGTGACAAAGAATCGCGAAAGCACTAATTATTGTGCATAACGGGGCCGCAATTGCTCCTCGGACAAAAGGCATAGCGCATTACCGGTAATAGGTTCGGCAGTTTGTGTTCACATCAGCATATAATCCCGGCTGTTTGACATTATCACAGAAGGCCTTCGATGTCGCATTTTTTGACTTTTCCGCCGATTTGGAATCCGGTGCGCCTTTCATCCCGCTGCTAAGAAGCTTTTTCACCTCTTCTGGATTGGCTACAACAGTCTGGGCACCGGAAATGATACCATCCATTGGATCAGCAAGGACGAATCTGAACATTACTTGCATAAAAGCCAACGTAACTGTGAGGTTGACAATTGAACAAAGCATCTTTAATCTTTATAGCATAAATGCAAATACATAAACAGTTTAAGCGACTATCGCGTTATGGTAGTTGCAGTCTCTAAAGATGTAAGCGCTTTATACTGCCGGTCACTTTCAGTTATGCTCAATTTAGATGGCGTGTCGTAATTGTTTTAAACTGTATGGTCTGCAGACGAAATAATTATATGGGAAAAAATCTGCAAATTAATAATAACTGTTTCACGCAACACAATTGGAACAGAACGCCGTATGATTTTTCATTTTTGTGCAGCGGCTGTTGTATACATATGCAAAGCCTAAGCAGGATTATAACATTGTCGCGCGTGCAAGCAACGCCTTGTTAGGACACGAGCCAAATTTAAATCAAATGCGTTAATATGCATGTATATGTTTCTGCAATCTCATAATAATATTACGACCATCAATATGTCATTAAATTTTAGTAGACAAACATATATTTTCAAAACTCTATATTAACAACACCAAGATTAGGGATTACTACAGTACCTGTTCACTCATCCATGTCCAGTCCTATTTACACGTCTGAACTTAATGTTGAGTAAGCCGACGAATGCTGTCGATACAGTTAGTATACACAAGTACAAAACAGGCTCATTAAAACTGGAGTGCTGCTCTAGCGCTTAAAAAACAATATGTATTTACGACACAAACAATACACTTAAAACGTTAATAATTATTAACGTAGGTGCTTTTCCGGTGGATCATGAAACATCGTATGCGATGTTCAACGCGCGCCATTACAGTATATCATCAAAAATTTACTTACAACAACCGCACAATAATAATTACGAAATCGCATTATAAAAATGAAAAGGTCTAAAACGAGACAAACTTGAATTATTCTACACCGGCGGAAACGAGCAAAGCGAAGGGACACAGTGTGTTCGATAAAGCACCCACGGCACTTTTGTTTATCTGCTGGATGGTATACCGTCATCTACACATGATTACAGCTGCGTTTCGAATGCATACTTTGGTAAACGCCAATAATCTGTAATCACAAATGCAGACTTGGACCGATAAAATATTGGTAACTACGCATTGTGGTACTCCGGTTCTTAACTTCCAAATGGTGAATTACCCGAAGTCTGGCTGTTGTTAAGGTTTACTGTTTCAGTACAAAACAAAGCCTCGTAAAGTTAAACTTGTAAATCTGAAGAAAAACGCTTCAAAAGCATAACCTGCTATCGCAGCCGTTCTTGTATGGAGTTCATTAATACTGAAATCATATGATAATATGGATATCATCCTAGATTTGACAGATGAAAGCATCTTAACACCTTATGTGTACCCCGAATCTTTGTCTCCGAAGAATATTTGGCGCCAACTTTGCTCTCTTACAATATTGGTCATACTCGGAGGATACGCGTTGTACTTAATTACAGCCGCCGTGAACTATTATTTATTTTTCGACAAACGCCTGCTGCAGCATCCTCAGTCTTTGAAGGTGGGTGAGCAGCATGTTTTTATTGGTTTTCTTAATAATACGGGGTGAATTTTATTTTAAGTTGCGCATTGCCATTTCCCTTTTAAATGTCAGTGCGCAACTATATATCCAGCAAATTTTTAATAGACAAAAACTGACTACTGACTTATTCATAAAGTGTATTATATGTATGAAATTTTACTACCTAATTCAAAATACAGTTCTTTGGAGTCTTACCGTGTTATTACGCTTCTTTTAGTTAGTTAGGCATTTGTAAGGAATCTTGTAAAATCTTGTGAATGATAAAATGAAATGGACGAAATGCTGTGATTTGCTCAAACCATAATCACGCGATGTCGTTACTTTTACCGTCCACTGCATATTTATGAGCCGGTCATTGGCTGTTATACGCTACCGATTAGCTTCCACTACAAAGTTTATGGTTCACCACTGGCAGAGCAAAGTTCAGTGGAAGTATGAAGTTTAATTTACAGTTACGATCTACTTTTAGATTCTTTTGCTAATTAATAACAGCAAAATTTTGTAAAGGTTTTGTGCTTTTAATCTTGAGCAACACCAAAACTACAATAGCGGTTTAAAAAAAATAAACAAAATTAACTCAACAAGCATACTCATAATAATTACTGTACCTACAATACTTTTAGATATGAGAGTGTGCTTACTGCCTACGCCTGTATAATGCGTACAACTTTGCAGTGTTGCAATTTTTGTTTGCTGTATACAGTTGCAGACATTCCGAAGATTGTGAAGAAAACTATTATTGCGCGTCACAGGTAAAATATTTTTTAAAGTGTTTCCCAAAATTGCATTGCAGGATCAAGTCAAACAGGAGATATCATGCTCAACGCGGGCAATTCCCCTCATGTCTTTTTTGTCGGTTCTGATGTTCCTGGCAGAAATCCGCGGCTACAGCAAACTGTTCGATAGTTTCGACGAGACCAGATTAGGTAATATATAATGACTCTTTAAGTCTTTATCAAGGAAAATTCCTTAATTAATAATTTATGTTGTCATCCCAGTTTTCAAAAAGAAAGTGGCGGGAGATAAGCAGGCTGGAACTGATCATGAAGCGCAACATCCGTATATGTACATGGTAATGATGATATTACCACAGCATTTCTGTTCTGCAGGCAAATGGAGTATACCACTCTACAGCGCTTCGTTTATTTTTTTTACCGACTCTTTAATCTACTGGATCCACCGTGGACTGCACTCGCGGTTTTTTTACAAAAACCTCCACAAACAACATCACAAATGGAAAGTGCCGACGCCGTTTGCCAGTCATGCATTTCACCCGATCGATGGCTTCGTACAATCGTTTCCTTATCATCTATACGTTTTCCTGTTTCCCATGCACAAGTGGACTTACCTGGCGTTGTTCGTTTTTGTTAACGTGTGGACCGTCTCAATACACGACGGTAATTACAAGGTTCCTATGCGTCTTAAAGAGATCATTAATGGCGCGGCGCATCATATGGATCATCATCTTTTCTACAATTACAATTATGGCCAGTTTTTCACCTTTTGGGATCGAGTAGGAGGGTAAGTTGTGCTGGATTTTGTCAAATCTCTGCTTTTCGTACAAAATATTTATTGCAGATCATATCGCAACCCAAGTTCATTTGAAGGAAACGGGCCACTAAAAGATATTGAAGAAAAGGAAAAGAGAACTTGATAACTTGAAAAACTATTTAGACTACCCGAGTTTGTGGTTGGTTACAAAGATTCATATAGTCGTGGTTTTCTAAGATTAACTAAATTTAATGTCTCTTCGATATGCTCCACTAAATTTAATGTCTCTTCCTAATTGTTTTGCTTTATTATTACTGACTGGATGCACGTTTCGTGTATGTAGTTTTGTACGAGCTAATGAATGAAATCAAAGAATGTTAATGAATAATTTGGCATAGAGTATTTCTGTCACTGTTATACAGCAACTGAAATACCTTATATAGATATATGGCTCGTATAATAAACAGCACACATGTACGTTCCCGTGCACGTAAAGGTCATACCTGGGAAGTGTCACGCTGTCGACTGGCAAGAGCGCAACTTCACAGGAGGTTAATAAATTTAAGAGTAGAATGTATACAGTGTGCCAAGTGTAAATGCAGTAGTAAACATATATAAAATAAGGACAATCCAGAGGAAGATCTGGGTTGACGAAACACTAAATTCTGATGCTTTTATGTTTGGATATGCACCAATATTAAAAGACCGAAACTTGGAACACTATTCAAAACCTATGAGCGCCTTTAAAACAAGCTTTAATTTGTCATTGAACTTAGGAATACTAAGTCGAGCGTTGATTATTATAGGTAGCATCGCAGAAACGAAGGGTTTACATACTAAAAAAATTCCTAAAGAACGTTACATTTACGAACTGTGGCCGATACATGGCCATACTTACGTACAGATGTCAATACTGCAGCTGACCTATTGCAAAGGTTAAAAGACCAAAAGCTCCACTAATTAAGCACAGCCAATGATAAAATTTTGTCGCCAGAATGCGGTAATACGCCGAAAATTTCATTGCCGAAAAGGTGTAGCTTGACGTCGACGGATGTGCTGTCAAGGATCCAATTTGCGCACTTACGTAGCCGCACCCAGTGCACAGATGCGCATACAGGAATCAAAAATCGCGCCATGTGCTAATTTTTACTCGGTAACACCCCGAGGATTTTCCTTTCCAAACAACGCATGCCTGCATCACAAAGTTTATAACGCAGGATAGAGAAAAATAATTCGGATAATGCATTGGTCAGTATTATTAATGGTCTCGAAGACAACTGGGGATATTATAAAACGTGACCTTTTCAGGTTTCAGGTATTTGTGAGTTCAAATATATTATATTTTATTAAAACTTTACCGGTCGCAATCAACCCAACCCAAACACAATATAATATGTGCCTGCTGACAAAAAGTTACAGATGAGCAATGCTGCTGTGATTATTATGCTACTCGGCCCGTAGAAGAAAGTAAACACACTTACAATTATTGCTATGAATCGTAAAAATAAAATAGTGACTTCAATATCATGAAGCTAGCTCTCAAATTAACGGATTGGCAAAAATGAATGCAAGTTAGGTATTGTGTGATAAATACAATTATACATGCTACACTTTAGTAAGTAGTTGTTTAATACATACAGGGTACAATACTACGTAGCCAATTATAGGGTAATTACGATACTTCTGCCTAAAGCAACTTGACGCAAGACTGGTTAGCAAGTATATAATAACGTATCCTTTGCAATAATGTCTTGATACGGTCTTCGAATTTTTATGTATGATGTTAATCTGCTGGAACCACTTCTGTAGCGCTCACAGTTAGTGATGTCCAATATCTAACGGTGTTGTTTTTTATCGTTAGCATAATACTGCCCTTGCGCGGCGCAGCAGCAACCGGTATCCCTGCACGTTTGCTTCTGGTTAGTAAACACTGTTATACCACTAAAGTAGTCTCTTGATTGCGCTCTCATCCACAAAGGTTTATGAGTGCCCATTGTTCCATACGGATTAAAACGCATAAAAGGATGGGGCGCTCAGGAGGATCTGTGATAAGCTCAGCTGCCCACATACTATCAGTCGCACTATGTTTTTGCATTCACACTGAACTAGCAAATTGTGGAAGTTTGTTCGAGATGGAGCCCTCATGGAATTCGTTAAAGGTCACAGTTTTTCCTGGCCGACCACTGGAAGCCGTGGGGGTGCCCCATTACGTACATGACGATACGTACCTATTCCCAGAAATCACTCTGGCCAAAAGATACAGTTTTTCTCTGGGGTCCCAGATGTGGAGAGCGGCCAGGATTCCACAGTTGTATCAATCTGGACCGAAAAGACCCGTGATAGTGTCCCCGATAAATCGCCATATTAGCCTGCAGTATCGCGAGCCAGATAAATCACCAGAGGCGACAACTGCTCGACCAACACCGGCTACTAAAACCAAACATCGCACGTCCTCTTTTGGCCGTCAATTTTTCATCTCGAAAAGCTGGATGCCGGGAACTTAACCACGTCCAAAAATGGTTAAGATGGTTATGCCTTGAACTTAACCACCCGTGGAAGTTCCTATAATTAGAATTTTCACTCTTCCCGAATTTCATTCTTACCCAACTACAGTTTAAGATTGTTGAAATTCTGATTTAAATACTCTGTACATTATTTTGCAACAACGCTATAAATTCGTTACAGTGTCATATTAAGTCGTTACTTTTGAAAAACAGTTACAAATGAAAGGCACGGAAGCTAATGTATTTCCAGATTAACCGAGCAAGTTCCTGTGCTTTTTGCAACAGAAAATTCGTGAGCAATAATGCCACATGTCATACGCCCAGTAGCCGTGTATAACTGTGGTGACCTTTACGGTATTTTAAACAACGAAAGAGATGGCTGTACAGTCCATACTCAAAGCTTTCGAAATTTCAAACATACTCTAATTTTTCGTACATTAATACTTTCTGCCGATATATGTGCACGTAGATGCTACCGAAAAAAAGCCGCCACTGAAAATCGGTCTAAATGCTCCAAAAAATTTACTATTCAACTACCAGTAAGTTGGTATCACGAAAAAGGTTAACGTTTGTCATACAACTGTAAGTGAAGCTAGCGCGAAGAGCTAGCGATGGTTAATTTATTAACGTATATAATTTCAAACTACTTCGTCTTCGCAAGCAATTTTTATTAACTCCATTTTCATTTTCTGCACTCCTTAAACGGGAAAGCGAATCGTGCACAATAACATTTCTACTGCTTTGTAAGTTAGTAGAAAGTAGATACGGCTCCATTATTTTCATAGATCTTGAATGTTGCCGTGTATGTTATTGTACCACACCATAAGGGGATCATTTTTATCCACATCATGAGGCTTGTAAAGCACATAAACCACTTTCCAATCCTCCTGCCGTTGTGCGCCTCCTCTGGACATGGCTTTTTTTGACGCTTCGTTCTCTTCCCAGATGAACATAAAGCTGGTTTCCTGTCCGATATTCTGCAAATCTTTCGCACTGTGCCACATTAATTTACTTGCCAAACCCTGACCACGAAACTCCGGTTTAACAAATCCCGCTGACATGGCCATATCGGCACTGATTATTCCGAAACCTATGAGCTGCCCGTCTTTATATGTGCCAATCATTGGAAAATGGTGGTCGTGAAGGTGATAAAGATATTGCAGTGTTTCACCGGTGCCGGCACCGTAACGCCACAGTGTGCTCAGTGTCGGCATATCTTCGCGATCAGGCCGACGAAAGGTGATCCCGTCTGGTGATGCAGGCATCGGAATCCTACAGTCGACTACATAATCATCATGTGCATTTTAAAACCACAAACTATTTAGTCAAAATCGCATAAATTTGGCAAGTCTGTCGGTATCGTTTTCTTTTGCTGACTTTTTCGACATGCTGTGCCGCCCGCTTTAATTAGTAGCACATCTACATAATAGATTATATGTTGCTGCATTCTTTTATAAATTTTTCAAGTATCAGTCATTCATGCAGCTGTATTAAGAGATTGCTTGTATGTTTTGTTTACGCACTTGCTAACTTCCGCGGGAATAACAATCCAACCGGTAGCGGTGAAATCCGCATGTTGCTTTGGTCCTATAGCGGAACCGCGTTTGCTGCACACTTCTTCCAGCACCGGGAGAAGATTTTCTGGAATCGCTGCAATGCATATTAAAACGTAAGGTTATACGCAATTAAACTGCACATATTTACACGTGAAAAATGAACCAACATATGGATGACAGAGCTTTTACCTTGAAAGTAGCCGGCTGCTTTCCAGTTTATCGCATCCTGTTGGTCCAGTAATGTCCGGAAATTCTCCACGTCCGTGACAACCGCATTGTACATGTAGTAGCTTCGTCTGGGAACGTAATCCTGCAAACTGAGAAGTTTTAATGTGGGAGACACATTAAGACATGTCTGTGCTTCAAAGCGTACGTTTTGATAGTTAATTATCGGATATCAGTACATTTACACTGGTTGACAAATAGCTCGGCATACCAGTTGCTAAAATAACTAACACAGCATTTATTGATTTTAACAGAAAGTTTATGCAAGCAATTATAGCTGTTTTAATCACGTACGTACTTCATGAAGCGGAAGCCGTTCTTGCTGCTCAGGGTTCTGTGATGGATGTTTTGGGCTTGGTCGGACTAAGCAAGCAGTAAAATTTGGGAACCGGTCTGCAAATCATGCGCAACATATATCAAAAAGTTTTTAATTTGGCAGCCTAAAACAGGCTAATGTTTGCACATTGGTGACGCAACAACAGGTTGCTGCGTACGCAATTTGCGCAGCCGTCATTATTTCGAACGTTTGCATTTGTTATTGTTCAAGTCAAAAAGTACCAAAATCTGACATTTTGTTTCAGTTTAAAGTTTTAAACAGGCACGGCAGTCATTACCGACCACAAAATCCAGCCCTGGCCATGCGAAAGAATTTCTCTTTAAATGGTTCTCAGCGAGTTTCAAAACCTGTATGGAAAACAGAAATTTAAAAGTGATGTGACGTCGTTGTAAAGTTGCTGCTTTAAAAATTAAAGGTTAACTCACAGGATACGACTGTGGCAGCAGACGTTTAAGCTCCGCAACAAACTCCGTCAACTGATCATCATTTATTATAACCATTTTAACGAAATACTTGAAAAAATCTTACAATGGCAAACTCTGTATTTGGTAAATTCGCCTCTTGCTACTACTCCAGCAAATGCAGAATATAAAATAAATAATAATGTATCTATATACAGTACTATATTTCAGCATTGCCGACAATCGTGTATGAGAAGCCAATATCAGGCTGAAGCTTTCCTCGATAAAATTTGTCCTTGATTATCACGAAAAAATCTACGTGAACGAATGTACAATACATACAGCAAAGAAAAGATTAGATATCTACATGTCGGTGACTCGGTATCATAAGACAATCGTGAATTTTATAAGTTCGTATAGCACTCAAAGACGGCCGGCAGGTGGAAACATATTTTGTTCCATACAAGCAGCGGCGTAGTACGTGCGACGCGACGCGATGATGAATGTCGTGGTAAAATGTACGTAGTAATTTTTCAATAAGTTATTCATCGTACTGTCGTATTTCGTTACTTATATTATAGCAGAGAATTACATTCTGTATGCAAAATCCAGCGTAAGGTATTCAAATAACTTTAATCGTTGTCTAATGACGCAACGTATTAAGCAAAATAAAATATCTCGTATTCTAGCGATATAAAGTTTATCACCACATGCTATCATTCAAACTGCATCGTATATAATTCTTCTCCGCCAGAATGTTTCAGAATACACTACTTAGAAAGTTAAAGCTGAAGGTGTTCGATGTGAATTTTAAAAACTTCATTAATCAGCAGATCTCCTTCCATAAATATTTCGGTACCACACAACCAGAGGATCATTCATATCGGGCTGAGCGGGCTCATAATGTAGGCTGGTCACTTTCCAATCCCTGATCTTTTCACCTCCGATTCTAACTACTGATTTCTCCGATGAGAGATTGTCCTCCGCCACGAAGAGCGGAATGACATCGTGTCCCAGAGCCTGCATCTTCTTGACGAGATCAGCCAGAATCAGAGTGAAATAACCGTGTCCGCGGTGTTCAGGTTTAACAAAACCGGCTACGATGCACATCTGGGCACTGCAGAATGCAAACCCAATCAGATCGTTCTGTGGGGAGTACATGCCGGTCATGGGAAAATCACGGTCATGCAGGTAGCGCATGTATTCAACAGTGTCGCTTGTGCCGCCGCCGAAATGCCAGAGCTTGGCTACTGTTTCCACATCTTCGCGGGATATCTGGCGAACGCTGTATCCATCAGGGACAGAAAATGAAACACTACGACACAAAAACGGTTCTGGTTAGATTTATGTAGCTGTTGTGGTCAACAACAACTAATCACCACTAACTTCAGTGAAGCATTTGCTGCTTTGACAAGCCATCCAGTAGATGCGAATTCTGGATGCGTTTCCGTGCCGATGACAATTCCGAACTTAGCCCCGACTTCTTTTATAGCGTTTACAAGGTTTTCAGGAACAGCTGTAAATTTGAAATTAAAACTAAAACTCTCGAATAAAACAAAGGTAATTACCGTGCCGTGCCTAACATTTTTGTTAATGTTATTTTTTTGCATTATATCTATATCACGAGCTGCTGCAAAAACACCGTAAAAGTTTATCAGGCACGTTGATTAATATTAATTCCCTACTTCAGATACAATAATTATAACAGAAATGTTATATGCACCTTGAAAGAAACACGAACGCGTCCAGTTGATAACTTCCGGTTGCTCTAACAAGTTCTTGAAACAACATTCATCGCTGGCAACGACGTTATACATGTAGTGATTCCGTCGAGGAATGTAATCTGTCTATACCACACCGATTCCGGTTACTTAACAAAAAAGTGTTCTACTTCTAACCGTTACCGGCATCTACATCTCGTTGTGGATTTCGTTCTCACATTTTCTCCAGGTTTCGGCCGAACCACACAAGCGGTAAATTTGGGAAATCGGTCTGAAAGGCATAGGTAAAAATATTTGATAAGGCTTTATGTGCATTTTGGCACTTCCTGCATACACAGCAAACTGTGATCGGCAGTGATCCCTAAAGATCGAAAAATCATAATAATTACCAACCACGAATTCAATCCCTGGCCATGCAAACGCATTCTTTGACAAAAGATTTTCAGCCACCTTCAGAATCTGCAATAATAATTAACACGAATGTACCAATCCTTGCACTGCGGACCGTTACAGCCGAGAACTACAATTTGATGCACCGTGCATACTCGTGTACGGTATTCATCACGACCCAAATCCAAAAAATGTTTTAGCAATATAAAAAAGCACGTCTCAAGCTCTCACCGGAAATGATTGCGGGAGGAGGCACTTCAGCTCTTGAATGAGCCGCATTAACTGATGCTCCTGAATAACTAACATGCTGGATGGATGATAGCTTTCGAAATTCGAAGGCTTAAAATATATACTAAAATTCTCATGAATTAAAGTGAAATAATGATCGTCCGCAATATCACAAACAGAGAAGTTGCTTGCATTACCAAACCCTAAACAGAATGCAAATAGCTAGGCTGCCAGGATAATGTAACGTTAGTGCCCTTCGATAACACTCGCAGCTCGCAAGTCTCGCATTGATCTGCGGCCTCAGTAAAAGCCAGCCGTCTGCCAGCCGCCAGGAGAAACTTTCGGTCTTCCAGCTTCCAAGCACGGAGGCTGGAGCTCTGCTGACAGTGACACATGCCAATATATTACAGTACTTACCAGACCTGGGCAGTTATGGAAAATCGACCCACAGTTAGAGTTAAGAGTTACAGGGAGCGTGCGAGTTGCGCTAAGAGTTAAGTTATTTATGCAGGGAAACCGAGTTTCGAGTTACACCGCGAGTTACGCTACCATAGACAATATATACTATTTTTATGAGAGTTAAGTTAGAGTTAAGTTTTCTTCTGAGCGAGTTACGCTAAAGAGTTAAGTTATAACTCAATAACTCGAAAATAACTCGCGTTAAGTTAAATAGTTAAAATTAACTGCCCAGGTCTGGTACTTACATTTCCGGCGCATGTGTTGGTAGTGGCGGGCCGGCGGTGTTGGTTGTGTATCGTGCCAACAATGACTTCACTGTTTATATTATTAATTTTTACACTTGCTTTAAATATTGTGCAATGTGCATACTTACTCGTACGATTTCTAGCTAAAAAATTAATTATTTAACTTAAATAGTGTATAAACGTAACTGTACTTCGTAAAAATCTCGTAAGTCATAATAATATGTATTGAAACCAAATTAATAGTGTCCTTATGAGGATTTCATTACTTACTTCACTGGCGCGGACTATTAAATACACTACTTATTTTTTTCATGTTTTTTGATTCTTTACGTCTCAGAAATCTTTCTAATTTATTTTAGTCAGAAACTCAGCGTCCTTTAAAAACTTACGTGATAGGCTTTTATATCACGCTGCATAGTATGCCACACAAACCGCAAATTTGGGCAAATGAAAGCTGGAAGTTTGAAACATGATGGCATAAGCATTATAAAAATATACGAGGGGAAAAAGCAAATTATTTTTTTAGTCATCTTATAGACTCTTCGAAGTCTGAACTATTCTCTTGGATTTTAAGAGATGTTTCACAAGTTTATAAGTTAAAGTAATTTTCTGAGTGTTATAACATAAACGAGACGGATCCTACAGCTACAGGCTACACGCACTAATCGATACTAAAAAGCAGCAGTTCGCCAGTGCTTTATTCGATTCGCATTCCACGATAAGGAATTCAATAACTGGATAAAACTCAAGTGAACAAAAAACCCCACTATTCTTCCGGTTCTTCAGGACCCTTGCCAGCACGCGTGTAAATCAACTGTGCATTATGCCGAATGATCGGTCGGATTTTTCCTGCGAAACAAAACACAACAGATCAATTTCCTTAGTCTTCCTTTTCTTCAACAAGCATTCGTTCGTTAGGTGTCAGTAACAGGAACATACCTTCTCTATGAAGGAGGTGGATCACTGCCCTTGCCAAGGATCCTCGGATTTTGAGACGCTCCGACAGAATGGCAGGAGTGATGAGTTTATAATTCACAACTTCTTTCCGTAGTTTATCTTCAGTTGCCTTATCCATTAGAACCATATTGTTCAGCTTATCGCGAGTTTTTCCTTTCGACCACTTCTACTCAATTAAAGAGGAAAACTGAGGATCCAGACTACCAATGCCAGCACCAAGAACCGAATGGGTTCTTACCTTCTTCTTGGCCTTTCCGCCGCCTCCTTCTTTCTTGGCCTTTGGCGCGGCCTTGGCCTTATCTGGCTTTGTTTCCTTCTTCACCTAGGTATCGCACAAAATAAATTACTTGAAGAAACGGGAGAAAGGTGTGCTGCAATCATCTTCTTACCATTTTTATCCGCTGCTCGCTTCACTTTTCACGGCGAACTACGGGAACTGACGAATGCAAAGTTTGAACGAAGACCGGATGGCAGATTACAGGCATACGTAAGTGTTGGCGCTACGAGTCAACCACGTACGTTCGCGTACGTGCCGCTAGACATCGTACGTCGCAGACGGCGTAGCAGTTACGAGCGGCGCTAGGCGGTTTTGGAGGGGGTATGCAAAAGAAAAATTTTCCTGATAAAAATCGCAAGCAGCCCAAGTAGCAACTAGCAAGTTATACTAATGTCAAGTTGAGCTTAAACCTATTTATTACAAATTATTCAGTAGTGGATAGTGAATCGGAAATCGGTTACCAAACGGGCAAAGCCTAAAGGGGTTCAAAAGTGCCAAGGGTTAATTTGGGATGCTAGTCGGCACGCTCGGTGCGGCGCAATGGTTTTGAGAGCCCTGTCTGCCGCGCCACCTGCACCACTGATATTAACGACAAAAATAACGAGTAGAATCAGAGCAGAATTTTGTTTCCATATTGCACAAGGTTTAAGAAATTTTTATTTGACTAATTAATTTTTAGAATTTTTATTAATGTGGGGTCATGATTAAGTATTACGATTATCTGATTTATCTCGAACTTCGAAGCTAAACAACAACAAAAACAAGATCAGGTATTTGGCGAATTTGGACTCGTTCAATGATTTCGAGTCCTAATCCGATTTCGATTACGACACCTTAATACGAGCTACTCTCCGTGCTCAAATGAAGATTCTCATCCGTCGTAAAATGCCGTGACAGAACCCTTTTGGGAGTCTATACGATTTCCAGCCGCCTTCCTTCTGTGGACTATAGCTGTTTATTGATGCTAATCTGTTTATTCGCATTCATAAATTCTTATTACGCAAGAAAGAACTTCTTATCTGCTTTCTGAAATTTTTGAAAGAGAACATTCTGGCCGACACAACCGTATGAAAGGGCTCCAGAAGCTCGTCCTTTCCGTGGCTTCGCTTATTGCTTGCATTTCCATGTTTTCCAGCCATTAGGATAGTTCCAGCGGAGAAACTATCTGGTTCTCTGACTATAATAATACTAACTAGAGACTCCACTGAACAATCTGTGATCTTCCGTTGGAAATCGTAGTGAATCTTTGAAATGGCTGCCACACAGGCGAAATCAGCCAAAGCTGACGATATGGGTGATGACGCTTTATATCCCATCGCTGTGCTGATCGATGAACTTAGGAACGAAGATGTTCAGGTGAGTGCAGGACGAATATGCTTTTTATGCGCATGCCCATTTTTTGTCCATCATTTCCGGTAAGCCTGCAGGTTTATTGATTTTCTTTCTGGTGCATTTTATGTAGCTTCGCCTCAATTCCATCAAGAAATTGTCGACCATCGCTCTGGCTCTCGGTGCAGAGCGAACGCGTGGCGAATTACTCCCTTTTTTAACAGGTAAATTACCGTAAATATTGTCGCATTGTCGGTACAAATTCATTACACAGCTAATCTGTATTATATAACTGCACCGGGCATAAGACTTCGTGTCTCCTGGGATCCTTGGCTGTGTTTACGCTGGAATATGGCATACAAATATGTTTACAAATTAATCGACTTTCTGGGTAATAACTAGCTGTTAACGATAAGTAATAAACGCGACAACAAAATGTGTTCACCATCGGACTGTTGTGCATCAAAATGTTAATGCAAAATAGAAATAATTAACTTTTTGTTCGTCTAGATACTATTTATGATGAAGATGAAGTGTTATTGGCATTGGCTGAACAACTTGGTAGTTTCACATCCCTCGTTGGAGGTCCAGAATTCGTGCATTGTCTTTTGGTAAGTTAATAAAATATAGCATAGTGATTGCTAAAACAGGGCTTAAAATATGGTCACTAAGACTGTGGGACAGTCACGTATAGTTAATTATCGATTGCAAATCAAATATAGCAGCCGCAATCTTTATTGGCATGGATGAAGCAGATGGCCGCATAAATTATGTTACAGTGGCGAGTGCGGGCTTAAACTACTCCTCGTCCGATGCTTGAGCATAATATTATCGTTAATTAGCTTGTTATCATTATGAATCATTATGATCATAACTTTAAGAATTAGAGACCTATTTGAGCTTCACCGTTGTCATTATGTTAATGATTTTGTTGAATTCCGCAAGGAAGCCAGACATGGGCTCCCTTAGAAACATTTTTGAATGTTGCATATACACGGAAGAGTGTAGGTACATATACACTAATTATGGGCTGTTGTATTAGATAACGATTGTTTTTCGTTACTCGCTGATCTTTAGTCTGATTAGGTTAGCTTTGGAACTGCAGATTTCATGATTAGTTAATAATTAAAGGCTTTTTCCAGCCTCCTCTGGAAAGCCTGTCTACCGTTGAAGAAACCGTTGTACGCGAGAAGGCCGTGGAATCTCTTCGTACCATTGCCGACCAGCATTCAGCGGAACATTTGGAGCGCTACTTCGTCCCTATGATTAAACGATTATCTCAGGGTGTGTTGCGGTTTAAGTTTCTTTTATCAAATCCGGCTAAATGCCTTAACGTATGTCGCCGAAGAGGGCATATATGTACTGTCTTTTGAGAGCCTGCGCAAATGACAGGAGACGATCGATAAGCATTTGTCGCTCATTTTCTCTAATAATTACTGTAGTTACGTGGTATATGCTTTGACGTAGGCGATTGGTTTACATCACGAACCTCCGCTTGTGGATTATACGCGGTAGCTTATCCGCGCCTCTCGACGGCGGTAAAGGCTGATTTGAGGAAGCTCTTCACCGGCCTCTGCGCTGATGATACGCCCATGGTCCGCCGTGCGGCAGCAGCTAAATTAGGAGAATTTGCCAAAGTCGTCGAGCAGGAGTTTCTCAAAGCTGATTTAATTCCAGAATTTTTCCGTCTTGCACAGGACGAACAGGTAACAGTGAAATTTATAAATTGTTTCCTGAATGTGCATTTTGAGATTGAGTAACCTTGACTGAAAAGAAGCGTTCTCTTACCTTTCTTAGGATTCTGTTCGTTTGTTGGCGGTGGAAGCGTGTGCGTCAATTGCCAGCCTTCTGCCTAAGGATGAAATTGAAAAGCGCTTGGTCCCTTCGCTAAAGGCAGCCGTGGAGGACCGTTCCTGGCGTGTGCGATATATGGTAGCGGATAAACTTGTGGAGGTAAGTTTACATATTTGGCGGAATTGTCACGGATATTCATTCACCGACGGAAAAGCGGAAATTAACTGGTGATGTTGTTTGTGGTGCAGCTGCAAAACGCTTTGGGACCTGAGTTGTCCAAAACCGAACTAGTTCCGGCTTACCAGAATTTACTGCGCGATGGAGAAGCTGAAGTGCGGACTGCTGCTGCAGGAAAACTAAAAGGTAAGTGCTAAATTTCTTAGCTGTTGTACGCTGAATTCCATTAGTATTCGGAATATTTGGTCAAATTGTAGTGGGTTATTACTACAGTAGTTTTTTTCTCAGTTGTCATAAGTGTTTTCGTGTAATTTGAACTTCATAGCCTGTACGTGAGGGAAACTGTCAGTAACATTTTGACAAAGTGATTTTCTCCCTAAACTGGAGGGAATATGTAGTGTGGTATGTTACCGAGTGCTCCTAATCGTCAGTGACAGATTAATGATTCAGTTATTCAGTCTGATTTCATTGATCGTTTCCGGTTGTGTTCCTCGGGTTGTCGCGCGTGCTTCTTTGAAAAGCGGATTGTCCTGAGTATGTGTGTCGTTTTCAGCGGTCCCATTTGCGAGAAAGCAAAGCATTGGCAGTCGTGAAAATTGCCTTAAGCGTTTACAGCGAAAAAATGGTTTATGTAAAATTGATTTTGCGTTCTCTCTAATTGTCGAAGGAAAATCGTATTTCAAGGTAGAAATGTAAACTGATAGACATTACGTAGCATCAGTAGTATACCGGTAGATGCACATTCTAGCCCTTATTATCTGTCATACCGTAGATAACGTTATTATCTGTTATATAGTATCGTAGAATGATTCGTAGATAACGTACGTGTACCGTGTACGATAAACAGTATTAAACAGTTAAACAGTTTTTTATTCAATAATTCAAACAAAGTAATATGCAGACTTCCAGTGTATGGTTTTAGTTTAAGTACCGTATTGTGCATTTTGATAAGCACCCACATAATTTAGCTGTTTGCTAAGTTAAAAACAGGCAAATGGCCGATTGTTACTAATTATTAATATTTCTTCACAGAGTTTTGCAATAATCTTCCCTCGGAAGGCCGTGAGCAGATCATTCTTTCCAACATTATTCCCTGTGTTAAGGAACTGGTAAATGACTCCAGTCAGCACGTCAAGGCCGCATTGGCCACCGTCATTATGGGATTGGCACCGCTTCTGGGCAATGAAAAGTACGTAATGTGCATGCATACCTACGTGTACGGAATGTTCCGTTCCAGGATCGACATAACAGTGCGCTTGAGGCTGCATGATCGTTTTTCAGAACGGTGGAGCATCTGCTACCGCTCTTTCTGATCATGCTAAAGGACGAAGTGCCGGAAGTGCGGCTGAATATCATTTCTAATTTGGAATCCGTTAATAGTGTTATTGGAGTTAAACAACTATCACAGAGTCTGCTGCCGGCCATTGTGGAGCTGGCGGAAGACGGCAAATGGCGTGTCCGTTTGGCTATTATCGAATATATGCCCCTGTTGGCTAGTCAGCTGGGTGTGGACTTTTTTGATGAGAAACTAACTGCGTTGTGCTTAGCCTGGCTTGTTGATCAAGGTAAGAGTACTGCTGCGAGAAATTTAACTGGAATCAGTATCCCATAGGTACAAGCCACAAGCTAGTAATTAATCAGAGCTAATACATTATTCGTAATTGAGTTGCTGAAGGATAGCTTGGGATTGTGCTGTAGATTGGAAATTCAGATTGTGCTGTTTGTTTCAGTGCATGCGATACGTGATGCTGCGACTAAGAATCTGCGCCGTTTAGTGGAGAAATTTGGACTGGACTGGGCTAAGCAAACGGTTATCCCCAAAATTACCGAATTATCCAAAGCGCAAAGCTATTTGCATCGACTCATTTGTTTGCAATGCATTAGGGTGAGTAGTTGTGAGTATCTGTTTGTCCGTTATGCCGCTACTTGATTAAGTGATGTGCTTCTGGGTAGAACCTTGCCGATGTGGTTGGACGAGAAGCATCCATGAAGCTTTTGCTGCCGATTTTGATGATTCTCGCCGTTGATCCGGTACCTAATGTCCGTTTCAATGTGGCCAAGACTCTGCGGGAAGTGGCTCCTACTCTGGATGAAGGGTTCGTTTATTAAAATGATTTTGATAATTTGTTATTGCGGCTTGGATTTGATTTTTTAAAATGGTGAAAGAGTTTCTTTTTGTCACTAATACAGCGCTTCTTTGTTCGCCAGAATTTCGGTGCAGAATTATTACTGCAGTAATTTAACACTTTTTTCTCGCAGTACTCGGACAAACCAAGTAAAACAAGCGCTGCAAAAACTGAAGGAAGATAAGGATGCGGATGTACAGCACTTCGCCGACCAGGCTCTGCATACGATATATTAAGCTCGCTCTTTGTGAATTTGGCCAAGGGATTGTGGACGGCCGTTCTCTCGATGGGCGCAATCATATAGCGATGGTGTCTAAGCTGATACGGAACACACAAACACGGATTATTTACGTTTTTGATGGGTTGTGTATTTTGGGGGACGTATATACGCGTTTGCACTGTAGTCGAAAAAAGCGTCTAATTTGATACTGTTGATCTTGTGCGCTGCGGCGGTCTGGGTTACATTTTTGAGTTGTGGGAATAATCATACATTTATTTTGAATTTAATTTTCATCTGCATGTCCAGACTGAACGTCTCGCGCACCAGACAGCGAGCGGAAGCCGGCGTCTGTGGTGTTTTTGTTTCGGTTATCATGTTAGTGTCTCATGACCGACGCTAAAGGTGTATACCAGCCCCATTTAATGCAGTCATGTTTGTGGTTCTTTTGGAAACAAATTGAAAAGTTTTTCTTTCGTTCCATTTTTGATTTGCTCTGCTGTTTTGCTAGCGCGCCCAATGTGTGTCTACGTTTTTTTGATGCTTTGATGCATAGCTATGCATAATTTTGAAGAAACTGACACTTTTGCTGCAACAGTTTTTGGTATTTATTATTATGTAATAGTTTTTCGGTATGGTGTTTATAAGTTTAATAAATGAATGTTTTTCCGTTTCGAAATGTACGCACTCCTATAAACTTGTTACAGCGATTGGCTTTATTGCGAGTATTATGATCCATTCATAAGGTCAAGATTATTGAGATCCAAGAACTAACAAGTCCAGAGTTGTGTAATAATAAAAAAATCGTATCGAAAATAAATAAATGTATTATAAAACGTGCCCAGCTTTGTAAGAGTTGCTGGCAGTGCTATAACCAACATGCCGGCACCGAAAGACATATTTAGATGCCACTGGGTTTCGCAAGAAAGTTGCACAAAAACGGTCCCTGCTTGATTTTTATTGACAGGCCGGTATCATTCCACAGCGAAACCACAGGTTTCCACCACAGCACAAGTGAGCTTCTCCAACAGTTTCTCGTAAGATTCGTACGGAGGGATGTCAATTCGATTGAAACTAAAGAGAGAAAAATGACCTTTGATAGATAAATTTGCCGACGGAAGTTAAATTTCCCAAAAGTTCATTTGAAGTACCCAGTATTCCATTAACGAAAACCCTATAATTTTTGGCAAACACACAATAAGTACTTTTTTTTCTTACCATGTGTGCGCTTTGGGCAAATTATTAGTGTTTGCATCAATTTGATGTATGGTAAACAATCGGGGTCCAGTGGCACCGGTTGAGCCTGAAAAAACATAATTTGATTAATTACATTTCCTTAAAATCTGGCAGTGTCAGCTGGACCAGTTTTGGCTTACCTTGCAGTGCTTTGAACCCTTGTAGCGGAACCCGGGAGCTTCCGGTAACAAACTGCAGCAGACGTGAACGCATATCGTCACTGTAGGATTCCACCGCCTGCCAGAACCACTGTACAACCGGCGTTTCCGCTGTACAGTGCTTTAGTCGGGTATTCGTTTTCCAGTCATCTACGTCGATGCGTCCCAGACCACAGATCATCAGCTATGAAAATATATGAGATTAATTTACTGGTATTCCAGGTATTGTTTCTCAAGTTTTTATTGAAATGTCAATTTAATCTGAAGCACGTAATTGCTACACAGTCTACACCCATATAATTCCTGCCACATTCGATATTTTTGCATTTCGTTACCTCTAATTCTTGTTCATCAAAAGGTCGTAGGAGGTTGGCTGGAATTAATTCGTGGAATCCTTTCTGCAGTGCCAGGAACTGTGGCTCGATGCCTTGCATAAAACGCCAGTTCACATAAAGCCTGCAACCAAATTATTTTCAATACTTAATTATTGTCACTGTCGGCACTGCTACAATAAACTACCGATATATGCAACCTTCTGGATGGCAAAATGGACTTACCGAACATATTCCTTTTTATTGTCATCCGTGACTTGCAGACGTTTGCCGTTTGGTTTAAGCTCATGGGATTGCAGTTCACCGAATACACTGTGCTCTACCGCAAAGGTCAAATCCAAAATTCCTTCGATATCATTTTGCCTGAAACGAAAAAATAATGAAATTCCTTCGCGTTCTACTAAGAACTTTTCACTAATTCTATTATCAGCTTGCAATAAGAGAAAAATGTTGCTTTCGTTTGTGATGCAACAGAAATAGGCGACTAACAAACAGTTTTAAGGATGCACGAATCGAATACATGTACGAGTAATAGGGTAGTGTTAGCGAACGAAGCATAAGTGTGTTGTATTGTACGTGAATCTGATTTCAAAGTTTTAATGACTTACAAAATCCACATTAAGCTGTGGAACAGTTCCGGATCGACATTCTCAATATCGTCCAGGGCAATCGATTTGCCAAGAAGCATTTTGTAGAACGGCAAGGTAAACCCGGCATCAATATAGTGCCCGTGAAAAACGGCCAATCCAATCAGTCTTCCCGCGAAGTGGAAGTAGGAAAGGTGATCCTGTACAGTTTTTTTCGTTATTGATCAGTTTGTACTTTCTAATGAATGCGGCATTATTATATCGTTTTTTTACCGGATTCACAGCTGAATCAGGGTTGATCTGTAGTTGGTAAATGTCATCCTGGCAATACTGGAACAGGCCGTAGTGCGGATTGAGGATCTCATGGGAAAGCAGGTATAACCATTCCCTAGAAAGGACACAATCAATCCAACTGCAGCATATTTAGCATAAGCCGAAATACAATCAATACACGGATTCATTTTATCCACCTCCACTTTTTGTGTCGTGATTACTTTATTCAGCAACCATCGCTCAAATATATAGGTAATTTCAATGAAACTGTTCCGATTGACATTTGACGGGACAGTACCCAAACTTTTTGTGGAACAGGACAACGATAATGGGCTAAAAGGATAGAAATACGTACCGGGTCACGCCGCCATAATCGATGCCGTCTTCGCCTTTAAATTTGACCATTAGCCGTTTCCGTAGGTCTTTGGCCCGGTAGCGCAGTATTTGCCGGTAAGACTCCTCAAAGATGCCCTCACGAGAGACCTCCAACCGGCAGTGACCTGATTGCGGCTGAATATTCTGGATTTCCGTCCGGAATGACTGTAATTTGGCTATCAAATCGCGTCGATATTTCGGCAAATTAAAGTCTTCTGTAGATGTTGATGGAGAAATGTCAGCCCTGTTTAACCCAATAAAAATCATTACATCATAGCGCTTACAAATTAGATTAATTTTAAAAATGTTTATCCGCCGCATTTGCTCTGAAAGTCTTGTTTTGCAACTTGCAGGTCAATAAAAGCATCGTAAATGCGCAGATCTACAGCTACCTACACATCTTAGGTTTAAGCTTGACTATCGATTTTTGTTATGTCCCCATCAGATTCAATAAAACCCACGTTTTTGCAGTGAAACACTTGTCAATCTCGAAATTAATGTTGCATCTAGAACTGGTTGATGATGATTTTTATTTATCCGGTTTCGTAGTTTTTCTATGTAAATATGGTTAATTGTTCAAAAATGAGTATTCTGTCACTCGCTGTCTTGATATGTAAACAACAACAGCTTGTTGTTAATATTCAATGGAGTGCGTACAGTGTTGCTGCCAGATTCCGGGACAGTCTGGGATCGGTAAACTGCGTGGTGCGGTTATTGTGATCAACAAAATAGGCGCGCCCATTTCCTGTATAGCGCACCTCCCAGCCAGTTGGCAATGGACCGAGATTTTCTTGGTTGATCCCGCTAAATTCATAGGGGATTCGTGGATCATGCCACGTACTAACACCTAAACAGGAAGATGAATTCATACATACATTCGTGTAAGATTACGTTTGTTTTCCACACATATCGCACCTATCCCTATAGTCTGTCGCATAGTATTCATTCAATTGATATTAGTCGCAAATTCGCCATTGATAAAAATGGTCGCGTGAGTGGATTAGTACGTTATCAAGTGCAAGTGACCTTCACACTTGCTGCTCGTAAAAAAATTTCGTCATGTCTACGCGCGAGAATACTCCCGCGCTATGAGTTTTGGCTACGCGCGAGAGTATCTCGCGCTATGAGTTTTGGCTACGCGCGAGAGTTTTTCGGTGCCACTATTTATGAATATAATCAATATATTTCGACATAAATTCAGCTCTGGAGTTGTTTATAGTGCATTATAGTTGTCGTATCAGTCAATCTGCATCAAGTTAGTTAGTTACACCGCAGTCGTTCGGAAACCGGTAGGCATTCCCAGCCGGCGAATTATAGGCAGTACATCAGCTGCCGTTACTACAGCGTTATTTTTGGTCACAGAAGTTTTCCTTCGGGCGTTTCTTCCTTGTACTCGTGGAGGAGGTGTCAGTGCTCCTGTCTGTATTATTTCTAAGAACCACTGTCGGAAATCCTCGTCCCGGGCGTAATTGGCGCTCTGGATCTGTTTCCCCAGCAGAAGGTCATACGCATACGCAAAAGCGTATACCAAGCAGTTGTTACTGCCGGGAGACTGGGCGTACACAGGGACGTATTCGATGGCCACCTGGCCTTTGGTCTCGGGATAAGAGAAAAGGAAGTTGAGTTGCAGTTTCAAAGCATCGGTGGGCATTTGACCGGTGGAACAGTATATTCGCACCACGCCAGGGTTTTGAGAATTAAAGAAGGCGCAAACATAATGATTGTCACCATTGCACAGCGGCTGTACGATAATACCTCCTTGCATGCGGACATGGAAACGAACCCTAGCGTAACACTGGTCGTTATGCTGGCACAGAGCTAACTCTGCAGGAAGTTCTAGCCCGCCTCTTTGAGGAAATGCATTGCGTAGCAGATAAACACCTGCGTTGAGTAATCTCAGCTCCAAATCCGAGCCGAACGTTTTCAAATTGTTGATGTCCTCGCGAAGCACCACTAATTCTTCCCCGAATCGGTGTACGACTTCATTTTGACCATCCGCATGTGCCTCAAGTATCCGAACCGCACGCAAAGCGGGCGTTTCTCCTGGACGCGGCGGACTGTGGGGTATCCTGGCCGACTTCCGCCGCGGCATGCCGATATCGTTCCTTCTTGCCGAAGGATTGTTCGAAGCAGCGGGAGCCGGTGTTTCGGCTGGCTGGGGTGTGGCTTGGACTGGCTGTGACGACAGTACGGCTGTCCGATTAAATCGCTGATGGCGCCTTCCTTCCGACGGCCGACCGCGGGGCTTAATGGTTCCGCGAGGTCTGACTTTAAACGTCGGAAAATCAGGAGCGACAGAGTTGCTGACGGCAGGAGGCTCTAGCTCTGGCAAATCGGCTTCTTCGGCGGCTTCTTCCGCGGCTTCGGGGATGTTTGGCCGCTTTGGTGATGTTTCAGGTATCTATTCCTTAGCCAACAAGTCAGGGTGACTAATTACCGGCACAGCTCCACTTCGCACTATGTCCAGGTATTGCTGCAAAGCGGCTATGTGCACTTTAAACTCCACCGCTCCAAATTTTGCTAACTCAGTGGCGATCTCCTTGCAGTGCAACAGCAAAGTCGTGCAACCAATGTTTTAATCATAGATTAAACTAATCTACAGCAAGACTTTCCATGAGCACAGGAAAAAGCGTCGGCAAAAGGAGTAATCAGAATATCAGTACCAGGTCTTCCTTTTTATATATACACCGGCGCACCGCTTTTCCCGCGGTTATTATGATTCGCTGAGCCGCAGCGATGACGTCGATCGACAGGTACAAGCGTCGCGACAGAGAACTCATCTGTCAGTAATTACTGCTTACATCCTTAGTATCCTCACCGGTTTCCGCCGTCTTGCACCGACACTAAAGTGCATCCGGCAGCAGAAGAGCCTTTTCATTTATCTCCTTAGAATAGACTGCAATGGTACTCGGAAGACATGCGGGATATGAATACACGGAAGCCCGTCACGGTGTGCGTTGTTCACGTTTGCTCCAGGGTTGATGATCAGGGCAACATGTCAGATACCGAAACAGGTTCAGATCTTCTTCTCGGCGCACGTGGATTATATGCCGACAAAGCAGTCCGAACGAGCAGTTGATGTAACAGTTGCACACAAAACACCGGTTGGCTGATCAAGTCGCTCTAGCATTATTATAGCGCAGTGCGTCAAACCTCCCCGGTGTACTGCGCAGGAAGACGTCGATCGAAGTGGGTCCCACCCCGAGAAATCCATTGTCATCCGTGGCTTAAGGGATGAAACAAGGTTTCTTCCCCGTACCGACCCAGCCTTAATACCGCATAATGATATTGTGCCGGTTGTAAAATCGTATTTATCACTACTCCGAATACCCGGAAACACCCATGACTGTAGAAACGGTCATTTTCTATTTTGTATGCAAAAACCGCTATTTTCCCACCTAACCGTAATCCGGTTATAGAAGTACATTAGTTAATGCGCTTTTTGTGTTTAATTCATTTATAACACGTCATTAACTGCGCATCATAAGAGAATGCGTGGATGCATTCAACACCTTAGCAGCACATGCAGTCATTTGAATTTATCAGCATGGTGTCAAACCACAGGCGCATGATTTCCCATCACAACAGCGGGTGTATCTATTGGGCTTTGGAAAAACAATACGGGGAGTTCATGATCCTGCTTTATTAAGGATCGTCAGGATAAGCATAAAATTCCGTGAACAGCCCACGCAACAATGTGTACCCATGTGGTCACACAAAGCCGATAGCGTTGCCACTATCTGGAAATGCACATGACACTGATGATGACAACACAAGATTTGCGTATTTCAATAGGGAAATCTGAAGACCTCTAATTTATGAAAGAATATATTTATGAAATTCATATTCTATCCAGTTCGCATTTTCTTATTTTTCCACAGAACCATAATGCACTGCGGTAAAAGAAACTGCTTTGTAGTGTTTAGCACAGCCCAGTAATTAGCGACGCTGACAGGATAGACGAGGCCGCGCAATCTGATAAATATATACGTACAACTTTACAAGTTATACTGATCAATGCAAGTTACGATGGATGTTCGTGAATAGTCGTACTTGCTGTTTCGTTCCGTTTTAATTGAACAAAATTATTTAACTGATAGGCACATGATCCATCCCTACTGGCAATAATAATGGTCCACAGGTCAAAATGAACGTTCCATTTGGGATCGAGCGTTCCGGCGCACACTTCCGATGTGGATGTTTGCCCTTTCCATCCACGACGACAGTAACAAAGGGATCTGGGAATTCTACAATAAACACCAATCAAAACTATACTTCGGCCTCTGTGAGGCCACTTTGGATCATGACTATTTGCAGATGTGTATTTAACTTTAAAACGATAGTGCAAAACCATCGAAATCATTAATACCTCTAATTTAATTAGTTTTGGTTGCGCAATTCTCGTTTGCTAAATCTATTTAGAAACGTGCACCATGTCATCGGAGCTGCTGTCGATTTCCGATTCAATATATCTATATTTATATATATTTTTAAAAACAGGAGACGGTCTAAGAAATAACACCCTAGATTGGGTCTTATTATTGCATTATACAGTACAGAAACCGAAGATCAAGGCCTCAGTAAAGAAATGTCAAGGTGCTATGCATGCCGGTGACACTTACATGAAAGTTTATACACTACTAGTACTTCTAGAGATACTTGTACTACGTTTACTGATTACTCGTAGGTGGTACTAGACTACTAGGTACTCAACTGCCGTAACACAGGCATAAAAGATTTTTTCACGATTCCAGCTATTATATTGTAAGAATAAAATATACCTTTAGTTAATTCTCGTTGCAACTATGCCAGCCGGAAAAATGTAGTACAAAGCAAGCATTCTAAACCGACACATTGTGCAGCTTTTATTCTGTGATTTATCGTCCGGGATTTGGACAGGCAGTCAGATAACACTTGTCAAATTAATTCTCAGTATTTAAGATCCAGACTTTGATAGTTGTGATTCTGGCGATACAGCCGAAGATTGAAGAGATGCCAATCTTAAACTGGAAACGCTTTGTATTCAGAAAATTTCTGGATACTTTCTACCTTGTAAGGTAATTTGCAGCATATATTCGTACGTTCGTGTGCGTCATGAATATAGAATAAGTATAATTGCTTCCAAATCAGTGGAAATAATACTGAAAAACTCCTTCTTGACCAGGTTTTTCGCACAAAGCACTAAAAAAAAGAAGAAAGGTTATTCCTTTGACCGTAAAGTTATCTGGAATAAGAACCATGCCGTTGACGTGTTGCAGCGATGACGTCGATCGACAGGTACAAGCGTCGCGACAGAGAACTCATCTGTCAGTAATTACTGCTTACATCCTTAGTATCCTCACAGTTTCCGCCGTCTTGCACCGACACTAAAGTGCATCCCGGCAGCAAGAAGAGCCTTTTCATTTATCTCCTTAGAATAGACTGCAATTAGTACTCGGAAGACATGCGGGATATGAATACACGGAAGCCCGTCACGGTGTGCGTTGTTCACGTTTGCTCCAGGGTTGATGTTTTTCGCAGTGAGATGTCAGTTCTGGAGACAAGGCATCCGATACGAAAATTACCAACTACGTGATTTCCTGCACCATTAGCACAAAACCGGCGGCGAAGCCAAAGAAACTACCTGAATTTCCCGAGCACTCGCTACATCTAAGTGAAATCAACTAAGTATTGCACACCTAGAGAAATTAAGTTAGTTGTCAAGACGAAGTCCGGTTAGGAAATGCTGTTAGCGCAGCATTATTATAGCGCAGTGCGTCAAACCTCCCCGGTGTACTGCGCAGGAAGACGTCGATCGAAGTGGGTCCCACCCCGAGAAATCCATTGTCATCCGTGGCTTAAGGGATGAAACAAGGTTTCTTCCCCGTACCGACCCAGCCTTAATACCGCATAATGATATTGTGCCGGTTGTAAAATCGTATTTATCACTACTCCGAATACCCGGAAACACCCATGACTGTAGAAACGGTCATTTTCTATTTTGTATGCAAAAACCGCTATTTTCCCACCTAACCGTAATCCGGTTATAGAAGTACATTAGTTAATGCGCTTTTTGTGTTTAATTCATTTATAACACGTCATTAACTGCGCATCATAAGAGAGAATGCGTGGATGCATTCAACACCTTAGCAGCACATGCAGTCATTTGAATTTATCAGCATGGTGTCAAACCACAGGCGCATGATTTCCCATCACAACAGCGGGTGTATCTATTGGGCTTTGGAAAAACAATACGGGGAGTTCATGATCCTGCTTTATTAAGGATCGTCAGGATAAGCATAAAATTCCGTGAACAGCCCACGCAACAATGTGTACCCATGTGGTCACACAAAGCCGATAGCGTTGCCACTATCTGGAAATGCACATGACACTGATGATGACAACACAAGATTTGCGTATTTCAATAGGGGAAATCTGAAGACCTCTAATTTATGAAAGAATATATTTATGAAATTCATATTCTATCCAGTTCGCATTTTCTTATTTTTCCACAGAACCATAATGCACTGCGGTAAAAGAAACTGCTTTGTAGTGTTTAGCACAGCCCAGTAATTAGCGACGCTGACAGGATAGACGAGGCCGCGCAATCTGATAAATATATACGTACAACTTTACAAGTTATACTGATCAATGCAAGTTACGATGGATGTTCGTGAATAGTCGTACTTGCTGTTTCGTTCCCGTTTTAATTGAACAAAATTATTTAACTGATAGGCACATGATCCATCCCTACTGGCAATAATAATGGTCCTTACAGGTCAAAATGAACGTTCCATTTGGGATCGAGCGTTCCGGCGCACACTTCCGATGTGGATGTTTGCCCGCTTCCATCCACGACGACAGTAACAAAGGGATCTGGGAATTCTACAATAAACACCAATCAAAACTATACTTCGGCCTCTGTGAGGCCACTTTGGATACATGACTATTTGCAGATGTGTATTTAACTTTAAAACGATAGTGCAAAACCATCGAAATCATTAATACCTCTAATTTAATTAGTTTTGGTTGCGCAATTCTCGTTTGCTAAATCTATTTAGAAACGTGCACCATGTCATCGGAGCTGCTGTCGATTTCCGATTCAATATATCTATATTTATATATATTTTTAAAAACAGGAGACGGTCTAAGAAATAACACCCTAGATTGGGTCTTATTATTGCATTATACAGTACAGAAACCGAAGATCAAGGCCTCAGTAAAGAAATGTCAAGGTGCTATGCATGCCGGTGACACTTACATGAAAGTTTATACACTACTAGTACTTCTACAGATACTTGTACTACGTTTACTGATTACTCGTAGGTGGTACTAGACTACTAGGTACTCAACTGCCGTAACACAGGCATAAAAGATTTTTTCACGATTCCAGCTATTATATTGTAAGAATAAAATATACCTTTAGTTAATTCTCGTTGCAACTATGCCAGCCGGAAAAATGTAGTACAAAGCAAGCATTCTAAACCGACACATTGTGCAGCTTTTATTCTGTGATTTATCGTCCGGGATTTGGACAGGCAGTCAGATAACACTTGTCAAATTAATTCTCAGTATTTAAGATCCAGACTTTGATAGTTGTGATTCTGGCGATACAGCCGAAGATTGAAGAGATGCCAATCTTAAACTGGAAACGCTTTGTATTCAGAAAATTTCTGGATACTTTCTACCTTGTAAGGTAATTTGCAGCATATATTCGTACGTTCGTGTGCGTCATGAATATAGAATAAGTATAATTGCTTCCAAATCAGTGGAAATAATACTTACTGAAAAACTCCTTCTTGACCAGGTTTTTCGCACAAAGCACTGCAAAAAAAGAAGAAAGGGTTATTCCTTTGACCGTAAAGTTATCTGGAATAAGAACCATGCCGTTGACGTGTTTTTCAGTAATTTCCTCATTTTGTACTGTGTGCTTGACTGCAGTGAAGAATGAAAAGCAAATCTTGTGCGAGTCCCGTTGAGCTGCATGGTTTCGTGTTATTGATTGCCCCACTTTTCGATATGAAAATCTCTCGTTCCTTGTCTAGGTATTTACTACCCAGTACCCACTGCGTAATAACCATCCACAAGCAATCAAGCCTTAGCAAAGGATTTAAATTCTTCCCGACGAGAACCGCCAGCATATTTCACAGTCTAATTACATATAAATCAGAGCGGCACAAGTAAGTCCTTTTTTACGGAGACTCGGTGCCGTGTATACGGCAAGCAAAGACGTCCGCTCTTTTGGATCCAGTTTACGCTGGTACTGGTGAGTAAGGCCAAGCGCACATTATTGCGTAAAATGCAAGCTGATACAGCATTATATATATATATATTTTTTTTTTTTTATTAGTTCCATATCAATCAGTACACTGATGTGCCGATGTGCATGAAATTGTACTAATATATATATATATATATATATATATATATATATATATATATATATATATATATATATATATATATATATATAAATAAATACAGCTCCAGTGACATTTTTCCGACAAATGCTTTCATTATTTATTTGAAATAGTGGTATCCCTGGATTTTACAGCAGGAAGTCAAGAGAGATACCGAAACGTGACAAATTTTTCAATGTTGTCACGATGGGGACTCTCGACCGGCTATCACATTTCGTTTACCTGCATCCCAGAAGCCAAGATATGGCTGTAAACTGTAACTTCCCTACAATCATTAAATCCATACAACCTTCCTTACAAGTAATGTTTGCACCGTTAATGAATGTAACCAAATGATCCAGGTACGTCGTGCGTAAGCCGTAAGACAAAAACGACCACTACACAATCATTTTCCTTGAATTTTGATAAAAGAGAGTCGTGCTTAACAAGCTGTTAGCCATATGTAGCTGTAGAAAAAGTAGCTGACTGTTTTTCACGTGAGCGCTGGGAAACGTCCTAGACTCCCTACAGTAATACATCGTATGCAAGTATAGAATGGTCTTTACATGTTTGTCACATGGATTTGTCTTGCGCAAGACTTTCACGAGATGTAAATCGTCGATCGCTGCTATAATTATATGTTCAAAGTGTTCAGTAAATTAAATTGACTGTTCCAGAAGTTATATATTCACTCTTAAAATTTATAGAAGTTTTTGACAACATGCTGCACAAAATGCAAAATGCCTCGACCCACACAGGTCCAAATGATTCAACTTCAGACTAAAGCTATCACGGTTAAACAAACACCTAATACTATACGTAGGAAATCATTAACGACTATTTCTTTCGTTGATCTACCTCTTCTAGCAAAGTGCAAGAAATACACTGATTAAGTATGCTGCACATGCAGTTGACCATACGCATATTACAGTGCATTTCAGGTGTGCATTTTACCATCGTCATTGTTGACCACATAATTCTGTCTCAGCGGACGGTTGTCCTTAGACGACTTCGCATTGCGGGCATTTAAGGTGCTCTGGTCCAGTGCATTTGAAGTAACCTAATCACTGCTCGCACTTGTCAAACAGTCTACGCTTTCTTTCGGATTCGCAGGTTACTCGAGTGTGAGGATACTCTTGTAGCTACCGCAACGCTAACCGCATCACAACAACACTGACCAAACATCGTTACGAAACGTACAACGCCAGTCAAAATTAAGATTCTACTGCCTGTGTCCACTCTCTGTCACGGAAAACGCTCTTGACGATTACTGATCGCTTCCTTCTCTCTTGCAATGCTTGATTGATTATGCTGGACACTCGACAGCACAAGAAGACTGTCCGACAATAGAAGCTTCTTAGAATATTACCATAAATTATTCAGAATTATCAGCATTCAGTGATTAATAACGCAAGAATCAGTGCAGGAGCGCCAATTGCTCCACAGCAAATTACGTACTGCATCTCAGTACTCAGTGATTACTTAGTAAGGCAGCGCCACGTTCGAAATTTAAATCATTTTCAAACGAATTGAGTTCACTGGCGTCAAACATACGATAATTTTCACGCATTTCCAACGATCGTTTTCAATACATGCAGAACGAACTGGAATTAAATGTGCATTTCAACCGCAGCGTCCAAACTGGTTTCTTACATGAAAACATGTCACCGTGCGCTCGTAATATTACAGTTAAATTAACTGGCCGGCAAATAGGGTTTGTGCTGCACTGTATCAACGGTTATCGACCTTGCGCTTTCGCTAACCTACATTCAAGCGAAATACCTTAGCTTGTCTAAAATAGAAGCTCATTATTCCTCTAATAAAAGACTTTCAAGTTTATTCCCTTAATTCCTAAGTATAATTTTTGAACCACTAGCCAAAATTTTGTTGGCTGCATACTAAAGGTTAACCAAGAAGATTGTACAGTTTGCACTGAATTTGATATAAACGGTATATTACCGCTGGTACTGTATTCATTCGTCAACGCAATACGAGTTCAACGAATTCTTATGTTTGAATAGAGATTTTCTTTGATAGTTTAAGAGTGACGTCAATGTGGCTTTCTCCCGGTATAATCGAATATCGGATACAGTACGGCTTCTTCGGATCCAACCAATAATTCGATTTGTACTATTTTGAGCGCTCAGAACGTACTGATTTTAAAAATTTATTTTCTGACGGCTTCGTAAATTTCAAGATCTAACCACAGATTTGTTTCGAATAAATATACTACTGCAAAAATACCTACAGCACTTATGCAAAGTTACACACTGTCAATAATGCATTGCTGACCACTGACTAGTGATAACGGGCAGTGCATCTATATATAATATTGTTATGGTATTAATCTTACATTCATGCGAGTAATAAAAGCCGGTGAATTTTTATCAGAATGGCGAGGCCTAATCCCTGAACAGGGGGAAGATGATCATCTTTCATGTAACAAATTACTGCGGGCAGCAAAATCCCCTTGAGAAATTGTCCTACCCTGCTGCGACGACAGCACTGCATGCTGCCATGTGAACCGAACTGCTAACTCAGCTGCACACTGACCCTGTTGACCGCCTACGGCTAGGTATGCAAGCACTGAGGCTAAACAAACTGATCTACCATGGCCAGGCTGGTAAATTGAGGAATTTTCTCCACTAAACTACCACTTCATGCAAGCTAGAAAGGTATCAAGTAAACGCGTTATCCCTTTTATGCTCCATGTGCATAATGGACTGATTACTTTAGACCCGTCTGATCGGGAGAATCAAATGTGCCCGGAATTTGTTGACTTGCACGTGTTTGCTGGACATCTCGTGTTATTAATATACTGGCAATCAATTATCAAAACCAGTACTATTAAAGCAATAATATAACTGATCACGCATACATGTAATTATACAAAGTACGATTCTGCATGAATATAGTCAACCTTATTATTTTTCCCGCAGCGCCAGACTTTATGGCAACGAAACATAAAGTCTGGCGCTGCGGATCAATAAACGCAATACATATTAAAGTTTCATGTATTGGAAAAAGCCTTGGACATGGCAGAATATTGCAAACGGAAACGCTGCCACACCTCCTTGCTTTTGCGGAAATCCCTGCGCATAGCCGAAACAAAATAAATTCCGCGTGGAATATGGATGATCGTATTTCATTTTAAGCGCCTAATGCCGCACACATTACGCGCAAGGAAAGCTCGTTATAAATCAGCAACAATCAGCGTCCACGCTCTCTTAGAATACATGGTAATCATTGAACAAAAAATCCGCCTCCTCACCTGTTAATCTTACAGCTTGGGATCCACCTGCAGAGTTAGTTCGTCGGGAACCGGATGCTGCTGCTGCTGCCGCCGCTGCGCAGGCCGGTATAGCCATACCCGATGACTTCGCCCACGAATTATCTAATCCTCTGGTTGTTGCCGGTCCTAGTGCTCACGCCAGCTTCTAAACTTAGAACGTAGGGAAATTTGTGACAAAAACAATATCACATATATCACGGATAGGATTAGTGTGGGCCTTCCGTAGATAGAACTCTCAATCGAAAAATCGACCACGGAATCAATTCATGGAAACTGCACAGTGCACACTCCACCGATCGGTGTGTCCACCGCAATATTTGGAGTGCATGATGCGGGCGCTGATCGGTAGACACTTGGCGATAGACACACTTCCGATCACTACAGCAGTATGGGATATTTCTCATATAGCCAGCCGTGGCGAGTGATACGGCCAATGCCGCCTGACGGGGGGCGGAGCGGCCGTTTAGCGCTCGATAACCATTATGAGTATTTTCGACGTTTGTTTGGTTACAAATTCACAATCCGCAGATTACTTGAGGATAATATATTGTACAGTGTACTAATGCCGGTGCCGGCACTACCTAGCGAGTTTGAGTAAGCAAACGGATGTTTTGAAAGTGAGAGTGCCACCTTGGGAAAAATTGTTCAATAAATGTATCAGGGATCGAGAGAGCGAGGGAATTCCAATGCAGGCAGTGCTTGATGTCCTCGACAACCTGCAGCGGGTAACTCGTTATTTACCTGCGAACTCTAGCGGAAGTGGCGTTTACGTATAATACGGGGAAGTAAATCAACCTGGCAGTGAACCTGCCATGGATGAGAACGGGAATTTTTCACACAAGTGACATTCACGATTTTGGCTTTCGCACTGCGTGTCATACATGTGATACAAGCTACAGCTTATTTTTTACATCGTTTTTTTCTTAATAAGTTTTGCCGATATAGGTAGGAGAAACTGGTGAAGAAGGAGAAATAATATGGTATACCCAATAAATAAATTAGAGTTACTAGTCTTTGGTGAGCTAAGTATTTGTATTATCCTGGCTGGTAGCCATTTCCGCCGGCGACATACCACAACAGACTGTTTGTACGATACTACCTATACTACCTATACTTCTATACCATAACTGGACGTTCAATACATACCACGAATGCGACGGGAGAAGTTGTATGTAAATCGTCTGATCTAAAGATGGTGTTTGCGGCCATTTGATTGCTATTATTTTACTTAAGAATAATATTCTATACACAAAAAGCTTATTTAAATTGTGGCTTGGTTTCGGAAGGTACAGTATATGTGTAATATTCTAAAGCTGACAAAAATAAACGCCGAAGTACCGGGAGGTGAAGTGGCACTAACCAGTAAGAACTGATTATAATTTTAATGTCAGCGTTAACTAACTTCGCTGTGAAGCTGGAAATGTGTATTTCACATATACCAAATTATGCTAAATTTATACAGCAATTTTTTGGGATAAACGCAGACTGAATTAATTTTAAGAGCAACTATCTTTTTTGCTCATCATATCCACATTATACTGCCCGATTTATGTGCGCAAATTTTTCTATAGACATCCAGAAGTGTATGTATGTATGCACATTATCTCTTTCCGGATGGCCAATAATTCAGCTGGCAGAAAGTCAGAAAAGCATATATATTAGAGTGTACATCGGTATATTTCTGCAAGTCCTTGTTTAACTACCAATTTCGACGTTTTCCTCGTGAGACCGACCTAAAAAATGTCGCAATTTTTGACCATATTGTGACCTTTGGCTGTCCTACCGGAGCGATGTATTGGCGATAAGCTTTTAGTCATAACACTTCCAGTATTTTTCGAACTGCTACGAGAAGCTTTAACAACTGACATACAAAAGCCGATGCATGTTTACTTGTTTTCATAAATCAACGTACGGAAGTTTCAGGAAAACACTTCCTGTATCCGCGGTAGTTAATTTTCAATAATAGAATTTCAGTTACTGCAATATGCTCATCTTTTGCCGACTTTAACGTGAAGAAGTTATGATGGCTCTGATCAAAATTAAAACATTTCCCTTATCCATTTTTGCGTTAGCGATTATTTTGAAATGGGCAGGTAAGCCATTGCAAACCATCATCAGTAAAGTACAGAAATATCGTATGTTTTTGGTGCTTATTCATTCCTTGTGCACGTGCAATTTTTCTACGGCAGTTAAAAGCATCGACAAGTGTACAAACCTTTAACGTCGTCACTATCTTACAAGACGCGAATTAAGGTTTTCGTGCCCATTCGATATAGATATGACATGTTTAATCTGGAATGCTAAAAACGATATTGGATTTTATTTTTATGTAAACGACTTTTTTATTGCAGACTCGCAGCGACATTCCGACCGACATTTAGATGATGGCTACGGCGTCACTCAGGATTACGGCAATACATACGCTATCAGCCAGGATCTATATAATCCTGACCAGTACAATAATTATCCCAATCTGCCCATTGGCGACCCATCACCGACGCATGCCAGTAACCACGACCCTTATGCCGAACTGCAAGGTACGCGAGAGTCAGAGACGACAGGTGACCAGGATACGTGGGACGGATACGCCGGCGACCAGGCAGCCACAACGCCGGCCGCGGAACGCCAAACGGCCGGTTACGCGTCGTACGATCCGTACGGGGCGCGAGGATATTCTGGTAACTACGATCCCTACGGTGGGCGACGAAGCGAAGCAGAGCGCGGTGGGGACGACGGACAAACCGACACCCAGGAAGAGGTGACCACACAAAGCAGCGCTGGAAATGATCCGTACCAGACGCGGGATCCCTATGCGCAAGATCGCGAACGTAACCAAGCAGGTGGATCCGATTCTGATGCCGAAAGAAATGCAAACGTTAACAGGTGCATTCAATATGTGCAGTACAATTACTGTCAGTTAGAAAAACCACCAATAATTATGTTTGTAAGTTGCAACATTTGTTCAATAAAATTTCCCCGCTCAAGTAATACAGCAAACAAGGATGATAGTATGTACGACATGTATACGTATCAGATAATTAAGTATATTACCGCGGACATTTATCTCATATAAAATATTATTGTTTTAGACGTCATAAAGACAACAACGGTAGCGCACCAAATTTTTTCTAGTACGATACAAATACTTATACAAGTACCTATGAATCGAAAGTAAGTTAAGTCCCATAATACCGTTAATGCATTCTAGATCATTAGACGTCTGTTATCATCTAAAAGAGAAAATAATGGTTACCCTACCCACTTCTGATGTCATGTAATTATATCCGCATATTTATGATGTTCTACAGGGATAATTACAACACGGTGGATCCCTATGCGTATGCAACCACCACAGCGATTCCGTGGGTGGGCAATTACGGCGATCGCCACACCCAAGACCAAAGCGTTTCCGGTGCCAGCGGATACAACCCATATGCAACCGGCAGGCAGGCGGCTTCCGGTAGCAGCAGTGGTAGCAGTTACGATCCGTATAACCGAGATACCGTTGACCGGCAATCAGCGACACCGGAACCGTACCAGTACCCCGAAGCCACAACGTCCGGCTATGACCCGTACGGGTCAGTAGCAGCCACTCCTTACGATCCCTACGCAAGCTATCGGACGAGTGCGTCGAACTACGATCACTACGAAACCACGACGCAGAATCCCTATGACAACAGTTACTACCAAACACAAGCACCAAACGATAATTACGGCAGTCAGTACGGAAACAATTATGATCCCTACGCCCGCGCTTATGAAACCACGACGATAAATTACTGGAACACACCAAGCTACGCTGGACAGGATTCATATGCAGGACGGTATCAGACCACTACACAGGATTATTGGAGAAATCGCAATTACGGTGGCCAGGTAGAAGCGTCCACGCAGAGTCCATACCAATACGACCGGCAAACGACACAATCATATTACAGCGGCGGTTATAATTACGGCAACCAAGATGTATACGCAACTCCGAGTCCGTACAATCACTACAGTACAGCTACTCCTTACAACGCGTACGGTAACCAGTATTACACAACGCCACGATACAATAGTCAAGGATATGGTAACGGTTACAACGGTGGCAGTTACAGCAATAATTATGGCAACGGTTATGGTCAAGGCAGCTACTCCAGTTCTAATTCGTATTCTTCGTACGGAAACGGCAATTATGCGGCGACGACCCCGGCACCCACTTGCATACAGTATAATCCCGTGAGTAATGGCAACGGTGGTAATGGTGGGCACAGCCCGCCAGCGTCCAACTCCGGGGAAAGCTGCTGTACATTTTATAGAAATGGTATGACCTGCCAAGAATGTACCACAATACAGGGCAGTTTTTTCGCTCGCCGTACAACTTGTTCTGGATCGTCTTCCTGGTCGTTTGGAAAGAAGTGATAAGACTTTGGAAAGAATCACAACCTGTATTTATGATGTTGCATATGTGCGAGCCACAGACTGGATTTGTGTTCATTACGAATCACTACTCTGGTAGTAGACACTTGGTAGCCAATACAACAATGATTTGGTAAACAAAAAGTTTCTTTCTTTTTCTCTCTCTCTGCATTTGCTTTGTTAAAAGTATTTTTAAGCACCTTCCAATGATTACAAATTAAAACGAACTAGCTAGAGAACAAGTTTATTTACCAATAGTCTTTTTCTGTAATTCTGCCACAAGAAGTCTTAACAGTTTTGGTGGATATGAATATGGAGACCACTTTGTCCTCCCAGGCCGCGGTAGCTGCGAAAATTAGCGACTATAAAAATCAGAAATATTATTTTAGCGACAATGTTTTCTGCCCCGATCTTGATTCTGAAAAAAATAGTCCTTCACTTGAAGTTGTTCATAATAGTAAGTTACGCTGCTTTACTGTATATAAAATTTAAAAGTGTATAAAAACCTTCATACTCTTAATCTCGATTCATAATTGTCACGGCTTCAATCGACATTATACTGCTTCGAAGTTGTATGAAAACTAAAGATAGTATAATATTGGTAATCACTATAAAGGCAATAATAGTGTTACTGCATTTCTAAATTAGAGTACTCTGTACATTACTTATGGTTAGATAATCCCAAATTAAACATCTTGTACAAAATAAGCGTCAGTCATGATCAAACCCGAAAAACTACCGCTAGTTAAACACCAAATCCGTTAGCGGTTCATAGTTCATAGCTTTTATGTTCAAGTTCAGCTAACATTTCCTGTACAAGCTGTTTTCTTCCTCGGAAGTCGGAACTGCAATACACTGCACCGCGATACTACAGATACACCGGTACATAATGCTCTACATCCCTAATGTTTTTCCCTATAGCGGGAGAACATTCCTGCCCGCCATACTCCAAAACAAGACAAAGACCGACGATATTTGCCAGTGTTTTGGTTGGTTTTTCAATTTTGTTAGACTATTTGCACAAGGGTACGTTTCTTACAGCAACATAGGTGAAGAAATTAATGGTACTGTATGTAACAGACCTGTGCAGTTATGGAAATTCACCCACCGTTAGAGGGTTTGGTTTGGAATGTTACTTATTAATATCGAGAATCAGGATACACTGATCGGAACTGCATAACAGCAAACGAAGTTTCGTATCGGCAAAACATTGGTCTTACAAGCAGCAAGCAACACTGCATACGAACACAGTTTTTATCGCGAAAATCTGCCAAGGCTGGTCTATCAGCTATAAGATCTCAGTAGCAACTAGCAAGTAAATTACACATATAACTTATCAAGATTAAAATTTGTTTTTATGCGGAACTTATTTTTGCGGCTAGTTAAGTTTGACTGTTTGATGCCTCATGGTCAGCAAGCACAACTACCACCGCTTCACTGGGTGTTACATTGCTTATTGTGCAAAATTTGTTCTGTGGGTTGATATTACGAGCCACGATCTTACCTGTATTTATAAAAAGTGTTACGCTGCAGAAATCAAACGTTCACTCGCATTATTTTGAATTTATGTTGGGATTGAGGCGTGTCATATTCATTTACGAGTATGTACACACATCTTTTGCGCTCCTAACCATTGCAAATGTCGTACATTACATACACGGATACATTCAAACGGGTGCTCATATATATAAAATTAAATAATTAATGATTATATATACTGTCCTCGCCATTGCCCATTAGTATTATTTAGCAGGTGCACCGTGGGGCAGCACTTTTTCTCAATAAATTTACTAACAGCATTAAACGTTACATTGGGGCTGGTGATAAACAATTTGCTAAAACGCCCATAACCATGAAACCGTATTGATTGAGATATTGTCGAAGGATTGCTTACGTAAATTATATATCTATATGTATTGAGCGCAATTAGAAACAACATTGTAGGACAACATTACGACATGGTGTTTTGCAAAACCAAAAGTTTTGGCTGCATTCAGTGCTGCCACTGTGTGTTCGACCGAGGGAGGCACTATGGAAAATTTTTATCCATCTGATCAGTATCAGAGGTCATGTTGTACAACTACTGTTCTTCCTTGCACGGCGAATGCAAAACTGAAAAGCGTATAAATATTGTCAAGCAAACCCATGCTAGCTGTTGTATTTATATATTGTAGCCTTCTTTTACAGCTAGCTATTTAGGACACCTGAAAGGTCACATTTATCTCCATCGCATTTACAGTACCGGGAACCAACATGGTATCATTAAAACTTCTCATAGTTCTGACTGTTTGCATCACAGGACTTTGTGCACGTAAGTTGTGTATTTTTTGTCACTTTAATTGGCATGCCATGCTCATTGCTCCGATCCTATATTATGTCTGACATTATGGTCTGTGTGCGAGGTAACCCGAATCATATGGAAAGTTAATGTATATTGCTTTAACCCAACCTGTCTACAGACCCACTCGGAGAAACTGCGTATGCTGCGGATGTGTCCAGCTATGCGGACCGTGGCTCCAGCTCTTCTATGAGCGGAGGAAGTCATAGCGACCCGCGTACGAACTGCCGCACATTTCGCAAAGAGGGCATGAACTGCGAAGAGTGCACTACGCTCGACGGAAACACAAGCAGGAAACACACAAAGTGCAAGTCATAATCTCGGCGGAGAATTCCATGCGTATTACTACTGAACTACTTCTGTTCAGAAATTGATTGTCTGCGAAATAAATTTACCATTCAACTGCTGACTGGGTGTTTTTGCAAATAAAAACTTGTTTCTTATGATAGGTGGTTTTCTTGTGAAAGCTATTGATAAAGTTTCTGGCCTAGTTTTTTTCGGGTAAAGAAATTTTTAAAAAATTTCGCTGGATCGGTAAGCTTATTGCACATTATAAAAAGTACTGTACCTTCCTGCGATTTCCTTGTATAAGTTATTGTTAGCTGCTATGTACTATAGTGCACCCTTGCCGATTGCGCGATTGCTGTTGCAAAGTAGATCATGAAATTAATTTACTCACAGGATACATCAGCTGTCATACTTTATCGGTGGACATAAATTCATTTCGAAAGAGAATGCGGTGCAGTGTGCTCGTGCAGTAAATGTAATTAAAAATTTAAGGTGCGTATTTCTTGACCGAAAAAAGAAATGTGCAATAGACAGCGGCCACAAGGGAAATGCACACCATACCGTAATTATAGTACTGTGGTTATCGGTGGTGCAGTGAGATGAAAAAAATGAATGAAGAAGCTGCATCACTGCGTTTTGACTACTGTACACGGTCGTGTCTCGCACCGAATAAATAATTAAGAAAACTATGCCAATAATGGGATACATTGCGCAGAAATTTATATGTAAGCTAAAGAACGTCGTCTCGGGACGGATATTATGCGCATCGTTAGATCGTAGATCAGTTGCCGTCATCGATGAGGATCAGCCGCCTCCCTGTAGGCAAATTAGGAGCGTTAGAAGCGTCTGCCTCCATTAATTATTTAATCAAAAAGGAGCGCTCCTTGAAGGAACTGCTTTCGTCTCTCTCCTGCGGATGTCCAGAACTGGGAGCCCGGCGGAATGATGGAAATGTAAACCAGGATTTCACGGAATGATGCGATGGGTGACAGTAACTCGCTTGCCGGCTATGAACAGCAAAATGATGTACATAACACTTTCGCAGTGCATTTATCAGCTGCATTCGAAAGGTCGGGCTGACAGCGCAATATAAGACGAAATTTAACGAATAATTAAGGTACAAACAGAAAAATTTTACTGAGTTGAAGTGGCCTTCATATGTACGGGATTTTTGCTTGAAACATGCCATATCAAAAATTTCGAATATATTCAAAACAACCGCCGGAAGCTGTGAAATTAAGTAGAGCAGCACGCAGGCGGTTAGCAAAATCATTGCATTCTGCTCGGTTGAGATTTTGCAGTTCGGCTTGTAGTTATGAGATTGATGAGACAACTGCGGTCGCAAGGGTTCTCGCTTCCGTTTTCGGCAAATGAGAATCCGTCCCAAGGAGAAATTAAGGACAAGGACAATAAGGAACGTGGCGATGGGCTCATCAACATGCAGAATATGTAAAATATATGCAATCATAAATGCATATGTGCAATCTTTTCATGAAAGTAATGTTTTCGTAATATTGACGTTTAATTTAGAATAATTCATGCAACACAGTAAAACGTACGCATCCATGCTCTACTGTGTACTTCGTTTCCGGTCGTTCAGTTTAGATCATAATTGAAGTTTCACTGTGTACCACTGCTAGCTGTCACCTAGGTACTTAACCCACTCCATAATCTTAGCGCGCATTTTTGAATTAAAAGTCAGTTCTATCACAACAGTTCACTTCGGGAAAAAAAGATCAAATATAATTGCTAATTTTCATATGAATTACAAAGCAATATACACAGGTTTAGTTCGTTTGAAAAAATTTTGCCGCCAACGTTGGGATATGCTGTTTTTCGATTGCAATAAACAGAAGTAGGAGGCCAGGGATATCCATTGTACTCATACATTCTGTTATGAATTACGAATAGAACCAAGGTATAAAGTAAGCTGCCCATTGTCGTGTGGCTGTCGCAGTACGTGGTAAATTAGGTTAACTCGATTTTGCACATAACAGGTATAATAGAATCCTTCACCATATTTTCTCAAGGTTATAAAACATTTTTAAACGGAGTCTAAATTCACTTCGAGGGACACAATTCAATTGAAAGTGCAAGCTCGGTAACTTTGCATATCATCAAAAAAGTCGATCGGGGATCAATCGATAATTACAGTCAAAAGTGAATAATGATTAGCCCGATGAATGTTACTGCGTCACTGCGTCTGGTGTTGGTCAAACAGAACACATCCGCGGAGCCGTGGCAGAATCATTACCAGTCGCCTTAGCGAGCGGAAGTCCTGTTCGGCTTTGTAATAAATCTTTCCACTCAAACTAACAAATAAAAAAAATCTGATAGATATGAAAAGGCTAGTGATATTGAAGATCTTGTTTAAAAAGTGGTTCGCATTAAGTATCTGCAGGTCTCGTGTCTGTGCATCGGACACCAGCATCCGTATAAAATTGCTATTTCCGCTTCCATATTATTACAGGCACAATATTTTTGTTTATGTATTATAGTGTTTTATGACAACTGTTTTAACGTTTAATCCAAACTTAATAACCGAGAATTCAACCACTCACCAATCAGATGTACAGGCGCAGACTTCTTGCATGTACCACGAAAATCCGCGAAGGTTGCTATATATCTTTTTAAAAACATCACTCTGTTCTTCCGTCGATGTCTTCAGATATACAAGAAAACTCCCCCACCTGTATTTAGGCAGAACAAATATATAGATCTTTTTTTTCTCAACCATAATTATACCTACTCTAACACATGTTACAGATATTAACATTAAAAGAGCGGTGAACACAGTACACACAGTACGTATGTATGTGCTGTGCACCTGTAAAAAATACTAATAAATAATAACAATAATTATAAATAACTGTCACCTACATGTAACCACAGTCCGCCGACGCCATGACCATAAGGTACACTCCTTTTGCAACTTTCGGTCGTTCTTTGGCGAACACAATAATATTTAGCAAGCTTCCCACGGTGGCGATGCACAACAGAAAAGGATAAGTGGTGCTTTCCAAGGAGCATATTCCCGTATCACAATACACTTTCGGTTGTTTAGCCCAACCACACCGCGGGTCCAACGGTGAGGTCAGCTTCCATATTGCATTAAAATTTGTCAGGTTACTGGCGTTCATCGTTGTTACAGCTGTTTAATTACATTCCACGGAATAACATTTCTGCAAATGCAGGACGGAAATGAACGTCAGGACGCGGCTGCACTAGCAGTACGGGGTTACGGGCGCCTTGAAACATGTACACAAAGCAGTAGACTAGCTACCGATATTTCCGTACACTGCTACGGTGTTTATACGCTGAACGCGGAACAATGACGTTAGCGCGGCAACCGGCTTTGATTTTTATCCCCGATTGCTCCCGCAGTCCCACTTTCGTCAAAGGTTAATGACGATACACAATGAATCATGGTATGATCCCTTATTAAGCCCACACGCGCAGCATGTTCAACTAACAAGTGGATTCAAAATTCATGTCACTTTTACTGCAGCCCATTAATTCATTAATAACGAGCCGGCATTTGAAGGCATCCTTATGCGTCAAATTAATTGCTTAACCAAACGTACATGCATGTGACAGTAAAGAGATTTTTAAATCCTCCAGAAACTGAAAATACCGCGAACGCTTTTGGATAATACAGCTTTGTTACAATAAGTACGCGCATATGGATTTGAACACTTTGTACTCGTACGGCTCAAGTGTTTGCGCGGATTTGCAGGCTGTTGCTACACCAGTGCACAATGCAGTGAACGTGACGAGTGAAAAGAAAACTTAAAAGCGCCTAATTTTCGAAAATGTTCTACTTTTCCGCCGTATAAAATTCTTATTAAGTAAATTTTAGTGTAAAATCTGTTGATACTAATCAGGTAAGAGAAACTGATTGCTTGTTATGGTATATTACTATGTTTGCTGTTATAAGACTAGGTTTGCTTTTTAATTAACTTTGGTTTTTGAAAAAGCATGCATGCAACCATATTTTACATATTATATTTCCTTCAGCAGCTATGAAATGACAAAATGCTGTCATTTTTATTATGGATTTTCAAGGCAGCTAGATCAGCAAGCGAGGAACAAACACAACTTCAACCTTTTATATGGTGCTACTGCTCATGATTTAGCACACACAGGAGTACAGGATTAACAGATTGCTAAAATCACGATACTATACGATACCGACTGAAGACCAATCTAGATCCTCATGGGAACAAGTCTGCTATAAACTGTTCTGCTTGCACTGCAGCGCTACAGATAATTATAACTAGCGCTTGATATGCCTAGACCCTCCCTGAAAACCCCGTTATCAAAAAACCAAATTGATCATATTGAACGTTAAAGGCAGACTACCGCACGTCTCAGACGACGAATAATGCGCCCTACGAGTTTGGACATGCGATACCGGCTATTCAGCGGTTTGGTCGGGACTTAGAAAAGATGCATTGTTCCTTGTGGTAACATCCGGCGATCAACAAACTTCGCCATGTAAACGCGATGCTCCAACACCGCTTGAACTGTCAAACAGATCACGCATGCCCGATTGATCTCCCTGTCAATTTATCAATGCCACCCAGTCACAGAAGGACGTTTGGGAAAGAAAGCGATGGTAAACTCGTGATCAGTAGCATCGCCGATGACGCAAAAAAGGTTTTTATCATAAGCAGTAACACAGGGTCCCATACTCTGTTCATTTCATAAGTCAGAATCTCTTGACCAGAGATCACACACAGAAAACAACATAATAATCAGACTCGATTTCAAATCGTTTACGTAAGTACAGTTATGCATGACCTTTCGAGAAATTGATAAAGAAAAGGGATTCCCTTTGGTACAGACTGTACAGCGATGATAAACTATCCACCAAAGTCTCAAAACCAGCGCATCGTGCAGAAATCCGGGAAAAGCATTCCACGGAATACCATTTGCACAAATGCTCCACTGTTAATCGATTATTCAAATTTACCCTTTCAGCGACAACTAGCAATATCTATCAAAAAGTTATGACGCAAAAAATCCCTATTTTACAAATTACGCTTTTGAAGAGGACTTTTTCAAGGAAAATCCCGGACCAGAGAAGGCGGCAAACGGGTTAGCGGCGGCACGGTCCGACTCACTCACAGTGGGTTTCCGCAGGTTTCGCCTGAACACCAGTTTACCGGGCTTCCAATCATAATTCGGAATGCCTTTCTGAGCCAGAGTATTCACATCAATCCGCTTTTTAGTCAGTGGATCCTCCACGGGAAGAGGCTCTTCCTTCTGGGCTGCTTTTTTCTTATTACCCTTATTACCTCCCAAGCGTTGTCCGGAACCAGTAAACGCCGTGAACTTCTGCGCAGACGGTAACGCATCAGCATCGATCATCATAGGCTCATCTTCCTGGGGAGCGGCTCGAGGAATTCGTTCTGGCTCCCGATATCCAACCGGGGCCGAAAATTCAACCTGTCATCAACAATTATAACACAAATCAGTGAAAGCTTTCGAGTGATAAACGATAACTAGTGCGCAAACTGAAAATAAATACTGTTTCACAATTATTTTTTCACCGTGCGTGGTGAGCACTGCCACTGCCGAGCGCGCACCATGCGACACACACACAAACCGCAACAAAATTTTAAAAAAAGCGTCGAAAAAACAGTACATAAGCGCAGAAGTACGCAGGTGGTGATAAGCGCGTGTTGGCCAGCTTGCGATCGCCATGATAGGATATGCATCTTTAAATAAATACGATAATCCATCTGGTTAATACGTAATTAAACTTGCTGCGTAGTAAGCTAACACGAGCTACGACTGCAAGAGGCCCATAATTACAGTCACGAGGATTGACTTTCAGTATTCAAAGAGTTTACTCTTCAAGCGCTTACGTCAGACATACAAAGGCAAAAGAAAAGGAAAAACAAAACCCCATAATCTTTCCATTCCAAGCTGAACAAATCTTCTAGATCCGAGGCAGAGATTTTCGATAATTACTAATTTGCACGAAAATCGGACAATCCATGATCACACAAGCTGAATGGCACAACTGCCAAACGGGGCTGTTTTCTTGCAGGAAATGTAATGTTATTGCTCAGTAAAACTATTGAAACAGAAACTGCATACTTGTGCGTCTACAGACACTTCCATAAATAGCTTGTTATTTGCAAAACAATGTCAGTGTACCATTCATACCTGATTTAACCTTTCACTTCTACCACTGCAGCCATATAATCGACATTATTTTGTTCAGTTAAGCCGCAAAACTGAAGACAGTTAAAAAATAGCTAATGATTCATAATGCATACTTCTAATTACATGCATACTTCTTTTAAATTACGTGAATACTTCTAATTTTTAAATAAAATAAACAGCAGCAAAATTATTTAAAATTCAGATTATTCTGGGATATAAACCCTGCCATTACCTGCATATCGCATTCGATAATGGAGACGGCACTGGCAGGTCGGGCTTCCTGCACCAGCAGCTCAAAGATCTTGGCGTTGTACTCAATGGCAATCACATCGCCCACCGTCAGACAGGCGAATCCGCGCAGCGCCCGCTCCAGCACGGCACGCGGATCCGTAATGTCCAGGAAGTCGGTGGACTGCGGCTGGAATTTGGAATACGTGGCCACGGGCAGGGACACACTCTGCACCGACACAATATCGCCTTCGTCCAGCAGCAGATTGCGCATCATCCACGATGGAGCGTACACGAAACCCTCCTCGGCCACAAACTCCAGCACACCGCAGTGTGTGGCCCGATTGGCCGGACCGTTCTGCAGTTTGAAGAGCATGGGGAACTGCACGTTCATCCGTGATAACTGCTCCAGTGCGGACGGAGGCATGATGATCTTGCCGCCCTTCTCCACATCCGAACGGTCTCCGTTAGGAAACATGATGGCGGAATAGATGCGGTATTCGCGACGGAATGTTCCGCCGGGGAACGGCTGGCCTAGGCCCCCGAAAAACTCCGCAAACGGGAACATTTTTTGAAATGGGAATCGAAAAAGGGTCCCCGTGGGATTCTTTTGAAAATCCTACCCCAAGAAGAGTATGATCCAGTGACTTCCTGTTCAAAAAGGAGAAAAACCATAAAGAACCATTTACATGTTTCTTGAAGATGCTAATAATGCTACCACGAATACTTCACAGGCTTATCAACAGGTTCTGTTATCCAGAGCAGATGAGTGAAAACTAGGAAACACACTAAAGCGTAATCTGCGAGCTGCGTATACAAACATTACGAATTACGCATGCAAGTACCCGAATTAATTGTAAACAGTAAATCAGAGCTTTCGTCATCACTCACGTTCGTACAATTAACGCAAGTCACGGTTCCCTTATCCCTCCAAACGCTGCCAAACGAAACTGCCAACTTCCAAAAAAGTAACCCAATCCAAAAAGGAAAAATTAATCAAGCTACCAGAAAAAATTGTTATTAAAATCAGAAAACCTTATAACGTGAAAAGCTCATCGATTCAAATTCCAAACCAGAACATTTTGTTACGACATCCATGTGAGGGATGACTGCGCAAAAAACAACCAAGCGAAGTGAACTGCACCCGAGGCGGCCGAGTTATCGCAAAGCATTTCTCTTACCGTTCGGCATTCCCGAATTTTTAGCCGAACCAACTCGCCAGAGTCCGGTCATAAACCGCTTTTCCATTTTTATGCATTATTGTCAGAAACCGAATTTGCTTAAAACTATTTCTTTTCCGGTGTCTGTTTCTTTGCCATATCTACTTGTGGCTTTCACGGTCACCGCGAGCGGTGTGTTGTACAGTTTGTACTTGATGCCACTGACGGTGAGATATGGTCCGTCAGCTCGACGTTTCAGAATTTTATGACGGCATAATGTGTTACGCCAAAATTGTTCTGTAATTGATACAACCACTACATTTACAAAAATCGTGCCCAGCTCCGCAATAGCCATAAGGACTACAACAATAAGCGTTTGGACTATAAGGATCACAAACTGCTTCCGATCCATTAATTTGTGGCGCATTTGGCCCGCATTTGCCGGCAAGGTCCGGCGAGTCGTCCCACGTCCACCACTGTTTCCCTAATATCTTTTTCTCTTTAAACCGGAAATCTGGCTTTTCTCGAAAATTTACACAACTTGGACAGTTGCATGCATCCGGTTGGTTGCCACAAATTCCCACAGCGGAGCAACAGTATCCCAACGGGTCATCTGGATTACAAATGGGTATAATACTGCCATTTAACAACGGTGCACCGTATCCACACCGACCCCGCAACTCGGGTGAACTTTGATCCATTGTAAACCAGAGGACTTCCTTCGTCGTCGGTTTAACCGACTTCTCCAAAATTTTCTCGGGAAACCTGGCATAGTTGGTACATTCAGGACAATCACAGAACGCCGGTCCCGATCCGCAAAATCCCCATCGTCCGCAACAGGCATAATTGTCATCCCCCGGATCGCACACGGGATAATAACCGTTGATCAACGGCGCGGTTGGACCACACATTCCCGATTTTGCTGGTGTTTCGGTTGACCACCAGCGCGGTTCATAACAAAAGTAATTAGGAATCTCGAGCGGTTTATCTGATAATCGTGGAGCACAAATATCCCCATGGGTCACCGTTTGCAGCATTGTTAAATCACTGTCATCCTGATCGATAGCCCATATCATGACGCCACCAAGGCGCTTTTTGATGGCGTATTCCACTTTCTTTTCTAAGCTCTCCGTGGACTCATAACCAAGGTATTTACGAGAATTTGCGTTCCATGCGTAAGACGCCTCCGCTTTACTGTTATATCCGGGCATAAATCCTTTATCCAAATAGCTCTTCTTAATAGTGTAAAAGGGCACATCTGCGCCTTCCGGGCCAGTGGAGGTTCTCCACATAGGGTCACCTTTATTGACAGGTTTATCCATAACATTACTCCATGTGCGTCCATAGAACGGAACACCCAGTGCAATTTTCTTAGGATCTTTAATGGCGCACATATAATACTCCATCGTCCAGTGGACATTTAATTTCCGAGAATAAGCCGGAATATGAGACGCGGCAAAAAACAACGGCGCAGGAGGCCCTGTGGCGTTCGACCATGGGCCGTAGTAATCATAAGTCATCACATTTACCCAGTCGACGGTATCACCTTCCAAGAGATTTTTTAAATCGTAGCCTTTACGGAGATCTTCCGAACCGGCAGCACCTGGCAAAAATGACACCCATGACGTCTACAGTAAAATAGTGTGTAGACAAGTGTACAAATACTTCTACTGTATTTGTTTTCTATGCCGCTTTACGGTTAATTTACACGGTACGATTGACGAAGTATAAAAGAGCCGCCCATCTGTTATATATTATGATCATTCTCTGCAAATATTTGATACGGCCGTACTACGATTAACATTTCAAAAATCACAAGAAACAATTAAATATTTAAATACTCATACTTTGTACTCGTATTTCAATAAGTATTTTCACCGTGTATGCAACGTCTGAGAAAGACGACTTAAGAGATTTCTTTCCACTCCGGAAATCAAAATTTTAAAATACCGATGCATATCGATAGTAGATAAGTGTAGCATAAGACTACGGTTTAAGAAATTGTTATGTAACAGCGGTCAATCGCTGAGCGTGACATTTCATTGATTCAGTAATTCTGGATCTCCTCAAAGTCTGCAAAACCGGCATTTACCAGATTAAAGTTGAAAAAAACTGATGACATGTTTACCTGCAAAGGTCAATAACAGCCGGGTTCTGTTGGCTGCTGACCTCCAAGAGTCGAGCTTTTTCCTTAACCGCCGCATAAACTTAACATACAGCGCCTTGTCGTCCGGTTTCGCTCCCGGATGCTCCCAATCGATATCCACTCCGTCCAGATTGAACTGCTCAATAAGGCTTTTCAGATTTAAGGTGAAGTTGTTGAATGCTTTGTCTAGGCGCACAATATCGTCGAAAAATTCCGCCTTTCCATAACCCCCAACCGATATAAGCACCTTGGGATTCGGGCTGTTTCCACGCATTTTCATGAGATTCCGCAGGCGCAAGGTTGAATTGTCTGCTATCCAGAGTGTCCCGTTTGGACCCATATCCGGAAATGCGTAGTTCACATGGGTTAAGGACGACAGCATTTCCTTTGTCACTTCTTTGGCACCCCACGATGTGTAATAGCCCACAACCCGCAAATTACATCGTTCGACCGATGTTCGATTAGAATAGCTGACCAGAAATTGGCGCGTTTTAGTTATTAATGCATCGGTGTCCGACAGCCCCAGGGCAAGATCGTTTACTGCCAACTGTAAATCTTGTAACGTTGTCTTTCCCGATATTAACATTGATTTTAGTGTCCGGAAATATTCTTCGCTTTCATACAAATTTTGCAGGTCGAAATTACCCCAAAATGTCTCGTTAAAGATGCTCCAAAATTCCGAACTTGTCGGCTCTGATCGATTCGTGTTCGGGCTGCAGGAATCGTTATTCGCCGCGGAGGAAACGGTTACGTTAATGGTCAGTTGGGGACTGATAAAGTATGTGACCGTTGACGAATAACCAGCTGCAAAAAACATTTTGTGAGAAATTTACGATATATATGTTGAGTATGAAAATACTTCAACGTGCGAGACGACAAGTGTCTCGCTTTTGCCTTACGGGTAGATGTTGGCGCTGCAACGTTCGGTTGTGTAATGGATCTGGATCCAGGAAATGCGGTGTTAGTGTAGTTCTTCATTGGAAGGCTCGTCGTAAACTTAGAGGAAATCTTCGAAAAGTGGTCATCAGCTATGCGGGATAATTGTGCTGCATGTGATAATACTGTAGATAAAAACTCCAGACTCGTGTTCCCCTCAGGGAATTTCTGACTCTGTGCCGGATCCAGTGAATCAGATATCGGTTCGGAACCGGGTCCCAAAAAGTTTCTGTTGCTTGTATCAATAATGCCGGCATATGCTACACAAAACAATGCAACTCCACCATAAAACAAAACATGGAAAACAGATTGTCGTACCCGAATCATTTCGGTAGCTGCTTTTACTTTGATTCGCCTATTAAGCAACCTCCAACATCGATGCTTGCGCAACGGCTTCCGCCAGCTGACTGGAATTTTGGGGCAAAATGCAAATTAAATCAACGGAATTCGACAACCATTCTACAATTTGTAAAATAAAACTGCATCCAGTGACTGTTCAGTTTCTAAACTGATGCGAATAATAGCCGGATGTAATTCATCTATTTATAGACACAAAAAACCCCAGCGTAATCCCTAGAACTATCTCGAACCATAAACTGACAATGTCTGACCGGATATGCGGGAGTGTCTGCCTTTCTGGGATGACTGGTACGACATTAACGCACCGTCGCAATTAACCGCATGAAACTGCAATAACCATGTCTTTTATTCAGGCCACTTTTACTTTCTGATGATCGCACGAGAATAATGGCAGTAAATCAAGCGCATGGTGGGGTTACATCATTTTTTTCACGATTAATATGGATTGTGAGCTGCAAATTTGCGCTTAGCCGCGGGATATGCCGTTCATTTTGTGAACATAGTAGCAGAATATTTCTGCGAACATGTAATTAAAATATCGCGATCTACTGTCTGACAAGGTCTGTCACAGCTATTTACATTTAACTACCGAGATCTGTCACATAAGCACGTGGGGCCGGATCCGGATTTCTGCAACATTTTCTGTTACGTTAATAAAAAGTTTTGCGATGGATCACCGGGTGCTCCATCCATAAGACTGACCTCCATCCCCATCCACTTTTTCCCGAATGCCAAGTACTGAACGGCTCGGACATACAGAACGATTTTTCGAATAAAAATTGAATCAATGTACGAAAAATAAAATAAATAATGTCGAAAATAAATTTAATTCAAAACATTTATTAAAATGTTTTCACTTCTATAGGTAGATGAAAAGGATATCTTTTCATCTACCAGTGTAAGATCTTACACAGTACAGTACACTGACGAGTCGACGAGTGAGTACAGCAAGTAATTTTTGCCAGAAACTGGAGAACTGAGATTGTCTGCACCACAAGAAAGGGAACTACAGTGCCACTTGGAATTGGAAGCCAGCGCCTGCTCATGGAAATACCAATATCAAACGCCTTGTGATTGGTGGATACCCGGTTAGTCATCACCGCTAAAAGCAGTTGGCAACGCCCTTGACCTTCTTCAAGCGTTATTGATTATTCCAGCGCGCCGACATAACGGCAGAGTTTGCGCGATCAGAGTTCAGACGTTATTTTTTCGTGCTGCAACCAAGTTCTCGAGCGCCAGCGAACAATTACCGTTTCTGACCTTTTAATTCCACGGCAAAATAGTTTTATCCACTTCCTGCTTATTTTCCTGAAAGTTATCACTCTATACCGGAACCATGGTAAGTGTTCATTTACGTACGAGGAGCAGAGTGAAGTTGGGGCTCCAAGGTGGCATAGATCCTAATGTGCTCAAAAGCTGTCAAACTTGTTTGTTTAGAACCTTTGCAGTTTTTTTCAGTTGTTTGTGCTAATTAATAATTGATCGGAGTTTCGTATGACACCTGTCGTTTGATTAAACGTTTTCGCTTGCGGGAGTAGTTCGCGGTTTTGTATCAGCTCCTTGTGGTGCATCATTGGAGATGTAAGATGTTACACGTGGTAGGGAATACGGCTCGACTGCTCTTTCAGGTTCATGCATTCCACGATCTGGGATGTATGCGCGGTCGTTGGTAGGCAATAAGGATCATTGAACTTATGCGGAGTTATGCCTATCATGATTTATGCTTGCCAAATTGCAAATGCGGACACATATCCTCTTAACAGTTCCCTTTATAAAAGATTTGATTTCTGAGTTAAAATGACACAGAAAACTAGAAAAGACGTTAAATTAAAGATTATTTGAAACAGAAATTGATTCAGTATTATCGACGATCAGATCACACGAAAGTTTTATAAAAGCACCCACACAAGGTGACAAGTTATTATATTATTATTATTAGTTTCTGTTGTGCTGCTTGGCGTTGTTTAGAACTTCGTTTGTTCGATTTCCGAATGTGTGTTCTAACTTTAATGCATTTGTAGCGTGAATGTATCTCTGTGCACGTCGGACAAGCTGGAGTCCAGATTGGTAACGCTTGTTGGGAACTGTACTGCTTGGAACATGGCATTCAGCCCGACGGTCAAATGGTAAGTGTTCTGACGCAGTTTCTCGTTTTATAAAGCATTTCACTATTTTAGACGCTAAAGTGATCTGACCATGCACTCAGTTCAGGCGTTTAATAAATCTGCTTTTTCACATTGCAGCCGTCGGACAAGACCATTGGCGGTGGCGATGATTCGTTCAACACCTTCTTCAGTGAGACGGGAGCTGGAAAACACGTTCCGCGTGCCGTCTTCGTCGATCTGGAACCAACCGTCATCGGTTAGGCTTTCGTGTTTTTAGACTTTAGTTGATGGTTCATTCGTCGTTTTGGTATTGTGTACAGACGAAATCCGCACTGGTACCTATCGTCAACTGTTCCACCCTGAGCAGCTGATCACTGGCAAGGAAGATGCGGCCAACAACTACGCCCGAGGACACTACACTGTCGGGAAAGAAATTGTCGATTTGGTGCTGGATCGCATCCGCAAGCTGGCTGATCAGTGCACCGGTCTGCAGGGCTTTTTGATCTTCCATAGTTTTGGCGGTGGCACTGGTTCTGGATTCACTTCCTTGCTGATGGAACGATTGTCTGTTGATTACGGGAAGAAATCCAAGCTGGAGTTCTCTGTCTATCCCGCTCCTCAGGTACCTTAATCGATAATAATTTCTAGTTTTTTAATGTTAGGGATGGGTGAAATAAACTGTTTATTTCGTAGGTGAGCACCGCTGTTGTCGAGCCATATAACAGCATCTTGACTACTCATACTACACTGGAGCACTCTGACTGCGCGTTCATGGTGGATAACGAAGCAATTTACGACATCTGCCGCCGAAACTTGGATATCGAGCGTCCTACTTACACCAATTTGAACCGTTTGATTGGCCAGATTGTGTCTTCTATCACTGCTTCCCTGCGTTTCGATGGAGCTTTGAACGTCGATCTTACGGAATTCCAAACAAACTTGGTAATTTTTGCTATGTTTACTTCGGTTTTTGTTAGATTAAAAAAAATCAGAAAGTAATCGTTCAAATTACCTTTTAAAGGTGCCATATCCTCGTATTCATTTTCCACTGGTTACTTACGCTCCAATCATTTCCGCTGAGAAGGCCTATCACGAACAGTTGACGGTAAGAATCAGAAAAATTTTCGGACTGTAGTAAGCGGAGAAAATTATCAGATGGCGGTTCAGTTGGTACATTTATGTTCTTTATGTGCAGGTTTCAGAGATTACCAACGCTTGCTTTGAACCTGCCAACCAAATGGTCAAATGTGATCCTCGTCATGGAAAGTACATGGCTTGTTGCATGCTGTACCGCGGTGATGTGGTGCCAAAGGATGTCAATGCTGCTATTGCGGCTATCAAGACCAAGCGCACCATCCAGTTCGTTGACTGGTGCCCCACAGGATTCAAGGTATGCACAAAAATTCAGTCGAAGATTGTATGTAACCAGTGCCGCTCTACAGCAGTGCGCTATTGCAGAGCGGCACTGATGTAGCGCATATGTACTGATAATGTGTGATATTCACTTTATTCAGCGTAGGGGTTTTCACAACGTCGTAGAAATCAATTTAGTTCCAATTTTGTTCACTTGTAGGTGGGCATTAATTACCAACCTCCCACTGTGGTTCCTGGAGGCGATCTGGCTAAAGTACAGCGCGCTGTGTGCATGCTGAGCAACACGACGGCTATTGCCGAAGCTTGGGCTCGTTTGGACCACAAGTTTGACTTAATGTATGCCAAGCGTGCCTTCGTTCACTGGTACGTCGGAGAAGGTATGGAGGAAGGTGAATTCAGTGAGGCACGCGAAGATCTGGCTGCGCTGGAGAAGGACTACGAAGAAGTCGGAGTGGACTCTGTCGAAGGAGAGGGTGAAGGAGAAGGCGAAGAAGTTTAAATTACAGTACGGAATTTAGCATTCTCCGATTCGCTCGTCATTCTTTTTCTCGGTTTATCTAGCCATTTTTTGGTCCTACAGTTTTGCTGTAATCTCGCAAATCATTTCCACCTAAATCTCAGTTTGTATGTAGTAATATGTTCCTGGCTTTGTCTTCCCGTCGTTAGCGTGCTTTATGTTCGTCCTTTAGAATTCGAAATTATTTTGTGGACGTGTTGGTTTTGTACCGTACGAAATTAAGTTTTGGATGTATACAAATTTGGTGCTATGTACCGGGCCAAATCCCTTAGAGTGCAACTAAAATTTCGGACTGGTACCTAATATTGTATTAAATTTTAAAATTACCAGTGGATATCGTGACCGGTATTCGGAAGATTTACACAGCTGCAAAGAGATAGTGCTAACTAAACTCTTATTTTTTTGTGATCATGTGCTGGTCGCCATTTGTTTGGCAAGGCCCGTCAGAGTGATTTATAACTGCCCAAATTGACGATCCAGCACAAACGGAAGCGTGCACATTATACGTTAGTTTAAATACTGTAGAGAGTCTACATGAAAGGTGGTGTTTGGATGCATACAAATGTTTCCATTTACCAATCGGAAGCTACGTACTGCTTCACCCGACAACTCTTTGAAAGCGATACGTATGAAGTATGAGCTATGAATCATAAAAATTTCGATGATAATATAAATCTTCCAGATACTATACCGGTGTTCATTGATCATATAATATCGTACGTTGTATCTGTACCACAAAGGTTACTTGACCTCCATAGTCGATATTGTTCAAAAATGCACCATTTCCCATAAATTTTTATTTGCTACTGGTCCGTCACTTACTGGCACGACGCTTATATATCTGTACCTCTTCCTGACAAGTGACATCAGCGATGCTTTCAGATAAATATTTAGCGATGATAACGTACCTATCAGTTTATGTAAGTTGTTGTCTCCCGTCCATGCTTATTCAGTCTTGCAGTTGCAACGCATTTATTGCTCCTGTTTACAAATCATCACAAGAAAGCTAGCTGGTAGCTGCATATTTTGCCGCACAAGATATTTCATTTTTGTTGATCTTGTTTTAGTTTAATTGAATACCTTTACTCGGTGACCGGAAGGGTCAAAGAAGCGACAACATGCCTGACCATGATAATCCCGGCTTCGTGGCGGATGATGCCATTCCTCCACACACTGATCTTGAATCGCACAAAAGGGAGCGTCCACCAGCGAGTCGAACAGCCAGTGGAGAATCCGCGCGTGTCCGCATCTCTGACACTTTGCAGCATACGTACACGCGATCAGAATCCTACGAAATGGAGTCCTACCCGGGTGACACTCACACTAATTGTAAGCCGCACAGCCGGATGTCCCAGTCCACTGTAGCAGCCAATGCTGCGGAGGAGTGCGTGGTCAGTGAAGTGGCGAAGGATCCGTGGGACATACCTGAACTGAAAGACAATGGCCCATTATGGTCAGGTAAATAAGCGAACGGTAATAGCATAGCGCTCGTAAGTGCGTAACTGACGTGATAAGAACCGATATAAATATGGGCGCAAATGTATTCGGCGGATCTTGGTGATTACATGAGCGGTATGGCATAACTACTGCCATATTCTGAAAAGGTGTGATAACATTGTGTGCGTTGTGAATGGTATTACGTTTTGATTTCTTGTTATTGTTGCCGATGTAACGCACATTTTCTTATGCAAAACAGTTTTCTTCTGGAAAAATACATATTTAAGGTTTTGCTTAAAGCATATACATTATTGACAAAACCCTTATCAAATAAGAGTTAATAGAATTTAATAATAAAATAAATAGTTAATAACTTTATTAGCACCTATTTGGAACTGTAATCTGTACTCTATGAATATAAAAGAACATTATTGTATCGCCGTGTTCATTCTTCAGCTCATTCTAATCACATATTATTTCTGCAGAGCTTTCCGGTTCACAAAAGGTTGTACATGTCATAGCAGGATTTGCGAAAATAATTGGTGTACTCGTTCTTCTGTACATTTTCATCATCTCCCTTGATCTGCTCAGTTCGTCTTTTCGTCTCATTGGAGGTACAGACCGTAGAGTGATATGCTTTTTACGTGCTACATGAGCTACAATCTTGATTACCTGGATACGGTTACGTTCTGTATTTGGCGCAGGTCGAGTGGCCGGTCGCACATTCCAGGAGAGCAAACTGTTATCCAATCCGGTGGTCGGTCTCATGATCGGTGTCCTGGTCACGGTGGTGGTGCAGAGCTCATCCACCAGCACGTCCATCACGATCGCCATGGTGGCATCCGGTATGCTCGATGTCCAGCGGGCAGTCTTCATTATTATGGGTATGTATAAATAATTGCGACTTGCCAGTGGCTACATGGAACGATCTAATTTACATCTGCATTTTTTTCTGTTTTCTTCTTTGATAAGAAAATTAGAAAGTCATATCAGCTCCGCTCCAGGTTTTGCGTAAAATAATTAACGAATTTGACTGGCCAATGCATCGTTTCAAAATTGTACTTTGTATATTATACTGTTATCGTGTACATAAAGTATGCCTAATCGCTTTACCGGTGCAGTGTAAATATTTGTCGCGTTTTGTTTGTACGTATTTATGAGGGTTACCGCGAAATTCTTATGACATGTTTGTATAAACTGTTGATTAGAATGCTTTGATTTTTGTATTTTTGTGTGGTATTACGAATTTTAAAGCTGTACCTTGCAGGCGCAAATGTCGGAACCACCATTACAAATACGCTTGTCTCCTTGGCACAATCTGCGGATCGAGATCAGTTTCGGCGGGCGTTCGCCGGCGCGACAATTCACGATATGTTCAACTGGTTAACCGTCGCCGTACTGCTGCCCTTGGAAGCAGCAACAGGTGTGTAGTGGAATTGAATCTCACCTGCATTAACATAGATATTCAACAAATTACGAAAGCTTCCGTGAGTTTCGAGTGTCGATCAAGCGGCACTACGACGACATGGTGATCGGTTTTTTCAGGCTATCTTGTCCACTTGACTGGCGCGATTCTCTACAGCTGGGATCCACAGCGCAACGCTGGGAATAATGTTGAACTATTAACCGCCATCACCAAGCCTCTGACCCATTTATTTATTCAAGTGGGTACATTTTTACACTGGATTTTTGGCCATCATGAAACTTAGCATATAGCCAGATGAAAAATAGTGTAGTTTTACCTACCCAGTAGGTATACAGAGCCTTGCAAATGTATTGACTCTAATTTGGGCCACCAGGCTAAGGCGCTTTGCCTTCCGCATCAGTACGGGATTTTATTTCGACAAAAGTTTTGGAATACTTTAATCGTGAATATATTACTAGCAAAAGCGTATTGCAGAGATTAATTTAATGTCTTACAGTACTGAGGTATAAGTAAATCTGCCGACTGCCGTATTGGCGTATGTGATGGCGAAATTAAAATTAATTTAATGAAGTACTTCTACTCGAATTTTACGATGCAATTCGTAGAGGACAAAATAAATTAAGTTTCCTTTGATTATTTTCAGTTGAACAGCAAGGTGATCGAGGATATTGCAAAAAACGATCCCAATGCCTTCAACAAAAGCATGATTAAGGAGACATGCAGTACAAGAGCCAATCCGAATCAGACATGTACGTCTCATACCAGAAATCTATGTAATGCTGATGGTTCTTGTGCTGCACTGTATCTGACGGTGAAGGGACACTAGAAATTTAAAAAAGAACCGACGTTACGTAAGAAATAATGTTTTAGGTAATTTCTTGTTCTACAATACCGGAATGGGGGAAGTGAACACCGGCATTATTCTCCTGATCATCTCACTGGCGTTTCTCTGTGTTTCCCTCATTGGAATTGTTAAGATACTCAACTCAGTTCTCAGAGGCACCATGGCGAAGGCACTCCGAAAAGCCCTAAACACCGATTTCCCTGGTCGTTTGGCATTCCTGACGGGATACGTGGCTATGCTGATTGGGGCGGGCGTGACCTTTCTCATTCAGTCCAGTTCGGTCTTCACCAGCGCTCTGACACCGCTTGTGGGACTGGGCGTGGTATCCATTGATCGGATGTATCCTCTGACGCTAGGATCGAATATCGGAACTACGGGGACTGGACTGCTGGCCGCTATGGCGTCGGAACCCAGTTCCCTTAAACCGGTAATTACATGGAATGCAACACGGAAATAAAGTAGCGATATGCATATTGTTATTGTACAGTAATTTACTTACATTGTTAAATTCAGCAAACAATATTGCCACCATAATAAACTCAAAATTAACACTTTTTTAATTGTTCTGGCTAAAGCGATAAATAATTGTGACATTAAATTCGGTAAAATTGTAAATTCCTTACCTAGCGGTATCAGGGGTTCCTACATAATGTATATGTGTTCCCACATGTTGAGCGCATTAATTCTCCTGATTTCAAGCTGTCATAGTACTAAAGAGCAATATTCATTTGACTTCTGCAATTATGTAGGCGCTACAAGTAGCACTGTGCCACTTGTTCTTCAATGTAACTGGTATACTTATCTGGTATCCGGTTCCCTTCATGCGCAGCTTGCCGGTGGAACTGTCCAAAATGCTGGGCAATGTTACGGCGCATTATCGATGGTTCGCCATTATGTACATTATCCTTGTCTTTCTTATAATTCCCGCTGCTATTATTGGTTTAACATTGGGTGGTCCAGAAGTTCTAATGGGAGTAGGAATACCTTTAGTGACCTTGCTGGCCTTTATAATTCTTGTCAACGTACTCCAAAAGAAATATCCCAGTGTTTTACCAAGAAAACTGCGTACATGGAATTTCTTGCCGCACTGGATGCACAGCTTGGAACCGTATGATACTTGCGTGAAAAGTTTATTTAGATGTCGAATCTGTTGCGGATCTCCAAAAATCGACGCTTATGGTGATGATAACACCAAGGCTGCGTGATTACTTGAACGGTCGCCGTTATGTACATATTTCTGTAACTCTTGGTCATTGTCTAGAACAGTAATGTTTTTGTTTCGAACCTTTCGTGCTGAAAGATTTGACATTTTGGTAAAGTCAAAAACACATACATAAAAACACGAAAATAATTGTAAACCGATTGTTCTCTGCGCCAAGAACTGCACCGGCATCGCGCCCTTTAGCGAATGTCTGCCGTTTTGCAAGATTTAATAAAATTATTATCACATAGCGGAGTAAAAATAGAAATTTAAAAAAAAGTTAACAAACACACAAACTGCAATAAAACTACGATCAACTCATCCTTTCCTTATCGGTAAAGGATGCGCTTCCGTATTGAAGACATATTCATCAAGAGGCAGTTGAGTCTGATCAGTTCCCAGTAACAAGTACAAATACTTAAAAGTCTCCCCCAACAAAAAACTTTCCATGTGATCCCTATGTTCCACGTTGTCCGCTTTGCGGACGTCTTGTATGGATGCATATCCACCGGTCTTTATCTTTGCATGCTTTTCAATAGCATTAAAAACGTCCCATCCCCAATCCTGGTAGGTAGTGTTTTTCGTGATGCGGAACAAATAAAACAAACTTTCAATGAATTCGGGTCGCAGTAGCGCATGCGCATCATTGTCGCGAACATGCAGATCCACTGTATCCGGTGGCACTTCAAGTCCGCCTTCCACCTTGAAATAGGTGATCTCAGGAGCAAGATGCGTCGGCATTCTTACATACATTTCGTGACAGGTGTTGGCAATCTGTTCAGCCAGCGTTAATAACTCAGTCGGAAGACCATTCATATAAGCTAGTGCCAGAGTACCAGGAAAAAAGCAGGCCAAGGCATCCATCTTCGGACTAAATCGCTCACCAAGAAGCTCTCCAATGAAGACCAGTTTATTTGGCACCGACGTTCGGACAATATGCTTCTGAGCTCCGGTGACTGCATCCAAAAAGTCCGCTCGTAACCAATCGGTTCGTTTCCCATCTTGAATCCACTGTTTGAGCAAATATTCATAATACGAGTCGCCGCGCGCTCCAAAGGTGATTGTGGAAGCGGCTCGGAACTGACCCGTGACAGCGTTAATAAAGATGGGAATTAGTCCGTCTTTCTTCTCCAGTTTGTGAAAATGCTCGGATACCCGGAAAGCAAATTTCTAAGATACAGAGCAAAATGTCAAATACACCGTTTCTTGTTTGAAGTTCACATGGGAAAGTGCGCAGCAAAATATATCTCGACAAACAAAATACAGATCAAACATGAGAGCAAGCAGGCCGTACCAAAACAAATCATAGAAGCCGATAAAAAACATCTAGCAAATTTTCATTGGACTAAATTATGTGCATATGATTGCAGAAACACTGATGCGTTATATTATTTGCCGCATTAACATTTTACCTATGTATTATATTAAACAGCTTGTTTAAAGCCAAAAAAACCGAGATGGAAATAAAATACCACTTTTGACGTTCAATACCTCATATTTGGGATCATTGGATACGTAGCTCAGATCACGAAATTCCAGCTGAATCGTTGTAACTTCGGCCGATGAACTATCCGGACCCCATTTGGGGGCATGTGCTTTGCGTGTCTTGATATTGACATCGGAATACGGTACTCCTGAGTCGGTACCAAAAGCCGCCGTTAATCGATCCCCCAGATCCAGTGCTTTCTGCCTGAAGACATCTTCGCCGGATAAATGATAAGCACTCAATAATCCTCCCAATGCGCGAATAGTAATTTCAAACAAATTCACATCCACGTCTTTTTCAAACGTTAAACTTTCACTAATCCACTTCTTGGCCTCTTCAAATTCTGCAAACACAGCATGTAAACTTGATCGAGACGATGTTCAAATAGGTGCCAGACCAGCGTAGAAAACGGTTATAAATTGTTCAAATTAGCTACTGAAAAACCGCGATTCTAGCGGAATAAGCAAATAGAAGAGAGAGAAACAGCTGATCACAGAACCGGAAACCTGGAGTGTGGAACTGCTAAAATCGATTTTCTATACTGTAACCGCGAAGATGAGTAAATTTTACGAAAAACAAATGACGTCTTTCATGCGCAACGGATAAAAATTGATGATTATACCGGAAAAAGCAGAAGTAAAGCTAAAACGAAAACTACGGTAACACAAAAAACAAAAATTCGAAATTCTTTTCATTTCAGTTCCAAAACAAGTTACCGTAAACAACAATGCAAAAATTTGGTTAATTCAAAAGCCGTTACAGACTTGTATTTTATAAAAAATCCAATAAAAATTTCGATAAGTTTTATCATTCTAAGTGTTAAATACTGAAGCTGTCGAAAAAATCCACCCGAATTGTCATAAATCGCAAAACGCAATGCAGGCCAGAAAGAAAAGCGTAGGTTAAGATTTGAGAGAGCTAAAAATAAAATAAGTGTAAATTAATCTACCTTTTGTAAGCCCCATGATGTACATTGTATCCAGTGCATCGATGAGCGTCAATCCGATATGGAACCACTCTTTAAAAGTCCTGGAAATTGGCTTCAGTTCATCATGGCCCCACGCATACCGTTTGTACGCATCCCATGCATGGATAAACGCTTCCACTACCTTCTTCTGCCTGTCATTATCCGATCCTGCAAATATCTTCGGTCGAGGCATCACCATACCCTCCTGTATCCTTTCCAGGGGGTCCACCTTCTCCTGTTTGCCCTCCTTTTCCGCATCACCATGCTTCCCCCGAGCATGTTTTGTGTCGTGATCAGGAACCTTGTTATCACCCTCGCCGTCGCCCCCCAACCCACCCCCCACGGAATCATTGCCTAATTCCTCATCGGGACTGCCCTCCACGTCGGGCGATATGTAGCGTCCTCCTTTCTCATTTTTCGCCGCTTTCTCTTCACCGAGCACAATTTCCTCCGGGTTGATATGCTGACTGTCTGCATTGTTGGCGACATGCCTCCGCGGGTTAGGTGCAAAGCCCTCGGCATTCTCCGCTGAGGTATCGGTGGATTGGAGTTTAATTAAAATAAGAAAAACAATAAAGAGAAGAAAACAGATTATCAGATAGCGCTGGAGCTTTGAAAGACGATTCCATGAGCGTCCCAGGGCAAAGCGCCGTCGCTGCTTGTTGGCGCCATACGGACTGGAATACTGCAGATCTGCACGGGATGATGCATCCACGGGAATTGCTATTCCACCGGACTTCATGCTGCAACACTCGTTGTTATGTGCAACAAATTACAATAACTCCCACTTTCTAACAATCATTATGGGTTCTGCAGTCGCATGCAAGATAATGAGGCCCGATGACCAGAAGGCAAAATTAGCTGCTGCTAATTTTTTTGTCTTCGATAAATTTAAAACGTAAATCGTGGTGAAGTGGCAAGCAGCAATAAAACGCCAGGAAGCCTTTCTATCAGGCTGCACTTATTAGTGGTTAGCTGACATGGCTTTATATTGGACTATGTGCGAAAACAAGCTGCCAGCCGTGCCGAATTGAAGCTGCCTGGCGAAAATCTTTCGATTGGGCGGTTTATTTAATTTCTAAATAAACCGCCCAATCACGGCTGGCAGCTTGTTTTCGCAATCGCGTCATTATCGTCATAACTATGGACGTTTTCATCAGACTGCCTTTCCATGGAAGTTTCGTTTCCGTAGATTCGTTTCGGCTTTTAGAAGTTCTTTTTAGTTTTTACATTTCTGACCGTTCGTTAATACGGCTAGCTTACAAGTTAAATTGATTTTGAGATCGGCTTGTATTAATTTTAAAACTTCTAAAACTTTCTTCGATATTAAAGTAACTTAACTTTCTTTAATCCCCTGCGAAATTAAAATTATACCTCTCTGATTAGCTTTTCATAAAATAATATCAAAATTTCTTCTTATTAAGGCTATCATAAAAAAATTGCTGCAACTCCCCTGCATATATGGCGTACCAAACGGGCCACAGTTTTTACGGACAAATGCTAATGACAAATGCTTTTTAGTTTTCAATCAAATGTTACTGACAAATGTTTTTTGCTACCAGGCAAATGTTTTTTTTAAAATTTTACAGACAAATGTTTCTGACAAATGTTTTTTACTCTCAGACTAATGTTTTTAAAAAAAATTGTACAGTCAAATGTTTCTGACAAATGTCAGAAACTTTCTGACAAATGCTTCTGACAAATGTCAGAAACTTTCTGACAAATGCTTCTCACAAATGTAAGAAGCATTTGACTAGTGATCTCCAATAATTTCCCTGTACTGGAAGAGTGGAATTGAAATTCTACTAAAAAATGAAAATTTTCGAAGTCCCCACTCAGATTTGCGATGGTAGGCTAATTCTGACATTTGTCAGTAACATTTGTCTGAAAGTTTCTAACATTTGTCAAAAACATTTGTCTGTAAAATTTTTTTAAAAAACATGAGTCTGAGAGTAAAAACATTTGTCAGAAACATTTGTCAGCAAATTTTTTGAAAAAACATTTGTCTGGTAGCAAAAAACATTTGTCAGTAACATTTGATTGAAAACTAAAAAGCATTTGTCATTAGCATTTGTCCGTAAAAACTCTGGCCCGTTTGGTACGCCATATGCATACTTTATGCGTAGAATGTTGCGCGTGCAAAACAAATCCGCCGTAATTTCCCAGAAGTCTTAAATTATCTACCTAGGGAAAATAACGTATAATTCGTTTGCCCATTTTTACTTGGATAAATTAGAAGCGGCAGTCAAAGTTTCTTGCAGGATTCCGTGGTCGATTACAAAGTTGCCGGCACAGCCGTTGCTTTCTTACAAAGGAGCAGTAGTAGTCGTGTTCCAAAACTCGAATAATAACTTTCTTTTCTCTAGACAGACTTTGTCTAGAGCTCTTGGTTTTTCCTGCGATTTTAGTGTTTTTTGGTCAACATTTTTGATAAATTAAGAAGCCCTGCCATTTCTGGTTCGAACCAGATTGGCAGGGACAAACAATTTGACGGAGTTGATCGCACGTCTCATCGCTACTCAAGCGCGCATTCATTACCACTGCATCGCTGCTTCACCCTGTCCCCCCCTGAGTGCATTTCTCTCATTTTCTTGATACTCTGAAGCCCATAACTGTTATCATATGTCGCCCTGTCTTCCTGTCTGGGGTATGGAGCCTTGCTGGGGCCGGAGTTTGGGCTGCGGGAAGAAGTTCGCTTGTCATGGAGACGGAGCGCTTGGGATCTCTGGACGTTGTGCTCGATGTAATCTGGGGCTAGTATTTCAACGCTCTGCGTTTGGCCATTCAACCAGTGACCTAGCAAGTACGGCGTTCCGACGTTTCGTGTGCGTTTTTTCCGTGTCTGGTGCTGCTGAGAACCGTGGCTCTACATTCTGGAACCCTGATGGCCACTGGAACCCTCATTGCTTGCTCTCGCATTACTGTCGACTGTTTGTAGCCATTTTCGCGAACTCCCTGACTGGTGAATCCTCCATGCCCTGTGGACGGATGAATGAGATGTGGAAGTCGGGAGCCGGACCTCTTGCTTGTTACGCACGATGTAATCTGGGGCTAGTAATTCAACGCTTTGCGTTTGGCCATTCAACCAGTGAACTAGTTTGTGTAGCATGTGTGGGTTCTGTCTTTTGGATTTTCGTCAGTCTTGTTTGTCGTGTTTTCAGAGTCTGGTAGATTTGCTTGTGTGCGGAATTTGTTTTGAAATATGTAATCCTGTGAATCACCCATTACCAGAAAACAGTAAACTTGAGACACTCTCCGGACGCTCCATCTGTCCATCACCGCCTTCCGTGAATAAAACATCTTGACCTCCAGAGATGGCATGCTTTTAAGTTTTTTAAAGGGTTTCCTATAACGTACTGGGCATTCAAAGTGTAAAATAAAATGGATGCATTCAGAAATTAAATTACCGGTTTATGAAAACAGGACCCTGGTTACCGGTAAACACCAATGCTTAAGCAACCAGAAGCTGTTTTCTGGTCAGGGTCATCTTTTTTCAGTGTTATGCAGGTACTGTATACTCCTTAACAACCATGGAAAACTTGGATTTTTGTATGAGTCTAACTGCAGGCATATGCAATTAATACACAGATATGAGCTGTCGCATGATAAAATAATGATCAATAACTGCAGCAGCTAATCGATTTTTAGTGTGCAATAAATAATAATTAAAAACTGTATTACAAATATGAAGGGATTAACAACGGCTGGTTTAAATTGTGTCTGTGTATCTGCACAGTTTTGATTAAAACAATTGCAACCAGTTCTATATACGGATGTATAACTAACCGGTGTAGAGTCAGACTGCTTTTTGATATTAATTCTTTGAAATGCAGTACATAGTTTAACGCGGTATAGACCGAATATATTGTGTATTATAAACTGAGGATATTGCCTTGCATAATTCGTACAACCATAATGACGACAGCGATTTTGATGATAAAAATTAATATTCTACTGGTTTAATAGTATTATTACTACTGTAATCAATGGCACATACAAAACTGTCGTTAGCTCTAGAAAACCCTGCATCCAAATCAGAAAAGTGTTGCTAACTCAACCAGTTAGTCTAGTGTCGATTGAGAAAGGATTCTAGACAACGAGAATTCCCAATGTGGGTGTTGACCATCTGACACCAAATAAGTAACATTTGTTAAATCTCGCTAAAACGTCAGTTTAAACAACCGCCACTGTCCTTATAACTCCATCACCATTATGTAGTGCCGATCCATTGGTAGAAGAGGGTTTGTCCACTATCTGTCCCGTCCTGTCGGCTTCCTGCTCTTGCGCCAGCATCTCCGCATCCGGTCGGGGTGCGGCACGTTTCTGCTGTTTTGTGACGTCAATTACGGCATACTGGGTACGATCCGATGGGCGGGTGCCATTCAGCAGGGATGCGGACAGTGGTGGTTTAGGCGCAACGGCTGGCTGCGAAGCAGAAGGTAATTTGGTCAAGGCCAGATTGGCATAAATAATTCCATCGGACTGCCGATGGTCCGTCGCCTACATAAGCACACGCACACTTGCACAGCACACAAGCTTCCAGCTATCACATTTATTACACTGCAGCATGTTACGTATACGCCGAATGTGACAGCAGGTCGCTGCCACAAGACCTAATGTCGTGGGAAAGGTCAGTTTTCCGTTACGTCGCACCGCACCCCGCGGCGCGTACGCTCATGTTTGCTCGTTAGCACGTACATGTACATAGTACTACATACCTACACATGCATTAATGCAACAGGCAAGTTTATATCGTGTTGCGTAGAATACAAAGGCTTAAAATTTAATTATATTACACGGTATTTTTGTAAAAAAAATTTTATGATTAATTTTAAATTCTGCGCATTTATAGGACATACTTTGTATGGTTTTTTCCCAAGATCCAAAGCGCGTGTATACGTTGAGTCCGTATTGGCCACTTCGCCCTTGGTCGAGCCATTTCTTTGGAAGCGTAGACTGGAGACTTTTGTTCCTTCTTTCTTTTCGCCGGCCAGATCCGGATGTTTACCGTTCTGCTGGGCCTCCTTGACCAGTTCCGATTTGCTACCGCTGCTGCTGCTATTATTTGAGTGGGTTTCGGACACTGCAGCGCTGGCTGTGGGTCAGAAATAAGGCCCAGTAAGCACACATCACGCACGAAAATATTCTGCTTCACTGAGAAATCTAAGAGCACGTAGGTGGCTTTATGCCATAACTGCGTATTAATAACTTGCTATAATTCGTGTTAGGTCATCTGTAAATCTCTGACATATAAATTGATAATGACGCTTTATTTGTCGGTTCTATGCGACCTCTTTTAAAATTGCTTTTACTGCTATGCCGTACCGCAACACTGCAAACGAGAACTGTTGCGTCTACGACGTGAGAGGAGCCGCTAGAATAGTCTGAACTTGCAAAACATTGATATCAACAAATTCCTCTTGTGCTAACTTTTTTCCGGTGCTTCTGGAGCAACATAAATGAAAGAAACTTCTACTGATATCTTTGGCGCGAAAGCACACTTTTTAATCAAGTACCGACAGTGATGTTTCTGAATTAATGTTTTGTTGAAATTCGCATTCTGAAAATTGTACAACTGAAATATTGGAAAATGGTTATGCAGCTACCTGTGGCGGCGTAAATACGATTTGTGTAAAGTAAACGAACTGAAATTCAAGCAAAAGTGAAAACGATATTACAAAACCGCACGATCTTTTGAAAACTTGTTTGCCGATCGACACCGTGGTTAACCTATGGAAACTTACCCCGTGTAATATTACGATTGTTTTCCGGTCGACTTATGCACACTACAGCAAGAAGCGAAATGTTAGAGAAGAAAGAGGAAATGGAACAACAACATGATACGTAATGTTAGCCGGTATACCAGCAGTAGAATTAGGTTAGGAAATTTCACCGTCAACGAAGCCCATGGATGTGCAAAAGCCGTTTATGCAAAGGAAACTTTATGAGTCAAGCAATTTTGCAGCATTTTTCACAGGCCATAGAAGTCGTCCATGAATAAGCAAAGAAGAACAGTAAAGACCATCACCAGCATGAAATATGTTTGTTGCACGCAGTACGAGACTTAAAAGAAAGAGCTCCAGATGAACTTGAAAAACATCTCGGTTTACTGACTGATACGTTATTAAATATCCGTCAGAAAATTATTGAGTTTCCAACAGAGTGATCACAAAATGTAGTTTAATATAAAGCCTTATGTTTCACTGTGCACTCTTGACTTACAGTCTCCTTTCTTTTTCTTCCTTATACAGAGGAATGCAATTGTGGCGACGAGGGCTAAAAGTGCAAAACCACCGAGACTTCCGGCGATGACGGCAATTAGCGTCGTGGAAAGAACGGGCGGCTTATCCTCGGTCTGCAGGGTTTTAAGCGGCAGGTAGACCGGCTGACTGAAGCCCTTCTCATTCTTGGCCATAATCTCCACTTGGTAGTCCCGCCCCGCCGATAAACCTTTCTCCAGCCACTCCGGCACCGTGACTTCCTTGGGCTCCAGTACAACGTTCTGGAATTGTCGGGTCTTCTGGGCATTGGGTGCAGCGGCGGAGTTAATGGAGCGCGCTTGCGGAACATCATCATTGCTCATGCCGCCGCCCGTTGCCACCATATTGCCGCTGCCGGCCAGCACCGATAAGAGGAACTTTTGCGGATAGCCTCCATCAAAACCCGGCTTACACTTAATGGTAAATCCACTGGCCATAACGGCAATAATTGAGCAATTCTCCGGTGGATGGGGCGGTCCGGCCGGGACGATGCGGTAGTAACAAGGCGTATGTGATACACCGACATGATTCTTGGACCAACATTGCAGTCGCCGATAATCATAGGCCGACCGAACCGTGTAATTAATCGCCGAGCTTGTCATACTTAACAATGATGATAAGGAAGATGAAGCGGCTGCATCAGCCGGTTCCACATCGGCATCGCCAACGATATCATCAGTTTTATCGGTGCTACTGGCATTCCACGTGTATGTCAGCTCTTTCAGGGGATTGGCATCCATACTGCAGCGGACACTTTGTTGTTGACCGGTACCGATGCCAATTAGACAGGGATTACTGGCATTCGCGCAGCGGGTACAAAATGGTCGATCTATTACATCAACAGCAAATTGTCAGATGCATGACTTTCAGAAGCACCGACGAAACAATGGAATTTTACAGGATTACATGTTAGACCACACCACATGCTATAAATTTAAGAATGCGTGGAGAGTTTGAATTGGTCGAACGAACAACTACAGTACGCACTGCCATATAATATGATAAGTTTTGAATATTCCTTAATTTATATTGAGTGCAACAACTTAACAAGTGTAATTGCTTTGTGCAATTAATAAACTGGTTTAATACTGCCCCTTTAATAATACTATTATTATTACGATTCTTTTAATTGAATGACGAAGGGGTATGGTAATTTTGCGGAGCTTATGGTTAGGACTTACAGTGGACATCGACCTGGAGACTAATATTAGTGCGGCCCACTTCATTAGTAGCAATGCACAAGTACTCTCCGGCATCATCTCTCGTAATATTTCGGTTGAAATAAAGTGTCGGTTCGGAACTGATAACCATCATATTGTGAATCCACACAAAATGAGCCGGTGGATTGGCATCCGCCGTGCAGTTAATACCGCCGGCCGCATCCGTCTCGGGTCGGAGGAACTCAATGAGCGACAACTGCGAGCGCGACGTCATGACATTTCGTGGAGAATCTACGTACACAACATGTTAGACACGGAAAGGATTGTATAATATGTATTTAATAACATGTATTAAGTATGCAGATTGCCCGGGCTTATTATTTTAACCATCTGGACAGCTTTATCAGTACACGAGTCAAGTGGTATCCGTTTGAATATATGACGGGAAGATTTACATGCCGCGCGCTGTCGCTGTAGATTAGCGCAAAAATTGTCCTGCAATCGCTGGAGCTTATGTTGCAATGCGTGATTTTATGTTGATTCATGGGGAGTGGGCTCAAGTAGGCATGCTTTATAAACACCATTGCTGTTTGCTTCCCTGTGAAAATTACCGCTAAGAGATCTGCGCCAGAGGACATTGACAGTGTTGCTACACACTTAAAAAGCAAACGTCTGTTTGATTTCTTTTGATGCAGAAAAATGTAATCAAAGAAATAAAAATATACCCCAGAGTTCGTATATCTCCGCTGTGCTGCCAACCGCCTCGTGTGAACGGCAACCAACCAGGTATGTTTTCTTATCCCATCACCGCCATTTTCAATTTATACGATTTTGCAGATTACATAAAACTACCGGAAATTTCGGATGATTTTTTCCGGTTTGGCGACTTCATTTCAAAAGCCCGTAAAAATCGATTTGCTCTTTTGCGTGATCATTTGTTTAGAACGAACGAGTGGAGAACGAGCTTGAAGCTGTGTATACCTAACTACTTACACGCGATGTTAAGAACCATCGAATCCGACATGATTCTTCCTTGCTTGCTCAACACTTCCTGTGTGGCATTACAGCTGAGTACTTTCCCGTTGTCGTCCGGGTTGGCGCTGTACGTGTACATGCTCCGGGTGATCGCTCCGCCGGTAGCCATCGGGATGATGTCGGTGCGAATGAACCGTGCCACCGGTTCACCATCCAGCGCCCATGTTAACAGGGCATGCGGCCGGGCATCCCACGTCTCGCACGTAATATTGTACGTTGTCCACTCTTTCAGCTGCAGCGGTTTCGATAGGGAAATGTTGACAGGCGGTACTGTACACCGGGAAGAGAGAGCAGAAATTATTTACACCAGTCGGACACGAAAGCGTTTGTCAATATGCCGGGTTCCTCTCTCATTTCCGGTTAAAAGTGTGTGTTTATATGTTTATGGACTGGCCCCACTGTGTGTATACCGATCTGCGCGGCTGACGCGTTTCGATCGGGTTACCTAGTAAATCCAGTCTGTAGGACACTTGGACAGGATGGATGCTGGCCTCGTTTTCCGCTTGACAGATCAATACATTGCCCATCAAATCCCGGGAATCCAGACGAAACGACAGGGCCCGGTTGACTCTCCACACACCGCTAGGGTCCATTTGTTGTTTCTGCAGACCGCTCTGGTTCTCAAGTGAAAATGATTGACCTAAAACAGTTTACCAGATATTAACAATCTATGAAATGCTGTATCGATGAACACACGTGAAAGGGCAATTTTAAGGTTGTCATTGGTCGTTGATAATATTGTTATTGTTCCATAGCATGTTCAAATTCGCTTTTACTAATAATTATTATTATTTTTTGTGTGATATAATACCGAAATATCAAACGTTAAATTTTCCCATTCGTATGCATGTAAAGAATAACACAAAAAATTTAAGCTTTCATTATTTTGTAATGTAAAACCACACGTTATTCAATAACGTAACGTGCGTATTGTACACTGTGTTTGCAGACCGATAATTATAAACGAATTAGTTCTGACAAAGGAAGAGCTTATGCATATGGTCACTTATGTAGCGAATGTTGCGTAACCGTAATTTGGCAAATGTGACGACTGGAAGTCAAAATTATTAATAATAGCCAATTATACCTTCTTGATTGACTCGTAACCATTTCAACGTCGCAGGTGGCCGGGAGTAGGCAACATAGCAATTTAACTCGAACTCCGTTCCCTCGTAATACGGCCCAATCACTGCCCCATCCTCCAGGAAGGTGGTGTTGTCTGATGAAACACTCAAGCGAGAAATGATCTGGTCAGGTGGTGCTGTATGGGATTTAAACAATAAACAGTTATTAATATGCGTTGCCGGATAATACTGTTGTGCCGCGCTGTTTACTTAACGCGCTGTACTTCAAACGGATCTATGGTCAATTTGATCTGCGAAAGTGGTTTTATAGATTAAAACAATCATCATCGATTATTTACTGGTAACTGGGCAATATGCATTGATAAGATCGCGGCATGGTCAGCGTGCGCTTCTGGTCAGTCTATATATCGCGCATCGTCCCGTTAATGTGCTGTGCACCCGATGCAGCCATAAACGGCGGAATTCGGGAATCAACTTGATTAGCATGTGATCTGATTATAACGACCTGCTTTACTGTACACTACCGTCCAACCAATAGACTGACCATAATGACCTCTGGCTCATAGGATCCCTAGAGATGCTGGTCTATCGTGATGAAAAAGCGATGTACATCTGATATCCGGTCAAGTAGAATGTTCGCTTTTCTAATTTGAAAAACATACTCCCACTGAAGAGAATGAAAAGCCGATCTATCGTTTTTGTTCCATGTTATTTGTTTGTTCTGTCGGAGCCGTGTTTATTAGATTAAGAATTTAAAAAATTCAGAGACGTACAAAAGAGGAATATTTTTATACCCTAAAAACTACACAAATTAACAAAACGCATAAAATCTTTAGCGAGATATCAAGTAGTCTGTTTGAAATTCGCATTTTTGAAACCAAGCTGCTTTTTATTTTTATTCGGACATAAAAGTGAGCTGGGAATAATTTGTAAGTAAGCAGAAGTTTTAGGAGACCGAAGATCAAACAATGTTCAGTTGCTACATTAATGCTAAATGGAGTTAGCGATTGCAATATTTATCCAACAATTTAAAATTGGTCATGACAGGCTTTTTTGTTAGCAAGAAAAAGCCGGCGTAAAACCGTGATTTACGAGCGCTTCCAGCATTTTTTGCATATCAATTTCCTAGTGTAAAGAGAAGCGTTACTGGGTAAAACGCTGGACAAACACTTTAATAATTAATGGCCATCCCAAGCGGCTAATGCTTTAGGAAAGAGTTTCGGTTGGGATTATTGCGTTTTGCAATTTTAAGTATACGAGTTGGCCTACATTCGCTTGACCATCGCCAGAAACAACATTATTCGGCATTTGCCAAAGCACATTGCAAAGATTTATCGGTATCACACATAGCTGAAATATTCCGGCTAACTTACCGATTACTCTGAACGATCTGGCCAGTTGTTTCTCAGCCGATACCGAACTAATTGAGCACGTATAATTCCCTTCCGCCGCAAATGATACATTGCGTATGGTCAGTACGGATGTCCGACTGTCGACATCCACTCGCAGATCGCCTTGGAGGTCACTCAACGGATTACTGGACAATGGGATCGGAATCTTATCACCGTAACCTTTGAGGATATACTCCAGGGTGTTGTTATTTAATAACGACTGGATGCGCCATAATATGCGAAAAACAATATCATCCGATTCCCAGGAACACTCGAATGAAACTGTAGATGCCGGCGTTGCCGTTTCCGGTCCATCGAAATGGGCGGTTAGCGATGATGAGGCAGTTGAGGGATATAGTATTATAAAGGGGATCACAGCTATTAAGACAGACAGGAGCATCGTCATTTTTTGTCGTTGGCGTTAGCTCCAAGACGAACTAGTACTCAGACTCCTTATGCAATACGTTCGTATTTTAGCAATTGTAAAATATGGAGAAATAGTGATAGCATTTGCTACCCGGTGAATGCTGATGATATCCTTCGTAAGAATAAAGAAACACATAATGCGCAGTCTATCGCCGTAAAAAAAGCAATGGCGGGTGATATTATTATATCCATAGTTCCATTCTACCGGTGCACGGATCATCTATTACAAATACTGCGCTGCAAACACGGTTCGACAGAGATAATTTCGAAATTAATGTCTTCGTTAAGCGCGCGTTAAGCATTGGCGAACTATGCTTCACAACTGCACTAATTAATCCCAGAAGCCGACAAATCGTAGAATATCTAACAAGCGTGGGAACATGACAGTGCATAAAAAGCGATGGCACAATTGGAAAAAAGTGCGAGTATCTTGGTTAGCACAATCCAATAATTTCTGTTAACGGTTAGAGATCACTATACTGTCGCGCATGAAATAGAGATTGCTATGAAACTGTGCACGACGAGTAGGCCGGCTTGTCTATAACAGTCTTATAACGGCACAACGAAGAAGCCGGTATCTTTTCGCGGTCTGTAACAGTACGTAACAGTCACAAATGACCAGCTGGGCTGGTAAATCAAGGGGAACATATCTCTTGATAACTCAAATCTAAAATTATAGCTGCCCATACACTGCGCTTGTTTTCCCATAGATTTTCAAGGCCGTTCTAATCATGATCATATTCGATAAATTTATGCTTGGCAAAACATCACTCGTCGATCTCACGTTTGCGAGGCTGGCAGTGGTCACGCCCAACAAGATGACAAACAAAACTAAGTAAACGTTATCATAACGCCAATTAATTACAGAAGAATTGAGCGCTGAACGGAATTAAAATCATTGTAATCGACGCCGTTAAAAAATGGGAAAAGGCTCACTATTTTGCCTAGCATAAACAAACAGCTCTTAATGACCGTGGATAACACTGCGGGATAGTAGACCGCATTTCATGACCGTTCTGTGCAGTGCATGGCAGTACGTATTCACAAAAGTCAGACTTCTCAGATTAAAGATGTAAGTGCTAATATCCCATAATATCCCTGCACGACAAGTTTGATTTGTGTACTGCAATGTATCTGTACACGAACGGCAACGTCAAAATTGACGCGGCAGCATCACCAGCTTAACATCCTTTTTACAGCTCTAAATAGCTCCTTTTTATCATGGGCGTGCGTTTGGTCTGGGACTTTTATTGTTGCTTTATATATGGGAATCTTGCATGTCACTTTCGATGCTTAGCGTTTGATTGTATCTAAAAAACAATTTAATTGATGGATTTCTTCAGTACCATTATGACCGTTAAGTTGAATGCGGCTAGCGGAACCGGCAAGTTTCCTTACAGCTTCGATGCGGAGACATGCAGATTGTCGAACGCCGTGCTTTGCACTCTTGTGGGTTAAATAAAATGTTTTACTGTTTTCATTAATCAAATCTTGACTATACAAATCTAACCATAAGGATTGCAAAATTTGAAAATTTTCACCTTGTTTTAAGCAAATAAATAATTACAATATGTAAAGCCTGTTCAGACAAACGCAGAAGTAGTCAAAACTATAGTACCTTATATTTTAATCTTCTAAAATTATGAAATAAGATTGCCACTTCCGAATAGAAAATGTTCAAACTATTTCAAATCTTTTTAAAAAATAGAAGTTTTTTATTGCAAATAGAAAGACTTCAGGCGCGATAACAAGGGCCAGCAAATGGGTCAGAAGAAACAATCAATTTCCCCAAATTTCCATGGCACACGCATTTTGCTCGAGGGATTTGAGGCAATTATCCGAGGGAAGTGAGGAGAAAGCAATAACTAAATTACCTAGTTGTTTATGCAAATTTGAACACAAAGAGAAATTGTTTATCTTTGATAAAGCTTTACATTATAGCAGCTTTTGAATAATTGCCGAATACCGTACAATCTTCGTGTTTTGTTATATTGTTTAAGATGAGCGTACGCACAAAATGGGATGAAAGGTTGCACAACTGTTTGATTGATCGAAAATATCCGGAGCAAAACGACCATTTAACTTTGCTACGGGTATGTTGCGTTCGTTCTCATGCAGGTATTTTGTGGTTATCTGTGAGAAAAGTTAATTGCTTAAATGCACGTTTCACTTGGCAAATAGGCTTCCATTAGGCGATAACGCACTTATCAACGCTAGCACGAAAATCAGTTTATTATTTTATTGTTTCTCAAGAAAGAATTACATTAGCGGCATGGATTTATGAAGCAGGCTATCCATACATTGTACTCTGTACATCGCAATTTATTGTAGCAAATTGCTTACAAATTTGAAATTAAAGATACAAATAATTTCCAAACACGTTTGCACCAGAATCTGTTCACATGTACTACTTACTGGTCGAGATTAATGTGTATAGATCGTTTCATTCGTACTACGATTCTTATTTTATGTTTATATAGCATTCATATCTTAACAGGGGGGTTTGAGCAAAAAAGTTAATTTTTTCTTTAAATCTCAGTGCAAATTTGTTTTCATTCGGACAACTTTAGAGTTGTTACGGCTGGATACAAACTTCCCGTTAACACATAATACAGATACTTTTACCCTGTACACAGCCAACAGAAGCGCCTGCGCCACCCATGAAAAACAACAAGAAAAAGCAAACTTTATCGCACACATCCATCACCACATGTCATTTATGATTTGCAGCCTGAATAATGTAAGCTTATCTCAAGGATCAAAGACCTACGACCATGCTGCAATCTTCCCAGTAGCCAGGAAACATGCCGCATCAGAGACGTAATCCATCTTCCCAGCAATGGTCTATACACAAGGCGTGTTAAGATGGAGTTACCTATGCACAATTTTATTTTATTTGAAAAACACAGCAGACGACCTTTCATGACATCCAGTACACACTAATGTGAAATTATTGATAGTTCCCTATCGTTTGCAGTTTTCTTGTCACATAATAGTATGTATAGAGATTCGTGAATGTTACGCTACGCATACATGCGCCAAAGTAGCTAACAATACAAGTACGGATCTCCAACGTAAAAATGCCGACTTGCAATACAAGCGTATCACCGAAAATCAGCCACAAAACAAAGGAGGTTCTGTCAGAATCCTGATAACCTTACTTTGAAGAGCAAAATCGTAAAGTAGAAAGTGCGCGATAGCATTACTTTTATGAATCTGTTTACCTTAATGCGGGCGCCTTGTTGGTACTTTGCATAAAGGAAATTTACGATATTTAGACAGACGTGAAAGGAAATTTTTACTGCTACGTTTCCTACATTTCTTTTAATTAGCGAGAAGAGAGGCAAAATGTTGCTCTCATACAGCTTTACGTCATCAAACTTCACAAATAATTACGTTATGATTTTCCAGAAATTAACCAAGGACACTATTTCAAAGAGTTGAATAACAGCAGCGTCTGTTATATATGGACATAGGCAGCTCGTTTATGGTCCTTCCGGATCGCCGGAAAATGCACAGCTACTTGGACAACGACAACTGAAACACGGTCTAAAATTACCGATTAGCATGATTTTGTATTTGGACAGAATTTATTATTTTAATAAGATGGATGCAAGATTGTGTTTCTTGACCGGTAGCAAAGCTAAAATTAGCTTGCAGAAAACTGGTAAATGCAAATACGTTCAAAATCGGTACAGAGTGTGGGGGTGTGTTTGATATGCATATTTTATAATTATATCATATTTGTACGAGTAGTGAATCTACACACAAATGCACTCAATAAAGCTTTCTTATTAACGCACACCAACAGTGTGGTGATAGTCTACGTACAACCAAAAGAATTTCACATTAACAATATCCTTTATTACACGGTAATTTACACCCGTATAGGAAAAAAAGCGGCCACTACTGTAAATTGAATCAAACTATTGTAGACTAAATTAGTCATTTATTTGTGCAACTTTTGTTTCCAGTTAAAGGATTAATAGTTTACCACTGAACAGCTATATAATTAGCGCTTCTAGATCTGTTTAACTGAATTGTGTGGCTACTGTTTACGCAGCGCTTGATAAATGATTCCGGGCGTCTGAGGACACTCGGTTAATTATACGATACTGCTTTGCCACCTCATATGAACTGCTTAAGAATGAGAATGATTCAACAACCCACTTTGCTGTTTATTGACATTTTTTAAAGAAATTAGATTCAAAATTTTACATATTATTTGCAGATACCAAATTGTTTACCATAACATGTAATTTTTTTGCGATAAACTTAGGTGAAGCTCTTATTTTGAATAAGATTTCGTTTTTCTACAGGTGAAAGGTACCTTAGTTTCAAACACAATGTAATACGAAATCAGACAAAACTCGATAGAAACGTTCTTACGGGAATCCATACGATTTTTCATGTTATGAAATTCAGTTAATTTGGGCACCATAATTTCTGAAACTCAAACGATGATAGAGTGGTAATACAATAGAAACAATGTTGCACAATAAGTTTTGGATTGTTTTTCTGCTCTTTTGGAGCCTACCGCAGTTGTTCACGGTAAACTTACTCCCAGCAAAATGCGAATGATTCACAGGTGATGGTACCTATACACGGTAGAGTATTGATATAAGGTGTTAGAAAGTGGCCGAATCCATGTGGTCAAGCCAGCTGTTCTAATTTAGTCAAGCGATAGTGCGCAATTTACCCCATACCACAATGAGCTGCTGCTGGTTGTAAACTGTAAAACCAAGCAGGCCGGCTTGGGTTGTCTGTGGCCGCGCAATGTATATGTGGACGATGCGCTTATGATGGAAAAGGGTGCTAATCCTATTGTCCGCGAGCTTGTTAAAAGATGGATTGATCGTCGCATTAAGAGTCAAAATGGGCATGACCCAAAGTCGCCAGGCAATCGACAGATAATCACTATTTCAAAATTGGCTTGTAACGTGGCTGCATGAAAATGTAGTCTTCCTTTCTTTTCATTCTCTTCCTGTCGCCCAACAAGCATTATTACATTTTGTGCGTTAGGGTACAATCTTAAGCTCGCATCAAGGAATGATTAAAGACATCAAACACTGATCAAACATCAATCATATGTATAAGATGACCACAACAGACAATTGTGATTAGCGTAGACGTATCTGCGCATAGCTTGCATTAATTAACAACTGCATTTTTCTTTTAAGTAGTACGCTTCAGTTACCAGTTGTCAGTAATTTGTAATGTACATCTACGCGTCAATCGTTTATCTACTTCTTAAGCGGATTATTGTTTATGTTTGTTTATGTTTATATTATTTTGCTGCATTACGGGCATTGAAAATTATGCAAATTCGCATATTCTATCATAACATGCTTAACTGCATTTAAAAATAAGAGTACGGTACTTAAACTGTGCTAAACTATACGCTCCAAACCTTGATCCGTTGATTTGTTTGCCCACATAACATATTGACACAGTAAATATTCACCGTACTGACCCCGTTATTAACTGCCAGGCAGTAACAAAACACCATCGATTGATTACCAAATTATTAAAAAAACAGGCAATCATGATCAGCGTTAGCCTTTCTTTTTGCCTAATTTCATTCAGTAAATATATGGCTCACTGTGTTCACTTTCATTTGCTACACACGCGCTACAGACTGTTCCCGCTTCGACCGCCGGGAAAAAACAGCGAATGATGCTCATAGTGAAATAGGCGACTGATTTCGTTATTGTTAGACATACAGTACAATAGTACTAGTCACATACTGCACATGCTGCTCACTTTTTCTTTGCGTAATCTGATATTTCCACTGTTTCGTCAATTTTGTAACTAGTAATTTATTTAGAAACTTTTTATTTAGTTTAGCCGATACTTTTACATGCTACATAGCACTCAAAATAATATTGGTTTATCACAAAATTATAATAATTAAGCGCAAAGCCATTCCGCACTGCGAAAGGAATTATGTTACGGTGACCGAGAAGAAAACGTAGGAGTAAGAAAGAATGTGTAACGCATATTTTGTGTATTGAGAACTGAGATTACTCAGAAATAGGTAACATGCTTTTTCTCATACAAATAAAGGATGAAATTTTATAAG